CGTAGCGGTTGTACTTCGTTCAGTTACGTATTGCTCCTAACCCTAACCCTAACCCTAACCCTAACCCTAACCCTAACCCTAACCCTAACCCTAACCCTAACCCTAACCCTAACCCTAACCCTAACCCTAACCCTAACCCTAACCCTAACCCTAACCCTAACCCTAACCCTAACCCTAACCCTAACCCTAACCCTAACCCTAACCCTAACCCTAACCCTAACCCTAACCCTAACCCTAACCCTAACCCTAACCCTAACCCTAACCTATTAAATACCTTAAGGGGAGCTAGAACCTTCTAGCCTAGTTCTACTAGAAAAATCTAATAAAACTAAAGGACCTAGGTCCCCTAGGTTACTAACTAACTAGTTAGGAAGAGGGTTAGAGACCCCTAAGGAAAGGATATCATTTATAATACCCACCTCCTAATACCCTAAGGAAACACTATCCTCCTCATCTAGGCCTAATAGCCCTTAGTAAATCATAGTAGAGCTCTGCTTAGTAACTGACTTCTTTAGATAATAGATATAGGCAAGATAGTTGATAGTAGTCGATAACTAAGTCTAGAGGATAAATAACGCCTACTTAGTATCAGACTCCTCCTTCTTAAGTTTCTTCTATTTATAGAGAAGGTAAGTTACTATAAGGAATATTAGAAGAAATAGGTAGAAGTATATAGAAAGAGAGAGGGGTATATATAGGAAGATATCACTAAAGAACTATTATATAACTAACCCTGACAAATATACTTAGAGTAGTGAGAAGAGTTCTTACTTATATAGTAAACTTTATTACCCTTAAAATAGGATAAGTATAGTATTTTAGAAATTAAGCCTAATAAGTTAATAGTGTTAGTAAGAAGGTGACGATTAGCTAATAAATAAAGAATATGTGAAAGTGAATAGCTTATAGTATAGAAAGGAAAATGAAAAGGGAAAATTAGACTAACTATGAGGAAGCTATAGAGTAGGAGTACCTCTATATTTAATAAGTGTAAGGGGATGGAGAATATAAATCTTTAGGGATAAAGATTAAAGGAGGGGAGGTATTATATTATAACCTAGCTACTAGAAGAAGTGACCTAGGGAAGGTAGTGGAGACCTATAGAAATAGTAGGCTAGAGGAACTATAGGTAAAGAAATCACCCTGATCACTTAGTGATCTAGATGACCTAGATCACTATAGTTATAGTGATTAGGGCTAACTGATCACCTAGATTATAACTAGATATTATGATCTACTACCTATATAAGGAACTAAGTAGACCTTAGAGGAAAGGAGGTTCTATATCCTTTTCAGTAGTCAATTCAAGTATACTTAACCTCTATACTTAAATATGTATTATAGATAATGATATTATTATACTGTTTGATTACCTCACTGAGCTACTAATAGGCCCTGACTGTTCTAACCCTAACACAACCTAACCCTAAGCAATATGTCCTAGTGTTGGAACGTCACACTATTAGCCTGGAAGTAATTTAATATCTCTATAGAGAGTTGAATAGAGTATAAGGGAAACTATCACTAGTATAAGGATCATGTAAGTGACTCTAAGTTGAGCTGGCAAAACTTCGGGTAAAATCCGGAACGAGGAAAGACCCATATGAGTTAAGCGCTGAGGGTAGCTTCGACCCCGCACGGCGCACAACTATAAAAAGCGGGCTTTCCTCTATTTTTCAATTCTAAATACTTTGTCCTGATGAGCTATAAATAACGGGCACTGAGTTGATAACCGTGTTTTTAATTCAATTCTCATCAAAATTTATTCTGCCTTCAACGCTGCCCAACTTCTTTTACCTAACCCTAACCCTAACCCTAACCCTAATCATTTGAATCTTAGCTATAGAAGATATATAGGTCTAATCTAAGCTTCTATATCCTTAGGTATGTTTACAAGGCCAGTATCTATACTCTTCATTATCAAACTCTGTGCTCTTATGATCCTTCGCGTCTTTCCATCCGGCATATGCCTCTTCTGGGCTGCAAACTGGGATACGGAACACACCAGCAGCGCGGATTTCGATAGGGTCACCGTTATTGTCGAAGAGCCTTTCAAACTGATCCCGATCTCTGATATCAAGAAGCTTTGCTCCATTCTTCCTCCCATTAGCGACCCACGTATTCACAGACCTAGTTAATATGCAAAAGTCATTTGTTAGCCGTCCTAATATAGTATCGTAGGCTTCAGGACTCACCCAATAACAATATCATCTAGCGTTATGCCTCCCCAGTGGTTTCCACCATCCCTTAGATCCTTTGCTCCTGGAAGTGGTGCAAAGTAATTTTCAGCATCCCTTCCAGGCGTCGCGCATTTATAGGGGCCCCCAGGTACCGGGGTGCAGTCCGAAGGAGGTATCGACTTGCTCTCCCAGTGTAACTAGATATAAGTGTTAAAAGGTGCTATAGGACGGCGATATGATATGTGAGTGGGAAAAACCTACCTTCGGGGTAACGAGATAGTAGAGCCATTTGTCCTCATCACAAACGACTGTTACCCGTTCTGTCTCCGCATCCATCATGTTGCCGTTCAGATATCCGCCCGAGTCGCATCGCCGCCCAGTGTCTAGCACGACCGGGCTTCTAGACCCTTCATACCACGCAAGCGGGATCATCAACGTATAAATGACCTTTATGGCCCAGGTGCGACGCCATTCGGCGTCGTTATCCCATTTGTTATTGATCTCGCTTTGTGTTTTTCCACCCTTGGCTAATTTTCCCTCTGATATTAAGGCCCAGAAGTTGTCTAGGCCTTCCTCCTTGCCGCTGAACAACTGCCAGTTGAGGTCCTTCACGGCGGATCGATAGCCTGTTAATATCCTCGTAAGGTTACTGTTGAGCGCAACCAAGCTAGCTCCACCGATACCCTCGCTAAGAATCATTATTATCAGCGGTTGTTAGTCCCTCCTTCTACTAATAAGCTATAACGACGTCGTGAAAAAAACCAAAACTTACAACTGGGCAGCATCCTTGATCATGCTCCCCCATCCCACTAGGTTATAAGTGATGTCCTTTACGTTATCAAGATTTCCGACACTATTCTTAAGTACTATTATGAGAAGAAAAGCGTATGAGCGCCTCCTGGTTAGCGGATTGCTTACTATGCTGTCTTAGGGGATGAATAGGGGAGTGAGGATCAACCCGCGATTTGACGTACTATTATTGAAAAAGGCGCGGAGAAGACAGAGAAGAAAATCCCGAGGGCATCCACCGTAATTAAGAAGTTGCGCTGAGATTCATCCTTTTCAATTTCAACAAATGTATCGTAAAATTGGTTAAGTTGATTTAACATATGGGCTTCGACGCCTGAGAAAGCCTCATACATTTTGGTCATTCGCTGTTGAGTTAGTTATCGGGGTTAGCTAAACTTTAGAACGGACTGAAGGAGCGTATAAGCACTAGCTGCTGCTAAACTTCCGAAGTAAAAGTAATAATGAAATAGGTGATAGGGGCGAAACAGGTAAAGGGGTAGGGGAATAAGTATTGAGTGACAGGAAGAAAAGAAGATAAGGCAAAGAACGACTCGACTATGCGACCTACCACGCTTAATTCCGCAAAGGATCCAACTATCAAGGCTCCGGCCGGCCCAGTCATATTAGAGATATGGACGTCGGGGCACTGCATGTGCATATTTGCGCAGCCCACTAAGACATCATTGCACTCATAGGCTATATCATCTGCCTTGAAAAACGTTGCGGCGAAAGAGCTAAACTTGGCGGAGCGGTCCGCGCGGTCACGTACTCGAAGCCACTCGTCGACAAACTCGTACCATGCACAGTCGCACGCCGTCCCGTCCCACCGCTGCTTCCCGGGAAGCAGGGTATTTGACGCCGCCTCTGAATCGCAGTGGAATCCTTCCGTATTCCTCCACGGGCATCGGCCCCCATTCTGCATCATCTCAGCGAATGAGGTATCAGTCACAAACTCACTGTCGCTGAAGGTCTGAAGGTCTATAGCCCAGTCGGTGGTACCTCCAAAGTTGTAGTGCTCGTACAGCATCGCTCGCGAATTCTTGTTGGCGTCGTCCATATACGCTACCCACTCGGTATCATCGTATACCATGATGTTGGACATTGATTCTTTGTCAATCCACGCCCTAGCGTTCCGCTTTGGGTCTTTAAGGATCCTCTCAATTTCCCCGTCCGCTAGGTAGCCAGGCTCGCCGGTACAGAGTCCACCCCTAGCCCCGCTATTCGGCCCTGTGAATGCGCACATCGGGCCCGTGCAGCCCGGCTCTGCCATTTTGAACGCCCGACCGTAGCTTGCCACGCCGACGATAATCTTGTTAGAGGGGACGCCGGCTTTCGTGATGAGAGTGAGGGCACCCATCGTCTCCGTCATGTTGATATGCGATCGTAAACAGTCCCCAGTGGAGCATCCATCGATGGAAAACATTTTTCCGTGGTCCCACTGTCCATGAAAATCATCTGCGCATTGACGAATTAGCTCCAACGTACTAGGTGATTATCGGGATGTTTAGGGACATCAAAGCGGCCTACATGTCATGTAAACAACATAATCTACAACCCTAGCAATCTCGGCGATAGGAAGCCCCTTCAAATACCAGTAAGATGCAGGCGATGCGATGGAAAGAGAAATATGTTGAGGGAGACGACTCCTCACCGTCTTTAAAAGCTCTAGGTAAGACCTGCCCTCGTCGGGATCAGCAGGGTCAATGTCCGGGATATCAGGCGCCGCAGGATACTCCCAGTCAATATCTAGGCCATCGAGCCTATTCTCCATCGCAAAAGCCACTAGAGTATTTGCCACTTTGTCCACGTTCTCGGGCAAGGCTGCATTGCGCCAAGTTTTGAAGCGATCAGGTGCAGTCGAGTCGACCCATCCGCCAAACGAGACAACACGCTTGATTCCAGAGAGGCTCTTGAACCTGTCGAACTGGTCCTGTATGAAGCTTACATCAACTTTGAACTCAGGAGTGAGCCGCGCAAACGCAAAATGTAGATGAGTATAGGTGCCTGAACGGGCGGCTTCCTCTACGCTCATACGGAGGCATTTTCTTTCTTGGTTCCAACCTTCGCTGTTTAGATAGGATGAAGCGGGCGTGCAAGCGTATAATTAGTTACTATAGCTATAAAGGACAATGGAATTTTATGTAGAAGAGGAGATAGGCAAACATACAAGTAGCCGATCTTGATAAATTGTTGCGGGGGCTCGTCATTATTAGTGATGGTCATTCCGCAGTTTGAGATACATCCTCCGGTACCCGGGTTTCTCCCAGTATTTTGAACCTGGCAAAACTCTTCGGTTACCCCGCAGAATCTGCTAAGTGTTAGTATATACTCCCTACTCCCTTTTCGCAGAATATATTATATAATATCCACTTACCCGTACTCGGAGCAGCATCTATAGATGAAATGCGCGGTTAGAAAAGGTAAGAGATGTTGGGATTGGCGTTAAGATAGTCTGACAAAACTCACGCATTCAAAGGACAGGGATTTAATTCGGCTAGGTTCGCCCCTTTTGGCACGCTCCCAATCCCCTTCCCGGCTCGCGGACCGCATACCTGTCTCTCGTCCACTAGCGGCAGGGGCGGATCGCCGGGGCTGACGCAAATTACCGTGTCCGGGAATAGGTTGCAGCCTTTCCAGCCCCAAGTCGTCCCGTCGTTCCATTTCTCCAGGTCTTCGGGCGTGGCGTCATGCCGAATGCCAACCTTGCTGCAGTTATCTCCATCAACGACAACATAGGTTGCGCAAGTACCATCGGCCTGGGGGTCTTCTTTCTACTTCGCCGGGTGCCTGCGGTACAGCACACAGATTGTCCTTCGACAACGATAGCTTCGCAGTCGATGTGTTCATTATACGACTTAAATTCGTCTAGGCTGGAGAGGCCGCATCGCTGTGAGAGAGAGTAGCACGAGTCATTGGGCTCAGCAAGCGTCTCTTCACATAATGCATTGTCTCTATTTGCAAGAGGAGTCAATGTGGCTGAGCCGCGGCGAGGACTGGGCGAGCTAGTAGTCCTCCTGTCCAGCGTTAAGAATTTAGACCCCTGACGAAAGGGCTTATCCGGAGCAGATGCATTGCCGACGATAGGAGGATGGACCCACAGCACAGAGTTGACCGTTCCCGCAATTTCGAGCCCCGTCACGCACTGTCCTTTATCCCAAGAAACAAGAGCCTGCTGAGCGGCTCCAAGCGCGGCCACCCCACCAGCCGTGCTGGCGAATACTCCCACAACAGTTCCGCCTAGGATTCCTTCCCCGCAGTACTGCATCGCGAGGGACTTGCCAATGCCGTGTTCCCGAACGTGGTTCGCAAACGCACCAACGGCGGCGATAGCAGCCAAGGGTGTATACACCCTGGCCCCGACGTATATGCCCACCACAGACCTTCCATAATGGGCATATAGAGTGGTGACGTTTCCGGCGGGAGCATGAGCCAGATAGGACTTGAGCTCGGAAGCTGCGGTGTACACTTGGCCGGAGAGGCTATCGACTGCGGCGTCGGCTGGCTCCTGACTAAACTGGAAGTTGACGCCTGTATCTGCCGCCCAGAAACTACTCTCGGGAGGTGCGGCGATGGTGTCGTTAAGGTTCGCCGCCGCGCCTTCAGTTGACGTTACCGCCCGGATATAGACATCTATCCGATGGTCTAAGATGGGATTGTATAGAGGGAAATCGAGAAGCTTGGGACTAGCACAGGGGAGCAAGGATTCCACCCTATGTATAACCGTCCAGTTAGACCTTGTGGACCCTGTATCCTCGATAGCAGTAGGGCAATTTGACAGGCGGGGATGTCGTTTAGCTGGAAGGGAACAAGCCTTCGGGCAGAGGCAGTAAGCATAAGAATCTGGAGCAAGCCTGCAATGTAGCAGCTTTGGGATATGATATTGTTCATATTTAGCCCGGAGTAGAGTGCGGGTCTGAAGAGATGGTTAGAGAGGCCTCGCTGATAGAACTATAATAATAAAAATAGAAGTTGAGCGATGGGAGATCTGATCTAGTATTGTAGATTTGAGTGCCTGGCTGATATATAGATCTCTCATCAACGCTATCTTGAGACGTACTTATAGACCGGCGGTATCCCGAAGTTTCCATTTCGCCGACCAAGTATTGAAGAAGGGCACCGCAGCACGATATTGAAGTGACATAGTGTTGGTGATTCGATGTTGGTGATTCGATGTTGGTGATTTGATGTTGGTGATTCGATGTTGGTGATTCGATATTGGTAATTTGATGTTGGTGGTCATAGTTAGTGGTTATTAGTGGCGCAGGAGCGTCTTTCTCACAGTCCTAGAGATTTACCATTTATCTAAGCCTCGCCTATAATTTTAATTCTCCCTAATCGAACGGCAGGAAGGCAGCCGAGATCAGGCCGACATTTCAGCCGGGTTTGTCATCCTGAGCCGCTCTGTTGGTTGAGGTTAAATTAATTGTATTAGCTATGTTTGGATTTCGTATATGAGTTGGAAGACGCTCTATATTAGGAGCCTAAATTTGATTAGTTGGGATCCACGGGTTGTCCTGTATAATGCTACGAAAGAACTATTTATCTTATCTATTAATCTTGCGCAAGCTAACAGGCGACGGATTCGTCCTTCCGCTCTAGGCTAAATACGTTGAAGCCTTCGCTTAGCGGGAAAATGAATAGTCATAGATCTATCAGCAGTGGAACCAACAGCTGTGTAATATATCGCCCGCGAACATCCCTATTTGTCTTCACGTGCATGCAACAACATGAACAAACCCATAAAAGAAGCTCGTGGCCCCCGCGCATTCCTACGCCATCACGGTAGCTCGATCACTACCAACCAGCACGGCTCTCTTCTCACCCTTCTCCGCGAAAACCCAAAAAGAGCCCGCTGTCATGCCTTCCCTTCTTACTATATTTTTAATTTCTCTTACGCTTACATTCCGTCTTGGTCGATGTTCCGATAGGTCGGACTTGCTGCCAACCACTCTCCAGATCGACCTCGTGTACCCACGCGCCAACGAAACCCATCTGCGAACATGGCCTTTTCCAATCGTCTTTGCCATCCGCGGATATAAAACTGTCTGGCCATATAATCTAGTACTGTTCTGGGAGCTCTATGATATTGATCAGTTCCGTAGCGGGATCAAGGGCACCCCGGACGGCGACAGCGGGAGGTTCGAGAACCTCCCTGGAAAGCCACGCGACCAAAGTTACACAACTGGTGAAGCTCCTGATGGAGAGGACCCTTACTACTATATCAGCCGAACAAATCGGATATCCCAATTTACTGGCACAAACTTCTTCATCAGGTACGAATTCTACTTTTGACGAATTGCACCGAGGGCGATAGTAGCCTCGCCGAGGACCCGTCAACATCCCCTCCTTACCATGACGGAAAGTCTCCGCGTATTCGCGGCTTTGTCCCTTTCTCTGTGTCAAGTAATGTTTCTCTGAACATAAATATGGGCGGGGACGACCCCTGCTTAAACCCCGAAAGCACCTTTATCGACGGTGTCCCCAATACATTACGAATAGCTGGTCCCAGTTCTCCTGGCGGTTGCATGTACTTTGATGATGAAAACCTTCGCCCTAGGCCGGACAAGTGTACTACAGTACATCCTGATCTCGAGGAGATGGTTAGTCAGGCAATGCTGGCTTCTATAGGGTGCGGTTCAGATATAAAGTGGCCTGATGATGTTAGTAAACGCTGCGACGTTTATGACTCCCCCAGATCGCGAGGGCTCGGGCGCCGGATCAAGTAGCAGCCTTCTAGTTATTTCCTTACTAGTCGTTTCTAGTGTTTTTCTAGTAGTGCTCTAAGGAAGTAAAAATAGGTTCTATCTGATGTATATATATCACGATATACTTATAGTATATATCGAACTTAAACAGCATAGTATAGAGTCGATATAGTGCTCTATAAATATTGAATAACTAGATCTGATAATCGTTAGAAGCTAATAACATTAGAATATACTATCGCGATGATAATAGTAATAGCGGTAGTAGCAGTCTATATAATAACCGAGCTAATGATTTTTCAAAGGATAGCATGCGTAGGAGGGCTATAACTTCGTCTAATTTAGATCAAAGGGCGCGCAAAGTACTAAGGTAGTGGCTATAAGTAACGTTATCGATACTCGCTTTCATAATCTTCATCATTCGTCACTACTATCCCCGCTCCAGCTATTATCGTTGCTAGTATAAGCGCTTAAGCCTAGTAGTTATATTATATGTCCATACGCCCCTTCTCAGAGGAGAAACCTTTAGAGTCTATTTCCAGGCCAGTTCTTTTTATTAAATAGAGAGTAAAATGTGTTCGTATTCACTGCTTGCTTCCATTCTTTGGAGCCGTTCTATGGAGGAATCTACGGTCTTTGATAGTTGCCAATTCTAGAACCGTCGGATACAATCTTCCGGATCGGGAGTCGATATCCACCATGTCGATCCACTGGAAACCGGTATTCGTATCGGATACCTATTTCCATAATGGATATCTGTTTCCGTGACGGACTTCCATTTCCATAGGAATCCTTCCATCATTCTTCAACACTTTTATAACTATATAGGAAACATATTTTCGCTTCAGTGAGCGGCAGTACTTGCTAACTACCCTGATAATAGCGGTTATATTGTTGATAAGGGTCCGTCGGGCATATCGCTTTAAGAGTAATTAGATTCATATCTATATTCAGAGACAATAAGCCCTAGAATTTACCTTCTTATTAGATTTTAGAAAGAAATCGAAGCGTAGATAGTACCTCGTCCGCCCCGCTCGTGGCCCGGGAGCTTAGGGTAGCATAGCGGGAATAGGTGATCTATGAGACTAAGGGTACTTATTATATACTTAGTTAGGTCTAATTATTGCGTAATTAGATCGATAATACGTAGAATATATATTATAAAGATAGTTTATATCTAATAGCATATTCTCTACCTTAGTCTATTCAGGAAGGAATAGTGTACCTTCTAGAACTGGAGCCGCCGCTGGACCGGCAAGAGATATAGTTGATATACAGTCGCCAACCCCATTCAATATAACTTCAACAGTGATAGTACTGTCGCGCTGGATTTCGCTTCCTGATCAATGTCGAACCGATATATACCAGAAGGCTTTCCGTGCTGCAGCGCAAGAAAAGCGCCAAGGGCACATGAGCCACTTCCACAAGCAGGATCCTCAAGGTTTATTGCAATCATTCGAACTCGAAGTTTCTGGATCCTCGTTTCATTCTCGACAAATGGCTCTGATGCACGATAATACATCATTCCAGTGAAAGAAGGTGCCCAGCCTTCGTCGAGTTCGAGTATCTGGCTGGGTCCTGCGGTGATCGCTGCAAACATGCTGTCTTGGTTTGTGAAGTCTACTAGCGAGTAGGTCACACCTTTAACGATAGAGATTGTAGGGTAGCTTTCCTTCATTTCTAACGCTCTATCTTGTAAACCCGGCTGGGTAATAAGCAGCTGTTGCTTAGTTGTCAATGTCGCATGAATATGGACATTGTGTGGTATCTCCGCTCGGACAGTGCCTTTCTTGAGGTCACGATGTAATGCGACAGGGCCTGCTTTAGTTAAGACCGTGATTTCTGACACCGCGGCCGGTATCAAAACAATACCAGGGACAAGTCGTTGAAATAAGGCATGACCAACGCCAATAACAGGATGCCCAGCAAAGTCCATCTCGTTAACCGGTGTAAAAATGTTGATTTTCAATGCTCCATCATTCTCTTGGCGTAAGAATACAGTTTCGGATAAGTTAAATTCCCGGGCTATCATCTGCATAGAGATATCTGGTAACGGGTCTTCAAGCTTGACGATTGCGACTTGGTTGCCTCTAAATCTATAACGAAAGGCTAATCAGAACCTGAAAGTGTTAGATAGAAGGTGTTCTAAGAACAGATAAATAATTCACCTTTTAGTAGTAAACACGTCAAGTGTTACTTAAAATTCATATAAGTACTTTGATATATGCCCACGTAAATATATCGATAGAAAGAACGATACTTACCAAATGGGGCCTTCTTTCCAGTAGACATCATGATAAATTAGAGACCCTTTAAGTGCGTTGATAGCTAGTTTCTAGCGCTATTATAATGATGATGTTAACTGTTAAGAACCTTCTACTTATTAGAAATTAAGAGGTGGGAATTGGTCTCTTTAAATACCGCAGTTATGATACTATGATGACTAAGGTTTAGACGGAGGCTTATTTTATCATCTGCTAACTACCTCGGTCTTTGATAAGTTACTTCTAGGTGTCTAGATATTTCCACTCTAATATATAATAATAGTCATCGTAGATTCTAGCAAACTCTCTTATTCTTAGACTTTTCAAAGTTGATCCTACCATCGCTAGATAAACGTAAATTATAAGGCGTTAGATAGTACTAGGTCAGGTCTGGTTCATATACTCGTAGCGTAGGTTCTCTAGTATTTACCGCCTCTATAAATATTCTAGAGCTATCTTAGAGGAGGGCTATGATGTTAAGATAGAGTTATTCTACTTTGAGTTTAATAGAAAAATCTGTAAACGAGGATAATAACTATATATTGAGCTTAAGTCTTCTACATATCTATATGTTAAAGAGGGAATTATTATCAAAGAGAGGGCATTCCTTTTCGAGGAAGTCGAAGACTTTTAAGCCTATAGTGATATCCATTTAACTAACTTTACCTAGCTGGTTCTCAGAGCTAACGAAAACATCCATATCTGCTGACTTGAAATCTTTTGCCTTGACGCGGCGTAAGAAAAGTAAATCTAGCTCTGCAAAAGTCCGATCTTTAGTCTCGGGCAACCTAAAATATGTCCAAATAAAAATGCGGCGGCACAACCCCCAGAAGAAACCGGTCTTGCCTTTCCAGTCTCCAGCCGTAGGGTTTAGCATATACGGGTTGATGATGTTGCAGATAATCTGAGCGATATAGTACGTAATACGGCTAAGACAGACACTCTTACTTCGCAGACGGGTCGAAGAAACCTCAGAGATGATTGCATAGCAGATGGGGCCGACTGTGAGGTAGTAGATACCCAGCCAGACTAGCATCATCCCGGCTTGTGCGTAGTTCCCTGATTCGGAATTAGGAGCGCCTATACTGATGAAGCCAACCGTTAGGAGGATCATGGTCAAGAGCCCTAGCCCCCAAAGGTAGATGGTGCGGCGGCCGAGGCGATGTAGGAGGAACCAGCTCGCCACCGTGCCCACAGAAGCGATGCCTAACCCGCCAACAGACATTCGGAATGAGATGGATGAGGGGAGACCAGCCTGGACGAAAAATAAGTCGGTGTGCCGCCCATAGCAGATCCGCAAAATGGTTGCGCCGCAAATGCGAGGCAAGCGATCTCGGTCCGGCGCCGGTCGATGCCACGGAAACAATCGATGTAGGAAGTCCCTTCGTCTATCTCGCTCTCTAGCTTATTAGTATATCTCATCATCGCAACAGTCTGGGATGCATCAGATCGCTGCGTCATAGATCCTAATCGAATGACTGCCTCTTCAGCTTGCTCGTAGTCTCCGGCCCTGACGTAGTGCCACGGAGACTCAGGAGCGAACCATAGGACGATGAAGAGCGGAAGCGGCCAAGCCCACTGAATAGCGAAAGGGATACGATACGACCACTGCCCATCGATGCCGGAAAATCCGGATTGGACCCCGGCTGATACTAGCTGGCCGAGAGCCCAGCAGAGATTGACGTAGATAGCGAGATACCCCCGGAGAGCCATCGGGCAGACCTCGGAGGCGTAGGCCGGCGCCATGGTGGCGAACACTCCCCACGGTATGCCGCATAAGAACTGGCCAACCAGAAGCACTGGGAGGCTAGGAGAGAAGAACGAGATGAAAATGAAGGCGCAGATAGCTATGAGGGATGCTAGGAGAACCTTGCGATATCCAAAATGATGGGTAAAATAGCCATTGGCAAAGGCCCCGATGATTGTGCCCACGCTCACAGCGTTGGTGAGTCCGTTTTGCCATGATGCTGTGATCTGAAAAGAACCTGTACTTTCGATATATTGTCCGTACTTCTGGCGGAAGGAAGGTTGCGCAAAGAAGGATTGAATAAGAACAATATCATATCCCTCCATGATGATAGAAGTCGAAACAAGAATAGACCATAGGGCAGCTTTAGGGTATCGGCGAATAGCATCAACGAGACCGAGTTTATGCTCTTCCTCGGCGGCCTGCCTGGCGAGCCCAATTTCCTTAGCGTCAAAGTGATAACTTGCCGGCATGTATTCATGTTCGCCGACCTCGAGTTTGGCTTCCTTAAGTGCAGGTCCCATTGTCGCGCTCCCTTCTAAAAAGTAAGAGATAAAAAGATTGATTTTAAACCTGAGATGAACTAATTTCGAAAAGTGGATAAGAAGATAGAATAGAAGCATCAGTCTACAGACAATTGCTTCAGGGAATCCAAGAGGACTAGTGGGGGTTTAAATGGGCTTGCCATAATATGATGGTCGCTGTTGATAGCCTTCCTTTTTCCCTTGACATGCCCGACTAGAGGATTCTCCGTTCACCCATCGCGATTTGGATCGGGCTAGCTAAACAAAAACATGCCAGCGAATATGTGAGCTGGACCTGCTGGGTCCGAACCCCCACAGGAGGACCCCATCGGATTGCTTCGTTTCGACCCACCCCCACCGGAGCGTGGTCTTGTAGTGGTCTCAGCGTCGCGAGGACTCCGCAGCCCCCTCATAGCCAATGAACGCCATAGACGGCTCTGCCTTGTTTGTTAGTTGAAGGGACATCAGCCAAACAAATCATAGCTGTATACCTAATGTTCTTCAAAGGCATAGCACTATTACCTACACCCATTTGCTAGGAACGTGGAATTGTAGCTGTCCACTATAACTCGACGCTGTTCTTAAGATGAAGGTTGAGGGGGTCTGTTAAACCGTCTTTAGTCTCTATGTGATCTAGATGCTCGGAGCTACGTTATTGACAAATGCTAAAGGATAAGCAAGAATCGGAACGCCATCGATCCCCTATTCTTGTGACAGGCGCAACTCCTCGCCTGACTCTAGCTGGCCGGATTGAAATGGCGGGGAAAGCGGGGGCGGGGCTGCCGTTGCTCCGCAAGTAGCAGTTGCGGATTGATTTTCTGGGGGTGGATCGTTTCACAAGACTTCACAGCAGCCCTTCCCCGCGGGGATTGGGTCGGATAAATCGCGGATTCCGTAGCGTGTCGCGCGCATATTTCAACGCTGATGGCTCCCTAGGTCTTATGGAGGATGTGCCAGGGAGAAAGTTCTACGTAAGATAAGTGGCTAATTTTAATATTAGTTTTATTAGAGGGGCATCTTGTCACGTTCGCTATCTGGAAAATACCTATGCGTTTAGTAGCACAACCCACAGAAACTGAAGGTTCACAGGTCCATCCCCAGGTCTAATAATATCTAAAATAAGCTGACTACCTCTTCTGACCTCTCACGTCCATGTTCTAAGTTCCCAGGATCCACTTGCAGGGAGGATATCGTCTCCTAAGCTACAAAACACGTGACATGATGGAGCTTACTTGGTATTATTGATATTGTTAACTTTTAAAATTCAACTATTATTACCTCAGGTACACTTCTAAGTATTCGCGCTCCTCATTCCTCAGCATAAAAAAGCGGGCGTAAAACAGCGACGTGCGCCCAAATAGACCCGCGTAACGGCGTAACTGCAGATTTAATGTCTGGCGCCTCAGGGAAACTTCGTCGCGATGGCTCTGCCGTCAGCTCATCCCCAGAAACCTCAATCGCGATGCAATGTAGCAAGTGCAGTGTCGTGTTCAGTCGGCAGGAGCATCTAGCGCGCCATATGCGATCCCATACGAATGAAAAACCATTTGTATGTGCCGAGTGCGGGAAGAGATTTAGCCGCGTGTAAGATAACCGTAACCCTATCTCCCTATTCATTTGTTGTGGCCCACGCTTGATGGGTAGGCGAAAAGGTCGCTAACGCCTTTGCTCTCCCTGAACTAAGTGATGTTCTACATCGACATGCTATTGCCCACATCGAAAGTAGGGTAAATTTATCGCTCGCGAGTGGCGCGTTTCCCCGAGCTTGTAAGGAATGTGCAACAAGCCGTGTCCGGTGCCTTAGAGGGTCTCCATGCAAGCGCTGCCGTGAGAAAGGTCTCCATTGCTCATACCCGCCCTTGCGAAAGCGAAAGGCCTCACAAGAACCTGATGGAGGCAATAACCAGGCCATTGCTGGGACACCCACGCCCTCACAGCTCGAGCAGTTACGAACAATAGTTAGTCTAGGTCCATCAATCGAAGCAAGTGACTGGGACCGGGTATTGCCAGAAAGTGGACTCCCGACACCAAACGTGACAATCGACCTCCCCGAAACCATCCAGCACACCGAGGTCGAACAAGCCTCACCCTGGATACAGCCCGCGCTAGAATCGCGGGAGGGGGCATATTTCTTCCTGATCACCCGTGGAAAGCTGCCGAGGAGCCTCCTCTACCAGGTCATTTTAACAGCGCCCACGTCGCCCCCAGCGAACTCCCAAATTATAACATCACAGCCTTCTCCTACAATTGGCTATCTCCTGAAGATCATACAAGTATGGAGTGGGCAGACGAAGCTTCACTTTTGGAAGCAATGGTGGCGATTGCGAACCACCAATTGCACCATGTATTGACAGTTCCAACGGGGCAGAGGAGGGCTGGGTGTGGCCGGCATCGCTTCCTGGCTTTAGCCCAACAGTTGATGTCATATCGCCTATACCCAATCCGTTTACTTCTATTCAGCAGTGCTCTGGTTCTGTCATATCAACGGACAGTCGGTCAGAGGTGGGCAATGCCACATCCGCTACATCTACTTCGAGTAACGCGACGTTATATGTTGAGGGTGACGCCGGGAGAGCCCCTTTTAGAGCTCGCGCAATCCGCCGCCATCCTGGTAGGACCAAATCGGGGGCCAACGTTAGCAGCTCGGGAATATCCTATACTAGGGCGACTGAAACGCAGACCGAGGCCCAGGTATCAGCTAAAAGTTTCTTGCCGTCCGATGCAGTGGAAAATCTCATCAAGCAAGTGAAGGATGGTATCGCGCTCGCGGAAGACTCATCCCTTAACTCCTGCTTATGCCCATCTCAAGTCCAGATGCAAAGGTTTTTGGCTTATACTTCCGCTGCTTTCATCCCGCATTCCCTTTCCTATATCGGGACGCTCAATTCTATGTGCCACCCCAGCGCTGGGTCATTCTGCTCGCTCTATGTGCAATTGGCTCTCGGTACGCCGAAGACAGCGCTGATGCTGGAGTCGGGCTGTCGTTATTCAAGCTACTCGACCGTACCCTGGCCTCGCTTTTCACACAGACTTCGTTCAGCAGCCTCTCCCTACCTTGGGCTAATCGCACCCGTAAGCCGGCTAAGGAAGAGGAACCTCTACTCCTCCTCCAGGCGGTGACCCTACACTTGGTTTGGAAAACCCATAGCGGCGATCAACAAGCAATGCACGATTCATTAACAGACCGCTACAGACTCGTCGAAGCTTGTCGAACCTTAGGGCTGCTGTCAGCTGAAATGCCCGACCTAATACTGATTCAGGATAGCCCTAATTCTAGCCCTCTTGCACGACTCCCATCGTTCCATGATGAATTACGGATCAGGACTGGCTTGATGATTTGGGTAAGTAAAGTCTTAAAACGGTAGAAATTCCGACACCTTGATCTGCTCATACTTTAGCTTTAGCTACTTGACGGGATTTTCGGGCTAGAGTTTGGGTCACCTTCCCTCCTAAAACTCGACGATGCACGCACTGCTTTGCCCTGTGAAGATATAGTTTGGCGTAATTTCTTAGAAGAGGACTTCGAGATTCCAGAACTACCATCTAGTAAGTTTGATAGTACCCCGGGCATTTATAGAGCAGTAGCGACCTATGGGGGAGTGATTGCTAATGCACCACCTCAGCGAACATCTCAGACGCAGTAGAAATGCTGTATATGGAGAAGAGGCTCGCGCCTAATGTGGACGATTTTGGTGCAATTCTACTTGTTTATGCTATCTGCCGAAGGACCCAGGAGGCCTTTTCGTATCACCAAGTCAACATAGCATCGTGGGTACCACAAGCGACCACTCAACCGCGCACAATGCTTAGGCCGAAGGAGGACACCTGGCCACCCTCCTTACCTATACTCTCAAGGTGGCGTAATAGTGCCTGCGACTGCTTAGACATCCTCCATTGGCATATCAATTCCATCAGCGCCAAAGCCGGAGGGTGGGAACCCCGGCAACATTCCATCTACACCTTTCGCGATTGATCTTACTCTCCCCAACAGAGGCACTCCAATCTCTTACAGCACCATCCTCAACATCGCAACATCCACAGAATGAGTTACATGTTGTTGCAGCTAATAAACTACGCAGTACCGTTTTAAGGTGGGCTATCGAAGACTGGTTCAAGGCTCGATTAGCCGTCATTCACGCCGGGGCACTTTTCTGGCATGTTCGAAGATATGCCGTCAACTCCTTCCTTGAACCGTTTGGTATCTTCCTCTCCACCCTAGTATTGTGGGCTTATAGCACATCGGTTCACTTTTTCGAGGAGTTACAAACACGTGAGACTGGTCAGCAGGGTAAAGGCCAAGCTATTCCCGGCAGCACTATCAAAAGCTCTAAGAGTGCACCTATCATAAGAAGTGAGGCATCGGACCACAGCATAATGTATGAGGAAGATTCCATACCGTTGTTCTTCTACATTGACCGGCCGTGCGATGATGAAATTGTTCAAGCGTTCGTCAGACAAGGGGAGAAAATGTCCGGCCACTTGACACACATTGGTAGTATCTGTCATTCCGGTGCACCGAGGAAGATCCTAGAACAGGGGACGCAACTACTTCGTCAGCACACCGCGGGCAGAGCTGCAAATTCCGAGCACTCGGACCGGGGCCCCTTTGTTTGGGGCATTGCGGCTAGCTTCCTTGAAGCTCTACGCGGTTTAAAAAAGGAATGCCGAATTAAATAGCCATGGCCGCCGGGTCAGAAGAACACGCGTGACGAACCTTTATTTACACCTTTGCAGACACTTCCGGTGGTGGATGCCTCCCACCACAATTGCCAATCCCATGACCCCACCCCCACCGGAATGTGGTACAGCACCCGCCACCATCAAAGACTATGCGTAGTAGACATTAAGCAGGACTGAGCGATACGACTCTCTTAAGTATTAGTAGAAGGTCCCTTTATAACCTTACTGACATTCATAAATCTTTACTCCTCTGCATAGCCCCTAATTAATTTACAGAACTCTCAGTTAGCCTTTTACCTTACACTATCATCACGACCAAATTCTTCACATCCCCCTTCCGACAGAATGTTATGTCAAGAAGATAACCGCGTCGTCTTCAAGTATGACAGCGAAACTCTTTGGGTTGAACCATGGGGCCCTAATGCTTTTAGGGTCCGAGCCTTCAAGTCCAGCATCTTACCTTATGAAATACAAGCCTTAAGCCTCGCCCCGCCTATAACCCACAGTCCGGAGATACACAGTACCCCGGAAGGCGTTGCAATCACCCATGGGAAGATCAAGGCAACTATAACTAACAGAGGTAAACTGACCCTCGTTAACTCGCAGTCAAACGCCGTCATTCTCGAGGAATACTCAAGAAACCGTCATGACCTACTCGATGAAAAGTGCAGCGCGTTAGAGATTCAAGCTCGAGAATTTAAGCCAATCGTTGGTGGGGACTACCATGTCACTACGCGATTTGAGAGCCAGGATCCCAACGAAAAGATTTTTGGGATGGGTCAATACCAACACCCTTACCTTGATTTGAAGGGGCTAGATATTGAGCTTGCGCATAGGAATTCCCAAGCAACCGTGCCCTTCGCTCTGTCATCTCGGGGGTACGGATTTCTTTGGAATAACCCTGCCATCGGGCGCGCTGTATTTGGAAAGAACATCATGAGCTTCGAGGCTTACGCCACAACAGCGATCGACTATTGGATCTATGCTGGTGACCGCCCCGCTGAGATTGTCGAGGCCTACATGGCCGTCACTGGAAAACCACCAATGATGCCTGAATACGGATTAGGTTTCTGGCAGTGTAAGCTTCGGTATGAAAGTCAAGAAGAATTGCTCCGAGTTGCGAGGGAATACCGCCAGCGGCAACTCCCGATCGACGTTATCGTGGTTGACTTTTTCATTGGCCAATGCAAGGAGAATGGAAATTTGACCCCAAGTATTGGCCAGATCCTAGTATGTGCAATAGATCGTCCCACCGCATGACGAACTGAGCTTGTGGAGACCTAACAACCGTCATAGGTTCTATGGTGCAGGAGTTAAAGTCTCTCGGAATCGAGTTGATGGTTTCTATCTGGCCGACAGTCGATAAGCGATCAGAAAATTTTAGTGAAATGGTCGAAAAGGGCTTGCTTATACGCACCGAGCGAGGCATACGAACTAGCTTCGACTTTGAAGGGCAAACGCTCTATTACGATACCACTAACTCACAAGCGCGGGACTTCGTTTGGGCTAAAGTAAAGGATAATTACTACTCTCACGGTATCAAAACCTTTTGGCTAGACCAAGCTGAGCCCGAATTCTCTGCCTACGACTTCGACAACTATCGCTACCATCAGGGCCCGGCCTTAAAGGTTGGAAATATTTATCCCCGCGAGTATGCACGAACATTCTATGAGGGCATGAAGAAAGTAGGTGGTAGCGATTCTATTGTGAACTTACTTCGCTGTGCTTGGATCGGTAGCCAAAAGTATGGGGCTCTTGTTTGGAGCGGGGATATTGCCTCGTCGTGGCCAAGTTTCCGGAATCAACTAGCGGCCGGCCTAAATATGGGCATGGCTGGGTTGCCCTGGTGGACTACAGATATTGGCGGCTTCCACGGAGGTGATCCGGAGGATAGTGGCTTTCGCGAGCTCTTTATCAGATGGTTTCAATGGGGCGCCTTCTGCCCGGTTATGCGCCTCCATGGGGATCGGGAGCCAAAACGCGGTGTGCATACATCGAGCAGTGGGGCAGACAACGAGGTCTGGTCCTACGGTCCAGAGGCTTACGAGATATGTAAGAAGTATCTCTTGATCCGGGAATCATTGCGACCATACACGAGGCGTCTCATGGAAGAGGCCCACATCCGGGGCTCACCTGTTATAAGGACGTTGTTCTATGAATTCCCCGATGATGAGAATTGTTGGGAAATTACTGACCAATATATGTATGGGGATGTATACCTTTGTTGCCCCGTCCTCAATCCTGGAGCAACGAGTATAGCAGTCTACCTACCTTGTCTCGGAGCCGGGGAATCATGGATAGACTTCTATGATGAAACTAAGATATTTTTAGGTGGCGTAACTTTACAAATCAGTTGTTCACTTGAGTTTATGCCGGTATTTAAGAGGCAGAAATCGGCATAAAACCATGTAATGATATTACTGTTAGAATAGAAACGCTTTAGAATATCATTGATATCATTTCTAGTATATCACTAATTTCGATAGAGGGAGGGGGTATAAGCCTAATTTGAATGTTAGAACACTTAGTAAGATCTACTTTATGATCGCTCGCTTAGGCGAAGGGATGATTTCAATCCCGAATTCGTAATCACACCGAGGTTAGAAAGCTAGTAGACCTGTTCGATCATCTCTTCCCATAAATCGCGGGTTCTCGGTGTGTTCGTCCGCCAGCCATTTGATTGCCACTTCTTGATAGACCTAGTTATTATGTTAACGACGGAAGCTGAATCAGACTTGATTACAATATGACTGGGCGGAGCGACCCGTATGCAGATCTACACTCCTACTATCCGCCTTTGACTGCATACCGCTCGCTTCGAAGCAAATACGTCGCCTAATACAGCATGCAGCTCGGCCTGATGGCTCGTATGTGCGTATCCAGGTTTATTTCTGACCCGGTAGTATCTATTTTATTAGTTAGCATTATATTCTGCTTCTAGGGGCCTAAAATATACCCCACAGGCTGAACCCATTACCCGGGCATGCCCCATCTACGGCGACGATTATTCAATGTAGATAGTATACAGACCGGCCGTAGAAATTTACGTCCCCCGTGACCTAACTATTGATAGCTTTACCTCGGTACTAAGGTAGAAATTTAGAATAGGGCTTAGTATAGTTACATAATACTATCTAGGAACACGATATAAGACCTGATATAGTAGACTAAAGGTATATACCGGGGATAGGTTACCACACTTTACACATTCCCTGATAGTAGTAGATTAAAACAACGTGCGAACAGTTAGGAATCTTATCTACTAACACTATACTCTATGCTAGGCGGTAGGAGGTACCTCTTTCCCAAATGGCTTAAAATCCGGTGTGTCTCTGCCTGCAGCCCCACATGCAAACCTTACCAGATAGTCCTCTGATGATCCATCACCATTAACTATAACTTGGCCAGTTGGCGCCAAGACTGTAACAGCAAATTTATAGTCCCCTTGACCATTCGCCCATAGAATCCGAAAGGGTATATATGTTCCCTTCTGAAGAAAAATAGTAAACTCTATATCTGTCCCTGTATGCGCGTGTGTGTATAATTGCTCTACATCCGAGTTGGCCTTTGTGTAGCCGAGGTAAGCTTTATCCCCAAACCAGACATAAGTAACTTCATCAGAAGTTGGAATTAGGACACTATAGTTCCCGCTGATTGGCGCGTAGAGGTACGCCCGATGATTTACTGCAACACTTTGGAATGGCATCGCAGGGGCATCATCGTAAATCTGGAAAGGACCTGTAGAGGTTCTCGTGCCATTGATGCCAATTCGATTAGTAACGCCTGTATGGAGTGTAGTTTCGTTCCAAAATGTGCTAACTCTGAAGGAACTATAAATAGGAGGGTCGCTATTATAGTACTTGTTTCTGTAAATTGCATATTCCACCCCTTTATTATTACAATTCGTAGGAGTTGGGAGATCTGATAAAGTTGATGATGGTTTTTGGGTGCTGGAGCTCGACTTGATAGTGCTTGACGATAGCGTAGTAGAGGGTGTTTTTGAGGACGTCGACATCTTGGTAGAGGATGATTTTAACGAGGTTAATGTCGTGGTAGAGGATTGTTTTGTAGAGGTCGATGTTATAGTAGACGATGACTTCGAAGATTTCGATGTTGTCGAGGATGACTTTAGCGACGTCGACGTTGTACCAGAGGACGACTTCGAAAATTCCGATGTTGCCGTCGAGGATGACTTCATAGAGGTTGATGTCGTGCTAGAGGGTGGGTCTACCCTTGGTAGTGTATTACTCGTAGAGCTGATAGAGTTATTAGGGGTGCTAGTGGAGCTTCCTAGGCTTGAAGATGAACTCTTATCCGTCGTGAAAGTTATCACGAAGGGAGTAGGCGACTCCGTAGAAGTAGATGGCTCCTGTGTAGTTGATGGTTCCTCAGTTTTTGATGGCTCCTCAGGGCTTGACAGGTCCTGAGTACTAGATGGAGCCTCAGAACTAGATGGCTCCTGTGTAGTTGATGGCTCCTGTGTATTTGATGGTTCCTCAGTCTTTGATGGCTCCTCAGAGCTTGATAGGTCCTGAGTGCTAGATGGCTCTTCTGTAGGCGACGATTCTTCAGTCGTCGATGGCACCTCAGAACTCGCTGGCTCCTCGGAGGTCAATTTGCTCCGAGAGCTACTAGAGCCATCCGAACTACTCTTTGAACTTTCAGAACTTTGCTTTTGGGTCACCAGTGATGTGGATGACTGGGTCGAGGACGATAAATCCGAGGAGGGCTCGACGTAGTTTGATGGTGTCAATACTCTGATGATCCCAGATTCGCTGTGAGCGCTTATGCTACTGCGAAAGGTAACTAGAGCAGTTGGTGAGCTGGAAACTACTCTGGGCCCCTCGCTCGGGCTCCGTGTCGGTTGCAATGTGCTTGCCTGTTGCGAGGTGCGTTTTGGGGGCACCATAGCCTCGGACTAGTAACTATGTTAGGACAGCCACCTTCCTTTAGTATGAATGATACTCGCATATACTGACATTATAGTCGTATACCTAGTGGAAGTAAGTGTGACCTCGGTCTGCAGAGTCACGGGTGCGTTTGTGACGGTCAAATACACGTCATCAATAAAAGAGTATTTGCCATTCCGTGAATAATAGGCCTCGACGCTGAGGGGTTGATACTGGATTTGAACTGGAAAGACACTCTTGACCGTATTAACTGCGCTAGAGCCATGGTTCTCTAGTTGAAGAGCCCCACCTAGCCTAAGAAAGAATAACAATATTGCTAGAGCTTGCTTGGTTCTTTGGTCGAACATTATTAATGTGGAATAGATAGTCGCCTTAATTTGAATTGATGAAAAGCTAGATATCAGTGCTCTGAGTCGGGGGAATGTGAAATGAGTAAAGGGAGTTCAAGTCTAGATATACTAAAGCTTCCTGTATATCAGGCCCCATTTTACTCTCATCTACCATAGTTGAGGCTTTGCCGACTAAGCGAAAAGGGTTAACGAATCATTATCCGGCTACAAGTGTTCATAAAGGGAAGTCGGCGAACTATTATGCGCCTACCCCACGAGGGTCTATGATTAGGAGTTAATGAATCATTACGGTCAGCTAGGAAATCTCGATAGAATTCCCCTATGCCGCCTCTATAGAACACTACTTGTTGGAATAGGACGATCTCTGCTGTACCCCTTGCCCTCTTCATCGCGGGCTAGCGACCTTTGTGAGCTACTGGGAAAAGGTTGCCGAAACAGTCTTTACTCGGTCAAAATGAATGATTCAAGAGCCCCTTTGCGACAGTCCCATTCTAGCTATCTTACATGACCGCCACGAATAAGTGAATATACAATTAAACTCGTTCACTCTTACGTTTTAGCTAGGCAGGCCTCTATGATAAGGTATAAATCAGTCGAAAGTAGGACATGCGAGCGGGGTCTTTAAGACTCAGGTGCTATCCTGCCAGGCATCTTAAGGACCGTGGGGCTAAGTCAGGTAAGAGGATACCCTCCACAAATATAAGCAGTATAAAAGACTAACATGTATGTCTAGCCGGGTCCTCTGATGCTTTTATTACCCCGCTCCGTAAGTGAAATGCCCGGTCGAACGGGTTCACAGCGGTCGCTAACATAAATGTTAAGACACCAATCGGCGGTATCAAAATGAGACATAAAGGGTTAATCAGGTAACACACACCTCTTTCCTATATCCAATCAAATTTAAGTACTAGGTTAGTCCCTCGGTACCTGCTCCGTCGTTGAAGGAGTACCGAGGTACTTCAAAGGAAGATGATAAAAGGTTTACTGCCTGTCTCATATAGGTGCTGGTTACTCTAATTTTATTTTTATACCTTGCCTTAGGAGCTTACTGCCTTGTCTCACTCTGACAATACGCTAAAAGCTTAATTTCAGCATGCTATAGAAGCCGAAACGAGAAAAGATAAGGCCTAAAACAATATTTGTAATTCACTCTATAGAAGGCTAGATGCTGTGTAGCAACTCAGCAGGGTGATGAAAGAAACACAGGAGCTAGACGCCTTTCATTACTCTGAGAACATTATGATCTTACTCTATATGATGCGATAGAATAATAGCTATCATGTCTAACAGGGTGTCAGCTTCTATTCTGTAATATATGTGTGATGGGTTTCTCATCTGAGAGTCTTAAGAGCTAATGTACTTACCCAAGGTATGGTTTTCGGAAGATTGAGCTCGAGCGCCTCATTATTCGTTTAGCGGCGAGAAGATACACCTTAGTAGGACCACGTCGAAACGGAGGAACAGTGCCTGGCCCGCTTCTGAGTGAAATACTGTGCTCAGTTGTGGGTATCTGATCATAATGAGACAGAGGAGAGTGGCTCGTTGCACCCGACAAGGACTGTCCCTGATTTAAAGTACACATTGTCAAATCTAGTAGGGAGAGTGTTGATAAGGAACGGAATAGCATTGCATCTAACCCGTCTAATATATTAAAAGCTTTGTTGACCATACTGAACCCCGGACTAGGACGCAATGCGACGCTATTAGAATTGTATATACATAATGGTACCTCGAGAGGTATCACACGAAATATACACCTTGTGATAGGAGATGTAACGCCTTCAAGTTCTAGAATTTCAATGGATAATTACAACACTAGAATATACAACAGGTAGCCAGCCGTATGACCACTGCGCTGTTGACCCCATAGTGGATAAGGTGTGTTAAGCTCCCGGCGGTAGTTCAACCGAATTCTTAGGGTTGACCTATATTCTTACAAGTAAACGCGAAAGAGAGCCCGACGAGCCCCTGTGATTCCCAAAGAGGTGATGCCTAAGTCGAGGGTTTTCTGACGTTGCTCGCTAAGAAGCGTGAGGAATTTGCTGCGAGCGATAAGATGGCGGGTAGGCTGAGCTCGATGACTAGTAGTCGCCGCGGCTGCCTTGGGGCTTGATGGCTCCGTCTCCCCAAGGTGTAGCGAGTAATTCAGGTCCACGAGGTCCATGAGGTGGGCATGCACAAGGCCAAGAAGACACTTCTGGTGCAGTACGGGAGGTGACTATCATCTTGACTGGCACCTCTTCCGCTCCGGGAATTCTAGGTAATCCGTTGGCTTCGCCGAACTCCCTGAGCCTGATTTTGGCGGCTTCTTAAAGCGGTCACGGGGTCGCCTGATTCCGCACCCTGTTGTCAGGGTCTGAGTCTTCACGGTAATTGCCTCGATATTGAACCGCATAATCATTACCAGAGCAGATCCTCCTCAATTTCTTAGGGCGTACATGTTGAAGTGGGTTTTACCCTATAAAGATCACATGTTCTGGTATAAGAATATGGGTAATATTATCCTATTTTTGCACTTGCTCTAGTGGTTCACACCGTCTGACAGTACAGATCTATCGGAGCTCGGGCAAGTGGATGGCTCATAGGGGACAGGGGAACGCTTCCTGTCTATTAGAGGTCTAAAGAGGCTTATATCCTGTCAACAGATATTTGTCGAGTGCTGAAGGTTGAAATTGGTTCCCTACTTATATTCTTGAATCTTCTCCTCACCTTATCGAATCCTCTCCTCCCCGGGGAGTTTCTGCTGATGTATATACTGTTCTTCGTCTTTTTTTCGAGCTTCCCCATAAAGAGAAGATCGGGTCAAGAACGATAACATCAAACAAAAAACAATTTCAGAGCCACCATGACGTTCCCTCCCTTCACAGTCACGTGATGCAATTGTTGCTTGCTACATCTTTGGCAAGGAAACATGACTTGACTGAAAGTTGCGTTGCTGACTATATATGATATGACTTGACTTTTCGCAATAACCTGACTTACTAAAATCCTCTCTAATTAGCTAAAATCATTAGTTAGTGAGATTACTAAGCAAGATAATAAAGGACTATTATATAGTAATAAGATGAGAAATCTTTAAATAAATCTTTAAAAATTAAGGAAATATTAGAAATATTATAGAAATATTATAGGAATATAATTGTTAGGCCAACGGAGGTCGCCACCTGGCTGGCAGCGCAAAGAGACGATGGACGGGATCCAGTGCCCGTCGCTGTCGTAGTCTGAGTCATGTGGGCACGCCCCACAAGCTTACGATTCTGACCCGCCAGGAACCACGACCTTGGCACCAGCTCGTAATCCTAGCTTAGTCAGTGAACACTGATAAGTAAGCAAGAGCTACCCTTCCTCGTGAGCTATCCTTGAAGATAGTGATCACAAGCAGAACCAAGGGTAAGCGATTACAAGCAGTGGACAAGGGTAGACTAGATATAAAAGGGAAGGAATCCCTTACTAGCTAGAGAGAAGAAACCAACCCTTTTACTACCTTATATCAGATACTATAGCTTCCATCGTGACTATTGTATCTTGTAAGAAAGTGATACCTAGCGACCCTTGAGGATTGGTAACCCTCGCAGCGACCGAGTGATCACACGATCACTCCAGAGATACCACTATCTCTCCAACGGCTTCCTGACAGCTCGGTTGTCAGCAAGCCAGTTGGCACGACCTTTGTCGTAACAATAATAGAAATATTAAAGAAATATTAAAAATATTAAAGAAATATTAAAAATATTAAAAAAATATTAAAAATATTAAAGAACTATTAAAAATATTAAAGAAATATTAAAAATATTAAAGAAATATTAAGGAAATATTACAAATATTAAAGAAATATTAAGAAAATATTAAGGAAATATTAGAAATATTGAAGAAATATTAGTACCCTAGTATTTCTAAAGTAGTTCTAAACCCTTTCTAAATTGGTTCTAAACCCTTTCCAAATTAGTTCTAAACTCTTTCTAAACTTAATAAAGGGAAATCTTTTTTTCTTTTTTATAGAAAATAATTATTTAATTATCTTAATGATATCTTTTTCTTTTTTTCTTAATTTCTACTAATTTTCTTTTAGTTATTTTAGTTATTTTCTTAAGAAGGTACGCTATATTTGCGAAAAGTCAAGTCATATCATGTACAGTCAGCAACGCAACTTTCAGTCAAGTCATGTTTCCTCTCCAAAGATGTGTCGGCTTATGTGAGTACCCCCTTGAGGCCTGCGGCGTGCTGCTCCCACTATCCCTAGGTTATATCACGCTTCCTCTCAGCAATATGATAGCATGGGTGAAAATGAAATGAGTATGGAAGTCACGAAGCGACAAAGAAAAGGAGCAGACGGCTTTAGTAGCACCGCTCGGAATTTTCTGGCCAGAAGGGGCCTTAGCCCGAAAATGTCATCCCCTGACATTGTCGAACGGGTGTCTTACAAGCACGTGCTGGCCGGAGAGCGCTCTGATGCCTAGAAACTACGACTGAAATCTACCTTGGTAATAGCATAGCAGTTACGCTCTTACTAAGCCATCCACCTTGAGTTTTCCGCCCTCAGTTCCCCTCGCCGCGACCTTGAACGTTCTCGAGTCCCTAGGATGAAATGCACTAAAATAATCCACATACCCCATGTCCTCTGGTCCGACATCGTACGCGACGAGGTTATCGAACCTGCGGAATATGGTACCGAGGGTGACAAAGAGCTCAGACATGGCCAGGTTCTGGCCGATGCACAGGCGTGAGCCGCGAGAGAATGGGATGAGGCACTTTTCGCCGGCGCGGCATTGGTCGGGGTCGAGCCAGCGCTCCGGGTTGAAAACGTCTGGATTGGTGTAAACTATAGGGTTACGGTGCATCATCCAGGAGCTCATACCGACGATGGACTTTCGACAATTAGAGGCGGTAGACGCAAGAGAGATTAGCAGTTATACGGTAGGGAAACGGCGAGAGAAGGGGTGGTAGGAAGTGACGTACCCTGGCCGCTATGTAATGGCTATGGAAAATAGCACCGCCCTCAGGCGTGGTACGAGGAAGTCGACCGATGACGCCAAAAGAGAGCCTTCGCGTGAGTTAGATTTCCGGCGATATATTGACCGTGTTAAGTTTGACTTTTGACTTACCGCTGGCCTTCTTCAACGACACTCGTTAAATAGGGTAGTTTCTCTAGCTTTGCCAAGCTCAATTCCTCATGTGGATCCGGGAACGCCTTGGCAAGCTCCTCATGAAGTCGCTTATAAATCCGTGGACTCGTGACAACATGATAGATGGACATCTCGATTGCGTTACCCGTAGTATCAGCGGCCGCAGTAGTGAAACTGAGGGCTTCACCAGCGAGGTACGTAACAGTCGCGGTCCCAGATTGTCCGTTCCCGGGTTCTTAGATTCAAGAATCTCGTGAAAAATAGTTTGTCGGCTAGGCTTGATCCCAGCATCAAACTGGTCCTTGACCTTCAAGACGTACTCCCGCGCCCTCTGCACACAATCCATCCAACCGTCCATCGCGGGGCCATCGCGGGGCTCATCTTCCTCGCCCAGTCTTCCGGCAAAGCTTGTATCGGACCTTGTAAGAAAGGAAACTGCTGGAACGTCCACCACATGATACCTGTATCCATCAACGCATCCGATAACCACGAACAAAATGTTGGGTCGTCCAAATGATCCCAACAGTCGTCGAATGCGTACTCTGTAATAACATCAACTGAGATAGCGCGGCTTCGCGCACGGAGGTCTATAGCGTCACCCTCGTCCAGCGTCTTTTGGATGCGTTGACAGAGTTTGTCAATTTTGGCCTGCACGAGTCCCTCTAAGTCAAAGACGGCACGTCGTGAGAAAAATGACCCATTGGGGAACGTAACCGGCGGTGTTGCTCGTTGGATTCGGCGCTAAACATGACTTCGATGCCAAGCGCACCGTAGAGATTGGCCTTTTTATAAAACTTGCTGCCAACGTTATAGATCACATCATAGTTTTCAGGGTCGGAAAGATCCGGATGCGGGGGAACTTACTACTAACAGCGTACGGAATATATATAAAGCACTTAGTGGATGTAAGAGTTGCGATGCCATTGTATACGCGGTTTTACAAGCGGCAGAGAGTGGAGGGTGACGGATACTAGCGCATAGTAATCATCAATACTAAATAATTCTAGAGCCATATACGTAAGAACGTGTAAAAGAATTCATGGAAGCTTTGTCGTCATAACGCGAAACAAACGCGTTTTATTGGATCTATTCAACCTTTTACTTTAAACTTAAAAACTACTACCCCGTCGAATTTGGCGTAGACCCTTGAAAAAAGCGGTTCTCCGGCCGAGGTAGGCCCAAATGTTCTCGCAGGGTGGTTCCCTCGTAATCTTGACGAAAGAGCCCCGCCGCTGGAGCTCTGGCACTAGACGCCGCGCAACATCCTCGATTCCCTGCGGTACAAAGGGGAAAACGACCGTGAAACCGTCAGAAGCAGACTCGGCTAACCACTGCCCAAGTTCCTCCGCGACGGACCCGGGGTGCCAACAAAAGCGAGGCCGGAATATCCCCGTAGCGCTGGGCGAGCTGCCTCACAGTCAATCCCTCCTCGGCAGCGAGCTTGAGCGCGCTCTCTCGCGCTGACTTACTCCCATTTGTTTCTGGGAGATTGAAAGGGAGAGATTGGTCCGGCTCGAAGCCCGAAGCGTCCGTTCCGAGAACGACGGAGAGTGATGCAATGGCACTATCGTAATGAACTAGGCTATCTAGGTGCAGGCGCTTACTCTTAGCCTCCTCGATGGTGTCGCCAATGATGATGAGAGCAGCTGGCAGAATCTTGAGGTGATCAGGATTCCTTCCAGCTCTAGCAGAACGTCCTTTGATATCCGCATATAGGTCTTTCGCCGATTGGATATCTCGGGGTGAGCAAAACACGAGTTCGGCCGTCTCGGCGGCCAACTGTCTCCCAGGCTCGGACTGGCCAGCCTGTACGATGACAGGCCATCCCTGGACCGGCCGGGCGATATTTAGTGGGCCCCTAACGCTCAAGTCACCTCCTTTGTGGTTTAGGATGTGAAGCTTCTCGGGGTCGAAGAAGATGCCGGTCGCCTGGTCGCGCACGAAGGCATCATCGGCAAAACTGTCCCATAGCCCTGTCACGACGTCATAGAATTCCCTCGCCCTCTTATAGCGCTTGCTATGCTCGAGGTGCTCGTCGAAACCAAAGTTCTTAGATGACTCCGGGTTCCCTGTCGTCACGATGTTCCAGGCAGCGCGACCGTTGCTAATATGATCAAGAGAGGCAAAGCGGCGGGCGATATGGTACGGCTCGTCGTACGTGGTGGAGGCCGTGGCGGCGAGTCCGATGCGCTCAGTGACCTGCGAGAGCGCTGACAGCAGGGTAAAAGGCTCGAATGAGGTGACGGTATGACTCCGCTTGAGTGCCTCAGTTGGCATATTGAGCACAGCAAGATGGTCGGCCATGAAAAAGGCGTCAAACTTAGCTTCCTCGAGTGCTCTGATGAAGGATTTGAGGTGCGAGAGGTTAAAGTTGGCGTCGGGATACGAACCCGGGTATCGCCATGCACCCGTGTGTAAGCTCACTGGGCGCATAAACGCCGTAAGGTGAAGCTGCTTTGGTCGGCTCATAATGGTAGTGCGGGAATTGGTAAATTAGTTAGCCTGACACGTAAACCAGTGATTAAGAAGGAGGAGGAATTTTATGTGAGGAGAACCTCTCAAAACGCCCTCAATTGCGATACTACTTTGCTTTCTACCTCTTTATACACTTATCTATGCTTATGACCTGCGCAAGCAGTGGGGTGTGCGGGGAACATTCTTCGTCATCGCAGAGAGTTCGTGATTAGTGGTGGTTGATCACGACATCGCCTAGTTTGTGGGGAGCCGTGGAGATGCTTACATATCCGAAAATGCCTCTGCGAGCACGATTTATTCCACCGGCAGACGAAGTTGAGATGCCGATAAATATGTCTAGGCACGACTGAGATGGCGGGAAACTGACTATCACTAGTTGTCCGATCAATGCAAGGTAAAACCTCGCCTTTCGACACTCGGTCCAACAGAAACACACCTCCTGCTTTCCCGCTCAATACTCGTATTATTTAGCTCTCTCCCAAATATTCAGTACATCCTTCCTTCCGTAGATGCTTTGAATGATCTCCTAAAAATTACATGATCTATTCTTTCTGAGGCATCTTGTTTCTTCCTACCTAGCCGTTCCAATGAGCCAGGACTCTTTATAAAATTTTATAGGCTGCGATGTGCGTAGGCGTTACGTTACCCTTAGCTAATATCAATGTTCGACCCGCAAGGTCGATCCACATTTGTCAGAGACTTAACTGTCATTCTCAACTATTATATTCAACTATCTTTATTCAACCTCACTTAAAGACGGAGGTGTATTTTGGAGCTAACATACCACCACAGCACCGCCAGCAAGTAATTCGTTCAGGTGACGTTCTAAACAGCCTAGCTTTCTAGGCTAGACCACAGCATTAATCAGTGTAGGAGCGCAAGACTTGTAAAAATCCAATAGACCAGTTAACGCGGGCGGGTGTATACGCTGTAAACGGCAAGCTTCCTCACTAATGTCCCTCGCATCGCGGACAGTGGTTCTGGACTGGAATGATCGGGACAAACGGGCAGGGCCTGACATCCTAAGCGTCTTAAATTAGCATATATAGGTTAGGTATAAAACCAATAAATCATTTTCCTCATTCTAAAGTTGTCGTTACACGCCGAAAGCGTCGATATGTCTCGTGCGCCGTGTCATGGTGACATATTCAATTTGGGGTTACCCCTCCGGGTTGCGAGAGAAAGTATCTAGCGCGAAAGCACAGTTCGTCGTGTCCATCAAGGTGCTTCAGCTGCCGCATATAATTGCCCCGAATTTCCGATTCACAAGTGAACATATAACACGAAGGCTGTCCTCGTTGTTATCTTGTTCAGTCATATATCAATGATGATCCTAGCTGTTGTCTCATCCCTGACTAGAATCTCTGCCGCGGCAATTAACGAAATTCAAACACCATCATGGCACAAGCCGGGCCCGTTCCAATCGGGGCCGATGTGGTTACCGATTTCACCCCGTACCTAAATACCATTTTAAAGCGCCAAGAATCAGCCCACGTTGACAAGGTTGGATGGAAGTCGGAGGATCAGCGGTTGCATGCGAAAGGGTGCGGCCTTCGCTGCAGTCGAGAAGTGGCGTCGGGTGAGCGCAAGGAGGCGAACGCGGACGAGGAGCCGGCGAACTTGATAGGCACAATCGACATTCTCAGCTGCAGTGATCTCCCTTTCTCGCATCAGAGTATCCCGCCAATTGGAATCGGTGATGTTCCGATAGAACTCCTCCGCATCGTCTTTGACTATCTAGGAGACGAAGATAGGCCAAAGGACTACCAATCGGTGCGGGCTCTCAAAAACGCACGACTCACTTGTCGTCTTTTCGATGAACTTGCTGCGCCTCTCCTCTTCCGAAATTTGCAGCTTGCATTGGATGACGAATCGTTGAAAACGGTTGAAAGTATTTCACAACGCCCTCGACTTGCATCTGGTGTTCGAAACATCCAACTGCAGCTAGCTTATAGATCACAGGAGATGTCTGATAGCATAATCTTGTTCGCAAAGGCCAGGTTGCTTGATCTTGATGACCTCGCTGGATTCTGCCACTTTACACTTCAACGCTATCGCATGAGTTGCATTAGACCGTCTGATCACGCATCCCTAGACGCAATACAACGCTGCGAAGAAGCCATAAACAGTAACCATTACATTGCTCGAGCTTGGCAATCGATTATAAGCCCGACGCGCGAGGCTCCTGATTTTGTCAAAGACCCGAGGTATATTGCGGCTCACGAGATGATTTTGGAAGGCCATAAGAGATACCGAGTCAAACACGAAGAACAACGACGATTGATTGAGGAAGGGACGTTCATCCGTATCTTGACGGAGGCAGTCAAGCATATGCCGTTGGCCCGCCACGTGTATTTCAATGACAGACCTGAGCGACACCCCCGTCTGATCCTCAGTCTACAATTACCGACTCCGCAAAGCTGATGGAGATGCTGACCAAGGCTGAAAGTTGGGGCTTAACGGAGACGTTGCCTGGCCACGTGGTCGGTAAACTAATACCGGTATGGCTTTTGTCGCAAGTACCGATCGCCCTTCACGCGGCTGGGGTGTCTCCGATGACAATCAGTATTTCTTGCTTCCCCCTTCACGATAGTTTTTCAATGTTGTGTCCTGGAGGACCTGAAACCGCAGATTGGAACGCTCTTCGGCTGGCGTGCAGCAATGTGCGCGAATTTCAATTCGGCGGCGGCGTGGGGAATTTAAGTCATAGATGTGTGCGGCTCCAACATCCCGAGGAGAATGACCGAGGGCATGTGGACAGCTTCCTCAGCGCCGTGATGTCGAGCCCCTGCCTCCAAACAATCGATGTTACCATGCATGCCTTTGGTCTGAACGATGGCTCGAACGAAAGTGCCAACGAACTTTATCCGGCAGACTCCTGATTAGCGCAGTACAATCTAAAAGCGTCAAACGCGTCTGGCTGAGCGATATTGCGCTACTGTGTCCTAGCACATTAGAAAAATTTTGCGGCTTGCTTGACAGCAATTTGAGGACGCTGGCCCTATACTCTGTGCGCTTGGTCGAGGAAGCTGGGGAGGCATGCGCAACGTCATCCGTGACAGATTTGCCCCCAATACCAAAACTGGGAATGCGACCTAACCTTCAAGCGCCTTATAGGAGGAGAATACGGCATGTCAGGTCTTGGAAGATTATACGATCCTCATGCTCCCGGAGTCGATCACTTCTTATCGAAGGACTGGGCAACTTTGCCCAAGCAGGATAGTACCACGACTCTTTAAGGAAATGTAAAGTGTAGGATGGAAAGATAATAGACGTACCTATCCAAATTCTAGCTAGCACTGTGGGATGCTTCTTGCAACCGTTTTAGGCGTTGGCGAAAAAGAAAAAGCATTAGCTCTCACAGCTAGAGAATAATAGATCTCTTTCCACGAAACTATGTACAGTGTATATAAAATTGATCTAGCCGCACCGTATAGGATTAGTCTTGTTGCTCCCGATGAGAGTTGTAAATGCTCTAGATGGCTAATCTCTTATTTTATTTTCTGGTTTTCTATTTTCCCTTTGTATGGGCATTCAGTTCGGAGGGGTTAATACCTAGATTTACCAGGAGCGGAGATAAGAGAATCCTACCCACTTCGGGTATCCCACCCACGCTAAATCATCGCTCCGAAATCAAGCGTCAGATAACACCTACTCATGCCACACACCCGTGGCACGAGTAAGCCTGTCCGGGTCGGCTAAATTCAAGTGTTTCAGAGGGGCAAGACGTTTTTAGCGATATAGCTTACCATCGTTGAAACGCGTGAATCGATGGATCCCCTGGCGTTGGGGACCGCTGTAACTGGAACATAACTAACATTGCCACGTCTTGCTACACGACCTTATTTCTTCTCAATCCAACTCCGTCCGCGTAGCTTTTTGAGTCCATGAACCACCTTGAGTTATTCGGGCACTGTTGCTAAGCTTATAAAAAGGAGGGCATTTGCCATTTGGTCGCTGAAGAGGGATACCACGTAGAGTAACGTGGCTTCACCTAGGTCGCCAGTGATGGACGCGAGCAAGTATGAATGCGGCGTATGTGGACGCGCTTTCAAGAGAGTCGAACATTTGCATCGCCACGAGCTCTCCCATCAAGGTCAAAAACGATTTTCTTGTCCAGAATGTGGGAGGTTCTTTTCCCGGAGGTCAGGCTATCGTCGTATCTATCACCGGAGGTTTAAGGTGATGGTAAATGTGTGTGCTAACGGCTCCACTCTGCAGGGACTCCCTCCAGCGACACAAAACACTTCATAATAGCGCAAGCAATACACAGGAACCTAAGCAGGTGAGAAGCCGCGTTCGCAAAGCATGCAACGGATGTTCAAACAGCAGACTACGCTGTGATGGCTGTCATCCTTGCGCCCGATGCTCTTCGAGGAGCAAACCTTGTATTTATACACCATCTGCCCATCAGCCCACGACGTCTACTTCTGGACTTGCACTCGGTGCCGTGGCCGAAGTAGCACTCTTTCAGCAGCCCCTGCCGTTGAAACAGCCGTGGAGTGCAAGTGATGATGAGAGCCTCACGGTCGATTCAACGGCTGGTGTCTCGGAAGTCGTAGGTCTGGCCTCGGGGCAATCCTCGCATGTCCAACTAGGCGAGAGTTTCCCGTGGCCCTTGGAGCTGAGCAGTATGCTTGGGTGGATGATGCCTGAACCTGTTGGGCATCAGCCCATTTTAAGCCACAACGTTCAGCGCCAGCTTGGAGCGACAGGCGTACCAACATTTCCGTCATTAGATCGCCTTAGATCTCATGGGGATATGATTGGTGAACATGAGCCCCAAGTTAGAGAGAGAGAATGGTCATTTCACTGGGATTCGGAGAAACCCTTAGCCGCAGATCCTACTCCTGTCATTACCGAAACTTCTACTGATATTTATGAAATGGAGGACTTTGCCCACGTCCCACCACTAAGCCAAGAAAACTTTTCCAATATCGAGAAGCTCTTGCATAATCAAAACAGCACGGGCGCCCTGAGCGAGGCTAAGCTCCCATCGCTAGCGGCTATGAACACGTTCGTCCAGCTGTACTTTGAATATTTCCATCCCGGCTTCCCTATGCTCCATCGCGGGTCATTTAATGCTTCTATCGCTCCGTGTGCATTGGTTCTCGCTGTAGCATTGCTCGGGTGCCGGTACTCGCGGATATCTTTAGCCGCGGAATATGGAGATCTCCCCAAGAGCTTTTGAGGAGATCTCTACCTACAATAGCAAGTTCAGCATCTGTTGAGGCGGTGCCTCATCTATAAGCCTCCGAATTAACTATTGACCTATGCGGTCTTGGCTAATACACTTCTAGATGGAGAAAGACAACTCAGTCGTCCGGCAGCTCTGGTACTGCCAGTGCCTCATCCTCAACCTCATCGACATGTCATATAGTGGTGATGGGAGAATGATGGATATTTCAGAAGGTATGCGTAATATGCCGAGCACGCTATGTCGTAGGAATGGATCCCTCACCGAACGAAAACAAATCGGCGGAGGGCGACCAGTCGTAGAGCAACGCAACGTGAAATGGTCAGATTGGGTACAAGAGGAATCGCGGAGAAGACTTGGCTTCAGTGCCTTTGTAAGTTTTCAGTGGTTATGAGGCCACATAGGTCCAAGGCATATACATCCACATCTAACGTGAATGTAGCTGCTCGATGCACAACTCAGCATGCTGCTCGGCGTAGGGACTTGTATGAGACCTGAAGAGCTGGAACAAAATCTGCCCTGCCAAGAAAAGCTATGGGAAGCTGGAAGCGAGGGAGAGTGGCAGTCGGTTTTCAGTGAGGGCGGTCAGCGTAAGTTCGGTTTTATTAGCTCTCACAAGAAAAGAAAAAGGAGCACGCTAATTGAAAGAGAAGAAGCATTGGAGCTTCCAAAACTAGAGCCTACGTTGATATCTCTTCGTTCTGAGAGTTTTGCGCTGTCATCGTCACCGGGTCCTAGTTGTTTCACTGGACTCATAATTGTCTGTGCCATCTACCGCCACATCATGGGAGCGCACGAGTCCATTCGCGGAGTCTTCTTCCCACGTCCTGATCACCGGGAGATCGCCATCCGAAACTTGAATGCCGGCGCTGCTGAGGCTATAACTAGGCTATTAGAACAGCAGAGGGGTGTCTCAAGATTGACCAGCGTCTCCGATGGTACAATCCATCTCCTGTCGCGAACTGAGTGCTACGGGCTCCTCGGCTTGACACTGTTCCACGCACCACGGAGGGATATTCTCAACTACGTTCGCTGCCTTGGCGAATCTAGTCCTCCTACGGTAGAGGCCTATATCGTAGCAAGTTGGATTCGTGCCGGGAACGGGAGAGATGCTAGAATGGCAGCTAACTACGCGGGATGCCTGCTTTCGAGCTTATCAGGCTGCTCACTACGTGGAGGGGGGCTTTCATCAGCCTGTAGCGACGCTGTGGGCCGCGCTTATATTATGGACCTTTAGTCGCTTTACAGCTAGTGCGGACCTGGAACAGCAGCAAGGTCGTACGGTACGACTAGATCGCGACTGGGCGACAGATGAGATGAAGGCGTGGTATGATGGTGGTATGCAAAGCTTCAGGCCACATATAAAAGACGTGGGAAATATTTGCCGGCCAAGAGCCGCAGGGCGTATCCTTGATGTGGCTATTAGGTTACTCTCGGATATGCGAGCATGGGATTTTAGCAAGGACCTGGCTGCGTGGTTACAGGAACTAAAAACCCGTGCCGGATGAAGGTGATCTTTACATGATGGATGACATGTAGTCCCGATATATGTTGATCGATTATAAGGCATCTTTAAACTTGAATTGTTAGTCCCCGTGGGAGGCGAAAGGTGCTTTCTGTTTGAAAGCAGTAAACGAAAAGATCTCTCCTGTGGCGCATTATAGCTGAATGAGCCGGAGCTTGCTACCACCGCCATAGCCCCGCCCCGTCTTGGCCATGTGTTGGAATTAACCAGTCGAGATAGATTGCTAGTGACGAATTCGGCAACCATCACCTGTGGGGCCGAAAGAACACGAGGCTTAGGGACTTAATCGGGAGTTAGACAGCGGAGAACATCCGTGGCCCGTCTATGGTAATGAAATTGATCCCGTGCTCGAGCCTCAACCTGTACCGTGTGGAGACACGCGAGTCTCCAACAGGGCGGCAGACGTAAGAGGGCCGCGTATACTGTACTAGTAGAGACTGTAAGTTGACTTGGAGTAAAGAGCACTTCCTACAGGTGGAACGAGATATATATTCGTAGTCGCCTTTTTTATCTGGTCTTTGATGCATCCAAAAGATCCTTAACGTCAACTACCCTAGATATTTCATACACTCTTGAGACAACGCTATTGCTCACGACAACCAAATCGATGTTGCGGTTAACGAAACTTGTCAAAGGCCTGGGCCTTGCATGCTTCATACATAACGCGGCAGTTCTTGCCGCACGGTCTACTGGCTGTGGTAAGCAGCCTTCTCTCAATACGGGAATCTACAACACCACGGTTGGGGCGAAGGCGAGGCAGTATTATGTCCGCTTACCTGAAAACTACGACCGTGGCCACCCATATCGTCTCGTCTTCGCATACCATCAGTTCGGAAGTAGCATGGAAAGCATTGTTGCAGGAGAGGATCTCGACGCCCCGCTTGGAGGCGCGCTGCGCTTCTTCGGCCTCCTACCACTCGCGAATGAGACAGCCATTTTTGTTGTGCCAGACGGGCTGGACCGACGGTGGGCTAATATAGGAGGAGAAGATATTCAATTCTTCGACGATATGGTCTCTACCATTGGAAACGCCCTCTGTATCGAAGAAACACTACGATTCTCTACCGGGTTCAGCTTCGGCGGCTCCATGTCCTTTGCAATCGCCTGTGCGCGACCGGACATTATTCGCGCCATCGCGGTGCTATCGGGTGCCCAGCTATCTGGGTGTGAGGAAAGCGAGGAAAGCCCTTACGGGTCCCGTTTTACGGACAGCACGGCACAGCAGACCAAATGCTCCCCATTGCGTCGGGGCGGCAGCTACGCGATCGGTTTGTGGACTTGAACGGGTGCATGCCCGTCTCTCCCGAAACGCAGCCAAATGGATCTCAGCCTGTCATTACCAAGTATGAAGGATGTAGTGAAGGGTTTCCGGTTACGTGGGTGGTGCACAGCGGGGCCATAGCCCGTCTGTTAGTGACGGTGATATGGACGTACCCTTTGCTCCGCAGAACACGTGGGACTTTTTCTACAGTTTCCATAAAGTGCAGAATCATGTAAAGACATATTCCTGAAGCGAGTCACTGAGACTGTTTATCCTGAATTAGATTTTACGGACGCTTGGTTGTTTTCCCCAAAGAACGCGCCAAATCTATCCTGATCTAGTGCAGCTAGCTAGTTGAGGAATCCAAATCACCCATTGTAAGCTAGTTGAAATCTTTAGCGTGGGCCTGTCGATTGACAACGGATTTTGTGATAGAGTCTAGGTGCGGAGATATTGGAAGAGATAGAGCATGGCTCGTACCCCACGCCACGGCAAGAAGGATCATAATGGCGGAGCCAATGCTATAGTGATGTTGCATTTTCCGAGCTTGGGAAAATTGCGGAGCCGATGCCAAAGCCGCCCGCCTGCTATTTACCCCGCTAGAGCCGATTACACCCATCTGCCCCACAACTTCTCCCCGGGCCGGCTTTAATATGTGTCGAGACAGGGAGCACTGGGAGCCTCTTTGGCTCGGCAGCCACGGTGGGGATTTCAGCGCGTTATGGACACCCGTGTCCATCTACGTTTTGAAATATGTTGCCCGCCGACCGCGCGTAACCGGCTACTCGTCGTGGTGAACTCGCTCATGTCCTCGAAGCGAAATCTCCTCCGCCGGATACCTTGATATAACACGAGTATCACCTTGCCGCTTATGTCTGCACAATCGGGAGCTGGTGGGGGACGCGCGGCTGGTCGCTCATCTAGAATCTAATCTAAACTAAAGAAATGCCGAAAGGAAGTCGGAGTGCCAATCGACAGACATGGGGAGCTCTAACAAAACCGAGGGTGATGACTTATATTGTTACTAGCTACTTCATTGAGTTTATATCTTGGCGTAGTTCCCCATTGTGCTGCACCACCTTTAAATCAGGTTCTACTTCTCCCTAAGAACCAGGCCCGACCCCATCACTACTCCCAAATCCCTCAAATCTTAGGCCTCCAGCTGTTTCAATAACCCACGATGAAGCTTGTGCAAACAACATGTGCTCTGGCGCGTCGATGCCGACAATGTTGCGTGAGTATCATAGGATTAATGCTGGCGTCTATAGCTGTATCCTCTAGACGCGCTCGCTGATACTGCCTTCCTTGCAAGCTACCCGGGATGGGATGTTCGTGTTGACCCTACCATGGACCCTATTCCAGAGCGAATCGCGTTCGGCGGCGGAGAGGTTGGCCCTATCTGGACTCTGATAGCCTTGATATTGCGTGCAATCAAAGATATGATCCTCGCCCCCTCGACATCGCTACCGTACGCGCCGGAAGTAATGTCGCCTTCCATTGGTCGCATTGGCTCCATAGCCACAAGGGCCCTATCACGGCATGGCTGGCGCCCTATGAGGGCGACATTGCAGACGTTAATGTGAATGAACTTGAGTTCTTCAAAATTGCCGAGGATGCTATTGATGAGAATGGCGTATGGGCTACCGACAGGCTCATGGACAACGCCCATACCTGGTCCGCTGTTATTCCCGCCGATATAAAGTCTGGGAAGTATGTCCTTCGTCAAGAGGTAAGGCTCTAAAACTAGCCCACAATGCATTGAACTCTGTGTTGATTCAGGTCTCTCACCTAGATCATTGCCCTTCACTTCGTTTTGGACACTAGTTCTGGCTTCGAATTCGCGGGGTTGGCCCGCAGTTTTACATGACTTGCTTCAACTTCGAGGTTCTCGGGGACGGTAACTCTCAGCCGGCCGGGATGCCATTTCCCGGCGCCTATGAGAAGGACGCCCCAGGCCTCTGGTTCGACCTTACATCTGATGCCAGCTATCCTCCCGCTGGACCTCCTCTATACAAGAGTGAGTACACCGTCGAGCTTGAACCAAACGAATTTGTCATTCTCAGCCCAACCAACCAAGGCGCGGAAGCCGACGCAGCCTACCACGAAGCCCAGGGCCGCGTTCTGAAATTCCAAGAGGATACCAATACCCAAATTGATGTTCATGGTGGATAAGCACGGTAGCAGAATTTAGGGTAAGAGTTACATGCCGAGTTTACTGGTCCACTCGACGCCGTACCGAGGTATCCTAGAGTTGGCTGATCCAGCTAGAACAGGGTTCCGCGCGCTCGGTAGCCTATTTTCAGGGGTTTTAACCACTTGTTCCTTAGTTGAGTTTATAGGTTGTCTAGATACACGAATGTGAAGATATGCCCAAGGAGTCTACCGCGCCGGCAAGGGAAACGTTACTCGGTCATTTAGATTTTTACCATGACGTAGATACGTAAGCTGGTTTTGACCCTTCAACCTGACGTAGAGTTGCTGAGGTTCCATATCAAACAACAGCTCAACAAAATTTAATCCGTGTCTTGTAGGATGCTTAATTGTAGGGGAAGAGCCCGGAATCACAGAATGTGAACGGAAAGGTTCCTCCCAAGGACCCTGTACGAACGAACTACGCAGCTACGGCTTAGTTTCAGTTACTTTCTGGTGAACCCTAGACGATACCGAGTCGGCTTCGAATTGGGGGTATCTTATTCCCTCGCTTAGCTATATATAAAGAAAAAAGAAAACCCGATCGGTCGTAGTGAACAATAACAACTCCTACAAACGCCCCCATACATCTACATATAGCCCTGAAGAATTGCAAATCATTGATGGCCATTAGCATCCACGGTGTTCGTCCCTTGTCTCGCACGCTAAGATACGAAGGTATCCATAAATGTTCTCCTCTCATAACTTCAAAAGTCCCACAGGTCCCCATCGCCCTTGGATTCCACGATTGTGGTCCCATCGCTCCCCATTGCTATGCTTCGCAGTTCGTTCCCGTGCCCTGTAAGCAACTCATAGCCCCCTTGGGTAGTCAACCTTTCCATGAAAAACTCGTGGGACTGATGGTGTCTTGCGGTGGCAATGAGTTTTCTCCTCTCGTTATGCCCGAGGTACGTGCCCGAAACAGCGTTACGGAACCCAAGCCAGCGGTCCTTCGAAACGCAGTGCCAGTGGAAACCACCCAATACGCTGTATCCATCACAGAGACGGAGTTCGCCTTCGACAAGCGTGACAATGCGCCCAGTCTGGCGGTGCTGGATGATGAAGGTAGTGTCGGGACGTAGAATGGATTTCGAGACCGTAATGGTATCGTCGCCGGTGTGTTCGTCATAGCCGGGCGGAGCGGAGCCGTCGGTTGTAATTGCGTAGTCCATGGCAGCGTTCGTGGGAGATGCAATCATGGGCACACGTCGGTATTCAACCTCCCTCGCCACTTTAGAGTCGGTTGACGTGGAGACTTCGTTGCCCATTTTTGCAGTTCTGGGTGAGTACAACTATCCGACCACGCTGTTTTCTAGAGATTGTGTATTGCGTTTTCCCAGGCGGGCTTTTGGTAGTCAGTGTTTGGTTTGGAATTGAAGATGATGGACTTTTCTTTATTAATATGGAACGGGCGAGGCCTCCGGAAAGGGAGCATGTCATCTATGATTGCCCTCTAGGGCTGCAGCCAATAGAATGGTCGCACCTGCACGGTTCTCGCAGGTTGCGTAATACGGTTCGAAATGTAAAAACCCCGCAGGCACGTAAGCGAGCCCCGGATTCGTCGTATTGGTACCTTTCATTCCGCGAGATCACAAATGTTCAGGGCTACCGAATGCAGGCGCAAATGCGCGTTGAATTCCTAAGTGTGTCTTTTCAGATGCGTGGGAGCATTCGTGGCACCGCTGACAAGCTGTCGGACGCTGGCATAGCACCACGAGGCTTGTCGCACTGACATGCTGGCTTAGGCCGCCATCGAAAACGCTGTTTTATGGCTATTGTGATAGGACTGCCCGTGCCAAATGGCACCTAAACATGCTTTATAATTCGGCCTGCAGTCTTGAATTCAGAATCATATGATCCTCACAAATTCTTTATGCATGTCACCATGAATCTCTTCGAGAATCGCTCGCGATGCGTCGGTCTGAAGGATATCTAATCCCCCAGTGACTTGGTCTTAAGAACAAGTAGATTGACTCTCCTCCAGCGGTGTTCATCAACTGCCAGGAGTATCAACATGCATACTCGCTCGGTCTTATTGCTAGATTCTCGCCATTTGAGGAGCTTAAATAGGCTAAGCTGCTGATCGTGTGCCTGGGCACCATAGCCGTTTACCACAAGATCCTGTATCAACGGAGATACTTCAGCCAGTAGCCTAGGGTAAGACTTGGCCGAGTTGAGCGACTCTAATGTGCCTAGTCGAAGTAGAGGTCCGCGAAGAGTCAGAGTCCCGCCACGAACGGCCCCGAACGGATCCTGGTGAGCAAGCTCGACTTCGGCGCTGAGAACTTTGCAAAGGGCGTGATAATATCATACTGGGATTGTGGACCGATTGAGACTAAGCGACCGTAGCAGCCAGCCCAGCTCCAGGTTGGCGCGAGATATTTCTCCGGTAGGCGAGGTTGGTACTCTACTTGCCCATTCGGGAGCTTCTTGTACCCTGGGGTTCGAGTCTAGGCTCAATCATTGATTAGCTCCCATCTACGGCCAGATATGGAAGTGTCTCGATTCAGGAAAGACCACACAGGAAAATACAGCAGATATCGAGGCTCGGGAGGGGCGCCGGGCGATAAGAGGCCGTAATAACCAGCCGGCAGGCAGAGGCGGGTGATGCGTTATTCGAGATGGAAATCAAAGTATACTCACCCAACATAATCCTCGAAGCAAGTCCCTTTCCAAAGGCCCGCCACGTACGTATCGCCCGTCGCACGGCAAAACTCATTAGCGAGCCCGGAAAGTGCAGGTAGCGTATCAGTAGCTTGAGTGAGTGAACGACAGGAATAATTCTCGATAATCTTGACCCACAAATCAAAATGGGACATGCCTGCCGGCGATGCAGGCGGCTTAAAGTCGCCCTGGATCGTTACCGGGCACTTCAGCACAGCTCTATGACGCAGTGTGTCCATACTGCGGGCGGTCAGAATAGTACTTAGCGATGGCATGGGCACTAAAAAAGCTACGGGGAGGGTCCGCTCTTTTAAAAGGATATTAGACTTCTGCGCCAGTGTGGCAGCACGTTCCCGCGAAGAATTTGCATGTATTCTTTGCTGCGGTACATTTCCATGACGCGAACATGGCGCCCGGACTCTTCGACACTTCCTTTGGGGCATTCAAAGCAAATTTGTTCCGTCCCAAACCACAGGGTTCGCGGTGCAAGGAGCGTCTCTTGCAAAATCCACCCTCTCGGACTCAACGTGTTCTGATTCAATTTAGAGTTTGAAATCTCTGAACTCGGGCGCAGGAACACCTTGGTAATGCTTTTGTCGCCATCTAGCCAGGGTAGCCAGCAGCGTGGTGAGGCCGGAGCTCCGCGGTCATGGAAAATGCCCTCGACCGTCTTGGCGGCGCAGGCTGCGGCGATGGTGACCACCGCACCACGGTAGATATCGCACATGCGTGCCGACTCATAGGCCCAATCGCTAGCAGAATCTTGTATGATACAAAGAGCGTCTATCCAGAGATAACTTATGCCTAGGAGTTTGTAATTGCGATGGCATCGCGAAGCGTAGCTGGAAAATCAGCGATCGGGCGACCGGCGCGAAACTGCGCTTCCGTGTCTTTGGTGAGCTTGAAGGTTGTGTCGCCACCCCAGCAGTAGGAGAGAGCGGCAAATGTATCCTGGCGACCAGCGCCGTCGACAAGCTTGGGGTTCGGCCCTCGGGTTGAGATGATCCGCGTTGGAAGCACCGTTTGCGTGGGGTACTGGGAAGAACATGACTTATGGCCCTCACGACAAGTGGTGAGTAAGTCAGATGCAAGTCTAAGACACCCATCAGATCCCGAGTTTGGGAAAATACTCCTAGCAAGGAGCTTGTTATTATCTAATGGCTCGTGTCCTAAGGCTTTTGGTTAAATCGCTCTGTGTCTTCACGGAACATCCCCCAAGACCACAGTTGGCAGATGCATAGGACCTACCTCTCAAAGCGCACACCTCAAATGAGGCTAGGATACGCATAGACCTATTCTCCGCATGCTGTGTCACGACTAAGTGAGGGAGGCCATGAAGCGCCTCGTCCCAGGCGGTCGTTCCGATCCATATCTGTTGGGCGCTTAAGCCCTGGCTAATAGCCTCATCCTGTAGTTCGGCAGGGTGGGTCAGAGCGGCATATAACTGCCATATGGATCTACACAAGTCGCATTCACGGGCTGAGGATCGGAGAGACAGCAAGTTCTCGTGTTGCTTGAAGAATTTGAACAGCGCCGGTCGGAGGCCCTCCAGGCTGTCAGGCGCGGAAGGATCATTGAAGGCTGCTTGTGGCTGACTCTCCGCTGTTAGGAGCAGTATCCGAACGTCGAAGTTGGAGCATACGCTACAGAGCTTGCTAAAGCCAACAGACATAGCTGCCATGTGCCGATCTATAGGTAGCACAATGTAAAACCTGTCGTCACGCGACAGCTGCGGAAGAAAGCGTGCGGCGTTTCCAGGATTGAATCTGTGCAACCAAACACCAAGGACAGGGCCGGCGGTTGCACAGGCGTTAGTAAGCAAATGTTGGATCAATGCCGGATAAACAAGCCACCCCCGCCAGCATTATTGGATGAATGGGTGACAGGGGCTGTTTCTTGATTGAATCACACTCAACTGTCGGTCCCCTCCGGCATCAACATCAATCAGCAGAGATACATGTAGCCTCAGCTTGACCTAGTCCGGCTTGATCCCTAAACTATGTCGGAAACCATCCGCCAGAATCCATCCATCGGGATAAATTTTTGAATACAACTTGCTTATCACGAGTGAGTTAAAGAGATGCAAGTCCAGAGTGATCCTTTACTGCTGTCTAGATAGGGCCCCGGCCGTCTACCGGTTCAGGGTCCGGCGACCCACCGGTGGGTAAACTCGAATGAGCCGGACTTGTAAGACTCTTGTTAAAAGATGGGAGTCCTGGCTCTCTTCTATGAAAAGCTACACCTCAAACTCCAGTTCCACGTTTAGCTAAACATACACGAAACGTCGTATCCACGCTCCACCATCTACGGCTTCGAATAGGCACCTTTAAACTACAAGAGCTCGATTCTTTTGACCCTATGAGTATGGATCGCAAGTTAAGTTACCCGTATCAAAAAAAAAAAAAAAAAGCCCCGATATCTTAGTGCCAAAGTTTTCCTATCGTACTGAGTCGATCCCTCAGGTTGTGATATGCCTTGGTCGGCTAGATTAATTTATGCCACTTTCGAGTGTTACTCGTGGCCTCCCCTGCATTCTCCTTGAGAATATCAAAGCTACTCTATTTTTTCCTCATCTCGTAGGGGGCGGGTTTAACTCGACGAGCAGCCTGTTTCCACGGAGCAGTAGAAAGTCATCCTTTTTCAGGATTCGTTATTAGGCTTTGTTGATGCCGTACCAAATAGCACCTCCTGCACGCCGTTCACTCAGGAATCATGTAATGTCTGGGTATCGTTAGCTAGTAGTGATTCCTTCAAACCCGGACGACTGATATTAGGCTAGTGATTTATTTCAACGCTTGATTCAGCCTCTCAACACATGGAACGGCAAAGTTTTTCGCCGCCAATGGCACCACCGCCCAGGGATCGAGGAGAGAATTGGTTCTAGGCTCAATCCGTGTTAGCGTTTACGATTACCCAACGGATTTTGACCTCGAGGCCGGATCTCGCCCCGAGGCACCGGATCTCGCCCTTCGTCCACACACTATTGTCTGTTCGGATCCCGGTGTCCCTGTCCCCACCATGATTCCGGATCTCGTGCAATAGTGCGGTTACGCTATTTCTCCATTTCCTGTCGCGACCGCTTCGAAAATACAACTTTGATCCCAATGATGAACGATGAAGGAATCATCTCCGCACGACGGCACATCAATGAACGGGAGCTCCCCGCATCCCCGCAAATAATTCGACCTTCCTCCGCATGGGGAGGCTTGAGAAAACTGGAACTAGGCCTTAGACTCCGAAATCTTCGCAATCTCATGCTGTCAGCTCTGGGAATGGCTCTTTTCTATAAGTTGGTCACCTTCGCCGCCCCTTCGCTGCTGGATGTCGATCCTCTCAGGACACGCCCAACTCACTACGCATCCTCTCTTCCTGTCTTTCCCATCTAGAATCCGCAGCCGTCGTTTAGAATCATGGGCGTCTTTTCGAAATTTCGCCTCTTCAACCGCCAGCTCAGCTTGGCTTGCGCGTTGATTGCCTTTTCAACATGCAACTACGGTTTCGATAACCAGGCATTCGCCACCACCCAGGCCATGGATGCCTTTGAGCGTCAATTCGGAGTTTTGAATGAGGTGACTGGCAAATGGGGTTTGGAGCCTTCTTGGCTGGCCCTGTTCAACAGTCTCAACTACATCGGCTTCGCTTTTGGTATATGTGCTCAGTCATGGAGTGGAGTTATCATCGACAGACTGGTGCTAATGTTTGAACTATAGGCGTTATCGTCGGGAGCCACGTCTCCTCTCGGTGGGGGCGAAAGTGGTGTATGTTCTCCATGAGCTGCTATGCCCTCATCACCGCGACTATCAGTGTCACGTCCAAAAATCGTGACCAAATAATGGCTGCCCGAATCCTAAACTACGTCTACGTCGGCATGGAACTGGCCGTGGTTCCAACCTTTCAATCCGAAATCGGTGCGGTACACCTTTGCTCCCAAAATTATTGGCACAGCTTAACACTAACTAGTCCTACACAATAGTCCCTGCCGCGGCCCGAGGTTTCATGGTCGGCTCCTACCAGCTCAGTCTCATTGTCGGTGGTCTCGTTATCAACTGCATCTGCTTTGGCACCAGTGGCATCCAGGATAACAGGGCTTGGAGGATCCCGCTAGGCCTTTTCTACGTCGTTCCTACAATTGTCCTTGCCTTGATTTGGTTTATCCCAGAATCTCCCCGATGGCTGCTACGACAAGGCCGCAACGAAGAAGCGCTAGAGAGCCTACGCAAGTTCCGCTTGGGTCCCTATACAGAGGAAGAAGTTCAGGCAGAGTTTGCCGAGCTCAAGACATCACTGGAAAACGAAGTTGAGCAGGGCAAATTCATTGAACTATTCCAGGGCAGCAACTTGAAGCGAACCCTCATCGTCATTGCCGTCAACTTCCTTATGCAGGCCAGCGGCCAAGCGTTTGCGTCCCAGTACAGCGCTGTCTACGTGAAGACCCTTGGTACCATCAACCCCTTCGGTTACCAGCTCATCAACGCTGCCATCAATATCAGCACCCTCACCTGCATCTTGCTCTGGGCGGATCTTTTGGGACGACGGTAAGGCCAAATCCAATGCGAGTTTATAGGGTACCGCTAAACACACACAATTGGTACCTAGAACGCTGATGATCATGTCCTCAATCACCATGGTTGCGGGCATGATGACTATGGGCGCCCTTGGTCTGGAGTCACCCGTTACCACTGCCAAGAAGAATGGGATCGTCGCCATGCTTTCTGTCTTCGTTTGCGGGTTCTCCATGGGTTGGGCACCCTTGAGTTATGTTGTCACAACCGAAGTTTCGTCCCTTCGCCTTCGTGATTTGACTGCCCGCGTTGGTTTTACAGTCAATGTTGTGATTAAGTGCGTCTACCCCGACCCTATCGTATTAGAGTAGCCGCTAACTAGCCTCATAACAGCTTCGCCGTCAACTTCTCCATCCCCTACCTTATCTATGATAAGTACGCTGGCCTTAACAGCAAGGTCGGCTTCATCTTCGGTTCCCTCATGGCGGCCTCCATCGCCTTTATCTACTTCTGTGTTCCCGAGTGCAAAGGCAAAACCCTCGAACAAGTGGACTTCTTGTTCCAGAATGGTGTAGCTCTGCGTGACTTTGGCAAGGCTGATGCTACTGCGTTGATGGAGTCGGCTAGGGCGCATGACCCTGAGAAGGCTGCGACTGAGAATATCAATTTTGAGAAGGCTGCTTCAGACGGGGCTGTATCCGAACATCAATTCGTTGAGAGTGGGCGTGGTGAAAAGGGGGCTCATCAGTAGAGTGTAAAGGCGCCACTCACAGCGGGCATCTAGCCATTATTTCACCATCTAGCTAGGCATAGAAACGCTGTATTTTAATTATTAGCCCACAGATCTGCTATTTATTCTAACCTGAAAACGTGACCGACTACGGATTTATAACTGGAAAGAGCTGCGCGTCGGCGTATGGATTTAGCTGTAAATCGAATGGATCCACCGGCATCGCCATCTCCGGATGCTCCAGCGCAGCAGCGCCCACGTCCATTGCACCATATACCAGATTATGGGGGTTAAGAGGATTGTAGCCGGTAAAATACGCGTCCTCGGGATCCAGTTCTCGACCAACGGGGAGCGTGGGCCATCCCCTCCTGTCCCCGCTCGTGGTTTCCAAGGTTCCCACCCTTCCCATCCATGGCTCACGTGCGGGAATAGGTGACCTCGCTACAATCTCGACAGACTCATTTCCGTCAGGAGCGAATGCATGCTTGGATCGGCGATGGGGCTGATTCTGAACGTCGGGGGCAATCGAAGGAGACCTAAAAAGGGAGAGACGTTAAGATTAGATTATCTGAACACGGTCCTAAATGGCCAATACGTACTGGTCACCTGGAGACCTCATTCGCAGGCCCAGATTGGGTATCAGTCTATGGAGATCGTCCAACTATGCAAAAATCAGCTATCGGCTCAAGCTGGGGGCATTCAGTACTCACACAAGGCCGAACCCATGCGGATGCCTTTTGGCTATACGAAATCATTGATATCGCTTCGGTGAGTTTACCCTTCACAACGGCTAGGCAGTGTTCCCCATGTTCAGGTAGTAGATAACACAAATGGTCAATGATTTTGGTAGCCTGGTACATTGCAATGACTAGTGTCGGGCTATCGATGTCTCGGTCAGTTTCTAAGTGATAGAGCTTCGACCACAAGTCGCATAAGCTGAGAGCGCTGCCGAGGCATTGCCGTTGGCAGTGGTCTATATATTCCGGAGGTGTGTTTTCCATGGCCTCACTCGACACAGCCTCCCGGATACCGGGTACGAGAAAGCGGTATAGGTCGCATCGACACAGATGGATAGTAGAGTGCAGCATAACATAAGTCCTCGCTTCAGAGGAGTGGCACATAAGCTTTAATTGGGCGTCATCCGTTTCAAGCTCGTCCGGTAGAGTTGTCTTGAAGAGGACCAACTCTTCGTCGAGAGCGCATAATTCCTCCCGGCTCACGAAAGGACTCGACTTTTCCAGCACCACGCGGCGAGTGTATCTATTACGATGAGCGCTTGTTATCCGACGTGTAGAATGGATGGAGGCCTTACCGAAAGATTCTATCGCGCAGGTCGAACAACTTGATACGGTATGCGAGCGCATCCATGTCCGACTTTTTATCGCCCGGATCTCGCAGGAAATGAGATCGAGATCGTATCCCGCGCTGAAAACATCGGTCGTTACTTGGCAGGCGGATGTGGATTCTTTCCGAAGGGCAGAGCGTCAGATCCTCAATCCCTCCAGAGAAGAGTTTGTCGAGATAGAAGACCGTCCACATCAAACGCCGCAGGCACTCTTGGACCACCGGATCCACCGTAGGACGCTCGTAATTCAATCTCTTTGTGAAGGCAATACGCGCAGCCATGGCAAGCAGTGTCCACACCTCCTCCGTGAACTTGAACGTAAAGTGGAATTTGATCAGTAGTAGAAGGGTCTGCAGGTCAGCAATCGTAGTCTTTCCTAATCTCGAAAGTAGCTCTTGTTGGACTTCCCGCATCCATACTATAGGAATAGACTTGTCGAGAGGACGCTCGAGGCAAAGCAAGCGCATCCCGGACGCACAGAGGGCCTTGAGGAGATTGCGATCAATCTGGCCTTGGTTCCATTCAGCCATGATAGTTGAACGGTGGAGGAATTGACATTCGGCGAGGTCCATCTTGCTAAAATAGGCGTTGATGTACTCCCGAATAACCTCTTTCTTCTCATAATTAAACACACTATCGCCAATTGTTAGGATATACAAAGCCTTACAGAGGGATACTCGTACGTACCGACTCATGTCACTCTCAATGCTACTGGTTGTCATGGGCGTCAAAGTCGACCCAGAATTCTCCACCGGGCCGCATACGGGGATCCTAAGGACACTTCACTTGGAGATATCTCGTTAGGTGAATGCGCCAACGTGAGCCCTCCAGAGCCCGCATAAACACAGGAATGGCCGAGGGAGCTGCATCGCGTGCACGGTTCAGCCCCCGTGCATTTCGTTTTGACTGAGCGACATGCTAGACAAGCTTTACGAATGCGACGTCTCTTGGTGCCCGCCTGTGTCAGCTCCTGCGGCGACAGCTGGTTATCCTCCACTTCGTTGCTCCCTGTCAGGTAGCTGCATGCAAAATCTAAGCGGGCGCACGGTTGGCAGCCTGATGGCTCTCGGTCGCATTTGACCTAGCATAAATGAGTTTCTATTCAACTTATTCCCACTAGTCAATGTGGAGAGAAGGGGGAGGGAACCTTTCGGGCCCGACATTGCCGGCATGCAAGCCGTCGTGTGATTGAGGGCGGAGGTGCTTGGCTCAACCGATGTTCCGTGGAGGCAGTTGGACGTGTCGGTAATTGGTCTGGTGCCATCGGCCTGGTGGTATGTTAATGTCCCTGTGGTGGTGCTATATGGAGAAAGTGCTCTCGGGACGAGGTCTGGTGCGTGATCTGGTGCGTGATCCGGTACCCCGGGTGTCGGGTTTGAAGGTGGTTTGGTTGGTGAGGAATGCCTGGAGCAGGGTTGTGGCGGGTGGGGAATGGCGAATAAAGGCAATATATGGGCAATGGTCAATGCTGGGGTTGCCAGGACTGCATGTATGTAGCGCCTTGAAGGAAGAACGACAATATTCCCGGACCGCGGTCAACGTTGTTCTTTCGTCATGCATGGCTGTCGTTCTGGGAGGGTTGACATCGCTGGGTTGTCCGGCGGCGAAAAAGAAGGCCGAGATCCGAATACCGAGATCCGACATCCGAGAGCGATATCCGTCGTCGCAGACCGAGATCCGACAACCATAGACCAGGTCATCAACGAATTCGTGTACTTGTAAAGATCGTGCAAATAAAGTACGCAGTCTCTCCTGTTTTAAGCGTTTAATTTTCCGATTCCATCAATCGCGCCATCTTGCATTAGTTGGTGTCATTTCACCCTCGTCACCCTCTTCCTGGCGCCGGCAAGACAGAACTTGCGATCCGGAAATATGCCCTTCGACCTCAAACTCCCACCTAAGCCTTTACCCTCAAGATAGACTCCAAAAATGGAGGAGAGAGGCCAAATTTCGTCATTTTTATGCCTGACCAGCTGCGGTTTGACTCTTTAGGCTGCGCCACTGGCCCTGCCAGCGAAGTCAAGACTCCCAATATTGATGCCTTCGCCGCAAGGGGCTCCTTATTTACCAACTGCTACACGCAAGCGTCGGTATGTTCCCAGTCCAGGTGCAGCATGTTTACGGGGACATACCCGCACGTCAGTGGGCACCGCAGCCTCGAAAACCTCATAAAGCCGTGGGAACCCAATATCTTCCGAACCCTGAAAGAGAATGGCTACCATGTTGCTTGCCTCGCTCCTCGAGGCGACACCTTTGCTCCCACTGTGACTGAGCTCAGCGTAACGGAGTACGGATTCCTGGAGACCCCCGAATACGTTCCCAAGTTTGGTAATGGAACGCCGCCTGAGAAGGACGAAAGCATCTGGGGTCGCCTCTTCTATCGTGGTCGCCGAGATGCCGATAAGTGCTTAGATTATGATGAGGCCGTCGTTCGCTCGGCTCTCACTTGGCTCGACTGCCCACCTAAGGATAAGCCTTGGGTTCTCTTCATGCCTTTGATATTCCCTCACTGCCCGTTTCAGGTCGAAGAGCCGTACTTCTCCATGTACGATCGCACCAAGCTTTCGAGTATCGAGGCGGACCACGAAAAGAAGACTGGCTATGAGCCCCGGTACATGAAGAGTATCCGTGATCGGTATGGAACCGACCGCGCAACCGACGAGATTTGGAAGGAGATTAAGGCGACCTACTACGGCATGATTACGCGTTTGGATGACCAGTTTGGCCGTGTCATTCAGAAAATTGAAGACTTAGGCCTCTGGAAGGACACCGTAACTATGTTCTTTACCGACCATGGGGAGTACCTTGGAGACCATGGCCTCATAGAGAAGTGGCCGTCAGGGCTTTCCGACACTTTGGTTCATGAGCCCCTTATCATCGGCGGGGCTGGTCTTCCCGAGGGAAAGAGGATTGATGCCATGACGGAAATGGTCGATTTCGTCCCCACGATGATGGAACTTACGGGCATCGGCGAGTCGTACGCCCACAACGGTCTCTCTTGGGTGCCAATTTTATGCGGCGACGAGACCAATCACAAGGAGTACGCCTTTTCGGAAGGGGGTTCCTTGTGTCGGAGGAACCTCTTCTGGAGCAGTCCCCGTACCCGTACGATTTGAAGGCTGGCCTTCAGCACGATGACACCACTCTAGTCGGCAAGGCAATTTCCCTCCGAGATAAAAACTGGACATACATCTACCGCCTCTACGAGCCGGCCGAGCTATATCATAGACAGGACGATCCTCATGAATTGCATAACCTGGCGGAGGTTCCGGAGCACAAGGAGCTTGCGGAAAAGTACGAGAGAATTATCCTCAAGTGGCTCTTTCAGACCGCGGACGTAATGCCGTGGAAATCAGACGTTCGTTTCCCGGATGTTAAGCTGAAGTCACCGAGGGAGCAGATGGAAGAGCGTCTAGCAGAAGCTCAAAAGAGGCAGAAGACAAGGACGAAAGACAGAAATAGATGTATACATGTACCACTACATATATTTAGGACCGAATATCTAGAAATAGATGAGCTCAAGGGCGTAGTACAAGCCCGAATCGAAGCGTTCTATCACCCGGCAACTATTGGCTTAGAAAACAACGTGAGGTGGTTTCAAAGCCATTTATCGTCTCCATGGTGCGAGACAGCGGTGCCACCGTACTTCTCAACCGTGGCATCAGCCACAACCTTCATCATGTATCCTACCGATTCCTCAGGCGTGAACATTTTGAAGCCGGGGGCGTATTCAGCAAAGCTGGCCAGCATACGCTGCAGGTTGAGCATTCCCTCCTCGGTCACTATGGAAAGCAGCTGTTAGTTGCAAGCTCATGCAGTAGAGTAGAGATGTTGAACACGCACGTTGGCTCTGGTGCCCGGTGTCGACAAGGCCAGGGCTGATGGATAAGAACAGGACTCCTTGATCGGCATAGCTGGCGTGATATTTGGCCACAAGCATATTGAGTGCCGCCTTACTCATGGAATAAGGGCTGCCCAGATCAAGCCTGTACTTGGCGGTGAGATGAGTATCGGCCAGCCCCGATCCCAGAGCGATGACCTTCTTGGCCCGGCCCTTGAGGATAAGGGGAGATAGAGATTAAAGAGGTGAACCTGACCGACGACATTGACGCGGTAACTTTCAAGAAGGTCTTCCTCGAGCTTTTCGGGCGTGTTCGCGCTTTGAGACGTTAGTAAGGGACCCCGGCGCTGTTCTACATCCAAGGCTTGCGCTTACAGAGTCGGGATAGAGAAAGTCCCAGACCAGGGACTTACGAAGGCAGCGTTGGCAATGAGGTAGTCAAGGCTTCCCCGGTTATAGAGCTAACCTCCGCGGCAGATTTCTGTAGGCCGGATTAGCAATGTTCGTGAAAGGCCAATGGCATCTCCGAATGTCGAAGCATACCTCGATAGATGCGTAGTTTGTGAGATCAGCCTCGACCACGTGAACGTTCTTTGGGCTGCCTAGCTCTTCCACGACGCGCTTCTCAGTGCCCGCTTTATTTCGTACGAGGGCGATGACAGTGTTTTCGGGGTTCTGGGAGAGATTCTCCAAGAAAGCCCACTATTCCACGATTTCGCTTGGTTAGCACTCGTCTTCGGTGATTAGGTAGGAGTGACGGAGGGTATTCTAACGCACTCCAATACCGCGCGTGACGCCAGTGACAACATAGGTAGTAGACATGGTGAATTCAGAACTTGGTTTCGGTTTTAGTATCGATATGTATATCGTTGAGATATGAAGACCAAAGAGCATCACTTCATGTCGGGCTCAACCAGTTTATATATCATTTTCCCACCCAGCCAGTCCACGTTAACTCTTGGGGCCTCTCCCATCTCCGTAATCATGTTTTGTTTCTTTTCTTTTTCTCAGCAACGTGGATTTCTAATACGTAGAGTGTGAGGATGCGGCGTCGTCATTTTTGATGCGTTTTCGTGGGTGGTGGGAAGCCTAAACTAAATCGTGGGCATCTTTTGCGAAACTCAAGATTGAAGTTTTGCGTGGGGTTTCTCGATCCGCTGGTGGTGCGTCGGGTTCTTTTCTACGCTAACACGGCAAGCGAGCCGCTTCCAGCCAATTGGCCCCGGCCGCATCAAAGGCTAACCCCCAAACGGGTTCGACCTCGTGGCCCTTCTCCAATCTGCGCCGTCGTGCGGCATGCACGGTTCGATGACAAATTCACCATCGAAGCACCCACCCAAGCCGCAATCTCGCAAATAGTTGCCAGCGTAAAAGCGGCGCAAAAGTTGCCTAGTATTACGCTCGAACCTAAAACGCCACCTCCTTGTGATACATGTAATCGCAAAAAGTTGCCTTTGGTCATTTTCAACCACCGCACATCCCTTCCCCGTTCATATCCCTTCTCTTCTCTTTTTGACCCCTCCTGTACAGCGATTCCTCTGGATGGTCTCGATTGTCTTCTTTGCTTGGATCAACCAACACTAACCCTAGAAACCACTTTTACCTTAGCCGTTGACCTGTGCTACTTGGCTAAACAAGAATGAACCAAACCTTGACTCTCGTCGCCGAGCCGCGCAAGGCAATCGGGAAGCGATGCGGGACATGCATTGGTAATCCCACATCCTCACAAACACCATTTGCCGAATCTCTCCATCTCATATGTTGAATCATAGACCGCAAACTGCGATGCGATCGCACAGTTCCATCCTGTTCCACCTGCATCCGCTCCGGGCGGAAATGCCAAGGCTATGCGCTTAGGCTCTCGTGGCCAAGGGACGACGATCGTAAACGACTCATCATCGGACCGAGGCCGGGAATTGACCGCCCTAAGCGCAAGGCAGGTTATCTCTCCGTGCACGCGACGTCGCGGGACCTCGAGATGTACTACCATCAAGGCACGCTTAAGCTGCACGTCGATGTACCTAGCCCGCCATTGAACCAATTGACATTGCCGTCAACCCCGTTCCGTCTGACCCTCCGGCAAAAGGAGCTCCTTCAGTACTGTAAGTTCTCGTTGAATGTGGGGTGGGGGTTGAATTTTCTTGCAAAGAGTCTAAATGCGACCGAGGTTGACCCTGTTCGTGTTAGTCGAATCTTCTCTTTCTGCATGCATGACCACGTTTAGTGAGCAACCGCTCGGTGATCTCATCATTCGATTAGCTCTCGTGGATAGCTCGCAGGCGAGTATAGCTGTATTACACGCCATGATGGCACTGACGTCCCTATCAAGATTCGGACCCGGTATCCAAGCCGACCAATTCAAGCTCTTTGCGACACGCGCTCTTCTTGCTTCGTCCAACGATGGCATATCTCCTGATACGGCGCCACAGCACGTTGCAGCGGGCATGCTGCTGAGTCACTATGAGGTAAGGGCCGCATCTCGGCTGTGGCCACATGTTCATCTTGCAAGATTCAATGTTGACCCATGTCTGTATGTTATGTAGGCCGTGAACCTCCGCAACAGAATATCGAACCAGTGGCTATGGTACGCATGTGGCGTTGATAGGATCATTACCAACGTAAGCATACACAAATACCATAGCGAGCCATCGATGTTTCGACTTTTAGACTGGGCATATTATTACAACGTCTTATCGCGCTTCAGCTTGCGTCACTGGCGCCCTCAACGCCCCGACCCGGCCACAAGCGGAGTCCCCGTGTGCCGCACGGGCCGCACCTACAAGTCGGTGTTGTGTGAGTCTGTGCTAGCCCGGAACATGTCGCTCGTTCTGTTGGATCGCGCGGCATCGGCTGTTCTGCCCCCGTCCAACCCTAAAAGCCAGTTTCTGGAATACCGCGAAAACCTTGACGAGCTGGAGCGAGAGATCCAGGCTGGTTGCCATCTAAATATGGCCAATTCGGAAATTCCATCTCCCGGGGTGTCGAGAAACGCAACCATCATGGACGAGCTGCACCGGCTATGCGCCTTGATATATCTTGCCCGCGTGTCGAACAAATATCCTAGAGGCTCTGCTAAGCTAGGCAGTTACGTCAGCCGAGGTTTCGCCCTCCTTGGAAGCCTGCCACATTGCTGGCGGCTGCTGCCCTTGATGGTGCTCGGATTCGAGGCCCGCGATGATGACGAGAGGTCACTTGTTCTGCAGCTGATCGGCATTAGCGAAGAGACGTGTAACTTCAAAGGGAGACTACGCTATATTCGGGGAATTTTGCATGCCGTCTGGACGCAAGAGGATCTGCATGCGGAAGAGGGTACGCAGGTTGTCTACTCGGAGATGCTCACTACCATCATGAGCGCTACGGGGTCATGTTACCATTTGCGTAGGTACACCATGCTTGTGTGTGTGGGCCCCAGGAAAGTCGCGGCTCACCTTGGCAACTCCCGCGATCATGCGCTGCGACGTTTAGCGACCAAAGTACCAATCCCACTATACCCCAATGTACTACATGAAGCGTTCGAAACGTGTAGCGGAAAAGATATCAAAGTCACACATAGAGATATGATCCCGAGTTGTTCCAAAGCACCATTGGCCTGCACGATTGGAGGCTTAGGTTTTAGGATGCCGGGCTGGCCTACTGCAACCGTTTTGATGACTCGGGGCCACGAAGAACAGGTGGGGATAAGGCTGATTGATGATGAAATTTCACTGTATGTGCCAAATAGTTGTACGTGACTATCTCGAGATAGCGATGTGTTAGTTCTTAACCAATCCGAAGCCAACTAGCATTATTAAGGAACATGGCTTCATCTTTGCCATTTCTGACATCATCTCCACACCCCTGACTCTTGCCTTTGTAAGCTGTAGAGGGGCTTGAGGGGTCTCCTTCACTGCATCAACTTTTCCCCGCATCGGCGCGGGGTGATTGTATAAACCAGCATCAGCTTCCCGAGTCCTCAACCAGTTTCAATATTGCCATCCTTTCTTAGTCAAACCAAGGCAAATAGTAGTACAATAGTACAATGGCGACATCGACGAAAATAGGCATCGTTTCCATTGGGGAGATGGGCCTTGGCGTCGCCCGGCTCTTGATTGCACATGGCTACACCGTGCTTACTAACATTAATGGTCGGAGGTATGAGAGCTTGTCCCAAGCAGACGCCCGCGGGGTGATGCTAATTGTGATACAGCCAGTACACCCGAGACCGCGCTGCGAGTGCATCTATCACACTACTCGAGAACGACGAGGAGTTGGCCTCACAGGCGGATTATATACTCTCCATTGTGCCGCCCCGGGATGCCCTGGCCACGGCTCAGCGATTCACCTCTGCGACTCGAGCTGACGATGCCCAGCCATTGTATTATCTCGACCTGAACGCCATTAGCCCTAGTCTCGCCCGCGATATCAGCGCCCTATTCGAGACTAATGCTCCTAGTGTTGTATTCGTCGACGGAGGTATCATTGGCGGGGCCCCGCGGCTTATCGAGCAAGCAGGAGGTAGTGGCGAAGCTTCTACATGGAAGCGCCCTTCCATTCCAATCTCCGGGCCTCGTCGAATCCCCGATGAGAAGCTAGCCGAGGTACTCAACACCGTCTATCTGGGACCACAGATTGGGAGTGCAAGTGGCTTAAAGTGCTGTTTCGCGGCGCTATCCAAGGGTCTCATTGCCCTTTCCGTCCTCTCCTTTAGTACCGCACATTCCTTGGGGGTATATGATGAACTCCAGCGCCACCTTGAGAAGTTTCAGCCCGCGATACAAGCTAGCACGAGTCGGATGATCACCGACATGCCGCCCAAGGCGGGTCGGTGGGTTCAGGAAATGGTCGAGATTGGGAGGTGCTTTGGGGAAGAAGGAGGCTGGGACCTAGCAAACGATGGCGAGGGGGCTGATGTATTCCAACGTGTCGCTGATGTATATAGCATTTTGGCCCACGAAACGGTGCTCGGTCAGGAAAGGCAGGAGCACAGAGCTAGGGGTACGACAGCAGAAGACGTAGCGGCGGCTATATCGGAAGCGCTACAGGATAAAAGAGGGGACGCTTCTTAGATTTGAAGTTTACGGCAGAGGGCACTAGAGTCAACAATAGTATATATATTGGTTGGAGAAGAAGGGCTACTACGTATCAATTGCGTCAGATACAATTGAGGCAGAAACCAGAGGTCAAGGCCCGTAGACTAGTCTCCGATGCGGGAGAAGCACCATAGTCTAGGTTCGCAGGACCATGTCTCCAGGTCTTCTCCTCCATGATCTACCCGGAAGCTATAATTAAAAACATAGCTCCTTGAAGCCTAGGGTATGCCATTTGTTAAAATTGACAGCTGGTTCCACAACTCTAAATTGCTAGGCTGGTCGTCGCTCCGCATGCTTGCCGGATCAATCCACACCACGTTGCCATCGGCTGCGCCGGGTTTTACTTTGGCCAAATACCACTGCTCAATATCTCGGTACGCCTTGGCGTGGTCGGAGAAGATTGGTTGGCCGCGAACGAATATTTTACATCGCGGCGATTCGAGCCCGCTGGCGGCCTCGAAGAGCTTGCTCAGCTGGTGCAACGTATCTGGGAGGTTGTAAATCCGCCTGGCGGCATCAAGTCTAAAACGTTTTCTCGACGCAGAGTAGCCTCGACGCCTTGATGACCGCGAGCGCAAGATGGAGAATCGGGATGAAGGTAAGGCAAGGGTACGACCCAATAGGCACGAGTCGAAATGAATTGCAGAGAGTTTGTGTGCTCATCAGGCAATCCCACATCATAGTGTACCTAAACTGGGAGAGAGACAGCATCTCGGCCTTTCCACAGTTCTCAAAGGACTCAAATAGCCGTATGCGGATAGCGGAGCAGTGGTTTTGTACGAGATCTGACACACTTGTTAGCCAGCTGTACAAAAGTTGCGCAGAGTACATACGATTCCATCTTAGATGATCTGGCAACTTTTCCACGAAAGCATCCAATTCCTTTTGAACCGAGGCAATAGCAAGAGAGTAAAGGTTGCGGAGCTGGGACTCAGTCGGTGCCTCTATCGTTTCCCAAAAGGCATCGTCTACCTTGGTCGCTATTTGTCCTATGCGTACAAGGTTGACCAACAAGAGGTCGGTGGGATGCTTTTGGTCTTGTTCTAGTTGCTTACAACAGACTTCCAAATGATGTGTGTATTCAAGTTTAGATCTCCGACCCAGGACGCTACATCGTCTGGAGCACGAGGAAATGTCAGAACAGTGCTGAGAGTTAGGCAATCACGAAGAGACTCTTACATTGACATGATATAGTAAAGGCCTAGGATAGCTCGGTGACCATCCGTGGTTTGCTCGGCTGGAAGGGCTGGGTCATTTCTCAGCTCAGCTGCATCATCGACAATGGATGCAAATGCCGAGTTTTGCGAGCGGCGCGAGGTACTCAACCCCAAGTCGCCCGCTACACTTATGGCCAGCTGGAGGAGACTTGATTCGCGGGCAGACGCGTAGAAATATATATCTTTCCTATTAAGGAAGTCTTGCTTAGTTTCAGAAGAGAAGTGATGAAGTGTTTGGGAGGCCTACCATGCAAGAAACACGAGAATGGCCTGGACGAGTTCCAAACTTTTGTTCGTCAGAACAACAATCTCATGTGCAATATGAGTTCGAAACCATGTCTCAAAGTTGGCGCATCCATCCGGTTCAGGGGAAGACAAGACCATAGGATGGTTTTCAATAGTAGTGGCTTCGTTTGAAGTAGGTCGTAGGCGCTGTTACTCGGAATGGGCACGAACGGGAACTCGGGGACCATGAGAGTCATGTACTCGTGTATGACTCTATCCGCTTCCGACAAAGGGATCTGGAAGCTAGGCAAGATGAAGACATGACCCGGCAGCGGCTCAGCAGAATTTCTAGTCGAATGTTCCTGCGGATTCGGGGTCTGGGTTTGCGATAACGCATTGGTAACTTCGCCCGCAGGGCCTTTGTTATTAATGACCTCGTGTTCAACAAGATGTCCGATACGGGATGGGGGTCCTTGGCCGCTGCTTAGAAGCCCCAATATGTCATCTAGCTTTCGTTCTATCATTCTCGAATGACTGTGGACAGGCCCTAGGTTAGCTCCCCAGAGCGGATAGTGAGATATGGCCAAAACGTCCGCATGCAGAACCTACGTTGCCTTGCCTCGTTTCTTTTGGATACAGAGTGTGACTTGGAACACGTAATGGCCTTCCTTGAACACCTGCATTGTGCTTTCACTTAGTAAGAACAAATCCCAGAGTGCGAATTACGCACCTTTGACAAGCGTCAGCATCGCTGTCGGGGGCCACAGGCACTTCACCTTGGCACGAGAGCAACTGGAGCACGCCCGAGCCTTTTTCACAGAGGGTGGGTCGGACATATTGGTCATTAATAAAGAAAACAAAGAGAAATGGCAAAATCAAGGTGCAGGAGCTGCTTTGGCGGGCTCGAGTTGACCCTCGGGGCGAAGAAGACACTGAGTTTGAAGTCCTCACGGGTCGGACGACAAAAAGACCACCGATGGCTTGGCATCGATGGGGACATCATGCATTTTGTACCGTGTGTGGCAAATTACGACGGGGACGGAATATCCCGACAAACACCCTTAGTAGCCAATAGCAGGCTTGTCCTCCTCCGTGTCCGTTGAGGTGTCGGTTTTCGGGCATTTTTGCTCGCCGGCGCCGTAAGCTCTGCGCAGGTGCAACAATGAACATTTGTTGTTATGCCAGAAAGTTGCCGTCTTTTTTTTTTTTTTTTTTTTTTGCGGCCAGTCTCTATTATCAAGCTAATCTTGCATCCGGCCCCTAGGTAATAGGTCATATACGTGCTCGTGTATAAATGCCGTGGACACTCCTCCCTCTTGAGCTAGTCTCGTTATCTGCCTCCCATTCTCTTTCTCTCGTTTTTATCCCTATTCTGTTTATTCTCTCATTTCTTGTCGGACTTATAAACACGTCACTCCTTTCTTTCTCTTTGACTTAGCCGTGTAGAGTCGCGTTCGATTCTATACGCGTACTCCTTCCCTTATTGGAACGGCAGAACGGTGACCAACGATCAACATCCTTAGTAGACGGGAAGATGGCTCCGGGGAAGGAAAGGCCCGATGTAGGAGATGCCGCCACCGGTCGCCAGTCGCAAGAAGGCTCCGTGCAAACGGATCTTATACCTAAGCGGGCTGCAACATTCAAGGATTACATGGTAAGAGGGTCATCTACCGCACACAATCTTCATATACTTATAGCTCCAGCGCATATTTTCCTACGGTACCAAGTGGGACTTTATTGCCTACGTCGCGGGTGGGCTGTCTGCTGCCATTGCTGGAGCTACCACGCCCCTAATGCTGATCTTGTTCGGTGCGTAGAGACCTACGATCTGACATCCGGTCCGAAAACTGACATTTACCAAGGTGATTTCGTCGACCACTTCAGTATCATCAATCTCGAGAGCTCTGATGCGGGCCTCCGGAAGGACATCAACCGACTTTGGTACGTTATTGGCCGACTCTTTTTCTTTTTCTTTAAAAGGGAGACTAATTATATCTTGATGTAGCCTTTACGTGGTTTACCTCTTCGTCGCTCGTTTCGTCCTTAGTGCGATCCACAAGTTTGCCTTCCGAATGATAGGGATCCGACTCTCAGCTGCCATACGCTTGCACTATTTGAACCGACTTTTCGGCCATAGCATCTATGAATTGGACACTTTGCCCCCGGCCATGCCGTAGGAACGCTCACAGCCACCAGCAATATCATGCAGCTCGGAATATCTGAACGACTTGGCACGTTCGTCGAGTGCGTGTCGCTCATCCTGACGGCCCTTATTGTCGCCCTTATATGGAATTGGGAATTAGCACTAGTCACATTGGCCGGCCTTGTGAGCGTCTTACTTATAGTCGGCGTCCTGATGCCGCTCACGGTCAAAGGCAAAGCCCGCCAGGTTGAGTCAGAAACCCAGGCGGCTGCTGTTGCTAGTGAGACATTTGCGGGAATTCGTATGATCATGGCCTGCGGTGCACAGAAGCAAGTGGTTGACAAATATGCTGCCTTTATCGAAACCGCCAAGAAGGAGGCCCAGTCTATCAGCCCAATTGCCGCGCTTCAGTTTGCATTGACTGTGAGTGGGCCACTTAGACCTCACCTCGGGACGAACAAGTGCTAATCCGCACAGTTTCTTGGTATCTTCGGGACTGTTGCGCTCACTTTCTGGTATGGTACTGTGATGTTTACCAAAGCCAAGTTGGAGAACATTGGCGAGATTGTCGTGTACGTTTATACCCAGTGTCAGCTTTTCTTCTTTATTTCCACGAGCTTTATGAATGTTAATGGCAAGATAGCGTTCTCATGGCTCTCACCACCATGTTCTTTTCATTCGATCGCCTATCCGTACCATTGCAGTCTATTGGAAGGTCCATGGCTGCCGCCTGTGAATTCTTCGCCGTCATCGATGCTCCTTTACCCGAAGCTGGACAACTAAAGGAACCGGATGTATCGGCCACTGGGGACATCATCTTCGATAACGTTACTTTTGCCTATCCTAGTCGACCTCACATTACCGTTTTGGACAGCTTGGACTTGCGCATCGAGTCTGGCAAGATAACCGCCATAGTGGGTCCATCGGGTTCCGGGAAAAGCACAATCGTCGGCCTCATCGAGCGCTGGTATACGCTAAAACAGCAAGATCAAACCGAGAAGAAGCCAGAGGACCACGAGGATGGCGGTGAAACAAACAGCGAAATTGAAACCTCAATGGAACGGTCGCCCGTCCGGCTACAGGGTACAGTTAAAATTGGTGGCCAATCGTTGGATGATGTCAACGTTAAGTGGTGGAGATCGCAAATCGGGCTTGTTCAACAGGAGCCATTCCTGTTCGATGACAGCATCTATAACAACGTGGCTCACGGTTTGATTGGCTCTTCTTGGGAGAACGAAAGCGAAGAGCATAAGAGGCAGCTTGTCAAGAAAGCCTGCGAAGAAGCCTACGCCGATGAGTTTATCAGCAAGCTCCCAGAAGTACGATTTTTGAACCGGCCCAACATATCCAAGCTCCCACGGTTTCCTCTAGCTAACAAATAACCTGCTATAGGGATACAATACGATGGTTGGCAGCGGCGGTGCCAAACTTTCCGGCGGCCAACGCCAGCGAATCGCCATTGCCCGGTCCATAATCAAGAATCCAGCCATCCTCATACTCGACGAGGCCACTAGCGCTATTGATGTGCGCGGTGAGCGGATAGTTCAGGAGGCCCTTGACCGAGTTTCTAAAGGGAGAACCACCATTACCATCGCCCATCGACTTTCCACGGTCAAGGCTGCTGATCGTATCGTGGTCCTTCAAAAGGGAAAAGTTGTTGAATCCGGAACCCATCAAAGTCTGACGGCCATCGATGGGGGACTTTATGCCCGCCTGGTAAATGCGCAAGCTGTCTCCCTGGGAAATACCGAGCTTCACGACTTTGAAGATGCATCCGCGGCCGAAGGCACCGATTCCTTGACTCGTGAGGAAACTCTACAAAAGTCCGAGTACCACGACCAGCCGGACATCGCTGCTCCGACAGAGGTTAAAATGACCCGTAGCTTCTTCAAAAGTTTCGCCCGATTTTTCATTGAGTCCAAGGCATACTGGAACCTCATTATTTTCTTCTTGATAACTTCCTTCGCCGCCGGCACAGCACAGCCCTTGTACGCTTGGCTCTTCGCCAACTCTATTGACCTTTTCAAATACCAGGAAATCCCCCAACAATTAATGGATAAGATGGATTTTATGTGTATAATGTGGACTGTATTTGCAGCCTCAGCATCTATCGCGTACTTTTCGACTTTTGCATCATCGGGCCAGGTGGCAGCGTCTATCTTGGCGATTTACCGGACACAATATTTCGAGTCGCTGGTCTTCCAAAAGGCGGCGTATTTTGATGAGGCCGGCCACTCGCAGGGCACTTTGGTTGCTCGAGTCAGAGATGATCCGGTACGGCTCGAGGAGATGATGGGAACGAACATCGCGCAGCTCCTTATCGCGATTGGGAATGTCATCGGTGGCGTGGTGATGGCTCTTGCCTACAGCTGGAAGCTCGCGCTCGTTTCATTCTCTGCCGCCATTCCAGTGTGCGTCTTCTCAGGGTATATCCGCTTTCGATACGAACTCCTTTTCGAGAAGCTGAACGACGAGGTCTTTGCTGAAAGCTCGCGTTTCGGTTCTGAAGCGATCGGCGCCTTTCGCACCGTAGTATCGCTGGGCCTCGAGGATTCGATATCAGCGCGTTTTGAGACTCTCTCCCACGGTCACGTCATGGCGGCATACAAGAAGGCGCGATGGGTCAGCATCGTCTTGGGATTCTCGGAAAGCGCTACGCTAGGTTTTCAGGCCCTCATCTTCTACTATGGCGGCCGACTTCTCGCTAATGGGGAGATTGGGATCGTGGCATTCTTTGTGTGCCTCATGGCTATGATGGGTGCCGCAGAAGCCTTCGGCCAGAGCTTAAACTTTGGACCCAACGCCGCCCAGGCAACCGCCGCATCAAACCGCATTCTCGATGCTAGAGGCTCTCGCTTAGCGGCGATTCCTGGGGACACCGATATCCCAGAGTCCCGGGATGGAATCGAGATCAACTTCCGTAACATTCGCCACAGGTATCCGGGTCAGAAGTTTCCTGCTCTTAATGGTCTGACATTGGCCGTTGAGAAGGGCCAATTTGTGGCCCTCGTTGGCGCATCAGGGTCCGGAAAGACAAGCATCGTCTCTTTGTTGCAGAGGTTTTATGAGCCGGAGAGTGGTCAGATCCTGTTCAATGGGAAGAACATTGCCGAGATCGATATCTACACTTACCGCAGGCACTTGGCTTTAGTGGCACAAGAACCTACTCTATTCCAAGGTGAGTGCCATAGATTGTTGCCGGTTTGCTTTTTTCTTCTTTTTCTTTTCTTTTTTTCACTACTGACTTGTGTAGGTACTATTCGAGACAACGTCCTTCTTGGTATTGACGCCGGAACTGTCACCGACGATGAACTCTACAGTATATGTCGTGATGCTTCGATTCACGATTTTGTCACGTCTCTTCCAGAGGGATATAATACTGATATAGGACCCCGTGGCGTATCTCTCTCTGGTGGGCAGAAGCAGCGCATCGCTATTGCTCGCGCCCTTATGCGTAAACCCCAGATCCTCATCCTTGACGAGGCCACCAGCTTTCTTGATTCGGAAAGTGAAAGATCCGTCCAAGCAGCCTTCGAGCGTGCGGCAAAAGGAAGAACGATGATTGTGGTTGCACACCGGCTGGCAACTGTCCACAATGCGGACGTTATATTCGTCTTGGGTGCCGGCGGCCGACTACTGGAGAAAGGAAACCATCAGGAGCTGCTGAGGATGAGGGGCGTATATTACCAAATGGTACGTAATCACATTTCAATTCTGCTAAAGCAGGAAACCAGCGGCTAACAAATCTTGAAGTGCCAAAATCAAGCGCTCGGCTAAAGTATCAATGCCGCCCCGGACATGGGTCTGCTCTGGACGCTGGCTTGACCTGTATGGCTGAGGAGGCGTTAAAGGCTGGCAGAGAGCGGTTCAGCTTCGCATCACTATCGTCAAACCTTTGGTTGCGCAAGAATCACGCTTCTGTACTCCAAGACCCGAGCGTTCAGTCAATCGTATACTGCGCAGGTTTCCTTTCGCTGAATCGGGTGGTATCGATTTCGATAATGATCGGCCCGCACTCTCTATAGATTTTGTTCTCGTCTATTCTAGAACATTGACATTTAATTCCTCCACTGTGTAGGATGTTTGTATTTTGAAATTAGTTTTACACGTTTATTGATGGATATATAGAGTGATCTTATGTTAATGCTTGAGAAATGGGCCTCGGGGTTTGGCCCTGGCTCCCGGCACTCGACGTCTCTGACTGATCGTCAAGCTGCCCAGGAGCCGCCCCAAACGTGAATCTTCGCTCTTTTCCGCTATAGTCAGATGGTGTGGGAAGCGGAAGTCCTCTGCTTTCCATGCTAGGCCTTGTCGTCGTGCTGCTGCTATATATTGTGAGAGTATCGGCATCGAAGCTCCTCCGGTCACCCGTAACGGACGTAGCCGTGGATCGTATGCGTCTACTCGCTGATCTTACCACCGCAAGTGATCTACGATAGAAGCTAGTCCGGGCTTCTAGTTCGAACGGTCCTCTCTGGGCCTCAAGCTCTACCGCCGGCGCAACCCCATCCATCTCGGAAGCATACACGTGCGGCAGCGACTTCGTCCCATATTCCCCTCCCTTTTCGGTAGCTGACGGCTTCTTGCGAGGACCGAGAAGTGGTATTGAAATCACAAAGCCCTTTCTGGCACAGAGGTACGCCAAACTACCAATGATGAATGCGTTGCCGATAAGAACCCCCAGCGCTATGCCGATCTTGGCGCCAGGAGTCAGCCCCGAGATATCTGCGTTTTCTGCCGGCTTGGTGATTCCTTCCTCGGGACTTGGGTCGGGATTTGCTATCGCAGTTGGTGACGCTGGCGGTGGTGGTACAAGGATCACGGCCGTTTCTTCTACTATTTGTGAAGTGGTTTGGCCATCTCTAGTCGTTGGCACGGTCTGGATATCGGTCGCAGATAGTGAGGTGCTCGATGACGTTTGATCTAATGGTGGTACGACCAAGGTCGGTCTAGGAAGGACGCTCGTACTTAAAACCGGGACGCTGTTTGCGGCCTGCTGGCGTTGAATAATGGCGGGGAAATCACGAAACCCTTGAGTCGTGATGACGAAGGCAAAACTCGAAGTTGAAAAGACACCCTCGCCAGCCAATGGGCCCATGGTTGCTTCTATAGTCATGAGATCGTTCCAAAATGAATCAAACGGTCGGAACGATATCTTCACCCTAGCGATAGCGGGTTGCCCTGGGGTATGCTGGTCGGAGACTACAACTGCGTGTTAGCTTAGAATAGCTTGAGCGCGGCGTGGTGGGCACACCTTCGAGCGTGATGGGCAACGCGCTTGAATCTGACTCTGGACTGTCCGGTGTCCATGTTCCTAGAACGGTGCTCGAACCAGACACGGCGCCGAGGATGCGAATTTCTGTAAAGTCGGACGAGGCATCTGATCCAGTCAGCGTCACTGTCGATGCGTCGTTTGAATTGACCCCGGTGGGAAATATGGGAGGCTTTGGAAAGCCGCTGAACACCACTCCACCCGCTTGCGCCGATACCAGCGAGACAAATGTCCACAGCAAGATAGCCGTGCTGCGACGGGGATTGAAGATGGGCGTCTTCATCACCATCTTTGCTGTTGATGAGGCTGTTGCATTTGTCAGTGAAGGGGAAAACAACAGACAAAAGCTAAACAGCAAGAAAGAAAAGTCGGATGATCAGCGCCGCAGGGACGAACGACATGATCCCCAGATGTGAGCCGTGAGCGGGGTGGCGGGCCATGTGCCAGCATTTCCCGACAGGGATCACGACCTGGATCTCCGCTCGGACATGTGCCACGAACCGGGTTGCCAAACAAGCTTGCACATAGCGTGGTTTCAGCTTTCGGAGCCCCTTGAACCGGCCCTATTAAGTCGGGGAATCCAAAGAATTTCTAGTCTTTTTCTTTATTGTTTTTTCTTCTTCCCCTTTCGTGTCGGTAAGGATCACGACCTGGAATGCAGGCTCTGCTAGTCGATTGTTGTCGAGTGGGTGTATCGGAACGCCATTCACTGGCTCGTCGGGATTTCTTGTTCTCTCGTGCCCGACCATGTGGGATTATTTCCGTGCGACGCTCCGGAAGCTGGGAGTTTCAGACTGGTCACGAAGGTTGTCACAATGCTCATCCCCCACTCCGGATCCTGCCGAGCACGGCACGCCATTATGATGGGCGGGGCAATCCTCTTGATGGAAGCTAGCATGGGAAGCCCAATTCTTTCCCAGCTTCGGAAAGACAGCAAGTGGTGGCTCAGGGGCTGGTCCAAGATCTGTTGGATCAAAAATGGACAAGGCAGCGTTCCCCGTCCTTTTAAGATCCAAGAGCATTGATATCCTGCGCCAACAAGCTCCGGTGGGTACGGGTGCTACTAGCGCGTGGCCTTGCCTTGCTACATGGGCGTTTTCACGCCGAGCTCAGCGGTTTGAAGAGTGAGCCTCTTTGCTTCTTGTAAAACCACAGAAGGAGGCGCGCCGGGGGGGTTCTATTGTTGCATATACACATCTAAATAGCGTTGCAAATTGTATGGGCGATAGGTCAATACAGTCGTCGAGCTTACTACCGATCAATGAACCACGTGCAAGCAATTGAGGGTATCCGTATCGAGGTATGATGGGCTAGATTGGCTTGAGGATCGATGGCTGAACCGGAATTCCGTTTGCTTTAGGAACAGGGTGAATTTTACTACTTTTAAAATATACTAAACATTTCATACTTGGCTTAGGAAAGTCCTAATGGCCAATGTCTAAAGCATCATTGATCTACCAGAGTTGCCTTTACGGGTCCTTAACGAGAGAAGCTGGACATGAGATTTACATATATTGTGAGGAGGTTCCTTTGTGGTAAGCGGCAGATGGATAGGATCCGGGTTCGCTTCCATGAACATCACTGGTGGAGGCCATCTAGACAGGCCATCTAGACAGGCCATCTAGACACTAGCGTGCTCATTGAGTATTACAGCTTCTATTGATGTGAATATATCTGATAGAGTTTCTATTACAATTAAGACTTTAATTTGGATACTTATTCAGTGATGGCATCAATTACCTTCACGTCCGGGTAAACCCACGTGCCATCGCTCATCTCCAGTTCAGCACCATAGAGACGAAGGCTTAGCGAGACGACACCACCACCCGCAGGAGTGGGAATCCAGTTACTGGTCCAGTTGGCAGGCGGAGGGTTATCCGCAGGCTGGGCTAGGATCTGGAATGTCCCATCCTCCGAGTCGTCTGAAAGGGGCGTTCCGTCGGGGAACGTGAGAGCGCTACGGTCGCCCAGCGAGGCCCTGTTCAGGTCATTGGGGATAAGGTAGCCCTTGCCGTCATACGCAGTAAGGCTCCAGAAACCATTCTTGCGGACCTTGGGCTTGCTACGGAATGTCATCATGATGGCTTGGTTGGCTTCAAAGTTGCTGTTCTTGCCATATTCAAGGCTTGGGTAAAGGACTTCGTCCCGGACGAGGGCCAGGTATCCCACTCCGGCAATTTGGGCACGAGCTTGGTAATAGCTACCGTACTCGCCAATGATGTCCGGGTTCTTGACCGTCAATTGCCGCCGACATTGATGAGAAATCCGGGCTGGCTGAGGAGAGCGGAAGCTGAGGTATTGGCAGCGCGAGACGCTTCGGTGAGGTCGGTACCTGCTGCTTGAGTGAATACCCCATCCTGGATGCCGGCCTGCTCGAGTAGCTGCGCAATCCAAGCCCGATCTCCCGGAACAATGGGCGGGTTATACTTGGCAAACTTGGCGGTAAGCTTGAGGACCGATTGCTCTATCGAATTCACCTCCCCGGGCATGTATTCGGGGTTGCTGAAGATGCTGAGGTCTAGCTTGGGGGCCACGACGCTCGACTTGCAGCGACCGGGGCGGCGCTTAATCTCCTCAATGCCAAATCCGTCTTGGAGCTTGCGCACCGCGTCGATGTCGTCCGAGTTGGCCTCGACGAGGATTCTTGCCAGAGTCAAGGCGTAGGCAGTAGGGAGGTTGATATACGCCTTGTAGGGAGCAGCTACATTCTCCGTTTGAACGCCCCAGTTGTCCTTGTTGAAGGTGACGAGGTATTTTCCAGCAGGATTGCCGTTGATGGCTCCGATGTTGGCAACATTGTTACCATAGCTATCAAGTCCGTTGTGTTAGTGAAAGGACAGGCGGCAATCACTCAGAGAGATAAGATCGTTGAGACTCACAAGTCATAGAAGGGCCAGATCCAGTACCGATCTCCAAACTCTGGGATGGTAATTTCCAAATCATTGTTGGAGACGTCGAGGAACACGCGAGAGTATACCGTGTCGGCATTCGGCCGCACCAGCCAAGTATTCGCCGCCGTGGCAAGGTCTCTTTGATGGAAGAGAGTGTTGGTGGTGGCGTTGTCGGTACCTCGAACGGCCAGCCCGTAGGGATAAATCGGGTAGCCATACTTTATACAATTAGTTTCCCACGCCAATCAGGCAGAAAGCCGTCAGAGATTGGACCAACTTACAGTGAACGCAAAAGTCAATGCCCGCTGCGAACAGTCGACCGTCGCACATTCAGCAGCCATAACGGAGCTCTGTAGGAGGGCGGCGGCGGTAAGTGCGCTCTTGATAACTTGGCTGACCTTCATGGTTACAGTTCCGTTCGAATGCGCAACGCTGTGCAGTGGAGAAGACAAAGATCCATTGACTCTGGGAGTAGAACCTGCTCTATTTTATAGATAGATCCACCAATGTCTTGAGCTTGAAGCTTCCTATTCTTCCTTTGCCGCGTGGGGAAATTGGGGTCCATCCGGGGTAATGCGGAGAAGCTAGAAGCTTGTTCGGCATCGGCATCACCAAGATGAGCGTGGCCGGCAACGTTGCCGGCTAGGGTAGGTTTAGGTTAACCGTCTGACTAGGCATTCCTCCATGCACCCGACCCCGAGATTCCGGATCCGGGGAAGCGGGGATCGTGGCTGCTGGGATAGATCAGTAATCTAGTATTTTGCAACCTTACAAGGCCCGTCCAGGATGCGCTAAAATGGAAAATAATCTCCCATGATGTCACGATGCAATCTCCAAGGAGACGTCGGGATCCACCCGCGCCAATTTGAGAACCGCAGGAGTCAATGCCCCGCCGTCCCGTTCTCGAGCGAGAGCCGCTAGCGTCGTCCGAAATCCGAAGGACGCGCGACGAGAGAGCAACATCTCAGCTGTTCAGCAACCCTTCCTGAGGCCACGAGGGTTTCTCTTCGTCGCGGCAGAGAAGGACCCTGTAAGAATTCCCCGGGATGGGAGCCCAGATTTCCAACACTATCGAGAACGTCGTATTGAGTTGCTGTTCATGCCCAATTCCCAGCAGAGGGTTTATACAATGATTATCATGGAAGCAGAGGGGGATATTTCTTTCACATGAGTGCGCTTGGCGATGCATTCACGGTGTCTCGTTCCGGGTGGGTCGAAGCCTGACGCCTAAATACCATCCATCCCCGTGGGAAGAACCTGCAGGAACCCAGCGCTCTTTGCAGCCGTCGCCACGCCACGTAGCCGTCGGTAAAGTCTGGTTCGCGAGAGCTACATTGTCCGGCTTTAAGGAATTACAAACTGAAAATGCGTTTGTCTTGATAGTTTGAAGCTGCGCTAGATCCTACACACCAACTTATATATCCTCATAGCAATAGCATCACTACCGGGAGACAGGCGATTCTTGAGAGAACCCAAGCACGCTAAGCCACGTAAAATTCGGTGTAGATCGAACAAGTAAGGCTCGGTTTAAATATTGATAGCACTCAAACTAGTAGATGTCTTCCAGGTCGCTCTCTGTCCACTCTTCCTCCTGGAGTGCGTAGGCGGTCTCGACAGTTTTGATATCGACCACCCCATGTTTCTTGGCATACTCTGTCCAGTGCCCAAGCATCTCAACAAACCTCTCAGGATACGCATCTCTCAAGTTGATATCCTCCGCTAGATCCTCGGCCAAGTTGAACATCTCCCATTCCCCTGTGCCCCACGGTTTCGGTAAACGAACAATCTTCCAAGTTCCCTTTCGTAGGGCCTGACGACCGAGAAACTCCCAACCAGTGATGGTGTCTTCGTCGTGAATGGACTCGGACTCACCCATCATATAGCTATTCCAGCTCTTCCCCAGCATTTCCTGGACATTTTTGCCTTGGTACTCGGAGCCGGGGTGGCTTGCCCCGCAAGCTCGAGAATCGTCGGTAGAATATCCATAATTGTGCAGTACTGGTGGCTTACAATACCTCGCCGCGCCCAACCGGGGTAATCAACAAGGGAGCAAACTCGAATCCCCCTTGATGCGTGAAGAACTTCCAGAGCTTGCTTGGAGCTGTCCCAACCTGCGCCCATCGATTTCCATACCAACAATACGAATTCGGCATACCTAGGTTCTCAAGAGAATTATCAAAATACTTCTTCATCGTAGGTATCACATTCCGGTTTGCCGGGGCTGCCTCTAGCTGAGTGCCCTCGGCCCCGTTATCCGAGAGAAAGAATATGATGGTGTTTTCACGCTGGCCTGTAGCCTCGAGATGGTCTAACACCCGACCGATGTTGTGATCCATGTTCTCAACCATGGCGGCGAATACTTCCATCTTCCGTGCTGATCTCTTCCGAGCTGTTTCGTCCCTTTGTTCCCACGGGCGATTCGACATTCGGTGTGGATACTGGTAGAAGTCAGATGGCTTCATGTCTCGAGGATGAAGCCTAGATCTCGCAGCCTCTCAATACGCTGCTCCCGGACACGTTCCGGTCCCTCATCGTACCGTCCTTTGTATCGATCGATATACTCCCTGGGCGCCTGCAGCGGAAAGTGAGGCGCCTGAAAAGGAAGATATGCAAAGAAGGGCTTTTCCGCCGGTTTCTCTTCGAGGTAGGTGAGGAGACGGGTCGTAAAATAGTCGGATGAGAAGTAATCACTGGGGAGCTCATCCACCCACTCATTCTCGTCGAGATACATGCCCGTGACGCCGCCACGGAGTAGCGCCGCGAATGGATAGTCCTCGGGCATGAGCTCAGGCTGCCAACCGTGATGGTTACCGCCGCCGAGAAGCATGGTGAAGGACTTTTCGAAACCGCGGGCCTTTGGAGAATGCTCTTTCGTCGACCCTAGGTGCCACTTGCCAGCCATGATATTGTAATAACCTGCATCGCGAAGGAGTTCTGGGATTGTGACAACACTAGTGGTAGAAGGCAGCACAGTTAGAACATGAGAACGACAGACCTAATGTGGTAGAGACATGCGAGATCGTAACCGACTTATTACTGAGATGGCCCAGGTAGCCTGGCTGGTCCTTGAGTTCCGGGATCTGGTACTTCCCCTGGTGGAACTCGGGGATGGTACCGAGACCCGCCAGATGCGCGCTCGTCCCTGTCATGAGCATAGAGCGCGAGGGCGAGCAAGCAGGGGAGGCTTGGAAGTCGCTGAAGCGTACACCACTATTGCCTAGCTTGTCGATATTAGGCGTGTTGATCTCGCCTCCAAAGCATCCTGGGTCGGTAAAGCCGAGGTCGTCGGCAACGATGACGAGAATATTGGGACGAGGATCCTTTTGGGACGGCATTTCTGCTGTATCTTGTGCTTTGATTGCCTGATTTCTCGTTCTCTCTATCTCTCCGTTCTTTGAGATTTCCTCGTGGAAGCGAGGGAGTGCCAATAAAATGAAAAATAATAAAATACACGGATATTTTGACAGAGAAGATGAGCGCCGGACAAGGATAGGAAAAGAGTCCTTCTCTGGAAGAGAACGAGAAGCTTTTAAAAGGGAGAAAAGTAATCAACTAGGCCGCCGAGATCTCGCATGAATGACACCGAGACCTCGTAGGATGTGTTGTGGAGTAAAGGTGTAGAGTGGAGGTTGTCTAGCCGTGTCTCCCCTTGGCAAAAGCGCGTACCCCAGCTTGAACGCATCTTGACATCAACAGGCGTTGTCAACAATGTACCAGTTGATGTATGTGGTAGCTGTGGAAAGTGAATGGTGTTGGTGTGTGCCGTGACATTTCCCTCGTGCGGTTCCCCGCCTGCTTCCGTCTCTCCCCGTTTGTCCTCAAGCCACAAATCGGGTCCATAAGCAAGAGCCTAGCTTGTCCAGCTAGTTAGTCTTAGCAACTTAGCTAGCCAAGCCTAGCCCAGCTACGGGGAACAAGAGCCATGGCTGAGTGCACGAGATGCTTCCAATAGATGCCTTCAATGTTGCCTCAAATATAAATGAGTGATATCATCTTAAGTCCTTGTGACAGCGGATTCCGCAGGGTTCAACCCCAATTTCGGCAGTCAACATTTTGGAAGCCAAGTTTGATAAAATGGCTGAGAGCCAACCTCATCGCCTCGAGAAGCTCGCTTCCCGCCTACCCCCGTGTTTCCGTGTCTCCCCGCCCTTTCCCCATGTCTTACCCCAATTCGGCAAAGGCGCGCTCCAATTATTGCCCTCGCAGCGCCACTAGACAAGGCCCTCCACGAGCATCCCCACACCCCCTTGAAGAGGCGGCCAAATTGGAATCCAGTCAGGGCTCGAGAACTTTTCCCCAGACCCCGCACGGCATGTCTGAACAGCTCCCCAGGCGAGGCGGATATCCTAGTCCGTGGACTTCAAAGTCGCTGGGGAAATGCGTCTCAAAATGTCGACGATACACGCTGTCTTGGTGATTTGAGAAGAAGAATGGCGGAGAGGAGGTCTAGATGGCAATCCAGCTGAATAGTTCTTCTCATCAACGCATTTTCTCAAAAGCTTTATTATATTAATGCTCGGTCCTTCCTCTCTACCCACAAACTCTTCCGCTCTACAAAACCAGCCGTCTTGTTATTCTTTTACTCTTTATCATTGCCATCATCGCCAAACACATCGTTCCTCATTAGAAGCTATGTCTTCATCCCCAAAGGGGGCCGATCCGGGTCTCTCGACAGCTTCGCCCATCCGCGAAGGACGTACCACTTTCCGCCAGGACCGGCGATGCATCCTCATTTGTTTCTTGGTGTCCCTCGCCTCCCTGCAGTATGGCCTTGATTTGGGTGTCATCAACTCAGCGCAAGCTATGAAGGGCTTCCTCAAGGTTTTCGGCCACCCGAATCCCAAAGCTCCAAACGGCTATGGTATCGCTCCTTCCTTTCAGCAGTCTATCACAGCCATGATGAACGTTGGTGTCATTCTCGGTTCTCTGTCCTTGGAAACATTTGCCCACTACCTCGGTCGACGCCGCGATTTCCTGGCCGCTGCTGTCTTCTGCGTCGGCGCCAATACGATTCTGATCGTCTCCACCAACAAGGGGGCCGTCATTTTCGGACGACTCTTGTTTGGTTTTTCAAATGGTCTCTTCCTCGGGTTCACAAACATCTACATCTCCGAGGCAGCTCCTTCGCACCTGCGAGGAGCCTTGATTAGTTTCCAGCAGCTCAGCGTGTGTATCGGTACTGTCATCGCTTCTGTCGTGAACAACCGGACCAAGGCACTAGAGAGCCGGCTTTCGTACCAGATTCCACTCTTCACTCTGTACGGCGTCCCCGTATTCTGCTTCATTCTCGCCTTTTGTATCCCGGAGTCGCCGCGTTGGCTCGTCCTTCGAAACCGCGACGACGAGGCAATTACACATCTAGCCCGCCTTCGTGGCTCCCAGTATCCGCGCGAGGTAGTCGAGGCTGAACTAAAGCAAATAAAGGTCGCAGTCGAAGTCGAAAGAGAGCTTAGCGTTAGCAGGTGGGCTGCAATGCGGCTGATGTTTTCCGATGCCGAACTCAGACGAACCCTCCTCACAATCGCCGCGGGCACAATGCATGGCGCATCCGGATTTCCCTTCATCGCGAATTATAAGACATATTTCTTCCAAGTCTCTGGGTCGAAAGATGCCTTTATAGACTCCATCATAGTCACTACCCTCTCCATTGTCGGCGCCATCGGGGGTCTTCATGAACCGATATATCGGTCGCCGCCCGATGTTGATGGGCGGGTTCGGGCTGCAGTCCGTTCTTATGTTGGTCATTGGCATCGTATGGACCACAATTCCCGGCACCCCAACTTCGGGCAAGATCATCGTCGCTATGATTGTTATATATCAGTGCTTCTATTCGGCCGCCGCCGGCCCAACCGTCTTTGTAGTAGCAGGCGAGATCCCCAACAACCGTCTCCGAGCTATGACTTATGGACTGGGCAACGGCATCGGTTTCATCGCGAATTTCCTTATTGCGCTCACCACGCCGTACTTTATCAATCCGGAAGCGCTTAACATTGGTGCAAAAGGTGCGTCGTCTCCCCTTCACTAATATTATTTGTCATTGAAGATTTGCCAAGACTAACTTGTCATTAGTGGGATACATTTGGGCTGCCTCAAATTTGATAACCGCTGTATTCGTCTTCTTCTTCCTACCAGTACGTCTTTTTCCTCCCCGCTAATACTCTTCTCGGCATATCGTGTTTAACCCATTTTTGGTTAGGAAACGCACCGCCGAACTCTTGAGAATATCGATGAGATGTTTTACGCAAAGCTTCCCGCTCGGGAATGGAAGAGTAAGAGCCCAAACGCCGCATTCCGGACCCTATTTCCCGTTCAATAGTACTAATCCCCTTGGTAATTAGACTACGAGTGTGTCGGCTTTGAAGACCACCGCGCTGCGGAGGAAAAGGCGGCCGTGATTGAGGAGGAAAGAAATGTAGTTTCTCCGGCGAGCTTGAGAGAGTCGGCCTCGAAGGCTTGATAGCTGGTCGTAGCGTAGTATGGCTTGGTTAGGTTGTCCCGTGGCTGTCATTGTTTTCTGCAAAGGAAACATCTTTGACGCGTCTCCGTTTCAGTATGTAGAAGTGCGTGTCACTCATAATACCACAAAACTGTTACCCGATGTATTCAGACACATGCAGTACACTGCGAGACAAGATCCCCTTTCCACCGCAAACGGAAAAGGCCAATATCAAGGCACCAAGGGAGTTTCCCATGTCTCATACACACTCCGCGGTATAATCTCTCGAGCACGACAGCCATCCTTCCAAGATCCGACGCCTCCACTCCCCATCGTCTTAGGGACTCCACTGCCAGCTCCAACAGCTGTCTCCAATTTCCCGGGGCTTGAACCTCGCCATCCCGTAGCACGACACCGAGGAGAACAAGGGCGCACCGAAAGGATCGACGTACGACAAGCCACGTGTGGCCGTGACGGTACGGGTAAGACCCCGCCGGATCATGTCCGCGCAGATGTCCACCTCATACCGAACTATGGAAAGCATCTCGGGTGTAGACGGGGCCTCGGGATGATGGTGGAGGTAGTAATAGAGGAATGGACGGGATATCCATTCGCTCCACTCTCCGAAGTGGCCTCGAAGATGGAAGACAAGCTCGTTGTCGGGCTGACTGTAATCGTCGAAGCGAATGGAAGCCGGGAGGCAAGAGCGCCTAGATTATGGTTAACTCGTATTCCTATATCTCCCAAAGGGTAACGGGGGAAATTTCCAAACGACGAAGGCGCATTGGACGGTCATACCATTCGGTAAGTTGTTGGAGTGACTCGTGGTATTGCCTACTGATAACATCTATATTCCTGATCCAGTCTTCCTCGCCTCTTTGATAGAACACGCGTATTACATGATTGAGTATCCTTCGCAAAGAGATTACGGCAAGGTAAAAATACCAACTACGTTCTCTGGTCGTTGGATGGATCCCTGACAGCTGGTCATTGTTGGGCGCGAAGGGGACTGCGATGGGCGGGGTAGGGAGTGTGTCTGGGAAGTTGATACTGCGTAAATCCGTCGGCTCTAAACCCAGTTGAGAAAATAGTTCGCTAAGGTGGAAGTCAAGTTGTTAGCTTTCGTCCAGGTCTCGTGGGAAGGAATACCCGCACCCCCTCCAGGAGAAGGATACAGGGTCGGCGATACCTCTCAGCTTTGAAAAGGGACCAATAGACCCGGTGTTCAAGCCCACTAAACCCTGATTCGCATGCAGGTTCAAATCCCATTTTAGACACGTGCACGCGCAAGCGAGCTGAGGCTTGCTTGATATGGAACCAGGCCTGTAGAGGGCGTAGGGCATGGCCCTCGTAGACAGATGCCAAAAATAGCACTGGACATCTAGAAGCGAAATTCCAAGCAGGCCCATTCTCTTTTTGGCGGCGGTATAATACGCGTCTGCGAGATTCTTATCGCCGCCGACGCGGTTCGCCGGATCGGGGTATTCGCCGTCGGGCTCTGGAGGGACCCAAGAAGTTTCGTAGCAACCTAGAGCGCAGGCAAGTAACTACAAGGGGCAGATCAATCAAGACATGGCTGGATATTAGCAAAGGGAACGTTCTCTCTACAACACTGTTCCATCGCGAATATTTTTCTCTATTTGCCACGGCAAAGGAAACAGTCTAGACAAGCACAGGAAGGGGGAGGCTGCATCACTCACGACAAGGCACGTCTTTGAATCCCATCCAAGCCCATGCTCAGTCACTGCTTTCGCGTAGGAGATGAGCTCGCTATCTTCTAAGATTGGATTGCGCAAATGTGTGTGAGCGAGGAAGGCCTGGCATAGCCGCACCAAAGAGTCTTCCCGGATACCATATTCGATATATCCTTTATTCGACGATACTCGGTCCCCATTGAAATCCGAAAAAGCAGCAGACAAATGAGCGGCATCATTCGTCTCAATGATTGCCTCCTGGGGCTCAAGAATAAAGGACTCTATTCGAGCATCGCTCTGGAGAATGACATCTTTGAATATTGGCCACTTCAAGGGGGCCTCGGACTTTGTGTAAGGAGAGTAGAACGGCACCCTACTCAAGTGGTTTTCCGACGATTGTGGGGTAGAGGTAGATGCGTTCGACTCGGGCTGCCAGGCCGGAGAGCGAAGGATCGAGTTCGGAGAGGCCAGCGAGATGGGACACGCAGCTTGTCCGTGTCTGGACTCTAGCCGAGTGGCCGCAGCAGAATTCAATAGCTCCTCAAGCCGATCAAATCTTCCCAAGAGTTCCTGATGCTGCCGCCGATCTTCATGAGAATCCCGCGGCGGGCTTCTGGGCGCTTGGTCATCACGAGCTTCATCATAGATGCATCTTGCCCCATGATGTCGACAAAAGCCGCAGATTGGGCTTGCATTATCGCACTTGGCCTTTCGAGCCCGGCAGAATTGACAGGCCGCGTGGGCCCGCTTTCTCCGCACGAGGCGGGCATCCGCTTGGTTGGGTCGCTGCCGCTTCGCAGGGGCTCCTGCGGGGGCTGTCTTGATCGGGACTGTCGTATGGGACATGGCGAGTGCTTCGCGGATTGTGGGTGACGGGCTCCATCCGTCCTGCCTATCCGCCAGATGCGACTCTGGAACCGGAACCGGAGTCGTGGAACCACGTGCAAGCTCAGGGGTAGGTGTTCGAATTTCTTACCTACCTATCACCGCCCATCAGCTAACCGAATTCCGGGGAGGGCTGAAGCTGTGGGGAAATAAACCCTCTTCTGTGACCAGAAAAGACGAAGAGGTCGACGTCGAGCACGGGGCGGGGGAAAACAAACGGACGGGGAGACACGGGGAGAGGTAGGAAACTCAATCTTTTAAGAATATCGAGGCGCAGAGTGCTTTGGCCAGGGGCTATACTCTATGGGTGTTAGTCAAATTTCCCCAGAGTAGCAACACACTGTGCCTGTGAGCCGAAGGAACGGAGTGCCGGCCAGTCGTGAACCAACCCCATGGACGCTAGGTCTCGGCAACTCGAATTGTCAACTTATGCGCGCTATACTTCACGTGTGGTAATTATTCAGCCTCCGCCGTCAAGCAGTCCTTTTCGCGGGGTTTGGAGAGCTCGAGGACGGTGAATCGCGTACACGCGCGGCTCAGCCTGGCAGCCGATGCAGTCAGTTCTTCGGACCAACAAGCCAACAAATATACCAGGTAGGCACCTCTCAACAACCATCAATCCCCTAACCCCTCCCAAAGTAATCCTCCATGTTTCTAGATATTGAACATGTGAAGACCTCACAATGAATAATTATACTGAGATAAGACGTAGACTTTTTTGCTGAATCTTCCGGTTCTCCACCGTAACAACCCTCGACAGGCCCAAAATGGCAAGAGTGAAAGCGCATATTGAGACCAGCGTGGTTAACCCAGCACTCATAACACGGTTTACTCAGATGGATCGAGGGTTAGTAGAGATATTATATTGAGATATATAGTTGAATTTCCGTCGCTTTTGCGTTATTTAGCGAGGCACATGATCGGAATCCCTCTTCCCAAGCTCTCTTGATGGCCACCGTTCTCACGCATCTATCTCTGCTTCTACTAAGCGCAGAGAGTCAATGTTACATTGTAGTCGCTGCTGCACACCTTGACTTGGCTGCCAGCAGGAGGAGTACCGGTATTCCACACAATCGGGCTGCAGTTGCCGTTGTCGCTCGCCACAACAAGTTTGCTACCCTGGAATGGGTCACCGAAAACGTCGCTGAGGTCGTACCAGATCTGGGCACCGTCAAGGTTGAAGGCAAAGTTGGTTTGGGGGCACCGGTCCAAAGACCGTCGGTGGGGATCGTGATCTTGAGAGCGCGCCCTCCAGTGACGGGGTCGCGGGAAAACTTCTCGCTGTAGGACCCACCGCGGGCCTTGAGGCGAGAAGGGTTGCTGACCTGGCTGCCGACAGACCAGAGGGAAACGTCCTTGGTGCACAAGTTGACGACACGTGCCGAGCCGAGCGCCGTGACTGACGCTGCGGAGGAGATGGCGACAACTGCGAGGGTGAGGAGAGACCGCATTTTGGCTGGATTAAGCGAAGGTATTGGGAATAGGGGCGTGGGTGGGATATGAGGGTTTGAAGTGAGGTTGTTGTAGCCTGCGAGGAGTGGTAGTGAGCGATGGCAAGTAATGGAAGACTTGGCCAGAGAGAAGGCGTTTATATAGAAGTTTTACTGAACAGCGGTACAAGCCATTTCCTAGCTAGAATGACGATGCTTCATCGAGGTGGTGTCACCTCGGTCGGTGGACATTTGTCCGTGTCGCTGGAAATGATTATTCTCGTATTGTACAACCCCCGGATGCTCATCGCGACACATGACTCCTGGTGATTCTGCGCCAAGGTTGACAAGGTTGAACTGTCACCGCCTTCCCGCCATCCTCTTTTTACCACGAAAATGAAGCGGCTTCCAGGAAAGCCCAACGGTGGTAGCAAAAGAAAAACAAAAGTTGAGTCAGCCCAATATGATAGACACCCTCTCGCCGAATGCACGAAATCCTCTCAAGCTCCATCTAGGTCATCATGGCCCTCGAATCAAAGTCCCCACAATGGCCTCGGTCTAAAAATAGCGAGAATAGGGCTCGGAGAGTTATTGCTATCGGGCTGAGACATGGCGGGAAGGAGCCGCGATGTTTCTGGCCTGCCGTTCTAGGGTTGCTTTGGAGTGGAGCACGGCAACCCTTCAAAGGAGGAATACGAACTGCCCGCCAGAATTTCGACTCGGGATAAGCAAGTCGCTAGGGGGAATCTCGCACTGATCTCCTTGTTCGCACATCGGGTCCCCGCGAAAGACGCGGCACTCACGCGGAATCATTTCTCCGAACGATTCTTCGTCGGCCTCAAGGACGGCGTGCAGAAGACATGCAGCACGTACGGCTGATCATTTCCCGCCTCTGCCATTTCGAGGTGGGTGTGTCCAGATTCGTCAGGCCGTTGCGGTGCTCGGAGGGGGAAAGCTCGTATTGGAATGCAGCATTGCATGATTACCTCAACCTTTTTCTATTGTTTGGGTTGGCAACGTGCGAAGAGTGGGGGCTGCAGCGCGATATGCACCGATCGAGGTTGATATTCAAGCATCGCGACAATGCATGCTTAGGCGATGGGGCAGGTCCTCCTGGTCTTCTACTTACGAGACAGACCCAAGCTGACCTTCGCAAGAGCTGCGCACTGTTGGCATCGGTGACCCTCGCAAGAGTCTGATTCAATCACCCTCAACCACACACCCATTTTCGACTTCCGATTTGTGCCTGAGGCTTTGAAAGCCATCCCCTTGACGCTCCTACCTACGTATAGGTGGAATGAAACCCCGGGTTCAAGCGGCTCGTTGGGCATGCGTCACGTCACTGTGAGGAGAGGATGGCCTCGTGTCTGCCGACGGCGCCCGACTCCGCATATATGGGGAGCTTAGGCGGTGTCGATGAAAGAAATCATGCTCGTGAGCTTGACATGCAGGCGCTTGCGGAAAAATCCCTTGAATACGCAAAAACCACGAGGTTAAACACGGTCGCATCAAGGTCGTCAATACGGGGTGCCAACGTTGGTTGCCATCAATGATGTGTCAAGAGCACAACCATCTGTCGCTTCGGAACCCGGATGAGAAAAGAGCAATGAGGTAACCTCTTCTTTGCGATCCTCCTTTTCAGCGCGTACGATTTGATTCTTTCGCCCTGCTGCGTCTTCTTTTGTCTCTTCGATATCCTTCGTGTGGCCGGGGCAGCGATAAGTTGGATGGGAATCCGGTCACAGGAAGGTGATGCGTAAGCTCATTCACCTTGGCTTGTCTTTCAGCCAAAGTTGGGGGCGAGATTGAAGGATTTTAGGTTGTGGGCTAGGGCCAGTCAAGGCGGGAGATCGATCGATCCACGGGGTAAATCAAAGAGCGGGGTTATCACCCCACAAAAGAGCACAAGCCCGGCTAGAACTGGTGACAAGCACTCAAATGGAAGAGACAGGCAGGTCCGGGTCAACTGTCATCGAGACCCCATTCAACCATATGAGGAAATCAAGTTTGGACATATCGTTAGTAAATAGGTCCCAATGAATCAAAATAATAAGAACAAATGCGGATTTCGATCGAAGAAGGAAACACGAGAGGCCCACGGCGGATGTCGGCGGTGGCCGCATGCCACTAACCCTTAAGCTAACAGTCCCCATCGTTGCTTATCAGATAATCAGACTTGGCTGGGCTGATTCTGAGTCATAGCACTGCATTTTCTCCAACCCTCATCAGGCCCCTCTTCAAGATTGGTGCCTAGTAATTGAGGTGTGTCCAGGGCCCTACCTACCCGTGATGACAAGCATGAGGTGTCGCCGCTAGACTGGACAACAACTTCACACACCACACACACACACACCCCAAGCTCAACCAAAGAACCTCGAATAGGGCCTCTATACTCCCTGACCCTAGAGCACCACTCGCAGCGGCCCATCTCACCCCTCACATCATGGCAACAGACTCCAAGCCATCCCAACCCCTCGTCTTCTACGACATCACCTCGAGGCCACCGGTGGAGGAGACATGCTTCTCACCTAACCCCTGGAAGACGAGACTGGCGCTCAACTTCAAGAACCTCCCGTACTCGACAAAGTGGGTGCCTTTACCCAACATCCCCAAAGTTCGCAAAGGTTTAGGCGTGCCCGCCTGTCGCAAATTCGGCGATGGCACGGACTTCTACACTCTCCCCATCGTCGAGGACCCTCCGCCGATGCCATAATCGGCGACTCCTTTGATATCGCCGTCCATCTGCAAAAACATACCCAGACTCGGGTGCAGGCGACCTTTTCCCCCTCAGCCACTCGACTACACGTTTAGGAGCCAGTACATCCTCGTGCCGCTCTCGGAGTGCAACAACAGCGAATTTCCCGAGTACGCCAAATTCAACGTCAACATCGACGCAGCCTTCACCGCCCACGTCCAGCTAACGGTGGACGGGTTCCCCTTCGACCCCGACTACGCCGACGCCACCAAGGCGGAGTTTGTGCGACGAGCCGGCGTCCAGCGCTGGGAGGACTTCTCCCTAGCCCGCGAGGCTCGAGAGAAGATGAAGGATTCTTTCCGGGAGATGTTGGGCGATTTACTTCCCTTGTTCGCGACGGGTGGGCCTTTTCTGCTGGGAGCCAAGGCGAGCTACGCGGACTTGTGCATCGGTGCTTGGCTTCATTCCATGTACGTGACCCTGCCCAAGAGCGAATGGGAGGAAGTCATGAGTTGGCATGGGGGCTTTTTGGACGATTCTTTGATGCGCTCGATGTCTATGCGCAAGTCAAGTGAGGCACTGTGAGAGACAGAGCTAGGTAGTAGAATTTCAAAGAATGAAATACGTCTCCGTCGAGGATGCAACTGCTCTGTCCACTTTATGTATTTCACATCGAACCCCCAGACACAGTGAAACTGGGCCGCTCGTTGTGCAGAAAACAGCATATGGGATAAGGGAGTCTCTTGAGCTCGTGGCGGAATAGGAGGATGTGGTCTGCATCGGGTTGTGGCCCTATATGCCAAAATATGAATGAAGATCGGTCCCGAATCGTTCATTCGTCGCTCACTCCTACACTAGGCACTAAGGACCATACCTGGGGAGAATTAGTATAAGGTGGTTGCTGACTCTAAGGAGAAGATAAGCGATCTACTTAGAATTGCGCGTTTAATTAAGAGAAACAGAGAGGATTCTCGATTTGGTTTTATATCTAGGATGCATTGTCAATCTGGCGCACGAGTGGGGAGGAGTGCTCCGTCATACCCGTGTATTCGGGCTGGGGTGGCTCAACCCCTCGCTCTTGTCTCAACCCGACAGTCCTTGCGAATCAATCCTTGGCGTGTCCCTCCATTCGGGAAGGAATGGGATGGGTGGTGACCGGCCCCACCTCCCCGTTCTTTCCCTATGTGCGGATAGGATTGCAGCGAATGCATCACTCCGAATCCTCAATATGAATGAACCCAGGACAGCAATTCCAACACGCCAATGAAATTCTCGGTTAATAGATGGCACGACGGTCAACAATAGGCAAGCGAGACAACGCAAGGGATTCGAGCTCTTTTGGCTCGAAACACTAATTAATTCGCATTCCGGTTCAATCTGACGTGTATACCCGGTCAGGACCCCGCAACTTCTCCTCGGAGACCAGGAGTATTCCGGGTTACTTAAAGGATGGCCAAAGAGCGCGTTCTCAAAACTGGCTGTGAGTCGATTGAGTCGCCCATCTCTTTGGACGCTCCCATATCAACTACTGATCATTTCTTACACTGATGAGAGCCCTTCCAAGTATCGCGGCGCTCCTCGCGCTCGCCCAACGCAGCTATGCCAACCTCGACATCATCACTCTGATGGCGCCTAGCGGCAATTATATCGAAGAAGTCTCCGCAACACTCGTTGTTGGCGATGTCCCCAATCCGATCACCGGAGATATCGCTCTATGGAGCGCCATCATGATGGACAAGCAGGACTTTTTGCAGGGAGTGACGCAGAATTCACCTCCAGGGCTGTACGAACACTGCCGGTCCATACGTTGATATCATTGAAGACACGAGTACCCTCGTGGCCTTGGCTAACATGGTGTCATAGAGGATACTGCCAAAACCTCGGCCAGAACTGGTGCAATTTTGCGTACAACTACGGCAATGGAAACGTCGAAGCAGGCGTCCCCGTGATCGCGCCTCCCGGCTCTCGTATAAAGACCCATTGTAAGTCAATATCTCTCCGTTTACCATAACGCAGTCGTCGACCTAACGGACAACGTAGACAAGCTCAATCCAGACACGGATAAATGGGAGCAGAAGCTATACATCAATGATGAGCTCGTTTCTGAGCTTACTTCGAGTATGTTGAGCCCCAAAAAGACCCAGGATGCGTCGAATATTTCTGACACCAAATGTATAGGCCAGGGCCAACGCGGTTCCATCTTCTACATCTCCACAGAGTGCGCGGCTCCACCATGCGCTGCCGCTCCCGCCCACAGTAAATTCCAACCCCCACCCTGTCCTTTCCCGCATGGGAGTCAGAAAACAAGGAAATCCAAAATTGCTAACTCGAACTACTCTTCAGGCTGGGAAGATGTCTCAGTCGTCCTCGACGCGGCAAACGTGCGTTTTCTGCACAGCGGGGCTTGGATGCACGGGGCTACAGGCGGCCAGATGACCACGATCGATGCCGGGAAGACGTGGAATTTTACAACGCTCTCCATCCCGGAGACTAAGCCTTGATTCAAGTTGGAATGGTTGCAATGTATATACCTCAATACGGACAAGGGTCGGTGAAGCAATGAATCAAGATAGGATACGTGCGGTGCAAGCTTTTAGGCTTGTTGAATAAGTTCTATGTCTCTAATCGATACTGGGAGCCATTATCCCTCACCCCCAGTAACACACCAACGTCCCAACTCGAAAACCATGAATCTCACTTGAAACTACCCGATTCGGTCCGACAGAGGCCGGCCGTATATCTCGAAGGCGCCCCAAGCCACTCGCCCTATTCCGCGTCCTCAGGTTCCTGCTCAATCACCGGTAGAGTTACCTGTGCACGTCAGATATCATCCTATTCGTCTGTCTCATTGTAGTCATCTTACCTGCCACATGTCGATCTCGACGTATTTTCCCTTATTCTCACCAGTGGGACGGCGCAAGATCCCAATCGCAACAACGTGGTTGAGCCAGATATAGTCAGGATGACCCGTCTGGTAGATGGCGCGGAGCAGCGTACGCCCATCTTCCTGGGTTGGCCCGGCGGTCTGGATGAAGATATCCGCGCCGTCGTCCGTCCTCAGGCTGTAGCGCGTATCGGGGAAGAAGACGCCGTACGTATCCGTGACTCCCCAGTCGGCGCCGAGGTTCACGATGGTACCAGAAAGACGAGGGCCGACAAAGGTGCCGCCGGTGATGGGAATCGCGACGCGCGTTCCTTGCCCGAAGTCGCCATATGACCAACGCTCGCCCAGGGTCACGTTGGTGGAGTAAAGGAACTCGTACCCCGGGGTGCCAAGGGCCTGGCAGACTGTTAGCGTAGCGAGAGCTAAGCTCGAAAAATGGAAGTGGCAAGCATGGTGAAGAAAGTGGTCGAATTTACGCAAGGATAGATCTTGAGAGTAAAGAGATTGAATGATGGGGGCACCTGGCCGTCTTTTATAAAGAAAAACGAACCCGGTCCAATAAAATCGAGGGCAATTAGGAAGAAAAAAAGACGAAGGAAGGTAGAGCTCGTGGTAGGTCGTTGTTGACACTAACAATGATCGACGCGAGATCCGCCTTGAATGGGTGGCCGTCGGTGGCCCGCGCTTCCGGTGTCCCGACGGAAAACTAAGAAACTGTTACCCACCAAAGCTTCCCCGCACGGAAGGATCGTAGACGGAAGAGCGACTCGGCTACGATGTCGGCATTCAGAAGGAGCTACCCCGATTCGAGAGGGAGGATAAAACACAGGCAACAGAAGGAACGAGGGCGGTCCATTGACGGGTAAATTAAACGGTAGGCCAGGTAAACCCACCCGCGTCCCCTGAGAGCGCGGGTGGATAAAGAGATGACGCCAACACGAAGGGTTGAGGTTGAGTAGCATGCCGAGGCAGTGAGCTAACAGTCAAGGCGGGTCATTTCAGCCCTAATCGAGCAATCGTTATTTTCTTCCAGTTGTCACAGCGGAGATGAGATGATTGGGCATTACACGGTTCCAGGCTCACTTTCGCAAGGCACGCCACAATTCACCCGAGTAATTTTTCAAAGGGGGTCTGTAGATCTATGCACTTCCCGCATTGAGAGCCGCAAACAAGTCCTATTTTCCATTCGTTCGACTTCGGCGCCATGACCCAGGGAGTCGGTCCTGCCGAGATAGCTGTTGGATGGCGCGGGTTACATTCTTCGTAGCAATTATGTACAATACGGGCGGCACGTCCGGCCGATTTCAACAACGATCTCCACCGATGCTTAAAAGATGTACTATTTTGAGACTGGGTTAGTTCCACGTGCAAGATAGTTAGGCAAGGTTTGACCCTATAGACTTACAGGAATATACAAGTACGGAACTTGTCTCTCATATTTCTCCCAGGCCTTGCCATACTTTCCTCGGCACTTTGCGATATCACGTCTCGTGCGGTGCACAATCATGATGGTGAAGAAGACAGGGTAAAACCAAGGAAAGGGCGACCTAGCGGGGAAAAAAATAATGGTCAGCACCAACGTTTCTCGGTCGTATTTCCTACTCAACGGGGATAGATGGCAAAGGAAATCATACCGGAAACCTGTGATCAAAGCCCAGGCGACGGCGAAAACGCGTCACACGGATAATGCGGCTTGCGAACGATGCCGAACCAGCCGTCGGCGAGGATACGGTCGCCGGTATCTGTTTCAATCACACGCGGGTTCTGGACAATCTGCCATGGCAATTGGGGGAACGTTTTGCGGGAAATGAGCTGGCCGCGCTCCATCTGCCTGAAGCCGTTCTTCTGGCCATTGGCGGTGTCCCATACCCAATAGACGAAAAGATACAAAACAACGAGACAGCCGAGGGAGGTGCGGCTCCAGCGATAGGTGTCCGGGTGGTTGTTGGCGAGGTACAGGACACATTGACAATAAGAGAAAGGGACGCCGGCCATGTTCCAGAATGTGAGCATAAACCCAAGCTTCTCGAAATACATGTCCCTTTTACCTGTTAGTGGGCCACTAGTTGCAATTGAGAGTGATGTGTGGCACTTACCAGCTTGTGATGATGAGTTGTTCGCCCTTTGCGCACGCGTTCGCGTACAGATAGTGAGCCATGACGAGGAACAAGACTTCGCCCGAGACGTATCCGTACGCCTCGTATTGACGCACAGCCGCGGCACTGCTGATAAGTAAGAGGATAAACCAGGGGATACGGACTTCGTAGAACATCTTGAGGTCTAGAATTCCGATCCGGGGTTTAGCTGTGCTCCCATGAAGAAATCATAGATGGGATATCCCGTCAGACGATGGCCCTTGCCGCACAACATGGCGTAAGCGTAGACGAGTATGCTGTTGAGAAAACCGGACAAGATGGCCACGGACATGATGGAACCAAACTCGTCAATGAGCGTCGACAAAGGGAAAAGGTTGCTAACGTGAAGGAAACCAGCGAGGATTATGGTCGCGTAGAGACTGGCGTAGGCATTGCAAAAGTACTTGAGCTGCTTTCCGCCCTCGTGGTGGAGAGGCTTGCCGTAGCCCTCGACACCGGGCAGGATGTAGTAGAACGCCATTTGGGTGAAGAAGAAAACCCAGTATATCTTCCAAGCCCGCAGCGTGGGAAACGCCCCCTCGTAGACGAGCCCGGCCAGATGTTGAAGGAACTCGGGGATAGGCTCGTCGGAGGCTGGTAGAGGAAGACCTCCGTCGTAGTACGTCGCGCCGATCCACATGTACCACATGAGTAAGGGGAACCCAATCATAAGCGAGGCGGCGCCTGGAGATCCGCCGAACTCGATGTGGTTGGGAGGAATACCCTCCATTGCGTCGGGGTCACGCTTCGGGTTCGTCATTGTCACTGTCGAAACAGGCGTGTTTGGCTTAACACTGCGACGCTGCTCTGTGGCCACCATAGCTTTCGAATTTATGTAGGGCTAGACGCTTAGCTGCTGAAAAACGACAAGGTGATTCTACTTGGAAGGTGTTTTCGTCTCGACAACAAGGACCAAATCAAGCATTGGAGGTATCGGGCTAAAGAAAGGTTTATATATTTCGGCACGATCTTAGAACAGCGGACCTTGCGCCTTCCTCTTGTTTTTCTCCACCAAAGGGAAATGCAGCCGCTCTCTACATATTGAGCAAATTGTACGAACTACGGAACTTGCTTCCCACTTGGGATAGGGAAAGCAAAATGGCTCGACTCTCGCCATCTTCATCTCGAACTTTTGCTCTGGAAGGCAATCCACAGCGATTGGGTGCTCTCGATCCCGTTGGACCCATGCTCGCTTACCAAAAGAAAACGGAAGGCGACAACGAGCCAATCGGAGTCTCGCATGGGATCATTGACCTCTTCCTCTAACCGCATTCAGTTAGGTCTGTGACGGCAACCACAGGACATTTTTTCTTCACGAAAAAGCGGCAACTCACGCCGAGCTCACACGGATCCCCATCTTCCCCCCCGTCGCATCCGCCTCATGCCATGCGGACAAGAACAAGAATACGAGCAAAAGCGCAATCCAAATCTCTAAACCCAGAAAAATCAAATGGCGCGGTAGAGAAGAGCAGAGAGAATGGCTCCAGGCAATGGTTTCCCCGCCAAACGAAAACGGACCAAGACGTTCACGGGCTGCTGGACATGCCGCTCTCGCCGGCTCAAGTGCGACGAACAGAAGCCGGGCTGTCGCCGATGCGGCCAAGCTAAAATCCACTGCGAAGGGTACGGGATTCGGCTGAGTTGGACTACGATGGAAGGACCCAGCCACCCGGCTACTCCTCCCCATGATTCGCCGGGCCAGCGAAACTCGAGGGCCAGTGTGAGCGGACGCTCCTCAGCACATCTCCTGACCCGTGGACTACCGATTCTGTCGTCTCCGCAGGTCGACGATATCCTCACGCAAATCGACCAAGATCCTACAGGTCTGAATCACAATCCAGCTAGTCTGTTCTCCGTCTTTTCAACCCACGTTACCTATTCTGCCGCGGCGACCACACCCACTTGCGGCTCGCCTGGCCCAACACACACCCACCGAACCGAACCGGAAGCACCGGATGGAGCACCATCCCCGTCACGCCCATCAAGCTCTCGGCGGCGACGGCGGTCGTCGTCGTCGTCGTCGTCGCCACCTAGCTCGCCTACGACCGAGACGCCGGCCGCGATCTTGGGGCTCGACGGGGGCCCGTGGTCGATCTTCCCCACCACGCCGAGATCTCGGGCCTACAGCCCCCAGATGAAGACGCAGCGTTCTCTCGGAGGCCAATTCCGCTCGTACGCCGGGACCGTCGCGGCATGCGCGATGACACCCTCTCGGATGACGCCGTCACAACACCATACCTCGACTCCATACCACCCGCTCGCACAAACGAGCCCTTGTTCGCACCCACGCCTACCCCCACACCCGCACCTCCCCGAACTCACCTCGACATCCTACCGGTCCCCGGCTCAGAAAAGCGGCTAATACATCACTGGGTCACGTTTACCAGCGGCAAGCTCGTACTCTTAGACGAGTCCCACAACCCCTGCCGGTCCCTCATGCTCCCCATGGCCCTGCGCGGCCTCACCTCCGGCTCGGACAGCTCCAACGCCGACATTGGCACGTTCCATGCCATCTGCGCCTGCGCCGCGTTCAACCTCTACGAGCTCGGGGGCCGCGCCCGCGAGCAAGACTACATGCTCGCCCTCCACCACGAGGAGGAGGCCATCCGCCACCTCCGCACCAGCCTCAGCGGGGTGGATCAGCACCTCAATCAATCCTTTGCCATGGCCATCATGGCGTGCATCACCATCGAGGCCATCTCCGGCCGCACGTGCCGTTGGCGAATGCACGTCGCGGGCGGCATCGCCTACCTGGAAAGGCTTCAATCCAGCAGCAGTATCGCGTCCGACTTCCAGTCGCACATCGTATCGATGGCGATCCTCTGCGGATACGAGGTGCCCAGCCACATCACGTTATTCCTCGATGACACGGCGGAACTCGAACTCTCCTTCCCGTACTACGGGGCGTCGAGCTCCTTCCTAAAGAGTATCGACCGGATGAACAGGCTCGCGGCAGCAAAGAACTCCCCGAGATGAGGGAGCTGGATGCGTTCGAGCTGCAGCTGTACCTAGACTTCCCCGCCGGCAGCAGCAAGCCGGGGCTATCCAAGAAGCACTCTCTGATGGTGCACCACATGGCCCAGGCGTTCTACTACGCGACCCTCGTCTTTTTCAAAGGTGCGTGAAGCGCGCCCCGGTAGGGGCGGTGCAGACGCTGGTGGAGCGTGGGGTGGGCCAGCTCGAAGCCATCGAGGAGGCAGGAAAAGGCAGCGCGGGCTCCATCATGATGTGGCCGGCATTGGTCCTGTCGGCGGAGTGCGGGGACGCGAGCCTGCAGAAACGTGTGCTCGGCTGGTTCGGGCAGAAGCAGAAGCTAGGCTTTCGGAACCTGGCCATCGTCAAGGACATGGTACGGGAGTTGTGGGATCGGCGGGCCAAGGGTGAGGAGGCGCTGGACTGGCGGGATCTTATCAACGAGGAGCGCTTCGACGTGTTCCGACTCTAGGCACCGTGGTCAACCCCCAAAGACCTCTGGCTCGTGGTTGGACCTTCTCCTCAGGGATAGCTTTTCTGTATTCTCGAGAATTAGATTTCTATTGTAGATTAAACAGTCATACGGCGCCAAACCGGGATGCCTCTTGTATAACCTAGTGGGGCACCTTTTTGTCGAGCGTGATCCTGCATCCTCTAGGGGATAGAGATGCAGGACACGATTAGACCAAACACGTTGATATCAAGCGCTGTATCGTCAGTCCGAGTGTAGGAATCCATTGCCGTGTTCATGTTCATGTGGCTGCAAGGCTGATTGCTCCACTCGATAGCGCTAATCTCGGCGTGATTTCATTTTGCCCTCCATTCCGTTTGGAGCAGTTGGCGCTATGGATTCGAGAACAAAAACGGGTTGACCAGTTCTTGACAGCGATGATCTCCCAAGACTCGTCTTGGCGAAAAGTCCTGCTTTGGCAGAGTCTAGCACGTTGAGGACAGAGGGGAGAGAGAGGGTGGAGGGAAGACTTTGCTAAAAGAGCGAGTAGCTTGAAACGCAAGAGAGGTGAGAATAAGGCAGGTGGCTACGTGCGTAAGGTTTTAGTTCGTGACATCCGCCATCCCCAGATCAACGGTGGAGTTATTCTTGTCCGGGTTATCGGCCTCTTTTCTTTTGTTTTCCGGGTTTGGTTTTTTGTTCTAACAGCTTCTGGCCGGGGAAGAGAAAAAGGGAGAGGATCGTCGCAGGACCCGGGGGACATCTCGCAGTATTTGCTGACCGGGGTCGTTGTCATGAGCAGATTTCATCGTCTCGGGCACTGAGTGGGGCAGCATGCGCGGTGTGCGGGGCGCTGCAATTCAGTAGATCAATGGAGACCATTCGGTATCGTAGACTCGACTCAATGCAAGGTCCGGAAAAGGTAAAAGGGAAACCATCAACACGAAGAAACGAGGAAGCCGGTGAAAGGGTTTGGTGGGAGCAAAAAGTTAGTCGTGGAGCGAGCTAGGGACGTGGAAGGGTGTACGAAGCGAGTTCCGAATTCCGCGCTATCGGACATCTCGTCACCCCGAAACAACCTTTTCTCGATTTTTGGTTTTGGGGCAAGTAGCACTCGAGGGGGGAAAGAGCCCACTTTCTTGACTTTGGCGTCGCCCCCTTACGTCGTTATGAGGGGAAATGCACACACTCGCAAGATGTATCCCATCGCGCATCGCAGCCACTGCAGCCGTTACATCGATTGCACCCATCGGGTTGCATCTTGGCCCAAACGCAAATTGGGCATTGCGAGCTGCTGAAGATCCCCATCTGCTGTGGATAAATTTCGGCTTGTAACAAGTCGTTGGCTCTTGGCTGGGGGTTTGGGCTGGTGGAGGGTACATCACCCGATGTGATGTGATCCGTAGATGTACAACTGGGTTAGAAGTACATCAAATTGATATTCGTCTGTGATAATACTCGAGTGGGGCCCTGCGCCCGGCCTGTAATGCGAAATGCCACTACTGCTACAATGGATTTATTCCGCTGCGCGATCGCAATCGATCTTGGGAAGCCCTGGGAAGCCATGTCGCACCTCGTCTCTCATAACTACGCCAACACCACTAGGCCAGCCACACTCGAACAAAACCTACCCGTCCAATCTTGCCTAGAACATAGGGTTCCCTGTCATCTGTTTTGTTTCTTTTCTCCCCTTCTTGCCGAAAGGGAGATTGCGCCTAAGCCTTTAGCCGTCCACGTCGATGGCGTGGTGCGCTCTGGCCCTCTCGCTCTCTCTCAGGAGAGGCGCCGCCAAGCCACGTGGGCTGAGGTTGAGAAAGCTGTGCTAGTGTCCTCAAGTCCCGGAATCCTTCGCGACGGGCGATTTCGACTCCCGATGATGGAAGGGGGGCGAGACCTCGGAAAATATCCGGCAATTCACCTCACTCGTGGCGTCCAGTGAGAGCAGTGAGAGGATGGGAAACCCATGCGTGATGTGGTTTCGGGCTGCTAGCACGATGCGCTAGTCGCTGGAGAGTAATCTAAACAAGGAAGGTCCCCTTTCCCGCCGCCATCGATGCCCATGGCTGACCACCACCATCTTTTGCTGTGGCGGCACGCTAGGTACTGCGCTGCGACCCTGAAGCTCAAGCGTTGCCTTTCATCGCATTGCCGAGACGGACGTCCTGACTCTAGACTTCGAAGAGCTTATCCCTTCCGAGTTACCTCTTGACCTCTGGCATGATGCCTGTTCGGTTTTGTCTGATCGAGATCCACAAATCTTACTTTGTTGATCAAAAAGCTACAAGGAGCCCGTCTTGTACTCTTGTCTCCTAACAACCCGGTGGGGGCTGTCTATCGCCCGCCGTCGACTACTGATCAACGGTTTCGTAACATAAATCGCCGGATGTGGCAAGTCGTCAGTGCGACGCGGCGCCATTTGTCGACTTGGGCGGGTTTTCAGGCAGACGATCTTCAGGAACTAACCCAGTGTCTCGAAGACTACAGTGGAGTCACTCCGCAAAGGGTAGCTGCAGCCCTGGCCATTCCACTTTGACTATTCCACTCCGGCTACGACGGTCTCCTGGAGACTCGCCCTGTTTGGTATCCCCACCCGCGATTAGCTGATGTCTGGCCGGCTACTCGGGGAAGGACAAAAAAGAAGTTTATAATATACATACATGTATGCGTCCCATCGCTTCAATCTTTCTTTTGATAAATGCGCATGAGAACTGCGACGTAAAAAGAGACTGCACCTAGGGTCCGTGCCAGTCACCAGCGGTTCGTCGTTGCGTCGTGCCCTTCTCACCCTTCCCCCGCCACCACAAGCATCCCGTATAAGAAGAAGAGGATTCGGCAGGATTGCCGTCTTGTGGGCCGCCGCTTCTCCCTTTCCAGCATCGAGGAACCCAATCTACTGGGGTCCGTGTTCCGAGTTCCGCAACCATGTCGACTGACGATATTCCGAATCGCGGCCCTCAGCTGCTGGCCGCCAACTTGTTCTTCGCCGTCGCCACTTTGGTGGCCGTGGGCCTCCGAGTCTTTGTTCGCACCCGCATCGTCAAGAGCTTCGCCGCCGACGATGCGATCATGGTGGCTGCGTTGGTAGGCAAAACTGCTCTCATTCCTTTCTTTCTGTCTGTCTTGTAAAGCTTCACGATACTGACGAACTGCCGGTTAGGTGTGTTTTGAGGCGTACATTGGTTTTTCAGTTACCGGCATCCATTTCGGAACCGGTCATCACCATGCAGACTTGACGGATTACCAAGTCAAGACGGCGATGATGGTAAGCAACGATTTCCGTAGTGGTCATTCGCCAGCGATAGGCTCGCCACAGCACCGCGGCATGGCTTCACGTCCATAGGCACTAATAGTGATACTCTTCTCAGTTTTGGTGGATGTGCTATCTAGGCTACTCGATAACCATGATGTTGTCGAAAGCATCCATTGCCGCCTTCATGCTTCGGATCGTCGTCCAACGCTCTCACATCTGGACCATATACATCGCCATAAGCTTGACCATCGTGGCCGGCACCATCTTCTTCTTCGTCTCCCTCTTCCAGTGCCACCCCATCTCCTACTTTTGGAACAAGGACCAGAACGGCTCCTGCCTCAACGTGGACATCATCATCGCCCTCGGCATCCTCTACAGCGTGTTTTCCGCCATCACCGATCTGGCCTTTACCATTCTCCCCATCTTCATCGTGTGGAACCTCAAGATGGAGAGACGTGCCAAAATCGCCCTCATCCCCATCATGTGCATGGGTACCATGTACGTCCCCGTCTTTTGTTTCTTGCCGCCGCCCCAAACCCCTTCTCGTGCAAGTCATTTTTTCCAAACCGCTAACCCCGATGCGGCATCTTAGTGCTACAGTAGCAGTGGTGGTCCGAATCGCGTACTTGCCAAACCTCAAGAAGCCAGACTTCCTATGTATGTATCCCCATCCCCGCCTCCGCACGGCCCCCGGTCGTCCGCCCGCCCACATCCTGTTTCCCAATCGCAACACCACCATGCTAACTGACTGTTCGCGCGCAGGGGAAACTCTCGACACCGCCATCTGGTCTACGGTCGAGATGGGCTTGGCCATCACGGCAGGTTCCATCGCCACCCTTCGCCCCTTACTTAGAATGGCAGCACACAAACTTGGCTGGCAGACGGGGTCCTCGGGGACCAACCCTTCCGGGGACTCGAGGCTCCGCGCTCGATCACGTGTCAAGACGCCTGCCCACAATACGTCAGATATGCTCCGCCTGTCGTCGATCCCAAAGAGTCAAAGCCCCGGATGGGACAATCGCGCGCCGGACCTCGAGGGTGGTGCTCGCAACAAGGGCGCCTATGGGTGCGTGGTATCCGTGGAGGCTGACACGGATGTAACGCCAGTGGACCCGGACCACATCGTCGTGTCCATCCAACATAGCCAGTCTGTCCATCGGACGGCGTACTGGAGTGATAGCGAGGAGCGTCTAGCAAAGAGCGATGGCATGTCTCGTTAACTTTTCCCAACGAGGAAGGTCAAACGATAATGGCACCTTGAGGGCTGCGCAAAGAGCGGAGGAGAGCAATTTTGTCGGCGTGTGTCTTGTGTATACGTGTGCATGGTCATTGAAAGCGAATAGTTAGATACCGTTGTTTTTTGAAACGCCCGTAATGATATCGCCAATATTCCTAGTAGGCGAAACGATCTCAATGCACTCACTACGTGGAAGTGTCACTGTATCACGCAACATCGCGACCTCTGTACGCACGGCTTCGTGGTTTTCCAACTTCTTGTGCCCTCCACTTCCCCCGCCCCCTCTTACCTGTGGTAGTAAGTACATGTAGAAAAACGGGCCGCGATGGACTAGAGCCGGGACGTTGAACAGACCTTGGAGTTAAGCATAGAAAAGGTTGCTCGGCGATTGGCCAATCACAATTACGCATGTTTAGCAAGATCAATTGATCGTCGCTTTTTCGCTCTGCAGAGAGGCGAATGAATAAAGCTTGGCTCTCTCCATCTTTGGTTCTACAGAACCAAACTTTCCAAGAGCGAATGACGTACAATTCCCAACTCTTCGGCCACCCGCGCGCTCGCCGATGAGGGACGACGGCGTGACGACATGACCTCCTCATACGTCAATCAGAAAATCGGAAACAGCCCGGGATCGTCATTTTTTCCCCGGACGATGCACGAAAAACGGGGAAATTGATTCAGCGACGGACGTAAATCAAGTTGGACGTGCAGGAATACGTGCATTTACTCGTGGCGGGAACAAATATGATCAGGAACAAACACATGGTTGCCGACAGCTTCGCAGAGGCTAGATCCGGATTCTAGATCCGGATTCTAGAAGCTGGGCAAATGTCCGGCTGTATAAATAATAGTGAGGAATTCCCCATGGAACCTAGAGAACGCGCCCATCAAAGCAAAAGAAAAAGGTTAAAGCGAAGTTGTTTGCTTCTTCTCCCGTTTCTGTCGGAGCCCGCAGCAGACTAGAGACCGAATGCGCTACGGATAATAGGATCGCCGAGCAGCTATCCAAATGAAACCAACAATCTCAGCCCTCCTTCTCGGAGGTCTATCCGTCCTCCAGGTTGGAGCCACAGAAGTTGACGAGGTGCAGTCGCCAAAATGCCCTGGCTATCGTGTATCAAATGTTTCCACAAGTTCGGAGGGATTAACGGCGCAATTGGTCCTTGGCGGAGAGGCGTGTAACCTCTACGGTACGGATATCGAAGAACTCACGATCGAAGTCACCTATGAAACAGGTACCGCACCCCTTTCCGTATTTTTTCCGCAACGAAAAAGGAATTCGTCTGACCGCATTCACAGAATCACGTCTCCACGTCAAGATACAGGATGCCGCTCTCAATGTATACCAGGTCCCCGAATCCGTCTTGCCGCGCCCCGTTGCTAGCCAAGAGGCCGATGAGAGTAGTTCGCTTCTACGGTTCGACTTCGAGCCCGACCCTTTCTCCTTCACAATCTCCCGCGTCGACACGGAGGAAGTCATCTTCGACACGGCGGGATCCGAGCTCATTTTCGAGTCGCAGTACCTTCGCCTCCGGACCAAGTTACCTTCCAACCCCAACCTCTACGGCCTCGGCTCCCACACGGATCCCTTCCGCCTCAACACGACCGACTACGTGCGGACCCTGTGGAACGCAGATTCTTATCGGGTACCCGAGGGCACCAATCTGTACAGCAGCCACCCCATCTACTTTGAGCACCGAGTTTCCGGGACGCACGGCGTGTTTTTGCTGAATTCTAACGGCATGGACGTGAAAATCGACAGCGACGACGAGGAGGAAGACGGGCAGTATCTGGAGTACAATACGATTGGCGGTGTGCTCGACTTTTACTTTTCGCGGGACCTACCCCGATCGAGGTTTCCCAGCAGTTCGCTCTCGTGGCCGGACTACCTGCCATGGTACCTTATTGGGGTTCGGGCTCCAGCAGTGCCGCTGGGGCTACCAAGATATTTACGAGGTTGCCGAGGTGGTTGCCAACTACAGCCGCGCCGGGATCCCGCTGGAAACCATGTACACCGACATTGATTACATGGATCGACGTACGTTGCCTTGTTCCCCCGTGTTCTCCTACCCCCGAGCTGTATTTATCCTATGCATGTACTCACCGTACTTTCTTACACAGGTCGCGTGTTTACCCTTGATTCGGAACGATTTCCTCTAGCCAAGGTGCGCGAGCTCGTGTCGCTGCTCCATTCCCGCGATCAAAAGTACATCATGATGGTCGACCCAGCCGTAGCGCATGCGCCCTATCCAGCATTCGATCGCGGAATCGAAGACAACGTCTTCCTTCAGGATCCCGACAGCGACTCGGTGTGGCGGGGCGTGGTGTGGCCCGGAGTAACCGTTTTCCTCGATTGGTTCGCAGAAAACGCGACGGAATACTGGATCAACGAATTTGATCTGTTTTTCAACCCAGAGAGCGGCGTGGATATCGACGGTCTGTGGATCGACATGAACGAGGCCGCCAACCCTTTTTGCGACTTCCCTTGCGACGATCCAGAGACCGCCGCAATCGATTACCCCCGGAGCCTCCTGCGCTGCGTCAACCGCCGCGGCCCATCGCCGGGTTTTCCTGCGCCTTCCAGCCGGATGGAACCGAATGTGTCAACTTTGTGGATACGGAAAGCAGATCAAGAAAAGTGCGGGCCGTGGGGGCCGGCAACATCCTCGCTCGGTCTAGCGAGCAGGGCAACGGCACAAAGATGGGCCTTCCGGGCAGAAACCTGCTCTTTCCCGACTACGCGATTCACAACAAAGCGCCCAACAACATAACCTGGGAGACGAACAACGGCAGTATTTCCAACCACACAATCAACACGGATGTCATCCACGAGAATGGGCTTGCGGAGTACGATACGCACAACCTGTACGGCCTTATGATGGCGGTCACTTCCCGTGAAGCCATGTTAAGCCGCCGCCCGAGCGTACGGCCCCTGATTGTGACGCGATCAACTTTCACGAGCGCCGGAAACACGACGGGCCATTGGCTGGGGGACAACGAGTCTACGTGGGACAAGTACCGAGCGAGTATCCGCACCATGATCCGCTGCCGCGATCTATCAGATTCCCTTTGTCGGTTCCGACGTGTGCGGCTTCGAGCAGAACACGACGGAGACGCTTTGCGCGCGTTGGGCGTCCCTTGGTGCTTTCTCTCCCTTTTACCGCAACCACAACGGATTCACTCCCTCATCTCGCAAGAATTTTATCGTTGGGAGGTAGTCGCCGAGAGCGCCAAGAATGCCATCGACATTCGTTACCGCCTCCTCGACTATATATACACGGCCATACACAAGCAAACGATAGACGGGACACCGGTTGTGAATCCCATGTTTTTCCTGTACCCCAACGACCCGGAGACCTACGGGCTCGAGCTTCAGTACTTTTACGGCTCCGGATTACTCGTAGCCCCGGTCACGGAAGAAAACTCGACCTCGGTTCGGGTGTACTTCCCCGACGACATCTTTTACGACTGGTACACCCACGAAGCCCTCGATAGCAGCGGTCAATACGAGGATCTAACCGCCCCGCTCACGAAAATCCCGCTCTTCGTCCGCGGGGAGCGATTCTTCCCGCGCGAGTCAAGTCCGGGATGACGACGACCGAAGTGCGCGAGCAAGACTTTGAGCTCATCGTTGCGCTGGATCGCGAGGGCTACGCAGCCGGTAGCCTGTACTTGGACGATGGGGAGAGCTTGACGCAGGAAGAGACTTCTGAGATTTCCTTTGTCTTTGAGAATCAAACATTGACCTCGAGCGGGACATTCAACTATCCGACATCCGCGAGACTGAAGAGCATTGTAATCTTGGGGCTCGACCGGGATGGGTCAGCTGCTGGCAACGGGACGGCGGGTAGTGGGTCGAGGCGGATTGATATTGATGAGCCGTTATACAAGACAGATGGACTTGAAATATCGATTGAATAATGTAATGGAAAATAGTTCTTAGCAAATAGGCGTTTAGTAAGAAAGAAAGTCCGAGGAGATGCTTGAATGGGTGGCAGGAGGACGATGTCTTGCGGCTGTGAATAGTAAAGCGAAAAGAAGGGGGTAAGGAAAAAAACCTTGAAGAGTAAAAAGCAATTGGCCAACATCCGACTATTTGCGCTGGATAAACTTTTCGACAATATCCACTGGTAAAAGGGCTCTCCCAGCACTGACATGTCACATTCCCGCGATACGTTTTAAGCTCAATCCCCAAATGCCAAGATGAGAATCGGGCAAGGGGGTACGAAGGATGACCTGATGCCCACTCGCGTACGAATCCGGGACAGACACCCGGGTCTTTGTGTGGTGGTATTCCCCGGGGGCACCTTGGACAAATTTTGCATCAGGCTGCACCTCATTGTCCCACATCCTTGCTCGTGGCTGAAAAGGATATTGCCAGTCCTGCCGTCTGCTCCCGACAAAGGTGGTGAGGTAGCATTATTACTCGCGGCCTGGGGTCCAATAACGAAATTGAACCGAGCAAAACATGCCAGTCAGGAAGGGCTCCTTGTCGTCATTCTCTGTCTCCTTGTCCATCGCTGGTTGCGCCTAGTCTGTGCACTGGTCGAGGGCATTTTCCCCAGACGAGGTCAAGCTAGTGAGTGCGTGCCCGAGCTCCCGTATCCGCTTTCCTCGTGGGAGATCGGCACGACCCGAGACACATTGGCTCGGACGTGTGGACGTTGTGATGGCTTGAATAGCAGGTACATTCATGGCATCTTTCAGGCATCTGTTGACAGTACACTCCAAGTAGACGAGCAGGCGGCCTCTAGTTGAAATATGCTGTAAACACGCTGCGATAAACAGGGAAGTGGGCTTGTCTCTTCTCGCCGTGGCGAGGAGCGGAAGCGATCCAATGACCCGGATACGACATGGCTCTCAATCAAGCCGACTATGATACAGGATACTAACATATACGGTGTTATAAACTACGGGATTAGAAAATAAAAATAAAAAATGATAAAGCCACCATGTGCAGCCGCTCCAACCTTCAGCTGTCGTGGCAGGCCTCACTGGCCATTTGCGTTTGAGCTAGCGAGTCTGGCGTGGTGGTGGTCGCGAGCCTGCCCGGGGGAGGGGGAGCATTTCTTCCCCTCAGGTGAAAGTAATCGTTGCCAGCCAGTGCTCGTTGGTGTGATGATGAGCACTTGTATTTCCTTATTCGAGATACTATTATTCCTCCCCTCATTCCCGATCCTTTGGGGGTAGGGCCAGCCCAGAATGGGCAGCCCATCAGACTCGGGGAGCAAGGGGACCTTGGAGCTATTGCGGTCCAGCCCTGAGACACAAGGACACATCCTGGCCAGCGTCGGCAAGAAATAGGTTTAGCCCAGCTCGCGGAAGGGCGGGACACTAGGGTCAGACTCTTGACCGGCGCAGCCCCAGTGGCGGGGTGCGAGCGACTTGCCAATCGCTGACGGGCTTGGCCTGACGAAAGCAGATTTTGACCTCCACTAGTCGTTGCACCAAACGCCGCCCCTATTTCCCTCGCGTCCTGGCCTTCCGCTTTCAGCATGAAGCGGGGAACGCGCCGGTGCCGGGTCCATCCTGGGGATATCCCGACCCCATGCCCCAAAAATACAAGTTTTGGTCACAGTCTGGGCAACACGCCAAGTTGACCCCAATTTCTGATTAAAAGGAGGCCATGATCGCTTTTCGCGCCAAAATCTTGACGACGCCAAGTTCTCTACTTCCTCCCTCCATCCCGAAGGTGAATATCTCGAACCTTTTTTTCTTTTCCTCGCGTGACAAGAGATCGAATGTGCTTTGCTTCACGAGTATCGGCAACGCTTGCGACCTAAGCTTGTGCAGAGATGAGCTCTCCCGCTGAAATCATCGGGGCCGCCCCACCGCCCGAGGATGTGACGCCAAACTTCGTCAACCCGGACTCAATCGCGTATCGAATCATCATCGTCGCCGTATTCTTCCCCGTCCTCACCCTCGTATTTCTCGGTATCCGGTTATGGGCGGCCAGCTTTATCCTGAAGCGCTGGCGCTTTGACGATTGTGAGTTGCGGATGAATCTACTTCCTACGGAACCTATGTGGGGAAAAAGAAGGAACCTTCAAACTAACAAGCGCGCGTGTACTACAGTTTGGATCATCCTCGCATTTGTAAGAACAATCGTGATTCAACTTCCCGCTGCATGCCGGCTGTCCTAGATGCATCATTAACACAGCCCCTTCTCCTCGCTTAGATATTTGCTCTTGCCAACTCCATTGTGTGTATGATTCGTAAGTCACTAGTCCAGTCGCCCGTTACCCGTCTGTTTGGTGGGTCCGAAATCTAAGAGTGTGATAGAAACACGATACGGTCTGGGAGACGATATCTGGAATGTTCCCCTGGACGACTTCTCCATGTTTATGAAGGTATGAACAAGCGTGCCTGAACGCCCAAACGTCTACGCGCCGGCTTGGAAGATGTTGGCCACTAACCGTATGGCAGATCGGAATGATTGCGGGGCCACTCACATATAATTTGGCGACGCTCTTCATCAAAGTATCCATCCTAAGCTTCTACCTTCGTTTCACCATCGATCGAGGCTGCAAGATTGCCGTGTACGTCGTCATGTTTGTCGCCGTAGGCTACACGATACCCAACGCCTTCCTTTCCCTGTACGTCTGCCGGCCGATGCAGAAATACTGGACCCCCATGCTCGAGGGAACCTGCGTCAACATCAACGCGGCTTTCCACACGGCCAACGCTCTCAACGTGGCCACCGATTTCGCCATCCTCTTGCTCCCGATCTGGCTGCTCAAGCCCCTGCGCGCACCCTTTATGAAGAAGCTTGGCATCATGCTTATCCTGATGACCGGTGGCTTGTGAGTACCCGCGGACTTGTTCATCGTCCCGCTCGGAACCCATGGAAACTAACGACGGCGTTTTAGCGTGTGCGGCGTGAGCACCATGAGAATGGTCACCGCCTTGATCGGCATCTTCAACGCGAATATCACGAGGCATTACGTCGCAAACTTGTCATGGTGGTACGTCTCCCTTGTTCTCACCATGCTCCCCACATTAGCGCTGTTCCTTTCTTTACTAACATGGGCGGCATAGCCTGGTGGAAATGTACGTCGGCATCATCTGCGCCTGTCTGCCTTGTCTCCGTTCCTTCGTCAGGCAGTACTTCCCGAATCTGTTCGTTTTCGACGAAGCCTTTGAGCAGCGCCTGTCTTCGTTCAGGATCTCGATACCGCTCACCCGCGTCCGACCCGCCGCCGAGCCTTCCTGCTCCCAGCCAGAGGGTACGGTGGTTGCGCACAGCAGCCATCTCCACACGAAACCCAGCAAGGACTCTGAATTCCACGGCTCTGCTTCGCAACATTCGGAAACGACCCTGCACAGTCAAGAACCGAAGTGATTACCGCCCGTGAAGGGTGAACCTTGGTGGGAAAAGTTATTGGATCAACGAACGTTAGTTATTGGAATTGGGTATTTTGGAATATTTGAGATATTTGGGTAATTGGGTAATTGGGAATATGTCTAGTTTCATAATTCGGATATGGTATGGCGCCGCATCTCAAGGAGTGGACAGCAGCTCTCGAGGGTTGGAGACAGCTCGCCGAAACCATGGCTCCACCAGCATTTGATACCTGGCGCGAAAGATTGCCTTATGGTTCGTTTTTCCGAGCGCTTTGTTTAATCAGCTTAGTCATTCGACGGCCTTGTGGCCTAATGGTAAGGCGTTAGATTTCGGCTCTAAAGATTGTGGGTTCGAATCCTACCGGGGTCGCTTGACTTTCCTCTCTTTCAGGAGAACAATATTTTTTTCTTATTGGGATCTTTTTTGGACATGCCTCTCTCTTAGGGAATATTCTCATTGGGTGCGGAGAAATGTGAATAATCTAGGAACAGTCAAAGTTCCGGAAAGGAAGTGCGAACAAATGAGGCCGTGTGCCCAAACCCGACGAAGAGCGACTCGCTAAATACGAGAGAGCCGACAGAGGGGAGAAGATTTGCCAAGAAAGTTGACAACAAAAAGGAAGTGAACGAGTCTTGAATTCGAGAAAGACGACCATGCAAACCGATTGACTACTTCTGCGTTTCCCTTTGCCTAGAATCTCCACGTACGTTGGCAAAAGAGCAAAAAGGAAATGCTCAGGCCGAGACTCGAACTCGGATCATTTGCTACCCCGCTGATGGAAGGCAAATATTCTACCCCTGAACCACCTGAGCTAGCTGCGATGAAAGGTGATGGAGGGAGAGCTCGGAAATACAGCGTAAGAATCTCTGGCGCGTTTGACGGATGCTGCAGCACCCACCAGCACCAATGGAGTAGGTCCATTTCGACGCTAGCAGCGATATCGATTGCTGGTGCAACAAGCACATAGTGCACATGTGTGCTAAGAAGCCCGAATCGGCAGCTTCGTGATCCAAGCGAATACGGGTAAGAACTTACTCGCTCTCCACAAGAAAATTAAATTCAACAAACATGCCTCTCGAGTTTCGGAAGTCGGCGATAGTCATTCTTTCACATGTAGATTCTCGTCACATTATATTGGCGATCACTAAAGCAGTATAGCCGCCAAAAGACATTCGTAGCAACCGTCCTAGCAAATATCTTGTAAATTGTCAGCTAGGCACTCGAAGAGGGTAAAGAAGTTGACTGTCTCCACAATCATACTAGCTAACAGGTGCCGTAGTTGAGAGTTGCAAACTTTCGAAGCAGGCCAAGGAAGCCCAAAAGAAGCCTACACTAGGATCTTTTTACCCATCATTGATGCCAAGCTTTGCTCGCGACGAGGAACCGCGTTAGAGGGGGCGAATTGGGTAAAGCAGCCACCATGATAGCGGATGGCTCCAGCAGGTTCCACCCGGAGGATCAATGGTATGGTAGTTGGAGATTTAGCAAAAGGTGCGAGTCGGAAAATTGGCAACCCGGCTGATTGCAGCGCTGCTCCAAACGACCCCGGACTATCGAAGGGCCTATGTGTACCTCGGTACGGTTAAGTCAACTGTCGCTCCCACGATGGAGGCTCACGGGAACTCAAAGAGATTTGTACAGCGCCAAACGGCCACCGAACCTTGGACAGAAAGGCTTGCCAGTAAGCTTAATTGACGGTGTGCCCAGCTCGAGGGCTCAAAAGGTTTATTTAAATCGATGATGATAATGATGGATAGTCTAAACCTAATATGCCCATGAAAGGTTTCCCTTTTTCCAATTTTCCCCGTCTTCCACGGCACGGCAAATCGATTTCTCGCCCACCTTCCTTACACACCTGCCGATACTTTTCAGACCATCGGCCGGCCCCGGCGCCTGACCTCCACGAAAACGGCTCGGGACCGTCGGCGGGCATGGCTCGACGGTTGGTAATGTGACCAGGTGCTCCCGACCCCAGGCCAATGGCGGGCCCTGGCGGTCCGACCAGCATCACGTGGAGTCAGCGACCGAACCACTGTATCGGCCCACCAGGATTGCGCCCCTTGCGCCCCTCGGGCCCAATATTCCAGTGAGCCCAATCACAGCCGTGGGTGGCCGGTGTAGAGGAGGGTCGAATCGGAGAAATAGCTGGTGACCGATGCATGACGGATCGCCGGGGAGAGTGGTTCGATCGATGGATCCTATGATACTGGCTTGGGATGGACTCTGGATGTATCTAGATGAAGCCCGTCCAGGATGCCAGAGACACACGTCAGTATAAAAACTATGAATTGTTCCTTCAGCGGTGTCTGACAAGTTCATGGTTCCATTTTTTTTGTTCAACCAAGTCAAATACATCAACGATATATACTCATCTAAGCATCGAAACCTATTATACGCCAACTAACACCGAGGCGAGACAACATCATTATCCAACATCTTCGTGCTCGGTACTATCCAATCAATCACACTACAAGAAATCAAAAGCATTCGAAAAAGAAAAACCCACTATCGGTTACATCTACACAACATGGCAGGCACCGACAATAAAACCGGGCGCTTAGCCATCAAATTCGAGCACCTACTACGCGGCGACGGCGCGTTAGTGGGTGGAAAGAACTCGTCGCTAGGCGAAATGATCCAGGCCCTCGTGTCCAAGGGCGTCGCCGTCCCCTCCGGATTCGCCACAACCTCCCAGGCCTACTGGCTCTACGTCGACCACAACCAGCTGCGCGAAAAGATTGCCACGCTCACGGCGGAATGGCAGCAGGGTCACCTCACATTGGCCGAGACGGGTCAGACCGTGCGTCGTCTATTTCTCCGCGGAACGTGGCCTCCCGATGTAGAAGAGGCCATTCGCGCGGGATACCGCGAACTATCGGCGACGGCCGGCGTCAAGGACCTCAGCGTGGCGGTGCGGTCGAGCGCGACGGCGGAAGACTTGCCCGATGCCAGTTTCGCCGGACAACAGGAGAGTTTCCTCAACATCACGGGCGAGGGCCCTCTTCTAGACGCGTGTCGACGGTGTTACGCCTCGCTCTTCACGGATCGGGCCATCAGCTACCGCCAGACCAAGGGGTTCGACCATACGAGCGTGGCACTGTCCATCGGTATCCAGCGCATGGTGCGCTCCGACGCCGCGGGCTCCGGAGTCATGTTCTCCATCGACACGGAGAGCGGCTTCGACAAAGTCGTGCTTATCAATGCCGCGTGGGGCCTGGGCGAGAACGTCGTGCAGGGCGCCGTGAACCCGGACGAGTACCAGGTGTTCAAGCCGCTGCTCGGAGACACGAGCCTCGTCCCGATCCTGGAGAAGAAGCTTGGCGACAAGCAGATCAAGATGGTCTACGGCACCAAGGATATGCCCACGCGAAATGTGCCGACATCCAAAGCCGAACGAGCCACGTTTGTCCTCAGCGACCAAGAAATCTTGCAACTTGGGCGCTGGGCATGCACGATCGAGGATCACTACAAATGTCCGATGGACATGGAGTGGGCCAAAGACGGCATCACCGGCGAGCTGTTCATCGTCCAGGCCCGTCCCGAGACGGTCCACTCTCGCCGCGATGCCGCCCTCATGAAGACGTACAAGGTCGCCAACAAAGGTCGTGTCCTGATCAAGGGCCTATCCATCGGCGATGCGGCGGTGTCCGGAAGACTCTGCCTCATCACTTCGGCAAAGGATATCGACAAATTCGTGGACAACTCGATCCTGGTCACGGAGACGACAGACCCCGATTGGGTGCCCGTGATGAAGCGCGCCGCCGCCATCATCACCGACCAAGGCGGGCGCACGTCTCACGCGGCCATCGTGAGTCGAGAGCTGGGACTCCCCGCCATCGTGGGAACCGGAAACGCCACCTATCTCCTCCACAGCGGCCAGGATGTCACCGTCTCCTGCGCCGAAGGTACCACGGGCTATGTCTACGACGGCATCTCCGACATCACCACGCAGACGGTCGACCTCACGGGCCTACCCGAAGTGCGCACCAAGGTGATGCTCAACCTCGCCAACCCCGAGACTGCGTTCCGATGGTGGAGGCTGCCGGTGGACGGGATTGGCCTCGCGCGCATGGAGTTCGTCGTGAGCAACGCCATCCAGGTCCACCCCATGGCGCTCGTACGCTACGATACGCTCAAGGACGACAAGGCCAAGGAGGAGATCCAAAGCTGACTATCGGGTACGAAACCAAACCCGACTACTTTGTGGACAAGTTGGCCCGCGGCCTGTCGGCCCTCTGCGCCTCGGTCTACCCCAAGCCCGTGATTATCCGCATGAGCGACTTCAAGACCAACGAGTACGCCGGCCTCATCGGCGGTGCCGAGTTCGAGACCAAGGAAGAAAACCCCATGATTGGGTTCCGCGGCGCTTCCCGGTACTACTCCCCAGGTACGAGGAAGGGTTTGCCCTCGAGTGCCGCGCCATCAAGCGCCTCCGCGACGAGATGGGCCTCACCAACGCCATCATCATGATTCCGTTCTGCCGAACGATTGGGGAAGCGAAAAAGGTGCTGGACGTCATGGCCAAGTACGGGCTCAGGAGGGGCGAAAGGGGCCTACAGGTCTACGTCATGTGCGAGATCCCGTCCAACGTCATCCTCGCAGACTCCTTCACGGAGCACTTTGACGGCTTCTCCATCGGATCCAACGACCTGACGCAGCTGACGCTCGGCGTGGACCGCGACTCGGGGGAGCTGGCGGACCTCTTTGACGAGCAGGACGAGGCCGTCAAGTGGATGCTGCGGCGCGTCATCGCGGTGGCGAGGAAGCGCGGCCGCAAGATTGGCATCTGCGGGCAGGCGCCTAGCGACCATCCCGAATTCGCCAAGTTTCTCGTCGAGGCGGGTATCGATTCCATCTCTGTGAGCCCCGATAGCTTCCTCGCGGTGAAGAAGCACGTCGTGGCTGCGGAAGCGGAGAAGTGATTTAGGGAGGGCCGGCCTTTTCGGGGCTCGCGGGAGGGCTCTCTCTGAGCTTGTGGAGTGCTTGATGGGGCGGGCGCATGGAGTTCAAGCAAGGGCAGCTGGTATAAGTTTTACGGTTCCTGTACTATAGAAAGAAAGAGTGTTGTTGAGCAGTCTTTAAATACGCAAGGATGAATTTCATTACCTCTTTAAAGTCTTCCTTGGTGTTTCTATAGCAAAATGATATCTGTTCGACGTGATTACATCGCATTCTACAGACATGCATGTAGGTTTCATTAAGAACAGATGAAAACGATTAGGCTCGTGGGTCCCACACACCAGATTCAACCCCTGCATTCCATTTTAGGCCTCGATGCCGGTTGACGTCCACCCTCTTCATCGTCTCCAACGTTGCATAATAATCCTTACGTTGCTTCCAACCAGGACCATCGACGTCGGCCGCCCTTTAAGATTTTTCATAAAAGAGACTGTAAATCGTTTTCTCCTCCAGCAGCAATTGACAGATGAAGTTTATCTTTTCAAGGGCCCAAGTTCCAGCTAAGATACTGAGGAAGACTTGTTGGATGCCATATTTATTTTCCCCCAAAATTCTACGTCCGACTGTGAGTCAGTGCCAGGATCCCGTTCCCAATGCTCCCAATGAAGAGGGGCTGTGTAACACATCAGTTGATCCTGGCGACCGGGCAGTTCGCAAAAGGAGGTCTAGTCTGACAATGGCTGAGTGAGTCCTTTGCTGTCATTTCCCCATTTCTCGGCTGTAGGATTAAGCATCGCAATTGAGGTGGTCGATTCATTAAAAGCCGGACGTTGCTAACCAAGGGTCACAGCGAGTTGAACTCACGGGCCGGGCCAACAATCTCAATAAGCCCCTGCCAATTAATGGACGGTAAAGAGTAAAGAGTCAACGCAGGCAGCCATCGCCATCCCTCCCGCACATCTTTATAGGGACCAGAGCTGCCACATCACATCTCCCGGCACTACCAACCACTATTTCTCCCTCCCCGCTCTCTTTCCATCTCTGTGCATTACGAGCCATCGAGCAATAAAGCACGCCACCATGGCTATCCGAGCGCTTTTCATGCTTGACTCCTCGTGCTACCAACCCTAGCAATCGACCCGGCCGAGCGCGTACTCTTTCTCGACTCGCGGCCTCTGTACGTCGAGGCCTCCGTGGTCACGGTAACCACAGACTCCGTGCACACGACCGACGACAAGGGCTCGTCCCTTCTGGTGGCGCACCGGGCGACCACACTTCGCGTGGACTGCGGGTCGGATGCCTCCCCGGAAAACGACGCTTGCCGCGACGCGGGCATCTATCCCGCAACGGCGGCGTATACGATTCTAGCGGAGGGTATGGCTTACGGGGGAACGACGACGTACCGTGTGGACAACAGCACGACAACGTGGAGCTGCGATAGAGCGGGTGCCGACGACAGCGTCAGCTGCGTCAAGACAATTGTCTCTGGCGGCAGCACGAGGACGGAGTCGACGGCGCACGACAGCTGTTATGTATGGGGACACATGGTCCCGGCAGTCCTGACGGCGGGTCTCGACAAGATGGCGGCTCCTCCTCCGACGGAATACCCGGTCGACGACAAAAATACCATCACCCTTAGTTATCAGGTTTTCAACTCAGACTACTCCGACATCATGTCCAAAGCGGGCTGCCCCGCGACCAAGGCCGCGATCTAGGACGGTGCCGCTACGACTGGCGCCGCGGACGGGGGCGAGGGCTCTGATGACGAGAGCGCGGCGGTGAGGTTAGGGGAGCGCGTCAAGAAGTCTTCTGGGAGGGATGGCCTTGGCTGTTCTGGCGGTGGCGCTCTCCTGATCGTGCGCCGGGGGTGATGCGGTATTCACAAAGTTTTACTTTTCTGTGCAAACCTTGAATGTGTTTTGTCGTGTCGATGCTCCCTCCTCGGAGACGAGCAGTTAGTGCCACTTGACAGCTGCTATAATATCCCCTACGTAGGGGCATTAATATGTAATGATCCGGGAAACGTTTCCAATGTAAATACAGTCCATCAAACTTTCGATCCAGAGATGCGGAATATATCGTTAGGGTGGGTATTGGCCAGCACTCCTGGGGATGATGGGTTGGCAATGATCGATGCACAGTTTCGGAAACCAAGGTCTATTAATACTTAACCCCCTCCTCTGGCCATGGATTTTATTTTCCTGTAAATGCTCATTTAAAAGCAAGACGTGAAATGGAGCATATAAAGGCCAAAAGAGGAGTGAAAAATAAAATAAAAGACTTTTGCTTTTTATTTTCTTCATCGCCTGATGTGATGCTGTGAAACGCGAGCTCTGCCGTGGCGAATGTGAATTGCAGGCAGAACGCGCCCCTTTTCAGTCACGCGTACCGAATTCCCGGGACTGTTAAAGAAAGAAAAAAGAAAAAAAAAAAAGAGGCAATCCAAAATAGGATGTATGTGGCTGACGAAGCAGCAACAGTAGTCCACTGCGCTGAGGCTGGTGGATGAAAAGTCACCCCCACAGCAGTTCAGAGAGCTCTAGACCATAAGCATACCCGAGATGTTTTTCTTCACTTTTTTATTTTTTATTTTTTTCTTATAGGAGCGGGAAGGGGAGGAGAGGAGCCAGTCATGTCCCCGCACCACTTGGATCCACCGATCCAGCACCTCGGCGGCCAGGCCATCGGAGCGGTGGCGTGCGGAGTTGTGCTCGAGCGGAGGACGGGCTTGGTCTGGGGATTTCGTCTCAGTCAGACAAACGTGGATGACTTGGTGGGCATCAGGGTTGGACTCGGGAATAATGCTGGCGGCAGGGTGGGGGCTGGCCCAACCACCAGTGCACACAGAAGGCGGTGAGGAGCACTTGAGGTGAATGTTGAACCACCCATTGATCTGGATGGCTCTAGGCTTTTCGTCCGCCCACCTGTGCGCAGGGGAGGGGCTTCGTGCACTCTACGCTACTCCATATCATTCCGCAAAGGGGCCAATGAACAACTTGGCGATGGCAATAGAGATTGTACCGTTTCTCTCGGGATGGAGACTGGCTAGCCAAGCCGGTTCCGGTCCTCGCTCATCTCGGGTGGATGCGGGTGGGGATCGGCTGGCTTTTTTGTTCCACGATAATAATACGCCATCCATCGACAATGGTCGTGATTTGATACCTCTGGATCCCCATTTGTTGCTAGGGCTCCGGGGTAGGAGAGTCCGGCAGACAGTTGAAAAGCATTGACGCTGACGAGACTTTTTTTTTTCTCTCAAGGCGGACATACGAGCGTGGGAGAAGACGGTGAGAGCTGGACATGGCACATCCCATCGGAGACAAAATAGGAAAAAAGGGTGGGATGCTTCACAGGTGGCGCTTCGTGGCAGATGGGCGGGACTTTGACACACCTCGTACGCACACGCACACGCACATGGCATGGAAGACGCATGCAAGTGTGGACCGACAGTATCTCGAGGGCACATGGTGGGATGGATCGGTTGGCTTGGTTCCCTACCGCCCCCTTTTTTTTCTCGCCTCGCAGCGGAGACAGAGAAAGGGGAGCGATTATCGCTATCGCCGAAGATTGGAAAAACGGGGCTCTGAAGTGGCTGGGAAAGATCAGCTTTTCTCCTATTCCCCATTTCCCTCTTTTTCCCCATTCCCCCATTCCACGCGTGTGGGTCTTGTTTTGGAGAGGGAAAGGGAGCAAAAGGGGGAAAGGGAAGGGAAGGGAGGAAACGGAATTTCGCCGAATTTTCTAAAGGGGACGCCACCAGAACGGCACCGACCTTCTTTTCTTCCTTTTTCTTCGTTTGTTTCTCCTTTTTTGGTTTTCGACCTGAGACGAGTCGTGGACCCTAGGTTTTTCCCAAGCCTGGCGACTTGTCGAGTCGGTTGAGAAGACAAGAGGAAAAAACTCGTGCTCCAGAGGCTTTTGGTGGAGCCCATTTCCCATAGCGTCCTCAACAACACGGGCCGGAGGGATGTTCCGAGGGATAGCTGCGTTGTACTTGCGCAGACGAATCGGCGGGAAATCTGCCTCGCCTCAGCAGAAAGAGTACATGGACTGCTAGCTCGAGTACGCGGACCCTGGAAGGAACCAATTCGCGATCCAACCTGAGGCGTGGAAACAAACCCCTGACACAGCAGAGATCAGCCAATAGCGGCACTGAATTGGCTGTAGTAACACTCAATAAAGTTTAGGGCGACATGATCGGAGGGGGTGGCAGGGGGTGCATGCGAGAATGGGAGAACAGGGGGTGTCGGCCCAAGGTAGGAGAGGGATAAAGAAGAAAAAAAAAAAAAAAAAAAAGAGAATTCATTGATGAATTGACAAAGGAAATTGTGAGAGCGCGCACGCAAAAGTCTCAGGGCAAAAACAGTGGGAAAACGAGTCGAAAAGGGAGCAAAGTATTTTTCAGTTTGACCAAACCCAAACTCCTCTCCAGGGGCGACTTTGGCTTGGCGGGCCCAAGCTGAGTTCCAGGGGAAAATACATGTAGAAATAGAAGGGGAAAAGAAAAAGGAGGAAACAAAGGAAGCAGGCCCCCCAAAAAGATTTGGCAGAAAAAAAAAAAGTAGATCCTTTGGGGACCTTGCCCAAGATTAGATTTTTTTTTCATAGTTTTTTTTTCCTTGCAGTACTTTTCAGTCTCCTTTTCCTTTTTCTTCTTCTTTCTTCTCTCTCTTCCTCTCCTTCCCTTCCCTCTTCTCCCATCTTCCTCTCCTCTGAGACGTCCCCTCCCCTTCTTGAGTCGAACCCCCTCGTTGCGCTCAAGAGTCTCATCAGTCCCGCCACAGCGAGCCTGCCCACCATGTCTTCAGTCGCGGCCACCATGGCGGCCTTCTTCCTATGGCTGAAGCCTGCCTCCAAGACCGAATCGACGTCGGTCCCAGGCGCCACTCAAACAAACGCTGGCAAGGCGACCAAGGTAAGCAAGCAAGCAGACTATCGTCATGCCCCTTTCTATTTGTCCCTTCTGTTTGCGCCTCCTCCTTGGTGGCCCCCTCTCCTCGTCTTTGCTAACTCCGCCCCCTCGCAGAAGCAGACGGTCATTGAGCGAACCCCTCGGGAATACCCCGACATCAACACCATCCGCAACGCCATCCCCGCCCACTGCTTCCAGCCCTCGCTCTGGATCTCGTGCGCGTATCTCGTGCGGGACGCCCTCTTCATCGCGGCGCTGGCCTACGCCGCCATCACCTACATCCCCGGCATCGAGGACGCGCGCGTCCGCGGCGCCGCCTGGGTCGCCTACGGCTTCGTCCAGGGCCTCGTGTGCACGGGTCTCTGGATCCTCGCCCACGAGTGCGGCCACGGCGCCTTCTCGCTGTACCCCCGCGTCAACAACGTCATCGGCTGGGCCGCCCACTCCTTCCTCATGGTCCCTTACTTCTCGTGGAAGTACTCCCACGCCCGCCACCACCGCTTCACCGGCCACATGGAGAAGGACATGGCTTTCGTGCCCCGCACCGAGGCCGAGCACAAGGAGCGCCGCATCCTCGGCATCCGCGTCGAGGACGACCTCTTCGAGGACGCCCCCATCGTCGCCCTCGTCCGCCTCCTCACCCACCAGCTCTTCGGCTGGCAGGCCTACCTCCTCTTCAACGTCACCCGCGGCGTCGACAGCCTCCAGCGCGAACCCTCCAGCTGGTGGCCCCAGAGCCACTTCGACCCCATGAGCCCCATCTTCCGTCCCAGCGAGCGCTTCTGGGTCTTTGTCACCGATATTGGCCTCCTCATCACCGCGAGCATGATCTACTACGGCGCCACGATTGTCGGAGGCTGGAACATGTTCCTCCTCTATGCCGTCCCTTACTTCTGGGTCCACCACTGGCTGGGTAAGTCTTCTTTGTGTTTCTTCTTCATTTTCTCTCGGTGAGCCCTTACTGACCTGGTGCGCGTGTGCCTGTAGTTGCCATTACCTACCTCCACCACACCCACCCCGAGCTCCCCACTTTGACGCCGACAACTGGACCTACGTCAAGGGCTCCTCGCCACCGTCGACCGCGACTTTGGCTTCATCGGCCGATATCTCTTCCACGGGATCATCGAGACCCACGTCGTCCACCATCTGTTTGCGTAAGTCGGCTCCCATGCCCTTGATTCTTTCCCACTCTGTTCGCCCAGTGTAGTAGTGCCATGCGTCATTTCGCACGGGGTGCTTCGGAAGGGGAAAATTGTGAACTATGCGCTAACTCGAGACGATAGCAAAATCCCCTTTACTACGCCGACGAAGCCACCGAGGCCATCAAGCCCATCCTCGGCGATCTGTACCACTGCGACCACTCCTTCTTGGACCAGCTTTGGCCCACTTTCACCGAGTGCAAGTACGTCGTCCCCGTCGAGGAAGTTCCCGGCGAGATGTACTGGGCCCACACCGTCAAGAAGAGCCAGTAAACGAAACAAAGAAAAAAGGGGGTATGAAAAATTACAACCTTTTCGACCACCGAGATAGGAAGGCGATTGCAATCTCCTTTTTGGATTTCACAGCCCCCTTTAGCTTGGTACTCGACCCCCACAAAACAATAGCACAACAACAACAACAACAACAACAACAACCCCGGAAATGAATGATGGAAAAGAAAGTGAACCAAAAAAAAGCACGGAATAGACTTGCTTGCCTCGTTTTTAAAAACAAATCTTTGCTTGTTAGACATATATCCACGAATTTGCATTTGAAAGAATTTGCCCGAGATAGGTGCTAGAAAATCAATAGACGATGGATATCGAATCTTCACCTACCAATTGTTCAATTGACCACGCAACAACATGTGCCTCCTCTGCGACAACGTAATCTTTGTAGCGAGAAAAACCGCAGATAATTGTACCGCGTCGGTCGACCGCCACGGGCCCCTAGAGCTGTCCTTTTTCCAACCGAGAGGAATGAATAATGTGATTCCGTGTCCGTGGCCCCCTTGGGGCTTGGCAATGGCTTTAGAATTCAGGCGTTGGCTGGAGGCGGACGGGATACGCGTCTGGTATTTGCCTTCGCCAAAGGATGGAAAAAGGGGGAAATCGAGGCCTTGAGGGTTAGAGGGACGGGCTGGAGGATCCGTCGTTTAAATGGCGTGGGCTTGTGTCTTGGTGCGGGGTGATTTGGTACTTGACGCCGGACAGCTCGGCACGCACGTAGTGGACATCAATGTAGGCAACCTGGCTGGCTCTCTCCATCCATTTTCTGAAATCAATCTATCGTGCACCCCAGATATCAACCACATTTGAGTTGGAGCTTCCCGAGTAGTATAGTGACTAAAAATACGAGCAGCATCATACGGGCTATTGACTCTTGTGTGAGGTATGGGGGAGGCGGGGAAGCGACTGCCCGGCGCTTTCATATACGGACGCGCTGAATCAATGACATCATGGCGTCTGCATAGCTTCTAGCTCATGAGGTCCCTTTTCTAACAAAAGTACTGACATTATATGCGCTTTGCTAAAACATGTGCAGCACTCATGGCTGATCTCCCTTGACAGGAGAATAAGAAAAAGCAAAGAGGGTTGGAGATCCCTAGGAAATACAACCCGAAAGGATGGACGGCACGTGGGGGAAAGAGGTCGATCGATCCATCAATAAATGGCTAGATGCAGTCCAGGCAGGTGAATCATCTACGCACATAAGCGCCGCCCGCGGCACCCTTCAAGAGTGAAAACATGTCTATCTATTGGTTTCTGATGGCATTTTCGATATCAGACATTGGAAGAGAACGAGACGGAAGAACGAAGAGAACATTACTTGGTTTGCCCAAAATTGCTAGCTGGAAGGTCACAATAAAGAAATGCCGATACCAAAACCAAATGACAATGAATCGAGACTGTACCTGCAAATTCAAAGTGATCTTCGTTCTCAAAAGCGCACACGTGCCGCCGCTGGGACGGCGCTTCTCCGCGGAGCAGATACTGACGCATCACCGCTGATGCACCTATCCTATCACGCGGTGGCACACCCCAAAAATACTACTGCTGATGAGCGCGGGCTCCTCACACGGCCTTCGGTTATCGCGCATTCCTAGCAAGTTGCGCGAGTATGGCGGTGTCACGAGCCGTCACTGTTGTGATATGGTGTACGGGGGTTTTGCGCTTACATTTCCTTGATTTCACCACGTTTTGTGGCTTCTCAGACATGAGCGGTTTTATTCTCTTTGCTTTATTTTACGGCTTTTCTCCCTTGTTCATATTCTTCTCTGTGTCCCTTCTTCCCTTTATCACGGTCGAGTAGGTAACCGTGTCGTTCGAGTCCGGTTGTTCATATTTGTGGTGCCAGCGAGGTCGACATAGAAGTGTGTTGGACGTGTGGCAAACACTCTGTCCGCTGCTTCCACTGGTGTTAGTCCAACACGAGAAGGTGGTAAAGCCTGCCCCCATTCTCCATTCTTTTTCCTAATCACTCTTTTTTTTTTTATGAATCTTCATGCTGGCTAACGTCATCTGCATATGAGCAAAAGCCCAAATTCATACCCCTTCCTTACGTTGATCGCATCCATGGCTAGAGACGGAGGAAAAGATGCCCAAACGGCAACAGCAACAGAGGCAACGGCACTTCTGGCGCCCAGGCCAAGACGCGAGCCTTCGAGCGCAAGTCTCGCCCATGTCCTGAGCCACGGCGTACCCGACGGAGAGGTGTTGCCGTACAACGACTACTCCACCATCGACTGGCTCCATCATCTCGTAAGCGACAATCTTCGACGAACCGAGACCGTGCCGCCCCGACGGCGCAGCATCCGGCGCGTCGTCGCCGCGTGGTGGGATTCCATCCTAGGCTGGATCGCCGCGTTTGCCATTGGCATCCTCACCGCCTGCGTCGCGTTTGCCGTGGACGTGAGCGTGGCCACCGTGGCTGATTGAAGGAAGGCTACTGCGTGGCCAACTGGTCGCTGCCCCGCCGATTGTGCTGCTCGCTCGACGCAGATCCGCACGACAGCGAGATTCAAGGGGCGTGCTCCAACTGGAAGCCGTGGGCCGGCACCTTTACGTCCAAGTACGCGATATACGTCGGTTTAGCCTTGGTGTTCGGTGTCATAGCCGGAAGCCTGACGATGTTGACCAAGACCAACCTCCCGGCCATGGTGCTGGAGTCCAAAGAGGCCGACGAAGAGCCGCCCTCCAGCACCCCGAAGTACGTCAGGAGCGCGGCCGGGAAGACCATGTATCTCGCTGCCGGCAGCGGGATCCCCGAAATCAAGACGGTGCTCTCGGGCTTCGTGATCCCCCACATCTTCGACTTCAAGGTCCTCGTGGTGAAAGCGGTCGGCGCCACGTTCGCCGTCTCGACCGGCATGTGCCTCGGCAAGGAAGGCCCGTTCGTCCACATCTCCGCCTGCGTGGGCTACCTCGTGTCGAGCCTGATTCCCAAGTACGCCTCGAACCCCCGCAAGATGAGGGAGATGCTCAGCGTGGCGTGCTCCGCGGGTCTGTCCGTCGCGTTCGGCGCTCCCATCGGCGGCGTCCTGTTCAGCTACGAGGAGATCAGCACCTACTTCCCGCGGCGCGTCCTCTGGCGCTCCTTCCTCTGCTCCCTCGTCGCCGCCGCCACCCTCAAGGAGCTGAACCCGACGGGCACGGGCAAGCTGGTCCTGTTCGAGACCAACTACGGCGTGAATTATCAGCTCGTGCACTACACCACGTTTGTCTTTCTCGGCGTGTGCGGCGGCGTGTTCGGCGGCGTGTTTTGTAGTGCGAATTTTCGGTGGTCCAAGTTTTTCCGGCAGATCCCCTCATCAAGCGCAACCCGGTGTTCGAGCTCGCGCTCGTGGCCTTGATCACGGCGCTGCTCCAGTATCCGAACCAGCTGATTCGTGATCCTGGGGATATTGTTATGGAGCGGTTGCTGGTGGACTGCAACGACACGCGCGAGGATTGGATTTGCGAGCAGGAGGCCAAGATTTCCGGCAAGGGGCCTTATTACGCGTGGCTCATCTCGGGCACCTTTGTCAAGCTGATCTTGACCACCATTACGTTTGGCTGCAAGGTTCCGTCGGGCATCATTATTCCCGCGTTGGATGCCGGCGCTCTCTTTGGGCGCATGGTGGGGCAAGTCGTCCCCGACATCTCGCCCGGCATCTTCGCCATGGTGGGTTCGGCGGCCTTTCTCGCCGGGGTGAGCCGGATGACGGTGAGCTTGGCCGTCATCATGTTCGAGCTGACGGGCGAGGTCAACTTCATCCCCCTTCATGATTGCCATCCTCACCGCCAAGTGGGTCGCGGACAGCATCAGCGCCGACGGCGTGTACGATTTGTCCCAGCACTTGATGGGTCATCCGTTTCTGGATTCCGACCGGGCTCTCCGAAAGGTGCGCGACATTCGTATTTCCGAGGGTTTGGCCACGGCCGAGGCCCTGATCCGGCCGACCAAGACCATGGATGAGATCATGGTGTTTGCGGGGCCCGAGTATCGCATCTCCGCTTCGATGCTTCGTCGGAAGCGGGATAGGCTGCAGGCCCGCGGCCTCATGGATTCGGGGCTGGTCATTGTTAATGAGCAGGGGCTTTGCCACGGGTACTTGTCCGAAGAACATCTCGAGTCCGTGCTTCACGGGATAGACGAGGTGGAGGCTGAGGCCGGGGCTGTCATCCAAGACGTGGATATCCTGGACCTTCCGTTATCGTCTCTCATTGACAGAAACCCGGTACTCCTCCAGGCCGGCGCGCCGCTCGAGTACGCGGTAGAGATGTTTGACAAATTGGGGCTGCGATATCTGGTTATTGTGGAGGACGGCGCAGCTAGAGTATTGGGCGTTGTGGTGAAGAAGCGTTTATTGGGCTTCTTTGATTCGCATGGTCGACTTTAAGAGCAGCCTCACCTCATTAACGGATGGAAAGCGGCGAGTAAATGGAAATTGTTAGCACGTTGACTGATAGAGCCCTGGTATTGAGCACTTTTGGTGATAGGTCATCGTATGCTCGAGCCCTTTTATCAAAGAAGTAATTGGATTTAAGTTACTTTCGGCACGTTTATCCAGTGGATTGCATAGATATGGTGTCGGAGGAGTTCGACACTAATAAAATGGTATATTATTAAAGAAATGAACGCAGATAATGAAGCCAAACGATCATTGCGATATAGGAAATCTCCCAAGTAGACGTAGACACCCATGGAGACCATGTTGTACGCTATTTTCCGTCCTATTTCTTTGTGTAGCGCTGTCCGGATATGGCTCACGCGGATGGGTTCCCGTTAAAGGCCAGCGTGTTTATCGTTCCGTTGGGGACGCCAGTGAGAATATTCTTGTGCACGGTGCTCGCGATATAGGAGCAAAGCTCAGCAGGGGTCATTTTTCCATGGAGGGCGAGCAGATAAGCACCAAGCCCCGTGATATGGGGGAGGCCATGGAAGTCCCCGAAATGATATTCTAGGCGCATCAGTCGTTGGAGGTGCTCCGAGAGTAGCTCTTTATAGGAATGTATGTTACGGGGTTGTACTTACATTAGCGTTGATACCACCGACCCAAGCACTCAGAATGCTCGTGCCGGGAGCGAAAACGTTGATGTTGGCGCCAATGCTCGAGAAGGGAGACATGGCGTCCAAGGAGGTGGACGCGCCCACGACGCAGGCCCCTGCCGCCGAAGCGGGGAGAAGTTGCTGGCGTCTGCGTTTCCGTTGCCCGCGGCTACGGTAAAGAACACGCCGCTTTCGATAAGAGCCTCGACAGCGTCGTTGACCGCGGTAGACTTGGTGCCCGTGATGGACAGGTTGGCGACGATCCCGTTCGGACAGGAGCGCTTTCCTATGTCCGTCGGGACAAAACTAGGCCGGCGATCATGCCGGAGCTAGACAGGTGGAGGAGAGCAACAATAGGTTAGAAAAGTGCCCGTTGGTGTCGGGCCGCGAGAATTTGAAACTTACTGCGTGCCGATACCATCCGTGCCGACGATCTTGACCGCGAGGAGTTTCGTTTTCTTGGCGACGCCGAAGCGAGCACCGCCGATGACGGCAGCCACGTGCGTTCCGTGGCCGTTTTCGTCGTCGTCACTATCGTCAACGAAATTGGCAACAGCGCTGGCGCGCCCTTCAAACTCCTGGATTGCCGGAGACGTAGAATCAAGGTAACGGTTAGCAGTGTGTCCTCGCCCCTCCTCTCCCCCGGAGAAACCAACGTAGACCAGCGAATATGACTTACCGAATGAGTAGTGTAAATGCCGGTGTCGATAACGTAGGCACATGTTCCCTCCCCGGCGCTCGAGTCGTAGACGTAGGTGTAGTTCCCCCTCGATTTGTCGGATAGGCGACCAAGGCCCCAGGCGGCATCGTCTTGTGTGATGTAGGAACTAATCCTAACAATGGCGTCGTGCTCGATGTAATCGATCTAGGAAAACAGGTAAACGCGAGGATGAGTGATGAACGTGCTTCAAGAATCGAACAGGATCTTCGACACGGGGTGGACAAGGTGGCGGCTCACGATAGGACTTGATCGAAGCCTGGCCAGCGTGATGTTACTTAGTTGAGCGGCAAAACCCTCAAATATCGTGGTATTATAAATGTGCTCAGGTTTGAAGGGTAGGCCGATGGTGATGTTCTGAATTGCGTTTTCACTGCTATTCCTCTTGAACTTGATGATGAATTTATTTGGTATGATGTCTCCGCCGTTAGGTCGCAGGAGCGGCGCTGGCTCCTGTCGGCAAAGATTGGGGGCCTCGCGAGGGCCAGAGGCAAAACGAAGCAGAGTAAAGCAAAACGCATTTTCCTTTCCGTGTTTCCTTGGTTCGCTGTCGATGTGTCTTTTTCCTTTTATGCTCTTGAAATAGGTGGCTCGGGTCGGGGATTCGTTCGCATTTGTGGCCAGGGTTAACTGGCGCAGTGGACGAACAACGAGTTAGTAGATCTGGATACGTCCAAATCTTGGTGCTTTGGTCTTGTTTTCGCAGCTATAGCGTACACGCGATACAAAGAAAAACATTGGGAAACAAACATTACAATGGACCTACGGCATAGTTCTGAGTTGTCATTTAGCTCGGCGCTGGTAATCAACTATTTACAGGTTCAAGACAACGGAGAGCTCAAAACATCGCCAAATCGTGTTGGATGGACGGGATTCGATGATGACGAGAGGGAACTGTAATTGGGGCCAGGGAGGCAAGACGAGGTAAAGCACAACCATGCGGTGCGGATTCTATAAGCAGGATGCCCTCCAAGCTATCGGGGACGTTGTCACGAAGAACACAACACATGATTGATGGGGTTAGTATTGATGCTCGTACTGAAGAAGGTTTTCAGGGTCTGCTTCCATGATATTGTTTCCTCATTAGGGATTTGTTCGCCGGGAAGCTAATCCGAGTCAACCCCAAATTAGACTTTCGTGACGAACCACGCTACGGTGGCGGGTTCTACCAATACCAAGGCAACATATAATCGTTCCTGATGAGTGTGTGTGGCGGGTGTAAGAAGAATTGATGTGTATTGCACTGTACACTCGAGCCTGCGTGGAATGCTCTCTATGTGTGCGTAGATCAAATGGAATCTCTCCTCTAGGTATTTTTAGCCGAGAGTGGGGAGAAAGGCGCTGTTTCAAACTTTGGTGCCTTTGGACTGGAGCTAGCCGGAATGAAAACCTACATGCCTCTTGTTCCATCAATTGATGTAGACACCATCGTACGTGGTCCGCCGAGAGGAAGCCACGGACGCCGTGATTTCGCGAGGCGTGGAGGGAGCAGTCCACACTCGGAGTCGGGGAATAGCCGGAATGATTCCAGTCAAATGCCAATACATGCCGGCCTGGTCCGTGTGCTCGCAATACACAAGTAACTTAAGAGAGACTTGATGTGCCGCCTTGGGTCAAGTCGCTGAAGAGTTTGGTTCTCGTACTAAGCATGATCGACAGCGGCTCGCTTCCGATCCTTTTAGGGGCCGGGACCAACTAAAGTCGCGAGACGGTTTCTGCCTCCCGTCGCATTCCGCCTGCCCCAAGCGCAGGTACAGCCACTATCCAAGCCAAGGCACCGCTCCGCGCCCAAATACTTCACATGCTTCAATGATGCCTCAGTGATGCATGCTGATAATAGTCCCCATTGAACACTAGAATTGATGCTGGGCTGCTGAGCGACACGCGCGGGAAAGGGACCCAGCTGTGTGCCCCTTTCTATGCCTCGTGAGCTTGGTCCGCTGTGGCAACTACTTCATCGCACGCTCTAGCCCGTATCGGATCAATGTCATTCAATGTCCATGGTGCCCGTGGAGGGTACGAAAGCGTCTGTCGCAAAGGTGGTAACCCCAAATCTTATTGCTGGGGTGGAACGGGGCGATTGTTAAGCCGAACGATTTCGAGCTGCCCATCCATGGATCGATTGAAATCCTTTGTGGTGATTCACCCATCCTTTGGCGAATGCATCCTCTTCTTCTCGCTCTTGCCATTAGCGATATCATTATCATTATTCACTTGTTACAAAAGTCACAGCAGAGGGAAATCACTTCGTAGTACCTCCGTACTGGGGGACTGCCCAAAAACAGACAAGATGAGGGCAATCGAGCATGGAAAGGGGTTACGTTCACCTTCCTTCCCCCGAAAACATTTTTCTCCGGTGACAGATTACATGGAATAATGACCTCGCCTATCGCGCACTCCGGCAGGCAAGCTCAGACCCTGCGATAACCTTGCAAACGAGAGATATCCCCGCCACCCCTCAAATGGCAGGGCCAATGCTATGGTTTCGGTGCCCAGTCATCTCCGGTGTCGTGCATCTCAGAGAACGCATCTCCGTCTGAAAAGGGAAGTCAAAAATGGACGGACCTTGCTTTTCTGTGTCAAGTGCGAATCCTGCTCGCGCTGGGACAAGGAAGTGGGCATCTCGCCATCTTATTAGAAAGGGCTGTCTACTGCACCCGGACTTGCCAAGAGAGCTTATCTTTTTGCAGTTGGGTTTCCTTGCCTGGGACAAAGCGGCCTTGTCCGAGGAGCGCTGAGGATAGCACGGAGAAGATAGCTCGGCCCCGACAACACTGACCCTCCGTAGCCAGCCTTGGTTATACTACTCCGCGTTCTTGGTCGTATCCGGGGATCCTTCGACTCGACGCTCGAGAGCCCGAGAGGGGATCACCACGGGGGCATGAAATTGATGCACCAAAGGATCGAGTTTGACGGGTGGGGATCGATGTTTATTGGCTGCCCCCCTTGAGTTGGCCTTGTGCGTTTCTTGTGCGGAGTTGCCAGGGCGGTGATGATGACTCGAGTTTGTGGACCATGCTGAGAATCCTGGATGCTTTTCTTGTCATGTTCTTCAAGGGAGGAAAGCGGGGCGGGAGGGCTTTGATGCTTCGGATGGCACAGGGAGGACGACTCGACGACTCGTTTGGCATAATAGCCGGCGGCTCTCATCCAGCGGGGAGGGTTTCCAAAAACCATTCTTCACGCTCCGCGTCAGCTGTTCCTTGTATTACTTGTAGGCCTGGAAAGAAGGATTCAGCTAAAGGCGCAGGGGGGATGTCGTTCATGCCCATTTGAGAACCCTGCTCAAGAAAGCTGGAGTACAACTCGTTGGCTGGGTCAAGGAAGTCCGAATCGCCTAACCAAATCGCCTACCCAGTCTTTTATTCTTCGGCTTCTCTCTTCTTCTCTTTCTTATCTTTTCCCTTTGGTCTTGTAGCCCTGTCAGTGGATGCTACAAGTAGTTGGACAATTCCCCAGCTTTTACTTGTACCTGGTGCGACTATCTAATAAAAGGCTCGTGGATTGAAGAACTCCGAAAACCGGCCGACTGCGTCTACGTATTTCTAGCCGTTGAGAATGGCTTTGAAGCGCTAGGGAATGAAGATATCCGCTGGCTTCCTGCGTGTGTCAGCCGGCATGCCTTGCAGGGCTTTCACAGGCATTCTTGCATCGAGCGGGTTCGATGGCCTGCTTTTGACAGCTCCCCAAAACCGCGGTCAGAGGAGCTGCCAAACCCATCGTGCATTTGCGGGGAAATGATGTGTCAAGGTACACAAAGGGGAATGGGGAAACGCCAGAGTTGACAGGCACGCAGATTGCCCAGGGTTCGCTGCGCCCATTGACCAAAATGGTGTGCTCGCTTGTCCCAATGGCCCCCTCAAGCCCCTAGCCAAGCAGTTAGATTGGGATAATCTCTTTCCTCTGGCGTGGGTCCCACAGAACTAAACTTGGCTAGGGTCGCCAACCGGGGAGCAGTCCCATCCAAGCACGGCCGTTGTCAGTGGGAGGATTGCCAGTCGACGTCAAAGCGAAAGGGCCGTGCACGGTCGATCCTTGCCCGGGTCGACTCCGCGACGCGCCGGACCGGGACTATACGATGGACCATGGACTATTATCGAGGTAATAGACCCGTCTCGCTTTTGGTATTGGGTAGGATCCATCCTTGGACCTGTCGTTCACCCAGCGGCCTGGACCCAAAAAAGCTTGTCAGGGCAAAGAAGAACGCGATACCGCCAAGCCCTGGCGCCCTCCTCCCCTCTCTCAGCACAAAACCCAGAGCCTTCCCCTTCGCGTGCCCCCCTTTCGATTCTTGCTCCCCCACAGAGACGCTTCTTCTAGAAGAAAGGCGCACATCAGCCACATCTTGCACACCAATTTGACGGCGGTTCGCTGCGAATCGAGCGTGTTTTTATCTTCGCCCGCCCGCCCCCCTCGGTCGTCAGCGAATGTGCAGCGTTGGACGACCTAGGCGACATTCCCCTAAAGGATAGAACCGGTATCGGGATTTTGGGGCACCGCGCCGCCGCCGTTATTCATCATGGACGGCGAATTTATCATGCCCATCGCGCCCCCACCGCCGGGGATCGATTCGAATTTTGACAACCCGGACGACCTTTCTTGGCGCTTGGCGGTGACGATCGGCGTCACCCTTCCGATCGCGGGGATCGTGTGTCTTCTTCGACTGTATACCAGCCGCTTCATTGTCGGACGGTGGCATGTTGACGATGGTGAGTAGTGGGCGTGTTGGACGGCGAGCGATACCGGTCCTGTCATCGGCGCACTTGTGCTTGCTGGACCCGAATCGCTGTCTCGTGCTAACTCGGTTGGTTGATTACAGTCCTCGTCGGGTGTGCACTGCTGTTGTCCATCGGATATGCCATTTCTAATACACTTCGTAAGTGATGCAAGAATATAGAAAACCGACTTTGATATCAAGTTGCTAACCGCCACTCCTTATCTGTAGAGGCCAAGTATGCCCTCGGCCGTCACCTCTGGGATGTACCGTATGAAGATGGTGTGACTGGCGCCATGGTACGTAGCTCTACCCCCTCTTAAGAAGTGTTTTGTCCGTTGTTTAACTTGGGTATCAGATCGAGATCACGGCTGGCGCAGTGACGTACAACCTCTCGCTCATGATGACCAAACTATCCATCCTATGCTTCTACTTGCGGTTCCCCGCATCTCGTTCCTTCAAGGTGGTGTGCTATGCCATCATGGCCATGGTCATCGGTAACGCCCTAACCGCCGGGTTTTCCTTCTTATACCTCTGCCGACCCATCAGGAAGCATTGGGACTGGGCTGTCGAGGGAAACTGCGTCGCCAGCTTCACCATCCCCTTCTGGGTTGCCGCCATCGTCAACATGGTGACCGACGTCTTTATTCTGCTCTTGCCCGTCTGGCTGCTCAAGCCGCTCCGACTTCCCCTGCCAAGCTCCTCAGTGTTTTGGGCGTGCTCATGGCTGGTGGCTTGTATGTATCCGCTCCGTTCACCAGCGTATATGATGGAACGCAGACTAACCCATGGTTTTCCAGCGTGTGCGGAATTACCATTTACAGGGTCGTTGACATCCCCAAGTCCCTCACGACGATGGATGTCACCTGGGACTACGTGGACAACTATATGTGGATGTACGTCATCTTAAAATCCAATTCCATAACTGCCACTTGCAAGAAACCCTTGACTAACCTCCAACTCTATAGGATCATCGAGATCAACGTCGCAATTATTTGCGCCTGCCTGCCCTGTCTCAAGGCCTTCCTCTCGCACCACTTCCCCAACGCCTTCTTCTTCAGCGAGCGCACCCAAGGCACCGTCAACCAAGCCCTCTCCTTCCTTAACACCACCCCGCCAGCCGCCGCCCCGGTCCAGGAACTAGCGAGCCCGTGGCAACGCACCAGGGACAGCCTCCCTTCCGACATCGAGACGGCAGACCATCGATCAGATCGGACGGGCAAGTGGACGGGAAGCACGAGGCCAGAAACGGGCGACCATGTAACCGAAGTGCCGAGAAGCTCGAGTTCTTTCACGCACGAAAATAAGGAAGCGAAGAACGACTCGTCGACGACCGCTCCTGCTCATATCAGCTCGTAATGCGGGTTTCCAGCGCGCGCGTGGTAGCCTTGTACGTTGGGGGACCTGGTTTCTGGGAAATCAACCGGCTCTGGATTTTTAGTAGCCATACAATAGCGATTTCTTTTTTCTCTTTTTCCACTTTCCGGAGTTCATGTATTTTTAACGATAGATGCTTCCTAGATACCAGCAGACTCCGCAGCATATCGTATCTGCGGAGCCTTGTGTCTTTTGTGTTTGTTCTCTTACCTTTGGTTCTTGGAGACGGAAATGGGTGGTTGGACTCTAAGATGAGAGGGTATTTTCTGCCTTTACCAAGGCCGGCTATTGAAGGCGTGGCCCTATCGCGAGCCTCTGTTTAATACATGGCGTTTCGTCAACATTTGTTAATCTTCTGGGTGACTCTATTATTTTCTGCGTCCAACGTGCCTTGCGTATCTCTCTCTCCTTGTGATCTCTAATATCACCGGACGCTCTGGCTCACTGACATATATACTTATCTACCTCGTCATCCTGCGAACCATGAGCAACTTTCTTATTTTACCTAGCCGGGGAGCCTATCTGAGGATTAGACTGACGCCGCAAATATGCTTTACCACCCGAGCCACTGTAGAAATTGCAATCGAAACCGGCTACGTGAGCCAGAACCCTTGCACTCTACACTTGCCTTAGGTACGGGGGTGCACGAGGAATATCAGCTCAAAAATGCATGGCTTAGTCTATACTTTTCAGCTGATGGTCACGTCCATGATATCAAGTAGACGGTCCTGCCCTATTCGCCATTGTGGAGGTTGTGTTTCAAATTAACATTAGTTATCATTACTCTATGTCATCGTCTTCGTCGTGGAAAAACCTCAAAATGGCCGCCGCAACAGCGATACCATCGTGCTCCAAGTGGGCCGTCTCCATCGCTTGTGTCACCTCGTCCCGGTCATCAGCCGTGATGCTACCGCTCTTGATGCGCAACTCAATCTCTCTTGACCATGGTCTCGTCGAACGCGAGATGGGCCTGCGTCGTGAAAAGCCGTTTTTGTATGTACACCCTTGAACGCTCGTATGCTCGCTGCTCCCCCACACGTGCACCTTGGTATCCTTCTCCAGTAGCCCGTTGGCCGTTTCGGGCGTGGGCGCTTCAACGACCTGATCCTGATGCATCTGATGTAGATATATCTCGGGTTCGTCGACGTGGAATAGCTTTTGCCCGATGGGGGTGAGGGAGATGCTCGAGTGGCCGATTTCCCAGTTCCCGTCCGGGGCAGGTCCCACGGTGGCGCCGAGCATGCGGCATAGGAGCTGGTGGCCAAAGCAGACGCCGCTAAAGTGAATGTCAGGTCGACGTTTCCAAAGTTCTGTTTGGAAAGGTCTTTTGTTAGCCGCGAAGAACGCGTAGAAGAGTTATCCCTTCTCGAAAAGACAGCACGTTACCTGTAAGGAGACAAAGCAGGTCCACGACCCAAGGCGTGTCTCCGTGCGCATCATAGGTACTGCCGGTGATGAGAACGGCGTGGCAGCCCTCGAAGTCGTCAAACTTGGGGACGCGACCGCCTTTGTCCTCGACCACGAATCGCTTGTCCGTGTCGACATCGAGCGGAGGATCGTGGGACTCGCCGGCGCTGGCGAAGTGGTGGTGGAGGATCTTGGCGAAGCTGCCGCGGCGCTTGTGCTCCTCGGGGTGCGGCTCGTCGGTCTCGAGGACCATCATGCGCACGACGGGGGTCCCTCGGAGGGAGATCCTGACGCCTCGCCATGGTTGTTGACATTATTTTGGGCCATTGAGGTTTGGTAGAGACTGTTTTGGTGTGGGTCGCTGGTGTTGTGTGAGCTATGAGGAAGTTGTGGGTGTGTGGGATGCAACGTTTATAAGGGCTTCTTGTGCTGGCTTGGATGTTGTCATGCAAAAAAGAAAAGCTCTCCTTTTTCATGAGCACTCGACCTACGTCGAAGGCTAGCTGGCGCGCTTGTCGCCTTGTCCTGACGTCATGCGAGACAAGGCTTGGCGTTTACTTCAACCTTGTTCCGCTGCATCTCTAGTTCCGGGCGATCCACCACCCAAGGTCTTGGCGGGACGCTGACGCTGACGACGCTGAGGGATTTTGAAAGGTCTGGGGAAGAAGCGAAGAGAAAATTGGCTGGATTGCTGGAAATCCGGTGTAAGTCGGCGTGGGATGGTGACGAGGTGGTCGGACCTTGTGATCCTCTGGATTCAAGGACGGTCAATGACGAATGCGAAAGAGAGATTCTTTTTGGTATAGCAAGGAGGCAGCTTCAATCGAGTATATTTAATAAAAGTGGAATCGTGCTTTTACGAATTCAATGATAACATTGAATATCGTAGAACGCTTGGTGGTTCACAGCTGCGAATTGTGGCAGCCGTATTACGGGCGGGAGCTAGCAAAGTCAAGCAGTGGTGGCGAAAGCAAATGAATTCGCTCCTTTGGCGAGCTGAGTATATTAAGTCATAGATGCGATAAACTTCAATATCTCTTTCGAAGACCCTTTCTGAAGTCGCTCACAAAAAAGGGAGGAAAAGAAGGAAAAAGAAAAGACAACATTGAAGGTAGTCGGCCGAAAAAAAAAAAAAAAGAAATAGAGTAGCATTGCTAGGTTTCGATCCTAGGTCCCCTGGGTTATGAGCCCAGTGCTCTACCCTGAGCTACAATGCTGTGGAGCCGAGTGTCGTTTCCAACCTCTTGGCCTGTCTTGCCGATTTCCCGACTGATATGACAATCGCGGAAAAGCCCGAGAAAAGTCCAGAGAAGATCAATTGATACAGCTTCTCCCCACTTTACCGACGAGGAAGAAAGCCACGCTACCACCTCAACCCAAAGACATTTTAATATTGAATAGTTTACGAGGTGGATAAATGAGAGGGGAAAAGCGAAGGAGAAAGCGCGGAGGGTGCATATTCTTGGAAGGGCGCTTCTGAAAGGCCTGGACATCGTGAAGCGTCAACGAAAGCAACGCGGGCTCTGTGCTGCAGAAAAACGCCAAATCGTGGCCTTCTTCTAGAAGCGTGGCCTGACAGGAGTCATGAGCCTTTGAAAGATTGAACCAAGATTGGATGGCCACGATACAGACCTAGACGGTTCATTACAGGATGAGCCGATATTTCCCTATTAGAAAGGCAAGCGTTTCCAATTCGAGTCCCTGACCAGGGAAATCGGAACTTTTGCCCGGTCTGCTACGTTGGGGTTGTAAAAGAGAGGCTGCTAAGCTATCAATACGGATGGAGGTGCGGTTCCCTGACTTTGAGAAAGCAGTTCGGCGAGGACTATGGCGTGTGTACGTTGAGCAAGGGGGTCGCGTAGACTTGCACGAGGAAGGAGACTAGGTATCTATGTAGTATGGTTACAAGGCCCAGCGGCCGATGGTGTATCGCGGCGGGTAAGACATCCCCCACTCCTCACTCCTCACGGGTGACTCTCCAGCCCAAGTAAAGAGTTGGCTCACTGTCAGTGTAGGTTGGTGAATGTAGTTCGCAGGGCGAAGAAGAGAATTCCCCGCAAAGGGGCGCATCTGAAGGACGGAAGGATCGCGTGGCCCTTGCGTCTCGTTTGGCGCCTGTATGAAATGCGCACGAAAACCTCTGCAAAGGTGCGTCGGGCGACGCCCAGCGGCCCCACTGCCGGGCCCAAACCTGTTTCATCGATCAAGTGACGATTCTTTCTCTTTTGCTCTCTACCTGTCCCCAAATTCCCGGTGCCATGCTACCGATCCCGGTCTTTTTCCTTTCTTTCCCTTTTTTCCTTTTCTCGTCCCGTTGGAGCGACGTGGTGGCGCGATTCGGGATCGATCTCAGGACGATCTGAACCAGGAGTGCCCCTTGAGGCTTCCCTGCGACAATCATGTGGATCCCTCGTGGCCGATTGCATGGGCTGCCAAGTGCTTTGGCACCCATCTCGCATTTCTGACTGGGCACCCTCAGCACCCTCAGCAACCAAGCAACAGGGGATCAAAGAATGATACGGCTCCATACCAAGTAAATCGCCCAGGTTCTAACAAAGACATGAAGAGAGGCGACATGGAGAAGCAAGGGAGGAAGGATGAAGATGGGCAGGGTGCGGAGCGATCGGCTGCGTCCTCGGCTAAAGTCCGCTCACCCAGGGCCGATCAGCGATTGGCATAGGGTCGCCAATGGTTGAGACGATCGCGAAGAGTCCAGGCGGCTGGCGATCTGATGCCAGCCAGTCGCTTCGGCGGCGGATTTTTACACGAGGGCGGCTCGGCTGTCGAGGGCGATTAATAAAATATCCGGTGAGATATAAGAAATGCATGCCGCCAAACCCTCTTTTGTCTAGTCTTTTTTGGTATCTTTATTTAACTAAAGCTTTCTCTTCTTGTCCCCACCCAGGTGCTCCAGGTGCTCCAAGCTCAGGAAAAAGAGCCTGCTTAGAGCTCGCTCACTCATCAGGCTTGGAAATGAATCCCAGCTCCCTTTTACCGGAGGCGCCCACGGAGGTCGCGGCCCTTTCGAGATTGTAGCCCGCGTGCCCCAATGATAGGTCCCACAACGTGCATCTCCGTCGTCTGGGCACCTGTAAAACTGTGCTAAGCTGCCAATGTCGACTTCGGGATGAAACTTTCTCTCGCCCTGACTCGGCGGCAGTCGAATGTTCTTTTTTGCGCTTTTCCCCTGCCACCCCTGGTTGCGGCGACAGGGAGGGCCGTCAATGGCTCGATATCAGCGTCGGTCGCGATCCGCCTCCACTTTTTTGTGGTGCACGGGGAACCGACCCCATGCAAGACCTCCACTCTACATGGTATACCCCGAAGGGGGCCCTCTGATATTATGGATCTCGCCCATTCCATCTATCCAACCCAAAAACGGCGCCAACGTACATGAAGATTGGGAGACCAGTCAACGGCGTGGACTTGGCGACCCCCGAGCGTTGGGTGGTGCGCACTCCACAGTTGGAACGAAACCTGTTCCAGAGGGGCTCCCATCTCCAAGTACGCTCTTGCGAAAGTGGAGGCGTGTACGTGCATGACGCAGAGTGTGGGATATTATCCGACAGAGTATGCGCAGCTGGACGAGAGTGAGTTCGTAGGGTCCCCGTCTGTGAATGTGCTACTATATATGTGTGTGCCCCGTCATGCCCCCTTGAGGTCATCGTCCTTCCTCTTCTTCTTCTTCTTCTTATCAAGTCCCGGTGATAGTCGTTCAAGTTCTTGTTTTGCACACGTCGGTGTTTGCTTTCCTTTCCTTTTTTCGTAACCCTTCCCTTTCGCTTCACATCGCTGGCTGGCTCAGCACTCGTCTTTGACAGACATTATGGTTTCCATCGCAGAGTTCTTTGTCGCGTCGGCTTTGTTGGGCCTTGCCCACGGCCACGGCGTCCTCATCAACGCTCAGGGCGATGCCGGTTCCCCTGCAAGCGTTGGGTTCAAAGGTACGCTTCATACACCCATGGATACGAGAGATCCACCCACTTTGGACTAAAAGGAGACTGGTCACTGACAACTTTTCGTAGTAAACCCCGAGATTGCCCGCAACTGCACAACCATCAACCCTTGCCAGCAGGACAGCACCCTGATCCGCGATGCCGAGATCGAGGCCAACCTCGTCAACGAATGCGGTCGCACGGAGCTCACGGGCAACATCGACATTGGCGAAGAGACGGAGAATGCCCTGGCGGCTGGTGCCGTCACCCAGGTACAAAAGGGCAGCACGATCGAGGTTCGTATCTTCCTAGGGCTGTTTCAAGCATAGCTCCTAGAAAGCAAAGCACGAGACGAAGCTCGAAAACGCTAACGCTGTTACAGGTTACCATTCACCAAGTCAACGCGGACGGCGCGGGTCCCTACTCGTGCGACCTCGACGTTACCAGCAATGCTAGCCGGCTCACGGGGCAGATTCCCCTCAATGTTACCAACAACGTTCCGGGCGTCAACGGCTTCTCCCAGGCCAAGGCCCAGGACTTTGTCATGACCGTCCAGCTGCCTGCCGACTTCCAGTGCACCGGAGGTAAGAACGCCCCCTGCCATGTCCCGGGATTAATGTCATTCTCCTGGCAGATAGATTTCGGATCAACGAAAGCTAACTGTTTGGTAATAGCCTCGACCGGCAACATCTGCACCGTGCGATGCCGCAACAACGCCCTCGCAGGCCCCTTTGGCGGCTGCTTCGCCGTGCAGCAAACCGACGTAGAGGCCACGGCCAACACGCCGCAGAACATCAAGACGGCGCAGGGGCTCGAGGCCACGCTCGCGCAGGTGCTCTCCAACCAGCAGGACCTCCCCGCGGCGGTGCAGGCCAACGCCAACGCGGGCGCCGACAGCGCCCAGCAGAACCTGGCGGCGGTCGAGGCGATCCTCAAGATCTCGCCCACCACCACGGCGTTCCCCCAGCAGACGCTGCCTCTGCCCGAGGTGCCTGCGGATAATGCGGCTGTGACTTCGACGACGGCGGCGGCTGAGGCTACGGAGGGGCTGGCCAGACTCGCGGACGGAATAGGGGTAACAACCGCAACAACAACAACAATAACAACAATAACGACAACAATAACGACAACAACAATGCCAATAACAATGTCAATAACAACAACAATGTCGGTAACAACAATAATGTCGGGAACAACAACAATGTCGGTAACAACAACAATGCAGGCAACGCAGACAGAAATGCGAAGCGAGCGTCTACCGGTATGAGGTGGGCGCGGCGGTTGTAATTGACTGCTTGTGCTGTTAGTTGTTTAGATGGTGTTGTAGTGGCTTAGTGGGAGGAAGTTGGGAAACGTTAGCACGTGGTGGCCGGCTTCTCGCGGCATCTCGGTGTCGACACCAATTCATGTATTTACTTCGTTCCTGGTGAAAGCGAACTGAACTCTGCAAGATGGAATACGGGGAGATGTTTGAGTGGCTTTTTCTTCTTTTTGGGCTAGATAGTATCATTAACGGATCTTGACGAAACCATTCCGCCTCTTTTTCGAAATTGTGAAATGTTAGCTCTCTGATTGTTCGTGAATAAAACCGCATCCTTGGTGGTTGTACGCGGTATGGAAGTGGCGGCCCCGCGATATCTCAATACCCGACAAGCCCTCTCATGCACATCTCCCGTCTTGGTATTTGGGGAATGCTCAAGTGGGGTGTTGCTTGCCGTAGTGGGGTGACTCGCGCATACATGCGTGCCCAACTCATGGGAAACATGAACAAATGCGAATTCGGGTGTGGCAATGGCAAAGTCGATGATAGCCTGCTTTTCACTACATGCATTCACGGGTCATACAGCTAGTCATCAAGCTAAGGAATATGTTGGATCTATTCTCGAAAAGGAGCGTGCTACGTCTTTGCAGCACGGATGGAGGGAGGGGTGGCGACATGTACGAATGAGATGCGACATGTCATCAGATAACGCTTGCCACCAGAGCTGGAATAAGGAAACAACGTAGTAAACCACCTTTGAGAAATCAGGTGAAACTGTTTTCCCTCTCCGAGGACGAGATCATGGTTCCTGAGATTGACTGGCCGTGACTCTTATTCAATAATGGACTAGAGATAGAAAACTGCGATGGTAAAAAGGTGTGGGTACGATAGGCAATAGTTACCCTGCCGCCTTCTCACACGTACCCTGATCCAGTTATGATGCAAGCAACGAGCCAGCCATTTGGCGCCCAGCCAGTAGGACAGAAACAGCAGGTAACGCGAAGAACATGGAGCTTTCCCGCAAGAATACCCAAGAAGGGCGCTGGGCTGGCCGAGTGGTCCTCCTAAAAGCTCGCCACTAAACCGCTTTGGGGTTTGCCGGGGGAGTGGGCACCCGTGCATCGGGGATTGCCGGCGTCCACCAAAGGCTGGCAGCATTGGGGTTGGAGGGTTGGAGGGTTGGAGGAAGGGTTGGAGGGGCAAGAGAGACCTCGGCATCATGACGGAGCAATGCTCCAACTGCTGGCCCCACTCTCGCTCGAGGGAAGCTTCCAGGAAAAAGAGCTATAACTGACCCGGGAGTCTGTCCAGCATCCCGCTGGCGTGCCTGCCGGACCCTGTCTTGCAGCAAAAAAAAGTCTATTGTTGCTCTTTTTTTTTCTTCTTCTCCAATTGACGCGCGGGGTATTTTTGTGCTTCTCCATATTCTTGTTAATTGTCACGTCGAATCTCTCTCTCCTCAAGCACTTGGGAGAAGCGAGCTGCGTCACGAAACCTTTTCAGTCAAATCCACCCACTCCTCCTCATCCTCTCGTCATGTCGTCCAGCAGCGTCCCTCTCCTCGAATCCCGCGGCCTCGTCGCCGGCCAGTGGAAGACGGCGCCCAACGGCACGTTTGACGTATACGAACCTTCGTCCGGTGAAGTCCTCGGCCAGGTCGCCAACTTTGGCCACGACGACTTCGTCCAGGCCATTGATGCGGCGTACGACGGGTATAAGAAGTTTTACGACGGCACCACCGCCAAGGAGAGGGCGGAGATCTTGCTCAAGTGGTACGCTGCCATGGAGGAGAACGCTGAGGATCGTAAGTAGTTGCGTTCTGTTTCTTAAATCATTTTCCCTCTTCTTGGTCTCTGCTAATCACCTCCCCACTCCACAGTCGCCGTCCTCCTATCCCTCGAAAACGGCAAGACCCTCGCCGAAGCCCGAGGCGAGGTCAAGTACGCCGCCTCCTTCGTGCACTGGTTCGCCGGCGAAGCCGTCCGCTCCTACGGCGACGTCATCCCCTCCTCCTCGCACAACACCACCGTGCTCACCTTCAAGGAGCCCATCGGCGTCTGCGGCATCATCACCCCCTGGAACTTCCCCGCCGCAATGATCACCCGCAAGATCGCCCCGGCCCTCGCCGCCGGCTGCGCCGTCGTCATCAAGCCCCCAGCGAGACCCCCTTCACCGCCCTCGCCCTTGCCAAGCTCGCCGTCGAGGCCGGCGTCCCCGCCGAGTGCGTCAGCGTCATCCCCACCAAGGATAGGAACGCGTCTCTCGAGCTGGCCAAGAACCCCAAGGTCGGCAAGATCAGCTTCACCGGCTCTACTGGCGTGGGCAAGATGCTCACCGAGTTGGCGGCTAAGACGATGAAGAGGGTCAGCATGGAGTTGGGCGGAAACGCACCCTTTATCGTTTTCGAGGATGCGGATATCGATCAAGCGGCCGATGCGGCCATGGCGTGCAAGTTCCGATGCACCGGTCAGACCTGCGTGGTAAGTTCGAAATGGCAATCCCATTTCTTTTTCTCTGCGGTGAAACCGTCCCATCTAGCTAACCGCTTCTTTCCCTTCTAGTGCGCGAACCGACTCTTTGTCCACGAAAAGGTCCTGGAGCCCTTCACCGCCAAACTCATAGAACGCGTCGAGAAGCTCAAGCTCGGCAAGGGCGTCGACTCCGACACCACCCAGGGCCCCCTCGTCAACGCCTCCGCCGTTAAAAAGTGCAGGAGCACGTCGACGACGCCGTCAGCAAGGGCGCCAAGGTGCGCACCGGCGGCAAGCCCCCGCCCACCTCAAGGGCTTCTTCTTCGAGCCCACCGTCCTCACGGGCGTCAAGGAGGGCATGGCCGTGCTGGCCGAGGAGACTTTCGGACCCTTGGCCCCCATCGTCACTTTTACCGACGAGGCCGAGGTCTTGGCCATGGCGAACGATACTGAGTTTGGCTTGGCCGGCTACTTTTCAGCGCGGATCTCCGCCGCGTCATGAGGGTGGCTAGGAAATTGGAGTGCGGCATGATTGGTGTCAACACGGGCCTGATCAGCGCTGCGGAGAGCCCGTTCGGTGGTGTCAAGGAGAGCGGTGTCGGAAGGGAGGGCAGCAAGTACGGTCTGGCCGAATACCAAAACATCAAGACTGTCACGCTTGGTGGACTGTAGCGAATTGCTCACTCTTCTTGCGTTTTCTTTTTCTTTTTCTCTGCTTTGGCGGATAGGTATCAAATGGAACGGTCTTATGATTTCTCGGCGGAGGGATGGTTATACTAGAGAAAGGGGCTACATAAATGGACTCAACAATGCAATTAAAATATAGGGAATCATATATGGCATACTTCACTTTTTCTGCAGCCTTGGCATTCTTTTTACTTGCGTTTGTACGTGATGACCATGACATTCTTGAAAGGGGGACTTTCACAAGAGTGGCGACCTCCAAGCACACCTGACGAGGTCGTGATTCTCTCACCCGTCTCATAATGGGGCTGCGATGTACGAAGGCAGTTAGACCGTGGTCATCGACTGGCGGGAGACCAGGAAATTAGTAGGATTGTCCATATATGGCTCTTTAAGGTAAACTAGGCTTAGTATGCTTCCTATGGGTGCTGTCATGTGGAAATAGGGCTGCGGGTTCCTATCCGTTGATCCGAGCCGAAGTGGGGAGGCCGTTGCATCGGGATGCCAGAGGTTGAGGGCCGGTATACCTAGGCAGGCCAGGGTCAGCTGAGCAACAAAAGTGTGCTCTTCACTTGCATGGCCTCGTCCGAGGAGGAAATTCACCCGTAAACGGAACGGCGGAGAAATCGCCGACTCGCCGACCATCCGTGGATGATTGTGTGTGAAATTTCGGTCTGCTCGCCTTTAGGAGCTAAATTCTCAGCCGGAACCGGACCGAACCAGAAGACGCAATATGCCATCTTCCCCACACGTCATAGATGCAGGGGCTCCCCGCAAGCTAGAATTCTCCAGAGCGAGCATTCGCCGTTGCTACCCCCTCCACAAAGAGCGACCGGCTCGAAAAGACCGGGCGTGAGACGCTTTTTGCTTATCAATCTCCGAAAGCTACAAAGAGAAGGGCAAAAAGAAGGAAAATGCCGACGCTAGTGCCGGAGATGTCTGGTGCGACTCGAGGAAAGCTTTCTCGAGCCCCATGTAAATCCGAGTGCCGACGCTCCGATTGGGTGGACATCTTCATTGGCGGGGCCGAGTTCGCAGCGAAGTTGAGCTGGAGCTCCACGCGAACCCGAACACCCGCATTTCCGAGTGGTGAGACTTGGACCCTTAAGAAGTGAGCTGTCTCCGGATCAGGATCGACCGGTAGCTTCATCTTAACCTTTGAGCTTCCCTTTTCCTTCACAGCCTGTGTATGTTTGTTTTCGTGTCATCAATTAACGTCTCGTCACTATGATATCTACTCTCAAGAACGTCGTCGTCGTTGGCGGGTCCTACGTTGGCCTGGTAAGTTCTCCAAATCCGCAATTGCTCCCTTGCTTGGCCGTCGTGCGATTTCGGAACCCGACACTAACCGCAACCATCACAGGCTGCTGTCAAGGAGCTCGTCAACATCCTCCCCGCGACGCATAGGGTAAGTTACACATAGCGAATAACGATCTTCTACGATGCCTTAAAGTCAACTAATTTTTCTCTTGCGCAGGTCCTTTTGGTCGAACCCCACTCCCACTTCCACCATCTCTTTGCCTTTGTACGTCCCTCCATGCCCTTTTTCGAACAAAAAACCAACATCAAGGAAATGAGCACTGCGTGCTTGAAATGTGAAGAGTACTAACAAACCATCATTTCGCAGCCCCGATTCTCCGTTATCCCCAGCCACGAACACAAAGCCTTCATTCCCTACACAGCGGCCTTCTCCACCGCATCCGACCCATCACGCCATTCCGTCGTCCGCGCCAAGGTCCTCTCCCTGTTCCCCGACCGCATCGTCCTCGACCGCGACTGGCAGGGGACCAAGGAAGTCCCCTACGACTATGTCGTCATCACGACAGGCACGCGGCTACCGGCGCCCGGGACCATGGAGCACGAGGATAAGGCGTCGTCGGTAGATTATCTCCGGTCGTACCAGCAAAGATTCAAGGCGCGCACAAGATTGTCATCGTCGGCGGCGGTGCTGTGGGCGTCAAATGGCGACGGACTTGAAGGAGATTTATCCCGACAAGGATGTGACCCTGGTCCATTCCCGGGATCGGTTGATGCCGCTCTACCACCCAAAGATGGACCAGATCATTCGTGATAGGTTCGAGGAGCTTGGGGTCAAGTAAGTAGCAATAAGGATGACGATAACGAGGAAGATCCATAGCTGACGTATATCATTACAGGGCTATCACCGGTGTCAGGGCAGTGGTGCCGGAAGGCGGCTACCCGACACAGCCCTTCGAGCTAGAGCTCAAGGACGGCCGCACAGTAGCAGCGGACCTCGTCATCCCCGCCACGGGCCAGATTCCCAACAACGATTTCGTCAAGACGTTGAAGCCGACGACGGGATCCCCCTCATCAACCCGGCAAACGGATTCCTCGCTGTCAAGCCGACGCTGCAGCTGCAGGATCCGGCCTATCCGCACATCTTTGCCGCGGGAGACATCGCCGATACGAAGGCCCACAAGGCCGCGAGACCCGGCATGGCACAGGTCGAGGTGGTGGCCAAGAACATCGCTGCCATGATTGAAGGCCGTGAACCTACGGATACGTTGGTGGTGAACCCGCCCGCGATTCACCTCACTCTTGGGGTTGTATGTGTAACCCCTTCTCTTGGCCCTCTCCTCTCCCCGCAAGGCTGCATCTCTTACTCTCTGATGGGCGAAATGTTGAGACTAACCAGCAAAACATCACTAGACCAAGAATATGATCTTTAGAAATCCAGACACCGCTAACGGAGCAACCGAGCCGTTTGTCAACATGAAGGAGGATGGGGCACTGGACATGAACATTGAAGGCGTCTGGGCGCGCCGCGGAGTCAAGGCCACCAAGGCTGATGATTTCCACCTGTAAACTGAACTTGGATTCGTGATTAGGCTTTGGGAGGAGATTGGTTCACGGAGTTAGGGGTCGCTGGGTAGACAATACCATTCGTACTCACACATCTAGCAATTGATGTAGTTCAATTAGGCAAACTTACGTAGTCCTTCATTTTCCTTTTCTTTACGAGTCCTTGAGAACCCCTTCCTGCTTTAGATCAGGGCACATTGTGATGCTGACTAATGGTACCTAAAGCCACTAGCCCTGGGTTGGAGGGTTGGAACGTCATAGAAAGAAATGTAAAGTATGGGCCTGTAACGAAGGAACCCGATTGTATTTTTCGCGGATATATGCACCAGAGGCTTAAATTAACTATAATGATCACCCATGTGCTGACGTCCTCTATTAGTTCTGCCTAGGTGATCACCGCCCGAGCTCCTTTTTCATGTAGATATTCGAGTAGCTCAACTCTGACATCTTCGTTTCCTTGAGCGGCGAGGAGCATCGGCGTTGCATGGTTTTCTGTCTTCACATTGACATCCTCGCCCATATTTTCAACCAGGTATTTGACAACTTCGAGATGTGCGTTTTGACAAGCCTGGTGAATGGGTCTTCTCCAAAGGTTTGACACATAATCACCTTAGCTTCGGCCTGATGGAGCCGCTTAACTATGTCAATGTGGCCGTGCTGGGAGGCTATCCACAGAGCAGTCACATCATCGTCTCCCCTCGCGTTGACATTCGCACTGTTCAGTATGAGCAGGTCCACGATTGTGAGATGGTTTTCTTGCGCTGCTAACATTAGAGGCGTCCAACCATCTTCTTCGCGAGGATCAACATAGACCTTGGAGCTGAGCAGGAGGCCAACGAACTCGAGATGGCCGTTTTGTACAGCTTGATGTAGTGGCCGATATTTCGATGATCCCAGCTCAAATTCATGGTTCGCCCCACACGCCAGTAAGAGCTTTCCAATGGCTGTGTTGCCAGTCTGAGCTGCCAGGTAAAGTGGCGACGGCACCTCTTCGTTGAAGGTGTGCATCTCAGGTCTAGCGTCATCCTTTGCCTCAGGGAGATGTCTGACGGCCTCGGCGTGGCTATTCCGGGCCGCTTGATGGATTGGCCGCCGCTCTCCTCTCTAGGAGTCATGTTGGGATCAGCCTCGTAATCCAGTAAGATTGTGACTATATGGTGATGGCCCTGGCGCACGGCGCTCCACAAGGGGATATGCCATCTTTATCCCGACTGTCCGCGTCGGCGCCATATTCAAGAAGCTTCTTAACCACGCCTAGGTGTCCGCTCTGGGCTGCCCGATGAAGGGGCGTACGCTTATCCTTCCCACAATTATTGATTTGCGTATGCGCGTCAGTGCTGAGATGCATGATGCAGTTCAGAAGCACCCCAACAATGTCTGTGGAGCCATTCTCGGATGCGAGCAACAATGGGGTGACTCCATCGCTTCCGACAGCTGTGGCACAGCCTGGGGAAATCTTGAGGAGAAATTCGACGCTTCGCATGTTTTCGGCCTGGGTCGCCTGGTGGATGGGTTGGCGCAAAGGGCTGGGCGATGAGGGGCTGGGCGATGAGGGGCTGGGCGATGAGGGGCCGCTTACGACCCCAGCAGCGCGTTCGACGGCATCTGCTACATCAACTGATTGCAGAGGTGAAAATTCCACCGTTTCAAGGTCCTGAAACCCGGGGTGCCTATTCACGGAGCTCTCTGGCACTGGTAAACCTGATGCTCCTCCCTTTTCTTAGCGTTAGTCATCGGTCGGTCTGAATATCGATATAGGAGAAGCTTCAGCGGGTCCAAATATACTTGACCATTACTGGCATTAAACATCTCGGTGGCAAATCCCATAACTTCTCCATTGGGGAGTGTTTCAACGCTAAAGACGGGCAGCTGGGTGCCGTTCGTGGTGTGAATCTGTGAGCCTGAATGTAACCCCGTGTGAGCCCCTCCGCGAAGCATTGCGGGAAGAGCGCATGCGAGTGCCATCCCGGGCGGCTGGTGAAAATTTGACCCTGGACGCGGTAGCAGGGCTGATTCCCGCGTACGCCGGATCTTATTTGGATTGAGATTCGGCCCTAGACCAAGTTTCCAATGTTAGTAGAGTACATGTAAGTACGTAGTCTAGATATGCCTGCAGGTTTGCATTCATACCACTTTTGGCGTATTCCCCGTCTTGCGGATGCGCACGCTTGTGGTTTTTCCTGAGACCCCATTGACGAAATCTCGAATTATATTGCTGTGGCCTTCCGCCAAACTGATTAGCAATAATCGAGAACTTTAGGCCGAATGGACTTACGACGCCGTGAATCCCGCTTGAGCCATTATCTCCATTACCTCTTTTAACGTGTGACTTTCGGTGATATATAAATCAGTGATCTGTTCCTTGTGCTCATTCCAAGCTTGGTGGCAGTGGGGAGCTATGGCTGCGTCTCGCATTGTTTTTTATTTTTCCCTTTCTCTTTTGAAATTATGAAGAAAAGGGAGGGGCAAAAGCGAAAGACGAATCTGTCAGGGAAGAGATCTATAATTTTAGATTGATCCATCCATGGATGGATCCGTCCAATGTATTATATTCAAGTTTAAATTGTTCTCAACGAGCGTCTACCGCGTGAATGAGACTCATCCGATTCGCAGAGACGAGCTGCAAAGTCGACTGCAAAAACTTTTCACAGTATTGAAAAATTTTCAAAAACTTTTCGAACTTTTACCCTATTCTGTATGTCTTTGCATAAACATTCCCTCCTCTTAACGGCACAAGCCTATCGTTCAAACGAAGATCGAAACATTTGGGGTGGTACAACATGACGGTCGCTGACGGCGGTGAGAAAACTTTTGCGAGTGATAAGAGAAGCCTTGGTCACATAGAACTGAACATTTGGAACGTTTTCACATCTTGGTAGACCAATGCCTTTCGATTGGTACATGTAGATGGTGATGGTGTCACGTCGTCGCCTGCTGGTCTAATTGGCGCCCTACCTTCAAAGTTTTGGAGGTGTTCAATGGCGGCAGAGGTTGTACCCGAAAACTTTCGCCGATAAAAATTATTACACAACTGGGCTGGAAGAGAGACACGTCAGACACCTTTAACCTGCAAGCTGAGAACCAATCAATTTATACATCTGTATCCATTGTACTGCAAGTGCATCCACATCCATAGATGTGTCTGTATGTACCGAGGTATGGGTGTATTTGACTGTAAATAAAAATTGATCTCCCACCTCCACCTTGTCAGGATCGAACCTGTTTTGTGGAGCGGTACCCGTATTACATGCCCCCTTAGTGATGGAAGGTGGGAGAGGAAAAGGTTCCCAGAAGAGGAACTGTTCTGATCTAGATAGGCCAGTCAGCCCCTGACCTCGGTAAATATGTCAAAGATTACTGCTGGCTTGAAGGGCACAGATGTATATGGACCCATTGGATGTACCGAGGTAGCCCTCAGGTGATGGAATAATAATAAGCATTTCTAACACCGCAAATTGACTCTAAAGGGGGCAATCGACTCGCGCGGCGCCGCTGTTTCCTCCTGCTCGGAAGCACCAAAATTAACATCAAATCTCTAGGAGAATGCCATAGTATAAGTAGATCGGAATCATATTTTTCCCACCAAAACTCACAGCACAAAAAGATACATCAGGCAATTTCTAGCATCCAAAATTGTTGCGCCAAGTGGAATTATTAAGTCTGACCCAGCTTGCTTGAATAACCATGAGGTAGGTAGATCCTTTTGGCACAGTGGTCAGGTTGTGTAGCATTTTAGTTGTAAGAAAAATCATATGGATACACCTTTGCTACAGCTTTTTGGCCCATTCTTCGAGCTTAAAAGGGCTAGTAGCGGCAGACACGAGCAAATTCGACGATTTGCTTCAAATAGCAAAAGATCTGTTCATCCTTGAGCTGCCGCGATTTAGCATCCTCGAACCCCCACCCTACGTAATCATTCTTCTACACATCTATGGTGAGCGCCTCTAACGATGTATTATATATATCCCTCTATTCTATTATACGTAGGAGTAGTCCATAGTCCATCATGAGTTATAGTCCGTCATAAGCCATAGTCTACCGAGCTATAGTCTATCGTGAGGTTTGATGAGGCTTCACAAAGCTGAAAGAATCTTCGATATCTCGATGATAAGAGATAGTAGGTACTCTAGGAAATCTGCCCCATGTAAATTAGGTGACATAGGTCCTAAGAGGTACTTTAAGTTCGCCCAGGTTTACGCTGCTCTGTCAAATGTATCTTTCGTCCAGCAAAAATAGCGGCGCCGCGCGAGCCGATTACCCTCTTCATAGACGACAGCTTCGGATCTTTCTCTTCTGTAGCTATTAAAGGTCAATCAAATTTTATTATCAAAGGAAATAAATCGAAACATATATTTAAAATGATTGTGTGGAAGCATGAAAACGAGAGTAGGAGAGAAAGAGAAGAATGAACCCCTTTGTTGTTCCACCAGCCAGTTACTCGTAGCATCACAAGTTTTTTCAAGCCCTACCGTGGTTGGTGGGATCGGCGCTATGATGGCCGAACACCACTGGGACCTCCCAGTTTTCAAATTCTTCTGCAGTACCCAGAAGAGCGAACGAGGGATCAAGCTGGATATCCGAGAGACTAGATCTACCAGCCATGTCACCTTGAACATTGGGGGAGAGATGGTATGGCTGAAGAGGAGAGAATTGCGACGAGGCTAGCAAGTCTGGCAGCACAACGTTGTGGTTGTGTGTCAGCCCCATCGCGGTTCGCTGATTCGGCCCGCGGCCCTGAGCTCCGTGATGTAAATTGTAAAGCTGATTTATTCTGCCCAGAACCGAGTCCAATACGTTTCCGATCAGCGTTGGGTATTGCGCTACATCTCCCAACGCCGACCCACGATACTCTCTCAGGATAAGCGAGACGTGACTGAGGGCTTCGCAATTCCAGATATCGCGCACAATGTAAGAATACTCCTCCATAGGCGTGCCCAGGTACGGGATCCTTGGCCCGGGCGCATCCGGGAATAAGGCGTCCCATAAGGCATGCCATTGTTGAGCGGGACTGAGCTTCTTATCCGCTGGGCGTGCGACGTGTTCCCGTTGCGTGTGCGTCATGTAGCCATCACCGCCGGTGTTACCGCAGTTGGGTCGGTATGTTTCAAGTGAACACTGATTTCCTTGGACGTGAATTTGATACTCGGCAGCTGTACTGAATGTTCCTTGGCACTGTTCACAGCTAGGGTTCGGTGAAGTATGCCGGCGCCGAAGATGTTGCCTCACGGAACTGATGCGGCAGAGTTTGTACCCCATACACTTGTCAAAGCGGAAGGGGTCCTTCCTATAGTAGGGGCATGCAAAATTCAGTGAGACATCGGAATGGCTGCGAGGCAGGACGGCGGGTATTGGCCCCTCAGGCAAGGGGTCGTCGGGTGACGGATAAGTATGCCGTTGTTCTTGTGAGGAGCGGCGTTCAAGGCGGCGGAGCCAAGCGGAGCTGACCCACTAGTCCCGGGACCATCTGTCTGTTCATCGGGAGCGGGTTGGCCAGGCGGAGCAAGTTCCCATTGCGAGCTGGGCGTTGGAAACTGTGGCGGGGCGCTGTAATAGGAGAATTCATGTCCTTCAGGCAGGTCAGGAAGGGTGCAAAACGATGTCGTATCCATGTCGATTACCCGTTGTTCATTCAGATCCTGAAGGTGCATGTATCGATAACAAGTCCAGAAAGAGTCTGTTCTGTTCCATAACCGATGGGGAGGAACAAGCTCGAGGCCAGAGCATCGTGTTCATTTATATGCCAGTTTATATGCTAGAGACTTTGGCCTTTCCTTCCCGTTGTGCTCTTCATCACAGTCAAAAGCTTTTGGAACCTGAAATGATCTATACAATTGTTGGCCCTCGCATGAAAAATTTCGGAGCAAAGTTTTGGAGCCCTGCAAAAATTTAGGGCCCCTACAAATTTTTGGCATTTCAAATGTGTTCAATCCTTCGATTACATCAACGATGAGAATTGCGAGCTGGTGCCCAAGTCCTAAGAAGGAGAAAAAAAAGCAAACTATGCCCACTAAGAGGATAAGACGGTCCTACTTTTCTGCAGGTTGAAGGTTGTAGGGGTAAGATAGTCAGGACTTGCAAGTGACACAACGGGTAGGTCCTCTTATAAACCGTATTGAGACGCGGGCCAAAACCGTGTATATCTGGATCTACTTTGACGTCGTCAAGGTAAGTAGGCTCACTGATCGCTCCATGAGGTGGGAAACCTTCTCCAGCCGTTATCTGATACTATCTCATCTTATGCGTAGCGCTACAAGGGGTATCGGGAAGTAGTTGATAGTGATCAATTGGTGAGCGGACGCGGTCGATTACACCTAGGTCGCAATGTAGATAGGTTGGCTGCGGTGTCAGTTAGACTAGGCGATGTGTCGCAGGGGTCATGCGGGCGAGAAATGTACAGAATCTAGGCGGTCAGGAGTGAAACGCTCTATTATCTTTATCGTGACTGGCTTGGTTCGTAGTGGAGTTAAAATGCTGAGCGTAGAATTCTCGAACAGTGGTCTCATGTAAGATGGTCTGCCATGTGGTTTATAATATCGTTTGTCTAGAAATTAAGCATGAAACCCTCTATCTACCCTTGACTGTTCTAACCGGAGCCGACTCAGCCCTATTCTAACTAAACCGTCGTGTGTGGTATCACCTGGCGTTACTGTGCCTTCGTGCTAGACCTAAAAGAACTAGTGCATCAGTTTGGCGGTCTTTGCTTGACTTCTCCAGCCGCGTTCTACCTTAGGGCGCGGCCGGAAATAGTAAAGCGCCATCTATGTATATACCCTTCTGTCGTGGAGTGAAAGCTGAAACCTGCCTAGAGTAAAATGCTGAGGAGAGGGAGACCAATATGGCCACCGATCTGATTGGCGAGGGGCACAATGGTCGTCCAGTCCGTAATCTCCCAGCCCACAGGAGCGAATCGAGCAAGATAGACCATTGCACCAGCCGTGGGAACCGCAAACAGGAGCGCCCATTTAAAAGTGGACAGAACTTTCTCCAAACTAATAAAGAAGCCGGAACCCTCAAGCTCCTTCGCGGTACTGCTCCACTCGATGGGAAGGCAGAGGAGATGGGCGAGGAGGGCGTACGACAGATGCCAGCTCAGGCCTCCGAAAAAGACGACGAAGAAGGGCAGCCACTTCCAGGCCTCGATGATTCCCCACCAAAACTTCTTGTTGCCGATGCGGTGGCGGTACCAGGCGAACAGGACCGGGGACGCGGCGACGAAGATGACGAGTTGGCCCGCGAGGACGCTCCAGCTGTGCGAGTAGGCCTGGTCGATGTCGGCGGCGACCCAGCCGGTGAGGAAGTAGTTGGCAAAGGCGAGAGGGAGCGCGGCGGCGATGGAGTAGTATGTGCCGACGTAGCCGAGAATGGTGAACTTGGACGAGAGCTTCATGTTACTCCAAAGGAAGCGGAGGAAAAGCTTGGTGAAGGGACCCTTCCAGAGCCAGGTATACACGGGGTTGAAAATCTAAGATGCAAACGATTAGCCATGAGCGTGTAGTAGGAGTTAAGGTGGTTTGACTTACCAGCTCCGAGCAACCGTACGCGTATTTTTCCCATCGTAGGAGCTCATCGAAAACAGTCAGGGATACACCCTCCTTAAACTCGCCGTCATCTATATCGTAAAGCATCGCTTGATTAGTACCAATGACTGGAGATGGTTTAGCTTGCATACAAACGTACCGTATGTAGCAAGTCGCACAACGAAACCGGCGGTTTGGAGTCGGAGGGACATGTCGAAATCTTCCGATACATGATCCTCACTCCAGAATTGTTCTTTGCCAGCCTTATCCGTGAACCGAACGCTTTGCAGAGCCTTCCACCGTAGGAACGCGTTGTGTCCGACGAAGGGTGCGTAGTCGCCGTTGCCGACAGAGAACCGGATAAGAAGGTACACGAGGTCGGTGAAGTAGGTGACTAGTTGGGACAAGGCGGGTTAGCATCTATCTCATCTAATTAAAGTTGGGATTGGAGACGACTACTCACTTGCGTTCTCAAAAAAGCTGTTGGTCACATTCATAACACCGGAAGCATGCTGAATAATGGCGACCTCGGGGCTCTCCTCCATTTCCATAGCGGCAAGGGACAGACAGTCGATAGGCTGCATGTGAACGATTGTGTTAGTACTAGAGCGCCAGGTTCTAAAGATTGCTCGTTGGGCAACTTACCACCCTAGTATCGCAATCAATCAAGAGGATAATGTCGCCCATGCGAATGTTACCTGCAGCCATGGTGCGACCCTGGTCATCGGCAAGAATCTTCTCCAGGGCAATCTCATAGAGTTCATTCTCCATATCGACCGAGATCTCCTCAGGACGGCACTGGAGTTCCGCGGCCTTCTCCCGACACAACTTGAGGAGCTCGTCCTCTACCCGAAGACTAAAGTCGAGCGCGTAGTTCATGTTGCTCGCCTTCTTGAACTTGCCGGCGCGGACGAAGCCGTCCTTGTTGTGCGGCGGACGCGCGACCCAACCAATGTTGTTGGCGCGGTAGAATTTCTGACGCATCTCGGCAATCTCGGGCTTCACGGCTTGCATGCCGTCCTCGCAGACGAAGACGGACGCGGTGCCACCGAGGCGCTCGTAGTGCTGAATGGCAGGCAAGACGGAATTGATGGTGGGGATGATGACGCCCTTGAGGCCTTCCTTGTATACCGGCATCTGGATCGTGATGTGGGGCCACTCGATGTTGGGGTGCCTCCACAGCTCTGGAGCCCGCCCGCTGAAGTAGCGGGTATTGCCGCTCATGATGTCTTGCATGGGGCCAAAGGCCTGGAACAAGCATCCGAACAACACCGTGAACACAAACATACCCATGAACATGAATATAGGGAGGGTTACCAAGAGGGCTAGGCGGTTGTATGCTTCAGCCCCGAGCAGACGAATCTCAATGAGGATGACGCGAACTGCGAGGGATTCCACGACGATCAAGAGACACATTGCGAGGCCAATCATGATGGAGTGCGTCAGCACGAAGGGGCGAGGGCGATTTTGATGGCCTCCTCATCCTCGGCGTCCAGGGAGATTGAGGTCGCATCCGCTTCGAGCCGCTTTTCCGACCCACTGGGGTAGCTCCCCGGGCGGGAGTATGAATTGGGGGCTGGAGAGGGATGTCTAGATCGAAGCTGGGGTGTGGGTAGGCCGCTGAGCTTCTTTCCCCATATCTAATGACACACGAGTTAGCTGAGCCGACTCCACACTTTGGAGATTGGTCTCGGGAGGCAAGTCCAGTCAAAGGTGTTGATGCAACGTACCGCATCCATCATCTTGGTCTCGAGGTGAGACATGTGAGGCGCAAGCGCATTGGCATTCGTACTCCACGCGAGGAGAAGCTTCTCGTCCTTGATGAAGCACGCAAAGTCGCGGCGGCGGACGCTGGAGTCGGAGTTGATCAGGTCTCGGCGCGAACCTAGGATGGGTACGACCTGGTCGGCTGCCAGGACGACCTCGGCGGTGTCGGGGTGGAGGCGTTGCAAGAGATCGTTGACGACGTCGCCCTGCATGGTGCACAGCGCGCCGATGTCGAGCTTGCGGCAGAAGGGTATGAGCTCCGGGTAGCAGTTCTCGGGCTCTGAGACGAAGACGTCCTCCTCGTCCGTGGAGAGGACCACGCCTCCTTGGAAGCCATCTCCCGAAGAAGGTTTTATCCATCCATGGGCGGTGAGGCGGCGGCAGAGGAACTTTGCTATCTTCACACAGGCGAAGCCCTTTGTTAGTATGATGGGTGCATAGGGCACTGTATGCCATCATGAAGAACAAAAGAAAAGAGAAGAAAAAGAAATAGTTTTGGCTTACCGCGACAGACTCCTCTCTGCTGTTGATGGGAGAGTCTTCCTCAGAGACAGGAAACTGGAATGACGATAGCCTGTTGAGGTATCCCACGCTCTGGGACGTGAGCCTAGGTTCTTCCATTCTGGCAAATGGCCTGTCTTGGACTGAAAAGCAAGCTTAGACAGAGAGCCACCTGTGGGTTACGACGAGTAACTACTTAAAGCTAGGAGCGGGAAGATAAAGTGAGACAAGAGCATGGAAGAAAGGTAAATGAGGGAGGAGGGACCACATGGGCATGTAAAGGGTCTTGGAGCTAGAGGGATCAAAAACAGAGGCGTTCGCTTTTCCCAGCGCTTACGCCGAGGTGAGAACCGAATCACGCCGTTCTCCAGGCTCCCGGTCAACTCCTCACGCACACATCATCAATCATGGCAGTTTTCAGCCGGCCGCGGACCATTTGCTCGCCGCCACGTCAAGGTGGTGGGCTCCTTGATAAGATAGAAACAGACGAGACCAACAGTCCGATGCAACGCGATCCTCTCGATCCCCTCGGTGTCAGCAATACCTGAACAGACTATTGAAAACCATCGAAATGAGGCATACATGTCCCACCCAGCGACGATAATCGGGATACGAGGTCCGGATTAGACCGGTTGCGGTTGGAGCTGGAAGGGGTGCCCAGCTTTCTCAGCATCCAAGTTCCAACGGTTGACGATGTTATGTCTTGATGTGGTTATATCTTGCATGCGGTTCTGCCTGAGACGACAGCCCCTGCCTCCCTTGCACGCGCGAGCAGGGCCATCAAAGCCGCAAGAACCCTGTTAGTCTGTATAGCTTACTGAGTCTGCCGAGACCATGATAAGGAGGAGGAAAGGAAACAACATCGACGGGCCCAGTTCTGTGCGACACAATACTTTCCAGCTTAGGACAAGTTTGTTGATAGGCGCATTCATGATCCCAGCGCTTGCATGGCCAAGTCAAAGGGACCTGGGCGTGCTTAAAGCTATCGCTGCAATATTGTGGGTTCTACGCACCTTCCTCCAACCCACCCCCTTGACTGTTCGTCGGCAGGGCACAGTCGGGTAGAACAGCCGTTAAAATATCGAATCCGAACCGGAAGGACCAGGATGGGGGTCATGAACAAATAAGGAAACATGAGCTATCTCTTTTGGATGGTTCGGGAGAACAGCATCAGCAAAAAGATAAAAGGAAAACCATGTTATAACCCGAAACAGCTGATTCCAGGCGGTGTCGTATTGGGGCTCGGAGTCGAGCAGAGCGGTATCTGGCCCAACCTCGAGCGAAGGAACCAACCTCGAGCCAAGAAACTCGACAGGAACAATCGCATACTAGTGAATCCTTTGCTTTCTTAGCCGGAAGCTGAAATGGCATTCGGGATCCTTCTTGGGGGAGCCAAGACCATTCTCAGGTAGCTGAAAGCAACAAACTAATACCAAGGCGAAGAGGCCCAGCCCGCAGAAATTGGGAGTCACTTGAGTGAGAGGCCCTGTTCTCCATTACGAAATCTTTTCCCACTGACTGCCCTTACTCCTTGTGGTGAATTACGGAAGGCGAAAGAAAGGGTACTAGAATCCATTGGCTGGCAGGGGACATGGGGAGAGCATGGACATTAGGATAGTCGGGATGCCTGGCTCATTGGGAATCTTGGCTCTGCTCCTCTACCTTCCAGCTTTGGTTGCCCCTGGGCGTTCTTGCTTGGTTTGGGCCTTGGCTCCTTGGCTCTGCTAATGCTGTATTGCTCGGAGCGGGATACCTCATCTTGGCGTCGTGTCCATGGAACTGGGTGGTACAACTAACTGGCCGGAGGAAATTTTTAGTCTTGATGACGCCTCAAGCTCGCGAGAGGGTGTGGGTGGGGCGAGTGACAGATGCCGTTTCCCCGAGGCACTTGAGCTGTGGCTGGTATTGGGACTTGTTGTTATCGTGGTGGATACATGGACGATATGGAAATCCATTCTTGGTTGGGGTTCCACGACCCCCTTGCCAAGACTAGCGGCCAGACTTAAACCAACCCTGGTCGAAGTGAAAACGTACAAGTATCCACAGTGCCAGTTGACGATGCTGAGTTGTCTCCCGCTGTCAAGGAGCCAGTGGCGGTGCGCGGCAAAATCCAACCGTTTGCTGACCCCCACCAGCCAATATTTTCCCTGTGACAGGGGTTCGAGCTATCAAGGCCCCCGCAGGTGCTTGCGGCCGCGTCAAGAGGGTTCAACGACCGAATATGGCCCCTTGCCAATATCAACTGATTTCTCTCCCCAACCAAATTCTCCAATTTCTTCCCTGCGAGTGGGGACCACGCAGCGAGCACGCAAGATAACGCACCCTTGCATACCAGAACGCTGGTTTTTTTTGCTCCGCAGCTCCTTGTCGCCATCCCTATGTAGAGTAGCTTCTGACAAGGAGAAGGAGCATTACAGGGAGGTCGAGATCGAGACGCCAGGGACACGCTGCCGAGATTGCCAAGAGGGACGAAAATGCTACCCTCTGGTCGCCTTCCTGGCGATTCGGGCGAGCTGAAACGAATATCGATTCTGCTAGCCCCAATATCCGTGTGTGTTTCTCTATCGATGCGGGCTCAAGCAGCTAAAGCGGGTATGAATTGTCCGACTTGGACAAAGTTCGCGACCTAGAGGTTATCTTGCAGCCCCAAATAGGCGCCCAACCTTCCATTGTTCCACGGGGCCTTTTTGCAGCCCTCCTTATCGCCGTCTTCGGTTTATATCCTCTCCTCCGCTTCCACCAAGTGTGTGACTTGGTGCCCTCCGACTTGAGAGAGGAGTGCTTCTCGAATACCCTTTGAGCCGAATCCAGCGCTTCATTCACACAATACACCATGGCTCCCGCATCGCGTGCATCATCCCGGCCCGGCTCCATGGTTGCCGATTTTTACGGCCAAGACCCCTTTCGGACACCGGTTGGCCGAGGCGCGCAGAGCGTGAGGGCATCGACTGTCGTCTCCGGTCGCACATCATTCATCGCATCATGTGAGTCTCCGAAGCAGTTTCCTACGATCCCATTCAATCTCTCGAGTCTATCTTTCTATATCTTGCAAATTTTGGTGACGAGCTAACGCACCTGACTTGCGCTATACAAAGGTGTGCAAAAACCGCCACCAAAGCAGCAGCGTTTCAAGAGTTCTAGGCTCATCGGCGAGTATGAGAAGCCCTGGACGGAGAAGCGTGATCACCGTATCGCCTACGATCGGTGGATCTTCTACTTCATGACGTTGCTGGGTTTGGGGATCAGCGCGTACATTTGCTGGGACGGGTGGAATTCTTATGGTAGTCGAGATGTAAGACCTGAGCTTTCTTTTATTTCTTCAGCCACCCAACCCTTGGGCGAAAAGTGCGGGCTGAAACGCCACACCTCCCTTCCCCAGGCCATTTTGCTTTTTCTTGTTCTCTTTTTTTTTTTTTAACTTTATTTTCCCTAACCGCCATATTACGAATGCTGACGCCGAATTAAGTTCTGCCTCATTTGGGAAGATGATTTTTCCAACGGAATTGACGACAGCAGTTGGAACTACGAGATACAGCGCGGCGGGTTCGGCTCCGGTGCATTCGACTGGACTACAGACGACAAGCGTAACGCATATGCCGACTCGGAGGGTTTGCACATCGTCCCCACGCTCACCATCGACGACATCGACATCACCGAGGCCCAGCTCCTCGACGGCTACAAGCTCAACCTCACGACGGACGGGACATGTACCACGACGGGCATCGAGGCGTGCGGGATCACCTCGAACAAAACCACGGGCGACATCATTAACCCCATTCGCAGTGCGAGGTTGAACACCAAGGGCAAGCGCACGATAACGTATGGCAAGGTAGAGATTGTTGCCAAGCTGCCAAAGGGTGATTGGCTTTGGCCGGCGTTATGGTAGGTCATTCGTTTCTTATGTTTCTGCCATCCATCCCTTCCTTCAGACGGGCCGTGTGCACCGGAAGCCCAAAAGAGATAAGCGATGCCTGTTGTGAGAGGCGTTTGTCGCTAACAGATGACCTTGCGCGTCCTCGGAAAAGGATGATGCCTGAAGAGGAATACTATGGCGGGTGGCCTGCCTCAGGCGAAATTGACATTATGGAATCCCGTGGAAACGAAGGAACGAGCTACAAGGGTGGGCGTAACGAGGTAAGCAATGATCTATCCCTAATCTTCCTCTTGGATTAGTGGTGATAAAATTCATCAATCCCAATTCTGCAACGATGCCACAGGTCGGAATGAAACGATGGCTGACTTGGTGGCGTTTTATAGGTTGGCGGTACCTTGCACTGGGGACCCGTCTGGGAGTTGGACATGTTTAAGCAAACGTCCGGCAAGCGAGATCTGCGCCGCACAGACTATTCTGAAGACTTTCACATCTTTGGTGTCGAGTGTAAGTTGTCTATGGCAGAGACCCTCTACATATCCGATCCGTACAGAACAAAACTAACCAAATCTGCGGCCTACTTTTATCAACAGGGACTGAAAAATATATCTTCATCTACGTCGACTCCGTTCTAGCCCAAACCATCTATACCCCCTTCCGCAAGCGAGGCGATAGCTTGTACCAGCGGGGCGGTTTTGGTAACATGGAAATTAATGAGACGGTCCCGGTATGTGTTCCTTTTCTCGCTTCCCGGTTTGATTTACTATATATAAGTGAGATCGGGGATGAAACTAACTTCCGTCTTACCCAAAGGAAAATCCATGGGCGAAATCTCCCAATATCAACGCCCCATTCGACCGCCCATTTTATCTTATTGTTAACGTAGCTGTCGGAACCACCAATGGTTATTTCCCGTATGTCTTCCTTCCTACTATACAAGGCCTCTATGCACTACTAGTAGCCGTATGAGAATTTCACAGGCTAACAGAACACCCCAACTTGCTAGTGATGGATACGGACCCAAGCCCTGGCGTGATGGTGCGGAAGACGCGCAACGCCAGTTCTGGGCTGCTCGGCCGGTGTGGGAGCCCAGCTGGGGCGCCGGCGACAGTCGCGGCATGACGGTCAAAAACGTGAGGATGTGGAATCCCGGGAAGTGTGCCTGATCCTAGCGTGGCATACCCTTTTTGCCTTTTAATAAGGTTAGGGTTAGCTCGAAACAGCAGGAATATGGCGTCCGGACTAAATGGAGCGAAAGAGGAGTGGGCCGCGATTCCCCAAGGTTAGCGGGGGCGGCGCAAAGCTAGCGGCGCGCCACGAAACCGCCAGGCTCTTTTTCACTGGTTGGGGGCTTGTTGTCGTGGCGCTATATCCCGGGCATGCGCCCAGGGTTCTTGATGAGAGGGCTCCATTGGTGCCAGCATTGGACGTCTGTGACCATCCTTGCACAAAAATCTCTGCAAGCGAGGAGTGGTCCGTGATCTAGTTTAGGGGAAATTTATTTGCAGAGTTGGGGGTCAACGGCAATGGATAATAGACAATAATACGATTCATATCAATTTCATCGCGTTCACCAAAACACACAATAACCACCTTTGCTTTTCTCTCACAAGCCATCAAAAATCCCTCCAGTACACCTCAGATCAGGGTATACGTAAAGAATACGATTGAAAATGGTGATGTACCAGGCAAAGATGTCAAAAATAGGTAGGTATCGTGGTTTTATTATTTCGATCTATGTTTTGGTGCCTTATCGGGCTTCAATATCGAGCAGAAGATTACATGGATGTATGTATTGGGTGACGACACCCTTAAGATTCTCGGCAAGTCAGCAAAACTGTGCAGTTCATTGGGTTATTCTTGTACGACCGAGTTTGAAGTGGAAAAACCTCCCAGCCTGGTCTCGGAGTGCTTCTCGAACCCCGCCCTTTTCACAGCTCAGCAGCGCATCGTCCTCTCCACGCGGACCTCGTAAGTCTCTCGATCGTAAGCTGAACCCTCGACTGAAGAGAACCTATATTTGAGCCTGAGTGGGAAGACGAAGATTATGGCGAGCAACGCGAGACTGGAAGAGGCCTTCCTCTCCGCACGCGAGAAATTCCTTCGCAGTATCAAGGACCCTGCCGTAAAAGCGAAATTTCGGCCGTGATGACCATCGACGACTTCAACAGGGAGATGAGGACGCTTGAGGCTACGCAGGAGAAGAGCAAGACGCTTCGCGGCTTAAAACGAATTGAACCCTTCGTAAAGGGCCTTGAAGGGTACGCTGGTGTTATTGAGGTCTTCCTCCAGGTCAAGCCCGAGATCATCAGTCTAATATGGGTACGTTCCGTCCGCGGGAGCTAGTCTGTGAATGAGGGTGAAAGTCTGACTGCTGCATATATAGGGACCATTGAAGTTTCTTCTCAAGGTAGGTGTACCACGCGCCGGACAGTCTATCGACTAGAATCATTGCTTAGAACCTACTCTGGCAGGCAGCTAGCTCCCTCGTCAATTTCTTTGGCAAAATGCTAGACGCATTCAACCCCTAGCCGAGATCTTTTGTGTTTCTAACCGTGTAGGTATCAACACTTTCACCGAGGCCGTTTGGCCGAGAGTCACGCTCGAGCTCGATGCCGTTACGCGGAATATTGCCGGTCACGAAAATGTCATGCAAAGCCACGTGACTCTTGAAGACGTTATCAGGTCCCAGGAGGAACGAAAAAGGGCGCTTGAAGAGGATAAAAGAGCCGAAGAAGCCCGGAATAGACAATACTGGAAAGAATTGCGTGACGAGGTTGCTCCTCGGCTTTATGATTCACGGCTCGAGAGCATTCTGGGTGATAGCTCTATCGAATCTGGAAAGTGGTTGGAGGGTAATACAACGTTCACCAATTGGATAGAACAAACAACGAGAAAAAGGTGTTTCTGGTTGGTTGGAATGCCCGGTGCAGGTGAGTGTTGAAACATCTGTCGGCTGAGTATGGTAACTTAGCGAAACCTCACCTCATAGGCAAAACATTCATCGCGGCCAACCTCGTCAAGAGACAACGAGAGAAGCACAACTACGTGGCATTCTTGTTCCTATCTCATGATAAAGAGATAAAGAGAGAGTCCACCCGCTGCATTCGATCCTCTTCCAAATCTTGTCAGACGAGCTCGACTTGCGGCCACTAGCCTACCAGATTTTCGAAGATGACGAGCGAAAATTTAAGTTCAACGCCGACTCGATCCGCAACCTACTCTCGAATATTTTTAAAGGCAGGGACGTCTTATTGGTAGTTGACGGGATCGACGAAGTGCCCGAAGCCTCAAGGGCCACTTTGCTCAAGGACCTGTTATGGATTGTGGAGTCATGCCCTTCCGTACGTCTGTTTCTCAGCAGTAGAGACGATCATGTTGCGAAAAAGCACCTCGCCAAAGCCACCCAGCTCCGAATCGGAAACCAGAACTCAGCAGACATCAAGGCCCTTGTCGACTCCCAGAGCTCAAAGTTGGCTGAGAAGTTGGTCGACTCTAGGGCCGCACCGACAGTAAAGGCCCAGATCAACAAGTCAGCTCAGCAGATTGTTGACAAGGCCGACGGTCAGCGCACCCCGTCCTCCCAGATGTTTTCCCCTGAGCGAGCATCATGGCTGAATACGTAAAAGAAAATCTAACACATAGTTGCAGGCATGATATTGTACGTGGTTTTGGTGTTTCGAATGGTCGAGCATCTTGGCTCGGTTGCCAAAATCCAGGCCGAGTTTGGTGATGTCCCCCGAGGCCTCACACGGGCGTACGTTTTGAAACTTCTTTCTAGCCTTCGTGCATCTGCATAGCCATTCTAATTCGGGACTTTCAGATACGGCCGCATATTAGACCGTATTGCGGAGAAGGGGCCAGTCCTCAGTCAGGTTGCGAATAGGATCCTCATGTGGCTTGCCGGGGCAAGGCGAATTCTTCGCGAAGAGGAGCTTCTGCAAGCTCTGGCCGTGGAACAGACATTGGATGACTTTGCTGATGATAGGAGAGATCACCGAAGCCTTTTGGAAGCTTGCGGCCACATGATTGAAGTCGAAAATGGGTTTGTGAGATTCGTCCACTTCACAGCCCGCGAGTACGTATATTGAATATCTACATCATCGAGAGAAAGCAACTTAATAACACCACGATTATAGATTTCTTCTAAGCCAGGAGAGTAGCCGCTACCTCAATCTTTCCAACGCTAATGCCGAAATTGCGGCCACGTGCACCCGCTACCTCGCGTATCAGTCACTCAATCCTGCGTTCTCCCTTAGCGGCAGCCTGGCGGAGGATGCTATTCGGCGAGGCGATTTTGTTCTACTAGAGTACTCAGCTCTGCAAATAATTGAGCATATCAAGGCGTGTGGCTCCTTAGCGTCACTCGAGTCTACTATCTTGGACAGGCCGCTGCTGGATAATCTGCTTGCGGCAGTTGGCCGATACATTGAGGCACGTGAAATGCCGGTGGATGAAAATCGGCTAGAACCGTCCTCTACGCCATTTTTGCGTCGCTTCCTCTTATTCGAGGGCCAGCCCACGGTGCAAGCTACGTTAGCAAGGGCAGAGCATCGCATTGGAAGTCTCAAGTACGGTGAAGGAGATTGGGAAGGTAAGCCAATTTTGCTATGCCGCAGGGGCCTCACGATCTAATGCTTACTACAGAAACCGGCGATCCCCTGGAGACATTTCCCACCACTACCTTGTGGGCCCTGGCCCGATTCCGGCAGCACCTCGAGGACATCCTATGCTCTGGCTCGGTACATATACCTGGATGCAAATGCGACCAGCTTCGGAGCCTGTATGGGCCGACTCCGTTCTACTGCAACAGGCCTTTCTGCAAAAGGTTTGAGCGCGGGTTCGACACGATGGACTCCAGAGATGTGCACCTCGCCCACCACCGGCGGGATTTTACCTGTTCGGTAGAGGGTTGCCTACGAGGACTTCGCGGGTTCCGGTCAGAGAAGCAACTCGAACGCCATGCCTCTGAACATGCGTTACACGACGAGTCCCGTGGCTCCCCTCATACCAGCTCTAAGCAAACAGTTTACTCCTTTGAGGGGGTCGAGCCAGGAAGCATCCTAGATATGGACGTTCTATGCGATGCGCTGGAGGAGGAGCAGAGCTCCTTTGTTCTGCAGCTCCTGCAAACGTACCAGTTCACCGAAGGCTGTTCCCGGTGGATTTTGCCATTGGCAGCGTGGAAATCAACTCCTGCGGTACTGCGAGACATGCTGATGTTAAAGTGGCCCAAGCTGGATGTGGATTTGGACCAAATGCTCGCCTGGGCCATAGAATTCCAAAACATGCCGAATATCAAATTTCTCTTGGGGCAGGGTGCACAAATATCAAAGCTAACCGGACTGTACATTGGGATTGACTCATGGATGCGTACCTTCATGCGTAATGCTACGCGTCTGAGGGGAGAAATGACAAAGATGGTGTCGCGTATATTAATCTCTTCATCACTAGCATTGCACGGGCAATTTCATCCCTTTGTCCGGAGTTGATGGAATTTCTAGTCCGCGACTGTGGGGTCGATCTTATCAAACATCGGGAGGCGGTGACTGAGGCCTTTCGGTTTCTGGCAACTCGCGGCCTCTCGGCCCCTGAAATTCGGACTAGATTGGCCTGCATGTATATGAAGCATTACATAGGGCCGCCCGGAGATCATGGATTGCTTTATTTAGCGGGGTGGAGCGTGCCGCCGGTTTGGGAATTTTGTCTCCAGAACGGGCTTGATCCAAATGCGGAGAAAGGCAAAGGTCAGAGTCGCCGGCCAATTTTGGCCGCGGCCATTATTGGCGGTCAGCCTGAAATCGTGAAAATCCTCTTGCAATACGGGGCGAATCCGGTGCTGCCAACTTGGAAGGGAAAAGAATTGGTCGATTGTAGAGGTATGAAGAAAACGATCGAATACTTTGGGGACAGTTGGGAAAACATTGTCCGAAGAATTCAAGCAGGCGAAGATATCCAGCGCCATCTTATGAGCGAATGATGTCTCGAAATCCCTTGAATACCGTGTAAGATTCGCCAATTCCCGAGGTTTAGGTTTGGATAATGCATACCTTCAAGATTTCTCGGGATACACGAAATAGACCGCCATCCTGGTCTAGACGTGACACCAGATCAAGTTTTCTGCTCTGCGTATCGAGAATATACTGCATCACACTCAGCATATTAATCCCGGCGCATCGCCGCCAAATGGAGTTGGATGTCTTGCCTGTTCTATTGAATCTTGGCCTGCGACCACGTAGCATCTGGATAAAACTCGCTGCGTCTGCCCCAGACGGTGCACTCGGTCAAGTGCCTGCCGCTCGAGCATCGGATTCCATCCCGGCTCCATCAAATGGACGCGAGACGCTATGGTCAAGTCAATTCTGAGAGGTACCAGTGATTAGATTGTGAGCCACTGTACTGTACAGTAATGAAGGATGGATCAAGCCCTGGACGTACCCGACCCCTCCCGAACCGAGAGTGACTAGCAGTAGCCGGCAGCGAGGGTCGGATCGGAAGGTTTGAATCGATGACACTCGCTGCTTCAGGGTTTGACTCCCGTCTAGTCTTTCGAAGGCCATCTCTTTCTGAAGGAGAGCCACTGCTATAAGATCCAGCATCCCTCTCCAAGCAGAGAATACGACACTGTACCCGAAGTAAGCGAACTGATAACCACATGTACGCGCTGAGGGATTTTCATACCTTTTCGGGTCGTCTTGACCCGCCTGAATAGCGTCTTCGCGGTCAGACTCTAAATTACGGAGCAAGGCGTCGACCTTCGAGGATGGGCGATACATGCCGGCGTCCGTCTTTTGGGCCTCCGGTTGCGCGGCAGGGCTGCACCCAGTTTGCCCTTCCTCATCAAGATTATCCATGTCCGAGTCTCTCCCCGACAGCTCGCACATCGGGCAGATATCCTTACAACCGGAATTTGGGGCTCCCGTCAGACAGCGGGAACAAATTTGGTGGCAGCAGCCTAGCACACGAATCCTCCCTTCTTGCGAGGCCTCGCGCTCGCAATTTTCACAGACCTGAGAATCCGAGGGCGGCATATTTGAGTAGGGTTTTGCTTCTCTCAGCCAGTCTCGCACAGATTGAGGGAGTAGCGCATCTCCGTGGTTGCAGATTTGTCTAAGTCTCGTGATGAACTGGAAGCAGTTCATGGACGAGCCTGCTGAGTCCACAACGCTGGCGAAATGCCACTTAAGATGGTTGTATTGTGAGGTTTCCTCCGCATTTAAGAAAACATGGTGGATGACCTCTTCTTTAACCGGAATTTGTAGCTCGCCAAGACTTTCCTTTGTCCGTCTCAGGGATATAGCCCGCACAAGGCGTTTGAGCCTGCTCCATTGTTCTGTCTCATTCGATGATGATATCGACATGAATAGACGCCTGAATTTGGTTTTATCGTCGAATGGTGAGACGCGGAGGAATGTGACAAGTGCTCCTAGGTCATCAATCGTATTTTGGATGGGCGTTCCTGTGAGGCACCATCGATGTCTGCCTTCCAAACTGCATACGGCCCTGAATTGCCGGGATGCTCGATTCCTAATGACATGGGCTTTTCCCTTTCAGTCAATGCAATTCGGCGAGCCGAAAATGAGCGTCATTTCATACCTTCATCGAGAACAATGCGGTGCCATGAGGTATTGTACACGGTCCTCCGCTCGGCGTCGCCTTTCTCCGTTGGACAAGGATTCGGACAGTCCACACTAAGAGTATCATATGTCGTAAGTACAATATCGTACTCTCCGATATTGTCAAGAATCTTATGTCGTTTGGGCCCGTGGTAGACAGAAAACGTCAGAGACCCTTCGTGAAAATGCCTACACCGTTCATTAGCTTGACGATGTGGTCCAGGTCGACTGATCTCAACCATACTTTCGGATCTGATTTTCCCAGTTTGGGAGGGCTATTGGACTATCAGTTTCATATTGGGTCAAGTTGTGTTCATCTTTTGTGCGTACTTGACAGTGGAGCTACTATAATGGTTGATAACCCTCTCCTAGTATTACTGGAATCATCACTGAGGGATCCTGCAATTAGGGCTAGAGTGGTAAGGCTCTTTCCGAGGCCCATATCCTGCATAGAAAATATTAGTAGAAAACTGATTATAGTCGGCCGTTCCGCTTACATCGGCTAAAAGACCACCAAGGCAAAGGTCTGGCCGCTGGGAAGTGGGTTTCAAGGTTACGTTGTTGACGAACATGCTAACGATGAGTAAGACAAAATAAACTGAGAGCGCAAAGAACTGCAAAAAACCATACCTCTTGTTCAGGACACAATTAACTTTTTCGGTCCACACAGAGGGGAACTCGGTGGCTTGCAGTTTTCCTGACTCTTTCTCAGCCATCATGGCCAGAGCCTTCTTCTGAAACCTGTGGGGACCATTAGTGAGATTTTCTTAAAAGCCAGTTTTGAGCCAAGTCTGCCCACCATTTCAGCTCAGTGGACAGTTTGTCGCTCGCTTTCTGCTCCGTAAATGCCTCGGGCCCTGAAGCGCAAGCAAGAAGCTCCGCAGTCTGTGATTCCGAAACGGTTGCCATCGCAGAAACTTTACTCGGGTTCTTCACGTCGTGCCCCATTAACATAGATCCAGTGTTAGCCTGCGATGCAGACTCAGAGTAAGATTGAGGGTTTTGATATGGCACGGAATCGTCGAAGATGTCAGGCCGTTGGAGGAAGCAGTCGTAGTCCATGAGCATGTCGCCAACCATGGGGCGTCTTCACGCGCCCCGTATATGATAATAGAGAGAATCTTGGTGCCTGTGCCACGGACGGTAGGTGATAGGGTGACATTATATTTCTGTCGTAGTTTCGCCATAGCCTTTGAGACATTGGATGAAACAAGTCCATGATAGGCGCCAGATTTGGCATCAAGGACAAGCATTATATCCATAGAAAAGCTAAGCTTTACAGGTTTTGGCTTGGGCAACTGCTTGTCAAACTGGCGAAGCGGCAGGTCGTCTATTTCCAGCTATATAAGAGAAATTATGGTTAGTGCTTCGTCTCATGACGTTAACTGAAACCTTTTGGGGCTTACGAGACCAAAGCAGACTTCGTACTGATCCTCGTTTGAGGCGGAGAGCAGGACGTCGTTTTCTGATGCTGGTTTCGGAGATTCAGTCACAGCTAGAAGGGCTTCACTATCTTCACGGGCTCCTGGTGAGATTTTCGGTATGGTATCATGCAGAGCTGGAGTTGAGCGCCAACTGCCTTCATCTTCTAAGACCGCGAGATGGGTTGTTTCGTTACGAGGAGTATCACTGTCAGTACCTGAGCTGGCGATATTGGATAAATATAATGATGGCACTTCGACAGCGGGAGCCCCTTTACAAGACACTAAGTCGAGCGGTATCGTAGGTACGGGTGTCTTAAGTGCCATGTCATTTTCCTCAGCCTCTAAAGGTGCCACTTGCGGTGGCCCATTTAGTCTACCTTCTATCGGGGTTAATTCCCGGGCGCATGGGCCCTGAACCCTCGTCGCTGACCATGTAGTGCCATCATGACCAACATATGATCTGGGGAGAAATGTGTGGTAGTATCTGCGTTTACTACAAGACTGTACGAATCGCGGTTCGAAGTAGACACATTGTCCCCTGGCGCGGGCAACATCGTGCCACGGACAGGATCATACCAGACATTCCGGCTTGATGAAGGCATAACCCATTCCTGCATCGCCGCCGTCGAACTGTTTCCAATCCAGGAACGGCGGACTCGTTTTGTGTTGTTCTTAAAAAGGATAGGGTCGTTTTCTTGCGCTGGCTGCTCGCCATCTTCTCTATCCCAGCTTCGTTTGGCTGGGGGAGTTGCGTTCTCGAGCTTGCTCCCGGTGGATCCCTGTCATGTTCGAGAGTAGGGATTGTTGTCGTCGTAAGTGTATTGACGTCGATAGCTCCCATGAGCGCGCTTTCGAACTTGGTATCAACCGTTACGTATAGATGGAAAAGGGGAAAGTTGCATCGCAAGTCGGGCATTGTGAGGCGGTCCTGGGTCCTGTTTAAGGCGGTGTCGCCCAACCTACCGACGCCACTGACAGCCTGGCCGGCCATGGTCAGTCAGCTGACAGCATGGCTAATTCAACATCCTGGGTCTTCGAGGGAGGTCTCTTACCCCCTCAAACTACCAAGAATGGGGAAAATAGCTCGAGATGATATTATAACAGGAGTAGATGAGAACTTTGGAATTCTAGAATTCCAGAGCTCATTACCTTGGAACAGCACATGAAGCATGTCAATCATGGGCCCGCTCAAAGGGGGCTCTTTTGGAGTCTCTACTGAATCTGGCAATGTTTCACAAAAGATCTACGGATATGTACCTGACCTGCGGTCAGCCAACCAGAGCTGGATGGGCTTGGGCTCCAACGACATCTCGTCGAGTTGACTGGCCGTAGTCACGTGGACAACTCTAGAGGATGCGGCCAAGTTTGGTGCCACATCACACCCGTATTGAACAGGGCTCAAATATGGGGTAAAATGCTGTTCGTATTCACTGCTTGAGCCCTTTCTGGGATCCGTTTCTACAGAGGAATTCCTGCCCCTTTTATAGATGATATTTCTGGGATATTTACATGGTCCATCTTCCGTTTCCACTTCGGATGAATACCGGTCGGATACAGTGGTAAATTCCATCCGAATATGGTCCTTGCAGGAAACGCTTCCGAATTCGGTATAACTTCCATATTCGGTATGATTTCAGATGTCCCATATTTCCATCCTTCAACAACCCGCATTGCAAAAAATTGTCGTTTCCTGCTTAGGAGCTAACGTGCTTGTCCTGCTTTCTGCTGAGAAGGTGTGGGTGGGCTTGGTGGGTGGGCTTGGTGGGTGAGGTAACCGTTGTGTGAAACCCGCAACCAAAACATCCATGGGGAGTTGTATCCGCACAGATTGTTAGATATCATCTAGGTGTTCGCCAGCGCTTTGGCAGCCAGATGCGCTGTCTTGTTTTGTTGAAGGAGTCTAGAAACACTTGCTCCCTTCCTAAAACGGAACAAGTGGAGATTGCTGCCTAAACACTGTGGGATAACTGCCTACCAGATTCGTTGGCGCGGGGAAGTAGGAAGATTATTCAAAACGTTTACCGACAAAGGTATCCTTTTCCACCTCATCCTCAAATGACGTTAATGTTTCCCCGCCTACGGCACTCCCTTTAGAACGAGGGTAGAACCCCGCGAAATGGTTGAGCATATACCATACGGGGCAGCTCTCACCATTAGACCATCGTCTCAGCACACACATTCCATTATATTACTCCACGGTCTTGGATCGAATGGAGTTAAATTCGGGACCGAGTTTCTGGAGACGGGCGTGTGCTCCAGCGGCGCCAAATTAACCGATCTTATTCCAGGAGCCAAATTCATCTTCCCCACGTCGAAACCAAGACGATCCAGCGCCTTTGGACGGACGAAACTGACGCAATGGTTTAATATTGCGTGCTTGGGTGATCCCTCCTACAAGACCCACACACAAATATCTGGGTTTGCGGAGTCCTACGGGGAAATTTTAAAAATCATCACCGAGGAGGCGGCCCAGGTCAGCCCTGAGAATATTATCCTCGGCGGCCTCAGCCAGGGCTGTGCCATGGGCCTCATCTGCCTCCTTGCTATCGATTTCCTCTCGGTGGCTTCATTGGCATGAGCGGGTGGCTTCCGCTCCAGCACGAAATTCGATGCATCCTTGAAGACGCGGACAAGCCTCCAGACGAAGATGACCCTTTTGATCAAGGTGACGCGGATGGTGACGATCGAGACACGATGCTCGAAGTTGTCAGCCATATCCGGGACTCCTTGTCCATCGCTGCGAACCACACGCCAACGAGAGAGTCTACCTCTATCCGTACCCCCGTCTTTCTTGGACACGGTGCTATGGATGAAAAGGTTCTCCCGTCCCTGGGGCAGGAGGCCTTTGAGACATTGAAAGCCCTTGGGTTTACGACAGAGTGGAGGGGCTATCAAGATGAAGGCCACTGGTACAAGATCCCCGATGAAATTGATGATATTCTTGATTTCATTCGTGTCAAGGTCGGGTGGCTCGCCAAGCAGGATACATAATCTTATAGATTTTATAGACCGAGGTAGCGCTTCTTTGAATACGTACCGCCGCGTGTCTCTCCACATTCGGCTTCGGCCCCACACGTCACCGATCATCCGCCCCACTCCGGTGCCCTAAGCTCCGAGACGGCGGCCCGATTGATGCATTGCGGTCCGGGGAGCTGTCATCGTTACTATAGATTGACTATATTATGACCAATGCCCGTTTTGCTAAGTATACAGTACCAGCGATGCTTGGCACCGCTGCAGTAGGACGACTTCGCAATATATAGGCGACTCGTCCCCACCGAGAAAAGTCATGCGCGACAAGACAGTCCCTGACAAGGTCCTTGGTTATTTCTCCCCGATGGCGAGAGAATCGTAGATGTCTTGGATTGTCATGTGTGCTATATAAACTACATTCGTCAACCCCAATTACTTGCTGCTTATTCCCCAGACTTTGATTTTCTCGCTACACGATCTTGGATCCCGAAAACTATAGCAGAAAGCAAAGTCACCCCCACAACCACAAGCATGAATATCTCGTCCCACGATAGCGATTCCCGCGGCTTTGGAGGCGGTGGGCCGATATGTCTCGGGTCCGGGGCTGAAGTGCTGGTCGATCTCCCTTCCGCCGCAATGGTAAATGTCCCCTCCGCCAAGGCGACCTTTGCCTCGTCGGCATCCATATCGCACGTATTCTGCAGCCATTCCTCTATCTGGGCCCATTCCTCATCACTGCTACAGGAGTTGTGGCAGTCGTGGAGATCTCCGTCCGCGCAGAAGCAATTGACCGACTGCGTGATGCAGCCGTACGAGAAGGTGGTGTCGTCGATGCAGTCTCGCGCGCAGTCGGGCAGGCCAGAGTAGTCCACCTTCAAGGCCGGCGATTCCGGGCACAACTTGGCGAACCAGTCCTCGGTCTCCCACCACAAGTCCCAGGGGCATGACCACGCGCAAACGAGGCCCGTTTTGAGATTGCAGTAGCACTCGCGCTCGTATTGCTTCATGCCGCACTTCGTGCCGCCGTTGTGAGAGGCGTCTTCGTTGTCCGGGCAGGACCCGTCCACGAGGGGACACAGGTCGGGAGGGTCATCTATATAGTGCCAACAAGCGCTGAAATCACACATCGGCATCGTGACCGGGTCGATCAGGTCGGGGCTATCTGCTTGCCGTGGAGGATCGAGATCGCTGGCCCCGAGTTCACAGCCAGCTCTGACTCGAGGGCAAACGCCATGGTGATGGGTATGGTGAATATTGACTGGAAAATCATCATTGGCAATTGCGTAGAGATGGATAAGAGATCCCAAACAGGGAAATCTATCCAGGCTAGAGTCCGACTGAAGAAGGACGTGCGATTGTGAATGATTTTGCTTTGGACATCTTCTTGACCGGTCGTTTCGGGGCCAGGTGTTGTGGGGCATGTCATCTGTAGGTGCACAGTCCGTCGGCCTACTAGGGTTATCCGATGATGTCTGCACCTCCCAGCAGCCTGCCCGGGGGACAACCCGCAGGATTGTGGGTGCAGCATAATGTCCAAAGCTCATTCGATAGCCTGGTGATGCAAAAATTCAATAATGTAACCCTAGAGATGGAGTTCAGCTGGTATGGGCCAATGATGGTGACATCATCTCTTCAGTCACTCAATCATTTGTTATCAAGGTGTATGTGAGAAGCCGGTGGCTGCAGTTCTGCAGCTTCCTGGTCATCAATATTTCCATCGAGAGGGGGCAAGGCTGCTGGACCGTTAGGCCGCGACCCAGTGAATGACCCGACGTGGCCTGCACTCATAGGCCTTTACTTTTAATCCCAAAAGGTCGGGAGAATTAATGTGATATGCGGGCCCTATCCCAGCCCAAAGCTCACCAGTCCCTCGTCACCGCTCATCTCGCAACTCTGACTGAGGCGTTTGGGTGAGGGTAGGACGAGCAAGGGCTTTGATGTTCACCACTGCACATATTGGTTGCTGAGCAGAGAAGAGGGGAGGAGGGGAGGAAGCGCAGTGTAGTAGGGCGCCTTTGACCACGTGAGTCCGGATAGCTGGATGGATACTATGTAGGCTTTCCTCGAGTCCTGACTTGGATTTGCGACCAAGGAAGTGTGTCAATTATTATAAGGAGCCCCTTTTGAGGAGTGCACGCCGAGTCTGTTGTTCTTACCGGACTTCAAGTGTCGCTCGGCTTCCTCTTTCAACCTAACGCCAGGCCTAAGCAAAGGAGAACAAAACAGAACAAAATGCTATCTCCATCTACCACTAGTAAGTCTTACGTTGGGGGCCTTAACTAGCATATCCTCCACCATCTAACTAATCTTCGCTTCAGGTCTACGCTCCCCAGTAAACCGACTCATCGCCCTACTCTCTTTCCTCGCCAGAGTCTCTTCCAGCTACTTCCTCATCCGCATAGTCCCGACCGTCTCCGCCACTTTTTCCATCGCACGATGCTGCACCCTCGCCGCCCGCGAAAATTTCCGCGAATATTACGAGGAGCTGTATCCATGGCAAGTATGCAGCTTCAACGTCGAAATTGATTACTCCAACAACATCACGCTGCCCTCCATCACCCGCAGCATGGGATGGGTCCAAGGAATTGCCGAGGGACCCAGCTCAGCTCTCTCGAGCAGTGGCTTGTGCCCTTGTCCACGTACATCTCGCCGTACATCGGAATCCTGCTCCTCTGCCCTGTCGGCGACGCCAAGGGGTTTGGCACCGGAGAAGGGCATCACAGTGCCATCACGAAAAAGGTCCTGGGTGGTCTGAATATCGTCTGGAAACCGGTACAGGAGCATTTTAGTCTGTTAGGCGATCCTGCCAGCGCGGTATTTGGGGCCTTGCACGAGATTTGGTCGGATGCGCGCTCCCTGCGGGGGCTGAAGTCCTATGACCCTGATAGCCCGGCCCAGCAACGATCGTGGATCGCGATTCTATCGGGGAATCTAAAATGTCCAGACTCATCCGGCGCCTCCTCGAGCCATGCACCTCTGCTAGTTGCGTCCCCGGATAACAAGCAAGTCTCCGATCTAACAACGGAACCGTTGACGGCACCAGAGAGAGTTTCGGCCGCAGACAGGGCGATCGAGACGGTGCTCGCCGCGCGAGGAAGCTTCGTGAGCACCATCCTCCTCCCCGTCATCCTCATGTTCGCCGTCACAGCCGCGACGTTCTACGACGCCTACAGCAAGAAGGGGGACAAGAACACCGGGCTCTCGCTCGCGTACTGCGTCTGGTATTCGTGGATCATCGTGCTCGGCGTCGCTTCCAACTCTTCCATCAGCATCTTTTCATCCGAGGCAGCCCACCGCGCGTTTGACGGCGTGATCGACTTGGGGAAGTTGGAGAGCACGTCCCTCCGCCACCGCTTTATCAATGCCCATCTCTGGAAGTCTTGGTCAGAGGCTACGGAGAACGCTGGGTGGACGGCCAACGCCACCAGGCACGAGTTGAGGGCGGACTGGCGTCTCTGGCTCAGGTTCTGCATCGGGCAGCTGATCGGTCTCAGCTGCGTCGCCTTTTCTTCCGCTGGCGCAACGGTGATTGCTTGGACGACGCCGACGACGGGATTAGGTTGCAGATCGTTCAATTTTATCCTGTACGTCATTCTATCAGCGGCCGCGTCGTTGCTTCGCGTCCTCTACACCTGGATGTCGCTTGACCCACACGCGAAGACAAACTTCCGATACCGGCTCCCCGCCCTTGGATTTCTCTATTGGCTCTTCGTCGTGGTTAATTCGCAAGTCATGATTCTCGGAACAGTCTTTCACTTGGTCGGTGTCTTCCGTACGTGCTGGTGCGACCGGCTGTTCTGGAACGAGTCCACGCAGATCGAACTGAACAGCAAGACGACCGAGGCGGTGGAAAATGCCGATACGTACTGGCTCTCCACGGCGTACGTGGTATTCGGAGGTGTTTGGCTAGCGTGCTTCTGTTGCATGGTCCTTCGAGGGTTCATCGTGCGGAAGTTGCAAAACTTTATTGACTGTAAGCGAGCAGTCGCCAAAGAGGCGTGTCGTGCAGTTCGACAATCCTAGCTGAGTGGTGATATGCCGCTGGCCAAAACGTATATGTGGAATTTTTCGGAGGGGACTTAAGCAACACAGACCCCCAAGTATTTGCCTTGCTATCCTCTTTTTAAGTTTTAAGTTGCGGATCGGTCATTTTAAGGATATCGACCCTTTCACGAGAAAGCTCCTCTCTATCGCTTTCGCAAGTTCAATGGTGGCACGCCATCGCCAAGAGGCTACATCGTACAACGGCATCATTTCCACCTACCCATCAGACCATCAGACCGAAAGGATCAAAACTGACCATTGAACGTTACTTGATCTTATTTTCTATTGCAAAACCCATTAATGATAACGCCATGAACCTACTAAATGCTAGTTATGGCCAACCCAATAATCAGCCCGGTCATAAACAGGATAGACATCAGGAACACCCGACTCTTAGTTGAGTGGCCAAATTTCCCTGCCAAAAGGATCGAAGAAGTGAGAGTAGTAGTAACCATGATTGGGATGCTCTCGAATCTCATCACGGCTAACCCGATGGGTAAGCCGGAGAGACAGAATGCCAAGATCCACCATTTCTCTATCTTGATCCAGGATATAAAGGCAGACCAGTGTTTGTAGTCAGGATATCTCAACGGGGACCTGAACGTGACAGATCCTCCCTTGAGGCGTTTCGCAATTACCTTCTTAAGTTGTCGATCAGTCAGTTTGCGGATATCGACGCCTTCACTAGCAAGCTCTGTCTCTAGCGCCCTCGCAAGCTCAATTACCGCGCGCCAGCCACGAGGTACTTCAGGCTCGTCGATGAGTGGAAGTCGGCGAGTGCTACTATACCACATCAGCCATAGCCCGCATGACCAGATACCTAGGCATATAAACATGACGAATAGCTGCAGAAACGAAAACCCCCATTGATAAGACTAGAAAATTGAAACAGGTCTAGTTAGCCACGCGGAAGTTCTTCTCAAAGTCTTGGGTAGACAAACGTACGTCGGGCACCGGCTGGCAAGAACCTTCGCCTACGATATCGTCAAGGCGGAAAAGCTGAGCGGTTTTTGCCGTGAAGAGCGCATTTGCGCTCGTCCGATATGGACAGGCATCCTCTCGGCACCAGGCACCGGCGTAGAGATCTGAAGACGTGTCGTCAATATACGACCCAGATATATTTAGTGCGTCGCCCTCAATGAGTTTGCCGTCAAATTCTGTACTACCGACGTATCGCCCCTCAAACCCGTATTTCTCTACGTCTAAAAGAATTCCACCGCCACAGTTAGTTCTGGGGAACAATACAGCAGAGAATTTGCGCTGGGAGGCCATACATGTAGAAACGCGGGATTGCATGTCGCACCCAGTATCACCTAGAGAACAGGAAAGCCTGGTACTATGCATCCATGATACGCCATACCCTCTCGATGATGTCCCGGCTATAAATGTATCATTTGAAGCCGTTAGCAAGTAAGACAACCATTGACGTCATGTGGGTGCTGAGCTTACCGTCTCGGTCTAGATGTATTACCTGTTCATTCTCCAATCCAGCCCGCTCTCCGTCGTGAACGATGTATACCACGCGCTGAAAGTCAGCCCACTTGAGCAAGTTACCATCTCCGTCGCCGATAAATGCTTGCGTGTCAGATTTGTAACCTGTCATGGAACTGGAGAGTGTGGGAAAGATCAAGGCGAAGGTTGCGGTGTAAAATATAAAGGCAGCGGCCAACAAGGAGGCAGGGCCGCGATAAAGAACAAAGTCGCGGAGTAGGCGACACACTGAAAACAGCGTAGCTTCTTGGTGCATAAAAATGACCCAAAAGGTCGTATACGTGGCTGGCTTTCGAGCCATGGATGTGGTCATGTATTTGGCAAACACCCGCCACGACACGAATACCAGCAATGCCTGTCCTCCTCGTCCGACAACCTTTGGGAAGCTGTTAGTAAGGGGCTTGAATGATGAATGTGATCTGCGAGCAGACTTACAACATCCCAGGAGACGTCGATGACCTTCACATTTGTAAAACTTGCGAGGGTCACGATCGGAATCGATATTTCGAAGAACCCAGTCGGCGCCCACTGATCATAGCCGTACTGCGATATGGAAAAAGAGTCGTCGGGCAAACATCCAATCTCTTGCGTCAACGACTGCGACATATCCGAAAAGCTCGTCGTGATGTAGCCGGTAGTCAGGATAAGGAGAATGAACCAGAGCGGAAACAAGGTCCACGCCGCGAGGTTCTTCCAATTCGTCCCCGCAGGTCCCTCCATGCCTCCTGCGCGGCATCTCGAATTATCCTGAGAGTCGAGGCGGTAATGTTTTTCCCTTTCCATTCGGAGGGACGCAGTCGACGAGATGGCTTTTGCGCCGATGTGTCCATCTTCGACTCTGTCCCCACATCTTCCCAGTCAGCCATGGGCGGGGAGGAGTATCCGCCCATGGCGCTTCCGGGTTGCATCTCTTCGGATTGCGTCAGGGAGTGAAGCGAGAATTCGACATTCCGCCATTCGTCGCAGTCTATCGGCGTCGTTTGGTTTGGAGATGTTTTGAAGAAAAGAAATGCAATTCAACAAAAAAAAAAAATAAGACGGGGTCGACGAGGGTCACCTTGTCTGATCAAGCGCGGCGGAACTACAACGCTGCCTCCTTGATGTGGTGCACAGCCTGCAGCGGCATCCCAGGTCTTCAACGTTGTGGCGGATCCTTCCCGCTCAATCTCAATCCTTGGGGGCAGTGCAGCGCACAATAAGCGAACCGAGTGAGGTTGATTGGGATTTGCCGCCGTGTCTGAAACAGCCCCATGTACGACCATGCACCACCACTCAACTTGAATTGATGCGCACAGGCTTTTCACCCGTGTGGCTGAAAACGGATTTTTGGGTTGATGGATCGATCAAATGATCCTTTGTCAATACATCCATCAATTGATGGATGCGTTGTTAAGTATCAAACAGACGCCAGCCTTATCTGTGGATCACGCCACCCTTTTCTTGGGACTGTCTACACAACATACGAGTTTCGCTGGACAACACCATAAAGGATATCAATCCCTTCACTAGAAAGCTCCCTCTCTATCGCTCTCGCAAGCTCAATGGTGGCACGCCATCCCCGGGACACTTCGGGCTCGTCAATCAGTGGAAGTCGGCGGCTGCTCTCATACCACAGCGACCAGATTCCATATGACCAGACGCGAAGGCATATGAACATGATGAACAATTGGAGGAAGGCAAAACCCCAGTGATAAAGCTGGCCATTCGCAGAGGTCTAGTTAGCTGGAGTGAAAGCTATACCCTAATTCGTCCCTTTCAGATCCCTCCACGCTTCTTGAGCTGAGTCTCCGATTATTGTTGCGATCGGGCGGGCAATCCCTTTCCATTTCCAAACCTTGGCATGCGATCTCTGGGATTAACTCGTCGCATAGCCTCAATTTGTCTACTATAGGTACAAAGAGTTGCCATGTTTCGAGAAGTCAAGGTATTATACGCAGCGTCCCGCAAGGTGCTCGGATTAGCCATCCATACCATTTTGAAAAGACTGCGAGCCTGACAGGGTCTCATTCGCACAGCTCCAAGATTACACGCGTGTGGGAAGCTCCCGCGCCATCTGTCTTATTCATGGAGAAGGCTGAGGTGCAAGGTATGGGCATCAATTAAGGATGATTTACGACTGTAGCTCATGATTAGGGTGCTAGCGTTAACAAGCTGCCAAGGTAAGGGATTCTCTGTCTTTTTGTAGATCTAGGATCTCTTCACTGTATCCCTAGCACCTCATATATAATTATCGACGGCCTTCAACCTCGCTAAATTTCCATGGATACCCCTTCTAGGCCTTAGAGGTGAGAATATCAAATCAGTCAGACAGGTCCTGTCGCGAGTCGGTCAGTTACCACTAGTAAAATCCGGCTGATTTCAGGTAAGCAGTCTTCCAACGAGTGATGCGACTCTTCTTTCACTAACGTAGTGAGGCAGGTTGAAAGGATGATGCGGGCGTGCAGAAAGCTACACGGGGATATCCAACAATGAACTTATAGCCTCCTGGCCTGGTTTGGCAGGGTCGAACCTGGCTATTAAAGTTGGCTCTATCTTATTTTCTGACATAGCAGCCGCTCATTGACAGCGGCCTATATTTATTGTAGTCTCATTGGCAGCATTATACCCAACGCGATACTCAGTCCAGTGATACAAAGGATGGAAATGAGGAACACCCGACTCTTCGTCGAGTGGCCAAGTTTCCTACCAAATATATAGAGCAAGTGAAGATGGTAGCGACCACCATCAAAATGGGTTCAAAGTACACATACACGATAGATATCGCGTTGGCGGCGGCCGAAAGAAAGAACGCCAGAATCCACCATTTCTCTTTATTCATCCACGATTTAGCGGCAGCCCAGTATCTATATTCAAGATGTTGTAAGGTGGATCTCTGCGTCATTGAACCTCTGTTCAGTTGTTGGGCAATCTTTCTCTTAAGTTGTTGATTAGTTAATCCGAAGACGTCGATTCCTTCCTTAGCAAGATCCATCTCTAGCGATCTTGCAAGGTCAATAGCCGCGCGCCACCCACAGGGCACTTCGGGCTCGTCGATTAGTGGAAATAGGCGAGTACTCCTATGCCACATCAAGCATAGCCCGCATGACCAGATACCTAGACATATAAGCATGATGAATAGCTGTAGGAATGAGAATCCCCATTGATAAGACTAATCGAAATAGATCTGGTTAGCTGTGTGGAAATCTTTCTTGGTCTTGGGTGGGAGAGCGCACATCGGGCTCCGGCTGGCAGGAAGCTTTGTCTAAGAGATCGTGTAGGTAAAAAAGCCGAGAGTTTGTAGCTGCGTATAGCGCGTTTTGGGTTTCCGCATATGGGCAAGATGTTGATTCCTCTGGGCACCATTGAGCGGCGTATAGCTTTGAGGCAGTGTCCTGAATATACGCCCCAGATATACTAAGTGCATTTCCTTCAATAAGTGTGCCGTTAAATTCTGTATTTTGGGCGACATTTCTTCCCTCAAACCCGTATGTCTCCACATCTAGAAGATTCCGCCGTTATGGTTAGTTCTGGAGAATGATACAACTAAGACTTTTCGCGGGGGCGCCATCAAGTACATTTAGAGACATTGATTTGCAGTTCGCACCCCTTTTGTCGGGTGAACAAGGGTCAACACTATTACCATCCGTCAACCAACCGGAAGAACTTGAAGACTTCGATACCGATGCCGTTTCTATAGCCGTATGATTTGAAGTAGTTAGCATGTCGAAAATTACATATTATTTTGGTGCTCAGTTTACCGTCTGGGTACAGCGTTATCAGGTGGCTGTTGTTTAACCCAATCCGCTCTCCATCGTGGACGACGTAGGCTACGCGCTTAAAGTCAGCCCACTTAAGTAGGGTATCATCTGTATCGCGAATGAATGCTCGGGTGTCGGCCTTGTAACCCGTCATCGAGCCACAGAATGTCGGAAATATCAGGGCAAAGAATGCGGTATATAATATAAAAAGGGCGGCTAAAAAGGATTCTGGACCACGATAAAAATAAAGTCGCGAAGTAGGTGGCACACTGATAAAAGCGTAACTTCCTGGTGGACAAAAAGGGCCCAAAAGGTTGTATAGGTTGCTGGCTTTGTAGCCATGGAGATGGTCATGTATTTGGCAAACGCTTGCCATGACACAAACACCAGCAAGGCCTGTCCTCCTCGTCCGACGGCCTTTGAGCGGCTGTCAGCAACAAAACTAAACGGGGTAATTTGCGAGCAAACTTACAACATCCCAGGAGACATCGATGAGTTTCACTTCTGTAAAACTGGTGTTGGTCATCATCGGAATCGTTATTACGAAGAACCCACTGGGTGCCCACACGTCATAGTAGCCGCTTTCCCTTGCCACGAAAGAGTCGTCGGGTAGACAACCACTTTCACTTGATGGCAACTGAGATGTTTCCAAGGCCTTCATCAGACTTGTGCCGATAGTGTAGTAAAGGAGAAGTATCCAGAGCGGGAACAAAACCCAAACTGCGAGGCTCTTGCAATTTGTCCCCCGCAGGTCGCTCCATGCCTCCCGAGCAGCGTCCCCAATTATCCCTAGCCTCGAGGCGGCAGCATTTTTCCTTTCCATTCATGGGATCGCTTTGGCGCCAATGAGTCTATCTTTGACTCTGCCCCTTCGTATTCGCAGTCAGTTAGGGGCGCAGAGGAATACTCGCGCACAGAAGTCGCGCTTCCAGGCTGGTTTTCTTCAAATTGCGTTAATGGAATGAAACGGGAGTCCGACATTGCGATATTAGTTGCAGCCTTTTTTGTCGCTTGATCCGGAGATACCGTGATGAGAAATTGCAGTATTGCACGGGAAGGAAGGGCTGGGCCTAGAATTTGGCGAGAACCGGAGTGCGGGGGCCCTCAGTCCTTAAAAGCGCCGTGTCACCGTCACGCTGCCCGGTTGCTTCGTCGCACAGTCTGCCATGGCATCCTAGGGTTTTGTGATAATAGATGCATTGTGGGAAGGGCCGGGAAAGACACCACTAAACCTTCCAAGGAACGGAGAATCCGCTCGTAGTCGTAGGCTGAACCAGCTGAAAGATTGAGGCGCAAAACTTACCTATATCCGGAAATTTTACATGTACCTTCGGGTCTGCTTGCACATTGTTGGACCCAAAATGACAAGGGAGCGCTCCCTGTAATTCAAAGGTCTAAGAGCACCTATGTCCTGCAGCAACAGTTACTCCCAAGTCGCAGTTGTTCAATAGATCCTGTTGAATATGAGGCCTGAATTTTGAGGCATTTGTATCGTTTAAGATGGCACTTCCACCCCAGCAGGGTTTTCCTGAACGAAAGGGGCGGCGTGCCCCTTTCGTTCCAAGAACGATCACGGTTTTTCATCACCTTTTCAAGCTCCGCTACAGTGATCACTATCTGCATCCTCTTGCTCTCATCCAATCAGCAATCCATTGCTTTCCATCTTACAGTACTTTGAGTACGACAGATCCCTCCCACGTCTAGCTCTTCCTCAAGGGGTAGTGCGGTGCGCAATAGGCCAGCCAGATAAGAATAGGGTTCATTTGCCGCCAAGGGTGACACCACACCGCTCATGTGCGCGGGGTTTGGACAGACGTGGTTGAAAAAGGGTTTTGGGGATGGATGAGCCCCATATGTTAGTATCAAATAGACGTGCCAGTCGGCGTGCAAACATTTTAGTGCGGTCGTCCCCCCACAAGCTCCTCGGAGTAGTTGTCCATATCATTTTCAGAACGGCCATCGGCCTGGCAGAATGTCACACATCCAGATGTAGCTACAGAATGGCAGTGGACTATCGCTCCATCAATAACCCGTTCACAAAAGAGAGTGGACAGACGCTACGAGCATGTATGTAAATTTAGGAGCATTTGTAACAGTAGTACAGTATGACCTACAGCATACATGAACTAAAATTCAGCCAATATTGATCTAGCCCTCCAGCTCATTCTTTACCCCGCTCGAGTTCAAGTTGCCAAGGCAAAGGCCTCTGCGCCGTCTTCGTAGGTCCCAGGTCGCCACCCTGCCCCCGCGCCTCATGTAATCATCAATGTCTTTCCACTCCACAAAGTTGCCATGGAACCCCCTTCTCGGCCTCAGCGGTAGACGAATCAATCCAATCGGACCAACGGAGACTTCTTGGGCCTTGAAGATGGCGAGGTCCTGTCGCATCTCATCCAGTCGGTCGATGACCACGACTAGGTAGCCATCGCCTTCTCGTGCGTTAGGGGACGCAGGGATAAAGCAGGGCTCCTCTAGTGTGCTAGTCGCCCCTACGTACCACGACTGCTCTGCGCCAGACTCCCAGTCGTAGCCAATCAGCGTGTTCCAGACACCGGTGATTGGAGGCCCACACCTCTCCATGTCGTAAGGCTTGGAAGGGTCTGCGCTGACGGCCCAGAAATAGCGATAGGGCTTGCCTAAGAAACGATCGTCGATGCGAGCAAACTCGACAATTTCGTGGACCGTCTCGCTCGGCTCAATAACCTTGGTCGAGGAAAGTTTGGCCAGGTCAAAGATATATCTAGACATGGGACTGGTTGTAGGTTTGCGCTGAGCGGCTTGGCCGTCGGGCGGGAACCACCAGAAAACGTTGTCATTGGCCATCGAAAGGTCAAGTACTAACCGGTTATTGTCCGTTTGGTACGATCCGGCGATGTGGCCCTGGAAGCAATTCTTGGTGGGGACCCATACGATATCTTCGCGTGATGGCTTACTCCTGGGTGCGATGCCAAAGTACCCACAATCTTCCGGGTCCCAGGCATAATAGTTGCCACCCTTCTTAATTCTCTCGAGATCGGCCTTCAACGGCGTGAGCGGAAAGATGATCCAGTCGTCGGTGAAAGAGAAGTCGTGGATATAACCCGCGTATGGCATCTCGAACCAGGCCTCGTGGTTCTTTACGCCGTCCGCGTTGATCGAGTAGTAGACGAGTTCGCGGGAGGCACAGTTGCCATCCCCGCCAGCCTGGTAGCCAAAGGAAAGCATCTCCCCGGTGGCGGGGTCGAACTTGGGGTGCGCTGAGAATACAGGCGCGAGCACCTGACCCTCGAAGTCGTAGCGGCCGAGAGTCTCCAGCGTCGTGGGGTGCAAGGCGAATGGTGGGCCGTCTTCCTTCAGAGCGAGCATAACCCCACGCCAAAACACAATGTTGGTGTTGGCAGCTGTCCGGATGACACCGCGGACCGACTCATCGTCTGTGTATGGGTTACGATACCTTCCGAATAGGGCTTGGCGTGCCTGCGACTCCGCCTTGAAGCGATCGGTGCGCACATACCGACGTTTCCAGTCGACATGTCCATTGGCGATGCGAAACGAGCTAACGCAGCCATCGCCATTGAACAGGATATCCTCCTCAAACATGGGTGGCATGTGATGATCCACCTGCATGCTGAAGTAGATTCCGTTGATGGCATCTGGAATCTCACCAACGGTTTCGACCTCTTCGATCGTCGCCTCATAGCGAGAGGGCGCAAAGGCACGCTGAAAGGGCGGCGTGTCTGGGAAGCGTGTCTCCTTGGTTGCTCGGCGGCCGTCGACGTAGGCTGGTGCCGTCACGCCGGCGTTCAAGTTCGATGACATGGCTGCTGTTGCTGTTGCTGTAGATTTGATCCTCTACCTGTCCAATTTCTATGGCTGAATGATACATGTCCTGTTACGAATTCGCGGTGCTAACAGTAGGCTTTAAATCTCTTGACGCCCTCAGTGGAGATCAGCTTCTCAGGCAGTGCCGAAAATGACCGAGAAAAGCGGGAGGTGGGGAAAGGTGTGCCAAAGCGGAGTCTACGGTCATTGCTCCGGGAGGACGGCCTGATAATTCCGCAGTGGAGACACGTCCGGCTAGGACGGAGAATGGCGCGTGGGTCGAGCTCGGTTTTATCGTTCCGTGTAGTGCTGTACTTTTGAGAGCCGGGACCCGCTTGCATTTACCTATAAACTACACTTATTGATCGCGCCACATCCATTCAATGTTGGTGTGTAAGTAAATGATCCGCGCTGGCAATCAACACACCTCAACCCTCTGAGATTCCACTCCATCAGCAGCAACGCAACAATGGAGGATATTCAACCAGGCACGAAGAGCCTCACCAGCCGTGCGGCTTTTGACGATTACATTGCGGGATTCAATTCGGACGATTACTCTCGATATTGCGCATATTATAGCAAGGACATCGTGGTAAGGAATTAAGCATCGCCATCATTTATATTTTCTGGCGCTCTTCACGTTGCTGGAACCTGCACTGTGTCCAAATATTTCTCACTTGATACCGATATATCCCAGGCCATTCACTAATAGTTGCTTTTAGATGGATCTCAAGTCTCTCGAAGATAAAACTCTAAGTGGCTACTTGAATTGGATTAAGCCTCTTCATGCCAGCGTGTCGGAGGAGCTGAGGCCTAAGAAGGTTGCCATAGATGTTGACAAAAAGTACGTGGCGGTCGACGTTGACGTGCAGTTCCTGGGGCGTGATGGCTTCAAAACGGAAAACTTTGCGGGAAAATGGGGTCATGTGTATCCGGGCGCAGGCCCTCTTGTGCACATGAGCATCTGGTATCATTTGGATCCTGAAGGTCATATTTATCGGCTGGAAAGCACCCAAAGCTACGTCTTGGAATGGGCGCAACCTCCGCAGGGGAATTAGACGAATATCGATGAGTAGCTAGCTCAAAACAAAACAATAGTTCTCTCCCTCTTTGAAACGGTGATGTCCTCAGGGTCGGTGACCCCAATATCTGTCGTCTTTACGCCGTACCTGTAGACGCTTGGTACACTGGAGCTTACGCTAAGGCAATCTGTTTATGGAGTCACATCGAGGGACGCTTTCCCGCTGCTATTGAACTGCGAAAGTGTGGGCCGGATAAGGCTATAGTAATCAGCTACGAGGTAAATTATGCGCCTAGGCGAGGTATATAAAGTCCATGGCGTGCGTGCATCTCTACACTGGTGGGTGAGTATCTTGAGGAGGTTGGGCATGTAATCTAAGTTGAACCGCCTGCGATGTATCTCCGCTTGATCCACCATTCCGCAAAGATGAGATTTGGAAGCCAACATGTGATTCCGGTGAGAGTGAGTGCCGGTTCGACATCCATGCCCATGGATATGAATAGCGGTAGTTGCCAGCGTAGCATAACGGCAGCATATGTGAGGGAGAAATTCCTTGTCATCCAATTGCGATGTTCCTCAAGATTCCCGGCCCATATCTTGGCCATACCCTGAATTCCGGTTACGAGCCAGATCAACCCTAGAAAGGCGAAGGCGTACTGGCCGATGGGGCGGCACAAAGAAACGAAAGACACATAAAAGGCATTTATGCCGCCGATCAAGATGCCGAACATGTAGATGCGACCGATCACGCGATGGGCCAAGGTATTTTGTTTCCGAAACTTGGGGAGAAATTGAAATGGACCCAAGGCCATGGTAGTCAGCCCGCCCAAGATGTGGCTTACGCCAAATACCGAGCCTCGAATGCGCTCGATAATGGCTGGATCACCAAGTCGGACGAAATCGACCAAAAGTTCAAAGCGTACGCGGCTGTAACGAAGGCAGGTATGCTCAGGAGTTTCCAGGTAAAGAAAGTGGCGGGCTTGCGAGCCCTTTCTTTGCCTTTCCACTCATCGTTGATGTAGGAGCCAGGAGAAGCATTTGTCGCTGGTAATCTTTGGCCGTCGCTGGCTTCTAGTCCTGTCAACCTCCGGCTTGATGGCTGAAGTGATATCGAGGAAGACATGTTGATGAACAAGTGTGTTGATGGTTGTTGCTCTTGATGAAGAAGGGGAATCCTTGACTGTTGACCTATGGAAAGGCATAACTCTATTAGGTTTATTTATCTTCGCAGAAGTGTGGAATCTGTTTCGTCTAGGTACGGCTTAGTTAGTTGAACCTCTACGGGCTCTACATCCTCATTTCGGACCTGACGGGATAGTCTTTGAGCCCGCCCCCGATCACTGATGTGTGTCCTCCACGGATTACTATGCGCTACCAAGACCGAACGGGTGCTATATTTCCGAGATTGGGGAATTACGGGTTCCGGTTGTGGGGTTCGGGGCCCGACGCGGGGTAAAACGCGTCTCCACCACCCTTTCTTGATACCGACGCTAGCTGGGGAAGGCGGAGATTCATTCAACGGTGGTGTACATCTGCCATTAGAGTTTATTATGTAGGTTGGTTGTTTGCCTCTTAATAGTTACCCCGTGCGATTTAGAGACGTATGCAGCCGTGGTATACTTGTATTTACATCCATGGTGCCTTGTGGGAGACTATAGCCATGAGTCTTGGTTCGGAACACACGATACGAAGGTCCAGGTTACTAGGTAATACTGGGTCCCGATTCACGTGGAGCTTTCCTCTAAACCCCAATAACGCCAGCGCGATGGTTTTTGGACGCTGGGCGTGTTAAACAGCAAAGGAAGTTGTGGGCGGCATATGTGTGTGATGAGTGGGCATTCAACTTGGGTAACTTTGCAATATATCGTCTAGCTGTGTATGCCCCAGGTCCGTGAAGGCCGAAATTTCCCAAAAGTCTTCAATCATTTGGCCAACTTGGTTGATCTCCAGAAATGGATCGACAAGAGTACTCCCTGTGGCCGACGATGCGGTAGTCAAAATATCTCTGATGGAATCGATTAGCACGCTCGTCGGCAACATATTCTCGCTACTGGTTCGGAAACACCTACCGATGCTGATCGTCAGATACCTTGGTGGCTTCGAGAAGCGCTTCAAACGCCCGCTGAGACCAGCGGCCCACACCAAGTCGCGTAGCAAAAGGGAAGAGGGGTTGGAACCTTTTCATTTCTGCCATCAGCTGAGTTGTAGGTGTTTTTAAATAGCGTAAGAATAGGATGGCGCTATTGCTTATGATGTAGTATGCGTCGAAGAACGAGAGCTCGCTCAAGAGCCCCAACTTGGCCATCTCCATCAAGAGGGCGATGGATTGACGGTTGGAATTCTCGCATTTTTCCACGCAGTCCTTCCAGTGATCATCGCCAGAGGCGCTATGGTCGACGGAGAGTAGGAGGTACGGCCTAGTCAATAGAAGGATAGCATGGTGATAGCGAAGGCCTAAATGGGTAAGAGAGCGCACGTATGACGGCGCTGTTGGGCGACCCGGGCGAAGATACACAGGCAAATCGTCCCACCACTTTTGGAGCTGGTTCAAAAGGTCCTTGACGACGACCTTGGGGTTTTCGGGGCTTTGTTTCCAGTACATACGGCTGAGAAGACTGGATATAATCTGGGTAAGAGACACCGAAGCCACGGCGTAGTCTTGCGGGGTCCACGGGTCTTGCATATGCAGCTGCACGCTCTCTTTAGCGCTGACTAGATCCGTGGGCTGGGGGACATTAACATACCGCTCCAGGAGGATTTGAAGTGCTGATATGATCTAGCGGAATTCCGGGAGGACGTCCAAGCATACACGATAGAAAGGTCTCCACGTTGTGGAGGGCCCACCAGACTTTATTGTGGTTACCTGTCTGGGTGGAAACGTTTGCGTCGGGGGACTGTATATGAAGACCAAGGGATTGCCCGATTCGGACAGCACATCCAATATCAATCCAGGCTCGGTTGCGACTATTTCGGCCGAGATGGAATAGAGCCTACATGGTTCATATTAGAGCACAGGAAGCGTAGCACTATGCGTGTGGGTGGTGCTTACGGATAGAATAAGTGCTTGGATGCTGCGCAGGCTACCTTCACGGAGCATACCTTCGGCATACGGAGAAGCCTTTTCAAAATACTCAATCGAGTCCTCCCCTGCGCGCTAAGTGCAAGGACTAGGAAAATAGTGCGCATAGAGGCATGTGTCACCACGGGGCTATTCTGATAGACTTCTTCGACATCGTTATGGAACTGTGCATAGTCCAAGATGCCGTTACCAGCGTTCACCTCTGCGAAGAACTTGAGTGAGTACTGGTCGACGAGATCGCGAGGAGGCAAATCGAGTGGGATAGCGAAGGACTCTCTATCGGCATCAAACGTATCGCAGAGAAATGTGGGTTGTGTCTGAAGCAGTTCCCTTCGACTGTGGGCCAGCGTTTCTCGAATTTGTTGGTAAAATACAGCCCAGCTAGAACCCGTTGCAACACCTAGGGTACGCGATAACGTTAGTAGAGCCGTCTAAAGAACATAGTTGACAGGGCTGGTGACTCTCACGCTCGGTAGCTGTTGCGTCCGCAAAGGCCCCCATGCCGTCGAAAACCGGCTTGACAGATGGATGGGAGAGGGGCTGTGAGCCGTGGCATGAGGAGTCATCTGGGGACAGATCAGGACGCCATGGCCTCTCTGCGGTGCCGTCCTCGGCCTGGACCTCCCGGGGCTGCTTCCTTTCTTGATCGTTTCGCTCAGACAACTTGGCTACTGCGTGGCGGAGGCTGCTTGTTTCTAGGGCGATATCCGGGAGGAAGTGGTGGACAATGTTGGCCATGAGCTCATACTGCTCTTTGGAGGTTTGATAGTAAGGGCGAGATCGTTTTGTGCTACTTGAATGACAGCGGTGGCCTGCCCTGAGACAGCTTTCGCAGTCCCCACGCGCGGATCTGATGCACTTTGTCCGATTAGCCTGGCATCGTCATGTTAAATCGCGGGAATGGCATCAATTGATACCTTGATCTTTCTTGCGCGACAGCGATCACAGCTGAGCCCGCCTTTGTTGTGCTGGAACGACATCGCCATGTTTAGTAAGACCGCAATGTGTCGGGATAGGAACATTCAACTAGTCGGGGAGGACCAGCAGTTGAGATTTAGAGATCCCGAATCGAATTGATGCTGGTCAATTCGGGTTACTGCGACCCCGCACTGATTGATTTCCCCAGTTTCCCTAGCCCCAGGATGGGCTTTTAGCTCAGCCACCAATAAAGCACACCAACTGCCGATACTACGCGTAGAGACTGTACAAGAGGAGATGCCGGGGGAACAGGAAACATCTTGCAGGCCGCGACTCTGCGGGTACGGACAGGCGTGAGGAAATGTTTTAAGGGTAGCCTGCGTCCAATCTGAAAAAGGAACCCAAGAGAGTGATAATACGCCGTGCTCCTCGCGTACATATAAACGTATGTAAGCGTTAGAGAACACTGAAACACAAATCACGATGAGCCGGAAGGTCCGGACGTTTAATGCGAGGGACATCTGAAAGATGGGGAAGCGGCGATGAAATGGGTTCCCCAAAGCATTCTACAAATCATGTCTTCGGGGAACCCTGGAAAATGAGGGATGAGCAATTGCCGAGGCCACCCCCAAGTACTATTGGCCAACCGAGCTGATGGAGCCTCTAACCCGATTATGATTAGACAAATAGCAGATTTCTGTTGCAATATCTCCGTGCCTGACTGTCAAAGTAATTGAGGCGATGATATATGGTGTCTTTGCTTGCGTACAGAATTATCGTTATGACGGACCCTTTGCCCTTGAAACGGTGAAGAGCGATTGTGGAGTCCATGGCTATATTTCCCGGATGGTAGGGGTTTCCTCACTTTCGAAAGACATTGCATCAGGCCTCCATCTTCAGCACAATGGGCGGTTTGGGGGAAAACGTAGATTTAGTATTGCCAGAGGGGGTTTGTTCGGTGCTACTGGTACAACATCCATGGCTTTGGCCAGTTGGGGATGAGAGTATCTAGGACGTGCTTCTTCAGCAGCACCAAAGCTGGAACTAGTTTTCCAATCTGATAACTCGCCTAATTAAATAATCTACATGCTGTTAGCTTCTAGAAGGTTTCGGGTCCCGAAATGGTGGGGTAAGGGGGCATCGGTAATCGGACTCCGATGGGAGAAGTGTAAGTAGTGCGTGTCACAAAGGACGGAACCCGCGCCAAGATGTTGTTGCGATGATAACGGCATATATACCTAAAGTCTATGCAGACTTACATCCCTATTCTCAAGGATACAGCAGCCTCTGAGCTTATGTTGTAATAGTACTCGCGTTCTAGATAATACGACACAATCGACGCAAAATGTCTGAACCAAAGAATTGTCAGGTACAACATGTATTCACCTCGCCGTTATCCGCGCCCGCCTCCCGAGGGGCAGTGCCACAGAATTACTCGAAGAAAATCGTGGACGGGATGATAGTGGAAACGCATGTTGCTATCCCCCTCCGTACAGGTTTTCACGCTTTTGCCGACGTATTTCGGCCGCAGGACGAGACTCCGGAGGTTCCGTTGATCATCTCATGGACGGTATAGTTCTTTCCGTTTAATTTGCGTAGCAAAGACATCTCCAGTCACTGACGCTTTGATTATATGCACAACAGCCATATGGAAAGCATAATGCTGCGCCGCTTTGGAAAATCTATCCTCATTCGGGCGCCAAGCGGGAGTGGTACTCGGATTATACGTGCTTCGAGGCGCCAGACCCTCTGTATTGGACGCAAAATGGGTATGCGGTCGCCATCGTAGACGTGGCTGGAACTTGGTACGGAGAGGGCATCGCCACCTTCTCTTCCGGTCTAGAGGAGGCCGAGAGTTTCTACGACACCATTGAATGGCTAGCCGCTCAACCATGGAGCAACGGGAAGGTGGGACTGAGCGGCGTCTCATACCTGGCGGTCAGCCAGTGGCACGTGGCTGCCCTTAAGCCCCCGAGCCTCAAGTGCATCGTGCCCGACGAGGGCTGGTCCGACTTTTACCGGGAAGTCGTTCGTCACGGAGGTATCCCCGATACAAGTTTCTTCCCCTATATTGCGGAGCGGTGGGGGCGGCAGTGAACATGGTGGAGGATCTCATGCAAGAGTTTCACGATCATCCGTTCTTCGACCAACTCTGGCAATCTAAAGCAGCCCGGCTAGAAGAGATTGAAGTCCCGGCGTTTGTCATCGCGAGCTTCGCCGATCAGGGGTTGCATACGCGCGGAACATTGGAGGGCTATAAAAAGATTTCCAGTCGCGAGAAATGGCTGCTTGTGCACAGGCGTAGAAAGTGGGAGTTTTATTACGAACCCCACATCGTGGAAAAACAGCGCCAGTTCTACGAAAAGTTTCTCAAGAATCGTGACGATACCGAAGTTGAGTCTTGGCCCCCAGTCCAGTTAGAGGTGAGCGATCGTTGGTATCAAGGTGTTTGGAGAGATGAGATGGAGTGGCCTCTGGCAAGACAGGAACATACCCCATGGTACTTGGATGCCGCAACATCGTCGATGCTCGACGCAGCAGCCGAAAAGCCATCCCATATCGAATACCACTCGCTATCCTCGGGGCCCATGGCATCCCGCGCTGTTTTTGACAAAGTATTCTCGAGCGAAGTGGAGATTACCGGGCACATATCAGCCACTCTCTTCATGGAAACTAGCGAGGGCGATGACATGGACGTGTTTGTTGCCATCTATAAGATGGACAGCCAGGATCGCGTTGTCGGACAAGCATTCTACGCGCAGTACGTCCCCCGATCCATCTCTTCGCCATCTATTTGATTGGTAAACTGAAATTTCTTGAACAGGTTTTCGGATGGTCCGGTGGCGCTTGGGTGGCTCCGCGCTTCGCGACGAGAAATTGACCCTACCCTATCCGCTCCCGGACAGCCGGTTGCAGCACATAAGGGAGAAGATAAGTTGGAGATAAACAAAGTATACCAGCTAGACATTGAACTCTGGGCTAGCTCCATGATTTATCGGCCGGGTGAAAAGTTGCGATTTATCGTGCAAGGAACTGACATTGCTGTAAGCGAGACCCTCTGATTCACATACTCCTCTTGATACTCGTCATACTCCCATCAACAAAAACTAACGACTTGACTATAGCGACAAACAAACCGGGCGGGGGCCAAAAGATATTTACACGTCATGAAAGTCTTCAGGTGAACGAGGGGGACCATCGGCTTTGGACTGGGCAGCAGTATCCGTCCCAAATCTTGGTCCCGATTATCCCAAGGAAGGCAACATAGCCCTATAGACCCAGCCCTATTAGGCCAGTGCTTGCCCGTCTTCAAATGGCTGTTTTTCTCTTGAAGTTCGATAACACAAAGGACATTCCTTTCCTCTTAGACTGGCTCCTATATGTAAACTTAGAGCCGATTGGTATTTCATAGGATTACCTACCAAAGGTACCCTTTATCATAGTTCTGATCTTACAGACGACAACCTTTCGGTGCGTCATGTGGCTAGTAATGGCCATGACACTGTTGAATACCCGAAATGCGTCGTTGGCTGGAATACCGCCGAGCAGGCGGGCGTTAGGCACTGAGAGAGCATGGTTGTGGGATGTTGTCAATCCAATTGATTTGATGAGACTTGCTCCTAGACCGTTGTCCCACTTTTACCTGTCACTCAGAACCAAAGTTTCGAGGGGTTTCGTAGCGATAGAAACGGGTTCACGGCATTGCGCGCACGTTGTGAGTAGGATTGGCTCTAAACGGAAGGATATTTCTCCGCGAGGGCAGCGTCCCGCCAATGCAACGCTGGATAAAGGCCCACCACTTATTTAGGCACTCTGTTAATATATATTTGTGGGAGGGAGATGGGACGGAAACTGGGGAATGGGCCTGAACCATGCGACGTTTGCCGTATTTGTGCTGCGTGTGCCGGTCAAGTTGGATTTCCTCCAAGCGGAGGCATATTTCTCCACGAGGCGAGCCTCACCCGCTGTGACGGTGGGTGAGGGTCAAGTGGTTGTTTGAGCACCCTGTTCATATATTTTGTGGGGAAGGAGATGGGAGAGAAGCAGGGAAATGGCCGTGGACCATCTGCCAAGAGATATAAAAGGTGCAGTCAAGCTTCCCTTCTCTGTAAACAGATGCTCTCTCCCTAGCTTTGACGTCCCAAGCGTTTGTTCCAGCCTTATACTACCACGTCTTGTCCAACAGACACCAGCCATCCACCATGTATCTTCAAAGCTCAGTTGCATTGTCCCTCTTGGCCTCCTTGGCCGCAGCTCAAGCCCAGACCCCTGGGGCCAATGTGGTGGGATCGGTTGGTCCGGCGCCACGGCTTGCGGTTCTGGCTATACCTGCACCCATCTCAAGTAAGTCGCTCTCACCCTGACCTCTATCAATTTCTCGCATTTTGCAGCAAAAGCCCCATGAGCGAGTCCTAACCAGAGCCTAGTGATTGGTATCATCAATGTGTCCCCGGCACGGCGACGACCCCTGCCGCCACTTCCACTAGCAAGAGCTCCACCGCCGTGATCACCACGACCGCCAAGCCCGTCAGCTCCACCTCGTCTACCCCAACCACGCTTAAATCCAGCACCCGAACCGGAACCGGCTCATCTGCCGGCCCCACGCTAGTGAGCGGCTGGTACTGGATCCGCGCCGTCGCGGAGCCCAACTACCACAAGTACTTGCAGTCAAGCCGGCGGGTTCGTCCTCTGCCGCCTACCTCGACGACGGCGCGGGCGCGGGTCAGTTCAACGTGGTGGACGGCCAGCTCGTGTTCAATACCGGAGGCACGCCGCTCTACATGCACGTCGAGAACCCGACCGACAAGACGCAGCGGGCGCTCGAGACGTGGTTCGAGGCGACGCCGGGCACGTACGGAAAATTCGCGTTCCAGGGTGACACGCTGACGTGGAGCGTGTCGGATATCAAGAGGCAGAACGAGGCGGCGTGGTACGTGTGCGGAGAGCAAAAGGTGTACATCAACACTGGCGCCTACCTGTACCAGACCCCGGCGGGCTGCGCGGACCAGACCATTCACTCGTACGGGGTGCCACGGCGGATTTGTAGTCGCTGAATGGGTTTCCACGAGACAAACAGAGGTAGAGGGGTTTGGAAATCTTCCAATGGTAACATCGTATATATTAAAAGCCCAACCCTGTATATAGGCGATTTCTAGCCGCTCTTTTACATCACACGATCCTTAGCGACCTTGATCCCGGTTATAAAACTGCCAAAGTGAGTCCATTTAAACCTATTTCAACGTAATGAAAAGACAAGAAATGGAGCATACTCTCGAGTATCTATTCGTGCAACCTAGCTTTTCCAAGACATTACTGGGTATGCTCATCAAATCTCTGGAGTGATAAAACCTAGTAACCAGTCACGGTGATTGAGCGGTACACTTGAGATATCCACGATGCATCTCCTCGTTATTTAGAACGCTGGCCAGAGTTCCAATGTAGTACGTTCAGCATGTTGCGTAGTGTTTTCATGTCTGAACATCATCATCTGCCTCCTCAAAGCGTCGGTATCTCTCTTCTCTCCACGCCGGACCCCACTTCCGCACCATCCAGATGGAGGGGCTGGCTGCTAACACGATGAGTCCCATAAAAGGTATGTAAAACCATAGCCCCATGCGTCAATCATGTACTGGACGACGGCAGTTCCAATGGCACTCGTCGCCGCCCTCGTCAAATTAAATGAGGAGGACACACGCCCAGGATTCATGGGGTACAGATCAACAAGAAGCGTTGTCAAGATGGCAATGGGCCCACTCAGCCCCGCTCCGGCGAGGAAAAGAATGACGAGGGGAACGGCAAGACGTGTCTTTGCATCAATGACCCATCCCCACGCGATGATCATTCCGACGGCGAGGATGGTCCAGGGCCACATGAGGTCCAACCTAGCGCGTTCGATGGGGAATTTCCTCATGTCGTTTCCGCGCTTTCGGTCGGGGAGACACCGATGCTACGGGCGACGCGGGCGTAGTTCCAGTTCAAGAGCTTCGCCACGACGGCTGAACCGGCGATGGCCCCCGCGGAGAAGGGGATGAAGCAGAGGCCGACCTGGACGTCGTTGAAGCCGTATTGGCGCCGTACAATGTCTTGGAGAGGGACGAGCATGGCGTAGTTGGCCATGACAAAGAGGGACATGAAGAGCATGAGAGGGCCCACGTCCTTTTCAAAGATGATGACTATGGCTGCCCATATGTTGGGGATTGGTATCTTGAAGGGCTTTTTCGCCGGCGGAGTAGCTGCCGAGGAGGTGCGGCCGAGCTCAGGGTCCTTACGGAGGCGACGGTTCCTCATGAGGGTTATCAGTGAGGAGTTCAATTTTGGTGGTGGTATAGAGCCGTTGCCGACAATTTTGCGGGCGCTCTTTGACCAGAGGTAGAAAAGTTAGCAGGGAGGTATTCTTCACGTTGGGGGTTCCCTCCAAGAGGAAGCAGATAATAAAGAGCGTCTCGGGCGATGACGGGAAACACCACTACCGGACAAACTAACCTCTGGGGCAAATGGCAAATACACGGTGAGGAAAACACCCGCCGCAATGGTCAGAAACCAAAACACCGATCTCCATCCCAGGTACTGAGTTAGCACACCCCCAATGACGGGGCTATCGCCGAGAAAACTGGGCGCTGGCGACCACGGCCGTGATGTAGCCGCCGCGTTCGGCGCTGGTGGCGATGTCAGCAATAACCGCGTTTCCGATGGCGACAGTGGCACTGGAGCCGGTGCTTTGGAGGGCGCGGAGGACCATGAGGGCAGCGTAGTTATCTTGGAGCGCGAGACCGATGTTGGCGCCGAGATAGATGAGGAAGGTGAGCGCGTACACGGGGCGACGGCCCACTTGGTCGCTTAGGTCCCCGAAGAAGAGAGGCGCGACGGCCTGCATGATCTGGTACACGGTCACGGTGAGGTTGATCTCGCTGAGGGACCGGTGGTAGGATTCGGCGATGGGGGTGATGGCGGGCAGGTACACGAAGGCGGAGAAGGGGAAAAGAGGGTGCTAAAAATGGTGAGGAAGACGAGGAAGAGCTTGGTCCGGCGCGAGAAAACGGAGTGAAGCTCTCGCTCCGGCGGGGCCGTCGCATCGTCGTCGTTGGCGAGGACGCCACCCCCGGTTGTGTTTCCGAGCTGGGGTCGTCAGCGGTGGCTTGGGCTGGGGGCGGCCGTGATTTCAGCCGGGGCGGTAACGGGTGCGGGTGCGGACGCGGGCGCGGGAGACCCCGCCCCGCGCTCCGGCACATCTTGAGGTTTTTCACGAGATTCTTCACCCATCGGCCCCGATTGCCAAGAGATCTTGACTCATGCGATTTTGGAGTGGGCTTGCGGCTCCGGAAAAGCAAGGGAGAGTCGATAAAAGCGGCGGAGGGTTCGAACTTTTGCCAAGAAAATGAGCACGTGCTGGGCCATCGGTTCGGACGGCACATTAGGGCGGCACTCGCTTTGCCGGACTTAAGCGGCGGACATGGACTTAAAATGGTGCCGTCATAGTTTCTCCACCTGGAGAGATTTCAATGTTCTGTTCAATGTTGGCACTGGGAGCGAATGGATGATTAATTTTTCGGATTTCTTTTAAACAAAAAGGTGGGCTAGGTATCATAAGCGTCGTTATATATATGTACAGGTTCAGGTTCAAAGTATCAACATGGCCGCCTCGAATGACTTGTCCGAATGTGCGGTGGTGAGGAATTGAACCAGAACCATTAGGGATCTAATACACCCATCTCGAGTGCTCCGACAATGGGAAGAAACGCAGTGAAGATGACAATAACACGATCCTGCGAACTTCGTAGGGCAAGGTACCGACCCAACCGCCCTTTGACAGATCCCCTCCATGGGGATGGTTTCTCTGCATGGGTCTTGCCTTTCCACCGGTATTTGATGTGGGCTATCGAAAGCCTGTTGTGAGGCAACAGTTGGTTTTGGTAGGCACCCAGGAGTGTAGCTCGGTACCCGTTTTCAGATACAGAAAAGTAGGCCGACGAGCAGCGTAAAGAATGCAACTTGCGCGCCGTGACAGCTACCGCCGATATCCGAAGGTGATATATTGGTAATGGTCGGAACGTCGTTATACGTCAAGGGGAAATCGGCAAAGGGCACCGTCTCGGGCGCGTCCACCTTGGCATCTACAAAAGCCCAATCGGGTATCGTAAACATGCTTTCGAGTGATGTGCTGGCGCAGCTGGCGGCCCCCACAGCGTGCTAGCATTCTGGATGGGAGGCTTGGAACACATGGCGATGCCATCGATCGAGCAGGCCGACTCGGCTTGCACGACGTGAGTCTGGCAGTAGCAGGCCGAAAGATTATCCGGGAATTCGACTTGGCAGTCCGCGGTGTACTGGGTGTACCGGTTGCAGGCCGACTTGATGTACGAGCACTTGTTTTTGAAAGAGGTGACGGGGAGGGGAGGGTGAGGGAGGGTTCGGTAATACTGTTGATGTCGGCATTGGTTCTGCAAAAGTCTTTCCACTGGTCCTTGTAGCGGTTGAATTGACCATCCATCACGAGATCCCGCAGACATTGTCGGTGTTGGTTTTGGCAGCTAGAGAAGACCGAAGAAGACAACTGATTAGCAAGGCCCTGACATTGACCGAAGAGCGAAGATTCGCGCCCAAGACAGAGGGAATTATCAGACTAAGGGGATGGCGAGGGCAAGGAAGACTCACGCGGCGAGGCCGACATATATGTCCGTCGTGCAGAAGCAGTTGACGAAGCGGTCGTCCTCGAGCGCGACTTGGCCGTTGTCGAGCACGCCGACGCAGGAGTTGACGGCGGACTGGAGGGCCGCACAGTTGGTCGCGGTCTCGGTATACTCGTCTACGCAATTGGAAGGATCGGCCCAAGATCGCGCGGCGAGAAGTTTCCGCGACGCTTCGGGCGAGGGGCCGCCGGTGATGGAGGGGGCGCTGCGTGAGGCCGGGACGGGGCGCCGGTCTCCAGGGGAACGCGGTGATGGCGGCCATGATTGAGGGTTCCTGTGGAGAGGCGGTCCGACAAGCGATGATAGCTGGCTACTCTGCTTTTTACTGTGAAAATCTAGTAAAGAACTCTTACGACGTTAAAGTTGACGAGAGATAGGTCTCTCGCAATCGGTTAGCGTGTGTCTACGCATTAGAGTGGAAAGACGCGGTATTGTCGTCAAGTCGAGGTGTCGGCGGACTCTCCAGGTCTTTCAGGCAGGTATTCTTAGGGTTTCTCGTTCACGGCCAAAACCAAGATCGCGCAAAGATTGTGGCGAGCTGAAGCTGAGGTTCGGAGGGGGATCTCGAGATTTCCAGCTGCCATTTCTCTACTTGCCTCGCTCTCTCTCTACCGAGTTTGTCGCGAGGAGTAGATGGGCGAGCGCGAGGATTAATCCATTCAAATGTGCATCGAGGGCACTGCCCCTGGATTCTCTTAAGGCTGCATGGGGGTGGGCTAGTCGCGACAAGTCCGTCCAATCTGTCGTGCCGCATTCATCTAACGGAAATTAAACCCATCGGGGCATGACTGTTGGCTTCAGCGACTCACATGTACCCCTTCCGCCTCGTTCTACCCCTGACGCTTCCCCAATTCACCCCGAAGTGTGGCTGTGAATGTCTGCTCGCACACGAGCCCGCCTCTGTTTGGCAGAACATCACCTCTGGCAATCTCCCCTTGTGTGCCTACCAAGAAGCGAATGCAAGGGTAGTTTGGCCCCTGAGTGGCTAGCTTGGCCGCACTGCCTTGGGAGAGAACGCTAGCCATCCTTCAAGATCCTTTCCAGATCAACCAATGCTACCGCAGTGCTTCGCTGGTACCTCGGAGTGGGCTGGGCCAACACGAGTTTCCTTCAAGCGAAAGGCACAGCGACGAACGAATTAATTGATTTCAATCTCATCCCGAGCTCGTCAGTCCAGAGGTCACACAAATCGAGCGGATGTTTCTCCCCTCCCCCACCAAAGCGAAGCGGTTGGTCCTCGAGAGAAAAGCCATCGGCGGCCAAAGGGTTGATTTCCTCTTCCATCTTTGATGCTGCCTCCCGGATCTCCCCTTCAAGCGCATCGGAGATCGTAATCCACGCAACCTCAGGGCCGCGCATGTCAGTTTGGGAGTGAATGCGCGCACGAGAATATCGGCAATTCGAGACGAAAAAAGTCGGCGGGTGATCGCGCACCAGCGCTCGCGCCACGATGAACTACAGCGTGAGCGAAACAGAAGAACTAAAGCCTACGGCCCGGCAAATTGTATCTCCAGTCCAGCCAAATCCACCACCCGGAAACCGTCCACTGTGTCGCCTTCCCACCACGGGTCCTCACCCCGTCGTGCCCGTCGCGAGGTCCGACCGGATCGCGCAAATCCAAAGATTCATGGGCCTCATCGCCGTCCACATCGTGTTCATCGCGGCGGTCGCGACCCTTTTCGGCCTCTCCGCCTCTCGCGACGGTCTGTGGAAGGTCAAGGATTGGAACTACATCAAGGAGACCCAGGGGCGTTTTGTCGACAGGTCGCTATGGTGGACCGCCGTGCCAACCTTCTTCTTCAGCGCCCTCGGTCTGTACATGAAGCGGTGCTACGACGACGTACTCGAACTCGAGCCCTTTTTGCGCCTGCACCAGAAACCCACCAGCGGCGCGAGCTCCGTCCTCCTCAATTACCGCTCGAGCTTTGCGCCGCTCGCCATGATCAAGGCTGCACGCCATCGCCACTGGATCTCGGGGCTCGCGCTGGGTCTCACTACCTTTTTCACGATGCTTCTGGTCCCGCTGTCGTCCCATCTTCTCGAGACTAAGCTCTACCAGCAGCGTGACGAGGGGCTCGCCTGGCAAACCACCAACATTAACCTGGCACGCATGAGCGGCAACGCCGACTTCAACCGCGCCATCGACATCACCTCCGCCCTCGGCATCTACAAGGGGGCGGCAACGTCTTTTCCCAATGGATGAATGACAAGTATATATTTCCTACGTTTATCCCCATGAACGGCACCTGGGGGTACAATACGACCGTCGAGATCCCCGCCGTGCCGGGCTACTATTCGAGCCTGGCAACGTGTGGCTTCGTCGACGAAGACGATTACGAGCTGGCGGCCTTGGGCGGGGGCAACACAAACACGACAGATACGACCGTGCGACTGACCGCTAATCGGGACGGATGCGAGATGAAGCTCGAGTTTGACGTCGAGCGCTTCGGCTACGACATGTATTTCCCCATTGCGGCCGCCGAGTGCAGCGAGACCGCCTCCAACGGTGCGGGCACCGTTACCGTGCCGAAACTTCTCTTCCTTTTGGCGTGGCCTAAACCAGGTGCCACAGAGAGCTTGGCCCTGGCAACTCAATTGACCGTCTGCACGCCCGTCTACGGAGTCGACGTCGGAACACTCCATGTCGGGGTTCTCGGTACGCACGACACCAAGTCCGTCAAGTCCTACGAGCCGGAGACGTGTTTTTCCGAGGCCAGCGAGGGATGCAAGGGTTTCGTGGACGCCGATGGCTCGAGAGAGGAGTTTAGGGCCGTGATCAAGGCGATTGCCGATCTAGATGATTCGCAGGACCTGGCGCGCGTCAAGACCAGCAAGTTCGGGACTCTGATTCTGAACAATTATGATATTAACAGGCGAGACGCGACGCTTCCGCTCACTGTTGAGTGGCCTTCGGACGCACAAGAGATGCGAGACGACCTCATCACCGCTGCGCAAGCGGTGTATCGTACCCTGTTCCTGGCCGCGTCCTCCACGATCGCGACGGACGCGGCAGGCTGGCCGCTAGACTTTCGTAACGCCACCGTTCAAGTCGTCACCGATACAGAGAGGCTGTTTGCCGTCGGATGGGTCTGCTGCTTTACCCTTGCCGTACTTCTAGGGTCCCTAGGCTTGGCGATCTGGGCTTGTCTACGGAGTGTCGAGATGAGAGATTGGGATGTCAATGCGCCGTCCAACATCATCCAAACGCTAGGCCTTATTGCGGGGAGCGAGGAGCTGCTTTCGGTCGGAGCGGACATCAAGAGGGCGGGCGAGGGTACCTTTGAGGATGCGGCCGTCAATGATTGGAATTGCGGGAAAGCTCGCTTCATGGTGGAGGCCAATGGTACAGACCGAATACTTCGGATGTATCCGCACGATAGTCGGGACTCATGACCTCGGCCGTCTTTGTTTCCTACTTATTCTATGACTTGATGATCATTCTCCCCTAGCACATTTTCTTTAATATTCCTTTATTCATACCCTTCCTTCATCGCTTGAGCAACATCGGTAAAATCGTCACATAGTTGATAGAATGATGAAAAGCCTGCCTTTAAAGCGATTCTATCCGCGTCTGTTATAAAGCGATATCAAAAGAATTCTACATATTGTTTGCTTTACATAAAGATCCTCGCGCCAATCTTTCCTTCGTGAAGTCAATGACCCCGATCACCTCAATCCCTCCCAAAGCCTACAAACAAATTCCTTCAATTACAGATAAGAGTTGCCAACCCAAATACACCACCCACCACACCCGAGATCGCACCTCCAATGGAGTTTCCCGCCCATAGGATCTTGGAGCAGAAGCCATCGGATGTGGGTCCTACCTGCGCATAGATATTCAGAAAGGCGTCGTCGCCATCGTCGCCGAGGGTAGCGATATGGATCGTTTGTGACAGGTGATGCTGGGGCCTCCTCTTTTGCTCTGGTGCATTTCCAAAATTCATACGTTAGCGCCATGGATCTTGAAAAGAGTATACTGCTTCCAATAGTGTCTCAAGAATTTGTAGTCTCATATCAAAGACATGGGATCTTGCTTACCGCAGAAGAGAGTGCCACACGGGTCCTCGTAAATGTCCTCTGTGACCTCGGTCGCCTCGCGCCCAATGATCTTGAGCAACTCCACCATTGTCTCGCGTGTAGCCCTCTTTGTGGGGTTGAAAGATCCCTCGGCGGAGAGAGTCACGGAGTAGTCCTTGAGGTGGCCACCTTCGACCACGGCCGTCCTCTCCACTATTACCTTGGCGCCGCTACACCCGACTGTGGAGCACTGCGAGAGGAGTTGTTCAAATACCTCATTGGGATGGACGCTGCCAAAGTTCACGGCGCTATCCGAGGCATCGACAAACGTATTGCCGTCGGGGTTGGTGCCATCGTCGATGTAGCATGCCTTTTCGTGGGGACATTTCACAGGTAGCTGCGGAAGGGCTGCTGATAGCGCAAGAACGCTCGCGAGGGAAAGGGCGGTTTGAGGAAGCATGGTGTATGTGAAGTGTACTGATCCAAATGAAATCGATCAATGAGTATGGTCTCTTGCAAAGATGTTACGTGGTTTTGGAATTGATCGAGTGGTCTACGGCGATTTCCTCTATTGTTAGTTCAAAGGCTGCAAATGCGTGCAATCACCTCGCTTTATATAATGCATTCTTGCGCAGGCAAGGGATAAGGTTTCTCCTTGTTCATTAAGACTTCTTCTTCGCTTCATATTTTTCTCAGTGAAAGAATCCCCACAGAATGCCTAGCTGAGGATTCTCTTGTGACCCCACGGAATCCTTCAACAATATATGGCATGCCCCATCTTGTTTTAAGACCCCACGATATCTGCAGCTGAGCGGCACGGCCAAGGCGCGGGAATATGCGACGACGAGGCTCAGACGCCAAGGAGGTGAAACAGTCGGATATCGCCATTGTATTAATCCCCCATGGGCCCTTCACGGGGTTTCACATCTCCGCCTCCCCACGTCTGCCTTTGAACGAATTCGCGGTGCCAAGAGGGCTGACCTCGGCGGAGGGGCGCAGATGTCGATGGGGGCCGTTTATCCCGCAATAGCTTCATATTGCCACTCAGACATTGGCTAGAATCTGGGAAGATGGTAATCCTATCATCTAGGAATATTTAATGTGGTTTTTCTGACGTATACTCAAGCAGTGTTTAGGAAGATTTAGTAATTCTATTCAATCTTATGGAAAACTATCCAGTGCTACTTTTTATCCAGCCATACATACTTTTGGTCATAACCCAAGGAGACGTAAGAAAAACAAAAGAAATAAAGAGGAGGGTGTGGAGAGTGTTGTTGAAGTGAAAATGAAATGATCCAAAGAATGTGCGATCAGGTTCGGCCAGTTACAACTCATCCTCCATGTACCCGTCTTCTTGAGTCGTCAACTCCCATTCAGCAAAGTTGGGGTCCAAGAGATCGTCTCCGGCCTCCGCCTTACCGTGGCCGTACGAGCTGAGATTCCACTTCTCAACACCCTCAACTCCCTTGAGTTCGTTGGGGAATTCCCTAAAGATATCGGCGTTGAGGCGTTCGTATTCCTGGTACTCCTTGGGCCAGGATCCGAGACGCTCGATGGCAAGCTTAAGGAGACGGAGATGCTGGCGCGCGTACTGTCCGTCAGAGAGGTTGCTCTGCGAGGGGAGGTCAGTTACCGCATCTAAGCCGTAGTTTGAGCCGCTGTCGGGGCTAATGCTGCCATCAAGCCCCGCCTCCATCTCGGCGTATGACGGATCGGTGAAGACGCGCAGAATGTTCTCGTGCACGGCCGCGCTCTTCTTGTAGTAGCGGTTGGCCATATCCTGACCGCCCGCCTTCTGGCTCTGGTAGCGCTGGGCGATGCTAGAGTACAGTTGGGTCAAGAATGAGGACATCTGGAGCGTCGCGGGATGGCGTGTGCCGTGCACGCGACGGCAATTGTAGACGATGTCTTCCGCGAGACGGAGCGCGGCGGTGGAATCGCCGACGAGATAGCGGGCGAGAATGTACCGCTGGCCAAGCAAAAGCGTGATGGACGGGTTCCAGTTGCTCTGGGCCTGGCGGCTGTGCCAGAGGATGGTGAGTAACCAGGAGAGCGTGCGGTAGTCGCGCTGCTCGCCGAGCAAGCCAATCATCTTGTTTAGATGGTTGAGGCTGATGTGCTCGATGCTGACCTTGAGGTCGCTCAGCACGTGGAGCACGTCGCGAACAATGGTGCTCGATGCTTCAAGCATGTTCTTGCGGCACGCGCCGGTGGGCTGGGGCTCGAGGTCGCGGCCAGCAATGGACATGCCCAGGGTGAGGACGAGCTTGGCGATGACGGGTGTGCGGTACTCATCAGAGGCGGAAATGTAGGAAAAGGTCGCGAGGGCCAGGTCACACGCCGTGTCGTAACGCTGGGCACGGAGAAGATGGACAACTCCATCGTTTCCGGCAATACCCACGGACCGGACAAAGTTGTGTGACCTGTGCGTGCTGAAGTGCTGAAGAAGGGTTTGGAGGAAAATGTTGACCTGCTCCGCCTTTTGGATATGGACGCGCTTGCCTTGCGTCTGGCCGAAGTAGTGCGCGAAGTCGCCAAATACGCGGGCGGCGGCGGAGAGGCGCTCGCTGTTGAGCAGGCAGTGGTAGAGGCGGGCGGTGGCGACGGTGACCTGATGGAAAGAGCTCGACTTGCTCTTGTGCAGGGCGCGGAGCTCGGCGAAGTAGACGTACTGCGTGGTCAACGTGGCCAGAATCTCAGTCATTGTTGCAGAGTTGCGGCGCAGGCTATACTCGAGCTGTGCGAGGAACACGAGGCTGTCGCGACCACGCGAGGAGAGGTCGAACTTGTCGACCTCGGCGTTGGTGGTATCCTTCATGATGATTTGGCGGTACAGCTCTTGCAGTAGCTCGGCCGCTTTCTGAGTCTGGTCGGCCGAGATGTAGCTAGAGGCGATGGACGAAGCCGCGGCGATGAGGCGCGACGAAGAGGTCTCGTGGTTGAGAACTTGTACCGTCGCCTCCTTGAGCTCCTTGGTGAGGAGTTCGACTTGGTTCTGCTGCTTGCGCAGCGTGGCAAGTTCCGTCATCTTGGACAGCGACTCCTCGTGCGCCCATCCGTGCGTCTTGCGGATAGTGACGGTGCGTTGCTGGAGCACGGTAACAGCTCGCTCGAGCTGCGAGGAAGACACAGTCTGCGACTTGTTCGAGGTGGCCAAGTCGACCTGCTCCTCGTAGATGGAGTCGAGCGTGGCCGAGATGTCCTTGCGGTTGACCTCGGCCGAGTCGATCTTGAGGAGCTCCTCGTAGAGAGATGGCCTCGACTTCGTGGCGCTCGGATTCCTGGCACATCTTGGCCAAGGTGAGGGTCGCCTGGATGGTGACGGAAGAAGTGGCGCCGTACACAGTCTTGCATTGGTTACGGTATTCGGTGGTGATCTTGTGAATCACGGAAAAGCCGCTACCAGAGTTGCGGACGCAGTGGACGTAGCGGTTGAACACCTCGCGCGTAAAGGACTGGTCCTGGAACTTGGGGCTGACCTTGGGGTCCTTGAGGAAGGTTTCGAACAGCATCTTGTAGTATCCGAGCGCGTCGTCGAAGAGGCCCTTGTTCCAGAGCTCGCCGGCGACAATGGTGACGGGCTCAAAGGCTTCCTGCTTGACGGTGGTCGAGTTCTTGTTGACGGCGCGGATGATCTTTTGGTAGTACTCCACGTGCACGGGGCGGGGCTTGGTCAGCTCGGCGAGTTGCCAGAGCATCTTGATGACGCTGGGGTGCTCGGGCCCGTAGTGCGCGCTAAAGTCCTCGAGCATCTCCTGGCGGATCTTGATGATCTTTTCCGTGTTCGACTGGCTGTCTAGGAAGCTGATGAGCTGGTTGGTGGCGCGCTCGCGGACCTGGTCGTCTACCTTGCGGCTGGATCGCAGCGCGCGGTAGATGCGCAGGCGCAAATCGCCCTCCTTTGTGAGCCGGCGACGCGTGTGGTAGCAGGAAGCGAGGCGCTGGGCTAGGTCGATGCAGCTGTCGACGTGCTTGGAAGGGGCGGAGACGTCCTGCACGCTGGACGCGAAGAGCGAAGGCCAGATGGAGCGAAGCACGCGCTTGATCAGGCGGGTTGCGTCGTGCCAGCGGTGCTGGCTGGTGTATAGACCAGCGAGGGTGAAGACGGCATTGATGGTGGTCTGGTCGATGTTTCCCTTTTGGCAGGCGTCGAGGATCATCTCCTCGAGGGTGGACTCGAAGTCACGCGGGTCTTGTCGGAGGCGCTCATCATCTCCATGATCTCGCGGGAGCTGGTCTTGATGGTTTGCTCGATCTCCTTGTACGAGGAACTCTGGGTGCGGTTGGTGCTTTGGAAGTAGCTCGCGCAGTGCTTGAGAACCGACAGGGACTCGGAGCATAGGCCGGCCTCCTTCATCACGGTAGCCATCTGGTGGAAGAGGGTGGCCGAGGTCTCCGTCATGGCCATGGCGTTCCTCGACTTGTAGTCCTGCCAGACGCTCGACAAGATAGCGGAGACGTCCACGTCGCGCTTCTGCCTCGCGAGGAACCTGCTGTAGGCAAGCACGGCCTTGAGCTTCCTCTCCTCCCATACGTCGGAGTGGTGCACGCGGTACTCGCGGCTAGCACGCTGCCAGACCTCGATGAAGATGTGCTCCGCCATCTCGTTGCGGCCCTCGGTCGCGTACTTTTCCGCCTGCGTGAGGGAGAATTCAAAGTCGTACGAGCGCACACCCTCCAGGAGCTCGTCGTGCTCCTCGACGTCGAGGAGGAGGCTCACGCCATTCTCGGCCGCGGGTTTCTCCTTGCGGCCGCGCAGGCGCACGGAGATCGCCGTCGCGGTCGCCCATCTCGGTGTCGGCCATGGACACGATGGAGGTGCTGAGCTGCTGGGCCTTTTGCTCTTGGCCGGTGGCGCGGTAGTGCTCCACGAGGATGCGCAGGGTGGAGATGACGTTCTCCGAGGTCTTGCCGTACTGGATCTTGTAGCACTCGACGAGGATGAGCAGGATTTCCTCCCGCTTGCTGACGTCGAACTGGCGGCTCTCGGAAGAGGAGGTCATCTGGACGAAGAGGCTGGAGATTTGCATCGTGACGGTGTCACGAATACCGAGGACGTTCTTGGCGCTGATGGTGGCGTCGTAGAGGAGGGGAATAGCCTTGTCGGTGAGTTCGACACGCTGGTACGCGGTGGCTAGCAGGATCACCGACTGCAACGTGACCAGGTGCTTGGGGGTGAGCAGCTGGCGGTACACATCGGTCATCATGGTGAGATTGGCCAGGTACACGGGCGCGGGCTTCCTCTGCCAGAGGTTCGCCTGCAGCAAAACGGCGGTCGTCGACGTGGGAAGCCCTTGCCCAGAATCTTGGCGACGGCCAAGTTGCCGTCCTTGCTGTAGCTATCGATGCTGCGCGCATGGGTAGGCCAGTGGCGCGCGGCGAAATCGAGCAGCGGGTACTTGGAGATGAGCTGGTTCGAGTCGTGGCTGGTCATGGCGCTCAGCGAGATCTCGTGCTGCTCGGTGACGCTGCTCTTGGTGTACAGGAGCAAGCGCACGGCGAGGTCTTCGTGCCGGTCCTTGATTCCGGATGTGAGCTTTCCCTTGGAAAAGAGCTCGATGAGGGCGGTGCGGATGAGCCCGTGGCGGAGGTAGGCGAGGCCGTCCTGCAGGAAGACGAGAGAGTTGACGGGCTTGAGGGTGCCGAGGAGATCCGGGTCGGCGGGATCAAGCACCGACTGCTTCTCGAGCTGGACGACGGACAGGGCGGTCAGCTCGCGGATGGAGAGGGGTCGTTCAGCGGTAGCCAGCCAGAGAAGCAAGTGCTTGGCAGGGGCCTTGACGTCGGGGTTCTGCAAGAACAGCCTGGTCAAGTCCTTGATGGCCGGCTTGGAGTCGACCATGGAGTCGACGCCTTTACGGAGGGCTTCGACGGTGGTCTCCTGGCGGATGCGCTTCGAGGCAAGCTTAGCCCAGAGGAACGATCCGTTGGACGCCGTGGCAATGCGGGTGACGGCGGTCTCCTGCTCGAGCTCGGACATGGAGGAGAACACCTTGCAGCCGTCAAACTGGCCCCGCACCACCGCGACGATGTCGTCAAAGATGAGGTCGTCGTTAATGGCGATGCTGCTCAGAGCCTGGGACGGTGTAGCCTTGTCGGAGCCGAGGGTGATGACGCGCAGGTTATCCACGTTCTTGACGGCCGCGTTCAAGCGGCTGAGGAGGGCCTGCTCGCCGCCCAATGCCTCGTCCATGCCGTCGACGACGATGACGAGCTCCTTGGCGCCGGGCAGCTGCGAGGCGAGAGCGTCGGCGAGCGCGGTCCAGACGATGTCCTCGTACTGTTTCATGGTACGGGCCTTGTGGCTGCGCTGCATGGCGGCGGTCAGGACTTGGAGGAGTTCCACGTTGCCGATGCGCTTGTCGAGGAGCTGGGTGAGGATGGCCTTGGCGATGGCGTGGGACGAGGTTTCAGTCGGGACTCGGCTGTCTGTTTCTTGTGTTAGTGTCCTGAAAAGAAGATGATCAAAGTGGGAACGGTGCGTTCACTTACTGATGGGAACGAAAATGGTGCTGTACGTGACGCCACCAATAGGGTGCTGAAGATAGTCGACAACGACGGAGGCCAAAACGGTCTTGCCGCATCCCTGCTTGCCGCTAATGGACAGGGTCTTCTTGTCACTCTTGAAGAAGCGTGTCAGGTACGGGGCCATCCAGAGGCAGGTGAGCTCCTCGCGGTCGTGAGCGACGTGGGAAGTGGAGCTGACGAGGTTCCGGAGCACCTGGTCCTCTGGCGCCACCCAGGACTTGATGGCCTTGACATCGTTGACTATGGATCAAATGTGTTAACAGAGATTTCGCAGATCTTGGAGGGATTCTAGCAGCTTACCTTTGTTGGCATCCAACCCTCCTTGATGAGTTGGTGCCTCCACATGGATTCAGCAGTCTTGTTGCAGCGGTCGATGAAAGCCTTGATCTGGGTGGGGAAAATGTTGTAGATGTTGATCGATATGGAGGAGCTCATCAAGCCGCTGATTGCCTTGTGGAAGTGGGTGGAGACACTAGCGACCAGAGTCACCAGGTCGGACAGGCATAGGACGAGCTGCTCCTTGATGTCCTGGGACAGGGCGAACATCTCGGTGCGCTCCAGGATGTTGACGAGGGATCCCGACATGTTGTAGAAGAGGCCAAAGGAGATCATCAGGGCCGGCGCATTCTCTTTCCCCAGCTACAATTTTCTATGTTAGTTAACGAAACCTCAAAGAGCAATGAACAATAGGTACCTCAAGAAGGAGAGCACAATAGCCGTAGGCAAGCTGAGCAGCCAGGTAGCTATCGCCGGCAAACTCTTCAATGGCGAGGTCAAAGGAGTGCAGCCTCTCCACGAAGAGCTGAGCCCATGCAAGAACCTTGTCGTAGTTGCTTCCCTCGGGGGCAGCTGGCTCATGCGCTGGGCGCGGATCCATTCGAGTATCGAGTCATGGCCGGTGCTGAGCAGCCGGGCCGACGTATCCGAGCCGAGCTCCGCCGAGCTGCGGCGCTTGAGATCGTAGACGACGCTGGAGATGTTGGAACCCTCATGGACGCTCATGCGGCGGACGGAGGACCGCCGGCGGTGGGACTGGCGAGAAAGGTGGTGCTGCTGGAGATGGGGTCGTCCGAGGAGACTGGGAGACGCGGCGGGTGTGTTCGAAGAAGTGGGATTGCGACGAGGAGGCGCTGGATCCTTGGGGAAGGAGCCGGGCGCTGTGGGGGGACGGCCAAGATCGGAGGTGCCATTGTTAGGTAGTTATGATTAGGTGTAGATAGGTAGTATTATTTAAAAAAGAGTTGGAAAGAGAGCGGATGCGTGATGGCCTCGAGAACAGGTTCGAGGAAATAGAAAGCTGGTTGCTAGGTGGAGCTCTAGTGCCTACTCGGTAGGATAGGCTCTTGCAGTATGTATTACGTTGGGTGGATTAAGTAGCCGTGTGGAAAGTTTTCTCATTAGATTTGGACAAAGTACACTGGATGGAAGATAAATCCCATGGGGGCCGTAGATGCTTATATGCTCCATACCTCGCACCCGTACGGAAACCTTCAGCTCGGATCAGCTTCAGGGTCGTGAAGCGGAGCCAAAAGTTATCAGCCCATGAGCTCATACGAAACAAAAAAAACGCTGGCGTCCTCCCTTGCTCGAGCTTCTGGTGACGGGGAAGCTATCGAGTTTCACTTCAACATGTGACGATCAGGAGTCCCAGAGGCTACGGGGAGGGGTCTCTACGCAGGAGAGAGGGGGTAGGTTCTAGATGATCACCCAAACCTAATGGATAGCTCCACCGATGCTCGGCAGGGAGAGAGAGAGCACGAGGAGCAAAAGAAAGCTGGAACAGGGAAATGAGAATCATCTGGCTCAGGTCGCTGCGGTCTACAAGGATAAGCTTTGCATGGTAGCTGGAACAATTGACCTTGATGGAAGCTTGGTAGGCGCGACGCTGTCGTTCGCTCAAGAGCACATCACATGTTTTTGGTAGAGCTCCAGTCCGCGGTGACTTGTAAGCGCCCTGGATGTGGACTCATTTCGCAAGCGGAGGCAAGCTCAAAGAGCAAACGCGAAAGAGAGCGAGAGAGAGAGGGTACGGGTATACAAGCCGGTGCGAAGCCATTCCACGGGATCGGCACGTAGCGGACGCCACATGCGTGAGGACCCGCTCCGGGCCGTGTGGGGATGCGCTGCCCGCTGTTGCTAGAGAGCGTGAATGTGTAGGGGCCACCAGCCGGGAGCCGGACACGAAGATGAAAAAGAATTAGGCTGGTGAAGGTTAGATTGGCCGGTTACGTGAGACAGCGGGATATAGCTATGTGGTCATGCTCGTCAGCACCGGCCTGCTTTGTGCGTCCAGGAATTGGAGCTTGGTTTGCAGGCACCGAGACTAGCTGCGGGAGGCGCAATGTGAGGGAGCTGAGGTGGCCTAGTGAATGTCGAGCTTAGAATTTAGACTCGGGGAATATATCAGGAGTTTTTAACACCTGAACAATGAACCCTGATCAGGGAATCTCTTGGCTCATGAATCTCTCCTCATAGGACAGGAAACGACAGACCATGTCCCGGGCTAACCCCATGAGACAATGCCCGGTAAAAAGGCCACAAGAGGTGGACAGGTCTCCTCCCAGCTGCATCCACGAGGATATAGATCGAAAAGTGGAAGAAGATTGTCTCTATTGTAGAATCTTGGATTTTTCTTCCATGGAAATCTGAAAATGGAATGAGGAGAGGATAACAGCGGAAAATTATGTACAGACTGTCCACAATTTGCGTGGCTTCAATTAATGTTGTCTCACCTCCTACTGTTACTGATCCGGAAGACGCCAACCGTCGTCAGCGGCGTCACGGACGTCTTGGACAGAGGCTGGCTGAAGTGGTGCCTATATTCACACCTGTTCCCCGTCCACCTAATACATGCACGTAGACTAACAGCCACATAATATCAAAATTATGAAAATTCCCGAGTTCGTTAATCTTCTTGCAATTCTTTTCTTCCAAGTTTCAACTCACCTTACGATACTGCATTTTTACGCAGTCGTGGAATTGCCCGCCATCCATTAAAAGCTAGCGGCACCTGACTCATGATCGCCATGGTCGTCGCACACATGGCTCGGCCAAACAGGAAACACGAGGAAGCCGTGTGGCTGAGCTGAGCGGGTGACTGACAGACACCCCGCACGAAAGCTTGAATCTGAGGCCTTCATCATCATTGGTTTGAAGCCGAACGAAGGATTCGGCCGGGCTCATCTCTTTCATCATCATCTCCAGTTCTCTTGTTTTCTTGGCTTTTCCTGTTTCTACCGTCTTTTCTTCTTCTTTCGGACTGCCCAGAGCCTAATAAAGCAAAAGAGGGCATTGAATCATCGCCATTGCGAATATAGCAGACAGAAACACAAAGAGGGGAAACAAAAACCCTCTCCTTTGAATTACCCCTTCGTCCTCTGACTTCTTAATTATCGAGACCGAGCCAACGATGGGTTCCGTAGAGTCCACCGAGCAGGCGTCCCAGCAGGCACCTCCGCAGGCCAACGCGCCAGCCAACGCCCAGGGCGCCAGCGATGCCCCGAAAAATCATTCTACAAACGCTACCGCGAGTCCAAGGCCAGCAAGAGCGGCGCCATCTCAGACGAGGACATGCTCAAGTACACGGGGAAAACCAAGGCCGAGATTAACGAATGGTCCAAGATGGCGCCGGGGTCGCGGGAAACCAATCGGCGGGCAGCATCACCGCCGGGTCCAGCGGTCTTGGCGGCATGGCGGCGGGCGACGGATACGGAGGATGGGGATGGGATGCCAATTCCCCGTGAAATATCCCCGCAGCAGCAGGCGCCGGCAGCGGACAAGAAGAGCGAAGAAGAGCAGAAGTAATTGTGACAGGAACGCGGAAGTGAGCGAAGGCTGGAGTTTTATTCAAGACTGGACTGTTGGAGAATTTGCGTGCCATGCTAGGAAATGCTGGCCTGGGTTCAGACTGGGATCTAGGACCCCGGGGTTATGGGGGTCCATCTGCGTTTACGTTCTAGCTACGACTATGAAACGGTTATTTCACCATTGTTCTGTCCCCCAAACTCTAAAGACGCCGGTGTTGTCCAATTGAGATCAATCTTACGTGCCTCTGAGGCAGCCATTGTGTAGGTGGAGGCGCGCGGCTGCTCGTCCCGCTTGGCTTTGGGTTGTGTTGGGCTTGGCGAGAGTTCGCCCGAGATCCGTCGAAACCTTGTCTTGCCGTTAGCATTTCCCACCATCTTCTCACCCAGAGGATCAATAAGCTCGCTCTCCCTCATTAAGCAATTTCCCGAGACAGTATTGGCTTGCATTATAACCATTTGCCCGGTTTCCTGGGTCATGTATGCCGAGTTCAGAGATGGAAGGATTCTACATCTTAGATTATGTATTCATCTTGATCTCAGAGACATCAAGAAGATCATCATTTCCACACACACACACACACACCGACCGTCCAAGGAATTCTCCACAACTTCCCGCCGTTCTCTGGTTCCGCCGTCGCGGACCCCAGCCGGACTCGTCAGTCGTTGGATGGTTAGTGTTCGGGGTATCACTTTCCATGTATGTAGGTCCAAGAATGAATTCAACTTCATATGATATCTTACTGAGGATCCCGCGCGACTGCTGGCTTCGTATTTCAGTCAGCCACCGTCCGGATAGCGTGGAGATCGACAGCCTGATATTTCTCTCGCGTGAAACTTGTCCCTGTAGCCGTTACCCGGCGGGTGGCCCCGCTCCCTAGTCCCGAAGCGACGTTTACCGGAGAGACGGTCAGGAGAACCTCATTGATATGGTACCCTTGTATACATGTAACGAATGACGATGGCCACGTCGGCGCGTGTACTAGTAAGCCGAGCTTGCCAGGCAGACGCGCTCAGTAACGTGCGCAAGTCGAGCCGGGCCTAACCGCTCCACGTAGGCTCTTACTGCTTGTCCTTCCTGCTTCTCCGCTTGATTCTATCCTGGCGAACCTCTACCGCAGCCTCCCTCAGAATACCCGCAGGCGTGCGCCCCCAATCATCAGCGGCGTAGATATCCGCCCCAGCGTCGACGAGCCGCTCCACAGCCACTCGGTTCCTATTCCCCGCCGCAAAGTGCAAATACGTGACACCATCCTTGCCGCGCGAAGCCAAGTCGACGAGCCCGCGCCGGAGCATATAGTCGAGGATCTGGTGGCAGTGGTACTCGATCGCCGCGATGAAGAAATCCTCGTCATCCGTGCCGGCGGCACGAAGCGGCAAACGCGCCCCCAGCTCGATGAGCGTGGTAAACGCCTCGACCGAATCACGGTCCAGCGTGCAGTACAGGGGGCTATCTTTCATAGACTTGTACACGTTGGGGTCCATGCGGCCCGCAACCGCGAGGATACGGATCATGGCGTCATTGTTGCTCTCGGCCGCGCAGTGTAGCGCGTCACCGTACCAATTGGACACGGTGGGGTCGGCGCCGTAGGCGAGCAGAATCCTGGCGCACTCAACGCAGCTCGTCTTCACGACGGGCGTCGTGCCAATGGTCGTCTTGGCGTCGAGGTCCGCGACGCTCCTTTCCAGCAGCCGGCGCACGCCTGACGGGAACGCGGCCTTGGCGGCCACGTGCAGCGGCGTGTGGGAGTAGCTCTCGCGCCGGGTCCAATAGCGCTCACGGTACCCGCAGTCGAAGCCGATGACCTGCGAGACGACGGGCCCGGCCGTCTCCGAGAGGAGGAGCGCCCAGGCGCGCTTTTCCACGTCGGCGTCGGGCGTAGCGGTCTGCGCGTGCACCCCCACCACTCGCTTGCGTAGGATAGGAACGGGTGCGCGGAGGCGCGGGCGCGAAGCTCGCTCTCCGTGTCGAGTACCGCCCAGGCTGGTTCGTCGTAGAGCAGGTACGTCAGGCACGCGTTGGCCACGCGCGCGGCGCCGTCCGGGAATAGGGTGCCGCTGTTGGCGACGAGGTAGCGCTGGATGGCGCCGTGGGCGGGGCCGATGGTGCCCGTCTTGGCGTTTTTGGAGGCGAGGCCGAAGCAGCACCGCAGCATCGCGCGCTCCGAGGGTCTGTGGCGCGGACGTGGGGCTTTGCTACCTGTTTTGATGGAGAGGGCATCGCTGAGCTCTGCTACTGCGAGCGGGCGCTTGGCGTGGCTGATCCAGAGGAGGACGTTCATGCCCATTGTCCGCTGCGAGTCGGGGAGGCTGTTGATGCGCGAGATTGTGGTGCCGAAGGCGGTGGAGAGATCGCTTGTTAGGTCTTCGAGGGCGTCTTCGATGTCTCCGCTCGTGGTCTCTTTGAAAATGGTGTCGAGGTGCAGCGACGCTAGGAGGAAGCTAGATTGTGCTCATGAAAATCAGACATCGTCACAGAAAACAAAAGGCACTGTTGGTAGTTGTAGGTTCTGCAGACTTACAGCTCGCTGCACTTTTCAATGATGGTTTCCACGATTCGATCCTTTAGTTCTTCGTCCAGCTCGTCGCTCATTTGCGCGGACTGGATTCTCGAGCGTATGTATTTTTCCAGATCCGCGGAGCGTGCCGTGGCCTGGATCTCGGCGTGCCTTGATGCCGCTACGCCGTCTAGATCCTGCTGAACATTTCTGCACGTTATGAATACCCTGAAATTGGGCCTCTTTCGTAGTCGATCAAACAAGGCCGCCAGCCAGGAGCGGGTCGCGGGGTCGGTGCACTCGTCCAGCGCGTCGATGATAAAGTAGGCCTTTTCGAGGGACCTGACCGCCACGCTGAGGTGGATCTCGAAGTCGGATAGACGCATCTCGGAACTCTTCTCGTACGCCTCTTCGATCTGTCGGGGGACGGTCCTCAGCTGTTGAAGAGCTTGTCGAAGGAGGCTCCTGGCCACGGTGAGGGGCTCTTGGGTGGCGGGATTTAGGTAGTCGAAATAGTAGAAACAAACGACGGCTGTGTCGCCGGCTGAGTCGCGCACGAGGTGGTCAATGACCTTGGATCTGCGATATCAGGCGGTAGCGTTAGGAAATCTGTCGCTTTCGGGAAACAATATGGAAAGGAACTGAGGGGGAATAGGTACGCAAGGATTGTTTTCCCGGTGCCCTGTGGGCCATGGCAGACGAGCGTAGACTCCGATTTAAAGTCATCCTTCCACTGAACATAGGAATCGTGGCGAAGGAGCCATTGGCCGGTCCCCTTCAACCGGGCTTCTTGTGCCAGCGGGTGCTTCCCCGTGTACGGAGGAGAGATCCAATTCAGAATATCCTGCCTCACAGCCGACCCCAGCGTATCCTGCACATCGTTGAGCGAGTCTGATATACCTTGCTGGCCCCTCTCCAGCGTATCGAGGATGGTGAGGCCTTGCAGCTGAGACTCGAGCAAGAGCTTCACGTCCGACGATGTTCTCGATAGCAGGGTCAAGCTCCCAACCTCGACGGAAAAATGAATGGTCTGCCGAAACGCCCGGAGCTGCTCCACCGTCTTATTGTGCTTCTTCTCCTTGGAGGGCCACAGAAGCCGGGACATGCCCGTCAGCTTCGTCGCCGCCAAATCATCGCAGAGGGTGCGCAGAGCTATCGTGGTCTTGTCGACGTGCGCGCGCAGGACCGAATCCTCTCCGAAGACGACGCTCTCTGACGACTCGGCGGTTGTTCCCTTGCTGCGGAGAAAGGCGTCTAGTTCGGAGAGGCTCTGGTTCAGCATGGTGAGCTCCTCGACAATGGTCGCGATGGAGGCCGAGGCTTCTCGTATGGAGGAGACGTATTCTTGCGCTAGGGAGATGGTCTGCGCTACGAGCGTGGCGAGACCAGCTACGCTGGCGCAGATGGAGAGGGGATCCATGATTCCGGCCGGTGGGGTGGAGGATGGGTGGGGAGATTTTAGGTCGGAGGTGGCGTTTTTTGAAGGTGCGGGAGGACCCTAAGCTCGATCGCGAGATTAAGGTCGAGGGGGCGTTCCACCCTCCACGTCCCTTCAAGTTACCCCCTCGCCGCGGGGTCAAATTCTAGCACCTGCAGCATTAAGTAAGCTGATAACCAGATGTGGGTATCTCTTATTGCCTTACCTCGCCGTTCTCGGGACCGAGAGGGTTATTGGTTCGAGATGGCGTTTGAGAAAGGCTTGGCTTCTTGCGGGGGCCTTGGTGCTCGGGTCGGGCGGCCAACTTGGTCCGGGGGTTCTTGGGACACTCTGTTGAGAGGAAGGAAAGTGCCGAGAATTATCGTGCATTTTACCAGAAATATTTCATTGTGGCAGTCTAGAAATCTGCCATGACCAGGATGTATTAATACATACCATACGAACATCTTTGAGCTCAAGTTCTTGAACAGCTAAATTTTACCTTTCTTTACTTCTTCGTGAATTGGCTCGAAGCCTCTAATACCCTCCTCGTTTCCCCGGTCGCACGAGATCAAGCGCTTCGATGGAGCTGGTGCTCCAGTCAGCTCGTCTCCCGTCCGGTGTGTAACGTGGTGTTTCCAGACAGAATTCGCCGGAGCGTAAAGTCCGCCAAAAGGATTTGGGGCTATTTCGAGGCGGGAGCTAAGAGGAAAGTGGAGAATGGCTCTAGTTCGTAATGTTCCCGCTCTTGAATATCGAAGCCAAGCGAGTCTTCACTGAAACGGCACTCGATGCGAATATTCGGTGCGAGGAACACCCTCACGCATTCATACCTTCCTTGCACCTCTGCGTAACGTGAGAGGCCTTCAGTGATGAGAATCGAATGGCTGAGCGCCTGGCAGGAATGTGACACACGCACGCCGATGCAGCCCTCGATGCAGGTTCCTGTAGTAGTAGCTGGCACGGCGCATATATGAGCTGCAGGGCAGATAAAATGCCCCTCAAGATGCCCCTCCAGTTGCATCCTTCACGGCCGAGGCTCTCATGGCATCACCTCCAAAACTCCCTCCCCACTGAATTCATTTATCCAAGAAGCCGCCCGTCGACGTCCTATTCACGAGAACCCTATCATCGATGCTACTTGCCGCTCACGACTAGCGTTTGATCCCGCGGGCTTTTGGACGCGACTAAGGCAGCGCTCCACAACACATCCACAGCGGGGATAGCTCAGTTGGGAGAGCGTCAGACTGAAGCAAGACTTCGGTTCAGTCTATCTGAAGGTCGTCGGTTCGATCCCGACTCACCGCATCTTTTTGTTCTTCTTTTTCTATTTTTTGTACAACTTTTGTTTGGGGCTTGTAAATTGTTCGCGCCTGTACATATAGTGTTATCGAGATGCGTACCACGGATATTGTCTCGCTACGTTTCCATTTCCGTCGTGGAGACGATGGCAGGTATGTACCGGACGATGCATGAAATCCATTTTTGGAATTATTCTTAAACGCCCCTCTCACCCGCCGCCCAATTCAACGCCAGCAGACTTCAGCTCATGCACGCCGGCAATAGTCGTTGTGCCCACCTCTCACCAAAGCTTGACCAAGGCCCAAAGAGGTTGCGGTACGCTGGCTCATGAAGGCTTTTCCCAACTTTGATACCGCTAGTGGGAGAATGCAGGTGGTGCATCCGTGTACTGATAGATATGCGTAGGCGATGTCCCAGCTAAGCTCATCCTTTAACAATACATGAACTGCACACCGTTTTGAGCAATTGCGTTTGTTAAAAGCTTTGGGCCTTGTGGAGCTAGAAGCTTTGGCATGTTTTCGTATTCTGTTTATCCTTCATATCCCCCCCAAGTTCTCCTATACCACAAGCCCAAGGTTCCTGATTTCCGCACGCCATCGTTCCCGCCTTTACCATATTACACTTGCCTCCGTTTGCATCCTATAGGCCCAAAACTAAACCGAAACTCTCCTGTGCAGCTACCGGCGTAATGAGCAAGATTCAGCATACGTGGGCCGCCGTTTCGGCCATCCCTAACCCTTTAAAACCATCAGAAACCATCATCTTTTCGAGCGGCAACGATCGCAAGCTGTCGGTCGACCGACGCACCATTGGCGGGACACCGGGATCCAACTCCGACTCGAGGTTGAAGGGGTTAGGCGTCGAAGTAAACTTGGCGGAGTCATCACAACTTGTATCAACCATTTATCAGGATGTTGTAAGTCGACCCACCATCTCTATCAATCTTCGATGGGGGTTAACAAGGTAAATAGGTTACTGTTTACGGCATCAGCAACTCGTCGAGAACGGAAGATGCTTCCAAGTACGAGCTCTGCATGGTCAGCCCCATCAAGGCTTTGATCAAGAACATCTGTCCGTATTCGGGGTCTATCACGGGCTATGCTGATCACTCCGGACAATCGGGCCACCTCTATGTTATAACGTATCTCCCACCCATTTCCCCATCCTTGCACCACATTTGCCATCTAGTCAGTCCGTTTGTTAGGCTCAGCTTCACAACTTACTGAGCGAGATCTGGCGTGTCGAGTATTAATCATTTTCTTTTCTTCTTATGGCACAGTGCTCAAAATGGAAGGGATGTGATCACGGAACGGGACCTAGGGGGCGACGAATCCGATGCGCGCCACCTTACCGGGCTCGATTCCGTTCTCCCAGGAACCAGCCTCAGTGTTACGTACAGCTACGATCGAGCCACTAGCACCGAAACTCGTGTCCTGATCTACCAGCGGGTTGATAGATCCATCACCATGTACAACTTTGGTAGCAACCAAGGTGCGATATTGAGACTACATGTATCTATCGACGTCGTGGACTTTGCTGACTCTCACACAGTTTCCACCTTTATCGGCTCTGCGGCGTACGCAAACGAGCCAAGCTCGCTCGCAGCCGTTGTAGTGCCATCCCAGGACGGGAGCCTCGAGGGAAGCCGCATCGTTCTCTACTTCATCGCCAACTCTGACAGAAACTTCTACCTTTACTTTCTAGCTTGCAGCGTGGGAGATTCCAAGGCATCACAAAGCCTCTCCAACAAGCCACAGCAGGTTGGCACAGGCTATCCATGTATGCCATCCTCGCAACTGGGCGTCTCGTTAGACTCGGCGCACAAGCAAACAATCATCTGGGCTCGCACAGCGGCTGGGGACCTCGTATCTATGCCTCACCCATGGGTTGATCTTACGAGCAGTGACAGTTAACGGACCATAAACGGTCAAGGGTATAGGGATTCCTCACGATAAGGGCACAGGTACAGCAATTATTTGTTGCGTGACAGCGGGTATCGTGACAATATTCATAAACATTATATTGACCTCAATAAAACACTATTTAACGCTGATCAAAGTGTCATGGCTCACCCAATATCTATACCTGAATTGTTCACGGTCTTACCCTGGATATGCCCCGTTGCTAAGTAGCAGTAGGAAAGTTTTCCGTGCATACACAATAATCAAGAGGCACCTCTCCTGCGCCGCGTTCTTACCAGAGAACTTTTACGAAGAACAACCCCGACCTGATCTTTCCCCGTCCCCGGACCATTCCAGATAGGTAGCGGCTGTAGAAACCCAATCTTCAAGTTGGAAAACGATGGGTAATAGGGAAAAAGGATTCTCCACCGGTTGGACCGGAGACACTCAACCTGGATGGGCAGGAGAAACGGGCAATCCGGCGTCTCGTCACGGACGACGTACCACGCCCACTGAAAAGGGTGCCGGGACTTGGGGTTCCATTCAACGCCCTTGATGCGCGGCCACGCATGCTTATAAGAGTCCACGGCTTGAAGACACTTGCATCCCTCCATGCTAATCGAGTAGCCAGGCGACGTATCGTCGATTATGTAGAGCTGCGTCAGATCGGGGAAGAGCCGCACCCACGCGGGAAAATTATCGAGCTCGCACCCGGACGCGCACGACGGGCCTTCGCAGCGAGCAGGGCAGCGGGCGGTGGGCCGCATCACGTCGCGGTACTCGTTGAATGAACTAGCGGGGACGCCTAGACGCTTGATCCCGCGACCGGGGAAAGGCGGGGCGTCGCTACGAAGTCGGGCATCGAGGAAGTATTGCCGCTTGGCCACGTTGGAGAGTATGGAAATCATGTCCTTGGAAGCGTCGTAGCGGAGGACGCCCGATAGGAATCTCCTCCTCCGGAGAGCCGGCGCTTCTTGAAGGCTGGATTCACCATCATCGAGTAGAGCGTTCGCATACTCTGATAGGAAGAATTCGAGAGAGTCCGGAAGCACCTTGCGCGCCACCGCGCGGGATTCGCGGCACACTTGGTCCAGCGTCCGCCCTGGTTTCGAAGCCTGCGCGAGGCTGGAGACGGGGTGGGCGTAAAACCTGCCCCGTCGGTGCCAGTGCTCGCGGGAGTCCGGGACGATATCGCCGCCGGGCACCAGAGGCGGGGCGAGGGAGAATTGGTAGATGCGGCCCGGCTGGTCGGCGAGGAACTCGAGCCAAATTTGGTGGCGGAGCTCGAAGGGGAGCAGCGAGAAGCCGGAAACGGGCGCCTGAAGACTTTTGCTCATTTGTCCGGCAAGCAAAAGGTTCGTCGTGTGGTAAATTTCGCGGAGTTGGTAGAGGGTGGCTGCTGCCTGGCGGCGAAGAGAGGATGACGGATAGCGGAGGGTCAATTGGATTTGATTGACGCGGTTATGTGTGTGGTGCCGTGGTGGAAATCAGCTTTGTCGTACGAGGGAGGATAAGAATGTCCCCCAAAAAATGAATGCAAGCAATATAGTCAATGATGCTACGTTTATTGCATTTTTATTCTTTTCTTTCTCCCTCCCTTCTAACATGTTCACTTGACTGCTCCCAAATGGAACAAGAAGTCGGTCAGGTCTGTCTTCGAAAATGGCAAAAAGAATGAAAAAAGAATGAAAAAAAGATGCGGTGAGTCGGGATCGAACCGACGACCTTCAGATAGACTGAACCGAAGTCTTGCTTCAGTCTGACGCTCTCCCAACTGAGCTATCCCCGCTGGAACTTGTTGAAAACCAGACTCCCAGCTCGGTCCAAAAGCTCGATGGCCACGACGGCGACGACTTGCATGTTTTCTTGTATGATGTTTCAGCAAAGTTCTGTTACTTTCACGCCAGATCGGCTTCTGACGGAGGTCTTTTTTCCTCCTTTTTTTGTTTACCTTTATCGTCCCATCACTCCCATATCACGTCGTCCGGCGTCGGGTGTTTATGCAATACTAGAATCGTACGCAAAGCCGCTGTGTAGGTATATGCTGTTGAAGAAGGGAGATCACGCGTCGGTGCTATACCATGAGTTGGATTACACAGATAGATTTAAGTAGCAAAAGTTCTCTTTTCGTTTTCTTAACTTTGCCCCTGTGCCTTGTTATTGTTGCCTTTCGAAAATCATCCCCGTTGCTGAAGCGCCCAGTCTGAAATACCATCAGAAAGACAAAAAGAAATCCGTTTTAGTAGTATACAAGAAGCAGCTATATATTTCCCCGCAGTATCATTGAATCACATTTACAGTGGCTTTCTTCCTTCCTCATCAATACCTTCCAACGTTTGCTGACTCGCCGAATGATGCGAGACCTCAATCACGTCAGTCCTCATGATCCTCCCGGGAACGTTGACACCAGGTGAAAGAGTCGAAGCGCCTTTGTGCCCAACGGCTTCATTGAGCCCGAGAATGCTTTCTTCGCTTCCGCCCTTGGTTTGGTCGAGGAAAGTGAGGCCATTGGGGTCCTTGACAGGTCTCTTCCGGGCGTGGTAGGACAGCTCAATGTCGGATTGGGCGGGCATAGCCCCGGTTCTTTCCGAGCCGTAGTTCTTGTAGTTGCGTCTGGAGGCGGAGCTGAAGAGTCGGCCACCGTAGATCTTGTCGACGAGGGGCTGGAGGATGGGGATACACGAGGCGATGATGATCGTGCTTCCTTCGATACTGCGAATTGAATGAATGGTAAGTATGCGACCAGGGAGCCAGGGAGCGGGAACTAGGCTGCCTTACCATGTCCAAATCACCAGATCAGATGTGTCATATGAAAAGTCATCACTCGCGAGATTGACGAGTCGCGTAGTCTTATATATGGCTACAACGGTAGCACTGTATTGCGTTAGGATGTGCCGCAAATAACTCGTGATCCTCAATAAAATAATGTAGACTTACACTGAACCAATACCGAGGGCGGCAGTAAGGGCAATCTTTTTCTTAATAGGTAGCCGAAGGTTAAAGAGCACAATGGCAGGGTACACGGCAAGGTAGAGATCGGTGGCCGCAGAGAGAGCTAAATGAAAGCAAACGAGAAAGCGAGAGTTAGAAAAACAACGTCAGTTGGAAGAGTATGGAACATGACGTACAGCCGGCGTAGATTGCATAGTATACCAGAACCATCTTATCCCAGCAAGTTCCCTTGACGGAAAAGTCCCACTGCGACCGCGCAGGCGAGCACTGAGCAAACAGGACCACCACACATCCGATCAGGCTGATGACTGTCCAAATGCTGAGAAACCAGAGAAAGATGCGGTGGGCGCGCCCGGGGTTCAGCAGCCGCGTGAGGAGGTAAACGACGGCCAGCTTCGGGAGGCCAAAGGACATGACTCCGGGGCAGAAACCGACAATGGTCCAGAGAATCACGGCTGCCTTTTGATCCAGGTCGAGGATGGCAAAGTGTTTCCCATTGCCCGAATTGACCGCCATGACTCCGAAAATGACGGCACACCAGCCACAGATCTAAGGTTGGTAAGTTTGGTGAATACACTGCAAGTAGGCCCGGTAAGACGCGGTTTTTCTTTGACCTACCACGGCCAGAACGATCAAGTAGTCGTCCAGTTGCAGACGCCTTTGGAGCCTGCCACGCACGTAAAGTCTCGCCATAGTGAAGAGCGTTTCCAGCACAGTCACCAAGACGATAATGGCAATGATGGCGGGGCCTTTGTCCTGTGCGGCCACCTCAGGGCTCAATGCCGGTGGGGGAGGAACCTCAGACATCGTGTTGTATGGTGGCCTAAGCCGGAACGAGCAGGTCTCGATGAAAGGTCTACAAAGCTGATGGGGGATGAAAGTGTCGGGCGGAGACCTCGACCAAGCAAATGGGGGTTTCGGGAAACCGTGCGCGTCGAGCAGGAGAGGAGAATAAGTCCCGGACCACAGCTTCGGGTTGCCAGCGTGGGGATGGTGAAGGATATGTATACCAGATCAAATGTGACATGAAGACTCTGATCTTTTCACGGCCCCTTGAGCGCCCGGCAGTTTGGGTCAAGCTTGTGATGATGGTCAGAGTGCAGGCCCATGCAGCACCACTTTGATTCTCGTAGATATTACACTTTTTTACTCCGAAAACATATTTCAATGGCATTTGTCCTGCATGAGTTGGTAGGTTCCGCAAGAGAGTAACCACAGATCCGATTAAGCCGTGCCCTTACGCTCAGGGGTTTCTGTTTCTTCTTCCCTTGCTGGATAGAGGCACGGTTCAAGGCTCGCAGCATTCGGGCAAGGTGCGTAGTGGAAATGATCGGCGAGCGGCGCCGAGGCCCTTGAAGAAGAAATGAAGCAAAATGAGAAAAGGAGCGGCGATCTCTACTGGTTATGTTCGCACAACGACGGAAAGGGTTCTCCTATCTGTTGTTTTTCCTTTCCTATGCCCTATTTTCTTTCTAGGTATGTTTTATTCTGGGCGGGGAGGGTCTTTTGACTGTCCCCTTGTGTTGCCTCATCAATTCTCACATTTTCTAAAGTCTCAATAGATACAAGATCAGCGGCTATGGCAGAAACCCAGAAGAAGGCGCAACCTGCTTCATTAACACGGATGGGGACGACGACTATCACCAACTAGCCTTTCGAAGAGGAATTCCGCGAAAAAAGCAAACCTAGTCTTCCCGCTCTTGTTTCGACTAGTTCCCGGGGATCGAAGGATTTAAAGCCGTAGTCGTATTCCGTCAACGCCCCGGCAGGCCCCATAGCCATGGTCTAAGAATGCTACTCGAATACTCACAGTGTTTGGTGATTCAGACATGTCAGAATGTCCCACAGGACTACTGTGCCGGGAGGTTACATTCAATCGCGACGTTTTCCGCTTCCTTATTTAGTGCAGGATGATCATTGTTTTAATTTTTCTGCCCCCGTGGAAAGAAAACCGCCTCCTCTGGTACATATCTCTCGAGGAGATGTCAACTGGTCCCCCTCTTGCTCGGTGCCGATCCTTGCTTCACTAGCTCCAACGGCCATGTCGCCAACCCCTGCGAGGTCGAAATTGGTGGGTTTTTGTTCTCTTCGAGGACGTGGCGGAAGCGGGTGGAGAAAGGGATGATCATTGCTCGATTGACGGCGGGAAAATGGATGAAAAAGGGGAGAGTTCGTCGTGGTTTTGGTTTTTCCTTCTTCGAAGCTTTCCACAGGAGTTACGAGTTACGAGGGAGCCATTCGGGTCTTAGTGGGCGGCGCCATTGTCGTGGAAATTGGGACCGATTTGGCCGAGTCAGAAACGCCCGCCTCGTCCTCGCTCTTTCTAGAATGGAGAATATCCGGTCAAGATGTACGAGCTCGGCCACTCTCAAGACGCCACCTACTCCTTGAGATCTTCCCTGTTTTTTTCTTGCGGACCTCGAACATGGGGGTAATCAGAATACTAGCTCAGGATCTGCTGGGGTGAATTCGTGCATGCCGGAGAACCTTGGTCCCCAGTTGAAGACACTGCTTCATGTTTGTCCTTTCTCCGCTCTCTCTCTCCTCCTCCCCTCCCCAGCACCGATCAATTCGTCATTCATCGATAGGAATACAAGAAAAAACCACCCTTTGATAAGAGGGTGCGGAAAACCATGGCTCGGAATAGGCGGAGAAGTGGACCTCATGGCTCCCCAACCCCCGGTCTACGACCGCCGATCTCTTGTCAACTCTTGCCACACGTTGTCCCAGTTCGGTTTTCTGTTCCTGACTCCGTTTCCTTTTGATTTCCTCTCCTTTCCATCCCAGGGCCCAGGTTTTCGGAGCACGTCAAATCTCGCCCGGGTACGCCGGCTCCAGGAAGAGAACTGGATCGGCGAGAAGTGGACCTCGCGGCCCCGGATTCTTCCAATGAGAGCGGCATCGGTGGTGGAACAAGGGACCGGGGTGGTCTCGACTGCTCACTGAGGAGAAAAAGGGGCCCGCATTAGCTTCTTTTCCGAGGCGACCGTGAGTACTGCAGTTGTGTCTTTGTCTTTCTTGCTCCTGTTGCTTTATCTCCGGACGTTGAGTTAAGCCTGCGTGTGGGTGGTATCTTGCTTTCAAGATACCAAAACCACTTGCATTCTCGCAATGCCTATATCAATCACATTGGACTCATGTTATTATACTCACGTAAGTAGAATATCGGTCCATTGAGGATCTACACCGCAGCAGAGAAGGAAAACAATATCGAGGCATCCACAATTGTCTGTGTGTCTTCACAGGCCTCGAACCTTTCCCAAATCTACTCCGGATTGTTAATTCACGGTGCTGCAGAGTGGCACGGATAGAGAGGGGACCACCCTTCTCCTAGTCCCCCACCCATCCGCTTCGTAAATGAGGAGTAATCCTTGTGTGCTTTCCCTCGCGCCCCACACCGGCCGGAGGGGTATACGGGAGGCTAGGAACCAGGAGAAACCCTCGGTTGGGCCGAGCATGACATGACGACCCCGGCCTCGGTGATCTTCACTTGATAGTGAGGGGCTTGTTTCCACCCCTTGAAATGACCGAAATCATGTTGGTGAAGAGGATGGCGCATTATACATAGAGTAAGAGGTTTGGGAAGACTCGTTCATCCATGGGGTGGAGCACCTTTTGCACAAACATGCCTGCTCTTTACCGGAGGCACATGTCCGGCTCGGAGGTTGGCCAGGGTGGAGAGTCTTCGGAAAGGGCACCACCCAACCAAGAAGCCTTTGTGTGGCTTTCGATTCTGCCCACGGGGCTTGGACCCACGACCCCCTCCATCCTGCAGAATCAATGGATAAGAGTCAAGGACATGTATGTTCTTGGCATAGCCAGTTATTTCCGATTTTTGCGACGCCTCGCATAGGTGAGGGACTAATAAAAAAGTGATATGACAAGGCGTGGTGGACGAGGCAGGGGCGCATTGCGGAGGGAGGAGGAATGGCCGGGATTGGGGACCCAGGATTGCGACAACACCAGCTCCAGGCGCACGTCGCTACATATTACACTTCGCCTCTCCCCTCCCCTCATCCCTCCCTTCCTGTTGCTCCTCGGTTAAAGTTACTGTATCATAGGTCTGGCTAACCTCGAGTTGCTATCACATTTCTCAGAAGACGACATAAACCAACATAGACCTTTGAGCACTCGGACCTTGAGATTACAGAATAACGCAGCTATGAGCACCGACATACTGAAGGAGCCAACGGCCCTTCCTGTAATGGGCGAGCCCGCGGTAAACGGAATCGACGGCGGTGCCCCCAAGATCCCTCGACCGAGGCGCCGACCCATGTCAATGGCACGTCTACCGGCATCGTCAAGAAGCCAGTCGTCGACGTCTCCGTGGCGCTCAAGGCGAATAATCTTGACAGCGTAGCAGAGCTCACGCAGGAGATATCCAGTCTCGGCGCGCAAGTTTCCGGCGGTGATGAGCAGGCTCGTCTCGCCCTCGTCGAAAAGGCGCGTTCCCTCGTGCGCGCCTTGGAGACGCCCCGAGAAACCATGATCAAGCACTGCTGGGCCCAGGTAAGTCCAAAGTTGTCTCGGCTCCCTCTAACCCACGAGAAATCTACCAGGCGGGTTTCTAACAACTGTCTAGCCGTCTGCCATGGCGGCACTCACTGTCGGGGTTGACACCGGTCTGTTTGTCGCGCTTGCAGAAAGCGATGGCAGCCCTAAAAGTCCCAAGACCTGGCCCACAAGATTGGCGTCGACCCTTCTCTACTATGTAAGCCTTGTACCGATCCCTGCCTCCGCACGCGCGATGGGTACAGTCTGTTCCATTAAGCGGGCAATAGCTAACGAAGGAGTTCGTCGCAGCCCGACTCATGCGCCATCTCGGATCCATGGGCTATATCCAAGAGGTCGACACCGACACTTACCAGCCGACCAATTTTTCCAGCTCCCTCACCATCCCCATCATCGGTGATGGATACCCATGCCTGTAAGTGAAGAAAAATACCACACGCTACGCGAAGAGTAGCTTTTCATGTCAATAAAACGAGGGGCATAATACTAACGGTGCATTCCCATAGTTCCGGAGGCCTCATGGCGTCTCTATCAAAATTCCCAGAGTACGCTATGAAGAACGGCTACAAGACGCCGCAGAGCATCTCGGACGGCTCTCTCCAGTACGCCTACAACACCAAGCTCAACATGTTCGAGTACCTGCACGCCAACCCGCCCCACGGGTTCCAATTCAACCACCACATGGGCGGCTACCGCCAAGGCCGCCCGTCCTGGATGGACGACGGCTTCTACCCGGTGAAGGAGCGGCTGATTGACGGCGTCGAGTTCGGCGAGGGCGACGCGCTCCTGGTTGATATCGGCGGCGGCATGGGCCACGACCTGGCCGAGTTTCGACAGAAACACCCGAACGCGCCTGGTCGATTAATCCTGCAGGATCTCCAGCCCGTCCTCGGCCAGATCATCGATCTCGATAGCAAGATTGAGCGGGTGGAGTACGATTTCCATACGGAGCAACCCATCAAAGGTAAGTACAGACAGACCGTTGAACTGCAGAGGCCCGCTTTACCATAAACCAAACTCTTGACTAATTTTTCATTGCCCGTTCTCGATAGGAGCTCGTGCGTACTACATGCACTCTTGCCTGCATGACTGGCCGGATGAGATCGACGTTCAGATCCTCGCTCGTATCAAGGAGGCCATGAAGCCCGGCTACAGCCGCCTTTTGATCAACGAAAACGTGATCCCTCCCCGCCACGCGCAGTGGGAGGCCACGGCCCTTGATATCATGATGTTGACGTTGCTGAGCTCTCGGGAGCGGACGGAGGGCGATTGGAGGCTTCTTCTGGAGGAGATGGCTGGGCTGCGGATTAGCGGGATCTATACTGCAGCGAATGGCGTGGAGAGCATCATTGAGTGCGAGTTGGTTGAATAGTCGTGTATAATTAAGGCTTGTATTCGAAACGAACAGAAGATGGGTAATACCAATGCGAGCGCGTTCATATCTTCATCAGAGCTCAGTGTTATGTCAAGGATGCTCAACGAATTCCGTGAAACATGGATTGAAGCCACAAGTAATAGATCTATCCACCCAATCGGCACTTTTTAGGGTAGGAATGGGCCATTATGATTATGAGTGACGGGTATGAGGAAGCTGAGCCGACAGGGCGCGGAAGGAATCTCGCGGGTTCCACTCGGGAAAAGCGGGCAGTAAATGCCAGCTGTCGAGTGGGGCGCAACGAGCAAGTATTCGAAAGCTCCGAAGCTTGTCGGAGGAAGCGGCCAAATCCAACCCCGACTCGCTATTCTTCACCGCGCGAGCCATCCACTCCGGCATTTCCCTCCGGTCGCAAGAACGCTAGGCACTACTCTCTCCTCTAGAATTTCGCTTGCAAACATAGCACATCACGCGCTTTCAGAGCCTATTCTCTTAGCTAATCTCAATCACGGAGGTGGGACATACTACAGTAACTCATTCCTCAGTCCCCAACGATTTGCAATCAGCAAGTGCACACGGGATGGCCACCCCCAGTAGCTGGGCGTCGTCGGCGCCGACATGTCCAGTCCAGGGACGGGCGCTCGCTGCCGCAAAATCCGGCATCGCTTGTGAGGCCTGTCGGGGATCGAAGCTAAAATGCATCCCCGGTCCCCGGGGCGGACCATGCAAACGGTGCTCCGAACACAAGAGGGAGTGTGTCTTGCGGACCGGCGCCAAGAAGAGGGCGACTAGAAGGGCAAAAGAGTAAGTATTTCTCTCCTTATATAGCTTCCCCATCAATGGATAAAGGGGCTTCATGCATGGTTTACCTCGTTATACTGACTTGGCCCCCAGGAACGGCCAACCCGTGGAACAAGCCATTGCACCCAGCCAAACCTTTAGCATCGACTTTCGCATGCGCGACGAGCAAGAGGCCACCTCGGCCTTCGACTCACTCATCCAAATGCACGAAGAGTGCCTAGGCGACCTGATCGCCCCCGCGACTCAAAGCTCCGACGACGCTCGCGAATTCCTCCCCTCGCCGCCCTCGTCCGTCTCCTGCGCGGCCGCCGCGACGAGCTGGACGCGCAGCATCCAGTCGTTTTGCCTGCAGCCGCAGTTCAACGTCGAGTCGGCGACCACGCTGCTCGATTCCTTCCGCAGGATGCTGCCCTATTTCCCTTGCATCGTGCTCGGGGACGGGGAGACGGTCAAGTCCATGTCGCGAGATCGGCCTTTTGTCCTGCTGGCGATCCTCGCCTGCACGAGTAGCAGCAGGACGCTACAGGGCCACGGGCTGTACGACGAAGAATTCAGAAAGGTGTTGGCTCTCAAGGTGGTTGCCGGTGGCGAGCGAAGCCTGCAGCTTCTTCAGGGGCTTCTCGTCTATTGCGCGTGGTGAGTGCCTGTTTCGTAGGGAGCGGCGTTTTGACGTGGATCTCGGGTCTAACGTGAATTAGGTACCCCTTTCACCTTCGGTTCAAGGATAAGCGTGTATTCCAATATCTACGCATGATCAATGATATGCTTCATGACCTTGAATTGAATGACTTCCCAGAGGTCACGACAAACACGCTATTCTCACCCCCGAACAGATGGAGGATGCCAGGGCATATCTGGCCAGCTACTACATAATCTGCACGTAAGTACAATTCTCATGTTATTTCATTTGCGCCCATTCGCCTAGATAGGATATAAACCGCTAACCACAATACTTTCTTGAAACAGGCTGTCAGTTATACGGACCTGGGCCTCGTGGGAACCACCTTCATACACATCGTGGACATCCACATGCGTCGAAGCCTTCCTATCTTCCACCCGCCCAGACGACGTCGTCCTCGCTCACCTCGCCCGCCACGCTTACGTAGCCCGGGAAGTCGCAGTGATGTCCAAAACATCCAACGGCGAGGGCCGCGAAGCCCACTTCATGACCCTAGGCCTAGAAGCACAGCTCCGCGAGTGGCAGACCCTGGGCCCCGCGGGCGCGGACGCCTCGCCAGCCGTGGTGCTGGGGAACCTCTTCGTCGAGGTCTTCCTCTACTGCCACGAGCTGTGGAAAGCGCCGAGCGGCAAGACGCCGGGCAAGGTGTCGAGCCAGCTCAGCAGCAGGATCTGGGCGTCGGTTCCGCTCATGAAGAGGCTGTTTGACGTCGCGGCCGAGCTCGAGCACGGCGACTTTTCCGCCTTGGAGTGGGTCAAGGTCATTACGTGCCTTATCGTGGGGACCAAGTTGTGCTTCCCGCTAAGGGAGCTGCCCGGGTGGGATCACCGCCGGACTAGGTCCGAGCTCAGGTACGCCGAGTGCTTGGAGAAGATTTGCCGTGCGGGGGCGGGAGAGGAGGACGGTGCCCCGGCGGATGACTTTGCGTCAGTCCCGAAACGAGCACCGGATATTAAATCCGCTAGCCAGATCATAATAAGGGTGTTGCTGAGAAAGTACAAGGATAGGATCGCCAAGGAGGAGCGCGCGGAGGTGGATAAGAGGCATAGGTGTCCGATGATGGATGGGAGCCTGGACGAGTACTTGCACTTGTGGGACGACATGCCGATGACGATGCCCGGGATGGGGACGCTGGATAACTTTGCGACGCACGCTGCGGTGGTCGAGGTGCCGAGGATACAGGAGTCTTCCGTGGTTGAGGCTGCGTTGGGGACTCAGGAGGTGCCGGCTGCACAGACAAGTCCTCGGCGGATATACCACGATCTATGGGCGACAATGACGCTAGGCTGGGGCGAGCAGTGAGTTTATCCCGCGGGCTAGATGTAACAATAAGAATAAGACGAAAGAAATTCTCTTAGAAAATCAAAGCGTGTATTATAATCTTCATGACGGGCGGTTCTATGTGAAGCCGAGCCAGCGGTGTTATGCAAGCCACAATGAATGTTTGCCACCACCCCAGATCTTTCCACGGGTAGCAGCAGAATCAACGGTCACGGCGTGTGGCATGGCGTTCGTTTCAGACCCCGCAAAGGATCGCGCGCCAAGGCCGGCCCTGAGTCGGGGCACGATTTGGCCGGTTGCGTTGAACCCCGAAGCGGATCGGCCTTGGCAACAGCCTCCGAGGCGCTTCGGAGCCGGCCAAAGGCGCGCGCTCAGGCATACCCACCGGCACGCTAGGAAATAAGCATGAGGATTGAAGAAACGTCTCGGAATGCAAGGAACCGATGCTATATAAATAGCAACGTGTGTTCTGGCTCTGAACCTTCCCATCAAACTTGAACATCATTCTCACTCATCCTCCATTCCCCCATTTCCATCATTCCCTCCTGCTCAGCACACAGCGCTAGACACCCGATAGAAAAGTTTTGTTTTCCTCTCCTTATTTACCCACGCACACAAAAATGGCATCCTCCAAGGTCATCCACGTCGGCGTCCTCCTCACAGCGGACACCCAGTTCCTCGACACCGCCTGCGTCGACATCCTCGGCATGCTGAGCCGAGAATACCTCGAGATCGCCAGCGGCCTCCCGTCGACTTGGTCAACGCCAGCCCTACCGTGCAAATCGTCTACATCAACGGCACCGCCGACGACGGCAGCGATGCCGGCAAGGGCGTCATGGCCCTCACGTCGGGCGCCAAGCTGCTGGCCACGCACCGCATCTCGGACCCCGAGGTGCAGGCCGGCAAGCTCGACATCCTCTTCATCCCGGGCCCCGATCCGCGCAGCGGGTTCGCCGAAGCGACGCTCCAGTTCGTGCGGGACCACCACGCCAACGCGAACACGGACGTGCTGAGCGTGTGCAGCGGCATCTTTTGTGCGGGGACGCGGGGATCCTCGACGGGCGGCAGGCGTGCGGGCCGCGGGAGCTGCAGCCGGCGCTGCAGGCCAAGTATCCCAAGGCGAAGCTGGTGGGGGATAAGTATAGGTGGATCCAGGATGGGAATCTTTGGTCGAGCGGTAAGTGGACGGAAATGGAAAAATCGAGTGAAAAGGATAGGATGTACCGTATGCTAACGAGTATGGGTTTCGGTAGGGGCCATCACGAACGGAAATGATCTCATGGCTGCGTATTGCCGAACGGGCAAGCATTTCGCGGTGCCGCTGGTCGACATCGCGTGCAAGATGGCGGATGTCGGCGACCGGCCTCAGGAGTATGGACAGGACCGCGAAGTGTATAACATCGAATTTGCCGAGAAGAAGTAGGTGGTTTAGCTCGGGGACGAGGCGTGCTTGGCAAGCAAGGGTTGCACGCTCGCCAAGACGCGGGTCAGATCAGATCGGTTACGGCATCTATGTCATGTCACTGAACATGGGGGCAGAGTAGAGGCAGCAGGAGAAGCAGAATGAATTAATAGATAATCTCTAGAATTGGGGAAATTATCGAGAATGCGAGATTGCGCGTAGCCCTGATATATGATCCCTATGTATATAAAAAAATATGAATTTGCCCCGTGAACTCCAAGTCTCTATTCAACATGCATTTGTGTATGGGTTCTTCCCCTGGTTCACGGAACCAAGCTCTTTCTCGCTTCTTAAATCTATCACCTTCGTATTCACCGAGGATCGGCAAACTTCTTAGAAGAAGGTGAAGAAGGCACCAACGACGCCGAGGGCGACGGAGGCAATGGAGAGGGTGTAGCTGGAGGCCGAGTTCTCGGCGTTAGAGCCCTCGGCGGAGTTATCCGAGCCAGAATCGGAACCAGAGCCCGATCCAGAGCCAGAGCCAGAGCCCGAGCCAGAGCCAGAGCCGGAACCGGAGCCGGAGCCGGAGCTGTCGGTATCGTCATCGGAAGTATCGGGGGTCTTGAAGGTGGTGGGGCAGCTGAGGTCGAAGAGAGGGGTGGTGGAGAGGTTGTCGGTGATGGCAAACTTCATCTCGTTGTCGGGGTTGGAGTCGCGGAGGGTGTACCAGAAGGTGGGGTACTTGTTGAAGAGGACACGACAGCCGATCTCGTCCCAGTAGTACTTGGCGTTCTCGACGCTAGAGACGGCGAGATCCCAGTCGGGACCGCTGGAAGGCCAGCCGGTCTCGGTAACCCAGACGGGCTTATCGCCGGCGGCGGCAATCGTAGCGCGGAAAGCGCGGTCGAAGAGCTGGCCCGAGTTCTCGATGTTGTTGCCCTTGCCGGTCTCGTAGTAGGGGTACTCGTCAACGCCGAGGAAGTCAACGGCGTCGAGGACGGGTTTGTTGGTGGCGTTGCCCCAAACATCCCAGGTGTCGACGTGGCCGACGGGGACGGAGGAGAGGGGGTATCCTTGACGGCCTGGCGGTAGTCGTTGATGAAGCCGACGAGGACGTCGGGGTCGGCGCCGACACCAGCCTTGTTGGTGACGCCGGTGACGGAGTTGCGGTAGAGATCCTCGCTGCCGATGGACATGCCGATGACGAGCTTGGTCAGCTTGTCGCCGTACTTCTTGATGGCCTTGGTCAGGGCGCTGAGCTCCTTGTCGATGTTGGGGGTGCCCGAGGTCCAGACGCCGAGGAGGATGTAGGTGTTGGTCTCGATGGCGGCCTCGAAGGCCTCGATGGGGTCATCCTCGGAGTAGGCCTGGATGTTGGTGTAGAGGCGTACGGCGTTGAAGGTGCCGGGGGCGTTCTTGAGGTTCTGGGCGGTGGTGAACTCGGCGACCCAGTCCTTCTTGAACTTGGCGGAGCGGTCGGCCTTGGTCGAGCCGGAGTTGAAGCCGAGGTAGTTGTCGGCGGCGGCGGCCGAGGCCACGAGCGCGGCGGCGGAAACGGCGGTCGAGAAACGCATGGTGGGCGGGAAAAAGGGTTTCACAGGGTTCACGCGTGTGTCGAGGCGTGAAGAAAAAAACGAGAGACAATGAAGACAAGGAGACTGACTCGCTTCGTTTGGTCGGCTGTTGAGCAAGAAAAAAGGAGGGAAGGGGAATATATTAGGGGAAATGGAAAAGAGAGAGAGCGAGTGAATGAAAAGGTAATGATCGTAGTTTCTCCAAGGACGGAAGAAGGAATGTCGAGGAGAAGAAGAAAAAAGGTTGGAAGCTGCTGAGTAGAAAATAGGGCGGGAAGAAGAAAGGTTAGCTGAGAGCCCAACAAGTCCAAGATGGTTTTCTTTTTTTTTTTTGGCTCGCTCTCTCCCTCCCGGCGATCTCGTGTCCTGCAGGTACAACGCAAGACCCAGAACGCGACTTTCCAAGGTACCGCGGGCAGGGAACCACCCAGCCCGGAGCAGAACCCAGTGCGCTTGTTCCCCCTGATGGGAATCGGAGACCGCACCCAACCCAATCATTCGTCCACAGCATGAAATACGAACGGCCCAATTTCGATTGGACCACGGTGCAGGGACCGCTGTGCAAAGTGCGCTTTTCCAGGGACAAGACGCCTGGACTGGGCTGGTTGACTGGGTCGGTACTCCCGTCCTCGTTCGTCAGCTGCCTGTACAAGTTGCCTCAATACGGTATGTGGCGACGTTGCCACTGAGACATTAGAGGTTCTAGCCCTTGCCTCGCCAAACAAAACCCCAGGTAGCGAGCCTGCGATGCCGTGTATCCGCGGGTACATCGTGCTAAAATGGCGTCGCACGGCGAGGTTGCCTTCTGTGCCCTTCTTTTCTTTCTTTGTTTTCTCCCTCCTTCCCGGCTTGGCCTTGTCTGGCACAAGTACAAGGAGCTCCTCCCCTTTCGCGTGCTTGAGAAAGCAATAAAGGGGAGGGCTGTGCAGGTACGTACCCCCAAGCAAGCACTCCACCTCTTTTGGGGCCCCTTGTCAAGGATCACTTCCAACCCTTCTGAGCTTAGCGCAGAACAACACTTGGGAAGCGTGATTTTGGAGCAGACGGTTCGCCTGCGTCGCATTGAGGACAGCTGAGATCAACTGCGAGCAAGCTGAACACATCAAGGCCTTTCTTTGTTGGCAGTGGGGACCTTGGTTTGGGAAGAATGAGACTCCCACCACGCCATCTCGTATCGCGCACTCCACATGTCTTTTTCAATCAATTCCCGTCCCAACACAATGACACATGAAAGGCAGTTGAATTTCCCATCGCCTCTCTCGGCTATCGAGACTCAAAGGCTCCCTTGAGAACGATGAATAATGATCGTAATCCACAGCGGACGAGACGTGACGAGCAGGCTCTCCTTCCCCTCCAATGGATGTCTCCAGCAAGGAATGAATGGGTCAAAGGGCAAAAGCCATCATCTTCCCCGAAACGAGATCGGACCGCCACTGTGGGCCCCCTGAGCAGTTCAAAGGGGCGGCGCGAGGGGCGGTGGGGTCGGTCAATCACATTGAAGCCGATGGAATGATCCATTCCTCCTTGTGCCATTCAAGCATTGATCACATTCAATATTCAGGGGACGGATTGGTTCCACAGCAGTTCAGGGCGAACGAGGCGTTCTTCAATTCCCTTGTTTTGTTTGTGCGTTCAATGTCCCTTGTCCTTTGTGTTTACTTTCGCTCTTCTTTGGCATGTTTACTTTCAATGTATTCAGTCACACCAACCATTGTTCCAACGCCTTGATCAAATTTTTCAAAGTGTTTTATTTTCCTCGTGCTGATTCTTATTGTCCTTGGTTTTCTTGGCTCCATTGAAGTGACAAAACAAAATCCTACAAGTATCTAGTTTCGAGGGAGTGAATGTGGCGATCGACCTTGTCGATCGCTAATTTCCTGGTTGCGAGATGCGAAAAGGGTGCATCGCCCCTCCATTCGGGGAGTTATCCTCATGCCCGTACACCGTGACGCGTTTGCCGCCTGTCTCTTTGACGCTCCAAGTTTCCAGGCCCGAATTCAGCCCGTGACGTGATGTCACATCTCTTTTTCTTCCTCGTTCAAATTGTGCAGTCCACTACTTTTTAGCTGTTGTGGCCTCTCCCGACTCACACTATACGATGGGTCTTCGCACGCGTCCAAAGAGAGCATGGCGGCTGCTTTTCCATCTGAACTTTTCCCCCGCATTCCATAGGCAAGTTTAGTTCCATCAAGCTTACTTCCTTTCCTCCTTTTCTCTCCGTGAGCTCCGTGGCCCGAAAAAAAGATACTCTATTTCGATGGGGTCGTCCTCCAATGTGGCGCAGTACCTGTGGACCGTCATGATCTTCCCCACCACTCATTTACTCCATCTTGTTCACTGGCCCCGTCCTCGTCGAGAGACACATCCTCTGGGCCAACTTCTTCCCTGCCGCCGTGTCAGGGTTTGGGTGCCGTTTAATACAACAAAATCCACTTGGAGAAGAGAAATCCCCCTTGTTTCGTCCGTGAAATGTTCATCAACCATGCTTACAATGAAATGGGTGGAAATTCAACGCAACTGCTCGGCCAACAGCCGTGATTTATTATGGGGCAGAAAAGGGGGAAGGGAGGGAGGCAGTTAACTATTCACAGTGTATCTGAAGTCACAAAAGTGTCCCCCATGTCTGTACGTCTGTGTCAATCTAGGTAAGAAATTGTATGCAACAAAAAAGCACGGGACGTGGTATTAGCAAGAATCCCATATCGAATCCATGTGAAGAAAGTGAGTGCCAGACACCAAAGCCCGGGGCCTGGTCCTGCCGAGATCGTGACCCAGTTCCATTTCGCTACGGCCGAGTCCTTGAATTGAATTCTTTGTTTTACAGATGAGATCACCTTAACCCATGGGGACACCAGGGAGCTCGGTCAACCCTAAGACAGTCGCATATTAGTCACATTTCATAGAAAACTCAGCCTCCCAATTTGCGAGACAGGTGAGTGAGACTCGGATAGAGAATCGACGTGGGTGGCAGAGGCTCTATCTGGACGGGTTGAAGGTTTGGACGACCACTTACATCCGTCAACGTCCTCGAGGACGGTCTTGTCAATGACACACTTCTGCGCCGCGGCGATATCCTGCGACTTTTGGCTACCGCAAGTAGCGCTGAAGCAGCCGTTGTCGTCCATGGCTCGCTGAAGAGCGTCGTCCTTCCAGCCGAACACGTAGTCGCCGTGCTGGCCGTAGCCCGTAGAGTCGCCAGTGCTAAGAACGAAGGGTTGCGAGCCATCCTCGGGCCAGTCGGCTTGGTTGTTGAATCCGGTAGTATCCCAGATAATCTATACCAGACGCACTCCAAGTCAGCTTCGACAGATCAAGAAGGGAGGGTGGAACTTGAGAGAAGACAAAAGTGTATTGGGGGCGAGCCAACACAAAATGGAAACGGCAAAACTAAAAGCAGGGTTGTTTGCTTTCAGTCTCTAGGCTTACCTCGAGCATGAGCTGGGGAATCTTGACCGGGTGGCTAGCGGGGCAGTCTGAGGTCGACAGGAAGCTCGAAGGGCCGCTCGCAGGGTAGGCGACGTGGTCCTGGTGGTTGGGGCTGTCGAGGTTCTTTCCGTCCCAGCAGCTATGGATGACCCGGTTAATATTGAAAACTCGGCCAAAGACGGCAAAGAAAAGTCGAGAGCACTCTAGGTGGTGACAAAGAGCCGGGCAAGGTACACTTACGTGGGATACAGAACGTTGGAACGGATGCCGCCGAGGCAGGCCATGTTGGGGAAACCCTCAAAGTCCAACCTGTTGTCGGCGCAAGGGGCCTGGTTGTCGCCCTGGTAGTCTGGGCCAGAGAAGCAGCGGAAGCAGCTCTGCGACTTGTACAGGGGCTCACGCCTGGTCGGGTCGCCGACGAGCATTCGGAAGCCCTAGATTTCCGACAAAACGTTCCATGAGCCAACTTCTCCATAAAAGGCCTCGCGCTCTAACTCTCACTTGGAGGTTCTAGAGCCGAAACAAAACAAATCATGGTTACTTACGGGCTGGAAAGCGGTGACCTTGCCCTTTCCTGGGGCGATGTAGTAGACCGTGACACCTCCGTTGGTCTGGGTCGTGAACCTGTCACCGAACAGCAATCTAGAGATGATTGTTAACATCATGCACCACTCAAGTTACAAGTTGGATGCGCATCAAGTCTCCATTCCTCCCCGGGCTCATAGCAAATCACACCACACACCCACACACAACTCTCTCTCTCTCTCTCTCCATCCCATGGCGACAACATACCGGTTAGGCTTCTGGGGCACGCGCTTATAAGTCCCGTTGCGCGCCTTGAAGTACAAGTTGGCCGTCCAGTAGTTGGAAAAATCGTCGGCGGGTCCACACGTGGTGCAGGTAGCGATCTTGGCGATGTCGGTCGAGGCCATGGACGCGTTGAAGGCGTTGCCGCCGACGACCTGGTGCATGTGCGGCGTCGGGGCCTGGCCCGGGTTCACGAGGGGATCCAGGCGCTCGATGGTGATTTGCTCGCACCCGAAGCGCAAGTGGTTCAGACCCTGGAGGTTGAACTGGGCCTCGGCGACCGCCGCGAAGAGGACCGTGGAGAGACGCATGCTTGTGGTGGTTGATGGTTCGGGTTTCGATAACCTGTAATGTGGTGGGAAGGTGGGGATACGAAAGCGCTTCACCGAATGGTGATTTCCCTAAGGCTCAGGTAACCAGACTACGATATATAGAAAAAGGGAATGTGAGAACGACCACGGTTAGAAAGAGAAGAAGAACCAGTTTTCAATCAGCATCATCTGTAAAAAAGTTGTGCCACTATATATCACTCGGTGCCTGTCAGCCCGGAGACATTTTCCCTCCCTCGCCATCATCTCGACTGATACTAGGAACGACCTAAGATATCACTTTGTGCAGAAAAAAACGCAAAGTCAACCATATAGACACAATATGGATAGATCAAACGTCTGACGCGGCCATGCCTAGCCAGGGCAGGTTCGACAAAATCCCCGGAAATATAGCGGATTCAGGGTAATTGGATGGGTCCGGCAGATTGCCCGCCACTCGCGCCGTAAACGTCCGGTTGGTTGGTTAATAAACGTCAACTGGCTCGGTGGCATGAAAATCAATATACCTTAACGTCTCTCGCCCAATGAGGACATCTCGTCTACCCCCGAGGCCCCTTTCCCCAGGGCGGACAGCCCGCCGTCATCCTTATTTTGCTTTGGCGACCTTGGCCCACGGGGCACCCGTGCCCTAGTGGACGTCAGAAGCGGTGGAGGTCGGGTAATATAGCCCATTTCTCTTTCTCTCCCTCATCCACTAGTCACCATCTTCCTCTCCTTTGTAAAAGGAAATGCACGTCGGACGGGAAGGGGCGTCAAGGACAGTGACTCGAGCCGACGATCGCGGGCGACTGTCGGCCCTGCTTTCCCACGAGAGGAGGGGGTGGCTCGTCGCGTGGTTTGAGCCAGGTTTATTGGCCGCATCGCTAAGGCCGGCCAATATGGAACCCCGGAACCTTGGATGCCACCATGAACAAGCTTCAGCAACGGCCGCTGGCGAGGTCTCGAGCCGGGGCCACTCCACAGACTGACAGGTGCTCCTAGTGAAAAATGACTGCGTAGCGCTCGGCGGTGAGCGAAATACTGAAAATAATAAGAAAATTCTGCTTCTAAAGAATATCTTTTGTCATAACTATCTCCTCTCAGTCACGTCAGATATAGACTCCTCTCAGAGAAAAAGGGGCCGACCCGTTTGGTGTAGAGCGCGCACTCTTGATATCACGACAAGTCCAAGACCCCGTCCCCTCTTGGTCCTTTTGCCTGAAGCAAGCGGCAAACGATTTAAACTTGGCCAACCACGGTGTCCAAACTTTCCTTTTACCGGATTGATATGAAGGCACAGGAGGGTGTGCAAGGTGGAACCCATGCGATCCCGATGCCCACATACATATACACACATACACAGGTGGCACGCTGCCTACAGTCGAGGGTGTGGTCTTAAACTGCCACAGGATAGCATCAACCCAATGAACTCGATGAGGTAAGTGAACGATTGGGAGAACGTGCTTGACTCATGTGGTCTGCACCGTTGCATTTTATCCAGTATCACTCTCTCACTCTCTAATCTCTCGCCCCCTCTCTTCCACTTTCACACCCGGTACCTACACGCGCGCGGAAATGACATATTCCCGGGTATCGGAAACCGGGGCCTCTTATCGATAACTGACATGGTCCGCCCGCGCGCCAAGCTGCGTATCCGTCTTGAAGCCCGTGTCCTTTACCGCCTTATCGTACGCCGCGAGGACCGCGCTTACGTACTTTTGTTGATTCTTCAGGATATCCGCCGCCGCCTCGTCCCCCTTTAGCTTCTGGTTCGACGGACCCGGCGGCGCATGGGGCCGCATCGCGCCCGCCGTGAGGTGCAGTAGCTTGGAGCCGTAGTCGGACCGCAGCGGCTGGCGCACCTTGTCGACGACGTACACGGCCAGCGCGTCGTTTCCTTGAACGTCTGGTCGTAGAAGCGGTACGTGTACCCCTCCAGAGCGGGGATCGTGGGTGCCCGGACCTCGGGCTTGAATTCCCGGCGCGGATAGCGACGGTCCGCCTCCGAGTGGATCGCCGCCTTGAGCGTCTGGGGAGACCTGCACACGCCCTGAGAGCAGAGCGACTGCAGTTCGCTGCTCATCTTGGAGAGGACCTCGTCGATTTCTTCGCGGAGCTCCGGGCCGCGGTCGACGGGGATCGCGGAGTCGGGCCAGTGTCGGAGCGTGGGCTCCTTGCGCCGAAGTCCGTCGATGGCGGCCTTGTGTACTTTTTCGTAAAGGGCGCGCACTTGGGGCATGTCCTTCTCCTTGACTACGTCGGGTCCGACGGGAGCCGCGGCCGCTGGATTTGGGTGGGGCCGGGCGGGTGGTGCAGAGGCTGGCTTGTTGGGCTTGGATGACGAATTGCCCATATTTGCGGAATTAGTCGAGGCAGCAAGGCGTTCAAGGGAGGAAATGGCGCGTTTGCTTTCAGTCGATTTCTTTTTCTTTCTTCTTTTTAATCTAGCAGGTTCTTTGTATGGGGAAACTTGATGGTGTGAGCCTCATTCAAAAGATTGGGAGACTGCGCTGGTTTTGTCTGCCTTGGACTCCGCCGATCCAGAATGCAGTCAGCCCGGATGGATCCCCTACATCACTTTCCCTTGACGCCGAATTGCTGAGTTGGGGGATGGCATGGCCAATGAGACATCTTCTCTCGCCCGCATCAACAAGGATTTTGGCCTCGACGTTTAGTGAAACGCGGCGTTCTTGAAGTGGGCCAAAGGATCTGGGGGCTGTGCCGGATTTGGATCAACCATCTTCTTTAGATTTTCCACTTGGGGCACCTCAGCTTGCTTACGTTGGTTTGAGCACTTCTTTGCATCTTGGCGATCACTGCGCTGGCATTTTTAAGGAGCTGAACGAGCCGTCTCTTCACCTGAACTGGTACGTGGATCATGCCGTGCTCACTTGCGATGTGTATACCCGATGGCGTAATATATGGAATCCAGCGGATAGGAGAATACGTCGAAATGGAATGTCGAGATTCTTTACAGGCGAAAGAACCACGCCTTTGCCCAAGGCAACCTTGCCTCGCAAGAGCTTCTTAAGGTCACGCCATATGACTAGGAAGCCTTTGAAACTAGATGAGTGATACTGAAATCTGGTTCGTGAGATGCGAGCGTGGCAAGCTATCGATCGTGTGTTAACATAGAGAGTGATGAAACACGTGAAAGAGGACCTTCTCGACATATGCAAACTGAGTTCAGAGTCTTCCAACGTCTATAGTCTCCAATTCGCTCGACACTGCTAAGCAGGGGCCGCGACTGCGCTAGTTTTAGGACGATGGATGTGCACAAAGACACGTGTTTTCAAAGACCTAGTATGTTCCTTGTTGAATATATATACGAGCTGTGAGGACCTAAAGCTAATTCCAAGATATACAACGAAATGGTCTTACTACCTCCATACTCTCTTCTAATGCTGGGCGAACCGTGTTCTGATAAAATGCACGCGTTCATCCAAGCTAACCACAAAGGGATGGAAGGGAATCAATGGAAAGGGCTAGTTTTCCGCCGCCTCGCCCGCCACGTTTTCGGACCGCATGTGGAGCGGAAGTGGGTTACGCCTGCGACGCGGCTGCACGGGCGCCGGCACAACCTCTGGATCTGAATCTAGCTCTACAGGCGGCGACTCAAAGCTTGACTGCTCGGGACACTTCCTCCAAACAATGTTCCAGCTTGCCCAGACCGGGCTCACGTAACCGTATCCACTGCCATGGGCCTCCTCGTAGCCGGGCATCTCAGAAGTCGGGATAGTCGTAGCCGAAGGCTTCGCGGGCGCCGTGGTCGGGTGTAGTTTCTTCCGATCTGTGTTCGTGTGATGGTGCTTCGGGATGCACGGGGGTGGGTGGTCGTTGGCGCCTACCGTTGGGACCGTCTGGGGCGCATCCGCTACGGCAGCGGGCTCCGCCTCGTTGACCGCGGCTTGGCCAGCGGCGATGGCGAGGAGCTGCGAAACTACGATGGCTGGAAGGAGCTTCATCGTTTGGCGTGATTTCTTTCCTTATGTTTTTCGTTGGACAATGTGAGATGTTGCTTGGTTTGGCAATGTCGACGTGACGATGGATTCTGTTCTCGAGAGCCGCGTTGCTTTGTCTTTATATATTGACGTGAGCTTTTAGTAGTCGCCCACCGTGGCGACGGAAAAGAGACGCGGATAGAGAGGTAGGAGTCTCGATGACCCGAAAAAACATGACCTGTTTTGCGATGGCCCGTTTGGTGACGAGTTGTTGTGTAACAACCGCACTCAGGTTAATCTGGAGGCTGCTATTTTTATCCGCGAAGGAAGCGGGGACACCAGCTGCACATATCCTCTTCGTGCGGGACTGTTTTTCAATCTAATCGGCCGCCCTCTCCTCTCTTATCTTCGCTGTTCTTGTTTGATGATTGCATTCCTTGCTGTTTTGCCATTATGGCGTTGCGCAACGTCTTTCTCGTTCGCCATCAACACGCTGGACAAAGGTATTTCTCGGCCCTTTCCTTTTCCCATTTCTTGTTCGTTACGCCAGTTGAAGGATTTCGCACATCGTCAAAGGGATCCATGAAACGACTTCCCACGTACTTTAGATTTATTGATTTTGATTGCGCTGCGCGGCGCTGCAGGATGGGTTCAAGCTTAAAGTCTCCCAGTGTCCAGATATAGCTGCAACGAACTCTGATCTGCCGAGATTCGGAGACTAGGAGATGCCTTTATCAAGGCAATTGAAACATGTCGTTGACCCCGGGTTTCTATTGTCTTTCTTGGTATGATTGAGTCCGAATGGTTGGGTATGTGCCGAAGAACGGGTCCATGATCGTGGCGGCAGGCAGCCGAGATTAGGCAGCATCATCATTTACTTGGTTTACCTCCCGGTTGATCGGTAGGATCTGAAGATGCCTTTTATTCATAGTATAACGATGCTAGAGTTACCAATCTCTGCGCACCTGGGACGCTCAACCATCATGGGAGATATCACAGTGATTCGGCGTCACCTTCCAAGTGGTCACATTAGTCTTTGACTGCCGCCACCGCCGCGACAGGCACGACATCGAGCGCGCTTGCTCCCCTCGACCACGTTTTTGTGGTGACCTTCTCAACATAGAGGCACAAAAGCGGCGAGCCTCAGTGCCTCTAGCTATTGACGTTATTAGTCACGCGGGGTTCACCAATTCTTTGAGGAATGGGAGAGGAGCAGCAGGCTTGCGCACGGGAGCGCGATAGAGAAGATCCGGACCGTGCTGCGCCGCACGACCGGCCGCCGCGAGGAGAGGGTTGACAATTATCGTGCTGGATCGACCATGAGCCGTCACTTGAGTGGTCGATCTGGATGACAAACAGGAGCCTTCAATATAAATGATTCCGGAAGTTGGCTAAAGTCGAACTGTGCCGCTGAGGTCTGGTCCCTGTGAACAACCGCACGGTGGCAAGTGGGATTCTGCGTGGTGGATCCAGTAAAGAAGACCCTTTGCTATGCCCAAAAGGTATCTCTAATAACCCTTCTATGCAATTAGATCAATGTAGGTTCCTACGGAGAGGGTCGCGAAGCTCAACCTAGATTACTTGCGCTAGCGTGCGGCGTAGCGTCTATATGTAGCGCAATGATTCTCAAACTCCCGCTTCAGATCCTTTTTCTTCTTTTTTTCTTTTTCATGTGCTTGCATCTGGAGAGATTTCAAAGGTGTGCTATTGTTAGAAAAACGATCGTTGCGTCATCACCGAGCATATTTGAAATCATCGTCGACACCAGCGTGCTTGAGCCTGGCATGACCAATTGGTTTTCACGGGATTTGAGATGCCCCCAACGGCGAAGTGACGAAGTGAAGAACCTGGTAAATAATGCGAGTCGTCAAGGCCCGTGTATTGCTATAAAAACGTGACCGTGGCGCGTGACTTGAGATGAAGACCAGCATCGATTGATGTGCGTGGTCTCGGACTCGACACGCCCACGCCTGCATGCTGAATAAAGTACATGACCTCGGAGGGCTAATTATATCCCAAGAATTATTTCACCACGACTATCCCCTCCCCTCGCTCCTCCGCTAAATCCTGTTCTAGAAATAGTAAATGGTTAAGGGCAAAGTCCTGATCGTTTGACCACGGGTCTCGGTAGTGCCCTGCTCGTCCGTTGACGGAGAGAGGGTAGATCCACGCGCAGTGGCCGCGCCCGTCGGGTTGGAAGAGCGCCAGGTTGGAGCGGATGATGCCTTGCGCCTGGCCGAGGGCTACCTCGTCACGCTTTGCTCTTCCCAGGTGGTGCAAAGCTACGGCGTTCAGGGTGCTCCAGTAATGGGGAAACGTATCCCCCACACGCGGTCCTTGCCAAACCAGTAACCGTCCCAGTGGCGGATGGCAATATCATGGAGGCGATAATCGGGCTGCTTGCCGGCGAAGCGCAGGAGCGTCTCCATCTGACGCTCGCCGGCCTCGAGCCACTGCTTGTCGCCCGTCCACCGATACATTTCCAAGAGGATGATGGCGGCGGGCGCGACAATGGACTGCTCAAAATTGACCTCGAAGGGCGGGTAGCGGATCCCGGTGTGGGCAATCTCCTGCGCGTGCTCGGTGAAGTACCGCAGCGCTTTTTCATGTAGTCCTTTATCCCCGGATGCGTACGTCGCGCGCAAACCCTCCAAGACCGGTAGACCAATGGCGTAAAGCCCCTTGCCACCACTCGCGTAGAACCGATCGAGCGTAGTCAAAAAGCGCTGCAGCGGGGTCCGGCCCGCGATCTCGGGCGGCAAGTCGAGGTGCAGGGCGGCGACGGCCAAGTGGAGCTGGAGGACCCACGGCCAGTTGTACAGGCGGTCCCCGCGGTCGCCCGGCCCGTTGAAGACGTTGCCCTCGTCGTCCTGCAGCCGCGTGCAGACAAAGGTGTAGTACCTCTTGAGCGAGGCCTCGACCGCGGGGTCTCTGTTGCGCCGCAGCCAGCGGGCGATGAAGATGCCCATGCCCACTCGCTCGCGGCCGGCGTTCCGATCCGCCGCCCTGTCGTAGAGGACCTGGCCGTCCATGTCGTTGTCGTAGAGGACGTAGGCGCCGTCGAGGATGCCCGCGGCGGAAACTTGCTGTTTCTGAGTGATGAACGCCACGCGATTGGCGACGAGGTCTTTGATTCTGGGTACGAGATTCAGGTACATGGTCGAGTCGTCGATATGCTCTCCGCTCCGGGTCGTAATGGTTAGGCTCCGATGGCCTACGCCCGTGGCCACGTACCAATACGAGCACTGGTCTCCCTCGCAGTTCACGCGGTTCCCGTCCACAGTAGTCTGGTTATTCACTCTCTGGCCCTCGAGGTGCACGACGGTCGACTCGCCGGCAGCAAGGGTCAGCGAGTCGGCGCGGATGGCGACAAACTGCTCGGAGAGCGCGATGCACCGCCGCTGGAACTCGTCCCAGCCCTTGTGCCAGAACATGGCCCATTCGACAACCGCCTCTTCCCCCGGCGCCAGCGTCGGCACAACAGGGTGCAGTAGGAACACGCCCCGCGTGTTGGAGCTGGAAATGGTATCCCGCCCCTCGATGCTGTAGCCGGACAGCGCGCCTTTTGTCAGCACCATGCCTAGGTCCCGCCCGTGGCCGCCCATCTGGTCCATCTTGACCCAGGCCGTAGCCCCTCCGTTGGCCCAGACGTGCGCGTGCGCCCTGCGCGCCAGAGCATCTGAAGTATTGGTGTAATGGTCGTTGAAGGGGGTAAATATGCCCACCGCCGTATCGTGGCCCCCGACACGTCGAGATCGGTGTCCCCACGTTCTTAAACGTGTACCTCTCGGTAAACGTGCCTCGTCTCGCGTCCACGCTCCTGCTCACCGTCAAGAGGAGCCGGTCGGCGGCGTACGTCGCATCGCAGCGTTGGCCGAGGCACCGAAACTCCGGGCTGCTCCAGTAGTGCCTGTGCAGCGAGCGCCCGCCGGCGTCAAAGTATCCCAGTCCCCAGCGACTCCCGAGGGTTGCCACGGCGCGTTGGATGGGGCGCTTATCCAGTTCATGGAGTCTGAGGCCTCTCGCTCATCGAAGATGCCCAAGAGATGGCCGCCATTCTCGTCGATGTGGACGCGGAAGTCATCGCTGCGAAGTTGGTAAGCCACGGCGCTGGCCACTGCATGTGCCATAATGAGGATGTGTAGCAAGTGCGTCTTCATCTCCGCTAGACGGATCTCCTTGGTGCCAGCACTGCCTTGCTTATCGAGTAAGGAAAAATTAAAAGCACGATAAGCCTTAACCCTTCATAATTGTTCACCGGATCAGGCACACGGGGACCAGATGACGTTCGGCTGTTGTTCCAAAGAGTGGGGTTTGACAAGGGGCTGGAAAGCGCAGTGACGGATTTGGACGCCAGCACAGCAATGCCCGCCCCAGCCACATCGATGGATGACTAGTGCTCAAGACCATGATCTCATCGAATCAATCCTTGGCGACGATCATGTACGCACGACGTCTCCTGTTAATTGGAAAAATCACCAAATTTTCTTAGAATTCTAGCGACTTCAGGATGTCCGCTCCAATATAGTAAGTCTTGTTGGCGGTAGTTGATTCTCAAGGCTGGGTGCGAATAGACGGGCGAAAAAGGTCCTTTGGCTTTACTACATAGAAGAGGGGGTTCGAGGTGATCGTGTAGGAATCTCACAGCAATACCGTAACGGGATTGAATGATGCAAAGGTGGAACTTTTCTTCTGGCGAGCAACGCATCGCAAAGGAAAATGGTTTACAAGGCAATATTCGGTTTCTCATTTACTAAACGAATCGATAACCCAAGGCACGAACCACACGAACATCATTACAGGCTTTCGCTACCCTGACGCCTTTCCACGCCAGATGTTCCCTAAATTACGCTTTTCGCATGTTCGACCTCTTGCACTTGGGCTTCGTGGCCGGATCACTCCAATCCTTGATGATGATATCGGCAGCCTACAACGACAATCAGTTAGCATGGACGGACCCTAAAGAAGAAGAACAAATACGCAAGCATTTTCCACAACGAACCTTTTCACCAATAGCATACGCTTGCTGGCTGGTATGCGAGCTCGGAAGCAGCGGCAGCACACTAATATCAGCGACCCGCAGTCCCGCGGCCCCGTGCACCCTGAGGTCCGGACCGACCACCCCACCTTTAGCCTTGGGCATCATCGCCGACGTGCAGCACGGATGCATAAACGAGAGCACCATGTTCTCCTTGGAGTACTGTAGCAGCGCCGCGTCGTCGTCGATGATGCTGGTGTTGGGCGCGAGCAGCGTGGTCCCGAACTCCTGCATGGTTGGTGTGTCGATCATGCGTAGCAGGAACCGGAGGTGGGCGAGGTGCAGGTCGAAGTCGATGGGGTTGGAGCCGGCGCGGTAGTCGAGGATGGGCTGGTCGAGCGGGCTGGCGAGGTTCAGCCGTACCGTGCCGCGGCTCATGCCGTGCAGCATGATGGAGCGCATCGAGGTGCCCGTGGCGAAGGCGGTCTCGAGGCTCGGGGCGTCGGGGTTGGCGAAGAAGTCGGCGAGCACGGAGAGCTGGGCCTTGTATCCCGCAACCATCTCTGGGTTGTCTCTGTATTCCTCGGGGAGGTACGATGCGGCGGTGTCATCGTCGTCGTCTTCGATCAGGGCGCGAATTTTGTTGACTATGTCGAGGTAGTCGTCGGTGATGGTGGCGAGCGACACGAACAATCCGCTGTTGGACATGGCGAGCGTATAAGGGCCCCGGGCTGGGATTTCATCAAACTGGGCGGCGGCCTCGGCGGCAAATTCAGGGTCCCTCATATCGTTGGGCATGGGCGACCAGTCACCGGGCGTGGAGTCTGCGGTTCGCATCGTGTCAATAAAGGTCCAAAAGAATAACCAAAACTACATGTAGGGTCGAGTCAATTGTGTGCAACTCGTGACAATGCAACTCACAGTTCCAGTTAAACGCGGGACCCCAGTGATCGTGAAGATTAGACCCCACGCCCGGGAGGTCAAGGACCAGCGGAATCTCGGCCTCGCTGAGAAAGGCCGCAGGGCCAATTCCACTTCTCTGCAGGATAGTGGGCGAGTGGAAGGTTCCCGCCGAGACGATGACCTCCGCGCTCGCCGTGACGTTGAACACCTCGTCGCTTACGCGATTCCTCACCTCGACAACCGGAGGGCCGGACTCCACGCCGTCCGGATACACGACTCGGATGACCTGGTGCTTCACCAAAAGGTGGTAATTGGCCCGAGTTTCGTTCACCGCGGCGTAATGTCCCAGGCCGGCGTGGGATCGCCGGGCCGTCTCGGGATGCTCGGAGATGGGGATCCAGCACACGCCGCTCTTGTCGCCGCCGGCGCATTCCTGAAGTTCGGGCACGCCCATGTCGATCCAGGTATTGCGAGCGACGTTGTGGTCGCCCCAGAGGAATGGCGGGAAGCTGGAGTAGATTGGCGTAGAGCCACCGTAGACATCGAGATCCCATGTGTATCCACGTTCCTCGACGACGGGATCCGTCGGCTCAGTAAAGGTAACGGCCTATCCTGTTAGCAGCTGTTGAGAGCGGATGCCGTACTTGGAGGACTCTTTCGCGCGCATCAACGAGATGCACGCTGGTCAAATTCTTGAATAATTCGTTGTCTTACCTTTTTAAAGAATGGGTATATTCCATCCCAATTCCACCGTATAGAACCGTCGTTGTCGTCAGAGGCCTGCAGCTGATCCCACACCTCAAAGTCCCAGCGCGAGGGTCTGTCGAAGAACATGCCGTTTACGGCGCTGCTCCCGCCGACAACCTGGCCAGCCATCACGGCCGTTTTCCTGTCCAGGACTTCTGGATTGGGAAGCGATTCGAAAGCCCAGCGGGAGGCGCTATCGCCGGCGCCGCCCCAAATGGTCAGAGGGGGTCGAATGTGCCAGGAGCATACTCGATCTCCCCGTACTCGACGACGAGAACAGTCTCTGATACAGGTCAGGTTAGGACCCTCTCGACTCGCATTTGCAAGGTGCATCCGTGGACGGAAACTTACTATCGGGGAAGGCCTCTGTCAGTCGATCGGCGATCGTCAAGCCCGCGGTACCACCTCCAGCAATCACGAAATCATAGCTGCCCTCGAGCTCTGTCACCTGGCGTTTGACCGAGCCATGGGGAAGAGCCGTGGCCACGGTGGCCAAGGATACAAAGAGAACGGATAGCATCTTGGCGCCCAAATCAGCTGTTGCTTTCAGTATGGCCTTGCGAAACGGAAAAGAGGCCAAGAAACTGGAGACGGGAGGAGCTTCCCCTCACCGGCTTATAGCTTGGTCTTGGAGTCCGTCGTCTAGTGCACGGCAGAGGATACCCCGAATTGACCACTGTCCAGCACCCCGCTTCTGGGAGCCCTCGTTCCCAATTTCGCGGACAAGCTGCATCTCACTTACCGAAGGATCAGAGCCCTTGCCTTAACCCCTGCCGAGTGGCGAAGTACCTGGCCCCCGGAGGACGGGGTGGAGAAGCGCCTGTAAAACCTTGGAATTCAGTTCGCGTGGGGCCGAGTGTAGCATTCCTCGCGTGGGAGCTCTACGGGCCAAAAGCAAACACTGTATATAATTGACGGAGTAGTTGCGAAAAAGGGGAGAATGCCCAAGGGAGTCCTCGGAAATTGAACGGCAAAAGGGGAAATGACGAGGGCCATGCGGGACTGGTTCATTTCGCAACACGCCGTGATTCGCATGCTGTCCGGATTAGCCGTCCGCGACAGTGGGATATTGCCCTGGCAGTGACGGCGGGAAGAAAAAGAGCAGGCTGGGGAGGAGAGGGGTGGGAACTCCCGGCCACTGGAGAACCAACGGCAGCGGGGAAATGGACGACCGGGTGCCGATTGGAAGGACGGCCATGCAATGCAATGCGGGGACAAGCACTCCCGCTGAAGAAGCTGGGGTCTGCCCGCACCCATTTTGTAGCGAGCGTCACGGTCGTCTTGAGTCTTGCGCTATATTATCGGGGCCCACAACTAGACAGCGTGGGAGAAACCCAGTATTCAGGAAGGTCCGGAGAGGAGAGGAAAAAGGGCGGCGGGAGGAGCGGAAAGGAAAAACAGGCATCTTGCTTACTATCCCGGGGGTACGGACCCCGGTTTCTGCATGAGCGCTCGTAAGTCGTCGGCAGGACATATGCTCCATCATATTTTCGAACCCTTGCCAAGGTCCACGTAGGTCAATGTTGCGACATGTAGGCCAATGATTGTAGGATTTGTGCTTGAGCTATTACCTGGTTGGAAATTCTTGCCTTGGTTTGATGCAGAAGGGTCGGAAGGGCCAACAGGATCATGATCCCTGATTGCGGGCACGGGCAATCGATGGTGCTCCATTATCCAGAGTCCACTCGTCTGACGATGGCATTGCAGAGGTGGACGGACGGCCTCGACTTCACGAACTGAACACGTCATGGCTAAGCGCCGGCACGAATCGGTCATCAACGGGCTAGAGATATAATCTAAATTGATCGCCTCTGTAGAGTAAAAGTTACCCTTGGAGTCAACTACACTCTAAAAATGGGGTACTCGTCGCCGCGATCGAGGGGAATGATGTTATAGCGAGCAAACGAGGAAATATTCTCAGGCTCCAGCGTAACAAAGGCAAACGCCGCATTCTTCTGGCGAGTGCTCACGTAGTAGGCACCCGGAGGGAATCTAACATTGCGCGTTGATGCGGACGTGGTTATGGTGGCATGGACCACACCCTCGTGTCTGCTAGAGGCAAGCGAGACAGACTCGACCTTGAGAGCCTCCACCGTGCCGTTGAATTCCTTCTTAAGAACCTCAACCTTGACTCCGAGAACAGAGAGACGCTCGGCAACATCACTCCAAGCCCCGAAAAGATGTACGCCTCGGGACGACTGCGGGTGAGAGTGATCTCGGAGGGGTGTTATTTCGGAACTTGACCGGCACGTCGACCAAAGAACCATCCCTCGTGTCGATAAACTCGATCGTGGTGTCGGTCAGGCGAGCTTGATCGAGCACGATGATATCGTCTGTACCACGGGTAAACTTATTGCGCGCATTCTCAATGGTGTTGTAGACTAAATCGGCGTTATCGACAGCCACCTGAACAATCGTTTCCGCAGCGAGCAACCCAGCGGCTACCCGGCGGTGGAAATGCTGATCGGCGAGGCGAATACCGCGCGTTTCCGTCAGGAAAGTAAGCGCCTGTCCGAGGCCAGCCGAGTTATGACCGGCCTGGCTGATGGAACTAGGTTCTGTCAACGTAACGGTGTCACCACTGCTGGACGCGGTAAAGTAAGGACTCGTGCGGAACCCGTTACTCTCGAGAGTCTTGAAGATGGTACTAATAAAAAGGCCTTCCCCAACTGCCGAATATCCTTGTGGATGTTGGGATTTTTCACAGCAGACACCTGCACATCCTGCGCCTGGATCCACTGCTTGCTCGACCCGTAGGTAAAGCTCGCCGTGTACTCGTGCGCATCGAGAAGAATGTGCGGATCGAACTCGTTCAGCAACTTCTTGATATCGCGCGTTTGCTTGCGCTGCAGCAGAGCGTGGTCGCGGTTGGGGTCGAAGCCCGTCGCGAGCGGGCGCTGGAAATACGCCACGCCGTCCGGGTTGTAGCGCGGCAGGGCGAGGATCTCGACCTTGTCCAGCACGGATGCCGCCCAGGACGAGTTGGCGTCCAGCTTACCGAGCAAGGCGAGTATGCCCTGGTCGCCGGCGGGCTCGTTGCCGTGGACGCCGCCTTGGAGCCAGACGCGAATCTTCTTGCCGCGGCTTTTTTATGGCTCGAGAGTCGGACGTAGGGCAAGGAGCGTCCCTCCTCGGATGTCAGGCTCGCGAGGGAGTGGTAGGATAGCCATTCGTTCTTTCGCGCTAGCTTTTGCAGGAATTTCCCTATGAAAACGTTAGCATAAAGAGCGGTGGATTATTTCATTTGCGATGACGCTTCACCTAAGGTATCCTGGTCAGTCGGAGGCGCCGTCCCCTGAGCGAAGCCGCTGGGAACCGACTTGGGATCCTGGAACGCGGGCGACCAAAGCTTGATGTTAACGTCGGGGAAGTTGGCGGCGACGAGCGCACTATCCCGAGACACGGAAACCTGGTTGTCGGCATAGCCTTGGCCAGCCACCGAGTTGGCCATGGCTGAAAGAAGGCTCAAGGGGAACTGGCTCTGGATCCGCATGTTGATTCAAGTCGCCGAGGTTGGTCCTTGCTGTTGATCCACACGAAAGGGACAATGACCTAAGCTAGAACCAGCCATTCTCATCGGACCTCTTGACAGGTATTATATATTTGCGTTGGGGCGTCGTATCACTCGCTGCTTTGAAATCCTATTCCCGGCTTTGAGACATTATGGTTGAGCTCGGGAATCGACGACCTCGAGAGAAAAGGGCCAAAAGTTCCTGCAAAGCCTCCTCATGATGTCTACCGAACTTGTGGTGGAATCCGGTTCGGAATGGCGTCACAGAGAGTTTAGTTTGAAGGCGGCACCTTGCTCATAATCTATTAAAAAGGATTTAGCGAGATCTAAACTGCGTGGGGGTCCATACGCTTCCGGAGCCGAAGCAAGAAGGCCGAGTTGACACACGAGAATTGAGGTAGCAATTCCGGCATTTCTTCAAGCCGCCGTCTAGCTATGTGAGATTGAAAGTATCAATGCGGTCGAGGTCCGACATGCACGTTCTCTGTGCCGAGACCGTTGCAGCACCGCCAGTGCAAAATCCTGCGCGTGGGGCTGTAGTAGGTCACGCCATTGGGACCATACATCATGGACCTCAAGACCTTGGAGAGGATTTCGAGGAAAGCTTCAATCAAACAAAATATATCGTTTGCCCTAGCGTGGGTGCTGACGACAAACCTAGCCGCGGGTTACTATGGCCTAGCAGGGCTTAGGTTCCCGTTCCACGTTCCCTAGCCTCCGACTAATACGTAATAGCTCATTGGACCCTCATCCTAAACTTCTACCCCTACGGGGGGGCAAAACTGAACTGCCCGAATTGGACTTGCCGGCCACACGAAGAAGGAAAAGTCGCCAACGCAGACCTGTTGCGCGGCATTGGGAGTCGGCGGTCGTCTTACGCCTACACACGAACTTGGCCCCGCATGCGAATCTCCGTGATTGCATGTCGGAGGCGTGCTCACCCGCGCGCGCGCGACCAGGTTCCGATTTCGGAATGATGTTCGGGATTCACTTGAGAAAGGCCCCCGAGTGGGACGTAAACTTTGTGTAGTATGGCCATTCGGTACGATGCGTGGCATCACAGGTGGAGTGGCTATCGGCGTGATGGGTGAAGATTCGTGTGTGGTATATCGAAACGTATAAGGAAGCCAACATCGAGTAAATCAGTCAGAGATATGGGTTGAATTCAAATTCATAGCTGTTCAATAGCTTAGTATCTTTCTTCATTCAAGATGAGGTTGTCAGTTTTGTCCATCGTCTCCCTCGCGCTCGCTGCTTCGGCTTCTAGCCCGAAGAGCTACGCTGGCTGGAAAGTCGTCCACATCAACACCGAGAGGGGACGCGAATCGGTCTTGGACCAACTTGCCTCGATCTCTTTCGACGAATGGAACACCTCGGAAGAAGCAATCACCATTGCCGTCTCTCCGAGCCAGCTAGCAGAGCTGGATGTGCTTCAGTTGCCGTATACAGTGATGCACGAGGACCTCGGTGCATCCATCACCGCGGAATCTACACAAGCTACGGGGAAGTGGAAACGGCAGGTAGACGACTTGTCTTGGTTCGATAGCTACCACTCGTACGAGGAGCACCGGGCATACTTTGAGGAGCTGCACGCCAAATTCCCCAATAATTCCGAGATTGTATCCTCGGGAACCTCTTATGAAGGGCGAGATATCTGGGGACTTCACTTTTGGGGTGCGAATGGCCCGGGGCAGCCAGCTGTGTTGTGGCACGGTACCGTTCACGCTCGCGAATGGATCGCTGCACCGGTAAGCATGAACTCAGATCACCCGCCTTTGAATATCTGACTCTAATTATCATTCCAGGTGATCGAGTATATCACTCGACAGCTTATCCTCGGATACGGTGGCGAAGACGAAACCATCAACAATTTCGTGAATAGCTACGACTTTTATGTCTTCCCCTTTGTAAACCCAGATGGTTCGTGCCAAAGGTTTTACTCTATCAGAATGGCTACTGACCTCTCTTCCCAGGCTTTGTTTATACCCAAACGACCGAACGCCTCTGGCGCAAGAGCCGGCAGCCCGGCCCTGGAAACACAACCTGCTACGGCCGCGACATCAACCGCAACTGGCCCCACGGCTGGGACGCAAACCCCTCCGGCGCCTCCACGGATCCTTGTTCCCTCTTTTACAAGGGCGAGGCTCCCGGCGACACTCCCGAGATGCAAGGCCTCAGCGCCTTCGTCGACGACCTCCGCGACACGAACGGGATCAAGCTCTTCATCGACTGGCACAGCTACAGTCAATACATTCTCGCGCCCCTCGGCCACAACTGCACCACGTATATCCCCAACCTCGGTGAGCACCTGCAGATTGCCCACCGGGCAGCAAGGGCCATCCGTGGCGTTGAGGGTGCAGTTTACGTACGGCCCTAGCTGTCCGTTGCTGTATAGCTCTACGGGGTATAGTGTAGATTACGCCTATGAGGTGGGCAAAGCCGACTATGCGTATCTAATTGAGTTGAGAGACACGGGCAATTACGGATTTGTGCTTCCTCCTGGGCAGATTCTTCCTAGTGCTAAAGAGCAGTGGGCGGGTATTCAGGTTATTCTTGGATTGCTTGACAAGGTGCTCTTTTAGAGCCAAGTCTGGAATTGGAGGCATAGATAGTGTTTTCACAGCATTGAAGGTGCTACATGTAACGATGATGTGGTGGTTAGCATGAATACATGTAGATACATGTGTAGTGATAAACAACTTTTAGTCTCTTCAAATGCGTTTCAAGTCGCCCAAGTCCCATTTTGTCTAAACTAGCCCAGACTTGCCTCATGGTTCCGCGAAAGACGCGCACCGCAGGATGGAATACGGTAAGAATGGTACGTGGTAGGCATGAAAAGTGCCGGGCAGTCATGTTCACACTTGCAATAGGTTTGCTATGACCAACGATTCCAAATCACGATGTTTCTCTCCCACGTCGTTGGAATGGGCGGTGAAAGCATGCTGCTTCCTTCTCTTCGGCTAAGCATTCCCCGCTTGTTTGCCGACATCTTGGGATGGCTTCCGCGAAACCGCGTGCTTCGGAGAATAATCGGGACGTTAAGGCATCAAACATGGGCGAAGACGCCATCATGCAGGGGCCAAAGAAGGGTTGCGCCGCGAATGACATCGGAGATACCGCGGTGATGCACGATGACTCTGCGGGGCCTTCCCTCTCGCGTGGGATTTTCACGGGTGTCGTCCGACTTGGGACGGAAGCGCCTGCTACGTGATTCACGCTAAAAGCACGTTAGGTCACTTTGTCGAATGCCAAGCTTCCATTTCCTCTACACTTTGATATTTGACTAACACTTGGATTTCTTTCGTATTTCTTTTTGACTCAATAAGCTCGGATGATTGATTTGCGCGGCTCTTCAAGAAAACAAATGCAGAAGGACGAAGCCCTGCCGATGGATTCACGGCTTCCGAATCGCGGAAGTCGGATCGTGAAGAATACTACATATAATGATGATGATCTCTTGCTGCAAGTAGAAAATGTGAAGTGATCAATCCGGAAGCATGCAACGGTAGAGTAGAGTTCTCATTTTTCCTTACGAAATGGGCAATCCAAGTGCAAATAAGGGCGCCGTTCGGGAGGACGAGGCCTCCCCTCCAAGCCCCGTGGTTGAGTCTGTCACTGCTGCCCCGACTTCGAAGCGGGACAATGCTGTTGAACCCAACTACGACTCGGATGCCAATAGGGAGGACCCTGAGGATGCTAAGCATCTCGACGGTGATGCTGCCGTGGTGCGCGGAGCTGTTGTTATTCGAGATGGCAATGACATCGCGAGATATGTCGTTAGCACACGCGACGACCACGACCCCGTCCTCACCTTCCGGTCATTCATCATCGGCTCCGGTCTGACCGCGCTCGCTGCTTGCATCAACCAGATTTACTACTACAAGCCCGTCGAGGTATCGTTCGCCTCTGTTTTCCTTTGCTTGTTAGCCTATGTTCTGGGCGTCGCGTGGTCCAAGGCCCTCCTCGTCGCCACCACGTTGAGAAATATCTCCCCTCGCAAGCAAAATGGTTAGGCCCCATCGTGCACTTGATCAACCCGGGGCATTTCGGACTCAAGGAGCACGCCATCGCTTCGATCCTGTCCACGTCCAGCGGGAACGGTGCCGCCATTGTCCAGGTGTTTGGCGCCGAGAGGCTCTTTTACAACCGCGAGACTGCGCCGGCCACGGCCATCTTGACCATTTTCTCGGCTTCCATCTTTGGCTACGGCCTGGTTGGCATTCTGAGGTCCATCATTGTCCACCGTACGAGCTCCCCACTTCCTACTTGACTTTTCAATAAATCCAGAACTAACATGGTGTTTAGCAAGCGAGATGGTCTGGTGGCAATGCCTCCCCATGATCTCCATCTACCAGACCTTCCACCGAGAACCCGAGGGCGCTAACAGAGACCGCCTTCGCATGTTCGGACTCACCTCCATCGCGATGTTCATCTGGGAGCCCTTTGCCTCCTACATTTGGCCCTGGATGAACGGCATTTCCATTCCCTGCTTGGCCTCCATGAAAGCCCTCCCTCCCACGCGCGGTATCCTAATGACCATTTTCGGTGGCATCTCCTCCAATGAGGGACAGGGTCTCTTCAACTTCTCCCTCGACTGGCAGTACATTACCTCCCGATACATGTCGCTCCCGCTGCTTCAGCAGGCGAATTCTTGGGCCGGCATCGGTCTCTCGTACATCATGTGTTTCGCACTCTACTACGGCGGCGCATGGGGCGCGAAAAGTTTCCCTTCATGTCCACCGCCATGTTCGACGCCAATACCGGGAAAGTGTACAACCAGACCGCCATCTTTGGCAAGACAGCCATCCTTGACACAGATGCGTTGGCAGCCCACGGCCTCCCCAGGCTCACGGCCACCAACGTCTGGGCTAACATGGCTGCCATGGCAGCCATCGGTGCCCTGATTACCCACATCAGTCTCTTTTACGGATCCCAGATCAAGAAGTCTCTCACACAAGCCTGGAAGAAGGAGCAGACCGATCCTCATTACAAGATCATGGCTGAGAACTACAAGGATGTCCCCATCTGGTGGTACGTAATCATCCTCTTCGTCGGCTTCTTCCTCGGTCTTGGGGCCATCTACGCTGGAAACACCACTCTTGACCCCTGGGCATACGTCGTTGCGATCCTCCTCGGCTGCATCGTCGCACCGTTCTCGCTCTGTTTGTATGGTCTTTTGGGGACCAGCGTTTCAACCAACAACCTCTCAAAATGCTTTGCGGCGTGCTACAGCCCGGCAAACCCATCGCCAACCTCTACTTCTCCATGTTCAGCCACGAGGTCACTGTGTTGTCGGTCTTCCTTGCAACCGATCTCAAAATGGCGCAGTACCTCAAGATCCCTTGGCGAACCATGTTCCTGCTGCAAACATATGGCAGCCTCCTCGGCACCGCCCTCAACTACGTCATTATGGATAACATTACCACCAACCGCCGAGAGGTCCTCCTGGACCCCATCGGCACACAAGTCTGGAGCGGCCAAAAGATCCAGAGCCTCAACACCAATGCCGTCACCTGGTCTCTTGCCAAGTATGTTTACGGCTTTGGCAAGGACGGTTATGGCTGGATCCCCCTGTCCATTCTCATTGGTGCCGCCATCCCGGTCCTGCACTGGTTGGTTGCGAAAAGGCATACGAAGATTCTAGGCTGGGACGTCCGCAAGCTCGTCGCCCCCGTCATTTTCACAACGCGTCTTCTACTTGCGCCGGTACGACGTCTGTGATATGGTCTCAGATCGCTGTTGGTCTGTGGTCTCAGTGGTATATGCGCCTTCGGCACCCGGCTTGGTTCGGCAAGTACAACTACATCGTTGGTGGAGGCCTGGATGCTGGGGCCAAGGTGATGATGTTCATCTTGACTTTTGCGGTGTTTGGAGGGTCCGGCGATGAGGTTCCATTCCCTACTGTGAGTGGTATTTGTCCAATAACGCGTTGACTCTTTCATACTAACATGCGACGTGGTAGTGGTGGGGTAACCCGAAGTCAAGCAAGCAACAATATGCAGATTATTGTGGTACTGGTATTCCCGTCGCGAGTTAAGGTTGGTTGATGACTTCATTCGGAACATTGAAATGCTGTTATGGTTGGTGTACATGGTAGTCTCAACCTTGGGATCGACGTGCAAGCTAAGCTGAGCTCCTTCCGAATTGTTGCAGCGACATACCCAATGGTACGACTATATGTAGTCATTGTCTGGCGGGATGTGTTGTCGCCCTGTTAGTTGCGCAGCGATCAATTGATAGGCAGAGTTGTTCTCAAAGCCCGTGCCGGATGCAACAGTTGACCTCTATCCTCCCTGTATATGTACATCCTATCCTTCATGTAGTGTATATGTACATTCCATCCTCCATGTATATATACATCAGAGGAGAAGACCCTTGATTATATAATTCGGGTTAACCCCCACCGGAGGCGGCTCGGAGACGCCGCACCTAAGCCAGTATTAAAACGCCACCAAATCGGGCAATGCCTTGAGCACCGTCAACCCCACCATCAGCCATAATCATCAATTGATCAAGCAAGATCCCGCACGTTATCGGCCCTGGTCCTTGCAGAACACCATATCCAGGCGAACTCATCCCAGATGCATTTATTTCTAGCGGAACCAGGATCCGATACGAACACCAAGCGCGCTTACGGGATCAAGGCATGGGCATTTGGCGCTCCTTAAGCGCCTTAGCGCGTAACTGAGACTAAAAATTCTATTTAAAGCCGGGCCCGGTCTAAGTTTACATAGCCACGCATCTGAAGAAGAAAAAAAAATTTATACGAACGCGGAGCTTGGCAGGGCCCGTCTGCCCGCCTACCGATCTCAAAGTTCTGAAAAAGGCCATGAGGCGCGTCAATATAAAGCAAAGTCGCCTTGATGCTCCATACTAAGGCACTCCACCTTAAGCCAACATCACGTCCCGAAATTTGCAAACAGCCATGTCTTGTGTAGCCCATGAAATAGACCCACGCGGAGACCTGCGGCTTCGCGTCATACCAAACGAGGGTGAGCCCGTGGTCTTCGTTACTTCGTCTCTCGCTCTCGCTCGAGCATCGCCTGTTTTTGATCGCATGCTCTATGGCGAGTTCGCGGAAGCAAAACCTACGGACCCCGATGCAAAAGACTGGACAGTTGAACTTCCCGACCAAAACCAGAAACCATGCATCTTTTTCTCAATATCACACATGGTCACTTCAAAGGTGCCGAAAACCGTCTCGATAGATGAACTGTACGACCTGACGGTTCTGACCAATTACTTGGACTCCACCAAATCGCTTGTTCCTTGGATCGAACGGTGGATGGCGCTTATTAACATCAACGAGATCAAGAGCGAGTTTATGGCGCAATTCCTCTGGATCGCGTGGGAATTTGGCGCCAGGGACGATTTTGTCGTCATTGCACGCCGGATGTTGATGGAGTTAGAGGGATCTGCTCTCGAGGAGTCCTTTTGCACATTGGACCAATCCAGACCACCAGACATCATGGGTACGTGTCTGACCTATAGTAGTATTTGAGTGATAGCCCGTCTAACCAAGAAACAGAGAGGATTCAGGCCATTCGCCTCCAGACCTTCCAGGCCATCCTCAACATCTTTCGAGAGATGGCTGACCATTTAATCGTCGTTGACGAGCGAGTCCGATGGTGTCGATATCATACCTGGATGGGACACCACCGCTGCGAGTCCATGATCTTAGGGTCCATGACATTTTGCCTTACCCGAGCCGGGCTATGGCCCATTCCCGACGCCGAGGAGTTGGATTGCAGCCTGTTGGATCTCCATCGCAAGCTTACGACTCTCGTCATACATGATATCGGAAAGACGGGTGACTCGAAATCGGAGGCCAATCACCACGAATGCAATCCGGGTCCCTTTCTGCTAGACCAAGTACAGCGAGTCATGTCAGAGATGCCGAGTCCGGTGTCTGCGTTCCATATTCAACACATGGAGAAACAAGCGAAGGATTTATTATCAATTAGCCCGCCGACCCTACCTCCCTCATGATGGAATGAATCCGCCCTTGCTCAGAGCATGGAGTTAGCGATGAGTCTCTATCTTCGAATAGTCGCTAGAACTTGCCAGCGCCTTTGCCATGCGGCGTTTACCAAGCTCGCTCGCGCTGAAAGTTTGGATGAGATCAGGGCATACGTGGTAACGGCTTTTGCGGTCCCCAGTATGGCGGTCCTTGCAGGTCAGCCAAGAAGAGGCGCGATCATCACTGTTAAAGGAACCGAGTGTCCTAGATCACAGCGGCTGTCTCCAAGGTGGCACCCATATGATTGCAGGTCGGCCTTTGAAGATTAAGCGCCCGAGCCCCCGACGAAAAATTATCTTATAATTATGTGGCACATATAAGTGCCTCAATCATGTAAACTAGCTTGCATAGAATGATACTCAAGTAACCCTATACGGAATACCTGCCAAAGCCTCTCTCTTCTCCTTCTCCTACCTAGGCAGGAGTTGACTTCCTTTTAAGAAACAGCAGGCGCATATACTGCCCACTTTCCCTCTCATAGTCCGAAAACCCGTCCGGGAACCACACTAAGAAGACAGCCTGCACAGCAACCATAGGGAGAGTGTCAAGCGCATACATGGGCCACTCTGTAGAGAGTAGGTATCCATCACCGCCCATAATATACTCCACGGCGCGGAAGACGGATCGAAACATGATCAACGCACTGCAAGCATATATCATGTGCAAGCCGCGCTTCCACGGCACGGTCAACGGTGGATCCGATCTTCCCTTGAGATCCTTTCGCATCCGGACGTGGAATACCGAGGCGGCAATGACAAAGAAGGTAAACAGAGCTATCTGGATGAACAGACCCCCAATGATGATGGACTCTCCCACCTTCCGTGTGTTTTCCTTGGCCGTGAGCCCCGCCGCATTACCCTGTACGCTGAGGGCCACAAAATCTCCCGTGACGAAGATTACTGTCATCCACTTGGGTGGAAGGATGGACAGTCGGTCGGCGCGTACACTACGGATAAGACGGCCGAGAACAGTATAGATGGACGCAGCGTAGAAGACGGGGGCGAGGAGGATAAAGATATTCTGCAGGACAAATGGGGGAATTTCGTTTGTATAATAGTGGGCGGCGATTCGGATGCCGAAGCCGATGACTTGGACTAAAAATGCTATGATGATAAGTAACAATACTTGAGCTTGAAATTGGAACGAGGAGGGGGTTGACGTTACACATTCCACCGACAACGAAAGGAATACAGAACCATAGCTTGGTTTTGTGAACCCGCCATGTCAGTAAGGCAGTAAGGATTGAGAAGATAGAGAGGGCCACGGCGGAGAGCGCGAGGGATGGGAGGTATTTCCAGAGGAAAACGTCAGTCCCATCCACTGGTTTGAGTTGCGCCATTGGTATATCAATTGATGTAGTCAAAGAAAATGTCTCGCCTGCTTGTGGGGAAGAATTTGAAGAATTTGAACACGCTTCAATGACACCGGAGGAACTCCTTATTTATTTCTGGACAAAGAAGCATCGCCATCGCCGCGATGAACATACCCATTTTTATTTTATTTTTTACAATGGTGAGGAAATGGGCTGTGCGATTTCCCGTGTGCAAAATCCTTGGAGCCCAACAAAGGCTGAGCCGACGCGTACAAAATATTTCACACGAGTGTTGACGTGGAGGCTCGTACTGGTCGTATTTTTCCTGAGGTTCCCGGCTGCGGAGATCCCACGCACGTCCGAGGCATATTTTAGCTTCATCCTTCCCCTGGTGGCGGGTGAGCTTATTTGGCACGCGCCATCCTTTCTGTCAACCTTGCGCATTCTTAAATATTGGGAAAATGCAGAAGAGGGGATATATAGGAGGGAACATCAACGAAGCCTACTCACTTGGTATCATAAAACCTAGTTAAAATGAGGTGATGTTTGTATTGTTTAGATTGGAATGGGTGATAAAAATGACGACGGCGACACCTCGAAGCCCATGTCAGCCAGATGAGTCCGTCTTGAAAAACTCTTCAGTACATGTGATATTGAGGAGGTTTCGTATATGGTAATATGTAGCGTTTAATTGTCGAAAAAGTTCTAGAGACTACCTTATCAATATTCAACGACTCAATTCTATTATCGGCATATTTTGAGGAGGGAAAAGAGATCAATTATGTCAGACTAGTATTGAACAGGGGGTAAAATGCTGTTCGTATTCGCTGCTTGGATCCTTCTAATAGATCCGTTTCTACAGGGGAATTCCTGCCCCTTTTATAGATGATATTTCTGGGATATTTACATGATCCGTTTTTCATCGGTCGCTCCGGTCGGATATAAAGGTAAACGCCATCCGGATGTGGATGTGGCAAGGAACGCTTCCGGATTCGGCATTAGTTCGGATATCCCATCCTTCCACCCTTCAACAACTAGCACTGCCCAACACGCTTATTGGGGATCAAGAATACAAACTCTTTGCTCCCTTTGCTCAGCCACCTTTGATGATAAAAGGGCAGCACTTGAGTTCTGAAGAAAAAGGTGTGGTATTCAACAATTAAATTAGGAATATGCATATACTGATCCTCGAAAGCGCCAAGGTCCCAAGGTCTCACCCATCCCCTTTGCTCATTAACATTAAACATTTCGTAACAGCCACCTTCCAACGTCATCTAAACGATCGGGATCATCCTTCCGCCCATCTCTACCTTGGCGCGTAGACGAACGCCAGTTGGTCAATCTCATCCCCGCTCTGGCCCAAGTACCCAACAATCTGCCAGCCGCTTGGGGCCGAGAATGTCGTGCAGCTCGAGGTCGTCGTACCGGCAGAGACCTTGTTCCCCGCGCTGGTCACCGCCTGAATGTAAAAGTTGCGGGTGCGGCCATCCTTTGTCCCTGGCAGACCGTAGCGCTTGTCCAGAATTCTGCGGCGCCGAGGGTCAGAGAAGCGGCCGTGCCGCCAGTTCCTCCGTGCGTAAAGCCGTGCCGTCGGCGAGGGTCAGGCCGACGGAGTCGAGGCGGGAGCCACCGCGGAACGTGATCTTGGAAGTCTTCAACGACCCAGATTTTCCGCTCAGCGTGGGCAGGTCGGTGAACCAGGTGCCGTGGGGTCCGCCCCAGTAGTTGGACTGGCGGAACTTATTGGACAGGGACCAGTTGAAGTTGACGCGGATGGGATTGTGGTCGGAAAGGATGTTGCCGTCGGCCTGGAGGAACTTGGAGCTCTCGTAGCTGAATTCGGTGGCGGCGAGGTTTACTACGGGGCTCCCACGGTAAAAGACCTTGTCCACCGTCTCGCAATAGTTTGTCGTGCTGGGGTTCGCGCAAATCGTCTCCGTGGTAGGGACCACCCCGCCGCGGACAAGCTGGACCCAAGGGTCCGTCATGCCGTTCTGGGTGCTGAAGACGCGGATCTGGTCCGAGGTTCGGGTATACCTGCTGTTGGTGTCTCCGAAGACGAGGACGGCGTTGCCCTTGCTCCAGGTATCGATGTAGTCCGCCACCTGCTGAAGGTTGCTGTTGCGCGCGGTGAGGTCGCCCGCCGCCGTGCCTGCGTCGGTGTGCAGGTTGTAGACGTCCACCCAAACGCCGTCGTCGACGTTGACGCGCATAAAAGTGAAGCCCTTGGGCGTCAGGCAGTCGGCGCCCGAGTCGTTGGAGCACGTGTTCCACTTGGTGCGGGAGAAGTTGATCCAGTCAAAGTTGGCCACCGTGTTCAGGCCGGATCCGATGGCGGCTCCACCCGAAGTAGGGGTGCGGAAGGGGTGGGCGTCGGTCTCGTAGATGTAGGCATGGTAGTTGAAATCCTATCACAGCGATTGTTAGATTAGGCACGGCACAAAAGGAAGAAGAAGAAAAAAACCAGAAGCGGGATTCGAGGCTTAGGTGATGCTGCTTACCTCCTGCATATTAATGATATCGTAGCCATACTCGCTAAAGTACGCACCGATTGTCCGCGCATTCGTGGCCTTGTCTCCGGGAACATCGTTGCTGTTGAAAATGGCTGGAAGGCCTGCAACGTTAATGGTGAGGACGTCAAAGGTGCCGCTCGTAGCGGCAAGCACGCCCGTGGTTGTCGTCGCCAAAACGGCGGAGATAATCTGAGAAGCTCTCATTGTGGGCAAAAATTAGTAAGGAAAGAGCAAGCTACAAACGAATTGAAATGTTAGATTCCCCAACATTAGAGAGGGGGTCCAATGGGCTCGTCCACCAGCTACTTTTTGTAGTTTCGATCGTGATGCGCATCGTCAACACGGAAAATTGGACGCTACACCTCTCCTAGAGGCGGAGGGCGCGGGCAATCCCCGAATCGGCAGTTGAACCCGTCGTTAGGGGACCTGCCAAAGCGACATCGCCCGCGTTCGGCAGCGGTCTCCGTGTGCCTGTTCGCCAACCCACCATCTGTACAACCTAACCGTCGCACCCTTGTTCGGACGAAGTGACCACATTGGCTCAGGCCTCCAAGCGCATGACGACTCACCCACCACGATTTCTCTGGGCGGGACTCGTTGTGCTTGGTGGACCTCTTTGTGTGCGTACATGTAGCATTGAAGACCCACGGGCCTGGTGGGGCCCGCGAGATGAGGTGTGATGCGAAAGGTCGCTCAGCCGACTTCATCTCCAAGTTGCCTGCGCCGGATCCGACACGTGCTTGGCGCTTCTGGGCGTGAAATCCCAAATGGTGACCGAAGAGAGGGGCGCGATGAGGTTGATGAAAGAAACAGGGCAGAAATTTGATCTCTCAACACATGTGCAGTATCTACGTGTAGTATGCGGATGAAATTGCCCTCCTCTCCACGAGGGGACGACTGCAAACATAATTGGTAAATTAAAGAAAGTGGTTTCGCTCCCAGCGAGTTAAAAGAAGTATGTAAATGACGCAAGAAAAAAGGCTGTTTGTACATGAAGGGAAGAATATGTGCGGTGATTATGGAACAGAAAATTTAAGAGATCCTTCATCTTCACTGCTTGTATTTGCTGAGATGGGGCTGGGCCAAGTTCGTAAAGAAGCTCGCACCCACGGCTGTCGTCGGTGCGCCCTCCAAGACAACTTCGCAATTCGCGATCCAATCACCTTCCTCGGCCTTTTTACTCTTTACATATCGCGCGTAGTCCTCCAAGCCGCACGAAGACCCCGGTCCGTCCTTGCACGAGGGAACCGGATATACCTGGTCGTTGAGCTTGATGCGTACGTAAGTCGCGTTGACGTAGCCCTCGTCGCCAAATACCGGCACCTGGGTGTTTTTGGGAGTGCAGCGACGGGTGGTAGTCGGCGAAGCGCTGAAGTCACTCGTCGTCGTCGTGGTCGAGTTATTTCCTTCCGCGGGGACCAAGCACGTAAGGCGCTCAAAGGCAATGGTTCCCTTCATCGTGATGAACCTGTTTCCGACCCAGAGACGGTCGTCATCCTTTTCCGTCGCGGAAAGGGGTTCTTGGTCGTCAAACACTCCGCTCGAGGTAACTAGCTCGGTGAGCTGCCCGTCGTTGAGAAACGAAACCAAAAGACTAGGCACTTGGAAAGAAGAACCGTCGAAGCCAACACCTTTGACGGTCGGACCCTGAACGAAGACGTCGATTAGGGCGTCGAGGAAAGGTGTCATCATCTTGGAAGGTAAATCTGTTCCTGGGCCGATGCCATAGTAATATCGTAGGTCGTTGGAATACTGATACAACTTGAGTTCTTCATCCGTGAACACGTCGCAGAATGAAGAAAGACGACCCGTGATCTGGCTCTCAAACCCGCAAAGATACGGAATCAAATTGACGTCGCTCAAGGTCAACGTCAAGTTCCCGGATATGAGCTTTTGCAACCTCGCCTGCACCGGAGCTTGCCAGATGGCGTTCCACTGGGTCAGCTTTTCGCCGCCGCTCAGATCCTTGAAGTTCGGGCAAGAGTCCGAAGGCGCGAGGAGTTGCCCACGGCGGCGGGGATGTTTTTGGACGTGACTGAGACGATGTTACCGAGCGTGCTAGCCCCGGCACCGAGGAATCCATGGACAAAGCTATTGGCCGTCTGAAGAACGCGGGTATAGTTGTTGGCCCAGACGTGGAAGTCGTCGCCGTCGTTGTACAGCTGGGGATAGCGTGTGCGAAGGGCGTAGCCCATATCCATTGCCTCCTTGTGCCCCGTAGGGCTTAGCATGGCGATTTGCGCATCCGGGTTGGTAAGAACAGGACTCCAATCTGGAAGGAATGAGAGGGCTCCAGATGCCGTGTAGCCACCTGCCGAAAACTGTATCCGTTGTTAGCAAAGGATGCATAAAGCCGCCGATTTTTGGGAGGGGGATGCAGAGATTTTCCGTCTTACGCGAGAATGCATCTCCTTCCACTCGTTGTAGGCACCGGTATCCGGGTACCTCGAACCGTGGCGGCTGACATAGGCTGCCTGGTCTACCACGCAACCATCGGGAACGTGGGGTGAGATATGGTGGACGTTGGGCCCCGCTGCCCATGGCCCGTTGGCCCCGAGCCACGTCAAGGGGCTCTCGGAGTTTTTCCGGGCCACAGCTTGATATGTTGCTTCGGCGAGAGGTAGCGAGGCTTTGGTTCCGCGGCCGCTGAAAGGGCCAACGCGGCCAACACAAGGCCGAGGGCCGATACAGGCGAAGGCATTGGGGATGGTTGCGATTAATGTAACGAAGAGACACAAAATTGTGATTACGTAGCCAACAGTACGGCCTCTATTGATGAGGGAAGGCGCAGCTCAAATTCTTTGACAAATTCCAGCAGCAAAAATCTTTTCTACACACGTCCTGACCGGCGTCTCAATTGCACTTATATACGAGCCAGCCCTGTGGATATTGTCTAAAGAACAATTTGGAAGGCGACGGTTTTTATCGTGCGAAATTGCACCCTCAGCATCTCGAACATACTTACATTGTAGACAAAATGCCTATCCAATAGCTCCTACACGTGCGTGGTCTCGAGGGATTGATCTTCAAGCGCACGAAGTCTGCTTAACCGGAGCACCGGGTCTTGCTGCCTTCGGAAATGAAGCACCCCATTCTGGATGCGACGTCGTTGCGCGACCCGCATGTCAAACTTCCATTCCCTTTTGATCGAGGAGCCGACAGTCTATAGGTCAGACCGATTTAGTTATAACTTTCTCATGCTTAACATGGTACCAGGTATATCATTGATCCATTCCGTTCTTTCGTCTCGTAGCCCGCCCACAAGCAGGACACTTTGACGCTCATGGAGCGTGACGCGTCGCCAGCAAGTGCAATTTTCTCTCTGGTATATTTGTCGAGCAAGGCTTTCCAGTCTTGCTCCAGCTCCCGCTCTCTGTTTGTCCTATGCCGTTGGGTACATCTATGCGAAGCCTTTCCGGCCGGTTTTCCGGGGAAGGAGCGAGCAACCAAGGCGCCTTCCTCGAGCACCCCAACACACTCGCATCTCACACGGAAGGCACCCACCACCCCTCTTCTCAGCCATGAACTGGCGAGGAAGGCGCGAGACAACCCACGAACACGCGGTCCTCTAGGTCCCTTATAGTTCAAAGTATGCCCATCTCTCCCTAACGGATACTGCCAGTCGAGCTGCTAGGACTTCCTCCTCCTCTAGGCTGCTGGTTGAAAGCGCTAGAGGTGTCACGTTCGAACCGCGGGTCGAGCGTGCGTAATTGGATTTTCACGGTAAGCTTGACTCCTGGGCTCAGCCTGGGGGCGGTATCCGGTATGATTTTTCTTTCCTTCTCGGCTTTCATTATTTGTTTCCTTTCTTGCTTCCGATCTAGATCTAAGCGTTAGCTGTTTATTTAATTCCCTTAGAGGCAAAGAAGGACGGCGGGACTTGAGCGCTTCTTTAACTCGCTTCATTGGAGCCCACCAGATCAAGGTGGCAACCTGTGGCTCATCGTTCATTGTGAGAGTAGATAGCTCCCTTGGCCAAAGGGTGTTCAAGATATCTGGCCCATAATCCATCATGTGCTGAGATGAGAGCTGCGAAATTGACTGAGAGGTTGCTCCGGCGTTCTACGGTCCAGGGCCAATACCAGCTTCTCACGTCTCGCTCTATTCACACATTTGCCAGAGTATGAGTGTTCTGCGAATCGGCGACTCACTACAACGACTTTTGCGGAATGGGTGGTTATGCTCGTCTAGCTGTGGGTCGTCCCAGAAATTCCAAGCAGTTGTGCTCCAACCTCTCGGCTCCATGAATTAGCATGCCCATCTCTAGGCGAATTGATTAGGAAAATTAATTTTTTTTTCATTTTTGTAGTGGCATAATCTATTTCCACCCTCAATCACTTTAAATCGGACCTCGCTCGTGAACAACCGTCTCATTTGAGTCGATGATTGGCTGGTTTCCTGGTACTTTCCCTCGTCGAGCCGTTAGCCGTCATTCAGCATTTCGCCAACATGACGTCACACTCGCACCCTGGCACAAACATCAAAACAGTGAATGAAGGACACCCCCGGCTTGAGTTGGGCAGAAAACATTCACACGAGGACACACATATCAGTTGGATGCTTTGGGGACAAATGACGACAGCGTGGCTCCAATCTAAAAGTAGATATTATCTAACGCTAAGACATGAAAATGTTTGATGGGCGTCGTAGTCATGATTTAAGAACAAATCGTTATAGTAGTAGTAACACACAATCGGTAGATGAGAATAATATGAAGAAAAGGAGCGGCTGGAAACAAGTAAAACGGCAAGCAACATTCCAAACAAAAAGTCCGAGCACCAGGCTTGTGCACGTTTATCCGGTCCTGTGTTCCACGTTATCATACTGCGCACAAAAGGGGATCAAGCCACAGGATCAGGAGTAGGCAAAAGGGCTAACTCACATTGGGCTGGGGTACGACTCACAGCAAACCAATGGTCACGTCGCCCTTGACTCGTGCGTAGAGGTTAAGTTCGGCCTCGAGGTCGAGGCTGATTTGAATCTTGAGGGTGCTGTCGTTGGCGTCGGAGTGGTTGCGGTCCTTGATGCGGGTCTTGCGGACACGCTCGCGGCCGGGCTCGCCGTGACGGGGTCCTTGTAGATCAAGGGACGGTCGTTGTCGTAATCCCTCCTGTCGTGGGCAATGCCCTTCTCGTCCTCGGAGGCGTCGGAGACCTCGTAGTTCTGCTGCTTCTGCCTATGGATAGGGGAACGGAACCGTTTAGCCACGAGAGAACAGATAAGAAAAGGGGAGGCAAAACCCTCGCCGGGTTCGACAACTTTGACTACTTCGCCACATGTCGCCCGGATCGACAATTTTTCCCGTGCCGGAGGCGAGAGTCGAGGCGAGGGTTTGGGGCAAAACGCGGTGGGGAGAGGATGTATTTTTGCTTACTTGTTGGACATATTGATGGTTGATTTACTTCGTTTAACGGAGAGAGGCGAGGAGGATTGAAAGGAGACAGATATCCCTTATCTTCAAGATGTTCCCGGTGACCTGGTTTAAGCTGATGGATAAGAAAAGAGAGAATAGAGCCGCATTAGAAAACGGCGAAGGGTCTGTTTCTTATATCTTCATTCCCCTCGCACATCTGCCTGTCTCAAAGCAAGAAAGGACGAAAAACTTGTTTGGCGCTCCTCTCCCTTGTCATCCTGCCTTTCCACGTTTCCGCTCATCAATGATCCTGCATGCTTCCTGGCACCCTTTTCCTCCACCCCCACCAGGATATCGCAACAAAAAAAGGCGGGGTGGTTGAACAATGAAGTCAGGGCCCGGTAGAGGTGCGTCACCCGCGATTACACTAGGCCATGGCAGCATGTAACGATGATGCTATCGCTGGTGTCGACGGGCTTGACGGGTTGGAATCCTGGCTCCCCGTGCATGACAGGGGTGGGGCGGGAGGCACAGTGATTGGCCCTGCGCCGGGAAAAGAGGCGTGATGGGCCCCAGCGTGTCCACCCATCGCAACGCTCATCCTCACTTGAAGGGGTCTCGGATGGAGCCATCAAGGGCATGACGGCCCACACCTCGTTCCGCAGTATGACGCTGTTTGGGTCATGGGCGGGCTGCGACTTCATTTATCGCGCTCCTGGTTTTTTTCCTTCCCCCTCGAGACTATGACGCTTAGGCTTATCTCGTTTGATTTGCTCCTCCCTGGTTCTTCGTTATGCCCGAAGCGAGGGTTTTGCGCGGGGAAAAAATGTGAAAAGTCGGGGATAAAATGCTTGCACCATGTGGACCATCGGCACAGCATGCTCGATGACGAGGGCCGTCTGGTGGTCTTGCTTATTATCGTCGGGACGATATTGTCCTCTCGGCGCGTTTCTGCCTAGCGCGCGCACGCTTTGAGTGTGCTTCGAATCGTCGATCCACTCAGACCAGTGAGCGTCTCTGGTTCCAAATTTGATCTTTTGTCGCTTATTGTTGGATCTTGGCTGGTTTGCACACGCGAGGCCTTCGATGACATACCCAAGTCGCAAGGGACGAGGTGGGCGCAGCGTGGAGGGTTGGCAGCGTCGGTGGACCCGATCACACCGACTGCACGTATAATTTAGAACTCGTAGTCGTAGCCACTCTCGGCTATCTACTCGTGAATCAATTCTTGGCCATTCGTGCAGCTGCTCTTGTTCCTCCACTCCCAAGACAAGATGAGCTTGGATAGAGAAGCATGAAGTGCAAGGCGCCCCCAAACTGGCCCTGACGCTCTAGCCGATAGGTATCCATCAATTAGTTGGCAGCTTTTCCGACACTGGGTAGATTAGGTGGAAACCATATTAAACGGGACGCAAGGCAAACAGAAAAAGCCTCAACCAAACGTGAACCGATGGGAAACGTACACTGTAGATCTACAATCCTTGCTGTCAAGAACAGGGATCGCGAAAACGCAGTCACTTCCAATTCGGCCCATGTGATGGCGGCTTAAATGATTTGATTTAATTATCAGGATACTCGCCGCCCTCTGTCTAGTGAGCTCACCCGCAGCATCACGGCTGCGCCTCCAGCTCATAGGGTTTGACCACGACGTTGTCGATGTTGATCTGTCTTATCCTGTCGGCAGGGAGCTCCTGGAACGAGATCGTGATGCGCAGAATAGCGCTATCCGCAGGAGCGACGAAGACACCGTCGTTCCGGAAGCGCGCTGGCTGGTAGGCGGTGTCGGTAATCCACCCTTGGGCCGCGATGGGCTCGTCGTTGATCAGCAGGCTTATCGCGGCATCCGTGACTTCGGTGAAGCGCACGAGGAGGCTGGCCTGGTACGTGACGCCCTGGCACAGGCTCATCGACTGCATGATCGTGACGCGGTCGCGCTGGCCGTCCTCGGAGGCGCGGAAGAAATAGGCGTACTCGCCAGACCCGGAGGATTGGTCCTCTGTGACTCCGGCCGGTTCCGGATGGGCGCCCACTTGCGCGACTATCCAGCCTTGATCCCCTGCCTCGAAATCGCCGTTGGTGACGGCATTTCCTCCCGCGAGCAGACCCCAACTCCCGGCGTCACCGTGACAGTGGGACCCTCCGTTGCCGTGCACTCCGTGATGGTCGTGACCTCCGTTGCCGTACAGTTAGTGATTGTCGCGACATCCGTCACCGCGCAGTCAGTCACTGTTAGAGCTTCCGTTGCCACACACTCGGTGATGGTCAAGGCTTCCGTGGCCACGCATTCGGTAATGGTCGCAACATCCGTTACTGCACAGTCAGTCACTGTTAGAGCTTCCGGGGCCACGCATTCGGTGATCGTTGAAATCTGCGTCGCCGCGCATTCGGTTATAGTTAAAGCTTCCGTTGCTAAGAATTCGGTGACCGTCAGGGCTTCCGCGACCGTGCATTCGGTGACCGGAGGAATCTCGACCGTAGCATACTCGGTCACCGTCGAAGTCACAGTCTTCGTCGATCTCGATTTCTACATATGTCGTGAAAGAAAGACTGTTAGTGCTGGTCATTGTCGAAAGAGTGAAAGAGGCAAGGGCCTCAATCCCTGCTTTTCTCGTGGGGACGAACAGTTTTGGTGCATTTACTGCGCGTGGTTACGTCTGTCGCTGTTAAACCCGGCGGTGGCGCTTGGAGTGCGAGCGCGAGAGGCGCCACACACAGAAACGAAGCTGCGATAAGCCTCATGCTTCCGAGCGCTGATGGTTGAGGAACCTCGACACCAGTAAATTCTGGAAAGGAGCGGACGGCGAAAGTTCGATGCCGAGTCGAGAGAGATTGATGAAAGGAGGAACTGGAGGCAAGCTCCAAACTACAAGATGGGTGAAGGGGCATAGTATTATGATGGATTTCCTATTTTCCCCTGTGTATTTACACTATTAGATCTGCGGACTATTCGTTAGGAGATGCCGATTTTCGATAGTCTGCTCGGCGCCCAAACTGGCAATTGTGCTAGGCCTGATCCAGCCCAGTCTCGCCGCACTTCCTCCCGACGGTGGGAAGCGGTTCCGTCGGTTCCGTCGGGAGGGACATTAAGATGATGAGGGCCCGCCAGCCGCAATAAGCCCTTGATGTGCAACTTTTGGCTTACCCAAGCCGCGAGCTTGTCGGAGTCTGGAGTCTAAATCGACGAGATCTTCGACCCGTGCTGGACATCCGAATTTCCAAGCTGCTGGGGAAGCGAAGAAAAAATCAAAGTGAGTAGTCGACCGGCTGTTGAATATTCAGTATTGAATCTCAGCCCCAGCGACACGGACAGTTCAAGGCGTGTGCCCCTTGCAGGTCAAGGCCATCCCAAATTATTGCCCCACACATTATCTCGAAAAGGGTTTGGTCGCCTGTTCAGCTTGCAGTTCGCGTCGTGAGGCAAGCGCGAAGTGCCTGCTCTTTGAGCAACTGACCACAAGAGAAACCTTAGTCGCTGCGACATCACATGAATAATAGCTAGATTGCATTCTTGGACGTCGACAGAAGAGATAGTGAAAGCTCGTGCCTAAGTCACGGGCTATACTCGGGATATAGAGAACCAGCAAGGGGCGCTACATATCGCACCACGGGCTCGACGGTATCACGGCGCATGTTAAACCTGGCCCACAATCAATCTTCCGTCCAGTTCTACCATTCTCTCAGTGATCCTTGGAGCACCTATAGGTGGTGTGAATTTAACCGCCATGTTTGATAGCATTAGGTAAATGTTGGCCAAGTTCATCGAATCGCGGAATCACAAGATCATCCTGGTACAAGATACTCTCACAAGGTCCCGATCCCGACACATGGCTGGAATAGGACGAAAAACTACAGCACATCACTGCCCGCCAAAATAGTCAGGGTGCCGCCGTCGAGAACGGGGACAGTAGTAGAGCTAGGCAGCGGCCAAGTTGTTGAATCTGACTATAGCCCCTTCCCCCACTTATTAACGACTGCAAGCTGGTTCTGCCATCCTTGGCTAGCATCACCGTTACGGACAACTTTCCCCAGGGCGATAACATCGGTTAAATGAGAGTAACTGTAGTTCTAACTGTGGTTGTTTCGCCGGGCAAGGTGACTGTTGTAGGAATAGTAACAGTTGTCTCTTCCCCAGGCAAGGTGACTGTTGTGGGAATAGTAACGGTTGTCTCTTCCCCGGGCAAGGTGACTGTTGTTGGAATGGTCACTGTAGTTTCCTCCAGGAATGACGTAGGTGATGATAGTTTCCTCACCGGGCAAAGTGACGGTTGTCGGGATAGTCACCGTGGTCTCCTCCCCAGGCAAAGTGACGGTGGTGGGGATCGTGACCGTCGTTTCTTCCCCAGAACCGGGCAGAGTAACGGTTGTCGAGACAGTCACAGTTACCCCTCCCACCCCTGAACAGTCTGTATATGTTTCCGTGACAGTCTTGATTGATTTCTGTATAAAGAAGATTGCCATCAGTATGGAGAAAGGCGGGATGAGAAGGCTCGCCACCAACAACACAAGTGCACGGTTATTTGGGGAGGGGGCAAAGAGCCTACAGATTTGGTACACCGAGAGCGGGTGGTCGCTGGGTTCGGCAGGGGCGGAGGCCCAGCATTGAAAGCCAGCGCCAGAGGCGCCGCTGATATAAGAGCTGCCGTGATGAGCCTCATGGTAGTTTCGGTTGGTCAGAAGCAGTATTAGATGAACGAGAGGCGGCTAAGAAGCAGCTAAACGGGTGCGAGATCGAAGGTCGGACTATGAACGAGAGTAAGCGACCCGTAGGAAACGATAAAACCGGCTGGTGAGGATTCGGGGTCAGAAAAGGATAGGGCTGCCTTTTTATCACATTAGCCCCAGCCATGTATGGCACTCGCGACTTTTAGGACCATGTTGCGGCGAGATAAGCGGCCAGCGCACAACACTCCGCAAGAAGCACGAAATCTCGAAGTGTGCCTGGAATAATTCCGCAGGTGCTCAGGTACTTCATATCCAGGTGTAGTCTGGCAAGGGGTCGAGATCAAATTATTGGCAGCTTAAATTTGTGAGCTGCTACTCCCTGGGCCTCATTGGCTACTAGGACACACCCCAACCGTGCCCAAAGCCTCCTCGCTTTCAGCTCAGGTCCTTCTTTCCCCCAAAGAGTGCGTGAGTTTTATTGAGGTGCAGATCTATCCATTGATCCGCCTTAGTGTAGAACGAAGCAAGGCAGTCGTCTTTCCATCTCGTCATCTGTAAAGTTGTAAAGGGGCGGGGACAGATTCGGCCATTCCCATTTTTCGTCGTCGAGTTATCCTGATAACGAAGCTTATCGTGCTGGTAAGGCTGAAACGTTGAAAACCATGATACCTTTTCCTACGGCTCGCCAAAGGGCCGCAGGCCCGATAATCTGCTGTCTTATGCTCATCTACAATGATCGTTCCCTAAATCCTCGACTGACCGCTGTCCGCCTTTTGAATTCGTGCGTTGATGCCGACGAAAATCAAGGATAAGCCCTCTACTGCTTCCCTGACAACAGGGGTCTAGGCCAAAATATAATCCGCATACCTCGGTAGAGAGATAGAAATTGGCAATCGACACGTAAAGAGACGGGAATTGGATATTTTCAAGGTGACTGTTCCCGATGTACCTCAGGACATGCTCCGTTAAAGCATGCATGACGATGGCGGTGGGTGTGTCCGGGCACGCGATCGGTATCGCGGGGAAATACCGATCAAATCCACTTATTGCTCGGATCCGACAGCCGGGTAGCCCTCCCGGGGCTGCTTTGACGACTGTGCTTATGTCAATCGTCTGACCGCACCTCGGGAGCCCTGCACCGCCCTGTTATCAAAGATTTCATGTTTCGGGGAGTCGAACTGGCTGCAAATCTAAAATCCTGGCGGGATTAATGTCATGAGTGCGCTGAGCCACCTCGAAAGCCGCCGATCAAAAGCAAGAGCAGCAGAGACTGAGGGCACACTGCGATGACGCATGTTCCACCGATCTTGCCGTTTTGGCGTTCAACGTCGCAGCAGCCAACCGTTTTCGAGTTCGCGCTTTCATCGGGAGCAGAGGCGTCCGACTTGCTAATACATTGATCCATTGTATTGAATGATTGGAAGAAATCCCACCTCGTCCTACGGCGACTTCCAAGCCAGATCCTTCTGTCACACTCAGCGTTCAGTCGCCGGCTGAATACAAATAATATCGCCTACCCCGAGAGGGCTTGGAGGATTGGGTAGGGCCTCATTTTGACAAAGCCATTATCCCGCCATAGGATTTCTTATTTACTAGGCTCGTGACCATGCCCACGTCTTCTCGTTATTTCTCATCCTTTTTTCTTCTTTCATTATTAGCGCTTCTTGGCACCATCCCCTCACAGTTTGAGGGTTCCAGAAGCCAAGACGGAACTTTGGCAATCCCCGCATCCTTAGGATTGTCCGATCGCGCTGATTCCCGCACGTTGATCCTACCAACAGGAAAGGTGACAAAGGGGCGAAAGTGACAGTAGAAAAGGAACTGGCACCGCCAATCCCAACCGACCCGAAAGAGCAAACAAAAAAACTATAATAGAATCCTAGAGGCGCCCACCCGAGCCTACCAACCTTGTTTCCACGACAGGCCAGCCGCAGCGTACCCACCATGTCTATCGATAATCACGACCAACCCCCTCGTACGACGATGTCGCGAATGACGTCAACCCCATTCTCCAGCCAACCATCCACGTACTCGTGGGCCAGACGATCCACGCCGAGTCCGCCGATGCACCTCTGCTCTACCGGCTGAACCGCGGCGTCGCGTCTCTGTCCCACGCGACCAGCGAGGTGGAGCTTGAGCGCGTGGACCGCCGCTTCCACTCCAGCGCCGACGCGGCCCCCGCGATGCGCGAGCGGACGCGGCATATTTACGACCTGCGCCTGGTCAAGGGCGTTCACGGCACGCTGTCCTCGCTTCCCTCGGATAGCCCGGGCTTTTACGCGGCGCCCCAGAGCCGGAGGCGGTCGCTCGGCTGCTTTGGGCTGAAGAAATCCCGGGTGCCGGGCCGTTTGTCCTGGAAGGCGCTCCCGGTGGACCCCACGGGGAAGAGCAGCAAGTGGAACGTGGCGTCGTTTGTGAAGGACGGAACGCCCGTGTTTGAGATGAAGCAGAAGAATGGGAGATATGAGTGGGTCGACGGCCAAGGCAAGCATATCGCGGTCGAGGACGAGGGGAGGACCAACATAGGCTGGTCGTCACGGCATCGCTGCCCCAGCAGACGGTGGATGCCCTGATCGCTCTGTGGTGCTGTAGGCTATGGCAATACTCGGCCGAGCATCAAGATTCCCTCTATGAGGGTGTAGATGGAGGTAAGTGACCGGTGTGACGAGTACCCTCTCCGCTCAGAGATCCTACTCGTTCCTTGTATAAGGGTCCTCCTATATCATGGAAGATACTGACAAATAGGTACAGTGAGGCACAAATTTGCACAGGCAAAGGAGCTCAAGGGCTCGACGAAATTTGGAATATATGGATAGTTTGGGCCACTGGCTCTAACCCGCTGGATACTGATGGACGGATGGGGTTGCAGCAAGGTCAAATTTGTCGCTGTCACGAGGTGATGATTTGGGAAGAGATTGTACACAGCGAGTTTGTTTACATCCATTTATATAGCTTCTTGGTTCCTAGTTCAGGAAAGGCGGCTGCTGGCCTACGAGTAATGATTACTATTTGTTTTTGCGGCTATCAATTCTAAATAAAGCCAATGTGTTGGTGTATTCACGTCTTGTTTCTCCAAGATTTGCGGCCCTTGATAGAGCATTCATGGCCGAAACTCGACGACAGGGATTATCGTCCGTAAACTATCTCCACGGGCTTCTCTCACTGGTTTTGTGCGAACATGAGAGTTGGGGTCGTCGAAAAAAAAAGAAATGGAAGGAGAGAGGAGAAAGGCGAAAAAATTGGCTCGGCCCGGGTTCGAACCGGGGACCTCTTGTGTGCCTCAGTGGAGATGTGAGACAAGCGTGATAACCGACTACACCACCGAACCATTAGTTGATTGCGGAAATATCCGTCGAAAGTAAACCCATATACCCCAACGCAGTGGTGAGGGAATAAGCAGCCACTCGAGGATGGCTTTTCTCAATGCCCCACAGCCAAGCAAGAGATGACAAGGAGGTGGCTGTTCGTGTGAGGGCGAATCGGAAGAACACTCGAAAGGGGAAGAGAGCAAGAAGAAGGGCCTCAAAGGAGCCCCGAATTTCTCCGATCCCCACATATTTCCTTGCGTTCTCCAAATGGATTATCTCGTTTCACACAGCTGCCAGGTGCCGTAATTGTGGCGACGAACATCTTCGCGATGGTAAGAAACAGTCGCTGGGAGGTTACAACCAGGCTCAAGTGCCTGAAAAGGAAGTGTGAAGAGCCCGAATATTACGTTATATTAAGATTAGCTGGCTCAAAAGGCCAGGCAAATTATAATTATCATACACATGAAGCCCAGTAATCACCATCACCCCCTTAGGAGTCTACCTCTTTACGGAACACGACACCGCCCTACGCGGTCGAACCGGGAAGCTCGATGAGCTTGTAATCAGCATCGAGATAGTACCACCAGGTATACTTCTCCGGGATGGCGGCGGCAGCTTGCTTCGCGTCCCTCTTGGGAATGCCGAATTCGCCGGCCGCCTGGCAGCGGAGACGAAGCTTTCGAGATCTGCAACAGAGGTCTGGTTATAGTTGATCTCGTTGGAATCGACCTTGCCAGCCACGAGGTCCTGCCAGAAGCCGTGGCTCTCCTCGAGCACATTTATGACGAATTCAGCATCCTGCCAGGTATCTCCGACGATGGGAATCACGCCGTCACCACGGGCGACCTTGTAGTACTGGGAGGAAATTAGAATTTTTGTGATCGTGCCATATTTGCGGGTTCAACTTACAGTAAACCAGTCACGGTAGGTCTGAATAAGACCAGGTCGGTACTTCTCAACGTCCTCGACGGCTACAAGAATCAGCATGCGAATTGAATTTTCCCCGGGATCAAAACCGAATAAACGACCAAAGAACTTACTGTTTACGAGGGCAGCAAGAGGGTCGTTGACGTCAATGGAAATCATTTTCCAATCAGTCTCCTCGCCCTAGAGGCAACAGAAGAGTTAGTATTTTGCACAGCTTTTGGTGCTCACCGGAGCTGGGTGGATGGGGGTAAATCACTTACATCAGCCAAAGCTAGGCCGCCGAGAACTTTGACCTGCTTGACCTGCCCGACATAGCCAGGGCTAGAGTTGGATTCGTCAGCGTATGGGGCATGGGGCTATCTTTCAACGGGCTCTTGACGTACTCGTTACCGATATCAATGATGTCGACGGGGTCGTTGTCACCCTCGTAGTTGGTAAAGTTGTGCTTGAAGTTGGGGCTCTCCCATGTCTGTGGCACGGAACCATAGATGAAAGGGTAGCTCTTGTGAGGCCACACACTCTCCACGAATCGAGGGAGGTCCTTCTTCTCGTCATGGAAGATGGGGTCTATATACGTGTTAGAGGCCGGTAAAGACAGCCCTGGGGTATTCGGGGTATAGTCAAGAGGAAGAGAGGCAGAGACGCACTTAGAGGCTCGCTTCTCTTGATCTCCAGCTTGCCGTTGGTCCAGCGAGGAATTTCCACCACCATGTTGACAATCTGGTGGTTAGACTCATCGGGGTAGGTGGGTACATCGTGCCAGAACGAGATGGGCCTTCCGTCCCGGAGCAGCCAGACCCTCCAGTCCTACAATCACAGCGCACGTCATGTCAGATCAGTGGGGCCGGTGCTACGGTGGGTTTTATGCAAGGATAAACTGTTACCAAGGTGTTGCGAGCTCCGACTTCCCGGAGGCGAAGGGTCGTGTAGTCGCTAATCGGGGAGCCTTCGGTGCAGTTGATGGCGGGACAAGAATTGGCGAGGGCCCCTCCGGCAAGAAGGAGCGCGAGGAAGGGTTTGGCGGCCATTGCGGGATTGGATACAAGCGGTCAATTAGGATAGATTGAAAATGTGGAAGAGGCGCCGAGTTGAACCGGGAAAATGAGCGACAAGAAAATAAACGCGGACGAATACCACGAGATTCAATTCAGTTGAAAGGGAGCTACAACTACCATATTATATGTGACCATCTTATCACTGGATACCGTTGGGATATATATGCTGGTTACCATTTCCCTCATCCCCTCTTTTCTTAGAGCCAAGAGACCAGGGTTAATCTTCAACAAGCCTTGCCCGTTCCCATCATTAGTCGCAGGTGTTTGTCACATTTGCCATGGAAGTCTGTGGATATCGCGCATCTCACTCCCGCGGACGAGACGCAAGCCATGCACCCTGCTGCCGCGCTACCGGGTAGGTAATTTTAGGTTGCAGGAGTTCAAGGGCGCGTTCGGTGAGCTAAAGAGTAAAGTCGCATTCTCGGCCGCAAGACGCCCACCAGGCGTGGGCTGTCAGACTGTCGTGTGCGCACGTGTGTTTTCCCATCTGTCTTGGCAGTGATGTGCATCAGTGCCGGATCCGGAGAATTCCACTGATGGAGCAGTGGATTTTGGTGGGGTTCAAAGAGGGAAGGGGCCAATCGCGGGCTTGAACTCCCCACGTGAGCGATCAACAAGAGACAACCACGCTCCTTCTTGGGGGATGCAGCACTCCTTCCATCCCACCAACCTATCGTTCACCTCGCCAAGAGAGGGGACACAAGACGCGATATCAATAGGGAGAAAAAAAGCCAGGGACGAATACATAAAAGAGCTAGCCCGTGGCTTGGTCCGGGGAGCCGGCCTAGCGGCGTTCCGGGAATGAGCGTTCCCGGCCTGATCACCCTCGCAACGGACCTCGTCTCTGCAACGATGAAGCCCCTTTTACACTCACTCGCGGCCGTTGCGTTCGCCGGTGCTGTGACCGAGGCTGCACTCAATATCACCTATTTTCATAATCATACGGCCAACACTATCGCCCCCGCGAGGTTGCCCTTCCCGGACCTTCATCGCAGTCCGAGGAGATTATTCGCCAATTCGCTGCGCTAGACCGTTCCACGGCGTGGAACCTCGTGGAAAAGATCGAGTTTGAGGGCCCCACGTGGGAACCCGAGGGCATCGTTCGCCTCGGCGCGGATCGCTACTTCGTCTCCGCGGGCGAGTACATTGAGCGAACCGTGAAATACCCCGAGCCGATCAACGGCACCGACCGCTCCGCCGGCATCGGCTTCGCCCACGTCATAGTCTTTGACGGTGCCGGCAAGCGTGTGGCAGATGCCTCCATCTCCAAGGCGGGGATCTCGAGTACCACAATGGCGGGCTTGATTATGATGGCACCTACCTCTGGGCTACGCTGAGCGAATACCGCCCCAATTCCACCGCCACGCTGGTCCGCTTGCGGCCTTCCACGCTCGAGCCCGAACCGATACTCCGCGTTCGCGACCACCAGGGTGGAATCGTGCACGACCTCTCGACGGGAGAGCTCACCACTCTCAATTGGGGTTCGCGCCGTGCCTCGCAGTGGTCCCTCCGATACCCCGTGGAACCTGTCCCGGATTTCACCACACCTCTGGCGACCACGAGGAATCCAAGCGGTTGGATCGACTACCAGGACTGTAAATTTCTCGGGCGGTCGAAGGCGTTGGACTCTCGCGCCGTCATGGCCTGCGGTGGCATCGCTGACATTGGCGGGGGCGATGGCCAGCAGGCAAAGGTGACTATCGGCGGTATTGCCCTCGTGGATGTGCTCACCATGACGCCGCTGATTCAGGTCCCTATCCCCATGGTCACGGAACAGGGCGCGCACATGGCTAAAAATCCCTTCGACCTTGCACTCGTTGACGGCAAATTGAGGCTATATTTCTTGCCGGATGAAGAGCACTCCACTCTATATGTCTATGAAGCAAGGTGATTGGAAGTTGAGGTGTCTATGAGGATGTTCGAAGGGATTGAGGGCTCCTATTAGCAGGCGCCGTCACAGCCCGAACGTGTATATTTCCCTAGTAAAAATCAAGTGCTAGTTCAGGACACTGGTCAGCTTACGACATACGAGCTGCATTTCTTCTTTACATTAAGCAGAAAACTTTCCAAGCATACGGTGTCCCAACATGCAGTTTGTTTTGCGCCCCACCTAGCTACTCGATGCATGAAGGCAGAGGTTTTGCAGCAATTTGTTTTGTAAAAGTTCCATGTACCATTGAACAGTTTGTGTCTCATTATAGCACGTAGCCGTCCCCTCACTTGTTCTGATAAGCATGATTACCACCCACCCCCGGAACCGAGCGACTCATGCCCCGGCCGGAGCAATGGGGAGGAGGGATTAGCTGCCTGAACCCCGGAGGAGGCTGTTCTGCCGAGTGATAACCCAATCCCTTTTCTAGGAAGAGGGTTAAGAATGGTTCGATGGGCTAACACCAAAACACCAAGCTCTGTCGGAGTGACGACGTGTCCGCCCAGGTTTCCGTTTTCCTGGGTAACGGGAACGAGCTAGGCCGAATTAAGGCCACTCGCTCTACGCGATGGATGAAGGGAGCGGAAACCCCTATGGCAGTCTACCTTGATGTTGATTGTCCCCAAGTCTCGTCTTAATTTGCCAAGATTTCTCAGTTGCGGCGAGAGAAAGTTAGACGAAGGACGCGGCAACGGCGACAACAAACGTGCTTTATAGACCGGCGAAAGGGACGTAGAAGAGTAAAGTCTTACAAAATACGGTCCAGGGTCAAATGGCAATATGTGTATATTCTCTACCGTCTTCTTTAGTCGCTCGCCTCAATCTTCTGGGTCTGGTTTCTCACACTCTGCCGCCTTGATTTCCTCTGGCGTCGACGCCTTCCAACCGTGCTGCTCAAGCACTTCAAAACTTGGTCCAGCCCCGGTATAGGACGCTGGGTTCTGCCCTCAACAATCAGCATTTTCCGGTGCTTTCCATAATCGTAGGCCGTGCGCCCATATCCATCCCTCCATTGCACCTCGCCGCCAGGCTGGGCAAGGAGAAATTCCACAGCCTCGACGTTCCCTTTGCTCACGGCAAAGTGCAGTGCTGTGCTCATTTCCGTGTAGCCAAAGTAATCGTCCCAAGGTTCGTCCAGCATGGCTCCCTTAAATTTTGGAGTATGTTGCTTCGGGTCCATGCCGAAGAAGTCGTGCGCGCCATGGCGGAGTAAAAGTTTGAGGTATTCGGCCCCGCGATAGCATGCTGCGCCGTGAGTTATTGCACGGATATGTTTGGCCGTTCCGTGGTCCTTTGGGTTGCATAGTGTGACGTAGAGATTAACTAGGTCTGGCTCAGCCCGCGCGGATTCCATGCCATTTCGTAAGATACTAAACACTTCGTCCGGTGTGAAGAGTGGATGGGAGTACATTAATGGAGCAAGTTCGCGAAGCAGGCCCTCTCCGCCGTATACGTCGTCGTAAGAGCCCAGGAAAGCATATGAGGTTGGGGAGACGCCCATCCATGTCGAAGGAGGGAAATCCATATGTCGCATCCGCTATCTTCAAAGGCAGCCTTGATGAATAGAGGATGTCTTACGATATGACGGTATCGGTCTTCGCCTAATGATGTGCTGACTCGCTGGTGACTAAATAGTAAGTCATGGTCTGGCCCTGGGGGAATTTTGCTATCACCGCCATGGCTAAGATCTTATTTCGGATCAGTAATGCGAGAACGACGAAAAGTTGACGGAAGCCAGAATTTTGTAGCAAGCTGATTTTCGATGAAGCGGTTATAGTCTCATCTATGGCTTCAAGGACTTCGAGGCTTGGCTGATTGATGGCTTTGAATAGCTTCTCTACGTCGGTCTGTTCTGGAAGAGCGAGTGGTGGTGGCAGCTCAGAATTGTCGTCCTGGTACGCCGGATACCAGAGACAGATGGCCAAAGCCGCGCTGTGTATTCTCTGATGCATATCGTAGGGGCTTAACTCAAATTTCAATCGGACATCCTTAGGTTCGGGCCTCAATGTATTCAAGTGATACAACTCTGCTAAAACAGAGCAAAGGAATGCATCTTGATCAATTTTGGCTTCACGGAAGTTGTACAGGGCTTCTGCCAATCTGATGCCCGGCGTGAAGAGTGGTGACTTGGGCACGGTGGTGGGTGGAGGAGGCATCCTGAGGTGGCTCCCCGTGGTTTGGTTCCCAGAAGAATGGATGGAATTGTGCGGTGCGACTGGGAAACAATAGCCCAACAGCGTGCGGGCGTTGTCTTTATCAACAACATCGAATGGATCTATGGATTGAATGGACACATCCACCCATCCAGCATCATCAATCAATACAGTCTGCCTTGGGTCAGCTGCCCTCCCTTATCTCGCCGCCCCTCCGAAATCCCAGAAGCTGAATGCCTCTTTGGCCAGTCCACTAGGTGGCGCAATACGTGATGCCGCATTTCGAACCAATCTCTACGGAGCCGCGCTTTTGGTAACAACTGCTCTCGGCCACTGGAATTCTTTGACAGGTGGTCGAACAACATACGCGCATCTAATTATCCATGTCTAGAGGCTTCAGGATGGGCGAACATGTGGGGGCAAAGTGTAAAAATGCATTCTTTGTTCTTTCGAAGGTCCTGTACGACACTACCACTACCTCGTGGCGAATAGGGCAAAGTACCGAGACCTCCATATGCGAGAGTATGATCAATTCGTCTCCTTCGAGTTTCATGCAGCTAACACGTCAAATGCATCTACTTGATCACAACCAGCACCTCTACTCTGCGGACTGCGACGAAAGGGGAGGCGGAGCCGTAACTCCGCCAACAAATATGTTATGGGTGAATGCATATAGATGTATTGGGGTGATTGGTGAAGATGAGAGAGCGAGGCCGATACGTCTGCTCCTTCGCCTGCATGCAGACACATCTCCGCCAACCGGAAACCGAATTCAGCCGCCAACTCCGTTGATGCCTAAGATGGCCGACAACTGCAACGCGCTTCATTTAGTCGAGCAAGGCGAATTTGCGCCTTGGTCGCGAAGGAGAATGGTATTTCTGTGCATGAGTTTTACTAATGGAAATTTTCATTGGAAGAGAATGTGATTGGTAGGCTCTGGTTGAATATACGGTTCATTGTAATGGATCCATGGATGTATGCGTTAGAGGGAGAGGGGACTTGGTCTAGGAAGGCAGCGCGAACCTCGTAACAACATGTCTCCCTATGGTATTGCCTGGTACTAAGGAGAACTACAAATTCCCCTTATCGGGATGTGTTGAACCCATTTTCGACATTGCTAATCCTCTACTGGCGGGCCAAGTTGGTCCAGTACCCTTTGTGAGTCCGTAATGGCGCGCGCGGGATATGGCGGAAAGAAAGGCAGTTAGAACGAACTTGTATGCGTTCATTCTGAGCATGGTAATTTCATGCCACATATACCCAAAACTTACCCATGGTCCTTGGGAACTCTCTGGAAGCTCTTCCTGATCTACAAACACGGCCTGAGACAGCTCTAACTTCGATACTGAGGTAGAAAACGTCGGCGTATAATTCGGGACGGACACACAGTAGTCGTACCCAGCAAAGATATCACCTGCGTTGATGGTTTAGTCGCAATGGTCCGACTAGACCGGCCTACCGAAACTTACACCCATATTTGAGAGCCGGGTTCCAGGCTACAAAGCGCTCATGCGATAGTCCGTATAACTCTTCTATGAACTTGCATGAATCACGGCGGTCTAGATAAGGAAGGAATGGCGATTAGTCCCCGTCACTCCTACGACTTGTGTGGGTGGAAGTTGACATATACTTACAAGAGCTTTTATTTGCAGTCACAAACTGATTGCAAGTTGATACGATCCCTAGACCGCATTCCATAGGGCATTAATGTGGCGATCTTTTCCGCCTTTGCGTTTAATTCTTAGTAGTTATAGGCGTCTTGCTTACCTGGTGGACGATAATGTTCGATTCTCACGCAATAGTTGAACCCTATGTCCGTATACGATTAGTTCACTGCACAACGCACAATTTCGCCAGGCCGACTCACCAAGGACAAAATTTTCACACTTTCTACCCACTGCGGGATTCCATGCGGTAAACTGCTCCTCTACGAGGCCAAACCTGAGGTGGAATTGTCGACAGTCGTCTGTAGCCTTTGGGGTGGAAGTCCCCACACAGGCATCCGTGATTCCCTCGCTATCGATTTTGAACGCCTGCACACAGTATTGGGCATCACTGAGCAGAGCACAGTCTGGTCCTCGGGAAAGTGATGGATTCCAGAGGAGAAGATTCTCCAATGCGATACCATATCTGGCTGCCACGTCACTACAGGCGGTGGTGCTGGCTCCTCCGATCACCTCATCTTGAGTCGTCACGCCGCCGACAAGATAGATACGGCAATCTTGACGCGTCCCCCGAGCCACCTCGATAGTAAATTCGTCAGGGGTTCTCATGCGGGTAGCGATAGGTTGCTGTGCAACAGGCGTCATACCCTCCAAGTTCCACCTAGTTGTCGTGAAGTCAGAATTTATGCGCAATACCAGGACTCCATACTTCCAAGTCTATACTTACGTTTTTGTCGAGCGTGATATAGAGGTAATGTGGGGCTTGGGCCTAACCGACTCCCCGCCTGGTGAGGAGACGCAGATCGCGTAGCCGACATGCCGGTGTATGCGCTTGCAGTCTCTGCCTAGCTCCGGATTCCAGCCTACAATTCGGAAGAATGTGGTTTCATGGTTTTGAGCAATCGAGAGACAAGTATCACCATATTTTATAACGTAGGGTGTGCAAGTGGAATCTCTGGGAATGCAAAGAGAGCCCGAGCTGGGGAAACCGTAACAGAATGCGCCGAGCCCATTTGCGGCGATCAGTTTCATGGTACTGGTGCCAGCGGACGTGGCGACTTCCACACAGGATTTTCCATCTATCGAATATTCTATACCGTCACAGGTCGGGGTCGGTTCGGGTGCCTCGGGATTCGTTCTTGTAACTCTATAATTCGGAAATTCAGTCTTTTGCTGGAAAAACGTCCCCTTTGTCCTAGCCGAGCGACTCACCTTACTTCCCAATCAACTGATGAGGATGGAGGAGTCGGCAGGGTGAAGCGAGTTTCCGAGCACAATGAGGTGGCAGTATTGAATGCCTTCTCAAGATATTCCATGGAGACCAACGGCATAGCAAGCTGTGTTTGCAACAACGATAGGAAGCAAGTATTGCAATGTGCATCCGACGCTACGATATACAGAAGCAGTGGGTCAATGGAAGCAAAGGCAATCGCAGGTGCGGTGATGAATTATATCACTTACCAACTTCGGCTGTCCGCTGTTGGTTCGACGGGTCGATTCCCATCAGATCACCAAGGACGGTATTGCAGAGACGATCGTTACTATTCGATGGGCCCGTGGTGGTTAGCTCGCAGGTTGTCAATACTATCGTGCTAGACAAAGGCTGAGCTCACTCATCTTTCAAGCAGATCGAATCGAATGCTTCCCGAAATATCTCTGCCCAGGCTAGAACAGCGGTTGAGAAGTCACCGGTAACAACTGCAGCACCATCGCAAGCTCCGGAAACACGTCCCATCCACACCTGAAGCGACCTGGAGCACTCATCTGCGCAGAGCCTGCCGAGGTCCTCTCTGCTGAAAAACCTCCGGATCCCAGCTAGGGCATCTCTGTCACCGGTCCCCTTGAGGAGGGAATGACAAGCGACTTCTTGGTTTAGGACAGAGATGCAAGTGTCGGAGAGTTCTGGGTACGTAGTTTTCTGGATGTTTAGAAGTTGAACCGCCCCGTTCGAGACACCGGACGCTACGAGAGCAGCGAAGACGTATCGTGAGAGTGGACGCATGTTCGTGGATCTATGCCTCAAGGCCTGTAGAGAAAGTGTTGGAGTAAGGCCTCTCCGCGCCCGTGTTGGTTCAGGACAAGGCAAGGTTGATAGAATACCAAGAGGATACGACGGCCGGACCGTTATCTAAATCATAGAGCCAGTTAGTGGCGTTGCTTTAACCGGCTCTCGTTGGTAAAGAAGGCGTAGGCAGGTCCTGTGTGGCCCCACGGCAGTTTCGCATACTGCCTAAAGGGATAGCGGCCATGTATCCGTCACTATGTCACTCTTAGTTGGTTGGTTGGTTGGTTGGCGTGAACCAAGATATAGGAGCATCTTCAACGTCCAGGCTCTACGGCCTCGCCGCCGGGCCGACACGTACAAGTGAACTTGGCCTGCGACTCTTCCACAAGTTTTCTAAGCTGTCGCCAGTACATCAACCTATACATTGCCGCTGCCAGTATGCCTCGGTGATATCGATGGTGGGATGTGAAATCGAACTGTTTACTGGGGCTCAGTTTCATCACCGTCAACCCTCGTATTTAGCCAATCCTAACCGAGTTTCCAATCATCACCTAACTTGCCTGCTTCGTCTCGGTCTGGATACGTGTGTAACACACGTCCAGGAGAGGAGTCACAGTACTACAGCGGCCCCATTCCGGGTGAAAAAGAACGCTTCTAATATGCGCCTAAATGCATCGCCCGCGGCATGGCCACACGAGAGATCGAGAGACTATGTGGACAACACTAAATTGCACAAATAAGCCCTACACCCTCGTTTAAACGAGTGTTTCTACTTATTGAACTGCAGAACAAACTGCAGAATCAAATAAGAAAATGCAGAACCAACTGCATATCTGTCGAAAAAGCGATTCGCCAACGAGAAACCCGTGACAGATAATTAATGCCACAGCCCAAGCCTGCGCCAGGTCGTACCAGTACATAGATCCCATCTTCAATTTTGAGACACCAACTGGAGAGAGACTACTCCGAATACTCTAAGAACCGCTAAGGGTTAACTTCACATAGTCGATTTCATAACTAACCCTAGGCTTAGGTGATATCTTTCAGGCGAAAGGAGCGAGGAGAGAACGAAGTGGTGGCAAACTCTACCACCATCGCTCATACAAGTCTTTAAACTGTAGTAGTGACAATACGGATATCCACAGATCGCGCCTCTTATGCAGACAAGATGTAATACGTTTTTCTTCTCGATTTTGAACCACTTGCGCGACATCAACTAGCCCCTTGCTAGTGACACAAAACACTAGGTATACACTTGCACTCTGATGGCACGCTAAATAATAGGCGTACGAGCGCTGTTGACGCCACTGATCGACCTTGCCTATTGCTCAAGTGGAAAATGCAATGACTTCGACATTTTGAGCCGCAGAAATCCCAGTGCATCTTTGCAGGGGCGAACAACGGGAAAACGCCAATTGTGAGTTGACCAACCCCTAACTTTATACCTTATAATATGATGAGTAAGGGAAAATATTAATCACTAACTTATGACTAAAGATGCCTTGGAGGGGGATGAGGTTGTTGTCGAGCGAAACTTCCATATATGTTGTGCAGTCAACCCCAAAATTATCACCAAGTTTGGTGGCCAATAGTTTTGGGTTCAACTTGCTTTCCCTCCCACGCCCCTTGAGATGAGAAAGGGGATCAGATTGTGCAGGATACTCGGACGGAGACTTATCATCCGCGCAACCTTTGGCTCGGTGAAAACCCCATCCCTCAGTTTAAACCGGCCATGGAATTTCCCTTCTCCCTATCACTTCTCGTCGATATCAGAAATCCACCCCTTCCAGTTCACTCCCGAAAACACCATGTCGAACCCCGCTAAGCCAGCTGTCGAAGCTGGATCCAGCTCCTTTGCCGAGAAAATGGCGTTATTGAAAGCGGAGGACCTCACAGACTTGGAGAAACAGCTGCTACCGATTTTCGAGGCTGCGCTCCTCTCGAAAGATCCACCTACCAGCGACGACGGCATGACGCCTGGTGCCGCAGCTGCTGAGATCGATCAGTTGTGCCCGTCGCCAGAGGCCCTTGAGGATCTCGAGACTTTTGTATGGACTCTATGGGAACTTTCGCTTGCCGTGGTTCGCGCGGCGCCTTTTAACGACCCTGCGATAGAGGAGATAGTATCTATTTTTGAGTGCTTACGCCTTCGCGCAAGAAGAACTGTCTCACTTTGGGGCGTATGGCCACTAGTCCTTATCCACCTCTAGAGCCAAAACTGACGGTTGGCTAGCAAGAGTACCGCCTCTGGAGAGATCTCCCTTTGCTAGGTTCGTGTATTCGTGAAGCATGGGTTGGTAAGTTTTGTGACATCAATTTCCCGTACTGCGAATCCGCTGACCTTCCCGACAAGATCCGTTGGAGGCGGCGAAAGATCCCGACTATGAGGCCGCAAATCCTGACATGAGGGCCGAGTGGATCAGTCTCAATGCATTCTGCGCTCGTCTTGTGAATACTGGAGTTGTACGATGGACAGTGCTCGCTGTTATAGAGATTCGAGCTGCCCTGGAGTGTGATATTCCGGATGATGACACCAGGGAACTGAGGTTGGTCGTTGCAAGCCAGTGGATTACGTTGTGCGGTAAAGAGTTATTCAAGGACGCCTCTCAAGCGAACACTCTTAACGAAACGGAACTAGATGCAACATCTCCCGGGCCCTTGTATACTGGCCGACCCGGCTTCGGTATGTAGAGGTGGCGGTTTTGGATGGAACGGTTCGAAGAACTTGGGGCAAGGGCAGAGGGTGATATAGGTCACCAGGCAAAGAGCGCCGCTGTTCATATGAACGACATTATAGAGAAAGATGGGAGGGTCATCGCTCGCCGTCTAGGCGGTGCCGACAATATCAAGACGGATAGCTAGGCCGGGTGTATTCCGTCAAACGCTTCAGACCTATAACCAGACTAGCGTGAGGGAGCCGGAAATTCGCCGTACTAGGCCAACATCATGCATATGCATCCCACGATCCCTGCTACCTTTAACGCCTCGTCTAGCCGTGTAGCTGTGTGTAATATAGCAGATGGATCTTCTCAGGTCTTCAAGTGCAAGAGTATGGCCCGAACGCGCCGGATGCTAGTGCCGGAGGTCCAAAACTGGGCCGCAATTGTCGATTTTATGTTATAGACATGGCAACTAAAGATGGGGTGACCCAGGACAGTGACCTCCTTCGCTCACCTCACACACATCTGCTCGCCCCAGCTCACCCCGGCCCATGCTCATGCATGAGCTACGACATCTCCCGATGAATGTAGCGTACACCTGGGGCCTATCCGAAGCCCAGAACTTTACTTCCTGATTGTAACATCGCACTCGTCACATCGCTCAGCCTCACAGTTGCTGCAATCTGGATTGTCGTCCCACGATTGCTCGTGGCCACAGTTGCACTGGGTGTCACATTCATCAGCGAGGAAGGAGAAGGCTCTACCAACGGGTACGTACGCAAACATAGGTGGTATTGTTGTGTGAGCGAATTCCCGGGACAGTAGCCCCTGACACGAAGATGTTCGCTGCCATTTCAAATCAGAAACTACCCCGGTCTGCGTGAGTTCAGTGTTTTGACTTGCCCGAAACTGGCTCCAGCGACAAGCCGGGTACCACTCGCACTACTGTGTCCATTCTAGATAGGGCCTGTGATGGGTGGGATGACGGACGTTATTGATAGAAAAGAAGAGACTGTTATTAAGGAGCAGAACGGAACGGTGGATCTTGAAAGAGACTGATATAGGTGATGAGGAAGGAAGTTTCAAATATCTGGAAAGGGGAGTCAAAAGGGTACATGTTATATCCTTCATTGAGGCTGCCCGCGTCTTCATTTGTAATTTCTATTCCTTCAGGACTAGCTGCGTGATATTTGTAATTCTGCAAGTTGATCAGGAAAGCGTCACTTCTCCTCACTTCCAACGCCTCCCCTCCTTAAATGAGCCGTTTACGCCGAAACTAGGCAGGGACCCATGCAGCCTGAACAGAGGCTGCAGGACGTCACCGTGAATCTAAGATATGAAAGATGACCTGATTGGGGGAATATTACCAGAGTGACAGATTTCATTATCTACTATTTGATAGTACCTTAGGAGCTAGGCTTCGCAGTTTTCAACCTTCTATCGGCCGTTTTGCATTACATCACCTCATAACCAATCTCAATCGTTGCTTCTTCAATTATGTTGGTCCACAGTCGTTGCTTGGGTAAGTGGAAGTAAACCAGTTAGCCAATGGAAAGATTAGCCAAGACAACACGGGGCGAACATACCTCTGCTCTCGCCCAGAGTGCTACCGCATCGCCAGCCTGAAGCGAGTCCAAGAAACCAACGCCGTCTCCCATCGATGGTGGACCCTCCAATTTCAACACAACGCCCGTGTTCCAATCAGTTCGGTAATTATTAAGCTCTTCAGAGGCGGTGATGTTGTGGTGAACCAGCCAGCCGGCCTTCTCACCATTTAGGACCAAATCCCAACCTAATGAGTTGAGGGACCCCCTGTAGTCAGCGACCTCTACCCTGTCGGCAAACTCATAACCGCCAACGCCCATACCGGGTGGTGGCGGTGCGTCGGGTGTCGTGGGCCGTAGGATGGATGCCTCAAACCAGGTGTGGCTGTTCTCGTACGTTCCATGACCCCCACGTAGCCCAGCCCTGGTCGGCACTTCGCATTTGGAATGTGACGTATTTGGGCCGGATCCTGAAGGGGCAGGTAGGCGGGGGTTTGGGGAGCGGCGGCGAAGTGAGGTATAGTGCGGCAATGCCATGAGAGGTTCCATCGATCCATGGGTCTATGTTCCCGTAGTACAGGACTTTATATACCCTTGACGCGGCGCGGCGACACGCAATGCGCGGGTTGTAGTCGGCAAAGTGGGCAATTTGCAGGGCTATTTCGAGAGGGATATTGACGTTGAGGCGGTTGAGCCTCAGGCCACGGAGAATCAAACGAACGATGATCGCGTCGGTGGGAGAGGGGTTGAAGCCGGATCGTGTGAATGAGAGGGACGAATGGTTGTCTGGAGCTGCGGGCTGAGCGCTCATCATGAAAGAGTAGCCGAGGGCGCAAGAAAAGCGAATGGGGATAAAGATAAGGATCGACCTTTTTTTTGCAGATATAGATGTAACGGTAGGGAACGCTAGGATACTTGGGATCGGTGAGGGCCGACAGGTGAAGTTGGGCGACGGAGAGTTGCACCCTCAGCTAACCCCGCTCACGTGCGGGTGCCTAATGATGGCCCCGGATACAGGTTGAGTCCGTTGAAGCCTTGCACGATCTCGCTAGCAATAGGTACCTTCTGATCATATCTGTGTCGCATCTGAGCAGGTAATATTCTGCTTCTACTTGTAGTGCCAGACGTCAAGACTATCAACTTGTCGGACGCTGCGGTATTTAGTCATGATTCGCGGGCATGACGGTACCATTCAGAACCTACCTAAAACTGGTACCAAATCTGACGCAGGAAACGAAAAAAGCCTTACGCCTTTGCCGTACGCTTCGAGATGAGGCGCAGCACATAGCGGCAGAGTGAACGCGGCAGGGCATGGGATACCCTGTGGAATAGGCATACTAGCACAGGGGTGGTCCAGTAGACGTAAATAAAGCACCAATAACTCAGGCAGCCCAGCAGCATACACGGATATTCTCTGTCAATCTAAAAAGAAAGGAAAAATCAAACTACAGCCAGGATACACAGGTGACGAGAGAAAAGAGGCAAATACTAGCAACCACGATGCGCTAAGTTTAAGATGCTAGGTATATACAAAGAAGAGTATTCTGTAATCTCTGCAGAGATTCTTGCAGTCTTGGTTGGGGCGTTTTTGGGTTCGCACTAAATTGATCCCGTCCTACTCTACAGAGACCACGGATTGAAAAACAGCTTTCTGGGGAAAGGCGTCCACCTCTAAATTAAGAAAGCTCCCAGTTTCCGGGAAGAGTGGTAAGCCCTGCAGCATCAAAGTTAGTATTGATTGCTTGATAGGAAAACGTGTTACGGAAGGAGGGAGGGGTTGGGTATTTCACTTACAGCCATCATCACCAACGGGCTCGGAGGCGATCTGGGCCTTGGCGCAAGCGTTGGAGACGGCGTCGGTCTGGCGCTCCATGCCGGGGCAGTTGACACCGTTGCACTTCATGTCCATGGCCCTCTGGAGGGCATCGCCCTTCCAGCCGAAGAGGTAGTCACCGTGGATACCGGCACCGGTGGTGTCGCCCATGGCCCAGACGAAAGGCTGGGAGCCGTCCTCGGGCCACTCGCTGGGGTCGTTGAAAGCGGTGGTGTCCATCATGATCTCGTACATGACCTGGGGGATCTTGACGGGGTGGGTCGAGGGGCAGGCGCCGCCGGTCTCGAAGGTGCCCTGGGAGGGGTAGGCGATGTGGTCCATGTGGTTGGGGGTGTCGAGGGTCTTGCCGTCCCAGCAGCTGGGGAAGGTGACGGTGACACGCCAGCCTCCGCCGCAGGGCTCCTTGGGGAAGGTGGTGGTGTCGGTTCCCGTGCAGGGGCGCCGCCGAAGGGCGACTGCTGCATGTTGTGCTCGCAGCGGTAGCAGAGCTGGCGGGGACCTTGGCGGGGTCGCGGTTGGCGGCGTCACCGACAAGCATGCGGAAGCCCTGGTTGGGGAAAAGTTCATGTTAGCGTACGGCTTCTTTTTTTGTGCGGGGATCGACTCCACCGCGTGGGTTTCTCCTTTTCTCTCTGTGCGCGGCGTCCCCTCGATTTTCAATTGGCGGAAAGTGGAAGAAAAACAAAACACTTACAGGCTTGAAGGTGGTGACCTTGTCGGCGGCCCTGTAGCCGCGGATGTAGTAGACGGTCATGCCGCCCTGGATCTGGCCAAGACCCAAGTTGGCGAAGATGGGGACGTGCTTAAAAGTGCCGTTGCGGGCCCTGAAGTACAGGTTGGGGGTCCAGTAGTTGGAGAAATCCTCGGCGAAGGAGCAGGTGGTGCAGCTAGCATCGCGGGGCGGGTCGAGGCTGGTGGGGTCCATGCTGGCGTTGAAGGAGTTGCCTCCGATGATCTGGTGCATGTGGGGCGAGGGCACGGCACCGGGGTTGACCAGCGGGTCGATGCGGTCCAGGGTGAGCTGGGAGCAGCCGAAGCGCATCAGCTCTTGGCCGACGGCCAGCTGAGCGGTCGCGAGGGCGACGAGGGTCTTGAGCATCATCTTGGCTTGCAGGAGATCCCAAACGAACAAGGGGGAAAAAAAAGAGAGAGATTGTCTTGCGTGTGGGGTCTATGGGAAGCTTCCTAAAGCGGCTAGGGCCCGGTATAGAGCGAGAAGGACAACCAGAAAACGAGATTTGATGTGACGGGGAAGGAAAGGAAAGAAAGAAGGGGAAGAAGGGAAAAGAGCGTCTGGGACAAGACCGGGGCGCCTTGGCATGCCCCCATCCATATATACGTCCGCGAACCAAGAGATATAAAACACCACATAAGGGAGCCACAGTTCCATGGCCCTTGTCTCGATATCACTCTTCATCCGTAGGCAGTCTAGATCCAATTCTCCATGTGGCCGTGACGCGGAGGGGGTGCATCCCGACACCCACGAGGGGCCCTTGCGATAGGCAGAGAGGAGAGAGAGAGAGAGAGAGAGGGATAGAGAGGTACCATCCCACGCGAGATCAAAGTAGCCCAACGGAAGGAAGGCGTGTAGGCCAGGATCATCAACGAACCGCAGCAAGGATTGGAGGGGAACAGGGCCCCCGACGTGGCTCCGACGTCGTGAAAGCGTGGCAAGCAATTGTGGGGACAACTGCCGCAAATTGGGGCCGCATCATGTGTCGCCGAAGTCGTTGCCGGCTCTTGGCCTGCTCTTCTTGGGTTGGCCAGAGGTTAATCTATCGAAAAGTCCGGGGCAAATTAAATGTGGCAGGCAATATCGCGGGCTGGCCACACCCATCGGCGGGGGTGGGGCTGCCGGTCGACCCGCCGTCAACATGGCTATCGGATTTCAGCAACGACTGCCGGGAGGCCCGCCAGAAATGAATACATAATACGTCAAAAATGTATGTACCGTTGCGCGTGGTGCGGAAGGGTGCCAAGCAGAGACACAGAGCAAGGGAAGGGGTTGTCCGATTCCTATTTGCTTCTTCAATCAATTATATCTCGTCGCCTCTTAGTCCCAACAGAAGCTCGGACACACAACATCCGGAATAGAATACTGTCGAGACGAAAAAGAAAAAACCTCCGATGTGATGAACCGAGTAACCATTTAGGGGAAAGAGTGCACTGCTGGAGACTCTTCATAATTGCGCACAAGGTACACGTGCGGCGAGTTAACAGTGCTGCTATTGTTCCTGAGCGGTTATGGCTGGGCCGGCCGGCCGGCTGGCCGATTGATAGGCAGTTCAGCACTTTATGATAGATTGTTTGCGGTCAAGGACTTTGCCCAAATCGCCTCTATCCCCTCGCCTCTTCGTTGCTTTGACATCATTAACTAAGCCCAGACCGTGTTATGATTTGCCCAGTAGCCCATAGCTATACACATAAAGTTGTGCACTTGCGCTCTTCAACATCGAGTCTCGACCCCAGCAGTGTGACCGGCTCTCGTTCTCTCCTGCCAGGAATTCACAGCCAAGCATTGGTGTCGGTTCTGTCGGGGTTTTACCAATACTAGTAGCACGCTGTTTACGTGTACGCTATTTGGCTGGGAATTTCCATTATCGTTGAAACAAATGCGCCCACGCCATCATCTACCCCAGACTGGCACCCTTTCCGAGGAAGCGAGGGGGAAAAAGGTCCTTGTGCTATAGTCGTCAACATTATAGCTGCCAACCTGCCAGTCAAGTCGGATTCGGATTCAGCCGTGACATATTGATCAATTTAGTACCATTCCGGCGGCCAATACCACCACAGCACCGCCCGCGAGGATTGATACACTTGACACTAGCATGCAAGTGTTTTTTCTGGTCCCCCCGTACTTGGCGCTTTACCCGGACGTCCAATCGTGGAGCTGCTCCATCAACGTCGAAGCAAGAATTTTGAAGCGAGACTATGGTTCAATATAAACGTGTGTAGTAGCTCAGGCGACCGATGCCACAGTTGATAAGGTTTTTGCTGAGAGAATAAAAATCCAATTGTTTGCGACTCGTCATGGGCCGGAAATCCCGATTGTCTCCCATTGTTCAGCTGGCCAGTGGTAAAAGAGGCCGGGACAACAACCTGCACAAAATTGATGATTTTCAAATTAGGAAGGGTGATTATGAACTCTCCATCTTTCTTTCATTATGTATTTAGTAGGCTTTGAAGACTCGGGGTGTATCATATTGAAGTTTAGTAACGGATGGTGGGCTTCGGCGCTGTCAGAGCTAGCTGTGTCAACTCGTGAGGACGAGGATTCAAAGGATATCTAGTCAACATTTTCCAACCCTTTACCCGGCGCAAGAGAGAACGGACTGATAGGGAGTGTCTTGGTTGGTCGCTTTCCGATTCACTGGTGATGGGGGCCATGGCTGTGTAGCATATAGGCACCCAGTCGGCTTCAGGTACCGACTTCGTCGGCGGCCAGGCATCTGAAGATCGCAGTCCAAGAAGGTCCAAGTCCTACCTCGGAGCACAGGCAGTGATCAAAGTATCACAGTGGCAGAAAGGTTCATACATTCACCTGACTCACTTGCATATATAGTGAATGACTAAGTGGTGTTGTCAAAGTAGCGACGTGGGTTGAGATGGCCGTTGCGGAGAGAACCTGACTGCTAGAGGTAATGTCCCTCTCCGAGCTTAGTATGAGTGCCAGCCATATCTTTCATGGGCCTTTTAAAAGCAATGCTTCCCTTAAAACCTTGCCTCTGCACGAAAGACTGGAAAAACGTCTTCTACTCTACCTGGTGGACATGTACTGAGGGATGGTCGTCACTAAACTTCCGCGCGGTTTGCAGGCCTGAATAAGGTACAAAAGAAAACGATGCGGAATTATATATGGATGTTTGCATTGGACCGGGAGACCCGATGGCAAGCCGGAATTCCCAAATTATCATTAATATTACGGATTAGCTACGATACACGCGGGAGTTGCGGTGACATGTCGCTGCCATCGCGAGCACACATTCGTGACTCTACACCTAACTCTCAATCCTGACCTTGAACACAAGTGCCTGGTTGTTGAGCTCAGCGCCGCTTTCGTCGCTATAAGGCATGTTTCCAAAGTTCATAGCCCCATCTTGGGTAATAAAGTCGTTGTCGCTCAGCGAAATAATGTAATATTCGCTATCCGCCTTGGCCCCGCTCTTCCTATTGCCCTTCTCATCAACGTGAATGGGGACGAGCGAGATGGACTCCCACTTTTCATTCTACACGACCGGAAATCATATCAGTCTATCAATATTTCCGGTGCCGATGATTAGGGCAAGCACTTACCAGGAGTCCGATGTCTTGGGCACCGCCGTTGTGGAGACCAAACTTGGCAAGCTCAGAGTTGACGTTGAAGTCGATCCATGGGCACACGGTGGCCGGGGTGATGTCGCTGACGAGAACGCCACCGGGTGACACGGCGCCGCCAACGTCGTCGTACTTGGTGCCGGCAATGTCCGTGGCCGCGGACACGTCAAACACGTCAATGTGGCGGTAGTTGGACTGCGAGAAGGCGAGACCGGTGCCGGCCGACGAGTCGCGGGCCAGCATGAGGAACTGGCCGTTTTGGAGGGAGTAGAGCTCGGACTGGGCGGCGAAGCGAGTCTTGTTGCCGTCGGTGCCGTCGATGAAGGAAGGGAGGGGTACGACGTTTTCCTGGGTGAGGACGGGGCTGAGCTTGTCGGAGACGTCGTAGGTTAGGAAGCGGACGTGTTGGCGGGTGGCCTTGGAGTTTCCCTGTTGCAGAGATTAGTTTTTGAAACGGCGAGTCGTAACGGTGATATGAGAAAGACGGGGATAATTTGACTTACGCCGTCTTGGATGGCGGCAGACTGGAGGAGGACGTAGAGGGTGTTGCCGTCGGCAGATGCACTGAGACCCTCGAAACCTGCTCGAGGTTAGTTTGATTCTCTCTAGTTATCACTCGGGGAGAAAAACACATGATGGGGACGCATGGGCTAATGCGTGTGGAATGATACCTTGATTATTGTTGCGACCCGACTCGGGAAGGGTAGGCGAGGGCGCCAGCGCGGGGTTATAGCGAGGGGGAGTTGGCGGAGAACATCCCGACCCCGTTCCTCATGGGAACAAGGGCATCGGGGGCCTGATGGCGCTGACAAGCTTTCCTTGGCTGTTGAATAGATCTGTCCGGCCGACCTGTTAGCCGCATGGCGCGCAGTATGCATTTTGACAGGTAGCAGCGTTCACTTACAAACAAAGGGGCCGTACTCGTCCGAAACCCAAAAGGACCCGTCATCGTTGAGCACGAGGCCCTCGGGATCCAGACAGACGCGGGTGTCGCCTTGCTCGTCGGAGCCGGCGCCGAAGCCGTCGCCGGTGTAGGAGCCGGCGGGGATGCTGGGGAGACCGGCGAAATCGAGGGTGGTGGTGCAGTCGATTCCGGTCATGGGCTTGCCCGCGGGGTCGGTGAAGAGGATGCTGTCCTCGTAGGAGAACTCGAGGTTCGAGGCGAGGGTTCCGGCGGAGGGAGCGGCGGGGTGGAGGGGTCGAAGGTGATGGTGAATTTGTGGAGGCGGGGCTGATAGTTGAGGGTGCCTTCTGTGTTCCTGGTGTCCCATGGCGCATTAGAGAGGGCGGCTGTCTAAGAATTGCACACGAGGGGGTGGAACTGCGCGAGGAAACAAGAGGAAAGATCCAACTAGGCTAATTTCAGAGTACAAGGCAAAAGAAAGAAGAGAGAAAAACACATACCAACCACGATCGGGGAGAGACCACAGAGTACCGGTATATTTGCCGTTGACCTTTTTCCAGGTCTTTAGGTCGATCACAGCAGAGCTGCCAAGGCTGCCGAGCGTGTCGCCAAACTTGTCCCTGCCGCTGCCGGGGAGGCCGCCGTAGCCGGCGAGCTTCTCGTACACGTAGGACTTGCCCTGGCACTCGACCGCGGCCACGGGGGCCTGGCAGGTGCGGTCGCCGACGGCGGAAGCGGCAGCGGGCTGGAGGGAGGACAGGGCGTATAAGCCCGAGACGAGAAGGGAGAGCATGACGGGTCAAGACAAGGGTCGATGTGTTGGCTCAAAAGATAGCAAAAAGAATATCTAGGTTTGCAAATGAGTGAATAAGAATGTATGATGATAAAAACGAGCGTATGGGTTAGGAGCGAAGCTGCTACACCTAGGGTCCCGAACTTGATCTAAACATGATGGAACCTCACCGCGGGATGCAACCTTTATAAGAGGGGCGAAAAGGCAGGCTTGTCACATCCCACAAGTCGCCTCTTCGCGTCATTGCGGTTTTCTTTTGGGAGAGGATCTCCAATCAAACCAAACGAGCACATGTTCCCCCTCCAAGGTAATCCTGAGGAAGCCGTCCTCCGAATCCCCACGTTTTCGACGCTGGGCATCCGGACCATGCGGCAAGGTTATGGCGCAAAGGATGCGACCCTCGGTCAAGGTTTCTGGTTAATCGAACTAGGACAGAAGAAATCTACTGGGCTGCTCCCAAAAAAACAACCCGTTACTGGCTTCACAACTCGTATCCACTTTCACTTGCTAGGGTCCTCGATAGCAACACTGAAGCGGGTGCATGGTGGCTCTGGGGGTTCCCGGCAGCCCGGCTCGGTTCCTGTCAAGGGCCAGGAACGGAATTTTGCTCGTCATATCCCCCACGTGCAGGTGCATTGTGTCTTGAAGGAACAATTATCAGTTGTTCGCGCCGTGTAGAGAAACCGGGGTCCGGGTTGGTGTTTTTGTTCTCTTTGAGAACCCTGCAGAGGACGTTGGGACGAAATGTGGGAATGGGCTGCCACGTTTGCGGATCGAGCATCGCCATTCGTCACCCTTGGCTCCTGCAATGGGACGGCCGCTAGCAAATGGCAAGTTTCGCAGCGCCAAGGATCCACGACGGGGGAATCTAAAGCAGGGGCACTTCACTTCGCGTCATGGTCATTTATTGATTGGGAAATGAGGAGCGTGTCAATATTAAGGAAACCCGCGAAATCGTCCATTGCTGGAGTCCAAGGTTTCCCCTAGGAACGAGCGCTGGGCTGACCCGGAACTCGGCAGGCCACACGCTGGCGGGGCCGTGCGGGACCGTCCGGATAAAAGAAGACCAAGCCTTCGGTAGTTCGGGAGTGAACGGGTGCCTGGACGGCGAGAAACGTTCGGTCGGCTTCCGGGTTGAGTGTGTGAGGCGCCCCGGTTGATGATGCCCAGACGGAAGAGGCCAGAACATGCCGCATGACCCTGTCGTTCGTCAAGAATCACCCGTGCTGCTTCTCTGCAACGCCCGGAGACAGCCGATCATAAATGCGACGAGCAAAGCGTCTAAAGGTCAGGAGACCGATTCGTGCCCAGCACAGGAAAGCTGGCTCGTGGGCTTACGGCTCCTCAAAGATGTCACCTCCGACGGATGGATAAGCTTCGCGTCCCTCAGACGGCGTGATTCGCGGCTTCATGTCGCCCTCGTCTCATTGGCCGCATCGGGGCCTTGGCGTCTTTGATGAATGGGCACAGGGCACCAGATGATGCAGCACTTGAGGCGTGTTCTTGGCTTGGCTTCGTGTTGTCCCCTATTAATCACAAACGGGATTCGTAACCTACCTGCCCGATTACTGATCGTGCTGGCTGCCAGCCAAAAATAATATCGCTGCCTTGAGGGCTTTGTCGTCTTGGCCCGACGGCTGAAAACCTAATATTGTCGGCGCTCGTTTCATCACGCTCATATATAATGCTTCAGACCACACTTCCTCCTGGCGGGAATGGTTATGTTTTAATGTGAAAATAAACTCAATTGACCTTGTCTACTTTTCTTGTTTCATTTTAATTTTCGGACTCAAAACGCGATAGCCCAAGACGTGCAAGGGAACAACAAAGGAGTGAGTGTTGGCCGCGAGACTACTCAGCTTCCGCATAAAATCAACTCCCTTCTTTGACTCTACATATATCGGCGCTTCCCTCCCAGTCTACCGTGATGCGCGTCATCATCATCGGAGCTGGGCCCGCCGGCCTCGCCCTCGGTCATGCCCTCACACAGGCCGGAATCGACGACTTCGTCATCCTTGAACGGCGGCAAAAGGTCGTCGAAGCGACAGGGGCAGGACTTGGCCTCTGGCCCCATGCTGTCCGAATTCTGGATCAGCTAGGGAACGGGCTCTTCGAGGCCGCGGAGAAAATCGTCCCCAAGATGAAGAAGAGCGTGCGGTTGGGGAATGAAGGCGGTCTTGTGCTCGCCACGGATCTATTCGCACATGTCGAGGAAAAGTAAGTTTGACTTGGCCGGAAACCCTCCAGATCAGGCACGATCGCTGGCGGCGAGAAAACGCAGTGCGTCGGAGCGAAGCGGATGCGGTAGGCCTGGTGCTAATCTAATTGACTAGTCACGGCTATGCATTCTGGATGTTTGAGCGGATGCGGCTGCTCGAGCTGCTCTACACCCATCTACCACGCGTAGAGGAGCGCGTTCTCACGGGGAAAACAGTTACCTCGCTGTCGCAGACAGATAGCACAGTGACTGTCGAATGCGACGACGGGTCAAAGTATACCGGCGATATCCTCGTCGGCGCGGACGGCATCCACAGCACAACCCGCACCTTACTCTATCCAGGCACCCACGATCCCGAAACAGAGCTCGCCAAGGGCTTCACCTCGACCTTCCGCGCCATGTTTGGCTGCGGACCTCTACTCCGGGACTAGTGCCGGGCGAGATGACGGAGCGCAACAAGGACACCATCTCGTCGCAGCTCCTCACGACCAAGGACAGCGTGGTATGGTTCCTCTACGAGCGCCTGGACAAGACGACGACCAAGAGGGCGCGGTACACGGCCGAGGACCAGGAAGCCCTCGCGGAGCGGTGCAAGGATTTTTCCGTGGTGGCGGACGACTCGATCCGGTTCGGGGATCTGTGGGCGAGCAAGAGCCGGGCGGGGCTCGCGGACCTGGAGGAGGGCATGGCGGAGCGGTGGTCGTCGGGCCGCGCGGTGCTCGTGGGCGACGCCGCGCATAAAATGGCGTCGAACCTCGCGCTCGGTGCCAACACGGCCATGGAGTCCGTCGTCTGCCTCGCCAATAAGTTGTGGGCGCTCGACCGGAAAGGGGCGGCGCCGGACGGCAAGGCCGTGGAGACGGCGTTTGCGGCGTACCAGAAGGAGAGGCAGGCGTCGGCGCGGTACGTGACGCGGTTGTCGGGCATGCTGCTGCGCTACTCGTGGCTGCTGGCTAGGACGCTGTCGTTTGTGGGGCGGTTCGCGTCGCTGGAGAACGATCGCATGGTGGCGGACAAGATCCTTGCGGGGATTCCGAGGGCCGGGTTGGCGTTGGATTTTGCGGCGGCGGGTCATCCTAAGAAAGGGAATATCCCTTTGATCACGCCGCTGATGGGGGAAAGGGGAGTAATAGAGGTCGAGGAATGAGCTTACCCAATACCGCAGCATTCCGTTGCTGTTACCTGCTCTGCCCAACGTATCTAGTCAATTTCTTTCCTATTAGTGATATCCATTGATTCATAGGTAGCAATATTATTTTGAGTATTTCCTAGCAATCGCACGCGAGGCAAACGTAGGATGCGAAAGCCAACTTTGTAACTGTCAAAGTCGATGGCTATTCGAAGACTGCCCGGCTCATACACGCGGCATTGGGATAAAGCAATGGTAGATTTGTCGTATACATCTTCAATATTCCGGCCCGGCGATTGCGAGATTCACGGAGTTTACGATTGATAACCGCCCGCGATTGTACAAATTAGGTGGGCCGTTGTTGAGTTTCAACGCCGGCCACCGTTGTAAACTCCGTGTCCTACTTGCATTTTTCCTGCCTCTCTTCTCCCCTCCCTGGCCCTCCCTCGAGCACCCACTTCACGTCGACTCATCGTCCGAGATTTGGCGGGGCGTTTGGAGGAGGGCGGGGCCCACGAGGCCCAGAGCAAGCTTGAGGGCTGAATTTCCCGTCACCGACGTGCATTAGCTTCGATTAACTCGTACGCTCGACTCTGTTGGCTCCATATCACCCACTCAACCCCTCCACACCCCACCTCAAGCTCTGTGACGTCTTTTTTTCTTCTCCTGGAGGGGGCCACCGGGGTTAAAGCACGGAAGTTTGTCATAAACTCCAGGACCGGGCGTGATGCCAAAGTGGCCATGACTCAAATCATGTTATAGGAGCATTGGATGCTTTGCCATAAAAAAGAAGTAACTGCTCGCGATTACTACTTTGTCCTTTCCCATCATGTCTCGTGCTCTGTCTTGCTAGTTTACTTGCATAGCGCTTCTACTCGCCCACGAAAGACCTCCTCGCACCTACACACAACTTCCGCCCTTTGAACCAAAGACCGACCACACCTAACCCATCACGCAACACACTCGCCATGTCACCCAACATGAATTGGCAGCCCTCGGGCACCCTAGCCCGCCACCGACAACTTGCCCCCTCGGCCTCTGTTCGTGTATCCCCGCTTTGCCTCGGAGCCATGAACTTTGGCGAATCCGGCAAGGATCGCTACGGCGAGTGCACCAAGGAGACGGCCTTCGCCATCCTCGACCAATTTTACGGGCAGGGCGGCAACTTTATTGACACGGCCAACGCCTACCAGGCCGGAGAGTCCGAGATGTGGGTGGGCGAGTGGATGAAGGCGCGGGACAACCGCGACGAGATTGTGCTGGCGACCAAGTACACCACCGCGTACATGGCGCACGACAAGACCAAGATCCAGACCAACTACTGCGGCAACGGCTCCAAGTCCATGAAGCTGTCCGTCGACGCCTCCCTCCGCAAGCTGCAGACCCACTACATTGACATCCTCTACGTGCACTGGTGGGACTACTCCGTCAGCATCCCCGAGCTCATGCACAGCCTCAACGACCTCGTCGTCGCCGGCAAGGTGTTGTATCTGGGCATCTCCGACGCCCCCGCCTGGGTGGTGGCCAAGGCGAACCAGTACGCGCGGTCCTCGAACCTGCGCCAGTTCGTCGTCTACCAGGGCCTGTGGAACGCCGCGCTGCGCGACTTCGAGAGGGATATCATCCCCATGTGCCGCGACGAGGGCATGGGTCTGTGCCCCTACGGCACACTAGGCCAGGGTCGCTTCCAGACGGCGACTGTGCGCGCCGAGCGCGCCAAGAATAACCCCGGCCGCAAGTTTGGCGCTGCCTTGCCGCGCGAGGAGCAGGTTTCGGCCGTGCTGGAAAAGGTTGGTGCCGACAAGGGCGTGCACATGCTCAACGTCGCGCTGTCCTATGTGAGGGGCAAGACGCCGTACGTATTCCCCATCGTGGGCGGCCGCAAGGTCGAGCATATCAAGGGAAATATCGAGGGGCTTGACGTGCGGTTGACAGAGGAGGAGGTGCGCGAGATTGAGGCGAGCTACGAGTTTGACCCCGGGTTCCCGCACACGTTCCTGAGTGGTACCATGTTTGGCAAGGAAGAGCCTCGTGGGGCGTACGCTCCCGAGGATGTTTGGTTGACGAAGTGGGCGGGGAGTTGGAATGGGTAGAGCAGCCAAAGGCGATTGGACGCGTCGCCAAGTAGCTCTCGGTCGAAGAGGGGGGATGATACGGAAAAGCCAACCTACGTGCCGGATCCTCTTGTGATCTGAAGAATGTGGTGTATTTAAAATGTAGAATGGATGAACTTTGAAAAGTCATTTTACGGGCATTGAGTACTCTATGAATGATATTGTACAGGACACAGACGAAGTTGTCGTTGCTCACCACTCTATGATTCCTGTATATCGATCTGAATGCCAGTCTGTCTATCCGCATCTCGTTCTTTAAACTGGCATGAGTCGGGGTCTCGGCACATCGCCCTCGCCCACTTGGCGGCGGGTCCACGGTAACCCAAAAGAGGGTGCAGGATCAAATGTCCCCACACCATGAGGGGATTCGCCAAGGAGAAGACTTCCAAGTTCTTTGTATTACTTAGCCATTGTCATAACCCTGTTTTGGTTGGTGCTCTATTTGCGAACTCAACTTGATCACTTCATCAACCTTGATCGCGGGTTGAATTGCTGATTTCCTCGCTTCATCGCCCACCATAACCCGGCGGCAAGATGTCGTACTACGCCCCATATCATCAGCCCGATTACTCCGTTCCCCGCCAGTGCCTCCGCGCCCCCGGGTTATGATCTTCAACAACCGCCACCGCTTCCGCCGAGGACATTCCAGAGCCCAGGGCAAGCTACCGCGCCGTGGCCGCAACCCAGCCTATACAGCGGCGGCTATTCCCCTCCCGTCGGGCCGCCTCCCTCTCATACAGCGTCCCCTCATCAAACTGCCCCAGCGCCAGTCTACGGGCCACCTGTAGACGCACTACCCTTACATCCCGATTCAATACCCCCTACTACTTCCTCTGGATATCACAGTGCCCCTGACGCGACCGGACCCTCCGTCTATCAAAGCCAGATGCCGCATGGTTCAGCGGGCGGTTCTAGCCAGCAAGGTATCGGGGGCCTATTCCCCGGTGGTAAGATTCCGCCGCCGCCACCGGGTCCTCCGCCTGATAGGCCCAGCCAGGGACAAGGGCAAACGGAACATTTCGGTGCCGAAACAGACCTACCAGGGCGCAACAATGATTTAAGATATCCCCACGGAAACGTCCCGCATAACGCACAAGTGCCTAGTCAAGACCGCGTACAAGATCTAGCACCCTTATCATTCCAGCAGCCCGCTCTACCTTCAAGAGATGACGCAACTACTAGCAGCCTTGAGAGTAGATTGGGAGGTTTGAATCTGAATAGTGGTGTGCAGCCGGCATTCCAGGAACTCTCTCACACAATACCCCAGGCCGCGCATCCATCACATCCACTGCCGGCTCATCTTACACTGGTCCAGCAACATCCGCCAGAATCTCCTAGTTTCCATCGTGATAACGGTATCCCAGCTTCCCCGTATACGGACACCATACCTAACGCCGGGCACCCGGCTCGCATGGCACATGGTCTACAACAGACCTACTCAGCGCCTCCGCTCCCTGCGAAGAAAGCTCCGCCTCCATCAGATATGGTCTCGGAGTGCATTGACAGTCCAGTCACATTTCCTACCAAGTGGTATTCGCCCGCCGGCGCTCCAGAGTTTTACATTTGCTCAAAGTGCCAGTACGACCACATTTGTGGAACCCCTTGGAGGCTACGATACAAGGACAACGGTACGATGATAAAAGGCTCGTGTTTGTCGCTTCAAGAAGCCGAGAATAAAGGACCAACTCTGGCCTCAGGCTCTTTCCGCTGGATCCTTGGACGCGGTAATCGAATTCATGCAACGGCGCGTGGAAATCTCCGATTGTAAGGAATTGCAGGCGCTAAAGGGACGGATGGAGTGCGATGGTTCAAGGCGATCGAGGGGAGTATTCCTAACATGGTCATTTGCGAAGCATGCTACGAAGATTATGTATTCGAAACAAATTTCCGGCACAAGTTCGAAGTGGAGGGAAACCAGCGCCCGGACGAGCTTTGGGCGTGTGACCTCGCTATCGACTACCTCAAGAAGGAGCTCCAAAAGAGAACTGAGAGCGCTGATTGGCAGGGCTTTGTGACCGAAGCGAATGCGCGGCTTAACATCCCGGCGTGTCCTCGGTGGGATGGCGTGGGTGCCGGGACGAGGCGATGGTTCACCCCTACGTTTGGGAGCTACGAACGGGACGGCGTGCTGATTTGCGCCGCGTGCTACTGCGACTACGTCTTGAACACGGATCAGACGCCGCACTGGAAGGACGCGGGGGACGACCTCTCCCGCCGATTAGGGGACACTCTTCAGTGCGCGACGGGACAGTTCAACGTGAACATGGCTATGCTCTGCGCCCAAGACCGGAAAGACTTTTCCGTCTTTTGGGAAGCGCTCGGGAACGCCCACCGCGAAGAGTACTGCGGCCCCAAGGGGATAGTGAACGGGAAATGGTTCACGTTGCGTTCGGACCCGGACGGCTTCAGCGTGTGCGCTGGATGCTTCGCGGCTATCCTCGAACCCTTGGGTCTTGCCGATTCTTTCACGCCCAAGGGAAAGGTACCACGGGAAGAGGCGGTGCTATGCAGCTTTAATCCCAAGTCTCCGCGTTTCGTGTCGTACCTGCAAGCGCTGCTCCAGAGTTTCTTTACGCGCGATACCTCCTCGTTGGAGGACATCGCGACCAATCTAGCCAACGTGCCAGCGTGCAGGCGCGATCAGGACTTCAAGGGCGGGACGTGGTACGGTTGGGAACAGTGCCACATTTGTCCAGGGTGCTACCACGAGTTCGTGCGAGGGTCGGTGCTCGATTCCGCCATGTCGTATCGGGGCGTTGCGCTTGGCGACCGGGCGTGCATGTGCGAGATGTACAGCCCTCGCATGCGCAGCCTGTACCTAGAAGCGTGCGCCAAGTCACCGCCCGATGCGTCGGAGCTCCTAGCCTTCTCGGATCAAAGGCGCGTCGTTTACGTCAACACGGTGCTGCGGATCCGGCGGATGCTTGACGAGTCGCGCCTGTTGATGATGCAGCAGCAGACGCTCAACACGATGAGCTCGTTCTACACCAACATGGGTCAGATGAAGGAGATTCTGTCGCCCAGCGCCTATTCGTACGGGGCGCCGGGGGTCGGGTACGGGTTCCAGAACCAGTCCGCCTTTCAGGGCGCCGTGTACCACCAGCAGGCGTTGGGCGTGATGCAGCAGGGTACGGACCCGAATAGAGTCATGGCGGTGAGGGAGCTGGAGATGCAGTGGAGGGCTGTGGAATAAGAATAGTTGGGACAGGTATGGTTTAAATATGTCAATGATTTCAATACCTACCGGACAGGAAATTTGGGAGGCATAGGAGAAAATCTACTAGTATTCTCCTTTGACAATGTGCAAGTCAGTCTGCGCTGGCGCTCGAGGTAGAGAGTATACGCCAAATTCTGAACGAGGAACACGGTCAACTCAAGCTTGATCAAAATCGACGAGCAGCATAATCACAAGGCTACAAGGGCGACCGGTTATTTTCCGTCCCCACAACAGACAAAGCTCGTAGAATATATCTATTAGAATTGACGAGCGCGTTCTCGCGGAATATAGCTACTGGACGTCACGTTTCTCGGCTTCTTAAAAAGACCCTGAGTATCCCAAGCATTGCCCGGCAAAATAGGTCCAACCGTCCGAGGGGCTGATGGGTAGCATGGGGAATCCATTGGGGCACTGCTCCGTTGTGCAGGGCGCCGAGGGGTTGGTGAACCCCTGGAAGAGGTTGCACGACTGGCCGGCGAGGCGGAAAACGACGCAGCCGGGGTTGTTGAAGCAGTGCTCGCAACAGGCCTTCTGTCCGGCCTCGCCGGCAGCGACGCCGATCATCGCCGCGGGGAATGCGAGGCCAGTGCCTACGTAGGACTGGCCGCCCGGGAGCATCAGGGACTGGAAGTTATCGCAGGGGCCTTGGCTGACAGTGACGGTGGAGACGCTGGCGGAGAGCACGACGATGGTCGCCTGCTCCCTCACGGTTGCGACGGCGGTCTCGATCTGCTCCACGGTGACGGCGATGGACGTGACATCGGTGTGTGTTTCGGTGACGGTGACAACTTCTGTGGCTGACGGGGTGGGTAGGGCTTCGCCGTCGGTGTTGACGGTTACGGTCACGGTTTCCGTGCTAACTGGCTCATTTCCGTCGGTCACGGTCACTGTGACCGCGGCAGCTAGCTCGGTCTCAGTGACGACGGCCGAAACGGGCTCCGGTGTCTCGGTGGCAGTGAGGAGGCATGCTAGTAGCGCGTAAGCAACGTGTTCGGCTCGAGGAGAAAAGGGGGATATCAACATACAGCACGTGCCGGGCAGGGTCCCCTTGCAAGCGCCGAAAGTGATGGCGCGCTTCTTCTTTCCAGGCGCGGCGCAGGTGGTGCGCACCCAGGGGACTGTGGATGTCACGACGACGTTGCTGGATTTGTGTTTTGGGCAGTTAGTGTCTGTTGGAATGTCAAACGGAGTGCACCCGGGGGCTGTTTACCTGACCACGGTGTTGGTCACAGTGTCGGTTCCCTCGACGACAGTGTTGGTGATGGCCTTCACCTCAGTCGTGGTGCTAATGTCGGAAACGTTGGTGGTTTCGACTTCGGTCAGGGTCGTGGTGATGGTGACGGTCAACGGGGTTGTTCTATGCGAGGGTTGCCCGATTAGTGAAATGTGCGTTTGAGGGCATTTTGCCACTTCACTCACGCTTCGTCGGTCGTGACCGTGGTCTCGGTGACCGTCTCCGTCGCGGCGGCTCCGAGAACCGTGACCGTTTCGATGTTTGTGGGGTAGACGGTGAGGGTTGACGCGACTGTGTCGGCGGAGACTTGGCAAGTGGCAATCTCGATGTGTCGTTTCGCTATGAAGGAAAAAAACATCGGCGTAATCCGTGTTAGCCTCAATAACCCATGCCCTGTCTGGCTTTGATTTACTAACAGATAAGTTGGCGGCACTCGTCGATCTCGCGTTCGGAGAGGGCGAGACAATGCGGAGACGGGTCTTGGCATGCGAGCGATACGTCGAGTGACCGCTTGTTCGAGGCCGAGGCCGCCGCGACGAAGAGTAGGTTAACGAGCGTCTTGGAATGCATCCTGAACGAGTGTGACGTAAACGAGTGTGTGGGGGTTCGGTAAGGCACCTGGAGAACAAAAGAAGAAACCGCCAAGAGTAGAGGATGTTGTTTTATTATATGTACGTTCACAGCGGCCAGCTCTTTAGCGGTGTCCTCCAGGTCGCTCTGCGTCTTCTTCTTTTAACGCCAATTTCGTTTCAATTCAGCTCATGCACGCTGAGTCTTTGCAGCGGCCGACACTCCATTAGGGTCCGCACGCTCCTTGGTCCGGGTTTGCGGCTACCCTAGCACGCGGTGATATCGAAAGAGGATCCGGTAGCGCAGGGCAGGTGGCTAGTGATTGGTGAAGCCATCAATCCACAAAAAAGTGTCCAGGGTGCCAAGCATCAAATTTCTTCAGGCACCGGCCGGTGCAGCAAGCGAGACGGGCAGCGACGTGCACACTATTATTAATTTTCACGAATGCCACCTGAATTTAAGCTTGTCCAGGGGCCCCCTCATGCGGGCTGACCGTCGGGGCAAGGCAAGCCTGGATTCAATCACCCGAACTGTGCACACACGAAGGGTCTACGATGCTCCCACCCGCGTCTCGTACAATTCACCGTCGTATTGGGGAAGAAACTGGCGCCCTTTACCAATCGTATCGGCAGGTGTGTGGGGAACCTAATGCAAATCCATGGATCCCTCTTACCTTCGCCGCGCAGGATGCCATCGTGACAACGCAACGCGCTCAGTGTTGACGCTCTTCTGGTGGATTCACCCTAACCCGTCATCACAGTCATCAACATAGCAACCGGTTTCCCCAGAGAAAAAAAAAGGAGCATGGTGATAGAGTTCAGAAGTAAAAGGACGGCCGTGCTAAGCTCGTGTGCTAGGCAGGGCAGCTCGGTGGGTAATATGCTGGCAATGTCAACCTGAATCCATCATCATGAGATCCAGCGCCACCTGAAAATTCGTCCCGCACGGGATGCATGGGTGTAGGGTGGTAGCCAAGTAGTGTATGAAGGATCGCGGGCTTTGCACCCTGGCCTACCCGAACGAGGGGCTTGATTCCCCCACCAGTGCAAGGGCAGCTTTTTAGCGCTGGTTGAGTGCGGTGGGCCTGGCCGGCGACAAAAGGGGCAGCGTTCTCTCAGGGCATCTGGCTCATACCCGTACCAGGTCCTGACGCCACCGACTTTGCCTCTTTGAGATCACAAAGGTGTGGTGGGGATGAGCGGAATAAAGGGGCAAGCGAGATGTGCGCGACCTGTAATAATACACAAATGCTCGTTGCTCACGACAAAAGAGCGAGGATTTGATGCTGGCCAGGTCCGTGTACATGACTCGGAGTGCCTGGCAACAAGCCGTCACGAGTCGGCCTTGATAATCTACCACACCACGTGAGTTGGTGGCGGAAAGATACCGATGATGTGGGGAAGCTGGCGGAATGTTTGCTACGGGCGTAAGATCTATTATGGGAGAGGGTGTCCATTGTCAGCCCAGAGTGCATGTGCTACGCATGGCGCCATACAACCCAAGCGCATACAAACCCAGCGGAGGCACCAGCGGACGGACCAATAGATTGATCTTATGATCTGGCACTCTCAGGTAGACGCAGTAGGCCCAAGCTGGAGCGTTCTGGAAAGAGTCTTGGATTGGGGTCGTGTCCCTTCTGCCGTCCATTTTTCCAACGTTTTTACACTCGTCAATAAAGAGACTATGGTGAAGTTTATATTCAAGTAAGAGTAGAATAACATTCTCCATTGCCCAGGAGTGCAATGAGGCTAGAGTTCCATTTCGCGACGCGATTGGAAGATTTAGTACCTTATGAGCTCCGTTCCCTCAACCTCCTCGCCCACGCCTGCTTCAGCCCAGGCAGAAACTGTGCCACGCAACGGCAGAAAATGGAGGCGCCTCATGGTTACCATGGGAATATATCTCATTGCCTCATGGCGGATTTAGTTCGTCGGGGATAGGGGATAACTAGCACGTGGTGTGCGTAGGCGGAGTTCCGCAGCACCTGGACGGAGCTCCCAACCTGTCAAGTTACGGGCCTAAGTCGTCAAGTCAAGATTTAATCGCCGGTTCCCCGATAAGGCCCAGCAGTGAGACGGCGCAGCATGGATATGTTTGGCCGTCGGGGGAACACATGCGCCGCCAGCAGTTGAGGTGATTCGTATATGGATCGTCCTTCGTCCACGCTGGCTCTGGCTGCCCTCGCCTTGAGCCGATCAAAAGACCTCGATCAGGCTCGAAATTTACCGTCGAGAGTAGCCTATACGAATACTCCGGTCAACCTAGCGTACTATCGGCCGCGATGAAAATCACACAGTTTGACACAGCAAAGGATATCCCAGTCCAGGATGGGCGGGTGTTTCTCGTCACGGGAGGTTCGTTGAATGCACTGCGGAAACCCCGTTGACACCAAAATCTCGCAGATCGTGCTAACTATAATCTTTTACGTATTCCACATGTAGGCACCGCCGGCCTTGAAAGGAATTCCTCTCCGTCATCGCCACCCACAAGCCGGCGCACCTCTTTTTCACGGGCCGCAACGTCCAGAGCGCCGAAGCCACCATCGCGGAAATCGCCGCCGCGGCGCCTCTGTACCCGTGACCTTTTTGCAGTGCGACCTAGGCTCGGCGGCTTCGGTACGCGAAGCGGCGGACAAGTTCCTCGCGGCGTCGTCGTCGCGCCTGGACGTCCTGGTAGCCAACGCGGGCGTCATGTCCGTCCCGCCCGGTCTCACCGCCGACGGGCACGAGGTGCAGTGGGGCACCAATTTCTTCGGGCACGCCGTGCTCATCCACCTGCTGCTTCCCGCGATGGTGCGGACGGCGGAGCTCCCGGGCGCGGACGTGCGGCTGCTGCTGGCGACGTCGCAGGGCCACGGGCTGCACCCGGTGAGGGGTCCAGTTCGACAAGCTGCGCACGAAGCAGGAGGGCATCAACACGTGGTTGCGGTACGGCCAGGCAAAGCTAGGGGCGGTCTTGTGGGCAAGGGAGCTGGGGAGGCGGTACCCGCAGATCAAGGTTGTTAGCGTCCACCCTGGCGTGGTGCGCACGGGGTTGATTGACAATATCAGCCTCTTCAACAGGTTGATTGCGTATAACTTGAGTTACATGATGGGCAAGGTCGTCACTTTGCAGCAGGGGGCGTTCAATCTCTTATGGACGGCGACGTGCAAGCGGGACGAGCTTGATAGCGGGGATATTACGAGCCTGTTGGGAAGAAGGTGAATCCTATGCGGTCAGGGTCGGATGATGAGCTGGCTGGAAGGCTATGGGAGTGGACGAACAAGGAGTTTGAGAAGGTTGGAATTACGGTTGCTGGAAAGGTCGTGTCATAGCCTACCAATTCGATACCAGTCGGAAATTCAACCGTCCACCATACTTGGTTGATGTCTAGTGATTAAGGGAAATCGGCGATGGGACAATGCCGCTATAACTATGTGATACTGCATCGAACTGCCTCACTAGCCCCACATTCGTTGAGGGCAATCACCCTCCGAGGGTCAAATACGTGGCTATCGTCCTGAGTTTTACGCTCTGGGCAACGCCCGCCGTTTACCGGGACGTAGCCGCGCTGGTTACTCACAACCGTGGTAGATCCTCGCGTGAAACTCGTGGTATAATGCGTGTGGCCGTACACCCAATAGTCAACACAGTCCCACCCGACCGCGGGAAGGAGGTCCGAGGCAAACGCGGATGTCCAAGGGTTGTTAACTTGCTCGGGGCGAGACGCTTCCTGAATCGAAGGTGCGTGATGTGTTACAACCAGGACCACCCTGTTTGACGACGCGCTCTTCTCGATGCCCGGCGAGATGGCTGTCATTTCATCTTTTAGCCAGCTGAGATCCGCCTCTTGGGACTGGTTGTGACGCTCGACGCTCCAATTCTCTATTTTCTGCAAGTCCTTGACTCTACCACGTACTGCATCCATATCGCGGTCCGGAACGTGGGACCACAGGGTACAGCCCAGGATGCTTATCTCGCCTCCCATTAGATCGATTCTCGTCCGGTGAAGGAGTCGCAGCTTAGGATGGAGCCGAGGTTCGTCCTCGAGCTGTCTCGCCTTGGCAATTGCCGCATCGAAATCAAGGCCGTAGAACTCATGATTACCGAGGACGAGAAACACCAGCTCATATCGGGCGGCTTGCCGCGCCAGGAATCGTCGATACGCCTCGTAGTCGGCGAGACGACCGATGTCACCAGCGAGGATGAGAAATGGAGCGGTTACTAGAAAGTCAAATGTGTCGTATTGTTGCCAGACCTCGAGATGGAGGTCTGACATGTACTGGAACGAGAGGCTTCTGGCTTTAGACTCCTTGGAAACCCCCACGCTGTCGGCGGAGTAAAAGAGGGAAGGTTCATTCATGGATATCCTCGGCGAGGAGGCGGCGAGGGGCGACGGGGATAGGCAACGTTAGGTCTGGATATACTGCCTGAAAGAAGTCAATCGGCGGTAATTTCGTGAGAATCATTCAGGAGCATATCTGCGGCTGTCTACAAAGTCACGCGTGCATATTTATTCTGAGTTGTGGTAGAGTCGCCGATATTGCTTCTCGATAGCAGCTCCGCGCTGAGACCCGGACCTCGTAGCGATTCGGTCAACTTTGGTGATGGAATTCGGGCCTGAGAAATGCCCTCCAGGGATAAACCACGAATTATGTGGTTATGATGCGGAAGCTACGGCTTGAGGGAAGTGATAATTCATATTTTCTCTGCGAGATTGCTTGAGATGGGTGAAGCGCAGCCAATCTAACTTATTGTGAAGTTGAGACTGACTTGAGATGCCGGCCGAAGGGAAGGAAGCAAGACGCGATTGGGACGGGACGGAGACCTTTACCTCATTTTTGTAATCCACCGTCAAGGATCCCTCGGAGGAGTCGGGGCAGTCGAAACCAACTCGGGTTAGCTTCCAGTTCAGCCCTAGACAACCAGTGTTATCTCCTGAACAGGGAACTACGACTCCACCACACTGGATCGGGACGCCCCGGTATTTCACCATTTCTTCTCGGCGCCGGAAAGGAGGAAGCGAATGGGGTCGCCACTGAGTCATCGCCTCGGGCTGGACATCTCCTCGCTCCTGCGACACCGGAGAAATCGGGGCCAACGAAAACTCACCTTCCCCGGCGTACGGGACAATCCATTGCACAAACCTCACTTCCCCAGTTGACAATGATAGAGCGTATCTGGCAAGCCACAGTGATATTACACAGTGACATTACCTTGCCGCTGTTGAAATTTGCTTCACTCGATTATTCGAACCCAAAGTGGATGATAATATCGTCGACGTGATGGAGTCCGTGGCCTCGGAGAGCAACCGCGCTCGTGTCGCAGGCGTGCTTATGGACAGTGTCAAGGCAATTAAGCTGGTGAGCGGGCGTTGAATTCTTTTGCCCCTACCTTCGTTCTCCTTGCCTGTATTCTAACAAATGGAGTAGTCTCTCGTATCCTCGCGGTCCAAAGTGTTGCACTCCTTGGTTCTGGTACCCGTCGGCGTGTTTTGTGTCCTCGCCTATTGCTTCGGCATCGACGCTTTGTTGCGGCTCGCCGGTGTGTCATTTCCGGCATCCGTCGCCGGGTTGCTCATCCTGTTGGCTGTTCTACTTGTATCGGAGTGGCTGCTCGGCAGCTCTCGGACGAGGAAAATCGTTTCCGTGGTTGACATCCCAGTTGAGTGGCGCCGATAACCAACTGGCATATGGATCTATCCATCTCGTCCTAGAACTAACTTGAAATGAATAGGGAGGCTGGGCGTTGCGATGGATCAGCGTCTTTTCTCGCCATCTCTGATCACTCTTCCTTTGAGCTCGCCGGTGGGTGGAGTAGAGATTGCCAAGATAATTGCAGTATTTGGTGTGTTAACTTGGACTCTGTTTCCAGCGCCCTATTCATATGGTTTGCTTCGCTGTTGACCCTGCTACTAACACATTTCTTCTCCTCTTCGTCGTCCTACGTAGTACTTGGATGGTTCTTCGTGATGATCTTCACCGCCTTTTTCACGCGCGGGATTCAAGCGGCCCTCGGTTCGAGAAAGCGACGTCGGGATCAGGCTCCGGAGGAAACCAGCATCGAACTTGTGGGCGTCATACATACTAGCCCGAGCCACGCGGCGCTCAACCCGCCGCCCAACGCCCCCACCCGCCCGGCGACCGTACTCGGCGGGTTAACCGCGCCTCCGTCCCCGCAACTAAACACTCCCGAAGCTTCATCGCCGACGACGCCGGTGGACTCGGAGGATGAAGGATCGCAGGAGAGCTACCGGCCTTCCATCACCTCGGTGCTGGCTCCTCGGGTAAGGTTATGGGCTGCGCGGATCTCCGGGAACTTTAACACCATCATCTACGCCTCAATTCTACTGGCGGGTCTTCCCGTCTACTACGTAACAGGATACGCGATGCCCGCTCAGCTAGGGGCGTGCGTCCTCATCTACCTAGCCTCGCTATACATCCCCATGCGACACCGCGCCTATCTCCACCCACTCATCGTCTCTTCGGGCTCCTCCATATTAGCCATCTGGTCCTTGGCCGCCATTCGGGGGACTCCTTGCAGACGGCGCTCCGCGAGTTCAAGACCGGCATGAACTTTTACGCCCTCCTCGCCGAGCCGCAAAAGCGAAAACCCCCGGCGCCGGAGACATGTTTGGCGCCGCGCTCGACGTTGGAATCGTGGCCCTCGCCCTCCCGATGCACCAGTACCGCCGCGAGCTAAAGGAGCACTTCTTCGTCATTCTCGTTCCGTCTGTGGCGCTGGCCGTGGGCTCGCTGTTCGCGTACCCGGCGGCCTGCTACGCCATTGGCATAGGCGCTGAGCGATCCCTCTCCATGGCCTCGCGGAGCTTGACGGTCGCCTTGGCCATTCCCGCTGCGGAGAACCTCGGTGGGGATGTCGGCGCCGCGGCGGCCGTGGCGGTCATGAGCGGTATCCTTGGCGTTCTTGTTGGGCAGCGGATGCTCAACTGGATGAGGGTCCCAAAAGGTGCGTGTTCTCCCATACGAAGAAGGATGGTGGCTATAGTCAGGTGGCTGGCGTCTTGTAGGTGTATCGAGGCTAATACTGCAACATAAGAGGATTACATCACCCGCGGCATTACACTTGGCGCAAACTCGTCTGCCATCATCACCGCTCTCCTTTTACAGTCCGATCCTCGCGCGGCCGCCATGTCGAGCCTGTCGATGAGTCTCTTGGGCACCATCACCGTGTCACTAACTTCGGTGCCGCCCGTCGTGGCGGCAATCAAGTCCCTTGTCGTGTGATGTACGCGCGATGTGATAGAGAGCTACTAAACTGAGACTTTTGCGACACCCCGAAACGGTTTTCCACTTTAACCTTTTGAAGTATAAAGATGTCCTATGACTGTCATACGTATCAGTGCGCACGAAGAAACGCGGCCGGCTAGACGGCACCGATTGTCTCCGTCGCCCAAACCAGCACTAGCTAGGCTTGGTTGGGTTCTGTCGCTTCGAAAACCGGCACACCCAGTTGGCTGGACCAAGAGGCTGATGGCCCTTATGCTGTGGATAGCTGTGGGCGAAACTGAAGCGTGAGGTTTTAGCAGTGAGAGTGTTTCAAAGTGTCTCGGTCATAAAATTAGATGCTCTCTCGCCTCGCAAGCACTACCTCACCTTGTCTTGGTTCATTCCTAGTCGTACACCAAACAGACTGTTTTGAGACCACTCGCGTCGTCTTTACCTTGATTCGCCCCCACCTGTAACTCCATGTAGAGAATGAGAGTCGGGCTTCTTCGTAAGTGCCGGCTAACCGGGGTGAAGCCCTTTCAAGCTCACAATTCGGCCTTTCCCGAAGACGGTCCCCATGGCAAATGCCGTGCTATATGAAAATCACCAACTATGTTGAGCTGTTTTTCCCCACCATTCAGGGTTTCCCACATGCACAAAGGTGGGGAGCTATCCCTGGGTGCCACGACGCCCGACCTTCAAAATGTCGCAAGCTTACTTGTAGCTCCGGTGCAGCGGCAGACTAACTTCAGCTGCTTCGGCCCTTTCCCGATTCGTACCATGGGAATTCCGGCCTAGTCCCTTGACAGGGCGCAAAGGTCGATGGTGCGGGCATGAGGGCTGGCTTCGGCATGCCGCTATTTACTTGTGGCGCGCGCCATCGTACCTCCGGCGCTGAATGTCCCTTTGCCCCGCTTCGCGATCTTCAGCTCCAGACTTCTTCATGACGAAATGCGGAGGTGGGGGTTTCTCTGTCTTTCGGCACAAAGATGCCATGGATCATGATTGTCCACGTAATTCCCAGACACTGTCGTCCTCCAGCGTTTTTGGAACATAAGGAATATTTATATCTAGCACTCAATCCGCGCCCCGGCCTATCCATCTCTTTCAGACCCCCGAAGTCCTGACGTCATCTTCTCCCTACTAACTCTTTAGATTCAATCCTAATCCGTCGCTTGCGTCTTGCATCCTGATTTTCATCATGTCTCTTGAAGGAAAAGTAGCCCTTGTCACTGGGGGCACCAAGAACCTCGGTGCCGAGATTGCCCGCCAGCTGGCAGGCCAGGGCGCCCATCTCGCCCTCCACTACAACACCCCGAGCTCCAAGACGGACGGCGACAAACTCACAGCTGAGCTGAAAAGCTCCTTCCCGGCGTCCAAGGTCGCTCTCTACCAGGGTGATTTGACGACCAAAGAGGCCGTGGATGATCTCTTCGCCTCGGTGAAGAAGGACTTTGGCCAGGTCGATATTGTGGTCAACACGATCGGCAAGGTCCTCAAGAAGCCCATCACGGAGATCTCTGAAGCAGAGTACGATGAGATGTTTGCGTAAGTACCTTCTAGCCTCCAAAATACAGGTGATTGAACGAATGTGGCATTGACGTCGGGTGCCCAAAGCGTGAACTCGAAATCGGCCTTCTTCATTTTGCAGGCGGGCGCGAAAAACGTGGCGGATGGCGGCAAGATCATTACCATCGTGACCTCGCTCCTTGCGGCCTTCACAGGCTTCTACACCTCTTATGCCGGATCAAAGGCCCCAGTTGAGCACTTCACTAGGGGCGTAGCCAAGGAACTTCAAGATCGGAAGATCAGCGTCAATGCGATTGCCCCCGGGCCCATGGACACACGTAAGTTGGCACATAGCATTCCTGTCATGATCCCCTCCTAGATGAGGGGAAGCACAAACACCGCTGGAATTTAAGTTGGGTGATTAACGTGGAATCTTTCTCTCTTCTCTAGCATTCTTTATCCCCAAGAGTCCGACGAAGCGGTGGCGTACCACAAGAGCCAGGGAATGGGCGGCCGACTGACAGAAGTCCAAGACATTGCTCCTATTGTCAAGTTCCTCTGCACCGAAGGCCGGTGGATTACTGGCCAAACTCTTTTTGCCAACGGAGGCTATACCACGCGATAAGGAGCTGACAATGAGCGTATTGGGGTCTTCTGTGTTGTCTGGTAATGAGCGTACTAGGCTGGCTATGCTGGAACGCGTCTAACCGTCCAACGATGGAGTGCAATGAATGCACCGACGAATGTCTTTGAGCCTAAAGATGGAACACTAGTGTCTGGGGTATCATGAGGAGGACATCGCCCCCTCCTCTCCCAAATAGGCGTCGGTGGCGGCTGGGGCGCGGGCGTTGGGCATCTAGAGAGAGGAACATCGCCCTCGGTCAATGTAAATTAACCTCTCCCTCTGCGCCACATTCAGTTTGAATGGTTCGTTCCGAATTCTTAAAACGCTCACAGAATATGATTGAAAGAGCGGCTTGGCACCGGAACTGGTGCCGTTGCCAGGCAGCTTATTTTAGAGTGATGACGGCTTGTCGGCTTCCTAGGGGTCTTGAGGGATCCATGGGTGTTTGTGGATGCCACGCGAAAACAGCAGCGCCCCCTCAGAGACCGTCCCGTCGCCTCAGATAGGCTAGCATCATGCACCTCGTCGGATGTCTCCTCGAGGGCTGAAGTGCCCAGACGATCCAATCAAAGCCCTGGAGAAGGACCGGTGTTCTGGGGATCTTCCGTCGCTGGTGGATAGTGATTGGCTGGGTGTGGGATGCGGAAATGCGACAGCAGGGTCGTCCAACCACTGAAGTCAAACTGGTGACATTCCCTTTCCATCGAAAGAGCAGGAAATACGGCTTGGAGGCACGAGGCAAGCCACTTTCTCCGCTGGTCAAGTGAGACGTCGGGATGAAGGGAGAAGGCGAAGCCATGGGCGCGCCTGGGGAATTTGAGGCGGCTTGTCACACAATATCAAGCATTTTGGGCCCCTTTTCTTTCCCTGGCGCCGTTTGCTTTAACTTGCATATCTCTCCTATATCCTGTCAATTCCGCCTGTTCGAGCGATCACCATCTCTCGGGTTCACTCTCGTTTTTCTATTTCTTTCCAGAATAGCTGTCTAAGAACAGAGAGACTCTCAATGATGCGGTCCCCGCTCAGCAATCCAAGATGGCCCTTCGCCGCCATCGTGGCATCCTTGCTCGCCAACGCCTCCGTCGCAAACGCCATCCAAGCTAGAGTCCAACCCCCGGCCTCGATCCCCACAGAGGCCCCGAGCCCGGCCCAGATTGCGCACGCCGCCGCGACCACGGCCTTTGAGGCACCGCTCCACCAGCAGCTCGTGAAGCGGGCCGAAGTCAAGGCCGTCGACGGGTACACCCACCTCGGCTGCTGGCAGGATGGGAGCAACCACATCTTGTCCGTGACGGCCAACTTCGACAACGGTATGACGCCCGAGCTCTGCCGCAACGTCTGCTCGATCGCGTCGTGCAACATGTTTGGCGTCGAGAACGGTTACCACTGCTACTGCGGCAACTCGATCGAGGCTTTTGCCGTCTCCGCTACCGACGACTCGTGCACGGCGACGTGCTGGGGCGCCAAGGATGTTATCTGCGGCGCGGGGCAGAGGATGAATGTCTATTCTGCGACGGCTGAATTCCCTGCTGGAAAGCAGTACGGCGTTGATGGCTCGGGGACTCAAGGTATGTGGTTGGACTCTCTTTCTCGCGGCGCCGGCACTCCTCCCTACTATAAAGTATTGTGTTGTTGTTAATAGTTGGATCTCCTTACTCATATAGGGTCGAAACCCGGCGCAACAACCACGCGCCGCGGCAGCGGCTCAAACCCAACCTCTGAAGCAGACCCGGGATCCGGCTCCGACGACTCCGACTCCAACCCCGACTCCAGCGCCGGGTCCGAATCAAACTCGGGTTCGCAAGGCTCGACAGGCAAGAACGGCTTGTCAACCGGCGCCATTGTGGGCATCGTGGTCGCCGTCGCCGCCATCGTGTGCGCCGTGACCGCCGCAGCCGTCTTCACATGTATGCGGAAGAGGCGGCAGGAGGGGTATCCCCATCCGCCTCCCTCTCTCCGAGCCCCAAAACACCTTCAACCCAAGCGGTGCTGTCCGCGCGGCACATTACGCTGGCCCCGAGCAAGCCCAGGTGTCGTCCGCGAGCGACCAGGCCAAGTTTGTCGAGACCCGCCATCAATTAGATGCTCCGGCGTACTCGACCCCGTCTCCTGCGCCTGTTTACTCGACTCCTCCGCCGGCGCTGACGCACGAGGCGCATGGTAGTATGAGGAATAGTGTGTATGAGATTGGCAACTCGGGGCATTGAGAAGGGGGTGATGCGGATGCGAATAGAGGAAATTGACAACGTGTCCCGTCTCTCATGCATTCTCTCATGCATTGCCCTTCAATGTTGACGATAGATCCCAGTTCCTCGAGCGATGAATATTTCCTTTCCTCCCCGGTCTTCATTTCCTATTATCCTGTATCGACACACGGTAGACCATGTCCCTTGAATACCTCGCGTAGAGATGATGAATCGTTGGAATAATACTATACCCCTTCACAGCAGCATATGGGCTTCAGACCGCATCACATCTCCTGGTTACCTCAGTGAATGTAGTATTTGACTGCCAAACCAATTGCAATCGTGCTTTACTCTCAGGCGTGCTTGTGCCAAGAGCTGCCGACCCGTCGCGCGTCAGAGCCGAAGATATGCTTGGTTGAGCAACCGCAAGAGCTTGAAAGCTATTCCCAGACGGGCAATCGGGGACCGAAGTGCCCTTTGATTTATAATGGTGAGGGGTTCGGGTTGGACCATTCTCCCGACTACGGCGCCGTCAATCGTGCTCCACAGTGACATCAATTGATAAATGGCGGTACGAAACTCGCGCACTTGAGGCAACTTGAATATCTGCGGGCCGTTCCATCAATGTTTTTAGGTAAATTTTTAGTTGGGCGCACTGCATCGATCCTTCAAGAACCCCGTCGAGGATATCAGTTTCATTTAAGGCGAAGTTTCACGCAGATTCTGGGTATCAGTTGCGCGAAGAACCATGTCTCCTACCATCAACGTCGCCATCGTCGGTGCCACGGGCCATACCGGAGCCAGCGTGGTCGATGGCCTGCTCGCTTCCGGGACGAATTTTGTCAGCCATCCCTGGGGGCGTGTTTACCTGTGAAATGCGCGACCGGCACACGCTAACGGATGAGAGATGATAGTCTATAACAGCGCTTGCCCGAGAGTCTTCGATTAACAGTGACGCCAACCAATCGCTTCGGGATCGCGGGGTCAAGGTAGTCTCCGCCGACTTAACCGGTTCGCAAGATGCGCTTGTCGGCATTTTGACGGGCATCGAGGTCGTCATCTCATGCATCGTCTTCTCGTCCCTGAAGGATCAGGTTCCCCTCGCCGAGGCGTCGAAGAAGGCCGGCGTCAAACGCTTCGTGCCTTGCAACTTTGGCACGCCTGCGCCGAGGGGCATTATGTGGCTCGATGACCAGGTATTCACTTTTCTCTGAGACAACCGTAGTAGTTTGGTCTCATGTTACCCCATCGCTGCTAACTGGGCTCATGTTCTTTCCTCCCTTGTGCTAGAAATACGAAATCATCGACGCTATCCAGCGTCTCTACCTCCCTATACCGTCATCGACGTAGGCTGGTGGCCTGAGCAGGTTGTGCCGGCCCTCCCTTCCGGCAAAACCAACCATGCTGTCCTCAAGAGTATGGGCGCTCCACCCATCCCGGGAGATGGAACCGTACCAGTCGCCTTCACCTCGGTCCCCGATATTGGGACGTACGTCGCAAAGATCATTGCCGACCCGAGGACGATTAACAAAAAGGTGTTGGCGTACACCGAGGTCTTGACCATGAACCAGGTATCAGACATCATGGACGAACTCAGCGGAGAGAAGTCTCTGAGGAATTATGTAAGTCTACGTCTTCTCTTTTCCTTCCTTTGCACCAGCCTAGCTTTTGAGACGTCCCGAAATGGCAGCTAAATCAATATTGGGAACCAGAGAACTGCGGAGACGCTGGAAAAGGCCATTGCGGATGCTTGGGAGGCGTTGAAAAAGGATCCCAAGGATGTAGCTGCCTTCTACTCGAGGGCTATCAGCGAGTACCACTACTCGTGGGGTGTGCGTGGCGACAACACGCCCGAGTCCGCTGTGTATCTAGGGTATCTAGACTTCAAGGAGTTATACCCCGGCGTAGCTGGACGCACCATTCGGGACTTTCTCCGGGAGGTCTTGGCAGGGAAGGGAAGCGGCATTCGATACTAATTTCTGTAAAGGTGCAAACTCTGATAGATGTATCCATTCAGTAACGATGCATTTTCAGTATAGAAAGAATGTCTATTATGTCCGGTAGATTTGAAGCATCATGTCGATGTACACGTACTATCTGGCGAAACGAACAGGTTCTATAGACTTGCCCTGTTGAGAAATCCCCGTTTTCTTTTGTGGTTATACTCCAGATCAGACGCCGACTATAACTACATCCATCAATAGATGTACCTCTTCGGCCAACTCCACTGAACAAGCACGCCCTTCGAAATGTCAATTCAATCACCCGTAAACTGCTAGTGCAGCATCAAACGATCGGGATAACCGGACTGGTCGAAGCACGTGATTGGAGGGTGGATGTGCATCATCAGTCGCTACAGCGTGAGTCACTATCAATTCTGCCTCCTCTACGATCTAGTTAGCACGAGTGGGCCCGGTCGACTATTTACATACTCTCCGGTTACACAACTGGAAAGCGAGTCGCTCTAGGTTTGCCTCACCATTAGTATACAAGGAACACATATAGCACATTTTCTAGTATATATAAGATTATCGATCCTCATCGACAAAAATGGCCGACAAAAGCACCATCCTACCTATACTGGACCACATCATCATCCTGGTATCATTCAATGACCTTCAGGCACTCCCCCAAAAGTTGGAGGATTCACTCACCGTCATCGACGGCGGTGCTCATACCGACGGCCTCACCGTGAACAAGCTCGTCATTTTTCCGGACGGCGTGTACCTTGAGTTCATCGCATTTCGAGACGACGCGGATCCGGATGGCAGAAAGGCGCACCAGTGGGGCTCGCTTGAAGAAGGGGCCATCGTCGACTGGGCCTATACGCTGCGGGACGAGAACGAGTTTGCCGGCGTGCAAAAGCGCGTGAGAGAGGCGTCGGATCCCGCGGTCGGAGTGTGGTACAAGGATCCCGTCCCGGGCGGGCGCACCCGGCCGGATGGTGTGGAGCTGAAATGGGCTGTCAGCTTTTCCAGGGACGCCGCGGGCAAACCTCTCTGGCCTGGCACTGCTCCGTTTTGGTGCTTTGATCGCACGCCGAGGCATAATCGGGTGCCCTATCACGACAATGAAACGGGTGCTGCGCCGGCTTACACCAAGCACGCGTCGGGTGCTGTGGGCGTGTCGCGGGTTTCAGTCACCGTTCCTGAAAAGGAGTTTCTCATAATTAGCCAAGCGTACGAAGGGTACATGGCGCCGCTATTGACCGTGACGCGGAACGGATCGTTTGGCCTTGGGTAGTTCACTCTGGTTCGGACCGCGGGAAACGACGAGTGAGCCTTGCGCGTACGCAGGCGGCTGGAGCTAGGCACATCGAGCTCACTTTTGTTGGAGGTGAGGCGTCGCCTGGGAGCATCGAACTTTTGCCTGGGTTGATAGTCAACTTTGATCGCTAGCTTTGGCTGCCTAAATAGACTGCTGCATCGAAATGTGCCGTTAAGAAGGAAGCGGAAGAAGGGAGCGATGACGGATACGTAAAGACACAGTTTATAGTGAGCAAGAGTAGGGCAGATGTCCGATGTGTACTCCATGAATCCCGGAGGTGTATTCTGAAAGTATGTGATAAAGTCTTGCTTATATCATGTATAGGATGAATTGCTATGCAAATGTATACATCATGATATCCCGGTATTTTGTGTAGGTGAAGAGGCGAGGTGTTCGATCCTTCGTCATGACAATCATTTAACAAACTCGTCTACCGTCGCAAATTATGAGCACTCCCCCAATCCTGTTCTCTACTCTTCATTCCTATTCCCTTCACTTCCTCCTCTTCTCTTCTTCTATCCTGGTTTCTTCTTCCCACCTCTTTCCCTCCTCCTTCCTCCCGCGTTCCTGCACTCGTCTCGCGTTCTCCTTCCTTACGCGTTCCCGCATTCGCCTTGCGTCCTCATCCTCTTGGCGCTTTTTCTCCAGCCTTCGGTCAGAGTCGTTAGGAGGATTGCGTACGGCTTTCGACTCCCTTGCGGGGACCGCAGGTGAACCGGAGGATCCTTGCTCATAGGCTAGACGTGGTGGGTTCGCGGGCCGCGGACGGGCCGGAGCCTCCCGAGACGCTCGCGGATAAACCCTGGTTGGGATTTCAAGGGTTTCGGGCCCTCCCCGGAGTCGTAATCGCCCTCGTAGTCGGAGATATTCACCGGCCGCCAGGTAAAGGGTGCGTGAACAGAACTCCACCCATATTGGCCCTCCTTATCAGCGACCTCTCTCAGCTTCTTTATGCCTCTCAGCTGGGAGGCCAGGCTTTCTTCTTCTAAGGGCTTTCCTATCATGGGAGGACTCGCCTCTATGCGTCGCTCTCGCTGGTTGCCTGACAGATATCCAGTCGATCCGGATACACCACCTTCCTCCGATCTTGCTGAGTCGCCAGACTCGTCCGAATCAGAGTGTCGATCGGTTCCGAGATCGCCGGTTTCGTGGGCAAAGGTACGAGGACTGTGGGACCCGTCAGCGAACCCCGGAACGGATTCCAGCTCGCTGTACAACTTGCGAGGCGGGGATGGATGGCGTGTCGGGACCTGGGCCATAGCGCCAATACCCCTTCTGTGCGCTCTGAAAATCTGTTTTTATATTTTCTTTTTTATGTCTACTTTTCGATGTAAACCTGAGGCTGGTAAAAGGAAAGTGAAAACAAGGGATTCACCTCCGATTCTATCTACGTTGCTGGAGGGGATCGATTGGGCACCGGGCTCAATAAAAGTGCAACGAAGACATTGAACACTACAGGCTATACCAACCGTTGGACCAGAAACCCTCCTCATCGCCCAAGGACAGCCGCGGACGATGCGCCATCTCTTTGGCACCACCCTCTTGATTCGTGCCGACGACAGCAGAGGGACGGCAGCCCCAACTTTTCTGGCGTCGTCGGGCTCCCGTTCGAGCCACGGAGACATTGTCTGGTGGTACAAGCTGCGTTGATCTGTTGTACTTTCCCGTCGATCAATCAAATCATGTAGAATTCCGGACATCGGTACGCCCTAATGTAACTCACACGTCTTAAAGCTTGTCAGGCTGCGCGGTCAATATCGGGTTATCATCCCTCGGCCAATCACCGCGCTGATATTTCGGATGCTCGGTGACGGCTGCGTAAAGGGGGTAGTCGTTTCCAACTTAATACGCAGACATGTCCGGCACCCTTTTGGGGCCCCTAATGTTTCCTCTAGTGGTGGACTATTCAATGTTCTCGTTGGGCCATTTTTTTCTCCTTACAGAAGAAATGAAGCCACCGACAAACTTTGGGGATGTTGAGCAGAGGGGCCCTCATCGGCCATCCCAGTCGGAAATCGACGAAAAGCCCTGGTACGGCGTCGTGTTGCTTCCCGTCCTTCGTTTTGACCTCAAAGACTAACACTATATATATCCATGTAATTTTTTGACATAGGAAATATCTCGGATACCCCTACTTTTCACGCTACCTTGCTGGAGCTCCTGACCGCTTACTTCTCCGGAGGTTCGACACACTTCACAGCAGGGTGTTTCTTATCGCGCAGGACGAAATCTGTCAGCTTGAAAACGAGCTCCGAACCCTCGACGAGAAATATAGCGGCGATGCAGGAGGATGGGACCTCGACAATGGAACTATTCGTGGAGACATGGCCGACCGCAAGGAATTGCTCGGCGTCATACGGGAAAAATTGGATCACTATGGCAGGTTTCAAGCCCACGAACAAGATCAACATTCATTGGAACAAGCACGCTAATCATACTTGCAGATAGGCAGTATCTCCAGTATTGCCAAATGATGTCCCGGCAAAGACCCGCCAAGTGGCGGGTGCAGAATCTCCGCACGTGGCTTCAGAACAATCATCGGGCGATCAGCGACAATGAGGTAGACTTCCTCGACCAGATATATGAGGAGGAGCTCTTGGGAATTGCTGACAAGAATCGCTCGCGTCTGGCTACCTGGCTGGATTCCTTTTTCATTTGGCTTTCTAAGAAAGACCGTTATGACTGGTTTAAACGCTCCGAGCCAGACATGGACGCCATTCACAAGGAAACCGTCTTCACCAGTGATGATGACAAGGTCGACGCATTGCTCGAGAATATTTATTTTTGGATAGGAGTTTGCTACCTGATAGCCCCGCTATGGTTACTGCAGAGCCTCGAATCGTTCAGTACAAATAGCAAGCTTGGCATTATTACAGCGTTCATCTTGTCCTTCATTGTGCTGCTGTGGATGGCTACAACGGCTGGTCCATTACGAGTGCTCGCAGGCGCAGCGGCGTAAGCATTTTGTCAGGAAAAGACTGAACTTGGAAAGCTAACTCCCCTTCTCATAATTTAGTTACAGCGCCGTCTTGGTTGCCTTCCTCCAGCCCGCAGAACGCCCTGGCCCTCCTCCCTCTTAAAGATATATTACTGTGGCAAAGTAGGCTAGCCCAAACTCTTGGAAATATAACTGGAGAGTCCGAGGCCTGGCAGAGTTGCACGAAGGACGAGCTTTTGGAACGCTCGTCGTCAGCAACCCCAAAGGCTTGTAGGCCTCGGAAAATACTATCCTCCAGAAAGAGTCCTAAGCACAACACTGTCGACGGCATAGAGCGTCCGTTTCGAGAATAAACTCGCCCCCGATAATAGCTACTAAGGGTATGGTAGTTACCTAACTATACACTCAACATGCGGACAGAGATCACCCTGGAATATGTAGGTTTGACTGTCCAAAGTGGTAAATTGTGGTAGGTTCATTGGTAAGATTGAGTCCTCTTTCCGCAATCCTTTCCTCGTTATTTAGATGATCTTTCTTTGTTATATGTATATCTCCTGCAGAGTGGATGTCTCTATGACTGTAAGAGATTGGAAGTAAGGCCCGAAAGCAACAATTAGTTTAATGCATATTCTTTCCCCTTTGTTCATATGGAAAACGCGCTGGCCACCCAACAGTGCTCAGTAAGTACATATGTAAGCCGAAAATGAGCCTACACGACGGTTATCTGGGTAGGATGAGTGCCCTCGAACCAGGAGGTCTTGTGATCGTCTACACAGCATATGCCCACCCGTCGATACGTTCCCTCCTTCTTCTTCACCAGCGCTACGGCGTCCGTTGCCGTAACTCTCAGGCACCAGACCGGCACTGGCGTATTCCATTGCATGTCCGGCTCCTGCAGGTCTAGCGCGAGGAGCCCGAGCTTGCGGGAAAACACGTGGTCAGTGGGATCGGGAACCTTTGGCTCCTCGAATATATACACGAGCTTGTCCTTGATGTCGTGGTGGCCTGGACAGGCCATCCACCACGCCTCTTTGAGGGCTCCACGTACCGTGAGATACCCGTCGAACACCTCGCCAAACTCGTCTAGGCCCTTTGGCGTCACGGATGCATCCTCCACCACGCAGTGCGCCTGTGGTTCCTCGTCCCACCAGCCCATGGTGTCTCCGAAGCACGAAATGGACCCGTCGAGGGAAGCCCAGGACCAGGACGGCGCGCGATATTCGGCAGGTCGGGTGGAGGATTGGTCAGGGCCCCATAACAGGCTCCAGGGCATGTCAGACTTCCACATTCCCGCGAGGTACGAATCTCCGGGCCTCGTTTTCTCCAGATGGCGAGCGATACCCGCGATTGCCGGGAGTTTGTCCGTAGGAAACGAGAGCCGTCGATTGGTAAACTCGCGAACGATGAATTCCCATGTCAAGACAGGCTGGAGCCTCTCCCCCAGCTGGTTCGATAGGGCCTCTGCTACTTGGTCGTTCTTCCTTCTTGTGAGGATGGGTTTGGGGAGCCCGAGGAAGCTGCCCTGGCTGTGGAGCGGAGCGCCGCTTTCGCTTTTGAAGGCGAGACCGCACTCCCAAGTTATATGTCTTGACTTCAAGGAAATGATACGCCGTGCCAAGAGCCCTTCCTGAAGAGTCCAGCCTCTGTCGTCCAGCGGATCCGGCTCGAGAGGGTCAAAAGTTTGTCATAGCGGGAAAACACGGTACCAGTTTCCCCACCGAGGCTTGTGAATCGAAGTGGGACCGGGGAGAGGTCGGCAGCTTCCGGGGCAAGAGGCACCCGGCGTTGCTGTTGGGGGCGCGGCTGGCTTGAAGGGTGATTTCTGCGTTGTGGTAAATGGATCCCATTCTGGATGACTCGATTTGCCAGTCAGTTCTAGAGTCTTGGATGATGCACTGCGAGTCGACCCAGATAAAGCGAATCCCGAGTTTACGGGTTATCTCGATGGCGTCTTGGATGGTCTTGCCGAGATTTTGAAGCCTGATGTCTTTGCATTTGTCGTCAATATTTTCATTTGTGAGACAGTCGGCCTGCGGTCCACCCCAACAATAACTTAACGCGACGTATCTTGCATCAGGCTCATCCTCTTCGTCAAGGGAAATATGGAGAAACGGGGGACCAGAGCCGTCAAGGCATACGTCAATCACGCGGGTCGGTAGTTTGGCGCTATCTAGATGGCAACCTTCATGATCACGACGGCACTCTTCTAGCCATTCTCGGGCCTTTTCTAAAAGCTCGTCCGGCTCGAGATCATGTACAACCGCTCTCCCAGGAACATTGCTCTTACCAGGCTCCTCTACGTATGATTGTCAGTCTTCTCATCTTGTTACGGATAGGCCGGGCGCTATCTTTGCATGACCTAGATAGACTCTGCTCACCTGAAGCAAAGAAACCACCTAGAGAACTCGAGATGGAGGACGACTTTCCGGGCTTATTCTGATCGGCTTTTCCGGCCACACGCGACTGGCATTCCCAAAAGATATTACTCTCTAATTCGTCTTTTTGGAGCGCGTGGAACACTTTGATTGCACTATGCGAGTCATAGGCGCCGACGCGGTAAAAGTCATGCGTCGCATCATGGGACATCGCGATGGCGATACACATCGGGCATGCCCGTGCCGCCGCATCGCCGAGTTCCTCCGGGTTCGAGTACTCGCGGATAGGGCCGTCCTGCCACTCCGGCTTATCCTGGAATCTCAGGTTAATCTCAGCGCAAGGCGCGCATAGCTGCTCGAGGAGGCTTTCGGAACTCATATTTTGCGCTATTACTACGCGATGCACCTGAACTTGTGGAATTCAGCTTGGTTCGGGGTAACCAGCGCAAGTTTGCCTTTGAATGGAGAAGAGAGAGTTGCATTCCGGCGACCGGAGGATGATCGCACGGGCAAGAAGCCCAATCAAATCGCATCCTTCCATTCCACGACTCTTTATTGGACTCTGTAGCCGCCGTCAGGAGGACAGACATTTCCCCTCCCAACCTCTGCGGGGTATCTCTTGCGGTTTGCAAGAGCTTGTCTTGGCCGTAGGCGGGCGGGCGATTTCACACAAATCCACACGTGTTGTCCAACACAACCTCAAGAAGGCATATATGTATTCGCTGCGAGCGTGGTTTTTTATTTGAAACCTCATAAGATAGATATTGGTACTTTACACATGGCGAAAACCGCAACTGCATCATCGCTTCGTTACTCGTAACATCCTATTCATACATGTACAAACCATATGAGTGCCAAGGGTATCAAATTCCCTCTCCTGCTTTAGAGGTGGCGAACTCATTCAAGTTCCAGGACGCGAAACTCATCTCGAGTATGCTCTCGTCCAGCAGCACCACTACGCGCCTCGCCGTGATCCAAGTCAATCCCCTCGTCTTCTTGAGGCATGAATAGGAAAGGTTCCGTGTCTTCCATCGGACCCGTCGGTCCCACTACTGTAGATAGCAAGGCCATCAAGTCTACCGACTCGGCAAAGAGGGCGGGATCGCCCGATGATATCGTTGCTTGCATCTCCTGGCAAGTCTCTGTTTTTCTTGCGTCTTCCGCCCCGTCAGCTTCCTGAGCCCACTCCGTCTGTGTATGCTCGTCAGTGGCATCCCAGGCTGCAAAAATATCTGTCTCGGTTTCGTGCAGGGGTAAAACCTGCTCATGGTTCAAGAACGCGCGTTGCGGGCCGACTTTGGGCCCCTTCACCACGGAGACTAAGTCGGGAACCACCCAGGCATCAGATGGAGCCATGGCTCTCGGCACAGTCGTTCCGAATGTGCCCTCCGGAAAGAATCCCCGTAGGCTCGGGGGAGATCAGCCCTCGCTGGCAATTTCCCTTGCTGATGCTGAAATCCATGGCTGTTACCAGATACAGGTACTGCTTGATATTTAGGCGCAAGATTTGGGCCCAACTCCGGGAATTGGGGTTCCCTTGCCCACCAGGCCGCACCGTCAAGCTACAGTAGGCGCTTGCGGCGTTATACTTCACGGCTTCGAGGACCCATTCGATGGCGGCGTACCGCGGCCTGTACATATCCACGACACCCACTAGATTATCTATGCGCCTGTGGCTATCATGCGCGCGGGCAATGCCTTGGGAGCTTGGCGCGCTGTCGACTGTATTCTGGCGTAATTTTCTGTCAAAAGCTTGTAACGCCAGGGGAAAGGCGGTGCAGCCAATTCTGTTGATAGTTAGCTTTGAGAGACGCGGTGCTTGAGGGTCAGGAGGTGGTGTGTTCGTACATGCTTAGGGGCAGCCACTGCGCGATGCGAAGGCGTGTCAGCTCATCCATGCACTCTGACAGTTGGTATACCGCGTCTTCGACTTGGTTTCCTGTTTCTTGAAGGCTGCCATCTTCATAGTCGCGCCCGCGCGAAGCGGCTAGAAAGTCCTGTTGCGCCATCTCATGATGGCAAAGGGCCATTGTGGCGGAGCTTGAGTCACGTTAGCAGAAATTTGGTTTGGTGTGAGGACCTGCGCTCATCAAGCAACACGACAACGGGGTGGATCTCACTAGTAGTAAATGTCGAGTAATTTGAGAAATAGAGTGAGCGAGCGTCTCGAGTCTGTGGATGAGGCAAGGCTGCCTCCCTGCGTAAGTTGCTTGGCCAGGCGCAATGCATTCGCCCGCCACCGCTTCAGCCCACTTTTGCATTTCTTAACCTGGGCCATCCGGTTGCTGTTGGGTGACACAAAGGGCATGGTATTATATTGCGAGGATGAGGTGACGGTAATAAGGTCTGTCAGAAGCACGCATAATTGTACCAACTCCGTCAGGATCTCCGCTAGGGCCGACTTGGTTGTGGCGTTATAGACTTTGGACTTCCAAAACTCATCGGATAGATCTGATTTCCCAAGCGGGGGTTGTAGTCGAAATCAAAGTTTGAGTGGTCAATTGTGAGGGGGCGACGACTCGTCAAGGGCATGATGCGGTCTCTGATAATACAACACCACCATAAACGTTTGAGGCAGTTTATGGAGGGCCCGCCGCCGGGATCGTCGATCGGCATGAGGTGATATTGATGCGCCCTCGCCTCCTTGGCCTGGAATATGGCGACGTTTAGCCAGACGGCGCCGCGGCCGGCGGATTCGGTGTGGTCCAGGGGCGTGAGATGCGAATGGGAGAGGAGGAGTGCGGCCTGGGAGATGGCAACGGAAGACCGCTCGCAGTTGAAGTCGTACAAGAGCTGAGATTGTTAGTCTTTGATCATGCCACACGGCCCCGAGACGGATTCGTGAGTACCTTGGCCCTTCTGTAGAAGGCAGATTGGGCATCGTGGGCGTCTTTGAACCCAAGAGCCTGTATGGTTTGGCTCGAGACAATCTGGGAGACAGTTAGGACTTATCATGCAAGGGTATGGTCGCACGAACGCTTGCAGAGACAAAGAGCATAGCTTGCATAACAATCATTGGGAGTTCCCGGACGGAACTTCCCGACAATGTATCTCCATCATATATTTCCACGAATTCGGCTTCGTCTAGTATGGGCAGCATGGGATGAACATGCAAGAAGTAGTGGCGTACGAACTCGTCTAGATATTCTCGCTGCGGGAGGACGAAGCAGCCCTCCCGAATGAGGAACTCTTGGTCATGAGGTCGGAGGTTCTGGACTTCGGGCGCCTTGAGGAACGAATAGCTCGCGTAAGAGAGACTGGTTATACGTTCGGTCGTATCGTTTGGGGATGTGAGATCGTTGGGTAAGTTGTCGAGAGAAAGGATAGAAGGGAGAGAGAGATTGGTCGGGTGCGTTGCATATCCCGTACCGTGGGCCGTATAGCCAGGTACAGAGGGATGAAAGGATTCGGAAACAGGTGCAAACCTCGATGAAACTGAAGGTCGAGGTGCGCCTGGTGATGCGAGGGTCTCGAGGCCGTCTCGTAAGGGTGCAGGCCTCGATTCCGTGCGCGGTTGGCGGCCATTTGCGGGGCCGGCATTCGTCGCGAATGAAGGCGTTGTCGGTTTCTCCGCCTGCTCGGTTTCGTCTAGGCCCTGGTAGATTCGGATCAAGTCGCACTCCTTCCTGTCGAGCTTGCAGTTGACGCATTTCTGCGAGGCGTCGACCACGACGCACCGCACCTTGCGCGTCCGGCACGCCCGGCACGCTCGAAAGGCTCGACGCTTGGGGTTGGCTCCTTCCATTTCCCCGTTCGGACTACGGGGAATGGTCCCTACGCGGGAGATTACGGAAAGGTCGGACGCGGGGTGAAATTTTCGTCTCGCTGAATCGTGGGAACCCGGATGCGATATGGCGCATGTCGGATGCAGGGAGATGAGATGATCGACAGAAGAAAGAAAAAGAAAAAGGAACAGAGGCGAAAAAGAGCATAATCAAACACCTTCTTTCGCTTCTCAGCTCTTCAACCTAAACCCCCAGGGTTGCGTCCCCTTTACCCCACCCTCACCGCCGCGGCTTTTCGGCCACGAAGTTCGGGTGTTGCCCTCGACAGGGGCCAAGGTCCATGCACCCCACATGGTTTCCCAGAAAGCTAGGCTGGGGAGGGAACGAATCCCCGTGGGGCCATTTCAACTTTTGTAGTTGGGGAAGCTAACCGACTCCGTAACATGTCACTACATTTTTATGCTTGGCCCATTGCGAGGACCCAACCATAGCGAGAGACCAAGACCAAGTGGGTAATTTTGCTGCCCCTTCCGCACACCATCTGCGATTCGGAGGTCATTGGGACCTCGTCCCTCCATCCGAGCGCAGGGAAGAACAGCCCATCACATTAGGCAGGTGGTCTCAGACACGTGATGAGAAAAAGCCACTCGCTCCAAAAGGTGGCCCAGGCAAGGAAAGGATTGACTTGCCTCAGACCTGGACATAGTAGCAGATCCTACGAATCAAAGGGCGAAGAGGGTTGAGTATAGCTCACGCGCTGGAAAGCCAACCAACGCCGCGTTGTACGTCCCTATCGACAGTCTAAACACCGGCAACTTGGATTCAACGTCATCTGTAGCCTTGTGCATGGATCTGCAGTTGTCAGCACTACAATAGGCAGTTCTAGCGTAGATAAAGACCCGTTCTTGGAATCACAACAGTGGACCACCTCCGAGCCAGCCAACCACAACCCGAGCGAGTAGGAGACGCCAACACTATGCGACTGATTCTATAGCGTTGCCACCCGTAATCAACAAACTCCTTTGAGCTATTGTGCAACTGACATCTTCCTGAACCCCGAGTATAGTACCAGTCTCATAAGGGCGGTATATCAGTGGTTGTCCTGGCTTTTCCAACAACTCATCTAATCTCGTTTCCCGCCCTTGTCACCTTGACGACATCTTTTTCATCACGAAGTTGGACTATAGCACGCCCCAAGTCTGCATCATACGGAATTTCGGCCTCGGAAAAGAAGAATATGAAAAGAGTTCATTAAAGCGCGTAATGATTAGCTACACTAACTACCATTCATCCCATAGTCACCCCCAATCCGCCACCCTCCTTCAAAGCTGCTTAGGCCTAGCAATCTGGAATTGCTTCGCATCATACTTTTGCGGCCAGATGCCATTCTTGCCGGGCGCCAAAATTCCCTTGGGATCGAGCGCGTTCTTGATGATCTCGTTCAGCCGCATCTGCGCCCCATTGTTAAAGTTGTAAGTGCCCGCAATCTGGTCCATCAGCGCCAAATGCGTGCGGTACTCGCCCCAGCCGCGCTTCGCCGCATCATCGATCAGCGTCGTGATGATCCAGTGCGCGCGGCGGCACGATTCCGGATCCTCACGGTTGAAGACTAGGCACACGATGTGGTGCATCTCGCGCATTCCCACGCAAAGGTGCCGATGAAGTCGAAGCCGGCCTCCTCGCACCGCTGGCGCGTGAGCTTGTACTGGGCCATGGCTTCGTCTCCGTTGACTTTGGCGATGGGCGAGAAGAAGAGATGGGCGCCGTTGGGGAGCCAGTTTCTGTGTTTTTGTGTTAGCCGGAATCTACCTCATGAGACGGCAGGAAGGGCAAGGGTAACGAAAATGTGTCTACTTACACCCATTCAAGTTCGGTTGTCGTGGGAATTCCCTGCAGGGTCAAATGCCTGGTCTGCAAAACGACGTTGTCGGGCATATCTTCTGGGAAATAGAACTTGGTGCCTGGAATTGTCGAAAACGCCTGCTTGACGACAGCCCACATGGCAGCGCGGATGGGCTCGGGGCCGTACAAAGCGCCGTAGAAGTTCCAGCGGCCAAGATTTAACTTTTTGCGATCTCGTCAAGCTCTTCATCATTCAGCGGGTTCGGTGAAGACGTGTACTTTGTGCGATTTCCTAACAACAGTCCCAAGATTGCTTGATTAGTTCAATGTATGAGAAAACTACCGTGTTATCATGATTTTACTTACCATTACGGCCGCATCCAGCAGGATGTGCCTCACTGTGGGGACGTTTTGTAGAACCATCGACGTTCGAAGGGGTCGGATGATTTCGATGGCCTTGTGAAGGTCCTCATCCCTAGGGATTGTAACGAGATAGGACTGGTATCCACCGGGATTTACCATCAACCACACTCCCATCTTCACTACGATTCCAAGAGAGGATTGTGTGAAGATGCCATCGTTATACGGACCGAAGCCATAGTTGAAAAGTTGCCAGGCTGCGTTGGGCTCCTGCTCGTGGGGGTTTGCTTGTGTCCGCGTTGGGGTTCGGAAGTGCGCCCATACCGGTGCGGATGAGGCTACCATCGGGAAGGATGACTAGAGGGATCGATATTAGCGAGCTGCTTGGGATATCAAAAATAGACAAGGAGTTAGAGTAATCACCATACCTTCCATGCCACAGTGCATCATGAAATGATCGCCTGGTGTACGATAAGTCAGTTTTGAGTATCATTGCAGGGGTATTATCGAGCCAATTACCATAAGGTGTATAGCCAACTCCTCGCTCAAGGGTGTTTCCTAAAACGGAACCACCCCCAAGTCGGGCACGTCGATCCAGAGTTTGTCCCGCAGGTTGTTGTCCACAAGGTACTGGTGAAGGTCTGTATAGGTAACACCGGGCTCCACAAGCGCGTAAGCTCCGTCCACGTCTACCTCGATGATCTTGTTCAGGTGCCTGCCCATATCAAGACCAACGGAGCCCGGCACCCTAGGCCCGGCACCTCCATAACCGACATTTCGGCCGGCAGAGAAGGGCCAGAGAGGAACCTCGTACTCGTTGCACAACCTCACGATGGACTGTACCTCTGCTACGTCGCGGGGAGCGATAACGGCGGAAGAAATAAAGTGCTCCTTGCTCAGAATATGAAACATGTCGTGGGCCTTGCTAGGGTCAAGGTAATCCTGCTTCGTGAGATGATCTGACTTGTCGATTACTGTAACGTTCTCGGCGGCGACAACCCCACGCGCCGCGTCGATGAACTTTTGGAAGGTTGCCGCATCTACGCCCGGAGGCAGGGTCAGAGGGCTAGAGGCTCCTTGGCTCGCCATACTGATTTTCTGATATACGGTGATCAAGGAAGAGAGATCAAGAGTTTCAACGGATATGAAGAAAGAACTGGAAAGACCAAAGAGGTTGATAGAATAGGAAGAAGGAGGCTATATGAACTACAACTGTCAGAGAGGGCTCCAGAGAAAGCTGCGAGACCCCAGAAACCACCGAGCCCAACAGTCCGTCCCAGGCCAACATTTTTAAACCTCTCCCGCGACCCCAACGCCATCGGCGCACAGAACAGAGGTGACACCAGTAGGTAAGCACCGCGAGGGATCCAGGATCACCCACCCCGCGCCACATGAAAAACCCGAGCTATCACAGATGCGCCGACCACCACGCGGTCGCTCGAACTCAAAACGCGGGGGTGGGAGCTTGGCCGACCCAAAACGGCAACCCGAGTGCTCTTCTTCGCCATGTTTTCGTCGCGACTCGTAGGTGAAAGATACGCAACATAGAGGCACCCTCGAAGGCTAGACTCGGGGGAAGCCATCCAGCCAGCCTCGTCGGCCGTGGGTTGTTGTAGTGGAGGTGGGGAATTTCCCGCCTCGACGGTTCTTGACGCTCTCTCTCCAACATGTGCGACGACGCTCTTTCAGGGTGAAGGGCCCTCGCGGTCGCCGGGCCGTTTCGCTGTAGGTGCCCGCAAAGGGCGTTTTTTGGTCCTGCGTGTGGTGTTGAACCTGTTTGCGTGCAGTCGCGGGAGGCGGGATATTCACCACCTCCACGCGGGTGTCGGGAAATTCGCCACACTGCGAGACCGAACCGGCGGGCTGGATCCGTCGCCGGCGATTGGCGAGGACGGAAGAAATAAGATGCAGAGCTTATCACGACTTGCCGACCTTAAAGAGACATACCACGCTGGGATGGAGCGCGACTGCCGGGTGTCTGGCCCAGACGCTTCTGGCTTGGACGTGTCCTTGGAGACGCCGAACAAAAAGCCGTGTCCGAGCCCAGCGATCCGTCCGATTATTTGACGACTCGAGCTCTTCATAGACCACCGGATTTGATCGAATTGGAAAGCCATGGAAGGTCGTACGACACAGCGCGCAGCCCTCGTGGTGGTGGGTATCCCCCGATCAACTCCAGCATCTTGCCGTCCCTCGCTCACTACGTCTTTTCATATAGCGCTCCGAGGGTTCGTTCAACTTTGAGATTCGATCCGTTCCCATCCCAGAGCCGAAGCCCTGGGAGGTCTTGATTAAGCTCACTGTCACGGGAGTATGCGGCACGGATGTATCCCTCGCCGCCGGCTACGTTGGTCCGACGTGTGACATACTCGGCCACGAGGGCGTCGGGCACATCGTCGCCCTGGGAAGCGGCGTAGATCCGAGCATCGTCAAGGCCGGAGACCGGATCGGCGTCTCCTGGGTCAGGGACGCGTGCGGTAGCTGCCCCTGCTGTCGCGAGCCCGGCGGCGAGACGCGGTGCCTCGAGCAGCTCAATTCAGGACGCAAGCTCGACGGCACATTTGCCGAGTACTGCGTCGTGCCTGCCCGCTATTTGCTCACGCTGCCGGACGACAAGGCCAACCTGCCAGACGAGCTCGTCGCGCCGGTGCTGTGCGGCGGCGTGACGGCCTACAAGGCGCTCAAGACCTGCGGCGCGACGCCGGGCGAGTGGGTAGCCGTCGTCGGCGCGGGCGGGGGCGTCGGTGGCCTAGCGGTCCAGTACGCTAAAGCCATGGGCTATCGCGTCGCGGCAGTGGACGTGGGCCCGGAAAGGAGGAATTTTGCCTGCTGTCGGGGGCGGAGGCGTACTTTGACGCTCTCGAGCCGGACGTGGTGGCCTCTGTGAAGAACACCACGACGGGCGGGGTCGGTGTCAGGGCGTCCATCGTCACGGCGGGCTCGGGCAAGGCGTATCAGAATGGGTTGGACGTGCTGGGGTCTTTGGCACGCTGGTTTGCGTGGGGATACCGCCCCCTCCCGAGGTCCTCAGTTTCCATCCTCTGGCCGTCATCGACCGAGGCATCCGGATCGTGGGAACCCTGGTGGGGACGCGTACGGAGACGCTTGAGGCATTAGAATTCGTGCGGAGGGGGCGGTGAAGCCCGTGGTCAACGTGATCCAACTCGAGGGGCTTGATACGGCGGCCAAGGGCCTCTCTACGGTACTTTTTTTTCTTCTTTTCTTTTGCTATTCTCTCGGGCCTTCCTCTTCCCTCGAGCCTGTCGGGCGTCACACGGGTCCCTTTGGGAACTCTAGGCTCTCCCCCGCGCCCCCCTCTCCTCCATTCCTTCTCCCCCGCCATGGTCTTCCCTGCTTGGTGCCTCCTCTCCTGCCCCATCTGTGCGGCCAGTTGGGCACAGCCCGGCGCCAACACAGTTCGCTACTTGGTGATCATGTACTGATACAACTGGCAGGCATCTGGGAAATTCGTTGTACAGCTCTAGGAATAGTTGTTGTGGAAGGGCCGGGCGCCTGGTCCCTTATCGCCGCGAAATCCGGACTTCCGGGCTTGTGGCGGCCGTCACAAATCCTTGAGCTTGTTTCCTTTCTTTTTCCTATTTTTATTTCTTTTTTTTTGGGGGAGACTCGCCAAAATCCTTCTGAGCCCCCTCAACCAGGGAAAGAGAAGTAAAGGAACAGGGACAGAAGAGGGAGCTGCTTATGTGCGTATATGCAAATGCGTATATGTATGTATGTATATGTGTGTGTGCATGTGCGAGAAACAGAAACAGACATTGAGTGGCCTGTATCCACTGTATCATCTTTTTCGTCAAACGACAAGTCGATTTCTTCGCCATGTTGCACAAGTAACAGCGTGGCCAACCGGCCGCGTCTGTGCCTCTGTGCATGACGCCGTCGGCCGGCAGAGCAAGCTCCTGCTTCCGAGGATACTAGATCTTGCAGGGGTTAGCGCCGTTTCCTTTTGCTTTTCCTGCTTTCTTGCTTTTCCTTTTTTTTTTTCTTTCTTTTTCTTTTCTCTTTTTCCTCCCCTCCCTTGTTCCCTTTCCCCTCTGTTTCTCCTTCTGTTCTTTGTGCGCCTGCCAGTGACCCCACCAAGAACGCTTGAGTAACGCTTGAGTCTCCGATAGGAGATTGTGTGGGTTTCCTTATGGGGGTGGCGACTGACGTTGAACGTAGAGGGCAACGATCTGTTGATTTGGCTGGCGTTTTTCCTCATCAAGTTGGTGTTTCTCGCGAGAACCCGGAATCTGGTGCGAATTCTCACCGGTATTTTACTTTACGGATGAGGCGTAATCCTTCCGTCGCTGCCAGCCTTGGAGATCATCCCTGTGTGACAGCTTGCATGGTGTTCGTCCTGTTCGCTCTTTTTTTTTTTTTTTTCTTTCGTTTTTAGCGTCCTATTCCCACCTCCTTCGCTATTCCACTTTCCTTCAAGGGACACAAGATCCCGAACCAGGACTAAGCCCTTGTCGGAAACGGAAACGTGCCTCGGGATGTTGGGGGAGCTCTCGAGTCCGACGCTACTTCGGGCATAGGCCACGATCTGAGATTGATTGGTTGCATCATTTCCCCTTTGCCTGCCCTTCCTGTCTTGCCTCTGCCCTGCCTTTGGTATTATAACTGGCAACCAACAACACGATGAAAGGAGAGGGGGGGGGTGGAGGGGGCCGGCGGCACGAGGAAAAGGGAACAAGTCACGCCGGCAGGCAGAGGAGGCCAGGGGTCTGGTTTCTCACAGATTTGCTTCCCCCAATAGTCTCAACCCCAATCTCAGGTGCGCCCCGATGTCAAATCTCCCTCGATCGGCCGCCTCAAACAACCCTGCCCCTTTTGTTAAAACCGATCCCCTAAGCTGCACCTCCCGGTTGACGCTAAAAGAAGGTCTCTCCCTGTGCGCTATCGCGGAATATTATGGCTTGCGCCGGCCTGTGCAGTGCAGGGCATACTTTATTAGAGAGAGAGAGAGAGAGCAAGCAAATCCCCTCTACCCACGCGAAAGAAAGGAACAAGAAAAAAGAGGAGAAAGAAATCGATAAAGGGACATGGTCGGCCCGCGATAGGGATGAGTGCCGTGTGGGCCGCATAGTGTGAGCAGGTTGCTAGTGCCGAAGCCAGGGGCAGGCGAGCAATTATGTTATGTGGTTACGTACATAAAACACGAGTTTTTTGAAAGGCTTCTCGATCAGGCATGTGGAACCAGCCGACCATGAAGAAGAGCGTCCTATGAGTGTGCGTGTGCGTTTGCGTATGTGCGTGTGCCGCACACATACATCACGACCAAAGGGAAGGGAGGAGTGGAGGAGGAGGGGAGGAGGCAGTTGAGAACGGGTTGACGCCAACGAAAAATAAAGAAGGAAACAGAATGGAGGAGAAAACGAAAACGAAAAAGAAAGAGAGCAAAAAAGCCCCAGAGCTTCAGGCTTACTGGTTCCCTGGTTCTCACACCGGGACCCTGTTTTTGGCTTTGGGAAGAAGAGAACCCTCCCAAAACTTCCCCAAATCGAACAAACCCTGATCGACTTGTGCAGTTATCCACCTGGCTAAGAGGGTATTAGCACCTGCATCGGATTCGAATGGGTCCCGTAAAAAACGCCTCTCTTTTGCACTGCCACCGCGATCCCTCTTCGCCGCCCGCCTATGGCCACGGTAGTACTAGCGTTGCCCAAAACTTAAAACTTGGAGGGGGCGATCGCTCAACCACTTCTTGATCATGAGATCGGACGTATCCATCGCCCATCTGTGCTTGTCTCTGCGGTGGCCTCAAGCCCTCCTGGGGGAGGGGGAACGTGTAAGCCGTCAACGTCAACCCATCTCCAATGGGGAAGCTCCTTCTCAACCGCCCCCGTTCTAGACCCCAGCGCTAGCCCCGTCGCTCTTCCCCTGATTGTATTTCTTAGGCGCTACTCTTTCCATCGGGGTTAACTTTGCAACACGAGGGAGTGGGGTCTCGATGCGCCCTGCTGCTGTCGTGTCGAGTCCCTGGAGGGGTTAGGTAGGTAGGGGTGGAGGGATGGAGGGATGAAAGGGGGATAAGATACTTGTAGCTACCCACCCCTTTCTGGCATGCTTCGCCGCATCACCGTTCTCAAGTGCGGATCTTTGCGTTTGCGGGTGTCCGGAAGAACCGCAACCCCACCCCCAAGCTTCAATGTTAGTTTCTTTTTTTTTTTTTCTTCATCCTGCCCCCTCCCCAGAGCAGCTCTCGTTGCCGTCAGAGCCTAATAACGTTATTAGCTCGACTTCCAACTTGAGAATGGCAAGCCGGCAGCCGTGGCGGGGGTTGAGGACTTTGTCGATGCTCCCGCCGCTGAGTTGAGTTGCGTCAAGCTTGCGAAGTGTGGCCACTGGCAACAAAGCTAAAGCCTCAAGCATCAACGTAGACGACAAAACTGCGCAGGAGCGGCGGAAATGAAGCTTGATTCTGATCACCCTACGCACACTGCCGATTGCACTCATGTGAATATAATGAGCTGCAGGCTAGAAGTACTTCGTACATTGAGCTCTTTTGTTCCCTATCAACGTTGCATTGTCGCGACATGATGGCCTGCCGCAAGAAAAAAACTTCGTATGAGCTTCACGCGGCTTACCACCGACTCTTAGACCTGTCTGCGACCATAATCTCGTATGTAGTCCTCTCTTTCCAAGGTGTACCACGATAGATTGCTGAGGTTGAACCGGCGACGGTGGGCCTCTGTCGTGAAGGCTTCGCCACGGCAATGACTCTTCATCATTTTTTGTCAAATGCCTAAACCCGGTTTGTGGATGTTGTCCTGCAGTAGTGACACCTAGTCTCGTGGCTGGGAAACCACTCAAGTTTGGTGCTAAATGGCAAAACGGCATAGAGGCAACTAAGACTAGAGTTTAATAAGCATTGCCTAACCGTCGCTTCCAGTTGCACTATGGCAAAGGTGTTCCCAGACAGGAAAAGCTCGTGCTGGGGGACGACGTGCACTACGGCCACTGGCAGAGAGACGGGGTCCATCTGGATACGAAGACTCACGTTGCCTTGCTCCACAGGCAATTGTATCTGGCGTGCCTGTAGCGATGTCGGGGCTGGGCGAGTGACCTCCTCGGGTCCGGGTACTGTCTCGCGCGACTACTCACCATCGGGTCCGTACTACGAATAGGTCACGCTGGGGCACTGAACTTTGACCTCAACAGATGTTCATGATAGTGATTGACGCGAAGGAAAGAGGGAAAGGAACTGGGTTGGGTTTAAGCCAAGCTGCGTTTCTGACTCCCTCCCTATAGGGCCGTTCACTGTCCCGTCTTTAGCGCAGGTCGTCCGTACTTTCCCAGCGTAGCATTGCGTTGAGTGTCATGGCAATCTTAGGCTTGGAAGCGCAATCTCACCTCTAGGAGGATCTAGGGATGTGACGCCTGGCCTGGCTCACCAGCGTCTCAGCCCACAAACCATCCCCCGCGAGAGCACGGTGGTTTTGGAATATCCGTCTTTCCCGGCCAAGACCGCCCTAAAGGCTACCTCTAGTGTTTTGGGAACCAGTCACAACTGTCGTGATCCCCCTTAAGATTAAGCTTCTCACGCTCATCGCATGCATGCTATCAGACCCACAGCTACGACCAGTGCGCCAGGGCCATGGGCAGTCTCCTCCACCCCCGGACCTGACTTGGGCCTGGTTTAAGGCTGCTCTAGGCTGCTTGCCTTGGTTGTCTCTTGATCCTCGCCTCAACCTTGTTGAGCTTGGGGGTGCGCGTGTACACGAGGTGACATGAGAATCTCCGGGGAGATGATGATCTTGCTGGAACATTCCTAATTCTGAATGGCGAGATCCACGAGAAGGGGGCCCCCAGACTCCAACCTCCGACTTGCGTAGACTTGTCTAGACCAACCCCATCGCCCCTTCGTCCGCGCTTCCCTCAACGCGGAGAGGCTCCCAAGGCTAAGGGGAAAAGGAGGGGGGGGATAATCCAGTTGCAGATTCCTAAAGCTTGTTGGGTAATCCGGTCGCAAGATTCGCGAGCTTGTTACTTTAGGGCCTGCGTGATTGGGCACTATTTGGAGTTTCCTTTCTCCCTCGTACACACCTACACCCTCTCTCAGATTCTCTCCACACACTACTTGTTCTTACTCTGTACAGACAAGATTGTCGGTGCGCGGCAAGCATGATCTTGGCTTGATGGAACCCATTCTTCTTGAACCAAATAGACTTTCCTCTGGACCCTACCTTAATTTCCATGAGCTACATGGAGCGGTGTGATGCCCCAGCCCCAACCCCGCTCGAGACGGACGGGCCTGGCATGGCCCCTTAGGTTTGGTGCTGGTGACCTTGAGCCATCGCAGCGCAGCGATGACCTCTCTGACGAAGAGAGAGGGTCAAAGCCATGCTACGGGCGATTTTCTTTTAATGTCTAGTGCCAAATTGTGTGAGTAGTGCTCTTTGAAAGAGAGATGGTTCACTACACTGCCGTGCTCATATCTAGTGACGAAGAGGGCGCGGCATGAGGACCAAGGTTTTTGTTTCAAAGGATGGGGCTCGCTTCGCGTCAAGTGACGCCTGATTAAGGCGCGTTTCAATCTCCCTCGCCAGGGATTCTTCACTAAAAGCAGGAATATCGACCGCGGTGGAAAGGTGGGCCGGGAGCAGGGGAGGTCGATAGTTAGGCCAGCCCATCTCCCCCAATGAAACGAAATAGGTGTTTGTATTGCCTCTAGAGGTCTCCCGAGATCCTCGGCCAGTAGTTGATACCTTTACACGATGAGCAAATACCCTTTTTCTTGAACCGGGCAAAGCTATAGAGGGGGTCTCTCATTACGCCCATGCGTTTTTTTTGTTTCTTTCTTCGTCACTTTGCAATGTCAGTGTATAGATTCATGCCATCTTGGGTTAGGCTCAACTCTCCACCTAGGATGGGAGAAGACGGGCGAATTGCCGGTCTTATCCGGCATTTAATTCTCGACAAGAGACCGGGGACCCATTCCCTAAGCCACCGTTCCCAGTAGCCCTGTGTGTTTCAAGAACTCGTGAGTGCTTCACGCCCAAGTGAACTACCTCATTCCCGCTTTAGCTTGAGCTTTCCGAATTTCACCGTGTACGGTGTGGGGTAGAGACGGTGGAGCCTTGGGCTTGGAGTTGCAACGACGCAGAGTTGAGGTTAATGTTTAAAAAAGAGGACCTAGGCAGAGATGCCAGAAAGAAGGGGGATGAGGAAAAAAAAAAAAAGAAAAACGAAAGAACAGAACAGAACAGAACAGAACAGAAGAGGAAAGAAGACTGGATGAGGTTGCGTTGGCTGACGGCGATGTTGTCGCATACCAGACACACACACACCCCTCCTTTGCGTAACACTTTGTAGATTCATGCGAGGGTTGCGCTCGAAACTTCCTTTCGTTTTCCAAAGACAATCACAGATCGTCGGAGGTATTCATACAGCTCACTTATGACTGGAAGACACCCTGGGCTGGGCCACGCACTACTAGAGGACCCTAACCTTAGCTCGTCCGGTCTACCGAAGTCAAGGGCCACACGCACACGCCATAGCCTCCGCGCTAACAGCGTTCCAGGCCGGTATTGGGGAGCACGTTCTTCCGCGATGAAACCACAGCGGTAGCTTTGGAAGCTATGAAGCCCCGATCCTCACTGAATCTGGAGGGGAACTGGAACAGGGATACACCTGGTTGAGCTGAACAAAGATCGACCCTGTTTCTTTTTCCTTTCTTTTTCTTTTTTGGTCCTTTGAATGCAACCTACGACGACAACGAAGTAGTTAGACGATCACCGGGTGGCAAGCATCAAAAAAGGTCATCGCAACGGCCGGAGAGAACCGGGGCGCGTGTGGTTTGTGTGGGGGAGGAGCAGTCGGCAACACGGAGACAGTGCAGGTGCAGGTGGAGTGCCGCGAGGGTGAGGGCGAAGACAAAGACACTGCAGAGCAGCGCGTAGATGTGCAAGGCAAAGTGGTTGATCTCTGGGTGATTGCGTCGTTGCTCTCATTGCCCCCGTTGGCCCGAAATCGAAATTGGCCAGGACCCATAGAATACCTGTAGTTCAAAAATAGCCTTGGGGGTTCGGGGCGCTCAAGGTTTGATCAATGACATGGGTCCTGTCAGCCAGGTGCATATGTCTCTGTGTGTCACTTTTGAGCTTCGCATTGGGGGACTTTCGGGCTCCGGGCTGACATCGACCACACTAGATCAATCGCTGACCGGGGCGGGTGGAGGGGGTGGGGGTGGGTCAGCCAAGTACTTGATCCATACACCATCAATTTGATCGATCATTGCCATTGATCCAGCCCGAGATGCGCTGCTAGCGAGCTGTTTCCCTGGACTTGGGGAACCCCCGTGGAGCTGCCTTGAACGACAGCCCGGGCGGCCTGGCGGCGGCGGCGCACTTTGCCTTTGCTTGGTATCCTGGAAAGCCACCGCCACGGGTGACCGGTGATTACAGTTTTCTGCCTACACGACCCCAGGACTCTTTTTTTCTTTCTTTTTTCTTTCTTTTTTTCTTTTTCTTTTCTTTATTGTCGAGGTGGAAGTAAAGCAACCTTGCTTGCTGGACCCACCCCTACCGCAGGCACTCTAGAGGCGAAAACAGATGGCCTTGCTTTTCTTCTCCTCTCGCGGGAATGCAGCACGCTCCCAACGTCCAATCGTCGGGTTAAGGTTAGCTTTCCTCGCGCTGCAAGCTGTTCCAAATGCGTCTGGCCCGCTCGTGCTCATGGGCCCACGGCCAAACACCCGGCCAATTTCGCCCTCTTTCCCACCTGTTGCCTGCGATGTAGGTGCGCAATGCACTATTCCAGCGGCGGCCTTACGGAGAGGAGGCGACCGGGGCAAGAGAAAGGTTTGCCAGAGGAAGTTGCAAGGTAATAGGAAAAGAGCCCAAAATCGTGACGTACTTGGTACATGGTCTCAACGTTCACAGGTTCACCTACAGAAGCTGAAGTCAACTAAGGCTGGCGAAATCGGTCAACACACAGCCCATCACGTGGTCCGCCAACCGGCAAAAGCTTATTAGTCAGGGCCTGAAACGGGCAAGGCGGCGCTCGCTTCCTTCCCCCTTCCAGAGAGAAAAAGCTCAAGGTCTGGTTGTGCCTTCCCGGTTCTCAGGATTTTTCGTTCCATTCGGGAAGACCTTTATTACGTTCCTTCCCCCAACTTCGTCCCGCCCCCAAAGCCCCACCACATCTCCAAATCCAGGTCCAGTCGATCACCCTTTCCTCGCCCATCTCTACAGCACTCCTTTCTTAATACAGCCCCAAGGATATAACTGCCTCTCCGCCCTCCGTACTCTCTCTCGTCAATTCTTTTTCTCACTCTCTCTTCCTCCGCGTACGGCCTACGTGCTCCTATTCGTTGCGTTTCCAGTTCTCAGCTGTTGGGGGCAAGGTCAACCTGTCGAGTTCCTTCATGTCTTAAAAAAGCTTCCTGCTCAGTCGCCGCTCTGCCCCACGCGCGCGCAGCATCGTCGTCCTTGATCGCCCTTTGGCCTCCACTCCTCGCCGGGGCTTTCGCACTACCTGTTCTCCTTCTTCGTGCTTTGTTTCTCGGCTGTTGCTGCCGTCGTCATCATGGTGACCGCCGCAACGACCGCCGCGGTGGCTTCCGAGGTGCTCCGGTTTGAGTGCGTAGAGTGCTCCGCCAAATTCAAAAAATGGGTAAGGACCAATTTTTGTTCTCTTCTCCTTCCTTCCCTCAGTCCAGAGCTTTAGGTTGACCCTCGTGTCTCGTAGATCATCTCAATCGACATCTCTTATCTCGTAAGTCAACCCTGCCATGCCGCGTGAGGATCGCCACCGAGCTGCAAGCATGCCGCACGGACGTTGGGTTCGGATGAGCTGACGCACACTGACGCCCCTTCCCCCAGATGGCAATTCGCGTACATACGAATGCTCATTCTGCTCTTCAAGCTTCCATCGCAGGTATGTGTGTGTCCCAGAGCCTGCGATATCGACCTGTGATGTCGGGCCTCCCCCGGCCAGCCCCTTGCCGACGCTACCCGCCGGGTCTGCCCACGCAGTGCCCTTCTCCTCGGTTTCTTGTTTCCTCTTTTTCCCTCTTCTTCCCTAACCCGCGTGGTGATCCACAGAGACGCTCTCCTCAGGCACTGGCGGACGTGCGCCGAAAGGCTCAAGTCCGGCCTCCCTCCTCCGAGCCTGCCGGCAGGCAAGCGGGGTCGGAAGCAAAACGCCTGCGCGCGGTGCGCGCGCCTCAAGAAGAAGTGCAGCGGCACCCAACCCTGCAACATCTGCGTGAAGCAGGGCCACGACTGCACCTATGCCCGAGGCCCCGCAAGCGTCGCCTCCTCCTCCTCGTCGAGCGACTCCCCGGCTTGACGCCGCCTCCCGGCCCCGGCCCCGAGCTCGACGGCGCGACCATCGAGCTGCCGCCCCGATTCTTCGACGACGCCTCCTCCTCTGCGATTATGATACCCCATACCTCAACACAGTGGCTCGACGTCACCGGCCTCGACGCCGCTCAGCAGCTTCACCTGTCGATATCCCCCGTCGAGCACTCCTTTGATCCGGCCCTGGCCTTTTCCAACATGCCCCCTCGACTTTTCCCCCTCGCCACCCACCTCCGCCGCCGCCACCACCGCCCCGCCGCCGTACCACGCTTATGCCGCTGTGGATATGGCATGGCATTACGCTCAACACCCTCCCGTGCCGGCCCTGCTGACGCCGAGACCCCAGTTCCTGTCCGCTCGACTACGATTCGTCGTCCGGTTCACGTCCACCAACTGCATCGCCGACGCCTTTGGTTGTCTAAACTCGGCGCTGAGGAAGCAGATCATGGCCATGACGCCGCCTACCCTCGGAATGGCGCCGTCCACCCAGGGCCTCGGGTTGAATTTGGGCTGGGAGCAACCCAACCTCGCCGTGTCCCTGGGGTCCATGGACCCTTTGAGCCAGCAGCAATACCTGCTCGCCGACGTAAACACGATATTCGGGAAATCATCCCTCTCCATGGTGGATAGTCAGCAGGCCTGGCACCCCTCGCGCGCAAATCCAGCGAGATCGTCGACGGGCTCCGGGACACCTTTCGGATAAAGGCCCGGCGGTTGGGTAAGTGGGACGAAGTCAAGGAGCGCCAGTGCGTCGACTTCTTTTCCCCCAGAACCTGGACAAGTTCATCGCGGCGTTTTGGCTCTTTTGGTCCCCCAACTGGCCCGTCCTGCATCGGCCGACCTTTAACGCCACCGAGCGGTCCTCGAGGCTCGTCGCCGCCCTCGCCGTCATGGGCGCGTGCCTGACCTCGGAGAAGAGCGACCGGCAGCAGGCCCTCGGCTGGATGCCGTCCATCGAGGATTGGGTCTTTGCGAATGCGTACCTCAGCGACCAGCCCATCCCCCACACCATGGATGACATGGAGCTCGCCCTTATCCAAGGCCGCATCGAGGCCATCCAGGCGGCCTACACCCTGCTGCTCATGCTCCTCTGGGAGGGTCCTCTGCCGCGCAGGCCACGCGGGCGCGGAGGGTCCGTTTCCCCACATCCTCGCCGCGTCGCGGCACCTGCACGACTTTGCGCGGTCCGGCGATCCGCGAAACGCCTGTTTTATGCCCACCACGCGCTTCGAGGTGTGGAAGATGTTTGCCATGCGCCAAGAGTGCGTCCGTGCCATTCTCTACGTCTTCCTCATCGACTGCGCCTTCATCATTTATAATAATACGCCCCCGCGCATGATTATCAGCGAGCTCCAGTACGATACCGTGTGCCCGGATTCCTGCTTCAACGCGCCCGATCCCGACTCGTGGTGCGAGGCGATGCGTCAGTGGGCCGAGACGGGGCCTGCGGCGTTCCTCTCGATCGCCGACCTCATCGAAACGAGCCTCAAGGAAGATCTTACCCCTCCGGAATGGGATTCTCTAGAGCAAACAAGTCTTTTGAACTTGTTTGCCATAGCAAGTGGTATGTTGCCTTGCCCTCGTCTTACAAGGTCTCGGTCTCCTCACCCCTTTTTACCCGCTCTCTTTCCCTTGCCGGTTAGTGACAAGAATGCTAACTGAGACGACGACAGCCTTTCACAACCTCATTTTCCATCATCATAACGGGCCCGAAAGCCACATCCGGTCCGACCGCGTGTCCCGCGGTCTCCGGAACTGGGTCAGGGTGTGGGGCGACCGCGATCCCGTGCCCACCGAGATCGACAGCGCCCACCCCGACCTGACGGGCCAGCCCGGGTTCATCCGCTATGTGCGCGAGTACTGGAGCTTGGCCGTCATCTTCAACGACCAGTACGAATACAGGAAACCCTTCCACCCGAAGCAATTCGAGGGGAGCCACGGGGCGGCGCAGCGGAGAGGAGACGTCCGCTTGATGCCGGAGACGGATAGCTCCAACATGTCACCCATTCACGAACTTGTCGTGCGGTTCCGGGACGTAGACCTGAGCTCGAGTTTATGCTAGGGATAGAGGATGCTGCAGGGGTCATTCCTTCTCGCGCCAAAACTGTCACCGAGGAAGCGGGCGCTAAAACTATACAAAAACAGGGGGTTCAGGGGGCCGAAAAGAAAGCGTGCGAAAGACGAGACGAAGTTGAGTGTGCGAATAATGTATTTTTAATGAACTGCCACATGACGGTCGCTACGGAATAGGTCGAGGCGTTGTTTTATTGTCTTGGGAGCTCTGGCAAGCACTCCATTGTGCTGCCTATTTTCAGGTTATGGCTTAATGCATTGATGACTTTCTCCTTCTTCTCACCACACTTTTGGTCTCTTAATTTCTCAATGGGTCCCTTGCGTTCAAGTCGCCGATGTTTTCAATGTTCAACACACATCGTCGAGCTCTCGTCTCCTTCATTCTATGTACCCCAACAGAGATCACACATCACCCCCAGATTAAAAGGCTTCCATATGGCATTCAAACGCCGTCGCAAGGACACCTCTAAATATGGCTCTCTTCTAATTTCAATTGCATGCCCATTCATGCAAACCTGGTCACGAGCCACAAAAAGGAACAACAGAAACAAAAGAGTCGCCGTCGCCGTACCTGCAGCCGAAATATCGCTGCATGTCCTCGGCGTGGACGTCTCATCCGCCACCCGGGACGTTGCTTCCGAGCCTCGGCGTTTACCATCCGGCTCGTCTTTCAAGCGTCGCGACGTGAACCATCCAACGAACTTGTTGGTGAAAGCGACAGCCAAAAACAGCGCGGAACCACAATTTCCTCCCACTATGAACAATCAACGAGAAGGATTCGTCCAACGCTGTTCCTCTCCCACCGAACAGTCGGGACGGGTCAACGTCGCCCGGAGAGGAAAGGATCGGCGCCGCTCACCACTCGGTCCGGTGGACGAAGAATCTCATCTGGGGGTGGGCACCAGTCGCGAGTCGTTTATTTTAAGGGTCCATGAGAACGGTTTGGCGGTTTATTATGCTGTCTTCTCGCATTCCCTCGACACTTAGCCGGACTTCCAAAAGTCCCCTCGGATGCGATCGTTTTGTCTCTCTCCCCATTTTGAAGCGCTCGTGACATTTCGAGCACCTCGAGTTCATAACGCCCGATACACGCAAGGGATTCAATTCATGTTTTGCTTGGCGAATAAGAGGGGTATTGAGCGTGCGTAGCATCCCCCTTTCATCGCCATTTCCGTTCATTGAAAGGGCTGCATCGCATCGGCAATGAGCCGAGAATACTACGTAACTCTATCGCTCGCGGTGGCCGATCAATTCCCACAGCCGCCTGGAATGGGAAACGCAAGCAAGTTCGTCTTGATTCTCGTGCTTCTGTTTAAATAGATCGGCGCATCTAGAGCAAGGCAGAACCAAGGCAAGCGTGATGAATCCATCAGGAAAAGTGTCTCAACCTGTATACGCAGTCGAACATCCTTCCTCGTTCGGGGGACCGTCGGACGGCAGCGCGGCTCGGTTTTAATCCCAGGCGTAATTGCCCGACTTACCCGCCTTGTCGGGAATCCCTGGATGTCTTGATGAAGTCACGAGTTAATATCTAGCCCGCGTCGTGATTCGCGAATCCGGCGGACAGAGCGATTCGAGAGATGGAGAAGTCTGCACCGACCTTTTCTAGTATCTTTGTCGGGGTCCAGGGTTATATTGCGAAGAGCCCCCATCTCAACCTGCTGTTGGTCACGGAGGGTCTTGAAGGATCAATTAACTACCCTAGAAATCGACGAGGGGCGAAGAAGAACAAGAAGCAGCATCACGCTTACGCAACATACTCTCGATTCGATCATCAGGAACCATTTAGACGATATTCTTCACATTTTTGATCATCATCACCATGCGTCTTAACTTTCCACGGATAGGGTCTACCCTAGTATTATTATCCTCCATCGCGTCCGCTCAAAGCGACCTCCAACCTCTCGACGACGTTGACAGCCAGCAAATCACAATCAATACCGTTTCCACATCCGGTTCTGGGTGCCCGAGAAGCGCCGTCTCCGTATCAATATCGCCCGACCGCACCGTCGTAACGCTCGGCTTCGACAACTTCCACGTCGGCATCGGGCAGTCCTTTTCCATCTCCGACCGGGAGAAGGAGTGCAACATCCACCTAAACCTGCACTACCCGGCAGGATACTCGTATGCTGTGATCGAGACGACGTACCATGGGTTCGCGCAGATGGATGAGGGAGTCGAGGGCGCCTTCGAGACCGAGTATGTGTTTGCCGATGAGAAAGGGAAAGGCCTGATTGGCGGGTTGCTAGGCGGACTTCTTGGAGGGCTCCTCGGGGCGGTTGGGGACCTGCTCGGCGTCGTGACTCGGGTCGTCATCCCCGGCGGTGGTCTTTTTGCCGACGGAGACTCCTTCTCCATCACGGAGAAGGTTCCGGCAAACAAGAGAGTATTGGCACCCTGCGACGGAAAGGACGTTAATCTGTTGATCCGCACTACCATCAGTTTATCAGCATCCAAGAGAGACGCGCAAGGGCAGTTGGTAGATGATGATGCCACAATCGACCTCACACAACAGGTCAGACTAGAATGGCAGAAGTGCCGGTAACGTCTTCACGATTAAAGACGATAGATACTATGCCACCTCTGACCTAGAGAGGAATCTTCGATGAGGTATACTAGACCTAATTCAACGCTTGAATATACATCGACACCCATAGATTCCTCGAGTTAATATGAGTGATTCGTCGTTTGCGTGTCCATCGTCGTACTCGAAACCCCAGCTGCTCGGAGAAGGGTTCGGTTTATCTCAACGCTATGCTATACGAACTAGTATAAGTATCGCTTCTTAGAGGAGCTAGTTGCGCGAGACTCCCGCCACCTATTGATACATATATACATTAGACTTGACAAGTCATTGTTCCCTTTTGATAGAGCCATGAGCAGGCTCGGAAATACGGAGCACAGAGGCCGAGCCTGGTGGTCAGGCTGGCCATGCAACCCTTTCGCTTCTATCGCTTGGCTTGTACAACATGAAAATGCGGACGTGGTTGGCACGAGATGTCGCATTTTGAGCAATGCATATTATATCGTATTTGCACATTTGGGGGCCACTACATGTTAAGGATCAAAGATGTCGCAGGGACAGACCTCCCTTGGAATTGATTGGTGCTAAAGGCTGCGGCTGTGCCTATCGACATGGGTTGTGAGGATGTTGTGAATGAACGGGGGCCAAGAGCCTGGCCGTATATTGGGCGATGAACATGGGATGGTGGTAATGAAGCTTTGTACAACCACATCTCCGTTTCTATAAAATAAACGGGCATGTTTCCCTCGCCGCGCTATGCTATCGATATCCCCTCGTTGTCCGGCCATGGTTCCAAGCAGGTCGTCAAGTTCACCACATCTCAACGCCAAACATACGCATACTTAACTTTAATGGCTAATTACCAGGGAACGGAGAATGGTGGTATGTCGAGGGATTACTGGAACGAGGCGTACGAAAATCTCGACGGGGAGGTCAAAGAAAGGTTGGGTGAGCTGAAGAAATCGTTTGACCATGACACGAAGAATGCGATCAAGAAATTGGAGAACAGAATATCGACGGCGGCGAGATATACGACGCTGACGCAAATAGCGGAGAATTTTATTCACCTTAGCATCACGTCAAAGGGGAGACTGCAGGCGCTTGCTCACGCGTCTCGTAGAGGGCTGGACGACCAGACCTTTGCTGAACTATCGACTATCCACGCGCAAAGCAATACCGAAAAGAATACACGAAGAAGGGAAAAAGCCGGAAAAGCTAAAGTCGACCTGTTTTCCCTTTGCTTCATGCGCCAGGACCTCGCTGAGGAAAAGAAATGGAAATTCCAATTCTTGAACGAAGCATGCTCCGTCAAAGAACTATGGACCTTTGCTCTCGACAAACTAGGCCGACTCAGCAAGGTTGCAAGGGTTGGAGAACCGCGCGATGAGAGTGCGGGCAAGGCTTGGCCATTCGTGGTCGCGCTCGAGGTACACAGGCGCCCCTGTATTTTGTAACCTCTATCCGAGAAGAACTAACCGGAGAGATGTACGTGCATAGTTTGCGATCCAAGGGGAAAACGAAATCGGCTCGATCTTGATTGGCATCGAAAAGGTAGCTAGCGCGATGCTGCGCTGCACGGCATACGACAGCCTGCTTCGCGAACTTGTGGGCATATGTGGCACCGGGGACGCCAAGAACCTTGCCAAAGCCATTGAATCGTGCCTCCTTTCTACCTATACACGCATCTTGAAATTCTTCCACGAGCCGGCCCTGGCTCTCAGCAAAAGTCGGCCTGGGTTGTATGGGTATACTCTCTGGAGTCTCGGGGACATTATCGCGTTGGAGAACGACCTTTTTCTATATGAGCAAGCCTTCTTCCAACGTGTGACCACGAGTTCAGTCTTCAGTCAGCGCAATGTCATCTCACGAGTTACGAGTCTTCTAAGCGACGTATTTGGCGACGACTGGAGCTGGGTCCAGGGAGCCGACGTCATGGTAAAGCTTCTTGGGGACATGATACGAGATAATAAGACGCTAGAGGGGAGCACATACTCTCCGCCAAGCGGGAGGAAATTCTCGAGTGGTGGTCCGAAACTAAAGTTGAAGATCATCATCGCCCGGAGAGAGCGCTGCGGACCAAAAATACAGCGAGTTGGACACTCAAAACTCAACAGTACGCGCGCTGGGAGGTAGCCAAAGCCCCCAGCCTTCTTTGGGTGAAGGGAATCGGTAAGTTCTCACAATGACGGCCCTTGTCACGAGAGAAAGCTAACAATGTCCACTTGCCCAATATAGCTGGAGCAGGGAAAACCATCCTCGTGTCACGCATCATTGATCACCATATTGCCCTCCGGAAAAAGGATCCTTTGGTCAACGACTTCCAGCTGGCCTACTTCTACTGCAAACGGGACGCCAAGGAGAGGAGATTCAGCCAAGCCATCTTTCGCAGCTACATTCGCCAGCTATCTGCTAGACATCATCCTCTACCCGAAGCTCTGCGTCGAGCTTTTGCCGACAACCGCAAGCGAAATTCGCCTTCCTCTGAGCTGACCTTTGAGCAGTATCGCCAAGTTCTTCTGGAACTACTTCGACTGAGCAAAGCGGGGACGATACTCGTCCTAGATGCTTTGGATGAATGTATCGGCCATGAGCAGCAGGCGGTGGACAGTAGTGCGGAGCTGCAACAGGTGCTCCGGATGTTTAAAGACCTTCTGAACTCAGGTCTTCCGGTACGGATCATCGTTTCCACCCGGTACACTTTCGAAATCAAGACGGGACTATGGAACCGGCAGCAGATCGAGGTAACCTCGGACAAAAGCCACCAAGATATACTCCGAATGGTAAAAGGAGCCATCAAAGTCTACAACGCCAAGGCGAAAAAGAGGACGGCGAGGGGGCAACCGAGGGACAGCATATTGCCTGATTGTGAGAAAAGGATGTTGCAGGTTTTCGATAAGAGGAGCCAAGGAAAGTAAGTGATTCCCTCTTTTAAAAGAGCTGCCGTACTGAAAGGTGGCGGTTTCCCTTAACCTGGTAGCGCGTCTTCTGACTGATCAAAAGCTTCCAATGGGCCGCGATGCATATCAAGTATCTAGTTGACGGCATGCTCCAGGGCAGGTTCCGTGGTGTGGGCCCTATGGAGGCGGAGCTGGGAACATTGCCGCAAGACTTGGTCGAAGCGTACCACGGCGTTTGTGAACGGATCATTATGCAATCGGCCAAGGCACGGGACGACGCTTGTCGAGTTATCCGTTGGCTTCTTGCACTGGGCGGCTCTTGCCCCGTGAGGGTTATACTTGCGGCAGTTTGTCAAACTCTGGAGGGAACCGACGCCAATCCCGTTAAGAAAAGGGAACGCTATATCCTCACTGTCTGCCAGAACCTGGTCAAAGTCGACGGAGACGTCTTGCGCTTCTCTCACTCGTCTGCGCAAGAATACTGCGAAACGTATCAGACTTATCTGGTGAGTTCGAGCCAATACGACGTTGCGCGGGTGTGTGTCTGGATGGTATTCCGCTGCAACCCCCAAGCTCGTTTTCTCAACTGTCTCGAAACCCAGCCGATTCAACGGCAAAAGCGTGCGGTTGAAAATGTCCGGGAGAAGAGTGATGAATTGATTGAAGAACTATGGCAGTTTGCCATCAGCAACTGGTACCGTCACTTCCAATGGATCACCAACGCGGAGGAAAAGACAAGCGTTGCAAACGTTGTCTTGGCGGCGCTGGCGAGCAACGCCCCGTGTACCGGTGCGGCAAAACTCTGGCTGTGCCGACAAGCTCAGTTAGCCGCCCGCAGCAGTCTTCGCTCCAACCGCGGCCCTGAAGTCATACTGAGCCTGGAATGCTGGGTACGCTCTAGCCTAGTAGGATACCGGCCGTTCGAAGAGGGCGATGTGGCCGTCCGCGCCATAATCGCCGGGGTTATGTGGAGGACACGCCACCTCTTCTGCACTTTCCTGACTACAGGGAACTGGCCCTCTCTCTGGGGATTCGACCGAGCGATGATCGATTCGTTCGGCGAGGGGGTGCCTCTGCGTACATGTATCCCCAGAACATTCAATTCCACGTGTACCTTCCCGCCCATTTCTGGACCCTTATCCGCGTTGTGGACTATACAGAGAGAGAGGAGCTCGTTACACTTCTAATCTTGCTTTATAGCAGCCCGAGAGAAACGTCTTTTTCGGATTGGATATCGTCCAATCCGAGTACCTTGCGGATTTTGCATGGGTCTCTTGGGTTGGAAGTCACCAGACTCGTGGAGATTGGTTTATACGCGCACCGTTGGAGCCATGCTTCTAGACAAGACTCAAGGTCGGTCGCCAAGTATCCGCCGGGGCAGTTCTGCGATCACTCCAAAGTCCAGTATCACCACTTGGTTCCGCTCTTCGCGCCAACCGAGTTAGCTAGAGCCACGTGGGTGGCGGCTACGATGCCAACAAAGGAACCACTGCAGATGCTTATCAGCCATGGGGCAAACGTGAATATCAACACGCCACTGGGGACGCCATTAATCCTCGCAACCATGGAAGGCAGAGTCGAGAACATGCGCCTCTTGATTCAACACGGAGCCAACGTGAACACGGTGTGCAGGAAGTCGAAATACGGAAACGCTCTGATATCGAGCTGCGCGCAAGGCAATTTTGAGGCCATGAAGCTTTTGCTGAGTGTCAAGGACATAATGGTCAACACGGTCGTCAAAACCAGCAAATACTCGACTGCCCTACTCGCCGCAATACGGATGAAAAACATACGAACCACAAGCTTACTGCTTGAGCATGTGTCGGTCGACATTTCAGTGGTTAAAATGGCCCGTAGGGAATGGGAAAGATCCATTACCAGCCAAACAACTGGTGATCGAGAGAATATTGGAGGTTTATGCCAGTCTCTGGTCGGGCTTCTCATTCTCGAGCTTGTCCATGAGAGACATATTTACGAAACCCACACAGCTTCCTCTCCAAGCGGTCAAAGCGGCGCTGTTGAGCCAGCCGCCGCCGATGATACAAACGAGGAACCAGAATTGGGCAATGACGCCGACTCTGACGGCTACGGAAGCGACACGAATTCCACAGTCTACACCTGGGGGAGTGAGGGTAGTCAGGATGGCAAAAGTGAAGGTTGGCAGAGTAATGAAGATAGCGACGATTCCCAGGCCAGTGATGTCCTCGACGACATAGATGGTCAAACGGAGATGGATTTCTCTGGGGCCAGTGACACTGCTGAGATCGCCGTTGAAGTGGAGGTGGAGGAAGAAGAAACGTCCCATTTCTATGAATCAGAATCAGTGGAGGACTGGGATCGCGTCGCAGAAACAGGTACCATGTGCCTCCAGAAGCTGGGAATAGCGATGCAAACGTGCACGGTCGAAACGCGCTGGGAGTTGACCCGCGCGTTCGGGTTCAGCGACTACAGGTACGGCGAGTCTCTGGGACACGGGTTCGAAAGCCTTTTTCAAAAGACAAGCAGCGTATCGTGGGGGTGAGCGTCAGCGCGTGGACGGATCTTTTAGTTCTCGCCGAGGAGGTGGAGATCGAGGGCGCCTCAGACAGTCGCATCGCCGACCTCGCAGATGCAAACGTGGAGATTGGCTCATCGTCAGAGGAGGAAGAGGAGGGAGTTGATGAGGAGCCATATATGACAGCGCCGGAAGATGAGGAACCATCAGGAGAGGGGATCGGGGATTGGGTGGGGGCCATATCTACCAGAGCCGGAGCCGGAGGTATGGGTGGACGAGGAGCAAGACGTTAATGAGGAGCCTTATCAATCAGAGCAAGAGGAGGAGGAACCACCGGAAGAAGCAGGTCAAGGATTCGACGGAGAGCCATATATACCGGAGCCGGAGCCGGAGGAATGGGTAGACGAGGAGCAAGAGGTTAACGATGGGCCTTATCTATCAGAGCAAGAGAAGGATGAATCAGAAGAAGAAGAAGGCCGGGGATTTGACGAGGAGCCATATCTACCAGAGCCGGAGCCGGAGGAATGGGTGGACGAGGAGCAAGACGTTAACGAGGAGCCTTATCTATCAGAGCATGAGAAGGATGAATCGCCGGAAGAAGAAGACCAGGGGCTCGACGAGGAGCCTTATCTACCAGACCCAAAGACAGAGGAGTGGCTGGGAGAGGAAAGTCACGAATTTGATGAGGATTCTTACCTACCCGAGTTGCAAGGGGAAGAATCGTCGGGAGACGAAGATGAGGAATCTGATGACGAATCGTCAGAAGAAGAAGACCAGGAATATTCTGGGGAACTTTATCAACCAGAGTCAGGGGCGGAACAATGGCCGGGAGAAGGAGGTCAGGAATACGATGGGCAGTCTTATCAATCAGAGCCGGAGGCAGATGAGTCGTCGGGAGAAGAAGATGAGGAATCGGATGAGGAATCGTCGGAAGACGAAGGACAGCAATATTATGGACAGTCTTACCAGCCGGAACCGGGAGTAGAGCAATGGTCGGAAGCAGCGGACCAGCAATATTACGGACAGTCTTACCAGCAACAGCCGGAGGCGGAGGTCTCGTCTGAAGAGGAAGACGGGGATTCTGATGAGGATTCGTCGGAGGATGAAGGACAGCAATATTACGGAGAGCCTTACCAGCCAGAGCCGGAGGCGGAGCAATGGTCGAGAGGAGGAGGCCAGGAATATTATGGACAGTCTTATCAACCAGAGATGGGGGAGGAGGAATCGGAGGAGGATGAAGGACAGCAATATTATGGAGAGTCTTACCAACCAGAGATGGAGGAGGAGGAGGAATCAGAAGAGGAAGGATTGTGGTAGACCGTTGGTGGATCTATATGGCTTTCAAACAGATTGATATTCCAAAATGTTCCAAGACTCCTGCACGAGGCGCCGCTTCAACAGTCTACGTCACCAATTATCTAGTTGTCTAGTAGGAGCTCACCCTCTCGCAAATTTTACATGTAGGGTTCGATTACCCCAAGTTGGTGCCGCACATGTAGTTTTTTGAGATTGGTGATCCGCCACGGTCATCAGTTGCCAGCTAGAACAAGGGTGCTTAATCCAGATCCTTCACGTCGGGGGACATTTTTAGGAGCATATCCCGGTTCCTTGATTCTATCCGGAAATATTAAACGAGAGGCGAACTAGTGGTAGAATGCAGGAGAACATCCGGCCAAGAACTGTCAGATAGATTACTCCCCGCGAAATGGCGAGCCCGTGACAGCTCGGCTCGTGAGGCCATGACCGAGATCCCAAATATAGCAATGCCCTCAAAGCCATGCACCTTGCAAGGGACAATCGTTGGAGCCAGAGGGAGAAGCAGTGGGCCACCTTTTCTGTGACTTCCGTGGTGTGCATGCTGGTTTGATTGCATTCGTCAATCCTGGGAGGTGGACGATCTGCGGAGAGTGGAGGCCAGCATCAGTCACTTTCGGCGATAAATGAACAGGTATGAATGGAGGTCTTTCTATGGAGGCGGCATAGTATTTGTGGTGCTCATTTTCATTTTCATTTTCTCCAAAGTCGCCCCTTTTTCATTGATGATTTCGCGGTGACAAGGGGAGGAAGGCTCATGTGTCGTTTTTAGGGCGATTTTACCCTCGTCTAGGCTGATTACTTTCTAGATTGCTCGACAGCGGACGAAGCGAGCAAAGGGCATCAAATCGCGGCGCTGATGGGAGAATAGCCACGACGACGGGCCCAATTCCCCATTTCCGGCAAAAACTGCCGAATATTCGTGCGGCGCAACGAGGTGTTTAAGCGTCGGTGCCCGCCCAATTTACGGGTTTTGAATAGCCGCTCATTGTTGAGCCAGACTCCAAATCACGGTGTTAATTAATCATGGGGACATAGGAGGGAGAGGGATGCGCGTACGAGTCTCCATGCCCCCTCTCCGTTCTCCAATCTGGCATTGTCTGATTCCGGGGATACTCCCGCAGGCTCCATCCCATTCCCTTCCCGCCTTGCGTGTGGAGGGGAATAATGGGAAGCCCAGGAAGGACGGAGAATAATATTAAGCTTTTCTTTGTCTTTGGGCGGTACTCTTGGCCCTCTATAAGCATCCATCCGCTCCCTCTCTCGCTTTCCTGCTCCTTTTTTTTTTTTTTCCTCACGCCGTTTTCTTGTTTCTTCGAAGATCACCGTCGATCCCTCGTTCCGTCCAAGCTCCTCCCATCGCCCGCATTCCTGTTCAACGCCAGCCCCGAAGTCCGGTTATCTCCACACCAAAAACAAAATGCTCAGCTCCGCCCTTCTCCTCGCCGCGCTCGCCGCCGTCGGCTTCGCCCAAGACGTCGAAGTCCCCGCTGCCGAGCCCGCCACCGAGGTCCGCCGCGTCCTGCTCACCTCCATGGTGGACGTCAAGTTCCTCCTGACCGCCTCCAAGAGCGAGGCCGGTAGCGGAGTTGTCGTGTAAGTCGCGTGGAATAACCCTTGCTCCACTTTTTGCCTCACCTCCGTCCACGGCGAGCGCCGGGCGGGTGGTGAATCAATGTACCTTTCCCCGTACCATATTCCGGAATTGGCGTTTCGGGGCCGTCTTTCTCTACCCGGATCCGGAGAAGGACCGCCCAGATTTGGGGCTTGACTTGGCTCTGAGAGCCAGGGGGAAGGGGGCTTGAGGTGGCTGGCTTGGCTGGCTTGGCTTACTGGGTGGAAACTGGTCATGGCTAACAAACGCCCCCTTGGCAATTTCTAGGCAAACGCAGACCGACGGTCCCGAGCAGCACTGGCTCCTGCAGGAGGGCGCCAGCACCCTCCAGCTCGCCGACACCACCCTTTGTGTGGATGGTGGTGCCCAGAGTAAGAGCCTTCCATGTTACCTTTCTTCCCCCCCACCCCCTCCCCTCCCTCCGTCCGCCCCTGGTCTTGGCCCCTTGGCCCCTTGGCGGCCGTTGAGTTCTTGGCGAGGCGTGCACGACGTCGAACGTGTTTTTGCGGCAAAACGGCTTGATCACTTGCTAACGAACTCGTCTCTACAGCCAACTGGAAGGATATGGGTACCCTGACCCTTGAGGAGTGCGAGGAGGGCAAGGAGTCCCAGCAGTGGACCGTCATGGAGGACGGCCGCATTGCCCTGACCGCGTCCAACCCCCGTAAGTTTCCTGCTTTACCCTCTTGGCACCTAGATGCGTTTAGTCGCCCCCGGACCTTGTAAACGAGGAGATATCGCGAAATATTAACATTTCTTTTTCCCTTTCCCTAGAACAATGCCTCGACCTTGTCTTCATGAGGGCGGTCCAGAACAACGCCGTCGGTCTCTACGCCTGCGCCGGTCTAGGCAACACCGGTGCCGCGGACAAGGGTATCAACTGGCCCCTTGTCGACGTCGAGGCCCCATAAGCGCTTGTTTACGAGGGCAAGGGGATGGAAAAAGGGAGGATGAAGGTCTATTAACTTGTACGGAGTGGGAGAGGAGGAAGCGAGCGCGCGCGTTGTGGGTGTATATTATACCGAGCCTGGCCGTGACAGCATCCATGTTCCGTTTTTTTCTCTTTTGAGATGGGTCAGGGAAAGGCGGGCTTCATGATTGGGTTGTCCAACGCTGTGCAAATGTTCCCAGTCGCACGAGGTGGCCCGATTCCCGGAAGGATCAAGTCAGTAGGCCCGTCTGCCTCGGCCCTCGGAGGGATGTTGGATCGAGTGGTGTGCTTTGATTTCTGGATTGGGCTAGTCAAACTAGCTCCACCCCCAGAGAGTACATAATACAGCAAAAACAAAAAAGATCAGTGTATATTTCACAAAGGCACAAGGATCCCCCTGACCATCTGCTTTGAATCAATGTGCAAGTCATAATCCCTCGGGAGCAGGAGAAAATTCTTGGAACCCCAAGGGCCCATCTGTTTAATTCAGTGTTGCTGCTATAGCCCCTTCATCCCTGCTTCTCCCAACCCACGTGGATCGAGGTGAACGTTACCACGGGGGAGGAAATGGTCTTCCTAATCAGGGATGATAGCGCGTTTGGAAGTCCGACTTGGCGTAAAGCGTGGGGAGAGGCTCCAAATCAGGTTGGAATGCTGTGCAGGTTGGCTTGAACGCCTCCCCCACAAAAGGGTCACCCAGAACGGGTTGTGGCGTTTCTAGGGGGAGCCAACCTAGACATACCCCGGACCAAGGGCAGCTCGGTGAATGGAGTATAAAATGCGCGCGAATGAGAGTCGAGGTAAAGAAAGCAGGCCAAGCATTGATCACCACCGAGACTGGACGATGGCTGGAAGAGAATAAAAGAAGCTAGGCAGACACGATGAACTTGGGCAAAAAAGGGTCTGGTTTCTTCAATTCGCCCCTCTCTCTCAACAAACCCCCACGCTTTCCTTGTGGGATTTCGTCTCGTTCTCCTCTGGGGAGGATTTTAGCATATATCTCTAGCTCGGTTCACGGGCGCTTTAGAGCATTTTAGGAAACAAGGTGAAATGTTCCCCAAGAAAAGGGGAGTCGACGAGGGAGCGCGATGCTACATCGCTTCGACACGAAGTCGAAGAAAACACTCCTTGCTTTAGCCTTAACCTCCCAAAGGGAGAAGCTCCCCACGGGGGCGGCCCTCTTCCGCGCTCAATTTGGCTTCGCGTGCAGGAGGCCATGGTGGGCCTTGTGGGAAATTTTGCCAATCTTTGACGTAACTTGATCATCAATGCTGCTCCAGGCACGCCCAGCGTCATCGTCAATGGTTTACGAGAGTGATCTTACGAGACAAGAGGTTGGCGCACAGTTAGGATCACGGCAAGGGGTCGATAGAATGGAGAGGGGAAATCAATAAAAGAAAAAGGGAGAAGAAAAAAGGTGCAGGATCCTTTCCGGCAGGAATGGCAAGAGAAGGAGCCGCAAAGGGTGCATACAAGCGGAGGCTGTCAAAAGAAGAGGCAGGCAGTTGGGACAGGGTCTCGATGGGTTGGCCTCACCCGACGTCCTGGTTCACGGATAGAGAGAGAGTGAGGAGAAAGAGGTGCGGAAACTGGAGGAAATGCTGCGCAGGCAGATCAATCAAGTCTTAGACGCAATCCAAGTGTCACCTCAGAGCTTTATTGCGGCAACGGGGGTGGATCGAACCGGGTCCGAAGGAAGGGGACACAGGACCGGACCACGAGGCGTTGGCAACTTTGCACGACAGGTACATATTTGATAATAAGCTTAATCGTGGATCTGAGTTTGCCCACGGTCACCTGCACCCGTCGTCGTGTCTTTTTGAGACGAAGGGGGACGAGGATCTTTCTCGAAGGATGGGCTTTCCTCATATTACACCGTGATTAGCTTGTAAGCTCACCCACATGCGAGAACCAAGTGTTGGATAGGTCTGATCGGAGGCGAGGGGGTTTGCCTCCCCCTTTTTCTGGTCAATGATCGTCGCTTTGTGTCCTGTCACGAAACATACGGCCAGATGAGCCGGTGAGATTGGCCAAGTGGAGGAGTGGAAGAGAAGTTGGGATGGCCCCATGACGTCGATCAAGGAACCACTTCAGCTCGGGGACCGAATTGACGTCGGGGAGATGGCAGGTGGAGTGAAACGACTCGCTGCTCCGCGCGCGGGGAAGACGCACAAACACGGCGAAGCTTGCTGGTGAGAGAAATCCGGGGCTGGTTTGCCTGTTCGCTTGTCCTGCCTACCCCGATTGCTCTGTGTGGCTATCTCCGAGCACCTCCCCTCGTGTCCCCATAAACCATCGTCGGCGCCAAAGGATCCGCCGTCGCACCACGGGCCCAAAACAGTTGGAAGGAATCGCAGAAGACCACACAAGGCGACAACCGCGAGCATTGAAGAGAAAAAGGAACAGAGCACCGACCTACACACGGCGTTATTCTCGGTTGGATTGAACGGGCATGATTGGCCGCCCCGAGTCTGGAGACGGTTGGCCGGAAAATGACCCGAAAGCGGGGATCTTGCAGGAATCAATCAATGATTGCCACTTTGCTCTTTGTTTGTTCCCTTTGTTCCCTTGCTTGCTTCCCCTTGGCGCCAATCTCTCACTCTCTCTCACTCTCCCCTTTTACCCCATTCGCTTTTCTCGAATTGCAGTTCCTTGCTCCTCTCGGCGCCGTCTGCGGGTCAAGGCCAAGTTTTTCTCGAAGTCCCGGCCCTCGTCCAGACACGGACTAGCCTGCCAACCTGTGGTCCCTTGCCGCCCCTCCTCCCCTCCTCCCTTCCCCCTGGCTGCTTGTGCATTACACCCAGATCCTACTCTGACAGAGACTGACAGAGACAGTCTTGATGGTGGGCACCACCATGCATCACTATGATTCCGCCACGCGATCTCTACTCCTACACCTTTTCACTTGATCTTCGGGCTTGGTTCGTTGCTTGTTTTTCAATTTTTTGTCTTGGCTTTTATTTTATTTTTCTGCGTCTTCTCGAATAGAGATGCTTGCGAGCGGCGCATCAAGTCCCCCGTTCCCGTCCTGCGCGGCCGACCGTACATTTGCCCACACATTGCCCACACAGAGATGGCCCGCGTTCCCCATTTCGTCCGGGTTCCATGGTTGGACGAGTGAAGAAGCGGAGATTATGGTTACTTCGCGCTAGGAACTTTTATGAACTCCCATGGAATCTGCCACTGGCAGTTGGTCCTCTTTGCCGAAAAACTGCCGGCCCCCAGCGAACTAATCCCACTTCTCTCTCTGCCCACTTGAATCCTCTGCGTTACGCTGTGCTGTGCTGTGCTGCACAGACGACGTGACACCAGTGACGTGAGTCGAGGTGAGTCTAACCCCCAAAAGGGTAGAAGAAAGAAAACATACAGCATAGTGAAAAGGGGCCCGACTCCGAACTTTTGGCTTCTGGGGGATCCCCGCCAACGTAGAGGCTAAACACGGAGATCGAGCAACGACTGGAGGATGTGGAGTATTATGTGGATTCGACAGCCCCGAGGAGAAAGGGGGATTGATTACCCCAGGATGAACAGTAGTGTAATAGACCAATGAATCCGTGGGATGTTTACTGAACCATCGGGCCCCCAATCGCCACAACCAAGTTCTGCCCCGTCGAGCCTGCGAATTGTCTCGCCCCTGTGTGTAAGCTTGGGCCAGAGCGTGAAGCGACGCCGCGCGCGGTCGAGGCACCTCCCTCACCGGACAACGCGACCGTCACACTCCGAACCGGCTTCCGCAGGAGGAACACCGATGCAGCTGTACAATTATAGAAAACCACCGCAACCGCGGTTCCCATTCTCGTCTTCACCTGTGGCTGGGCCCTTTTCCCCGCGTTCTGCTGGTGACCGAGGGTCGTACCGAGCACTACTGCTCCCTCGTCCTGCCCCATGTTTTTTTGTCCAGTCTGTCACCACTCGTCCGCCCGGCCCTCTGGCCCAACTTTGACGAAGCGGAACCAACGACGACGAGAGCCCGCAAAACAGGCAGCGTTGCGTCGATCCTTTCTCGACTGAGTCGGAGGGGTCTCCCCTTCCCGCCACGCGCGCCGGGGTGTGTGTTCCCGCCCTCGCATGGGGACAACGCAAACGATGTCTCTTTGGCCTTTCCTTTCTTTCTCGTCGTTGGTGATTTTTCCCCCACCCTTTCTTTTTGTGCTAGATCCTCCTGAGCCTCTCGATTCGACCTTCTGGCTCCCCTCCCATTCCTGATTTTTGTTTTTTTGGGGCCCTTGTCGCTCTCCTCCGCCAAGACACCTGGGATGAAACCCCAATGCCCAAGAATGATTTACCCACATGATTAACCCGCGGGGTGCAATGGCTCCGAGCCGTGCGTGGGTGGGTGCAAGGGGGAAGGAGAGCGGAGAGAGGTTGAAATGGATTTGCCTCGTTTAAGAGAAAGAGCCATACAAAAAAAGAGGATCCTCAAGGACAGCCGTTTATATGCGACGGCCCGCGCTTGGAGTCGCACCGATTAAAACAAAGGGAATTAAAGCCCACATGGAGCTTGGAGCATGTAGATATTGTACATATCGCTACGAATCCTACCTTTTTCTTCTTTTTTTCTCTTGGCCCTCTTTGTTCCTCTCCCCTCGGACGACGCCCCCCTGGTTCTAACAATCCCACACACCCTTCCTTCCCCAGTGAACCTCTCCTCCTACCCGACGCGCTGGGCCCTCCTTCTCCAATTCTAAAAGAAGATAAAGACGGCGACGGGTCCCGAGATCTCTTTGACAGAGTTGTTCCCGGGAATCTCTGAACCATCACCCAGCTAACCCTTCTCCCACCACCTCCTCCTCCCCTCGACCCGAGCGCGTGAGAGAGAGAACGAGTGCGCGAAGCGATTCGTGTGCCCCTCGAATAATACCAAATAACCAAAAGAGAGAGAGAGTCGCAGCACATAGCTCAGACCCGCCCATCATGGTCGCCGCTCCCAAGGTCAACGTCGGTACGACGGCTGACCCCATCGTCACCCGCCTCGCTGATGAGGACAAGGTGCCGTGGTACAAGAAGCGCAACCTGCGTCTCATGTACCTCTGGCTCTTCTGCTGCTGTATGGGTGTTGAGATGACGTCTGGCTTCGACTCCCAGCTCATCAACACCCTCCAGTTCTCCTCTGCTTTCCACAAGTGTAAGTCAAAAGAAACGAAGAAACAGGACGACAAGGTCCAGTTCCATTTTCGGTCTCGCGATCAGAGGTTAACGTCTCGGCCTTGTACACAGATTTCAGCGGTGGCCGCCTGGATGACAAGGACAACTTTGCCATTGAGCCCGGTATGCTCGGTTTCATCAACTCGTGCTACCAGCTCGGCTCCATCTTCGCCGTCCCCATTGCTCCGTGGTTCGCCCACCGCTTCGGTCGTCGATGGTCCATCATGCTCGGCTCGTGGATCATGGTCGTCGGTGCCCTTATCCAAGGCTTTGCTCAGCACGGTATGTTATTTTTCCCTAATAGTGCTTGTTTTTGGAGATATCACACTAACATCTTTTACCCTTCTTCAGTCGCCATGTACATCATTGCCCGCATGCTCCTCGGTGTCGGCATTCTCTTCGCCATCATTTCCGGCGCCGCCTTGATCGGTGAACTCAGCCACCCCAAGGAGCGCGCCATCCTCACCTCGCTCTTCAACTCGTCCTACTTCATCGGCCAGATCATCTCCTCTGGCATCGCCACCCGCACTAGCACCATCGAGAGCGACGTCGCCTGGCGTCTGCCCTCTCTTCTCCAGATCTGCCCTTCGCTGCTCCAGATCTTCACCGTCTTGTAAGTTTTATGCCCCCACTACGAGCTGTAGCCTTTTGTTTTCAAGGAAGAAGAAGACTCGAAACCCGGGGAGGAAAACAAGAAGAAGAAGAAGAAGAAGAAGAAGAAAACTTATTGTCTAACACACCCGTTTCTCGTACAGCTTGCTCCCCGAGTCCCCCGTTTCCTCATGGCCAACGACCGCGAAGAGGAGGCCGCCGCCATCCTCGTCAAGTACCACGCCGAGGATGACCCCAACTCCTCCTCGTCAAGGCTGAAATCGTGCAGATCCGCGAGACCATCAAGGCCGAGATGGAGGTGTCCAAGCAGTCCTGGTTCGACCTCTTCCGGTCCCCGGTATGCGTCGCCGCGTGCTCGTCAGCGCCTTCATCGGCCTCTTCACCCAGCTCTCCGGCAACACCCTGCTCAGCTACTACTCCAACATCCTCTTCGGCATGATGGGCTTCACCGACGTCGACACCAAGACCAAGATCAACGTGTCCAACTCCGTGTGGAGCTTGGTCAACGCCACCATCATCGCCCTCGTCGTCACCCGCTTCCCCGCAGGAAGATGTACATGCTTTCCGCCCTCAGCATGATGTGCGTCTTCATCGCCATGACCATCTCCTCCAGAGGATCCAGGTCGCCCTCGATGACGGCAAGAAGAACACCAGCGCGGGTATCTCTGCGCTCTTCTGGTACTTTGCCTTTTCGCCCTGCTACAACATTGGCAACAACGCCCTTACCTATAGTGAGTTTCAATTCCCAAACGAAGAAAAAGAAGTTTCCAGTCCATGGCGAAAATTTTACCCAGTTTCAAGATACTAACAAGACTTCCCGTATAGCCTACCTCGTCGAGCTTTGGCCCTACGCCCAACGAAGCCGTGGTATCGGTGTCCAGCAGATCTTTGGCAAGCTTGCCGGTTTCTTCTCCACCAACGTCAACTCCATCGCCCTCAACAAGATCGCCTGGAAGTACCTCGCCATCTACTGCGGCTGGATCTTCTTCGAGTTCGCCATCATCTATAGCCTGTACCCCGAGACCAGCGGCCGCACTCGAAGAGCTGGCTTTCCGTAAGTCATCATCCCCTTTCCACCTAGCCTTGCTTTGTTCTAACCACCGTGTTTCCCCACAGTTTTCGAGGACAAGGAGTACAACGACAGGATGGCGTCCGCCGTCGAGAAGCACATCAACTACGACGACACCACGGCGCCGCCAGAATCCAAGGAGAGGCAGAATGTCTAAGCTTTGCTCGATATTCTCGAATCTATTCGCGTTGCATTGATACCAAATTTGTTGTAGCTGGCCGGAGGGGATCCGGCTGGGAGGGATGGCAGACTGGGAGAAGGGAAACAGAGTCTGTACCAAGCTTACTTGCTTGCAAACCATTTTTTCTTATATTCAGGAATCCCACCATTACTACCCCTTTTCCAAAATTCAATAACTCCCATTACTTTCAATTCTTGATTCTACTATAAATCTTGGGCCCCGTAATGTATCGCAACTCCACTGTGACTGCACACACTTGGTTCTCCATGCTTGCCTGGGGCAAAGGGATTGTTTTTATCCAAACATCTCTACCACCACCTCCCGTACGCGCCCCCTCTGCTGCCTCATCGGAGAACGCATCCCATTCACTCGCAGACCGCATCGGTGCCGATAAACTCTGGAAGCCCACCATCTTGGCTGTGACGCCCGCCACCGGCAGGTCCACCGTGCCGGTAAATTGAGTAAACGTGTTATCCGTAAACTTGATGTGGCCGTACTCCGGGTCCGAGTAGATCTCGCCCGTACCCGTCTCCCGCCCCCGGAGAGCAAGCGAGTAACGAAGGGGCTTGTTATCGTTGGCCGTCGAGGACGACGCTTTGGGTATATGCCTCCCATTACCATCGTAGCTTTTAGCCACCGACTTCACGATGGGTAGGGTCCGGGCCAGGATCATGGTGCCTTCAAAATACCCAGATAGACGTCCGCCACGTAGTGGTCCGGTTCGAGCCGGGCCAAATGTCGATGGAAAAGTTGGAGTAATCCCACTCTTCCGACACCGCCTTGCAGGTGACCTGGTACGAGCCCACGCACGACGGGTCCCGAGATTCAACGCCCTGCCGTGCCGACGTACCAAACGTCCTTGAACCACCCGCGCTCTTCCTCGCCGTCTGCTTGGCGTGCCCCGAGCCGGCAAGACGCTTCTTATCGTTATCGCTGCCACCCAGCGAGCTCGATCCCCGCCCCACTCGCGTCCCGGACCTCGGTAGTAGTCGTCCTCGTGTTCATCTTCGCTATCAACGTACGCGCTTTTCCGCGCCGTCTGCCGAGCCCGCGGCGTATCCGCCAGGACCTTTTTGTTACTTTTCCCCTCGTCCACACTGCTCTGCCGCTTCCGTTTTGCCGGCGCCTTTTCCTTGGCTGGCGCCGTGGTCTTGGGGCCCGCCGCCTTCTTACTCGCCGGTGCCTTTTGGACTTGTTCGAGACCTTGTATTCTTTTTCCCACGCTGCTAACATCGGCTCGTAGTCACGGCGCATGGATTGTTCAATCTCGTTGACGGACGCGGGTACCGTTTTACACTTTGTGCGGAGAGGACGGGAAAGAAAAACCCCTAACGTTAGCGCGATTCTAGTTTGGTCGTCGAGGGGGATCGAAACTCACCTTGCCACGCGCCACGGCATCCTCCAAGAGGCATCGCAGCGCGCCACGGGCCCGGAAGACGAAAAGGGGATTCCGTAGTAGCGCAGCTGCGCGGCGAAGAAGGGCTTCTTGAAGAGGCGAGCCGCGTCCTCGGTGGCCGCCTTTCGGTCTTTGGCGGTGCGCAGTTTCTCCGGGTAGAGGAGGTCTTGGAGGCGTTTCCCGTCCAGCCGCGGGTGGTCGGGCACGCCCCAGAAGTCTTGTCGGATGGTGAAGCCTTTCGCGCCAGCGTCGGCGGCTGCGGAAGGTAGGATGTTGTCATGGTTACATGTAGATACCGTGAGGGTTCGAGTGCTACGAGGCTCTACTTCGAGAGTTGGGTCTTTGGTCGCGTCGCGTTCTCCTTTTCGATTCTATCTGTGCATGGTAATGTGGGAGTTGCACTAAAAGCTTCACATCGCTGAAAGAGGAGCTGGAAGTGGGGAGGAGATGTAATTCGGGGAAAGCTCGTTTAGTGCACGTGGGGGCGAGCTGCTCCTTGCTTCTTTTCGCGCCATTTTCTTTCGTTTAGTACAAGCTAACGCCATAATCGCATTTCCCGAGTTATATGAATCTGGCGGACATGGGATCCCTGTATCTTGAGAAAGTGAAGCGTCTATTATTCGTTCCATGGATCCATTGTAATCTCTTTGTGGATGGCGCTAGCACGATCCCTCACTCACGAGACATTTGCGGTTAATGGAATCCTCCATGCTCGCGCCATGCCACTTTCAGACGCGACGCGATTCTCGTGACAGTGAACCCTTACTTTGATCTCCATGTCCTGAATGAAGCCCGACCGGAACTATCATTCCTAATTAAGTCCTTGGTGCTATATGATACACATTCTGTTCGCCAAACACCTCGACGCTTGTTCATCTCGAGAGCCCACATCTATCACCATATAAAAGTAGACACTGACGAGGCAAAGAAAAAGAGGATATGAAAGATAAGACAGCAGCACAGAATGGCAAAACAGAACATTTCCATACACCATCGATAGCGATGCTCGTAAATGACGTCATTAGTCCCTATGAACCCGATAGACCCGAAAAGAAATCGTGAACTGTTATAACCCCAAGCTTTAAAAACCTTGAACGGGATAAGAAGTGAGGCCTCCGTACGGTAGACTACATCCAACAAAGGAGATGATGAGAAGAAGAAGAAACAAGATGGGATGATTAACGAGAAAAAGAGGGTGGGTGAGAGAGAGAGAGGTGCAGAGTTCACCTCTGTCCCGTCCGGGAACCGCAATTCGCGAACAAAAAACGTTGAACAATAATCTGCGCCAGAAGATGGCGTACCAAATATTAACGAGACCCTGCTCGGAGGAATGTATCCAGGATGAATTCCGGTTTTGGCCTGTTTTACCCTAATAGCTCCAAGACTCACTCGCGCCGTGATCACTGATCACCCAACGAGCTGGCATAAGACATGCGTCCCCCTTTGCGGCTTTTTTCGTCCTTGAGGAACAAAGCAACTCCTACTCTTAGAGCGCGCTCGACAAGATCCTCTTGATCAGGCTCGCTCGCTCGTCGTAGCTCCTCCGCAGCACACGTAGCTCGTGCTCCAGGTCAAGGCGCAACCTCTTCTCCTCCTCCAGCTGAGACATGACGTCCTCGACGGTGAAGTTGGTAGGCCTGGCTGTAGCACGGCTCTCTGAGTCGGGGGTGTCGCTCCGGTAGGACTGGCGTGGGACGGCGAGGTAGTATGAGCGGCACGCGAAGCTGTGCTCCTGCCGGGGCTGGATCCGGTGGCTCCGCCATGGACGGTTTTCACGTGCCTGTCCCGGGCATCCTTCCTCGACCAGCCGCGCTTGTGGGCAGTGCGCCGCGGGCAAAAGAATAGGTCGGCCTTGGCGTGGACGGACATGTAGTGTCGGTCGACGTCCTTTTTCGACTTGGCGCGGAAGGGGCAGCCCTCGGCAGGACATTCTCTCGACGAGCCGTACGATGATCCGGCCGCGGAGTGTCGACGATCTCTGCCGCTGTGTTACCACCGTATCGTTAGCTTACGTACGGTCTTCTGAGGAATGTGCGGTGGTTGGATCAACTTACTTGGTCGGAGAAGCTACTGAGGGAGAAAGGCTGCTGAAATTATCAGAAGAAGGCTCAGAGTCGGCGCTGTTGTCGTGATCATTCAAGGTTAATATCATCACATCCTCACAAGACGTGGCCATGTCAAGGTATCGAAGAGCGAGCTTACCGAGCAGGATTCAAGGGGGCCCGGCAAAATCGCCAGGGCCCGAGACAGTTGACAGACCGGTGGGGAGGTTCATGGTGTCCAGGGTGTAATCCATGTCCAGTGGAAAATTGGCGAGGTCCACATCGAAGAAGTAATCTACTGGAAGACCACGGTCTGCCCGACTTTGCCAGGAGAACGGATCATCCCGCAGTCTTCCACAGGAGCCCGGTTAGTGTATGCTGCTGAGGGAGAATATCTGAGGTTGAAATAAACGAGGTAGCGTGATCCAGGCGCAAGGAGTGGCTGAGAGACTTCTCACCACCTTCTTTGCCAACGATGGAACGACACTACCCAAAGGAAATAAAAATGTTTAGAGATCCCGGCGGCTGCCATCCCAACAACTGAAGAAAAGCCAGAGAAACAAAAGACTGGTAAGATATATGTACAGAAAAAGAGAGCAAAGAAATATAACGAAAACAAGACTGAATATCGAGATCTTGATATCCTGGTGAGATTCTCCGACGGCGGCTGCCTCTACGCCAAAGCCTCAAGGGCATTTAAGCGTTGTCTTTTTTTTTCTTTTCTTGAGCGCGAGCATGTGAAAAATCACAGTTCAATGTCCAAGTGGAGTAGCAAAAGTCCAATTGCTCGGTCGAGCGTATAATAATAAGCCACCTGTTTGGGCCACAGGTCAAATCCTGGCCAGGATTGACTAACAAGAGTACGGATGCGTCTGCATCAGCCTCGAGGGGTCCTTGTAATCCTTGGTATCCTTTGGGGTAAACATGATAGATCCTTTAGTAGCATTAAGCACACATGGTGAAAATGTATAGTATTTCCGAGGTCCGAGAGATCCAGGTCCAGGTCCAGGTCCAGGGAGAAAATCCGGTTATAGAATCCAGGTGGTCGGGGAAACAGGAGCCGGTCTATCCTATCGGATTACACTACCTTGGATGTTGGATCCGGGTGAGGGCCAACATCTCTAGAGATGGACAAAGGAAATCTTTACATTTTGAGGGCTGAAGGACTTGGATGGACAAGGGGAATAAGAGAAGAGGCTGGAGCGGCCTTGGCCACTTACTCATAGTTCGCCTGGAGCGGAGACTGGGCGCCGTAGGACTCCTCGCTTGGAATGGTGGCCATTTGAACGGAGATAGAATTTCTAGAGGAAAAGAAAAGAAGACACTGGTGATTGCGAAGAAAAGAAAAGAACACGAAAAAGTAAGAACAGACAGTAAAACAATGCCCAGGAGAGGAAAAAAATGGGTCAAGGAGGATGAAAAATCGACGAGATGGACAAAGAGTCGGAGGCCAGATGCTTGCTAGCTTCAAATGTTGGGGAAGATGGTTCGGATCCTGGTGGCCACATCTTGTGGGGATCGTCAAGTCTTGATATATATCTCGCGCTGTCGCCTGCCACAGGGGAAAAGTAAAAATCCGGCTTGCTCCGCCCAAGGGGCTCATGAGGACTCCGATGGGCGAAAAACAACCTGAACGTATCACGCCAATCGCAGCGCCGGGTTCCGCGCCTCCATAATGCAGGGGTGGGATTGCGTAGATTGTGAGGGTGCACGAGCGGAGGGCGCTCCACCAGAGGCTGAGTTGGGTCTGCCTGCGTCCAGCCGGCCCAAAAATCCCGTTTTGCGGTGTACATAAAAATGTGATTCATGAATGGATGGAGAGATGTAACTTTTCTGTGGGATTCTCCTCACCAACGACAAGCTTGCTCGTTAGGTCATTGGGCCGCAACGACACCCTCCTCGCCCACCAATCAACGACGGGGCGTCGTTCGAGCGCCAACCAAAGAGGAAAAAGGGTTCTCCGGAAGGGGGCCACTTTGTGGTGGCCACTCCTGTCGGCTCTTTGGCCAGAGAATGTGCCGTCATTGCCTGTGTGTCTTGGTTCGCTCCGAGAAGAGCGGTGGCCCTTTCTCCCCCTACCCAACGTTTTTCCAGAGTCTCAACGATGGGGCGCCGGCATGCAAGCCGACGATAAGAGAGAGGAAGCAGAGAGCAGAGCAGAGCAGGGAACCTAGTCCTTGGTGAAATCAAGCCCCCGAGTCACACCTCAACCGACCGATGCACGTAATTGGGCCAACCCCGGTTAGCTGCACCGCCGAGTTATGCTAGCATCAACCCATTTCTTCCATTCTCCCACAAATTTCGAGGCCCAGCCCACTGCCGATGCGCTTGTGATGCAGCTTGGAGGAAGTAGCACAAAAGACCAGACCAAGGAATGACGACAGTTGGGCAGGAGGGCTAGACACGAATCGGACACCTTCTGAAGTTCGCCACTGCCACGAGAGATTACACCGCATCGACTCCTATAGTACTGGAGAATTTTAGAGGTTGGGTCATTTTGTAATTTTCAACCTTGCGACGCGCATTGGGTGTCGCTATCATTTGTATGTTCACTTTCGCGCGAGCCCTGGAAGAAACAAAGAAAAATACCCAAATACTAAAAAAACGACGCTATCGTGCTACCATGATCCCTGCTTTGTTCAGTACATATAGCAAAGAGCGTCGATGTAAGCCTTGATAGGCTTCATCAGGTCCACCCAAGGCCACTAGGTGACCGCAAGGCTTTGCTGCGTTTTTTTTCTTTTGAGATATGCACGCAATTCATGGATGAACCCAGGAGATACCAAAAGGCGTCTCGCGCCGGCGTCATCAAATTGAGGCCTATTGCCCAACTCATCCAGATGCATCTACGAAATGGACCCATAGTACCCATCTATGATATCGACCGCTCTATCATGTAGTGTCTCTATCCTTGCAACGTCACCACCGGCACTTGCCTTGCCCCACGTAATTCGCGGAGAGCAAGGCATCAACACTTTTCCACTCCCTCACCGAACAAAATCAAAACGGCATTTTCCAGCGACGATCAGCTCGTCCCTTCAAGTCCCCGACCGTTCCAGAAGCCCGGCAGCGCCGCCGCGATCTCCCTCGCCCTCGTCATCACGAGCTCGTGCCCCGCATCCACCGCCAGCACCGCAACCATATCCTCCCCTAGCACCGCCTTGGCGTCCTCGCACAACTCCTCCAGCAGGATCACCGGATCCGCCCGCCCTAGCACTAGGAGCACCTTGTCCCCGCGAATAGGAAGAGGATCCAGAGGGACTTCACGTCCCTGCCCCTCGCGGACCCCGTCACGCGCGAGCGTGGCGCCTCGAGCGTTTCGCTCCCGTAACTTGCCCGCGAGCTCGGACCACAAGGCTCGCTGCTCGAAGATGGGCGCGTAGCGCATGCTGCTCATGAAGGCGGGGATGAAGCCCGGGTGCTGGGCGACCTGCCACGTCATCGCCGCCTCCACCGTGGTTCCGGGGAGGAATTTGGAAATGCTCGCGCCGTCGAAGCTGTCGCCCCCGTCACGTCGTGGCCGCCTCGCATCTCGGGCGGCGTCTTCGTCCCGGGTTCCTCCGCGATCAAGGGCGAGGTGGGTCGGTGGTGGTGGTGGTGGTGGTGGTGTTGGTCATGGTTATGGTTGTCGTACTTGAGCGGCTCTAGGCGCCGGCGGACAGTGTGCTCGAGGAGCCGCTCAGGCAAGAGACCCGTCGAGTAGAGCAGGCGCTGCTTCCAGTCCGTGTGAGCCTGCCTGATGAGCCCTCCCGGCGCGACGAGGGTCACGGACTTGACCATGTTCGGGAAAAGGCGGGTGAAGGCCGCGGAGAGCGCCCCACCAAAGGAGTAGCCTATGAGGTGGAACGAGTCGTTGCCCGTCCAGGGGAGCGGGGATGAGGCGAGGGCGAGTAATATTTGCGCCGTGTATAGCTGCATGTCGTGGCGATGGCCAGCAGGATTTTCAGAGTAGCCTCGACCAAACAAATCTAGACCACAGCTTTCCCCGTTAGCCTGCCTTGGTTGGCCAAGTTTTTTTGTTCCATAGGTTTCCATGGCTACATGTACTGACCGAATATCAGGACCCGAAACCCCTCAACGCCAACTCATCAGCGAGACTACTCATCGTCAGCACGGGGCCGATACCCCGTGAAGAAGCAGCACCTTTTCACCTTCCACGGGCCCCCATTCGTACACGCGCATGACGCCGTAGGGGTCTCGACGTCCCGACCACCGGGAACAGCGTCACGCGGGTAAGGCGTCCCCTCTCTCGGAAGCTGACTCGCGCGCTTGGCGGTGGGCCGCCTGGCCGAGGCAGAGTAGTTTGTGTCATCTGAACGTAGGCAGGCCCGGAGACAAAGGCCGGATGCGAGGAGACATAGGCCCGCCACGCCCACCAGGGGATTCTGCTTTCCGAAAACAAGTGCCCTGGGCTCATGGCAGATTTTCGGAACTGAGCAGTCGGCGTGGTCCTCGGAGAATTTGAGACAAGTTCGTGAAGATATCCATGATGCGTATTGATTGGCTTCAGGCGCAAAGAGGGTCTCGGGGCCTCGGCATCTCAGTAGCTCGGCATCATTTTACAGCTGGGACCAGCCGCTGTCACTAATGATTTCCTGCCATGATTCCTGATTTCCGTGGACCTGTATACTCCCAAGCAGGATACGATGCCGTTATTATTGAACCAATCTGAATAGCCATAAACTATATTAACGGAGTCCTGATATCCTTAGAGTTGTTGACTTCCGCAGCTTGGAAGCCCAAAAGCTCATTACCCTGGCGTACTGAGAAAAATAATATGAAATACAAAGAGTGATTTGTTAATATTTGACTCGAAAGGTATAGACGTATAGCCCTTTCCTCCCCTCCCTCCTTCGAAACGGTTTAGTGGCCCTCGTCAGCGTGCTGGCCGGGCAGCTCGGTGAGCCCTACGAAAAGTCACAGTTAGCTGGCGTTGCATTGTGTAAGGCTATCTCGCGCACGGAAATCGAGACTTACAGCCATCCACTTCTTCGTTGATATAATTGTCCACCTTGCACTTGTTGGCGTCGGCGTAGGATTGGGTCTTGAGACCGGCACACGACGGCCCGAAGCAGCCGCCGTCCATGGCCTTTTGGAGGGCGTCGCCCTTCCAGCCGAAAACGTAGTCGCCGTGCTGGCCGTATCCGGTGCTGCGAGACTTGTTAGCCTAAAAACGAGAAGGCGCAAGAACGCAAGAGAATAAGAGCACAACGAACCTATCGCCCATGCTTAGAACAAATGGCTGCGAGCCATCCTCGGGCCACAGCTCTGGATCGTTGAACGGAGTGGTGTCCCACACAATCTAGTCCTTGTTAGTGCCTATGCCAGGTCCTAAAGTCTTTGGGGGCTCTTGGGAACACGTACTTCGAGGGAAATCTGGGGAATCATAACAGGGTGGCTCTCAGGGCAGGTACCGAATGTCGCAAACGAAGTAGGTCCACTCGTAGGGTACGCAACGTGAGACTGGTGGTCCACGCTGTCGAGGTTCTTACCATCCCAGCATCTATCACACCCAAAGCTAGTTAGCGGATGCACTGCCTCCATAGAGGGCCCTCGTGACTTACGTAGGGAAGTTCACAGTCGATCGGATTCCGCCTTGGCAAGAGTGGGGAGGAAGCTCCTCGAAGTCGAGCGAGGCATCAGCGCAAGGAGACATGACGTCGCCGCCAAAGTTGGGACCCGAGTAGCACCGGAAACAGCTCTGGGTCTTCCAACCGCTCCCGTCCTTTTCGCGGCGGGAGGCATCACCGTAGAGCATACGGAATCCCTACGTTCAAACCCGTGTTAATAAACCCATCGACGTGAGATTTCCTTTTGGTTACGTTAGTGGAGCACAAGAAGGGCACGTACAGGCTTAAAGGCGGTGACCTTTCCTGCGCCGGGAGACATGTAATAGACGGTCATTCCGGCTTCCGCGCCGTCGAGGAACCGGTTGGGGATCTGCTTGACGCGCATGTACGTGCCGTTCCGAGCCTTGAAGTACATGTTGGCGGTCCAGTAGTTGGACAAGTCGTCGGAAAACGTGCACGTGGTGCAGCTCGCGAGCTCCGAAATGTCGGACTCGGGCATCGAGGCGTTGAAGGAATTCTGATTACGGGCGTTAGTGCCTAGCTGAAAAAGCGAACTTGGGGGTGATGTTGACGAACCCTCCAACGACCTGGTGCATGTGGGTGGAAGGAGCCATGCCAGGGTTCACAAGGCTGCATCCGGGTTAGAGAACGTTTTTGTTAGTCTACTAGCCTCCAAGTCTACTGGCATCACTAAGGCTATACGTACGGATCGAGACGTGTGATGACGACTTCGGAACAGCCGAACCGAATCAGACTGAAGCCTCCTCCGCCGCCTCCACCGCCGATGCCCTGAGGCGCCGCATCTACGAGTGCGGCGAGCGCGACAAGAGCTGACCAAAACATGTCGATTGAAGCTGATCGAATTTTGGAAACACAAAAGGACAAAGCTCGGAGCCCCGGAAAGGATGATGGCGAGGATTCAGCTGGTCTGGTCCTGGGGACCAGATAAGGGAAACTTCCCACAGCCATCTTAGAGGAAAACGTCAGCTTTCCAAGGCCGTAGAGGCGAGAGAGCGAGACAAGCTCCGTGCGCAACGGATACAAAGTGCCGGCAGACCCCACAACCCAAAATTCCCCTTTCGGGACGGGGAGGCCAATCTAATCTTCATTTAACGCCCTCTTTGACGTCGTTTCAGCCGGCTCCGGTGGGCCCGGCAAGGGTGCCGACCCAAATTTTACCGCCTCTCCACATATTGCTTCTGGGGGAAAAGCGGCCACGGCTTGTCCAAAGGGGCCAATGAGACTTTGTCGACAAGTTGTGATGGGCCATGACTATGTATGGCGGATTCACGGCTATGCCAGGGAGTGGAAAGTCGGAGACGTGCCTCATTTATGTACTGTAAGGATCAGGATTGGGTGCGAGACTTACGACACCTATAGGAGGATCTTTTTATGACCTACCCAGAACTGATAACGGGATCTGTCCCTTTGGAATGCATAGTAGGCCGACTTCCTGGTGATTAATTGATATCTTCACGCGTATAGACTTGAGATACCTGGGATACATTTTATTTTATGCCGGCCCTCAATGGGGATTTCGTTCATTTCTACAGAGCGTGCATCTGATTCTTCACGCATCGATTGCCCTCTCCAATCTCGGCACGGGGTCGCCCAAACTACCTGCTCAAGCTCGCCTAGGTTGGGGTCATTGAGTGCTCGGGATGGTACTCAACCCTAGTTGCAAAAGGTTGGCAGTGCTTCTAAATGAAATGACAAATTTTCGCGAGGAACGGGTTAAGGACTCGAGTCCCAATCGACATCTTCTATGAGCCTTGACCTGTTGAGACCTTTCGTTTCTATCTAATCATCCTCATGCTAGCTACATATATGGAAGGAGACTACACATACCCCGGCTGCCGAACTGCCGAAGCATCAAAAACATTAGGTCACCAGGTCAGGGCACTGACTATTGCTGGTCAATTAAGAAGGTGGAGGACTTGGGAGAATTTGTATACGACTGCTAAACGCTTGGTTGATACCAATGGCCCGGAACACGGCGTAGAGACGCCCGGTCCTCATGGATGCTGGACGCGGCGACCCATGGGCAGATCGAACCAAGTGGCACTTCCTATGCAACGCTCCACAATGAAGACTTCAACGTCACTTAGATTATAAGAGCCATCCAGGGCCCGGAGGGGGATGTCAAAGAGGAGCGGGTGTGGTATAAAATAGGGTTGGCAGCTTGATGGCGCAGACCTCGCTGTCTCGGCCTAGATCGTGAGCCGCATCTTGGTGAGCTTGTGATTCTCAGAATGGCATCCCATCCTAGTCATGTAGCATGCACGACAAACGTCGTAATTATTATTGTTACATTTTTTGCAATCTAATAACACAAGGTACCTTGTTAGCCTTGAATCAGTTGCGCGTGGGAAAGCAAGGGAGGATTGTTAGACCTACGGTAGCATATTGCATCCGTAATTTTGTTGCAGCAAACATCGCAGCTAACATCGTCCGCGGTATATATGGACTGCCACGTCTCCGTGGCTTGGTACGCAAAGTACATGGTAAGCTGATGGCTAGGGCCGTGGCACGTCATGCCCTTATTGTAGCACTGGTGGCACATATCAAAGTGGCCATCGGCAGAGGCGCAGTAAGGGTCCTTGCACTCTGATTATGCGGGTCATAGGATTAGTATGCGGCCAGAGGAGGAAGGATAGACTATAACGCGTACGCGTGTGATCGGGTAAGAACTTACGATAGATGGCGCCCTGGCGAATGCTCGACGAGCAGTGGTTGCAGCCGGCCGTGGCGCTCCCGCATGTGGTTTCGTATATTAAATCATTTGCTTCATCTACCGCCGCGTTTAAGAACACCCGTAGGCAGTGATGGTGGCCGAGGGGACAGCTCACACCGCTGGCGTAGCAGTCGGGGCATAAAGAAAAGCCTTTTCCATCCTTGGTGCAGGTCTCGCAAACTAGAACACGGCAGTTAGAGTGAGTTGTCGTCCAATCTCGGCCTGGTTATAACTTACAGTAGATTCTCCCCTGACCCATTTCACGGCCACAGCTTCCGCAGGCGCAGCCCTGGCGGCCAGTCATATCGCTAAGATATCGAAGAAATACCGATGGCTCGCTCGGGCCAAACGTGCAAATCTGTCGCAGTTGCAGAACGTGGGTACTATCGTTACATCGTCGGGAATCCTCAGTCGAGTAGCAGTTGAAGCACAGATCGTACTCATCATTGCACTCACAACAATCTAGGACACAGATGCGTGCGTTAGCATCCACAGCGAAAGAACGCGACGTGAGACAATCACCACAGTGGTGCACTTACGGGCATACAACCCTTGGCAATGACAACCGAGCACCGGTCGCAAAATATATCGCCGGGCTTCACCCCCAAGGCGCGAGCACCCCATCAGTCCCCTCACCATATCAACCCAACTATCACGCCGCCCAAACTGCATCATGGCCCATTGCACGCCAGCCCCGGCCGCCGACCCCGCCATCTGCTCCGCCGTAACATGCGGAAAGTACGCGTCGCCACCACCACCACCACCACCTCCTCCCACCGCCGCAGCGCCATCACCGCTAATCGCATTCCCCATCGCTTCCCCGCAACCATCCCCGTCAGCCCCCACGATCGCCAGCGCCTTATCCCGCCTCGTCACGTTCTCCTTGAGCGGCACCCTCCGCCTCTGCAGCTCCGCGACCACCATGTCCAGCTTCTTCTTCGCTACGTCGATCTTGCGGAGGCTGAGAGCCGTGAACACGAGGGTGAGGCCGCCCGTCGCGAACGCGGCTCCGAAGGATGCCCCGCCGGCCGCCGAGCTCGTGAGGACCTGGCGCGTCTTGGCGAGCTCGCGCGCCTTGAGCTCGGGCACGGTGAGGTAGCGCACCTTGATCGCGTAGGCGTTGGCGTCGAAGCCAAAGATGTCGTCGAGGCCCATAGCGAGGGTAGGGAATTACGTCGGATGAGTATAAAGTTGCCAACTCATGTTGTTGGTGGGTTGTTCTTTTTTCTTTGTTTGGAGAACATTGGTATCATTCTGTGATATGATATTTATTTGCCATTTCATTCCCGAGCTACAACCCTGCCAAACCTGAACTCTTCCCGTCAAGATGAAAATAAAAAATAGCAACGTGGCTGTGTCCCAGCTGAAGAACGAGTTACGATGCCGGTTGGGTAATACGGGAATGATGCCGCTTCCTCGTGGTTGGATTAAAGCTGGGGTGCAGCACGCCTAGGCAGAAATGTGAAACACACCTGCGCGGAAACGCTGGAATGCGACGAGGGTGGTTGTCATTCCTCAACGATGGTGGAGTGAAGCCTAGGCCATCATTGTAGGTAGGGTGGGTGGGTAGATTTGGTTCGAGAGCAAATTAGGCATACATTCGTATTTTGTCAAGCCAAGAGATTGATCCAAAGAACAAACACCGCATCGGTTGGTTCATCATGCATGGGCATTCTATGAATCTATCCCTACAGTTCATTTCGTAATCCCCGTCGTTTGACAAAAAAGTTGATGCCTCCCAAATGAAAAATTTCTATCACTGGTAAACGCTCCGCTAACGAAAAACACGAATCATGAAGCCCATGGGGGCGTGTATCTTCTACATGCACATCCACAACCGTAGCAGGGAGTGACGATTAGGAGAAAGGAAACCAAGACCGCCCGAGTCCACGAAAAGGGAAAAAACAACTACCCAACCACTAGGGCCGATTCATTTGCTTATAAGGGAAGAAAAGAAAAACAAGAGGGACGCAAGCAAACGTTATGCGTTTACATCGGCAGGTTAAGCAGTTTGAGGATCCGGGGATCCTGGCTCGGTGGACCCTTGGAATCTGATTTGGCGCCAGCAAAGAGCTCCAGGTCTTCGTCCTTTGTATCCGGGTGCTCTTCGAGTCCAGACTCAACTGGTCCTTTGCCCCTCTTCGCCCGAGACGCAATTATCAGCGCCAACAAGTCAATGGGCTTTCCCGAATTGGGAGGAGAGAAGTCGGGTTCCGCCTTCCTGGGCGAGATGGGAGGGATAATGACTGCGCCACCTCCCAAAACGGGCTGGTGGTGATCGTTGCTTGCCGTAGGACCCCAGCGGTAGTTGACGGGACGGAGGAGCGCCGAGCCGGTCCGGAGGACCCACGACTCCACTCCGAGCTCCACCTCATCTTCCGCCTTCTTCCGCCACCTCTTGGGGATAAGCTTGGCAAGAGGGCCGAATACGGTGGAAAGCCCGCGCTTGATACCACGGAACAGGGTCGCGACATATCGATCCGGCACCTGGCGGATAGCCATACCTAGAGGGATAGTAATAACGCCGAAAAAGATGGTCCAGCCCCACTGAGCGCCGGTCGGCGGGTGGGTGTCAAAGGCCGACCCGCCCTTCCAGACAATAACCATTTGCCCCGCAAGCGTTAGGCATTGCACACCAAGGAACCAAGGATTTTTGAGAACGCCTTGGTAGTAGATGTTGATGTGGTTATCGACACGTCGGCAGTTGTGTTGGTTGAACAGCTGCATAAAGACGTAGGTGTTGAACACCATGGTCTGGAGGAGACGCGCGCCCTTTCCGAGGTGAAGAAATGCTCCCCGGCATAATGCAGGGTGAAGACGACCGCGAGTTGGTAAATTGCCTGCGCGAGCACCATCTTCCACATGGTGACGGTGACAATGGGGGCGCCGCGTGGCTCGGGCTTGCGCTTCAAGAAGTCTTTGGAGGGGTAGTCGGTGGCTAGGCCAAGGGAGGCGAAAATATCCATGATGAGGTTGAGCCAAAGCAGTTGCACGACGGTGAACATGGTGTCTCCAGCGAGGGTAGATATGACTGTAAGGGTACCAGCGGTGATGTTGATAGTAAATTGGAACTGTGTTCAGAGCCGTGATTAGCGAACGAACTTAGAAGCGTCGTATTTGTGCATCGCTCTGGGGAAAGGCTTGGGAAAAAAAGGTGTCTCTTACCTGAAGGAACTTCTTCACTGCTGCATTCACAGTACGTCCCCAACTCAACGCCTTGACAATGGACGCAAAGTTGTCATCCAACAAAATGATAGACGCCGCCTCCTTGGCAATCTCGGTTCCCTGGATACCCATCGCGAATCCCACATCAGCCGCCTTGAGCGCAAGCGCGTCATTCGTACCGTCACCAGTAACGGCAACAGTCTCGCCCATGCCCTTGAGGTGAGTGACGAGGGTGAGCTTGTCCTGAGGGCTGGAGCGAGCAAGAACCTGAAGGCGGGGGATCACGAGGTCGAGCTGGGCAGGGGTCAGCCGGCGGAAAGTGGGGCCGTCCATGGCGATGCCTCCGGCCGTGTAGATGCCGCACTCGGTGGCGATGGACTTGGCAGTGAGGAAGCTGTCACCGGTGACCATGCGCACAAACACGCCCGCCTCCTGGCACTGGCGGACGGATCGGATCACTTCGGGACGTAGGGGATCCTGGATGCCAAAAACGCCGATAAAGGTCAGGTCGTGCACAAGCTCGCGCAGACGCGCGGGGTCCACGTTGTCCAGGTCGGTGAATCCGGCGTCCCCGTCGTCGATATCCTTGTATGCGAGGGTAATGGGGCGAAGCATCTGCGTCGCGTAACCGTGGCCGATATCCAAAATAGCCTTGGCATCCTCCTTGGTAAACTCCTCGGAGCTGAGCTCTCCAGCAGTATCTTTCGACAAGGAAATGACGCGAGAAGTCATTTCGAGAACCATCTCTGCCGCGCCCTTGACGAAGAGGCGGCTTTTCCCGTTGCCCAGCCTTGCCACGGCAGCCATCCACTTGCGCTCCGAGTCGAATGGGATCATTTCCAGAACCGTGTTATTCGCGCGCTCCTCGTTCAAAGGACCCATGCCGAGGTGGTTTCGGGCGAACTTGAGCAGAGCAGACTCGGTGCTCGAGCCGATAAAGGCCTCGGCGGCGGAGGCCGGGCTATCGCTCTCAAAAGCGGTGGAGTTCAAAGCCACGCTCTCCCTGATGAGCTGCTTTATCGCCGGGTCGAGCGTGTCCGTGAGCGCACTAGAGGTGGGGAGTACAGGAAGCTCGCCAGCCGAGGAGCCAGCAGTCACAGAGTCGGTCTCGGAAGCAGGGGCGCGAGGGGCAGCGACGCTGTTATCGGATGCCGTGCTCCGGCCCGTGTGATCGCTAAACTGACCGTGGCGTCCAACAGTACCAACCACAACAACCATGTCGTTCCTAGTGAGGGTGCCGGTCTTGTCAGAGCAGACACAGGTGGCGTTTCCCATGATTTCGCAGGAGCGGATAAGGCGGACGAGATTATTATCCTTGAGCATGCGCGAGGTGGCGAAGGCGAGCGCAATGGTGACGGCGAGAGCGAGGCCCTCGGGCACGGTGATGACGATGACAGTAACAGCAAGGATGAGGACCTGAAAAATTCCTTGGCCTTCTCGGCCGGGGTCCACTCCTTGTCCTTGAGCTCAACGAGGAAGCGGATGAAGATGATGAGGAAAAATATGGAGCCGGCAATGGCGCCGACGGTGATGAGTTGCTTGGCAAGCTTGCCGAGCCTCTGCTGCAGCGGAGTCTCTTCGACGTCGTGGCGCAGAGACATGAGAGTGCGCCCGTAGGTGGAGTTGACGCCGACCGAGGTGACGAGGTAGGTACCGTAGCCGGCAGACACGGTGGTGCCGCTGAGCAGGAAAGGGTCGGCAGTAGGGTGCATCTCGGACACGGGGTGCTTGTGCACGAGCTCGGACTCGCCCGAAATGGAGGACTCGTTAACCTGGATGCCTGCCGCATGCACGAGGACACCATCGACGGCGACAATGTCTCCGGCCTCGACGCGCATCAAATCGCCGACGAGGACATGGTGGATAGAAATTCTCTGGGGCTTTCCGGATCGCACGACGGTGACGTCGCGCTGCTCCTTGCGCTCGTTGAGCTTCTCAAACTTGTGATTCTTTTGCCAATCCGTGGCCGCGCTCGCAAAGACAATGACGAGGATGGCAACCACGACGGTGACGCCGTCCACCCATTCGACGTTGGAGGTGCCCTCCTCGGGGTCGACGGACTGGTAAATGCCCAAGGCGAGAGAAATGGTGGCGGAGATGGACAGTAGGATGATGAGCTTGTCGTTGAAAGCGATCCAGGCGAGGCGCAAAAGGACTTTTGTTTCCTCTTAGGTAGTACGTTCTCGCCATACGTGTGCACGCGATCAGAAAAGCCAGCTTGCGCCGCGGCGCCGCCAGTCCCCAGCTTCAGCAGGTCACCCAGGTGGTCTCGCGACTCGCGCGACCGATGACTTGGTCGCGCAGCGCGGCCTCCTTCCCGCCGCTATCGCCTCGTCAATCGTGATAGCTCCCTCGAGGGCGTCTTCGTCGGCGCTCAGTCCCGATTCGAGATTCGTGCGCAACCCCGCGGCGAGACCGGGAGCCCGCCCAAGGCATCGAGAGCGGTCGTGGTTCTCGCCTCGGAAAGCTCGTGGAGCTTGGTGGGGGTGAAGGCGAAAGGGCTGGTGTGGTCGCCTCCGGCAGCATCCCCGTTATCCGTGTTCGACCTGCTGTCGAGGCCGGGTTCGAGTCGTTTCTCGACATCGTGCGCCGCCGCAGGCGGACTTAATATCCGGGGCCCACCATCGGCATCGTTCTTTGAGGCGGACCGGGGAGTGTCGGATAACGGTGGCGAAGAGGGAGCAGCAGTCTCTTTGATTTCCACCATTTACAAGAGAAATGGTGCGCCCGGGTGCGGGCGCGAAGAACAGAATGAAAACTGGGAAAAATGAAAGAGACGGGGAGGATTCAGGAGAAGGGAGGTAAGTCCTCGACAACAAAGTAAAAGGGAATGACTGTGAAAAGAGACCCCGCGCCACAAACAAGGAAGGCGCAAAAGACAATACACAAGGCGACAAATGTGAAGGTAGGGGTGGAAGGCACGAGGGATGCAAAGGAAGAGGAAAGGGAAAAAGGAAAGAAGACGAGGCCAAGAAAAAAAAAAAGGCACACAATTGACTGAAAATCAATCCCCCAATGGAGCGATGACGGCGGAACAAACCAAAAAAGACAGCTTGGGGCTTCAATGACGAGCGCACCGTCGAGTCCTAGTCAAACGAAGAATGCACGTCCGTGGGCACGGGGAAGGAAGGCGAACCAGTGTCGCAGTGCCAAGGATCCGACAAGTAAGTCGAGCCGGATGGCACAGGTCTTGGCGAGCTCCTCGCTGTTTCGCTCCAGTTGGCGCGAGGCCGACGGCGAGAGATTGATTATGAGAGGATGAAATGGCCTGTGGAGAAGGTAGGAGGCTGGGACGCGCGTTGTTTGCTGGGAAGTCAAGGTATTGGCGTCTTTGGGGGCCAAGATGGGCAAGGATTCCCGTATTCTCAGTGTTTGCCAATGATGAATCGATGCTAACAGTCTTGGCAAGGCAAGATTCGAGATCCACATCTGCAACGTAGAGTGGTTCAGTGTGTGGGTGCACAGGTTGGAACGGACTGGATCTCTGATACTGGAGCGAAGGAATGGCGCCGGCAATAAGAGAAATGACTTGGAGGCTCGGACGGACCAGAAAATTTCTTTGGTCCACCGATGGATGGATTGTTTGCTCGAGGGGATTTACACGGGGTTTTGTTGCTGGCCCTCAGATTTTAGGAAGGGCTTGAAGGGGCACTTTTGCTCGTTTCACCAGAGAAGAGCAGGCCGGATTGGCGGCGCTAAGACGACAAGTTGTGGCCCTAAAATCCATATCAAATAAAAGTAAGCTAATCGGGTAATTCCTCACTGCTCCATTTCTACTCCTTCCACTGGGAGACCGAGTCACATTGAGGGAATCCATCAAAGACTGGACTCAAATTGAAGAAATGAGGGCGGCACGTGCTTTTCTTCAGCGCGAGCGAGCGAGCGAGAAACTTCAACTTGGCTGCTCGAGGCCTAGACAATTGATCCGGATACTTCTGCACCAGGCCGAGTAGGAAGAACGTTCAAGCTAGAGCAACAATCCAATGGATCAATGGATGAATGGATCAATCAGAGCTATCACCGAGATGTTTGAATCCATTTGATCGATCACGGTTGTGGATCATTTGATGGAATTGAGGCCCTTGGAGGCGGGGTTTGTGGCTTCGCACTTGGGCCTGGTGCATTCTGTTGTCATCACGCGGCGGCTTCCCCGGCTTGGTGGCGAGAACCCTTCGCTCCTTCTCCAAAAGACGGTTCTCCGCCCGAGATTGACATCAATGATGTTTCTCGATTTCGTCATCGGCTTATGGTGCTTCCTTCCCCTTCCTCCTCTTGCCCCTTTCTGTTTCTTATTTCTTATTTTTATTCTTTAATTTTTTTGTCTCCCTCTCTCTTGGCAATTGATGTGCGTTTCAGTCCCAATTCCGTCAATTTTCCAATTTGTGTCGAGGCAAAAATGGAAAGTTGGTTTCGACCAAAAACACATGTGCTTGGTCCTGTGCTTAGTCCTCTTGTCCTCTTGTCCTCTTGTCTTGCTCTCGGTTACACTTGCCCACCCGCCACTCCTCATCGAACCCTTCCAGACCCCGCCCCACATGTTCCCCAAGCTTGCAACGCCCGACTCGGCTGGCCCTTGTGCCTTGTGGGCTGCGGGCGACTTCGGCGCCGAGAACGCAAGGGGTCATCACCTTTCTTTTCTTCCCTTTTTCTCCTTACATCTTCTCTCTTCTCTGTGGAGCATAACCATCCCGCTCGGCCGGTACCGAATTAGATTTTTACGTGCTTAAACAAACAGAAACAAGAAACACGGCTTCTGGGGGAAGCATGCCGGCGAAGACAAGTTCCAAGGCCACATGACCCCGGTGTCTGCCGAGCCTGCACGGATGAGCTGGACAACGCTTGTCGCTGCATGCACGTAAACGCATCTGCCCATGGTCTTTTCTCGTAGCAGTCCCTCAAGTGTCCTCTCACACTCCATGTAGATTGAAGCGGGGAAAGAGGGGTTTGATCCAAAAGAGGAAGTGATGAGGCTTTTGGAGTGTTTTTTGTTTCGTTCTTTCCATCGATAGCATTTTCTTCGAGACCAGTGTTTTTGTGCGCCTATGTTGTGTTGCTTCCCCACCCCTGGACGGGGCAGCACCACACCATTATGGAATCGTTCCAAAGTTTCCGAAAAGAACGATCGTGGAAGGCTAGAAGCCAGTCCCAAAACTCGCGTAAGATGTAGGCTAATCCCAAACCGGTCCATACCAGCCTAAATTCAAGCTCGTCACTCACAACGTCCTTCTTTGTGCTGGATGAGGCAAACTATGACATCCGTTGGATCTTGGGAAAGGACTATCTAGACAGCGTACTAATGCTGCTTGGCCACTTCTTCCCCTTGCCTATGTAATCGTTAACCTATCAAGGATATATTGCAAGAAGGGTATAAATAAGCATCTTCGATATTTGGTGCTACAATTCTATCGGATTCACGCCTCTTCTCTGTAACCTTTCCTCCATGCCGCTCGATTCAAGAAGAGTCAAGAAGTCAAGAGAGTTTAAAGGAAGAAGGACCAATTAAAAATAAAAGACAATATTGGAATAAAACACCGTAGAATCGCTGACGGGGCAGTGGCCTCACAGTTCCCATACAAGGCCTACAGTCACACGAAGCCTCAGGCATCTAGGCCGAGTAATTGTTATCCGGCACCCACGGATCTGCCTAGAAATCTTCCTTGATATCTTCCCCAGCTCCAGCTGAGGCGTCCGAGGCAAGCCAGGCATGGCAGTATCGAGAGTTGCCATCTGCGGTGTCTCCATTGCTATCCAAGTCTTCTTCGGTGCCGCCGCCGCACATGGATGCAACACGCAAAAAGGTCCAAGACAACTCCAGAAGCTCAAAGCTCGGGAGATCCTCAGGATCCAGCGCCTTGATCGCAAACACCTGGCCAGTGATGAGGGGGATACCACTCGACCGCCACAGAGGCTGCGCACCCCAACCCTCGTTGCGAGAGATCCCAGCTTGGGCCAAGGCCTCATCCAAGTCCTCTTGGAGAACCTGATCCGTGGGCTTGATCGTGGCTTTTTTCATCCAGTGCAGCTGTACAATTAGTGACCAAACCCCGTTTAGCCCCTTGAATTTTCGAAGTGGCTTAAAGGCAACTCTGGCATTCTCGAAGCACGCATTCATAGAAGGGCTCAAGGAGAGAAGATTTTGCACGGACTGCAACGCTGATGGGTCTTTCAACCATTGCAGCAATTCATTTGTCTTCTTGTTCCCCCAGAATAAAGGGAGCAGGCCAGTTATATTATCGAAGTTGCCGTGCGCTGATATCTGGTAAGGGATAATGGGAGCAGCCACTGGGTAGGGCTCTCCTGTGAAGATGCACCGTTCGCTGTCCCGAGCCTTACACTGCTGCCCCTTCAAAGTTAAGATGGGAGACTCGATACCCGAAGCCGTTTGATGACGAGACTTACCTTCTCCGGTGCCTCGGCACTTTGGACAAATGAGAGCGGATACATTATCGATGGGGAGCTGGGCTCGATCGGCGTCGGCGAAAGGATACGTTCCCTTTTACTCTCAGCCCTTGTCGCGGTTGTCTTGCTGAGGATACTTCGTCGCCAGAGGAGCCGGGGGTGGCGGACATCCGGCGTGCTATCCTCGACATGGAGCGTCTCCCCTTGCCAAAACTAACTCGGGATTAGTTGTTTTCTTTAGTTCTCGTGTTCAGGAGTTACCACTTACAGGCCTTGACGGCGCCCCCGATTTGGTAAAGAGGGTGCTGGCCACCATATCAGCTGCGAAGGTTGCTTCCCTGGATTTTGTGATCTGTAATAAATCCGAGAGTCTTTCACTGGGCAGAATCATCAACACCGCGACCGAGGCATGATCAAAAGAAGAGCAACTCGGGCCTAGATTGGTATCATGATAATCTCGTATCTGGTTAAATAGTTCCCGGCGCTGCTCAAATTCGCTGATGTAGTCCTCGGGTGGCTCTTCGTTAATTTCGTCGTGGCCCATCGCGACCAGCGTTTCCCTCATCGCGTTTGGCTTTCGCGCGTATGCTCGGGCGAGTGAATCAAACAAGATTCGATCATTGCCCGTCAGCGACTCCATGGCTTCTTTTCAGTGATTCAACAATTCCGTCTGCCTGGCAAGGGAATCTTGAGTTGAGACGAGTTACGGCATAGCACGACCAAGGATTGACTGTTCATAGGATAGAGGATTAGATAGAATGGCAGGGTCTACCGCTTTGAATCACGAGAGTGACGAAATCTACAGATACTGGATCCATCCATGATCAATGGCATGGTCTACGGGAGCGACTGACGTCGGAGCAAAAGTTGGGCCTCAGGAGCCGTGTAGAAAGCGCCGGTTGCAGTGGACAGAAGATAAGAGCAGGAACACCCATGGAATATGAAAGTTTGGAAGAAAACTTATTTGGCTCTGTAGACGTGGAAAGAGTTTTCGGCTACTAAGGAAGGTGCAAGACGGGAGCATGTTTGGGAGAAGCGAAGAGGAGCGAGGAGGTAGGAGCACTGGTACGTCCGCCAAAGTAGGTGCTACTCAGAAGCTGCGAATTCTGGGCAATTATACAGGGCTTCCAGTTCCAATTGCCTTTTCATGAGGCCGGCCGTTTGTTTCCGCGGTGAGGGTATCAAGATAGCTTACTCTAGACACTTTTGGCCTGGGTACTTCCCTGCGTGCTTGAAATTTTGGAAACCGTCATCTCAGAGCCTAAGGAAGTACATGCAGTGAGGCAATAGATGTATTCCCCATTCGCGAATTACCAGATGCCAGCAAGGGCGAACAAGGGCTGAAAGGCGACGAGAAGGAGGAGATTTCTGCGTTTAACCCAAATCAACGCTCGGGTTAGTCCCCCGACTGGAGCTTAGGAGCCAGTTCGGATCCTGCACGTCTATAGCTGCTAAGAGAAAATACCCTCCTTCCCTTTGGGGGAGAGGGAAGTCCAAGATGGGAGGACTTGAGGAGAGAGCGGTATCGAATGTCTGCATTCCTGGAAGAAAGTCTTAGGAGCCTAACCCCTCTTTCAGCGTCTACCGGCCACGGATAGAGAAGAGAGCAGAAACCAAAAGGGTCGTATATGTGGCACGACCCTTGGCTGGATCATCATAACTATGCTTGGCTCTTGGCTGGCATCATCGAGGTCTAAAAATAGATTTCGAATCCCGGTCGCTCTGTAGGGCCGTGTCCTTGTTGGGCACGGAGCAAAACGGCGCTTTGGAAAGGAGATTATCGACGCCATCCATAGAAAGTCCGGTCTGTCCGCAACAGCGAACGCGCAACGTAGATCAAGAGAATTGGGCTCAAGAAATGTGACAATCAAAAGATGACATATGGCATTCTTTCACGAACCCAATCTCCGGTTTTGAAATATGACTTATGAATTTGCACAGCCAGCCTCTGGCCCAAGAAAACTTCGCACGCTGGATCCGGCCCGACGTTCATGCCGCCACCAGCACGGGGAATTTATGCCCCGTCCGGCGTAAGCATATGCGGGATCGGCACCTCCCAGCCAAGACGGATCTACGCTGCTGGACCAATGAGGGGATCCATGGCGAGGTGCACCTCCACGCTGTCGGGAAGACACAATGCATTGCACATCGTCATCATGGGGAGGTGGCTCGTCGAATACGATAACTGCGCGCCTCGTGCACCTTCTTTCCACCCATACACCGAAACGTGATGGAAAACCTCGTATTGAAGAACAAAGTTGACTGGGAATAGCCCGAGAGCAGATGATCCTTGGGTTGTCCGAGCCTGAGGAAGAGAGTCAATTCTGGCAGGCAGGTCTGGAATATATAATGAGCGAAGAGAACTCCTTGTCCTGTCCATTCTTCGTGGTGCCAGAGTCAACAACTTCAAGCATTCCTCACCTGCACGACCCAAGCTCACAATAAACAGATATTTCAGTGCAAATCACCGCCATCACCCTGGTCACCTGTGTCCAAGTTCTTACCCAACAAAAATCTTCATTCGTTTCCCCTCTTCCTTTTTCTTGCCATCACCATGCAGTTCTTCACCCTCTTCGCTGCCGCCGCGGCCGTGGTCTCCGCCGCCCCCGCCGCCCCCGAGGCCCGTCAAATCAACAACAACGTCGTCTACCCCGCCGCGACCTACCGCCGGTGGATCCAGACGGGCGACATGGTCCTGGACCCGCAGGACCAGCTGCTCATCGTCAAGAACGGCAACGCGGCGGACGAGACGTCCACCCTCGTCACGTTTGACTTCGACGCCAGCACCGCCGGCAAGACGTGCGAGCTCCGCTTCGAGCTCTGGGACCGCGACGTGTCCACGGGCACGCGCACGCTCGACGTCTTTACCTTTTCAGACCCCCGAACCCCAACACCGTCTCGGTCGAGGAGGGGATTGCCCAGCTGACCGCCGCCGCCGTCAAGAGCCGGGACCACCACGTCGGCCGCATCGTCGCGCCCAAGCCTGGGAACGCGACGTGGGTGCAGGCCTACGATGGCTGGCCGTCCATCCCGTGCCCGGCTGGGCAGCTCATCGCCGTGGAGTATGTCGGTGTTGGTGATAATGTCGAGGTTCGCTGGGATATTGGCGTCACGGGCCCAACGTTCTTGGTTCGGGATTAAGGAGTGTGAAAAGGGTACGCGGAGAGGACGTAAGATGCGCCCTCTCTATATTTTATGAATTTTCTTTCATCCCTGTTATTTTCCATCGGTGGACCGGTTGTATTGTTGGTGAAAAGGGACCATCGAGAAGGAGTTGGGTAGATCTAGCTGTGAGACAAGTTCTACGAAGCGGAGAGCTTCATAGAGGCCGGCTCGCTGCTACAGGAAGGTGACGAATTAGATCAATCAAATGCAAACATAAATTGAGCCATCATACCACATTTCTTGATCGATTGCACAAGCTTAAATCACGGAATTAACTTTTGCCGTTCCCCCTCTTTTTCGTCACATCCCGCAGCCACGGGGAAGCCGTACGAACACAGTGCTCTCGGGCAGCTTCTCGAGCATTGAAGCATCCCCTTCCCACCACTTACCCGCCCTGTGGTCTGCACACCACGGCGAACTGGATGTTTGTGTTGAGAAAGCCTCTCTCTGAGACTTTCCGAGACACTGCCGTCCATCGAGGCTGGCATCTTGGGAAATTTTTGTTGTTGAAAACGGGCCGGCAGTAATCTCTTGCAGACGGCTCACCTCAACAGGCAAGTCGTACAGCACCTGCCGACTCAAGCTCTCTGCGAGCCGAGAGGGGCGAATAGCTCGCTGTCCCTCTTGCAGGTTTATTCATGACATCAAGAAACCAACCTCGCCAAGCCCATCCTGTTTTCCCCAGAATCGCGTCCACAAAACATCATCCACCTTATTGACAACCTTTCTTTGGATTGAATTGATTTCGCTTTCAACTCCCGGCATTTCAACTCACCTATTCTCTAAAATTCAATCCGCGGCCTTTTATTTGCGTCCCTGACATCACCTCCATCCCTCAACTCAACCGCCCGCACACGAATCCTCCGAACCACGATGCCATCCAAGGCCACGAAGCCCTCCCTCGTCTTCGTCCCCGGCGCCTGGCACGCCCCGGCACCTGGGACGGCGTCGCCAACCCACTCCGTGACCGGGGCTACACATGCCTCTCCGTCACCCTCCCATCCACGCTCGGCGACCCCTCGACGACATTCTCCGAAGACCTCGCAGCCACCCGGGACATCGTCACCGCCGAGATGCGCCGAGGCCAAAACGTCGTCATCGTCGCACACTCGTACGGCGGATCCGTCGCCGCCAGCGCCATCAAGGGCCTTTCGCGCAGGAGATCATCGGTTGCATCGACGGGAGGAGCCGCCGCCGCCACCGCAGCCGCAACCGCAAGCGACGACGAACGCGACCGCGACCGCTCCGAGGAAGGCCACGTCGTCGGACTCGCCCTCGTCGCATCATGGCTCGCCGCAACGGGCACGAGCTTCCTCGACGCGCTAGCGCAGGACGCGACCCCGGTCATACGAACAGACAACGAGGGCGGCTTCGCGGTGCTGCTCAACGACGTCACCGACCTCTTCTACCACGACCTCCCCGCATCGAGAGCCGCATGTGGGCGTCGGACCTGCAGCGGCAGTCCCTCCGCGCGCTTCGCGAGGGCGGCGAGAGCGCGTACGCCGGCTGGGCCGACGTGCCGAGCTGGTTTCTCGTCACGACTGAGGACCACGCGCACCCCGTCGAGGGCCAGCGGACCCTGATTCAATCGGCGAGGGACGCGGGCGGCGATATTACCGTGCGCGAGGTGCGTAGTAGTCATTCGCCCATGATTAGCAAGCCGGCGGATGTGGTGAGCTTCTTGCTCGAGGCGGTCGGGGCTTTTGCCGGTCCGGCGAGTACTAGTAGTTAGGTGACGCCGGGAGACGGAATGGGGCTAGGTGTCGGCTCGGGGGACGAGTCGCTTTGGGTCGGTTAGTCGCGGATTCAAGCTCGGCGAGCCGACACTCTACGGCGAAATCTCAAACTTGTACGGGAAAGGAAAAAAAAAAAGAAAAAAAAGTACCGTCCGTGGAATGGGCTCATTATTATTGTCAAGATGATGGCAAGACCTTTTGTACATTGATTGATAATAAATATCCACTTTACTTCATCTTGCGACGAGGATTCGCCTGTCCTCGAGACGGGGACTGACGAGAGCTCTCTCGTGCACTAAACAAACGATCTCGCAAAAAGATCAATGATCCTTCTTCGTTGATATGTGGAGACAACATTGAACACAATCGGGCCGACCTTCTCCACAAATGCTCCTTCTGGCGGGAATTGCATCACGCACAAACACTGCAAATCCACCCTTTTCACTCATTCTCTCAAGTCCAGGTTGAAGATGATGGGCAGGGACAGGCTTTCGATGGGCGGGCAAAGCTTTTCCCATCATATCGAGACTATTGCGAGAGACCGTTGAAATTCAAAGAAACGAAAGAAAGAGCAAAACCCGCTTGCTCATGGGCTAATGTTTCGGCCAAGGCTAATTCTTGCCTACTAGTCTCTCCAAACGCCGAAAAAACAAGCTCGTCTGCATGACGTGAAAGTAAAACCCCACTTGGACTCCCGCCCCGTCTTGGCCTCAACGTCGTCTGATTTCGTGCAAGCTTTGAGGGTGATGGTAGGGGCGATGAGGGAGAGAACAGATAAACGACGAGGGTAAAAGGAAAGAATTATACCACATCTTGATTAAGATACGCGTATATTACACACAATGGGAGATGGATGAAAAGAATTATCGAGAATATGGATTAGGAAGACGTAGCGGCGGCCACACGAATGGAGGCGAGATTTGTGGTCCTGCCTCCCCACCGTCCGCCTTGGATCTCCAAAATAGTTACGGCATTCAGCAGGAGACGGCCGACTTTGTGGGGCAGGGCCCTCTTGAGTCGGAGAAAGACCTACGGCAAGACCAAGATGTAACCAAGATGTAACAATCACTTTAGGAAACAATAGGCGCCCTCCATGTGTCTCTGCGGGTGGTAAGATTGATTGATTTGAGTGATGGAAACTTCTCCAGGTTGGCAGGGCTGCAAGGACTGCAAGGACTGGCGCGGATGGTGCCTGTCGAAGCTTGATCCAAACGGAGTTTTGCTCGGACTGGAGGAGCCACGGCCTTGCTCATGCTGACTGCCTTCCTCACGTGTGGAATCCCTCGTTCCAAGCTCCTACAGAGTGCGTGTTCCTTCCCCGCGGCGGGGAGGGGTTCTAGATAACATGGGTGCGTCACACACATAACATGTACATGTATCGTTTGATGCATCGATTTCCGTACCCCGAGGGGAATTGATGGCTGTTTCCGGTGGCTGACGAGAAAGGAAATTCTAGACGTTCCTTTTCTGTGCCCCCTGCCCTCCAACTTGCGTGCAAACCTTGTCTGCTCTTGAGAGCATCTTTTGCGACGAGCTTGCGCGACGTATTTCAATCAAGATATTCTCGACCCTCGAATCGGGTAAGCTTTAGCCGCTGGAAGTAACCTTTGGTTCTCACTTGACCCAATCCGTAAATGCCAATATTTCTTAAATTTGTGTCATGACTTGCTTCATCCAGGAGAAGCTTCGCGCCAAACCATCCCGGTTCTCAGTCTGACAGCCTTGATCCCACCGGCACCCGATAGAGAAAAAAAGAAAAAAAGGTCACGGGCAAGGCGTGCCAACAACTTCCCCGTTAGGATAAGCGAACGGAAAAGACAAGACCTCGGGACTTCGATCCCAATACCCAATACCCACTCTTTTTGGTTCTTTCGGTTGGAAGGGGCGGACCCATTTGTGCAGCCGTATTGGGCCGGCTTCTGCCATGGAAGGATTCAAACGTTGCTCTGCTCGTACTTTGTACTCTCCCTCGCCCAATCCACTTCCGCCGAACCGGGGCCCCAGATGTCGGTGGAGATCCTTGGTTGCGGAAACGCTAGTACTATTCCCCAGAAGGGGAAGGGGTCAACGCTGTCGACCGGCAGGTGGCTCGTCATTCTTATTCTGGGGATCTGGGGATCGTCGAGGGGTAGACGCGAAAAGGAAAAAACCTAAAGAAGAAAAAAGGAAAAAAAGCACACGGAAGCGCGCGAAACCATATAATCTGGGGCACCTGCCGTCACCGAGCTTGCTTGTTTCTGCATCATTGACAGGTTTCCCCAGAGTCAATGATCGCGGCTGGTTCCTTTTTCAACATCTCAAGCCACGCGAGTATCCGTCTTGAATCTCTGAATTTCTCTAAAGTACACCAGATCCGTCTTGTTATCTTCAACTAGATAGATACTCCAGAGCCATCCTCGGACGGCCCAATCTCACCATGGACCCCATTGACATAGCTGCCAATGAGGAGCGCAAGAAGCTCGCCTACAAGAACAGGTGGAGGACGATATTTTCCAACCCCAAGATCCTCGTTATTGCCTTTTTCGCCTCGTAAGTCCACCAGCCCAGCCAGCAATCGGGTGGCCCATTTCTTTTCTCCTTTATCTTTGTTACCAAGGTGCTTGTTCTCGTTGAGTTATGTTGATGACTAGGCTCTAACCATATCCCTCTTCCAACGCAATATAGCTTCGGTGGTTTCGAATATGGCTACCAACAAGGCGTCCTCGGCCAGTCCCTAGTCATGTACCGATTCAAGGACCACTTCCCCTCCGTCGTCCAGTCTTCCAGCGCCACCGGCTGGCTCACCTCGGTCCTGCAGCTCGGCGGTATCGTCGGATCCCTAAGCGCCGGCGTGCTAGGCGAGGTGTTTTCCCGAAAGTATACCATGTTCTCCGCGTGCTGCTGGGTCGTCCTCGGAAGCTATCTCTACTGCGGAGCCACGTACCATAACCCTGCCATGCTGTATGCTGGAAGATTCTTCACCGGCTTGGGTGTCGGGACCTTTAGCGGCGTCGGGTAAGTGTTATCTTCCTTTTCCCCCTTTTTCTTTCCCACGCATATCTCTACCACTTGCTGACCTTGTGCGCGCCTCAATAATAGACCTCTGTACAACGCCGAAATCGCCTCAGCCGAGCTCCGCGGATTCATAGTCTCCTTCTACCAATTCGCCACCATCCTCGGCATCATGATCTCCTTCTGGGTCGGCTACGGCAGCAACAACATCGGCGGCTACGGCGAAACCCAATCCAACCTCGCCTGGCAGCTGCCTTCCATCATCCAGGGCATCCCCGCCGCCCTACTAGCCCTCGGCATCTGGTGGCTTCCCTTCTCCCCCGCTGGCTCCTCATGAAGGGCCGCGACGAGGAAGCCCTCAAGACCCTATCCTACCTCCGCAAGCTCCCTGAGGACCACCCCAGCGTGGAGCTCGAGTTCAAGGAGATCAAGGCCGAGTGCCTGTTTGAAGAGCGCTCTCTGGCCCGGTCCTTCCCGCCCTCGGCGACGGCGAGCAGGTGAGCCTCTGGAGGCGAGAGATGGCTCAGTACTACAACATTATCCGCACCCGCGACAATTTGAAGCGTGTCGCTACCGCCTGGCTCGTCATGTTCTTCCAGCAGTGGAGTGGCATCGATGCCATCATCTACTACGCCGCCAACGTTTTCGAGAGCCTCGGCCTGACCGGTGGAACTACCGCTTTGCTTGCTACCGGTGTGACGGGTGTCGTCTTCTTCGTGAGCACCCTCCCCGCCATGGCTATTATCGACAAGGTCGGCAGGAAGCCTATGCTCTACGTCGGCTCAGTCGTGATGCTTGTCTCCATGGTCATTGCCGGTGTCATCGTGGCCAAGTTCCGCCACGACTGGGTTTCCCACGCTGCCGCGGGTTGGGTTGCCGTGACCTTCATCTGGATCTACGTCGGTGCTTTTGGTGCTACCTGGGGTCCCGTATCCTGGACTCTCGTCTCGGAAATCTTTCCCCTGTCGATTCGCGCGAAGGGTGCTTCTATTGGTGCTTCTAGCAACTGGGTACGTTTGCCACATTTCTTCCAACGGGCAAAGCCCATCATCTGTGAGGTATCTTGAAAGCAAGGGAACTAACATGTTATCCAATTTAAACAGCTAAACAACTTTGCCGTCGCCTTTTTCGTCCCTCCCATGCTCGAGGCCTGGGCCTGGGGCACCTACATCTTCTTCGCCGTCTTCCTCGCCGCCGGTATTGCCTGGGTCTGGTACTTCCTCCCCGAAACTAAGGGCGCTACTCTGGAGGAGATGGACCGTGTGTTTGGTAGCAAAGTCGGTGAGGAGGATGCCCGCATGCTCGCCCAAGCGCGTCGGGATGTCGGTCTGGACCAACGGTTGGAGAAGACGCTCGCCGAAGACACGGCGGAGCAAGACGGCACAAGCGTGGAGAAGGCTTAGAGTGTGCATCTTCAAGACACATCTTCCTGGGTGGGAGGGCTATCTTGTCAGGTTATTTAGCGGAGATACATGGGCTCTGGCATGTATGACACCAAACATATATATTTTTATGGAGCAGCCGCACTCTTGTTTTGGTGCATGCATGTGCTTTTAAATTAGTATATCATGGTTTAATTGAGCGGGCGAACTAGTAATGAGTTAATCCCGATAGTATGCATTGCGTGAATACTTGTGGGCGTGTATGTGAGCACATATGTGTCACGATTCTATCATGGATGTCTACGGCGCCCATATAAACATAAACCTTGCTGCGCCTGCTAATCTAAAACGGAGACATACAAAAGCAATCAAGTCTTCTTCTTCTTGATATCACCATCCTTATCTACACTATAACCCATCTCCATTAGCATGGCAGCAATGCAAGTATAGGCGAGGCTGTCTGCGTTCTCAAGGCCGGAGAGCAGGTCCATGTTGGAGATGTTTGGCCATCGGTACGAGTTAGCGCCTCGGACATCATCGTCTAACGGAGTCTTTAAGTTAGCTGGATAGGAATTACAGAGAGGATGCTCTCCCTTAGCTTAAAGTTATGGGCGATCGAAACTTACATCGGATCGCGCTGGTAAGAATTTGGTGGGACAACTACCATCATTGAGTCAGTTATATAGCTACCATGATGCTGAAACAGGGCACATAGCAGTTCACACGTACCTCATGGACCACCGTGGCAGACAGAAGCTTGAACGTATCAATATTTGGCAACTTGAAAAGGTTTGAGGCCTTCCTGCTTGCCAGATTCTCGGCGGCAATCTCCCCAATCGTCAGATACTTGATCTTGGGCCCTGTCAAGGCCCGCGAGCAGAGAGTGATGGTGACGATGGATCCTCGGTCATGGTCCGGGGTGGGCGTCCTCAGGTTGGTGTACGTCTGAGCGCGCGTGGCCGTGCCCACCTCCCTGCAGCCGGGGATCTGGCGGTCGAGGTTTGTCAGGCTACGCGGATCGACGCGTTGGTCAAAGACGATGTCGTTTTCCGGGTCGATCCAGGCCTTTTGGGCATCTGTCCTACCCTCTTGGCCAGGAATCTCCTCGGCCGTGGCGTGGCGCCAGCGACTATCGTCGTCGCAGTAGATGATGATGTTGGGAGACTCGCCCAGCCCGGCGGGAGTGAGTGTAGCTATTTTCTCAATGTCGTCTGTGGAGAAGGATAGAAGTGGATGGAGAACGTTAGCGCAAGTCTAGTATATTTCATCGACTTGTGTGAGGGCCCGTTACTGACCGAACAATGTCCCCTTTTGGTTATCGTTGATCCCTGGATAGATGAGCCCGAGGAAGGCACTCATCTCCTCGTCGTTTCTCCGGTTAACGGCAAGCTGAGCCATGTTAAGTGCCTCAGTCATGACGCTATCACGGACGGAGGGGGCATGAGCTATCAATCGAGTAACTCCTCGCCGAAGCGCCCGTGGCCCCAAGAAGGAACGCAGAAGCGATCCGAACATGTCTGGCGCGCATTCTTTTCCGTTGTCAAGAGGCAGTAGATGGTTATGGGTATGAAGTGGGATGAGAAAATGTTCAAAAGAAACTCGGTGGAGACGATCTGAGTAGTACACCATAGCTAGAATATTGCCGGATGGTCGAGATGTAGGCTTCGGTAGGCTTTATAGTATTCATCAATGGACTCTGTCTCTGGGAGCATCGTCGATTATTCCCGCATGTATGCATGGATGGATGCGACGCATGCAGCCTTGATCGTACCCCAAGAGCCAGCCAAGGCGGCGGTTGCTTTCTTTAGCACATTCCGATGTGACTGTGCCCTCTGGCCTCCTCGTCCGATGTGGCGGCTGACCAGTGAGATTCGTGGGGCTGGTGCTTATACCGGGACGGCAGCAAGCGATATAACCGCCAAAACACGCGTATCTTTAATCAATCAACGAGTTTTAAAGTTGTTTGGGAGAGGGGAAATCTCCACGCACCCATCATGGTTCTATGCATCGCCACTTTCCTCAGCCTACATGTAGGTAAGCTCGACCCCAAGTCGACCCCATGCTTCCCCAAACCAGCCATCTCAAACAAACGAAACAAACGACGTCAGCTCGTAGTAAGTCCATTATCGGCGCTTAGTCTTTAGGCGCTGGAAACGCTTCGGGTAACGATCCATCCGCGCGGGTTCCCACCTTGCTACCGCGTCAAAATAGAAATGTGTGGCTTCGTCTTAGAGCAACTCGCATCGGCCTGTGTCGGTGTTTTCGACGAGGATGCAAAAAGGAAGAAAGAAAAGACACTGCCACCATAAGCAACTTCTTTAATGGACATTGGACAGGTTTCCGAGTTACGATAGAATCGCGAGACATACTAGGATACGAGCCGCATTTGTTTTATTTAAACATCTCAGAGTATCATGTGTGCATAAACAAGAAGAGTTACGATATAAAGGTTCCCACCGCTCCTCGACTTACCCATAGATCTGTTCATCACCAACCCCGACAGTGGTAGTACAGCAACAGGTCTATCCCTACAGCCTTTGATCTCTAGTGCGCGTTTGTTTAGTACAACCTCGCAATGTTGTTACTCAAACAATTTTTGCTTCCGGCTATCACGCTTCTTTCCGCTAGTGCAACAGCACAGCAAATCATCTTTCCCCCAGTGGACGGACCGTGTCCGCAGAACGCGGGCGCAGCTCCTCCGACATGTTCTGACGAGCGTACCTGCATCTCGATCCCCAGTGCCGGCATTTGCACTATCCAAACCCTGGAAGGCAAGTCTCTCCCATTCACGACAGGGCGGGTAACTACCTACTGAACCTAGCTAACTCGTCTTGTGGCTTCTTAGGGTTTCCTCCTTGCGGTTGTTGCGAGCCAGAGGTGGTCAACTGCGCATACTGCGGCGGGGATGCCGGCGGCGGCATCTGCAACGGTATCGGCCCGCGGATGATTGGTTATCAGGGATGCCCCTGCTCAACGAATGACGGCGGAATGCCGCCCTATTACCGGAGCAAGGTCTGCCCGGAAGATTTTGAGCGCCCGACGCAAAAGTGTGGCGATCCCGAGTGTGACGATGACAAGTTCGACGCGGGCATTTGCAGCGCCAAGAGGTTCACAGGCGAGGGAGGCATCTACCGCCACTGCAGCTGTTGTCCACGAGACGAGGAGTTGTTTTGCGAGGATTGTGGGGGTGATGATGGCGATGCCAAGTGCTTGGGTATCCCGCAGTATCGCGGCACCCAGTATCAAGGCTGCCTGTGCACACCTGGGTCTGAGTTAGTGATCCCAATCCGCGCTGTACAACCCTTCCTTATGTTTTCATTCTGACATTTCACTCTTTCTAGTGGCGACTCTGATCCCTTTCCCTTTCCTATCCCCCGTTTGGCTTCCCCATTCCACCTCCGCTCACGCCAAGGCCAAAGATCCCTTGCGAGGACCATCCGTTTTCTCAATGCTCAGAGTGTGATGGCAAGGATAACTGGTGCCAAAGTGGAGAGGCAGCTGGATGTCCATGTCTAAACGACTGCTCTAACGAGGGTGAAGAGCCCGATTGCGCGGATGCCCTATGCGAGGGCAACAACGACGAACACAAGTGCACAGTAGTAAGTCTAGAGGATCCCTGAACCCCGAGCTCATTGATACTAACGCGTGAGTGATTGCTCATAGGGACCAGATCAGGGGTGCAAGTGCAAGGAAAGCAAAGAATGCCCAACGGGGGTTGATATACCTCTCTGCGAGGCTTCCAACTGCGGTGGCGCAACCAACTCGTCGACGATCAGCGCTTGTCAAGGAGTACGTTTTTCTGCCCTCATGTACCGCTAATCTCTATTCGATCCTCAACTGACTCGGACCTTTTTCGCTTGCTTATAGGAGTTCGGCACCGAGAAGAACAAGGACTGCACATGCTTCCAGCTTTTCAAGGACATGGAAGGCGAGCGTCCCTTCTCCGATGCCGAGATTGACGCCCAGCAGACCTTTATCGACAACCTTATCAACGACAAGTCTGAGGGTTGCGTAGAAGGCTTCACGAACAGTACTGTTCTAACGATCGAAACGACTGGAAACTTCATCAGCCTCTACTTTGAGCCGGATGTGTTCCCTGAAATGTTTGAAAACGGCAATTCGCAGTGGCGAATCGTCGACATCACGGGCTTCGCAAAGGAGTGGCTTGTCAGATTCCATCCGTCAGAGACTATCGCTGGGACCTCCACCGATGGAAGGGTGACGTTTGATTTTGATGAATCGATACAAGGTACGCGCTATCTGAAACCAAACATCTGGCATCACAGCGGGTGGGGGCCTTTGCAGCTGACTATTCGCTTTAGCTATTGAACGCGTTTCCATCGAAGCACCTCTGCCGTTCGAGGCGGATGGCTCTTGTCCTACAACCATTAAGATCGCTGTAGATGCTGCTGTAAGTAAAGGACATCCCCCTCTATCCTTGATTATAGACCCTTTTTCATGCTCACTCTCTCTTTCTTCTCCATAGTGTGCCGGAAACCTGCCTGCCGAGCCCGAGATTGCGGAGCCGAACCGGTCATGCCCGCCACCCCAGCCTATTCCCATGCCCCCGGAGGATACTCCCACTCCTCCTCCTCCCCAACCCGACCCTTACCCTACTTGCAAAGACGTGGATATTTCCGGATTGACCTGCCAGAAGGATTGCTGCGGCTTCGTACCATGTGGGGATTGGTGCATTGATAACTGCGGAGGGCTAGTATGCTAAGCCGTACAGCTGCCGTGGCTGGACGATTTCACGATAGAGCTAACCGTGAACCACGATTGTTTTTCTTGTTTTTCTTCACTTCAGCCCTGCTGGCAATGTATTGCATTATATAGAACACATTCCATATCTAGATAAGCTCTAACCCCTGGTCATGACGTGCCCGATGGACAGGCTGTCAAAGCAGCTACACTGGGTAATGGATATTGCGTGCACGCCCAACCTCTCTCAGACATCATCCACGCACGTAAACCCTCTCTGCCATGTCAATTCTACGTCCTCCAAAAACGTCGTTGGCCACCCTCGCGGGCTTTCCTCCCACTCTCTAAAGTTCTTCACCAAGTCATAAAACGTCTGGATGTGTTCCTCCGAAGGGTCCTCGCAAACCCTCTCTGCAGCCTTCACCATACCCTCGGGCTTGTTCTTGACACCCTCTAGCACCTTGAACATCCACTTGTGATATGGATACAGCGCCTCGTTGTGGGCGAGGACGAGACGCGTCCCAAACAGCACAAGCTTGGTCACCGCTACCATGAGCAAGTAGCGATTCTTCTTCTTTATCGCCTCGGTGGTGAACCATTTCCACGCCTCGAACTGCGCCCGGAACGTCTGGATCTTATCGAGCTTTTGGGAAACGGGGTACGTGGCGGCGGCCTTTAGCGCATCCTCGAGGCCCTCGGCGCCGCCGTAGAGAACCTGCACGCCCTCGAATGCGTAACGGGCGGGTTCGCTCCCTGTGCCGCGACGCTGCGGATGAAGTCCACGGAAACGTACTTTCCGTCAACGTAGCCGCCCTCGTAGGTGGCAAGAGACGGGTCGTACACGGTCATGGGGGTGCCTGAGGCGAGTCGGCGGGCATGCGCCTCGTTGGACAGCACCATCATCACGTCGACGTCCGAAGCTGGGAGGCAAAACCGTATACGATGGAGCCACACAGTAGGAGGGCGAGGACCTCGGGATCGGCGAGGAAGTGCTCCTTTGCCTTTTCAATTGTTGCTTGGTGGTGTTTGAACATATTGCAGGCCCTCTAATAGTCTAGTACACGACGAATGAAATAGGTTATTGGAAAGGGCGTGGGACTGCAGTAGGTGTGTTAGTGCGGAAGCAAGGAGAGATGAGGGAGAGAGTAGATTAGCTCCCTAAGCCCCGTATAGCAGCAGGCCTCTATGTAAAATAGACCGCGATAAACTATAGGAACCGCACGGGTCACGATATACGATAGGCTGTTCCCCGCAATTGTATCCTCGTGGCCTCACCAACTTGCCGGGATCACTCCCGCATTTCCGATGCCGGGGATGGCCCGCATGTGTCGAAGGATTGGGAGGACATACATACATACCCTGGCAAGTGGTCATTCACAAGGTAAGCCGGACCGCGATCGCACCACCTCGCTTCCATCGAGCCCATTGAATTTTCCTTTGCTCTTTGTCCGCCTCCAACAATAAGTACAAAGTATGGAATCCCCTCCAGCCTTATCAACAGATTTAGCAGCAGGTGTATTTGGCTCTCAGGCCATCAACGAGCATGAGCGAAGGAAGCGACGTGGAATGAAACTATTCACACCACTGGTGCCTTAATGGGTCAACGATGTGAACATGAACATTGAAGTCTAGGATTTCTCAAGTGTTTGGCGCTGTACATCGCCTGCGCATACTGCTTCTCGGCGCGTTCTCTAGATTGCACTCAGCTATACACAACCCTTCCTGTTTCTCAATCCACCTCTAATACCTCCGTCCTCCCGATATCAAGTACTACCCTACCTCGAGGCGTTCTTATAGGAGGGAAAAATCATTGCAAGTACTAATAACCCCTGATGGCGCATTACCAGGCAATCTTTGCGACAAACGAGTTTGGAAAGACTCGCACTACCAACTTTCTCATTTCGTCCATGAATAAGATACCCAAACCCAGGGGAATAGGAATGAGCCAAAACTCGGCAGGAACCGATGCGGTGCCAAAAGATTCTGAATCCCCGGGACTTCGGTCACAAATACGGCAATGGCGATACTTGTGCACATGCTAAGGATGAGCCAGGGATTACGCCTCTTCCTGCGAAACGGATCGGCCTCGACGATGCTAACTCTACGGTTGCGCATAGCCAAGACGTTACCGAGCTGGAGAAAGACGAGAGTGACAAAGTATACACACTGCCCAGTAGCGTTAAAGTGATTCAACTCGGCCAAAGTGTAACCACGGTAGCCTTCCTTGTAGTTCTCGAACAGGAAGAAGAGCTCGGAGATGGGCATACCGGCATATTTATACATGTACAAGAAGAACATGGAATGCGCTGTGATCGTCTCCATGAACCCGACAAACAGGTAAGCCTGAGCGTATATTTTGAGATTGATCAGGTGGTTGCGGCGGTGATCCCGCGGGGGCTGGCTCATAAGATTGAACTCCTCGCGCTCCATGATGAGCGAAAGACTGAGGAAGAGGTCGGTGAAGACGCAGATGATGATCATGAGGAACGCGCTGAGGGGAAGTGGCACGCCAAAGAAGACGTTGAGAATGACGGGCCAGATCTCGGACCAGCTGCCCGCGGGGAGGAGGTAGGCGATCACCTTTGTAGGTTCTGGAACACGAGACGGCCGAGGCGGATGGCGTCGACGATGGAGTCGAACTTGTCGAGGAGGACGAGGTCGGCTGCGTCGATGGCGACGTCGCTCCCCGTGACGACGGCGACACCCACGTCTGCGGCGCGGAGAGCGGGGGCGTCGTTGACGCCGTCGCCCGTAACGGCTACGACGTTGTGACGAGTGCGTAGCTCGGTGACGATGCGCAGTTTTTGTTCGGGGGTGGTACGCGCAAAGACAATCTCCTCGTAGGCGCAGATGATGTCCCAGTCCTCGTCCGTTAAGTCAGCCATGGAGGGGCCTTCCACGAGAAGAGCGCGGCCGAGTCGGTCAGGTGGGCTGGTTACTTCCTTGCTTGACTCGCCATCACCTTCACCCTCAGCCCTCATAGACGACTCGGAACGCATCTGAGCAATCGTGTCGGGAGGGGCATCGAGAGAAAATATGCCAACCTGCCTGGCAATCGCAGCCGCCGTTAGAGCATAGTCTCCCGTAACCATGAAGAACCGAGCACCCGCTTCTCGGCACTGGCGGACCGTATCCGCAGTCTCATCTCGCGGGGGTCCACGATACCCAGCATCCCAATCATGGTAAGGTCCTCGACGGCGTAGGCTTCCACTTCATCGCGGAATGCGTTGGTGCCGCGGACGCTCCTTGGGCGAATAATCTTTTCGCAGAAGAGGATCACGCGCTCGGCGTTTTGCGAGAGGCTATCCTGGATCCTCCTTGCGCGGTCTTGCACGTCTGGCGTTAGGAATGTGACGGCCCTTGTTTCGGTAGACCAATAGTGGGTACAAGCGGGCAATAGGATGTCAGGAGCGCCCTTGATGATGAGACGGTAGGCTCTCGTGGTTTGGTCCGGCTCCAGTTCTGGAATCTCAAAGAGGGTGAGCATCCACTTGTTTTTTGAGTTGAAGGGGATTTCTAGTGCGCGTGTGTCGGGAATGTCCAGGTTTCTCATGGGCGGCTGAGACGCAGCGAAGCGCAAGACTGCGCCGTCAGTGGGGTTGCCTTGTATGGTGCGTTGGCTGACGGGTAGATGGAGAGAGGTGGGCTCAAAGGAGGCATCATTGCAGAGGAGAGCAGCACGACGTAGGGCTACAATAGCAGGATTGGACTCCTCCAGGTCGAAACAATTCGCCATTTGGTCTCCGACTAAGCCCACGGTGCGATCCAGAAAGGCAACGGTCTTGACAAACATGTTGCCTTGCGTCAAGGTTCCCGTCTTATCAGAGCACACGACGTTGACGCAGCCAAGAGTCTCAACCGTAGCGAGTGACTTGGGTAAGATGTTGACGGCCTTCATGCGGTGCGCCACACGCATCAACGTCAGGGCGACGGCGACGGGCATGCCCTCTGGGATGAAGGCGACGACGCACGCCATGACGTTGACCAGCATGGCCGGGACGGTGAGGAAACCCGGGTGGTCTACCCGGAGCCAGCCGACCCAGGTGAAGAGGATAAGAAGGGCAAGGAAGATGGTCATGCTGACGATGATTTTGACGAAACGCCAGATCTCGCGCTGGATGAGCACGGCCTCTTTCTTGAGGTTGACGGAGGAGTCGGCAACGCGGCCGATGACGGAGCGGCTGCCCGTCAAGACGACGATGCCAATACCGCTGCCATTCAACACTGTTGTTCCCATGAGGGCGATGTTTCGGCTCTGCAGGAAGTTTGTGTCCGTTGGGTCCACGGTTCCTTCGACTTCTTCCGACTCGCCGGTGAGGACGGAGCGGTCGAAGCGGATGTCACCAGAGTGGCTCAGGATTCTCACGTCGGCAGGGACCTTGTCGCCCGCCCTGAGGAAGACGATGTCGCCACAGACAAGATTGGCGGCTTCCAGTTGCTTGGCCTCGCCGTCGCGCTTGACCATGGTATCGGAAGGGAGAAGGTCAAGGATGGAGTCCATGGTCCTGGCCGCGGACCAGTCCTGAAAGGCAGAGAACCCGGCTTGGAGAAAGATGACGATGAGGATGAGCACGGCTAGAGATAGGTTTTGGGCCGACGGAGGGTCGCTCAGGGGCTGCCAACAAAGAAAAAGATGATGGCGCCGATCCACAGGACGGAGCAGAAGCCGCCAAAGAGGTACTTCAAGATAGACTTGATGTAGTTTGTCTTGGCTCGTGGGAGTGTGTTTTTCCCGTCACGGGCGAGGCGGATCGAAGCACCATTGTCCGACAAGCCTTGGTCCAGGCTCACATTGAAGAGTTGGCAGACCTGCTCGACCTGGAGCTCGTGGTACGTGAGGGCAGCAAAGTACTCTTCACGCTTCTTGCCCGAGTCGAGCTTGGGATCGGTCTCCTGCTCGATGCGCCTCGACTCCGAGACGTGGATGGATAAGGTGCGGTACTCGATCTGGACACCCGTGAAGGGGACTGAGGCTGCCGGCGAATGCTCCCACTTGCACGCGAGTCCCTCGAGGCAGATCGCTGGTGATCTGTCCCAGGGGTGTCGACCGACCCATCGCCACGCTGCACCGGACGCGTGGGGCGTTCCGCTTTGCTGAAAATGATGCGAGCAGCAGCGGGCGCCTCTGGGTCGGGCAGCTTAGCTTGGGGGTCCTGCGACATGATCGCGAGAAGGGGCGGAGAAGAAGGAGAGGCGGAGGGAAATGAGGGGAAGAGAAGACGGACTGGAGAAGGAGGCAAGGAAACAGACTGGAGAGGAAGGATGAGATGGGCTCTTTCTAACAAGATTTCACGTTCTTTTTCCACGGCGAGAAAGACTGGAATTTATACACGAGTTTTCCCCCCTTACCCCCGTTCAATTTCACAAGCTTTTGATGAGCCCTAGATAACCAGATAGTTGTGCGTGAAGCCATCATCAACTTGTGCTACCCCTTGGTGACTACAGAGCTACCTCGACTCGAGAGATCTCAACGAGCGGCCGGGAGGTGTTTCGTAGGGAGGCGTCGGGTAGCCATCAACACCGCCCTCGCCCGCCCCTCCCTTTGACACTTCGTGTTTGGTTTCTGCCAGGCGGAGATCGTCGTCGGCATTTTGAGATCTGGGCGTCTCATCTGCCTAGCCTGCGAAAACAAAATCCCTCATAGTCAAGCAAGAAATCGAAGCTAATCCATTATTAAAAGAAAGAGGCTTTTCACTTTGGCTTTTCTCGATGACGTATCCGCTGGCAGGGTTGCACGAAAGGAAAGAAAAATAGTCAAAGTCGGACACATAGTATTCATCGCCCAGCTCAGCGGGGAAGAATGAAGGGCAATGAAACAAACAGAAAAAAATGGAAATGAGGGGTGGCAGGAATCCAGACCAAGGTTGAAGCTAGCCTCCATCATGGTGATATACCACGGCCGGTTGTCTTCGAGATGAGGACGCATTGTAGCTCCCGCTTACCCGCCCACACTTTGTACAATCCAGGAACCTGGAGTTAAGGTTGTCCGATATCTTGGCACTGCCACAATCGCAAAAAGGGCACACAACAACACCGCATCTGCATGGAGCTAGCTTAGCTCCTGTCACAGTTTTTTTCTCCTGTCTTTCTTCACAGCAGTAGCGGGGCGGCCGTAGTCTTGATTCGGAAATCAAAGCGTAACACTTGCAACTAGCCAACCGGCACTCTGCCGCACAATCTCTCCAACCGTTGCATTCGCGTGGGAGATGGGAGGTGAGCGGGACCTGGGGTGGTCGATAGCTCTGCCACCTCGCCGTCTTGCCCGATCTGTCAAAAATGATGCCTTCGCTCGCGTGGGGATGACATTAATACCTCGTGGGATAGGGTCGACGCGGCCAGCCATATCTTTCAGGTTACACCCAAAGGTAAGCGCCAGCCAGCTATCAATTGATGATACCGCGAACTGGTTGGTCTCCTGCGCACGTGCGTGCCGATCGTTGGCTGCCTCTGTGCAAATTGTCTCTTAACAGTCGGCCAAGTTGCTAGTCCTCGATGCCCACTTCCACACGTTCCAACACTTCTCCTCTGAACCCTCATCGCACCTTTTGACCTTTCTAGGCATTCCTCTTAAGAATTTCTGGTCATGACCTACTAGCCAGTGTCAGTTCCTTACATTTCTTTGAAGCAATAATCAAATCTCTCGCGCGGTCGGCTGTTCTACGTTTTATGCTTGGTGTTCATGACGCTCCACATCCCTCGACAAGCACCTAGGAGACGACACGATCAAAAGAAGTGATGCTTTCCATTTTTCGAGTTAAAACAAGATGCGCTTCCTATAGGCCCTTTTTGGCCATCTGGACCTAGAATTCTTTTGAAACACGACAACAAAGTCAAAGGCCCTTCTGACGCCGACATTATGACTCGACAAGTGCTAAGCGCGACAGCATCGTGAACAAAACTATATATGCAGTTTAACAGGCAAGGTTAGCTGACCGCCATGCGAGCCACTTGCCCTTCATCTCACGGCCATCCTCCTTTCCGGCGATGCGATGCATAGCTAGCACTGACCATCACCTCCTACATCCGACATCACATCCCACAGCTCCATGACGTGCGTGACCAATGATGGACGTAAGATACATGTATAACCCAATGGCCCATATTTATGACGATAGTGTAGAATTTGTAGCTTTACCGCTCCCGCTCGAACAAAATGTCTATACTCTGATATTATCATTGGTCCCTCCCGCTACCCTTCCCTTTCAAAATCCTGCGCAGCCTTTCTGTGCTCCTCTGCCAGTTTCTCAGGCTTGTTCCACTCGAAGCTGAAATTCCATAGTTTCTCTGCCTCGGTCATCTCCCCGGCTTATCGGAGCCAAAGTTGTCTCCTTGGAGCTTTTCCCGCCAATGTGCTGCATAATTGCCGGCAGGACGGTCCACTCGTCGCCGAGGGGCTGCTCCGACGTCGAAACGAGGTCCCAGGCGAGCGAGTCGACGAAACCTATCCTCTTCTCCGTGTAAAAGTTGGCTAATGGCTCAATGTTCTTATGGGGCCACAGAATGCCCTGGAAACAGCACCCGCCGCGTTTTCTCGCTGTCGGCACGCGTAGGATGGAAAGCATGGTTAAATGTCCGATGGAAAAGTAGATTGCGACAGAAGAAAGGACCGCAAGGAGTATTGGGGTTACCATGACCGCCTTCATGGATGTGGGGGCGGCCCGGTATCGTGGCATGCGGCGTATCTGAACCCAGGAAAAGATAGCAGCGCCGGCGACGAAGACGAAGAGGGATATATTGGCCACCCCAGCTTCTTGCCCCCGCATGCTGCCTTCGACGCTGAAGAGACGCAAGTTAAACCCTAAAAGAATGCGTCAGTCCATCCATGCTAACAGGTTACTCCATAGCTCGGTCTGAGAGGTTCCTCCAGCAAGTTAAACATACAGTCACTCCGAGCGGACTGTGATGCTCGTTCCATGTCCCGGATCGCACGCCTCAGTCGATGAAACCACCCATCAAGAAATAAAACATCATCTTCGAGCATTAGCGTGTACGGAGCCCCGCTCGCATCGCATTGCCGTAGCAGCAAAGTGTAATCCAACAAGTGCTTTTCTCGGTCGGGCTGCCCAGTCTTTTGTCGCGCAAGTTCGAGCTCCTCGATATGCCTCACATTCTCTTCGCTGGCAGCCTCCACAGTACGGTAAGTGAGAATTCTATCAGCCACGTTGTGGAGCCAGGGTTCGTCGTAGATGGGATGGGTCGAAGCGTTGATGTGCCCGATTAAGGGCATGATGTGAAGCTGGCTCCGTTCCTTTTGTGTCAATCCCGCCAGCATACTGCCGAGCGCGTATCTCGCGTAGATATCGCCGGATGGCCGTACAATGGTATTCATGCCGACGCATATATACGGTGCGGAGGCGTCGGGTATTCGTCGGAAAGAGGTCCCATCCTTAATATTGAACTCTTGGATAAAGTCTATGGCTTGTTGCTGGCGTATCTTGGAGTATATGCGCTCATAGGCCCGGGATCGTGAGAAGAACGGCGACGTAGGGTCGTTATAGCTGATACTACTTAGATAACCTAGAGTAAGAACAAACAAAAGAAGGGCGAGGACGAAGGCATGAAGATAGGGTCCTCTCAGCGTCCTCAGTAAGGAGGTTTGGTACGAGCTTGCGCCTTTAAGTAGACCGATTGCCGCTCTGCCTACTAAAAAGGTCAGGGAAGCCATACTCCCAGCGAGTCACAAGTCGTTGATCGAACTTTGTCTTCTGTTTTAGTTTGTGGTGAGGCTAGATCTTCGGGGAAAGGTGCTGCCTCTTGGGAGACGTTCCGGGATCCGACTCTTCTTCAGCCTTCCTAGAAACATGATGATGTGAAAATGGCTGCCTCTAAGATAGGGAGAATAATGGAGAAGCTGACGGTATTTTATTTAAATGTGTGGAGAATTTGGAGTCACTAAAAAAGGCCCGGGTCGTGTTACTAGCTTCCACAATCTCCCGTTGTTCCCGCACTTTGGCTGTGCCGCATCGCGGCAGTCAGCAGTTTATTAGGGGTAAGCAAAGAACGCGATAGGAACGCCTGCTCCAAAGGATCGTAGTCGGAAGGCAAGGCAGTAGATCCCCATACTCGTCAAGAAAGAGAAATCTGCCTTGGATTAGCGAGGGCCAGGGGTCATAAAATGATAACCGTGCCCTCGTGTATGGAATCGAGCGTCCGCAGAACATGGGCGAACAATGATGCTTGCCGGTAAAGCACACACTACTCTTAATATAGACGCCTTAAAGACAGAAAGGGAATTGGTCCACGAAGTGACGAAGTGGGAGAAATGATAATACGAATAGCGAGGGAGATGCCTGGCTGTCTTGAACGCCTCTCCTCTCTATCTAATCAACAACATTGAACCGCAAGGACCAAGTCGGCCGCTCGCGAGCACGGCAGACTGCCGGAAGTATAGCGCAAGGCAGAAAAGCGGAGCACAATGGCATGGCCCTGAAAGAATATATGGATCCATCGGGAGAGAGAGAAAAACAACATAGATCTTTTGATGGGGTTTTCCGTGCAAGGATACTAACACGTCAACATCAAACACATCGGCAGCAGCCCCCAATACTAACCGATACTCTGCGATTAACGCGAACAAATATTCTTCAAGTATTAGTTAGCCACCCAAACCCATACATCCATGGAATGAAGGGAACCATGCATATTGACCAGACAACAACGCTACGTCTCAGTCCCCAAGGCTTGCCGACTTGACTCACGACACTCACACCTCTCAATCACAACATTCCCCTCAAGGGCCCTTGGTAACCCAAAATAACCCCAAGCCAAGCCAGTCTTGAGCTCCTAGACTGGGCTCACACGTGATAGGGCATGATTGGCTCAGGCTTGACGTTGTCGAAGTGAGGGGTGTTCAGCCAGCCACACTGCAGTCTCGCACCTTATTGAGGTCAGGCTGCACCGATCAAAGCGGGGAAGAGTTCATATCATCGTCGTAAATCCCGTGCTGCCCAACTTCCAATATGGTTTTCGTCAGGCAGCTTCTTGCATCGAATCTTCCCTCGTGGACCGGATTCAAGCGCTCTCCCTCTTCCCTTCAAGATCAACGCCCTCGGGGTATATGCCCACGTCAGAAACCACTCTCCATTAGTCACTCTTGATCATAGTCTCCATTTTGCGAATCCCCGCTGGTGGCAGCAACTGAAACGATCAAATGTCAAACACTCAAAAATACACGGTTGGTTGGATCTCGGCCCTTCCGACGGAGGCTACGGCTGCGCGACAATTCCTTGACGAGCACCATGACGAAGGGCCTGACAGCGTTTCACCAAATGATAACAATATATACACCCTAGGCCGGATCGGTCGACACAATGTGGTGATGGCGGTTCTGCCAGATGGGGAGTATGGCACAACAACTGCGGCAACTGCGGCCAGGGATATGATGCACAGCTTCCCAAATGTCCGCATCCGGCTCATGGTTGGTCTTGGAGGTGGTGCACCAAGCTTGGAGCACGACATACGCCTGGGTGATGTCGTGGTGAGCAGCCCGAAGGACAATGCAAGTGGTGTACTCCAGTACGACTATGGCAAAAGCATCCAAGGCCAAGGCTTGATCTGCACGGGAATCCTAGCCCAACCACCAACACTCCTTCGATCAGCAGTGGCCCGTCTAAAGTCTCAGCACGAAGACGAGGGCCACGAGCTTGAGTTGCAGGTGGCTCGCGCTCTTGAAAAGAAACCGCGCCTCAAATCCAAGTATTCGCGCCCACCAAAGGCGAGCGACAGGCTATACAAAACCGACTTTGTGCATTCAGACTCGTCAAAGAAATGCGACGAGGTCTGTGACAATGATCCGACGGAACTTATAGACCGAGAAGAACGCGGAGAGGAAGAGGGTGACTTCGTCATCCACTACGGATTAATCGCCAGCGGAAACCAGTTAATCAGAGACGCGTACTTGCGAGATGAGTTGGCATCGAGCCGTGGTATCCTCTGTTTTGAAATGGAGGCGGCGGGTCTAATGAACCACTTTCCATGCTTGGTGATCCGCGGAATATGCGATTATTCTGACACCCATAAGAATAAAGAGTGGCAAGGCTTCGCAGCAATGATGGCAGCTGCATACGCGAAAAGGATTCTCCTTCTGATCCCGCCTAACAAGGTGGAGGTTGAGAGATCACTAAGCATCGCTATCAACTCAAGTTAGTACTGCACTAATTCGTGCTCGTTTATTTGTATACATTCATTGATAGTGGATGGATGTTTTCATCGGCATAACTGACGCTGCTGCCAAGTCGAACAAAATGTGACACATTGGAAAGAGACTGGGGATCGAGTCCTGGCCACCCAGTCCAGCCATACGTACGGCCAACAACCCCCTTCTCCCATACGCTCCATCAACTAATTGATGTGCTAGAGACCGTCTTCGAGATCTCCAGGAGGGTGTTGCCAACCTGAAGCTCACGAAGCAGGACGACTTTTCTATTGCCCGAAAACCTCACTTTTCTGTCCCATTTCTCCAAGACCCCTGTTTCATAGAACGGCCCACACTCTGGGCAGAGATGGAAAAGCTCTATGCAAATCCTACCAGGCGAATGGCACTTATTGGACTTGGAGGCATCGGGTATGTAAACGTGTAGCGTGCATGAGCGGCCGGACCCACAAGTCGGAGCATTGAACATGAAGGAGAGGCTAACTGAATATTAGAAAGTCGCAGCTTGCTATTGAGTTTGCACACCAACTCCACAAAAGTCGCCGGAAACAAGCATATTTTGGGTATATGGAAGTACAAGAGAGACATTTACAGAGGCTTACAGATCCATTGCGGACCTGCTCGCCTTGCCACAACGGCATGAACCTACAGTTGATACCCTCTTACTAGTCTATAACTGGCTGCAGCGCGAGGAGGTAGGCCCGTGGCTGATGATTGTCGACAATGCCGACAACGTGGATGAGTTTTTCCGGAAGAGCGAGGGCCAAGGTGCCACCCGGGGCCCTATCTCGCGGTACTTGCCACAGTCCAAAAACGGTCGAATACTAATCACATCCAGGAGCTTGGATGCCGCGGAGAGGCTCACAGGGTCCAATCCGACAATTATAAGAATTCCACCAATGGAACAGTCACAGGCATTACAGCTTGTTGAAAGAAAACTAGGAAGCGATATTGATACGTCAGCAGCTATGGACCTCGTTGAGGCCCTGGAGTATATCCCGTTAGCAGTGAATCAAGCAGCTGCCTTTATCAATTATCGGGCTCCTCGAATGACTATCCGATCATACTTGGAAGACTTTCGAGCAAGTGACAAAAAGAAATCCATGCTACTCGAGAGCGACCGGGGCGACCTTCGACGGGATCAAGGGGTGTCAAACTCAGTAATCAAGACATGGCAGATAACCTTTGACCAAATCAAGGACGAGAGGCCAGATGCCGCTTCGCTTCTTTCACTTATGAGCTGCTTCTACCCCCAAAATATTCCCGAGTATATGCTGCACGGCTATTCCGAGTATCCCCCAGACAGCAAGGAGCACGGTGGGGAAAGTCCAGATGACGAAGGAGAAGCCGACCAAGAGGACTTTGAATCCGACCTAGCTGTGCTTCTAGGATACTCTCTGATCAGTCGAACCGCTTCTCTAGGCTTCTTGGAGATCCATTCCCTCGTCCAATTATGCACAGAGGTATGGATACGGCGGTTTGGTGATCGGGGGCGGTGGGACAAATTATTCATTCGGCTGAGCGCTGAACATTTCCCGTCGGGCGAGTACGAGACCTGGAAGTGTTGCCAGGAGTTGTTCCCACATATTGAACGATTATTCGCAAAAGAGCCATCACAAAGCGACGCTCACTCTGAAGTATGGGGTAGGCTCTAGCGAGGGCATCGGAATATAAGACGGGGATAGGCGAATACGATCAAGGAGAAAAGCTCGGAAGAAGGGCGACTACAGTCTTGAAGAATATCATGGACGGTGATAAACTTAGCACAATCAATGCTATGAATATCTTAGGAGTCGCACTTTCCCGCCAGGGCCGATGGCAAGAGGCCGAGAAGCTACTGGGACAGGTGTTAGAATTATCCAGAGTGAAGTTCAGCAATGACCATCCAAAAACACTTGCCAGTATGAATAACCTAGCATCCGCACTAGCCAATCAAGGCCGATGGAAAGAGGCGGAAATACTACAAAGACAGGTGTTAAAAGTCCGGGAGGTCAAGCTTGGCAATGACCATCCAGAAACACTTAGAAGTATGAATAACCTAGGGGTAACACTTCTTAATCAAGGCCAATGGAAAGAGGCGGAAATACTGCACATGCAGGTTTTACAACTGCGGAAAGTCAAGCTTGGCAATGACCATCCAGAAACACTCGGAAGCATGAATATCCTAGCAGCAACACTTCGCAATCAAGGCCGATTGAAAGAGGCGGAAATACTACAAATGCAGGTGTTACAAGTCCAGAAAGTTAAGCTTGGCGATGACCATCCAGAAACACTTGGAAGTAAGAGTAACCTAGGATTAATACTTCAGAAGCAAGGCCGATGGAAAGAGGCGGAAACATTGCACATGCAGGTTTTACAACTCCGGAAAGTCAAGCTTGGCAATGACCATCCAGAAACACTCGGAAGCATGAATATCCTAGCGTCAACACTTCAGTATCAAGGCCAATGCAAAGATGCGGAAATACTGTTCATGCAAGTTATACAAGTCCAGAAAGTCAAGCTTGGCAATGACCATCCAGAAACACTAAAAGTATAAATAACCTGGCATCAACACTTCAGGATCAAGGCCGATGGAGAGAGGCGGAGATCCTGCACATGGAGGTTTTACAAGTCCAGAAAGTCAAACTTGGCAATGACCATCCAGAAACGCTTGGGGGTATAAGTAACCTAGCATCAGCACTTGCCCAACAAGGCCGATTAGAAGATGCTGAGAAGCTATTCACACAGGTGTTACAAGTCCAGAAAGTCAAGCTTGGCAATGACCATCCAGAAACGCTTAGAAATATGCATAACCTGGCATTAACACTTAGGAAGCAAGGTCGATGGGAAGAGGCCGGGAAGCTCTGCATAGACATGCGCTGACCACCTAGCGATAAGCTCCACTATATCAATGTAACTAGGCATTAGCACTCACGGACTAGGGCTGATGGAAAGGGCCTGGGGGCCGTGGACATGGAGATGTAGGTGCGAAGATTCGAAGGCCAAGCCTGTTACTAACTGCATGTATCTACGTATACTTGACGCCAGGCCATTAAAAAGTCTAGCCCCGTTATGCAAAGCTTCAGGGTGCTGAGAGGACAATCTATGGCTAATGTGTATCCCTTTTGTCCTTCGACGTACGCTCGGGGTCGTCATCTACAAGATGCCCTCGATTCTTCTAGTATGATAGTCCAATGGCCCAATAGGCTTTCTGATAGAGTCGGAATCCTCAAGCTATGGCCACTAAGGTTCGAAATACAACGTAACAAAATTAAATGTAAATGGATTTAGGGTAGGGTAGAACAGTAGCCCCACTTGCAAATGCTCCAGCAATTCTCTATATTGGCTAGCCATTTGCATCATGTGCTGCGAAACGCATCCTTCCCATCCAAGCCTCCCTTTGCCACAACATAGACATCTGCCATCTGGCACCCTGCGTCAAAGTAGCAAAACTATAATCCCGACGACGACTCCAAGGCTACCCTTATACAGAAAACCTCCTGACCCCCTGATTCGGGAGTACGCCCTAGCCCAAACCCGGGGCCGAAACTCGAGTCTTGGCCTCTCCCACTACCATCATCGTCTGCGTCGCCACCACCTCTACCGCCATCGTTCGGGAGCTCAGTAGGAGTTGGGACCGCAGGGGCCCGCGCCGTCGTCTCCTGCCCGGCCCGTTGTCGCGTGGTCGTTGTCGGCTCAGGAATGGTGAGGAACGCGGCATTCTCTACTAGCGGCACAACGGTGCGAGTTTGTTTATAGTCCTCGGCATCCCTGTAGAAGGTAGCCCAGCTAGTTCCTCGCCCAATGTTATCTGACACGCCACATCCTGGGGTCGCAACTCCAGACCACAGACAGTAGTGGATGACTGAGCTATTTGACCGTCAGTCTCTATACGCAGGGTCTCCGCGGGAATGGAGGTACCGGGCGTTGCGGCAAGCCGATTCGGCAAGGATCCAAGGATAAGAAGAGGGTAAATATATTCAACTAACCTATCGGGCTTTCCAGGAACAGTTGTCGTAAAGCTGGCGGCATCCGGCGCTTGTGTCAATGTAAAGGGTCGGTACGCAACACAAGTTTCGGCGTCAGCCGGGCAGCCGACCCTATATATCGTTGTGCGGCCGGACTACGATAGCGTCAGCTTATCAATCGTGCTTTCTTTTGGTCACCCAAGGTTAGTTAATACTTCGCGTAGGCTTGTGGCGACGAAACCCATTCCATGCGACCATGCCATCGACACAGTCAACGATGACTGCGCCAGGGCTACGCCACCCATCACGACGGTGAAAAGAGAGGCGATCAACATCATGATGCCTAAACCTCGTGTTGCGATGCACGATTGAGGAAACCAGGAGCGCCACCGGGAGGCGCTGTTGATATTAATTCAAGAGATAAAGCGCGATTTGCAAATAGGGAGGTTGACAGAAAGAGCTCCAACAGCCAACGCTGCACCGCCTCGTTTCCATGCTTGGCGCGTGGGGATCGATGCTTGCCAAGAGTCTTGGGCCAAGCATGGGGTTAGTTGCGATTACCCTTCATGAATATCCATGGATCTATCAACAAGAGACATCACGGTTGTTCAAAGGCGAATGCCATCTACTTTGGACGGGGTCGTTTAAGATTTACACAATCATAGGTTTCAATGTTCACTCGGGTCGGTCGTGCGCGGCTGACTCCCTTCGATCCACTATGAGAATGGCGCCAAAGGCTCAAGAGCCGCGTCAAGTGCGCGCTCCAAGCATCGTCCGGTGAGGTTGAGGTGTATTGCCGAGGTATCCACCCCGCCGTGGACCAAAATTCCCCGGATGACATGTCTGCCAACCACTGAGGGGAAATTGCTGCCACACCAAATTATTCCATGTTGGCAAGACTGATGGTGCCATAACTCTTGCATTGAATTGCCAAGCATCTCGAAGAGGAGTAAGAGATGGAAATGGAGGAAGGGAGAAAAGCGCAAGTTTTCACCACCATCTCCGTCCAGTGGAGAATCTTGGCCCTCGGGTTGCCATGGAGTGATGGTACTTCACCCGTTGTGGGCAATCGACAGTGGGACGGATTTCCCGGAACTCTCCTGGCCTCCATCCCCGACCCGTCCGAACCGGCAGCGGGGCCATATGCTAAAGTGATCACGCAAGGTCCCTATTGCGCCTATTTACCTAGAGCTTCCGACGAGAGCTATCTCAAGGCGGTGATAGATACAGTACTTTCACTTTCCATGAACGGTTTTCAGCTTCCAGGCAAGCGCCGATAATCACGAAAGGCGTTGGAGATTTACTATTACGGTTTGCCGCAAGGCCCCCTCGGATTAGGCTCCCTTCAACAACATAATCTCGGTGTCTTGAACATACTAGGTTGGGGAAAGAACACCAAAGTGCGAGTAGGCAGCGGAAAAGCCATAAATGTATCACGCTCGCCTCTCAGGAGACACTATCATCGCAGACTCTGTGACCCGTGCTGACAAAATGGGTTGATTCCAAACATACCCTTCAGTTTCTCAGACAGTGCAGGGACACCGTAGCCCATGAAGCCCGACGCTCTGGGAACTTGCATTTTCATGTAAAGTGGCTTCATACGTGCTAAAACAGTTTTCCACAGAAGAGAAACCCGGAAGGCATGGGATTTTATCGGGGTACTCCTAGCATTATCAAATAATCGAGCACCAATTCGCTCCTTACCGACTGCATCATTTCGGTGTGGCTTACGCATATATAGGCAGCAACGTAATTGGCCCTACCGTTAGGGTTCATACCTGACATGGGTGGTTATATCCCTAGGTTCTCGTGCTTCGATCTCTTTTACACTTTTTTGATAAGGAGTCATCACGGGGTGATTGAAATAGAGATATATGCCTCAAACTTCCCACCATTGCTTGTCCTCGTTCGGCCTCGAGCGTGAGTTGCTCAAATACCAAGAAGATATAGAATTGTGAGATTATTTCCACCGGAACATACCGAAGGAAAAGAAAAGGATAGAACAAAGAACGAGCCAGGGCTTGCGTCGTCAGTTCCAAGTCGTAAGGAGACCCTTGCGGTAGGATCTTACACCAGACCTCGCCTCAACGACATGAGCGACATTCTCCTCCCCTTTTCCAAGGCAACCGTCGAGAACGGTTGCCAGACCTACCCTCCCTCCCCACCCCGCCCGCCCGAGCCGACCCCGTAGCCGCATCCCATAGACGCCACGCGCAGCGCGGGAACTCGGTTCTCTTCCGCCTACCGTGGGAGCTCCGGCGCCAGATCCTCGTACACGCGTTCGGTGGCAAGACCGTCCACGTGGACCTGAGCTTCCGGGCGTACCTCCACGACATGGAAACGAGCGGGGGAAAGGGCCGGTCCACGGCGGCTACCCGCCCTTGGCGTACAGCTGGTCTTCCGAGCTTCAGCCTCGCGGCCCGCGCGCGTGGAGGTGGTACAACTGCGTCTGCCACCACGTCAGCCCGGCGGCGCCGGATTCGGTGGCGCTGCGCTTCGATGACTGCTTGTTCGGCACGGCGCGGAACTGTGATGGCTGGGAGGGTGTCATGCCTCAAAAATGCAAGTTGGGCGTTACCGGCTTCTTGATGACATGTCAACAAGGGTGAGTTGTTGTGGAGCTTTGTGAAACGCAGCATGGAATTGAACCACACTTGATTCTACATGTACCCATTGTGTCCTTTATATCATGGGTTGTCCGTTGAGACTGAACTGACAAAGGTGGTCTAATCTAGCTACGAAGAAGCAACCGACGTGCTGTACTCGACCTGTAGACTTTTCGTCAAGGGCCAACCCTTGATCGATGGACTCCTCCAGCAGTACATCCTACCCGACGCACCTCGACTGACAGGACCGAGCTTCTTACGCCTCACGTCTCTCGTGCTCTGTTGGAGCTTGGTGCTCTTCGGCAACGCTCCCATGGCTAGACAAGACGAAGGCAGCCAGCACCCCCGCTTCCTCAGGAATCTCGAGCTCCTGCCGCGCGCATTTCCCTATCTGACTCGTCTTCATCTTGCCTTTGAAAATCTTAGCTTCTCCGGCGGCCAATTCGCCCCGATAAGCGACGAACCGCTGTCCGAGGTCTCGACTGACTTCTTGGACCCCATCAGAAGCGTAGGCGAGCGTATCGAGGGCCTCTCCGGTTTGAATTTCAGTGCATTCATCCCCCATGATACTTATACCATCATTCTCTCCGGGCCTCTTCCCGATGGAGCGTGGAGCGAGGATAGCTTTAGTGTGCCTGGGCGGCCGACGTGTATATGGTATCCCTTGGTGCCTGGCCCGGTGAAGCTTGCGGAGTCTTTTGAGCTAGATTTAAGTTTTGGACGGTCGGCTTAAGTTTGAAGGGGTGGCTAGCAGTTATATAAATCAGTGCCTCCTCCTTTTCAAGACTGTGGCCTCAATACACGTAGATACAGATGGTTTACGTTGAGGCCGACGCGCAGACAGGCGAGAATTTAGCACCTCGAAGGTAGTAATGTCACCGATATCAAAGAGATAGAGCGCAGCCTCAGAGAAAAAGAGAATGCAGAACAACCATCGTTCAGAAGAACCGCAGCCAGGCAAAATACGCCTATTTTACCCATAAGCCGTCTTCTCACTTTGCTCTATGGAAAAGAATAGAAAACCACGATCTTCTACGCTACAATGCCCAGATACAGGATTGCATAAAAGTAGAAGCCCTTTTCACGGTCCACTCCGAAGGGAACATAACCCTCCACAAGCAGGGACTGCACATCTCACGGATACGGGAATACTCGCTCGGGGCGGACGTTCGCCAAGAGACAATGAGACTCGGGAAATTGTGTTTACGCTTCCTACGTTCTTCATCGGCATCCCAGAGCGGTTAGGGCTCCCCATGCCACGAGAGGAGGGGGCGTACATAAGACAATGAGGTCATAGACATCCACGGCCAAGAGGCTTCAAGACGTGCTAGCCCGAAAATCTGGTCAACGGGACTCGCTTGGCGTCCTTGGCGAGGTACTGTCTCCTTGTCAATGGTACGAAGAATGTTCGGTACGTGTGGTGTGTGTTTTTCTGAGGCCGGCCCAGCTGTTCGAGAGAGAGGCGGAAAGAAAAAAAAAAAAAAAAAGAAAAAACACCACGCTTGGACGATGGAGGTGAAAGATACGAGAAACGGGTGGGGTGCCGCCTTGGCAAGCACGGCGCCAGGCCCTTCCTGGGATCTGGGCATCGTCGCCGGACACGATACCACTTGAGCCCCACATCAAGCTTGGGTTAAGGCGGACGGTCTTGGGAATCCTTCCATTGAGGTCTAATTCGCTGGGCAGAGGGTCTATCGTGAGACCTTCCCTGCGGGTGTGTCAGGGGAAATTGGAAGGGGAGGAAAGCAACGGGAAAACGAAGGGTAGAAGAATTCGGAACGGAGGAAAGGAAAACCCCTAACGCGGAAAAAAGTGATAGGTTACAGAAACACCCCGTTCCTTCACGGCTCACGATGTGATCTTAGGAATGAGCGCTCCGGGAAATGGCAATGTTAACCCCCACAGCTCGTTGCCCGTACACGAAGGAGTGGTAGCACTTCTTTCGTCGATACCGGGCTCGCGACAACGTGATGGGCGGGCAAGGGCGAACCGGGGAAAGCACGAGGACACGAGACTTTCCCTGCGGCGGCGAGCGCATCGGTAATGCCCGGCGCGTCCAATGGCTGAAGGTGGACGACCGGGTTTTCCCTCGTGCGTTTTTTAAAAAGACGGAAAACGAAGGTTATTTTCCTCCTCCCCACTTTGTACGTTCGTACCTTTATGCGGCTGGAGCATGCTTGATCAAACTCCACACCCTACATGAGGCCCCATCGTCGCATCTTTTTTCTACGAGGAGGACGGAAATGGGCGAATGGGCGCAAGACTACAACGGCTACGAGCAAAAACAAAAAAGAAACGGGTGGGCTATACGAAAAATCGTGAGCTTCATGTTACCCTGCAAGGGTACCTCGAAATCTTCATCTCAGTCAGCGCCCAGGGACGGGCTATCGGCCGAGCGCGATCTATCGCAGCAAGTGAGTGGCACGAGGGGCTCCTGTGTCCCGCTGACGCCTGATGTAGGATGACTGATTATTATTGTTCTTGTTGTTGTTTTTTGTCTTCTCTCTTTACCTTTAATTCTTCTTTGCTCCTTGGATCCTCGTGCTTGCGCTCGTGGGCATGCGCCTCCTCGCATTCGGCGGGGAAAAGAATCTGCCCGATCCTGCCACGCGATCTGGCGCGCTCGGGCACCTGGTGATATTTTTGGGCGGCGGCAGGGGATGGAGGGGCACGGATGGAAGCAAGATTTCTTGTATGATGGATGATGTGGATGAGCTACGTGACTGGAGAGCAGGACTGGAAAGACGATGCGCAAGAAGAGAACGAAAAAAAAATATTAGGAAAAAATGGCCCAGTAGCAACTGTAGAGGAAAAAGATCATGTTGGCAATGTTGGCAGGCGGACAATCTTCTCCTACTTGGAGTCTATGACGATCCAAGCCTCTTCAACAGACGTTCCGCTTCTTTTTCTTTTTCCTTTTCTTGATGTGGTGCATGCACCCAAGCGGGACCAGAATCTCCAATCTTCCCATCCTTTAGCATCATGAACTTGGGTGGCATGGTCTCGGATCCACACCCTCGCTGCCTGCCCACACAAGCTCACTTTCAATACATTGGCGATAAGGGTGGGATCCCAACCGTGGGCCGGTGGTCTGGGATGGTGGGCGCGGAATACAGTGGAGGTGGTGGCAAGGAAGAGTGAGACACCACTGGCGAGGCCGAGTTGCCGAGGGATCTGGTGTGTGGAGGTCAGCATTTGGAGGGAGGATGCATTGACAGGCAACACACGCAGATTGGAGATGGTTCCTTGCCTGGGGAGGAACCAAAGAAGGCAAGGAAGAGACCAGGAAAAGAAAAAGAAAAAAAAAAGAAAAGAAGAAAAGAAGAGAAAAAGAAAAACAAGACAAGCCCCTTGCAAGACGGAAAGAGGGGAAAGAAAAGCAGCGGAGAAGCTTCAAGGTGGAGTAGCAAGGCAAACAGGGTACGAGAAAATGCTACCCCGGCAATGAGATCGACGAGGTGGCCATCGCTGTGCGAGTGGTGTGGTGTGGTGGTGTGGGCGGGCCTAAAATAGAATTTCGCTTCGGAAAGGATGTGATCCCGGACGGCAGGCTCCAAAGGAGGTTTGGTGGTTTTGGTCCTAGTTGGTTCTGCTTGTATTGAGTGGTGGTGGTGGTGGTGGTGGTGGTGATGGTGGTGATGCTGCTGCTGGCGGTCCACGATCTGCCTTGTCTGGTTTGTTGGTTCTCTCACTTACATGTACATAGATTCCTTGACGACTTCCACGATCCATCACAATTATTCGACGGGGCGAAGCGCGGGTTGGTCTTGGGCCTCTGAGTAGTAGCCAAGGCAGCCCGAGCCTGAGAGGATTGTGACGCGGGCGGATCAATTGGCATCGACCTTGGATTGCACGAGCAGAGATACCACGAAATTTGGGGAGGGATTGACTTGACTCGGGCTCCTCGAGCCCGCCCCCGGCAAATGGATCCCCATCAATTGATCCTTCCCTTCAACGGTATTTGGCCTGGCCTTCTCTCCCTAACCGACCCATGCCGAATCCTTCCAGCCATTCCGTCATGGGGCAGCTCCGAGTTGGATGGGGTACATTGGTCAATGCAGATAGGAGCAGCAAGCAACAGATGTTGAGCAGGGAAAAGGGAAGCAGAGAGAGATAGAGAGAGAGAGAGCTCCGCCCTCGAAGCTGGAGAGGGGAAATGCAGCCTGGCAAGTGAGACTTTCATTGCACATCCCATTCATCAGACCATGGCCTAGCCCTCGACGCGAGTGGACGAGTGGGTGAGTGGACATGGGGTCCGGTCCGAGGGTGAGCGGAGACACCGCGATTCCCGCCTGTCCACGTGCAGTCGTGGAACACGAGCAGACATTGATATGGATCCATTGCATCGCAAGCGAAGCAAATATCCTGACTGCCTGCTGATTAACACTCGATAAAGAATTAGAGAGAATAATAATAGAAAAACCCGGCCTTGGGTGAACAAAAGCGGAATTTAGAAGGCGAACAAAAAGGGATAATCGACAATAGTATCGAAGAACGTCTCCTCTGCGGGTTAGTGAATTCGGCCAAACCATCTGCCAGCACTACCGATTTCGTACAGCGCGCCGCACTTCAGCTTGACGTGTTAACGGCTTGGCAAAAAACTCCCACCCAAACTGGGGCGAACGAGCGGCGGGTTTTTCTTCCTGGGCGGGGGGAAAGAGGCGAACCGCTTCGCTTCCCTCGAATATGTCGGTCCTCGCAGCGCTGATCACCTCGCCGTTCTGTGGATCCTCCCCCGCCGCCGGTGGACTGGACCAGTTCGGGTCCTGTTCTTTGTCTTTCCTGCTCGCTGGCCCTACGTTTATTGATTTCTTGGCAAGGCCGCAGGGTAGGGCCAAGCGAAGTCTTGTCGACAGGTTCGTTCTTCCCGAACCAATCTATGGGATTGCAAGTCCCTTGCCATTTAATCTATTTCGTTGCAACTCGAGGCAGCATTGTGAAATCTTACTCGGATGCTTTTATTCGATGTCGAAGGGGAGGAGTGAAGTGCTGACACGGCGCGCATCACCTCCGCCACTTCAGGATCGTGAAGCATCAGTAGGTCTAGTATGCCGCCGAAAAGGAACAAGATGAAAGATAGAGAGAAAAAGAAAGAAAACCCGAGGTGCGGAAGAGAGAGGGGAAAGAAGGGATCCAAGCATCGCGATTGGGACCACATCGCAGTCACCTACAGCTGTCAGAGTGATGGATCCCTTCACACACGCTCATCACCATTTGTCCTCAGGCTGGAATTATCTGTCGTGGATCAATCACCTTTGGCGAATCGACTGTTGTGCGGCGGTGTCGCTGTTTGGGCCTTCACCGCCAGGTTTCCCAATCCTTTTGCCCCATCCGTCACTGCATAGCACCGCCGGCTGCACATCATCTCGGGGGAAAACTGTGAATGGCAAAGAGAGCAGAAGCCCACCCGCAAATTGCAATTTGACATTGATAGCCAACACTCTCCACGTCCGTCACCTCGTTGGCTACCCGCTAGAACAAGGCAAGATTGAGTGGGAAGCCTCCCCTTAATAGTGGACCTAGTGGCCCGAGTAGTTCCCCCTCGTGGCTTGCGCCGGCCTTCAAGACGCTGAGTTGTCAAGCCTCATCTTAATTTCACCTGCCACTGCGCGCGCAGGTATCACCACCCCCTCCCTAAACATGAAGTCCATTCAAGTCCAGTGCTGTCTTATTTGTCGGCAGCGGCCCCTCAAAGGGGGACTCTCCCGGTGCCTGTTCCAGCGCCCACTCGAG